TCAACAGACGCGTCCCCAGTTCCCTGGCTGAAATTGTGGATGGGTCCACCAATAAAGAGATCTTAGAAAATATTCAAGAAATGGAAAGAGAGTTGAGACAGTTTGATGAGAATGAAAAAAATGCAACCGGTCGGGTGCCATTTGTGAAGCCCATATCAGATTTCTTGATGACGGTTTTTGATTTGGGAAATTCTAAAACATGGTTGAGGGGAAGAGCTCTTTTAGTTATATTACAGCAAGTTCTAGGAAGTACCATAGAGAGAACGATTACGCAACAAGTTGAACTTAATGCTAAGCTGGAAGAAAGGGTCTTGGACGTCCTCAATTTGTTAAAGAGTATGCTTTTTCCAAATGGAAAGTTCAGAGAATCTCCACAACTTAGAACAAAAGTAGAACAGGCTTCAACCAGACAAGAAGCATTGTTTGTTTTACGAGTGTTCACTAATGAAACATGTTCGAAAATCTTTGGTTCAAGATGCGCCAATCAAGCATGTGAAACATTTTTCGAAATGGTCCAAAATGATTATTTGAATAAGAACTTACTTTTTGAGATTTTGGATACCTTTTTGTTGGAGCTTTTCCCCGAGGTAAACTGGGAATCCTACTAAATAGTAAAACATCTATGCATTCTTAATGAAAAAATTTATACACGACTTCTAGACTAGCATTGTCAAAGAACGGTATCTAAAGTACAAACAGAAATCATTCCTCATCCTTGGATTGTGATTGGACATACTCCACCGCAAGAGCCTTAACACGAGAAGCAGACTGTTCACTTCCATGTTCTTCTTCGTATCCAAGCCACTTGGAGAAGAAAAACTTGGCTTGCTTTCTCGAAAGTTTCTTCGTAACAACTCTCTCAAACAACAGAACAATCTTTTCTCTGTCACCTTGCTTGATTTCTTGATCAATGTAGACGTTCCACAAGTCAATTCTCTTTGGAGCGTCAGTAACCAAACCTTCAAACAAAGATCTGCCCTGTTCAGGATCACCCTTGGCAAATTCGAGCTGTGCAAACTTTCTTACCACATCAATGTGGCTGGATTTTGGCAACGATTGCAAAGCACGAGCCAAAAGTTCGTGTGCATCGTCAAACAATTTCCTGTCCATCAAAGAAGAGCCAAACAGGACCCACACATTGACGTTCTTAGCAAACTTTTTGGTCATCACTCTGTACAACTCGTCTGCCTTGTCGAACTTCTCGGACAATTGGTAAATTCCAATCAACTTCTGGTGCATGGTCAAGGAATCCATGTGCTGAACAGCACGCTTGAAAGCCGCGTCCAAAGATTCTTCCGAGCCAAAAGTGTTTTCCAAGTTGAGAATAGCAATCCAAATATTCATCTTTTCCTGCTCTTCACGGTAGTTAATGGTTTTCAAAGCTCTTTCGGCAATTTCCCTTGATTTGTCAATCTCACCCAATTGCAACTGGAAAGACATGTAGTTCATCCAAAGAACGGAGGAGTCGGGGTTACCGATGATCATACGTTCGAAATCTTGCACGGACTCTGGAGCTCTGGCGTTGATTTCGCTTGTCTTATCTTCGACGTTCTTCTTTCCCTTTCTCTTTCTCTTCTTGTGGGATTCGGTGAAGTCTTCATCTTCATCTGATGAAGATTCATTGTCCTCGGCTTGGTCCAAAATAGAAGCTGTCCAATCAAAACCGTTAGTAGACAATCCACTCAAGCCAGTTGGAGCAGCATCTGTTCCCTCTTTAGCGGACTCTTCTTCTTCATCTTCAGAGTCTGAACTCTGGTCATTATCGCTGAAACCTTCAGCCATAACTTCGTCTTCAGAGTTGACTTCCTCTTCGTCATCATCATCCAGAGCTTCAGCCATTTCCACATCATCGGAGTTCTCATCAGCTTCCGTGAAGTAAGAAGCTTTCATACCCAAAGAAAGTTGCTTCTTGTCCTTGAAGATTTTGAGGATCTTCACCTTAACTCTGTCACCTTCAGCAAACAAAGCGGCCGCGTTTTCGACTTGGTTGTCAGCAATTTCAGAACGATGGCACAATCCATCAACAGCAGTGCCGTCCAATTTCACAAAAACACCATAATCAGCAACTTTTTTAACGGTACCATCGTAAATCTCGCCGATTTCCAATTCATCGAAAGTTTTGTAGTCAGCCAAGTGGCCATTAAGTTCACTCTCTTTCAACGTCATGGTGATACGACCTTCAACCTTACATTGAACAATCTTACCAACAATGCTTTGGAATGGTTTGAAGAATTTCTTCCAGTCAACCAAGAATGCGTCTGAAATGTTGCTGACAGGAACTAAGGCGAACAAGTCTCTTCCCAAGGAAACATAAAGACCAGCGTTATTTATGGCCTTGATAAATCCTTTCACAACGTCTCCGCGATGGAGTTCGCTGATGGAGTTGACTGGTTTGTCCTTTGCTGTTTTCTCGTTTCTCAAGCTGACACTGAATTTACCCTCGTTTTCAAGAGTTTCAGTGATGGTCACAGCCACGGGCTGGTTGATGTGATAGGTTTCTTCCAACTTAAGATCGTAGTCATCCAAAGCATCTGTAATGTAAGAGTATCCAACAAGACCTGGAGCTAGTTCAACCAAAACAAACGACTTTGTGACTTTAAAAACCTTTGCTGGGTATTGATCACCAACTTTGAGCTGAGTGAAAGAGGTGAGATTTTGTTTTCTTGCAGACAACTTGACCATTCCATGTTCGAAGTCAATACCAATCACGTTGGCTTTCAATGCAGTTCCCAAGGGGAAGGACTCGTCAAATTTGGAGTACTTTGACATATCGTCCGAGAGATTGTACACGGAAATTTCGCCCTTGATGCTAGGAGTTAAGGAGACTTTAGCCGTTCCATTGTGGAATCTCTCGATGTAAACGACATATTCAGAACCCACAGTAATGTCAGACAATTGATCTGGTTTGTAAGGGGATTTGCTCTTCAACTGATCCTTTGCGGTAGTCAAACTCAATACTGTCGTCTTCTTGAATGCAGCGGCGGTCGTAAACGAATGCCATTTGTAGTCGTAGGTACCCAACACTTTCACTGGGACTTTTTCTCCCACAGTGAAAGACGCAAGAGGATTCTTTGGGTCTTTGATAGATTTCCACGAGCGAATGCATTGGTTGGCTTCAACTCTTCCTTCCAAATTGTCTGCCAAACGGATTTTCAAGTAGCCTGGCTCTATCGAATCAATGACACCAAAAGTAGAAACTCCAACAGCATAGTCGGTTTTCGACTTCATTTGAGCATCCACAGGATTGGATAATTTGGAGGATTCGAATGCACCTGCACTATCACTGCTTGTGAGCGACAACAAAAATCTCTTGTTGTCATCGTCTGTTTTTATGACATCACACACAACGGATTGGTTCTTGTAGAATTTGCTGGACAAGTCCTCAGTAGGATCGTTAGTAGCATTCTTGGCCAATACCAAACCAGTCAAACGGCCACCAAAAGAAACGAAAAGACCCAAGTTAGTGACAGACTTGATGTAACCTGGAACCATAGAACCGACATGAATGTCTTCATAATGCACGGGTAATGTTTCAGTTCTAGCTGCTGTAATCAACGACTTTTTGGCAGATGCAATCACAGTTCTGGCACGAATATCTTTCTCAAGAACAAGAACTTCAATCAGACCGCCAATCTCTAGGTTTTTGTAAATGATTCTGTTTTCTTCGTAGTTTCCATCAGAAAGATGGTTTGTGCTAATAACACCGCGCAAGTTGGAGCCTTCTAGTTCGATAATGACAGCTTCTTTGGTTTTCTCCACGATGTTAGCTTCAACAAGGGTTCTTCCGATAGAAATCAGCTCAAGATGCTCAATTTGCTTATTACTGAGTTCAGTCGATTGACGCAAAGTCACCGAAATCTTGTTTTCCTCTGCATTGACACTCAAAATTCTCACGGTGACGGCTTGGCCCAATTTCAAGTAGTCTTTGGCTTCCTCAACAAAAGTTTCGGAAATTTCGCTTTTAGGCAAGTATGCTCTCAATTTGCCAAAGAAAGTGACCAAAGCACCACCGGGAACAAATCTGTCAACAATAGCGGTGGTCTTGAAACCGACAACAACGTTTTCGATATCGCTGACAATAGCATCATCTTCCATATTGACTAAACTTTTCCGTAACGTGACAAATAATTTCTTTCCGTTCTTGTACAAGACTCTGCCCTTCACCTTACCCCCAACTTTGAACTTTCTTTCTGGGTACACCAACTTGATGTCGGACATGTGGTTAGCCGGAACCAAAGCCTCGAAATCGCCAAAAATCTTGACAATCATGCCCTTGGCCTCGTCCAAAATCTTGATGATCTCCACAGCAGGAATGTATTCGCCAACTGGGACGTCATCGGCAGAGACAAATTTGGAGGCAATCAACTTTGGATTGAGCGTCACAACCAACAAGTTGTCGATTCTGTTGTAGCCCAAAACTCTTGCGTTGTGTTTTGATCCAACAGGATAGTTCATGTTAGGATCCAACTCTGGATCCACTTGCGACTTGTGAACCTGGGCCATATGTGAGCCTGTAGAAAGGTAGATGAAATCGGAGTCTGCACCCACGACTTCAATGCCCGAGTCGAAAATGAAACCGACAGGGAACGCCTCCAAAGCAGAAGAATCCAACTCCGGCTGTAAGGCAAGAGGAGCAGTAGCTCTGGACAAAATGAACTTCTTTGTTCCATTTTGCAATAACGTACCGATAATTCTCGCTCTGACTGTGGAGCCGATACCAAAAGAGTTCTTCAACTTCTCAAGCGCATACTCTTCAACATGCGGAAGCGTGAAGGATGCATCGACCATACCGAACAATCTTGCTGCGACACCATCGTCGGACAACTCGGCAATAATGGCATTGACAAGCGTACCTGGATGGACGGCATCAATGGAGCTGATGGTTGTGACGACAGTTTTCTTGGAGACGTTTTCCTTTTCAGCTGGTCTCAAGGACACAGTCCTGGCATCAGCACTGGCGACAGATGTGAGAATGACTTTACCCACAGTGAAGGACAGGAGGGGAATGTCAGCTTTCTTCAATTCCTTCTTGGACAAAAATCCAGAGAGCTTGCCAACACCGAGATTCAAAACTACACCGTGGTCTTCAATGGACTTGACGGACGCCTGAACAATGTTTCCCGGCGTAAAGTCGTCGGATTCCATCGAAGCATTGACATCGGAAGGAGCGATAGAAAGATGAAGGCCTCTTTGTCCCTCGGGCGTGGGCGTCACAATGGCACGGAGCCACTGGCCTGGCTCGAAAAGCGATGCCAATTTGGGGAATTCTGGGGCAAAGCTTTGTGTTGGCTCGTCGTCTTCCTCGTCAGAAGAGTCCATGGCAGCCTCGTATTTTTCAAGCATGGCAGAAACCTCTGCGCCGATGGCGGTTATAGGAACACGGCCCACCAAGTTATCCGTGATGGCCAAAACCAAGTCCATCTTGTCGACCCTCACAATCTGACCCAACACCTCGCATCCGGGGATCAAGTTTTTGAGTGTCATGTGGTCGACAGAAATGCCCTTTTCCTCTGTCTCCGTCTTGGACACGGCCGTCTTGCTTTGCTTTTTCCGCTTTTTGGCTGGATGTGACGTCGAGCCGCCAGATCTTTTGCTGGCCTGGGCCTGTTCGAACAAAACATCTTCTGTGGCCTTGTTGGAGATGGTTTTCATCTCCAACGGCGTCAACACAGATCCTCCTCCTCTGGGGAACGCAACCTCGCTGCTGTTGAGCACAGACTTTGAGGATGAGTCCATTTTCGTAGCGGAGATGTTTTAGTGTGAAGAAAAAAAAATGTACAGACTACTCATCGCACTATATGGTGTGCGCAGGACAGGCCGATGCGGTAGATTAGATGGATCATCATATAAAGCAAAGGGAAGCCGGATGTACGTTATTTTATATATCAGTTTGGAAAAATCTACATGATTGAGCTAAGGAATTTTCAAAATATGATGGATCAGAGCAATTTTCAAAGTAATCTGATATGGAAAATTGGCACAAGCCTGTACCTCCAACTCTTGCACCATTTGCGGGGATAATACACTGTTCCTTCAGTAATCATACCTGCTTGGGTCATATTTCTTGGTGAGTCTTCTTTTACCATTTGGTACAGACCAGAGAACATAGCTTTTATTGTGTATTAATGTGTCTCTACGTAAGCCTATGTATGTGCGCATCTATGTTCGAAACATATCAGGCGAAGAAATTATTCACAATCTTTGAAGAACTAGACCTTTTTTAGATCACTAAATCCCTGACCAAAGATCCTCACTTACCTACACCAACCTATTTTCTCCGTACCCTTCCATTATTTATATACACAATCCATATGCTTTAGCTTGAGATGGCCCATATGGATATAGCTGATTATCATGACCATTTTTAACACCTCTTCAGCGCTTACCTTTTTTCTTCTTCCCCTTGGCAGGTTGCATCACAATTGTGCCTTCTCTTACCTCCTCTGGCTGGTCTTTGAACTTCTCCTGCGATTCCAAGTAGAACATGAGATCTTTGACCTGTTCAGACAAATCTTCATTTTGCGCCTTGAGTTCTGCATTCTCCTTCGTCAAATACTCCACTTTGTTCGAAAGACCTTCATTTAGTGCATTTAGTTCCGACAATTCTTTTGCTGCTATGCGAAGAGAGGTGTCTTTCATGTCTATCTTCTGCTTCAATGCTGGCACAACATTTGTGGTAAGTTTTGTAAATTTTTCAGACAATTCCGCCACCTTTTCTTCCAATTCACTGACTCTTTTCCCTTCTGCAATAGAAGAACCTCTCCGCAGACGAAGCTCCCCTGTACGATCCTTTTCGTTGAGCAACAATTCATAGTATTCCTTTTGACTGATCAACTGGCTCATGAGCAAGTCGGAGTATTCCAAACCTGCGCTCTCACTTTTGCTTTTTGATTCTTCTGAAGAGTCCTTCTCGGGCAACTCCACAATTTTTCCATCAGCCTCATTTGCTATGAGCCGGTGCACATAATTGTCACCAGCGTAATCCCACACACGAGAAGTGGTTAATTCCATAGCAAAGCAATGGCCTGTTTCAACAAAATGTTTCAAAGAGTGTTGTTCTGGTGCATATCTGCTACAGCCAACGTTTCCACATACTAAGCAAACCCACAAGTTTGTCGAAGCTGAGCAACTCATACATTGTTCGGTCACTTCCAGAGTGTTTTCAGGTATTTGCTGCTGAGACAATTGCTGTTGCTGTTGCATTCGAGAGTTGATTTGCAGAAGACGCCTAACGGAGCGTCTGATTTTGAGATTGGACACATTATTGGTGTAGCGACAAACGGGACATGTATCGTCTTTCCATTTGGAGAGGCACAGGCAATGGAAAGTATGCTGGCAGGGGATGGTGAGAAGACCGGTGATCTCGTAGTCTAGTCTTTCAAGACACACAGGGCATGTTGGAAGTTCTATGGGATTCGCTTCGTCCTCAAAAGCACTTGGGCTGGAAGAAGAGGGGCTCGAGGTGACAGAACTTGTGAATGGGTCCCGAAGAAGAAATGGGATGAGCATATCGTTTTCGCCCGATTCTTGAGACTCGGGCTCGAACACCACAGATTTGACAAACACAACGTGGCACGTTTCTGGTTCCATAGAGTTGAACTGCTTCCCGTCGTAATGGTATTGGAACTCGGCCGCCTTCACTAGATCTTTGAACTTGATCAAAACCAAGAACCGGTTGGGTTTTTCGCTCTTCAAAATCCGAATGTGTGTCACATACTCCATGTAGTAATCTCCAATGTATCCTAAAAGATCCGTGGCGGTGAAGTATGTGGGTAAAGCTATGATAGAGAGCATGGTATCATCGCCTTCGTTTGAAAGTGGGTCCGACCTTAGCGGGTCACACTGTTCTGAGTCCTCAAAATCCCGAAAGAGCCGAATCACCCCGTTTCCGAGCGAACGGGCTTTCAATGGTTCGGGTGGATTCTGGTACGGCGCTAGGTTTTCCATTGGATTATCGATCACGGTGACGGAAATGGGTGAGTGTCTGTAATCGCCAGAATGTTCCGATTCGCTTTGTTGGCTCTGGTTTGTATTTAGTTCAATGGAAATGCGATAGGAGTCTGTCCCTATCATTCTTTGCTTGGATATGGCAATGTGGTGCGCTAGATATTTCTACTAAGGTGCACATTAGACCGATTGAGACTTGAATGAGTATATGCAAACGAGTCATCAATGGGGCTAAAATTCTGGGTTGGAATAAATTGGAAAACAATCCTAACGATTCAGATTTGTAAGGCTTCCCAGGGCCAATTATTTTTACACTTAAACGTGGCATACTGAGAATTTAAGTTTTGAGTATTGTATAACAAGTTTATGCTTCAGTATCCTGTAAATTCCACATACTTTTTACATACTTTGCTTAATTCTTATTGCTTCAATGTAATATCCAATCCTTATACTCTAGATGTACTTTGGACCTTGAATATTGACCTTGATCTTCAGCAGGAGGTTTGCGCTTCTAATCCACGGCAAGAAAGTCGAATTGTTTAATAAACACTTCAAATCCCATCACGAGCTGAGCCCAGTATCTATGAAAACATCTATATCTTCTGGATTTCTTCAAAGCCCAAAATAGGCCTTGTCAAACGACTCGAGAGAATCAAGCAAGTGATGGTCGCCGATAATCTCAGCCTCTTTTCCATTCAACTCTTTGAGCGCCTCTGGGTGGGGAATCCAAACCACCGTGGCCTTGGAGTTGATTCCAGAAATTACTCCAGGAATCCCATCTTCGAACACCAAGCAGTCTTCGATATCAATGGGCTCCTGGCCCTGAGCTTCTCTTTCTTTGTTAAGACTTTCCAAGCACACTAGCCAGATGTCGGGTTGCGGTTTTCCTCTTCCTGGAGGAATCCGAGGATCATCGCCGGTGACGACGTGTTTGCCGAATAACTGAAACCCGTGCTGAAGATGTTTGGTTTTTTTGTCAAAACTCTTTGCGTTGGAAGATGTTCCGAGAGCAATGGGGATCTCTTTCTCCTTCAAGTACTGGAGCAACTCAAGGGCGCCAGGCAAAAACTCAGAGCGGTCCCACAATGTTTCTTGCACACGGAAAGTTTCCGCCATCCAATCTTCAGGCGCAATGTCGAGACCATAGTGCTCGAGCAACCTTTTCGAAGCCTGAGGACCTGGAAGTCCCTGGAGATGAAGTTTAATGTCCCATGTCAAGGGGCCCTTCCCATATCTCGAGAGCATTTCCGTGGCAGCGAGAGTGTAAATATCCTCGGTATTTATGATGGTACCGTCCATGTCTGAGGTTAGCAAAAGTTCACGAGAGGAGGAGATTTATACATACCAAAAAGACACGCTTTGAACCTGGAGTTAGAAGGGAACGCGATTCATGCTGTGGAAAACGTACTTTTTCTGTGCCATTGTGATGGTTATCGAAGAACTGTAGTAGATTGTTGATGATACCGCGCAAAGTCATAGTGTGGGGCAGAAATATGACACACCAGTCAATACACGTCAAGTGATCAAATTACTATCATAAGTTTTCTTTGAAGGAAACAGAACGACGGTAACTATTAGTTCGAATATAACCTACAAACTTTAATTCACGTTTTCTCGTATTCTGGTTTCTATTGCTCATTATAGAGCTGTGCAAGTAAGCCAATTTCATTAAGCTTCATACCCATCCTCATTAACTTTCTTGTTTCTTAAAGATATATCTTAGGTGATACGTTGCAAGAATGCTAGAGTAAATCTTCTATAATAGTACAGATACGTCGTCCATGACAATGTTTTTAGCTTATACAAACTTTCTGCTTCATGTATTGAGATGGTGAAATAAAATACGTCTCCATTTCATCCTTTAGTGCCACTGTTTTGAATATGGGCCAGAATCCACGTCTTATTGGACTTCAACATGCTTTATTTTAAGTACATTTCGATTTTAAATTTTACAATACTAATGCTTTAATGCAAGAACATTAGCAAACCGATTTTGGAAAATTATAGTTTCTCCCCACTACCTTCCATGGTTCTTTCGATCAAAAAACTCTTGTTGTCTAACGTTTGGATTGATTATGATGAAAGCCACAAACACAATCAATGTCAGAAATACTATTCCAAATGAATATGGATTCCTAGCACAATTAATGTTTGAGCAAAATTTGGAATGAATATGATGTGACTATTGAGCTGAGATTATAGAGTGGTGAAACTTGAAGACGTCATTCAAATTTGACCACCAACATGGCAAATGCTACTATATGAGCGGTTGAAGTGGTAATGCATGGTTAGACAAGAGAACGCAAGAAACATAATGAGCATCCATACGGACAGTAAAGATTATGTAATTCATGGGATAAATAGACAGGAGAGATTTAGATTTTAAGACAACGGAGCATTCTTGAACAAATACGAAATGCTCTCACCATTGTGAAGACGTCTGATGGCCTCGGCCAAAACGGCGGAAATGTCAATGGTATCTAGTTTGGGGCAGAGGTCAAGCTTCTCCTCAAAAGGAACGGTGTTGGTGCATACAACTGCTTTGAGTTTGGAGTTGTTGATGTTTTTGATGGCATTTCCGGACAAGATGCCGTGGGTCACTATGGCAATGACTTCTTTAGCGTTGTTTTCCAACAAAACCTCTGCCGCCTTGGCCAAGGTGCCGCAAGTGTCGGCCATGTCGTCGACAATGATGCAGATTTTGTCGGTGACATCACCCACAAGCACCATTCTCGACACCTCATTGGCCCGGGCTCTTTCCTTGTGGATCAAGGCAAAGTTCAAATCTAGCCGGTCTGCCAAGCCTGCGGCTCTCTTGGCTCCTCCAGCATCAGGCGAAATCACAATGGCATCCTTGTACGACACCTTCTCGCGGATATATCTCACCACACTGGGCTCCGCATACAAATTGTCCACGGGAACGTCGAAAAAGCCTTGGATCTGCGACGCATGCAAATCCATGGTGATCACATGGTTGCATCCGGCGGTGGTAAGCATGTCGGCCATAAGCTTGGCGGTGATGGGCGCTCTGCTCTTATCCTTGCGGTCCTGTCTCGCATAAGGGAAGTTGGGCAAGATCACGGTGATTCTCCGGGCACTGGCGGTGCGGCAGGCGTTGATCATGATCAAAAGCTCAATCACACGGTCGTTGACCACGCCCGACCCGATCTGGCAGATGATGAAAATGTCCTCGTCTCGAACACTTTCGCCAATGCTGAAGGTCACCTCGCCAGAAGAGTCTCTTTTCAACTCGCTGGGAGTGAGCTTCAATCCAAGTCTTTGGGCCACAAGCTCGGCAAGCCCGCGGTGCACATCGCTGGCCAATAGTTTGATGGAGTTGGTCGACATGAAGATGAAGTTGGGCGGTAAGCTAGTTCTTTTTTTCTCCTCGGCCTGTGCGCAGAACTGCGCAGAGATGCGACAAGAGATTACTTTTAGTATTCTGGGTACTGTGGTTGGCTAGTGGGCAGTGTTATAAGATATTGTTAGTTGTGTTTGATTTCGAATAGTCTTCGTTTGGTTTTGTTTCTGCTTGCCTCTTTGTCGCTTTGTTTGTGGTGTATTTTGGTGTTGTTGTGGATGGTCTGGTTTCCCCACGATTTATTGGCCAGCGGACTGTATGAGATGGGGCAATTAATTGGTGGCTTTATTTTCTCTACAATAAATTTAGAATTATACTAGGCGTAATTAGAATATGTAAATGGGAAGAACAGGCGGTGCTTTCTAGCTTCACTGTGATTTCAATTTGAGGTGACTACATATCACCATGGATTTTCCATGCTTTATCTATGTTGATTGAATGTTTGGATATTCTCGTATGAGAGCTCACAGCGGCCCCGCTCGATCACATATCGCCTAGCATTCACTTGGTTACTCATAGACTCGCTCATCTAAGAGACTTGCCTCTCCTTGTTGTTACAGTTGGCCTATAATCGGTCTGCCGGTTTTATACTATTATATTCTGATCGGTATGGTACATACAGGTGCTTCACTCTAGAAAAGACCCTGGAAATCATCAAAATCTTCGTTCTCATCGTCACCTTCAGCATCGTCCGCCTTCTCCTCCTTTTCATCTCTGATTCCTTCGCTCTCTTGTCGTGCCTCCTGTTCATTTGCCTCGCCTTCGTTTTCATCTTCTTCCTCGTCATCGTCTTCTTCCTCATCTTCGGCATCCTCTTCAGCATCAGCCTCTTGTGTCTCCTTTTCGAGCTTTGGACCTTGCAGCTCTTGGATTTTCGCCAACTCACGCTTTTTCTGGTCAATCTGAGCCTTCAAACTGTTGTATGCGGACTGGAACTTCATCCGCATCATCTTGAACGATGCTGTGGCTAATAACATTTTCTGCTTCTCCGCTGCACGCTCAAGATCGCTGATTTCCTCTTCAAGCTTCTTGGCAAGCGAGTTTCCACCCTTAGATGTATCGTCTTCGTCTTCCTCCTCTTCTTCCTCGTCGTCTTCGTCTTCTTCGTCGTCATCCTCTTCCTCTTGGCCATTGTTGTCTTCGCCCGAACCAGCATCTTCGTTGTCAAACACCGACTTCATCAAAACGGTAGCAGCTGTATTGTTTGAGGTCAGATCTAGAGCCTCAGCAAGCTCCTGCTCCAAGGCATTGTCGATATCGTCTTCGATATCCATCGCCATTTCTTCTTCTTGCACTTCTTCTTCTTCTTCCAAACGTGAAGGTGTGGATGGCATAGTAGACGGAGTATGGCTGTTCGAGTTGGAAAACATGTTGTGGCCCTTCGGGTCCGTGAATTCATAATGGCTTTCCTGTGCCTCGTTGTCTCGGCGAACTAGTTCGTCCACTCTCAGCTCAATGTCTGTCATCACACGGTGGTTGACTTTCTGCGGGCGGAATCTACGGTAGACATCTTCGTATGCATATGCCAAGCCGTGCCGATAGACGGTTTTCGTATTACGGATCTCGTTGCTCGGCGAGTATTTGTAAATGGGGTGCACGTAAATGTACTCTTCGGGAACCTCGAAGTCCTGCTCCATGTTCAATTGTTTCGGGTTGATGGGGTGCAACACAAGCAAAATCTGGCTGATGTCGATGGTCTTGAAGATATTCTTCTTGTCCACGGTTTTGTAGAGTTCGGTAAGCGTGGGCAAGTCTATCAACCGAGCAGAATAAAGCGTCAGGTTCACATTCACCACAGCCTTGTCTCGCGTGATCCACTTGATGTTGACGTTAGAGAGATCGCCCGTGTCGACTGCGTTGTGCACAAAGTCCAAGTTCCTGTCATTGGCAAAGCGAACCACAATTCCCTGTTCTATTAACGGATCGTCTTCGAGATCTGGAGCTTCCGAGTCATAGCCCTCACCTGGAATCCGCGTAGGCTTGATTCTCACTTTTGGAACCTTCTTGACGACCGGAGCGGGTGCAACGGGCGTGGCAGAGTCATTTTGGCTCGGCAGAGACGCTTTCCCCAAACTGATTTTGAGTTTCTTGAGCTTCTCCTTCTTCGGCTTAGACACGCCGTCCGACGGCTCTTTTTTCAAGGGTTTGATTTTGATTCGCGGCGTCGGCCGCTTTTCCGAGTCATTCTTGTCCTTGGACGGGTTGACCTTGAGTTTGAGCTTAAGCGTCATAGGGCAGAGGAGTAAGACAGTTGATGATACAAGATGGGAAGGTGCAGGACCAATACACTTGTGGTTGATGAGGAGTAAGTTTGACGTAGGATATATTTGACGACGATTGAAAATTTGACAAAAACAGCGTCTTTGAGGTGCGCTTACTTGATTTCTGTTTCTTTCTCCCTCAGCTTGTCAGCCGTACCGTCTTGAAGAAGTTTTGCGCATACACCTACTCAATGTGGTAGTGAGCAACGAAATTGTCGAACTCCAACAAGAAACAAAGTAGATATTCCAAACAAAGGGAACTACGTTGCACCCAATTACTACATTGCATCCAATTAAAAACAGCCAAAACGGTCTATTTTCGGAATTGGGCCAGAGAGGCATTTTTAAATTCACTCAAGTCGCAAGTCTAGTGCGCGCCCAACTCAGACACAAGCGCAAAGCTATATAAACCGATCGCCAGTAGCAGATTTCGCCACCTGTGACTATACTCCGCTTTCGCTGATACTAAAGTCTGTCTTTCTAACGAAGAACAGGTTTGCTTTCTTGGTTTTTGGAGACGGATTCGCTTTCGCTTTCTTGGGTTTGGCTCATCTCCAAGCTTTCGCTATCAGCACAAGCTTCCACCAACTGATCGACTTTTCTCAAGACTCTGAAAGATGCCTCGGCTGCACAGCTCTCCGCTTAGAAGGGCCAACTCCATGGGCTCGCGCGGCTCGCGCCAAAACAGCATTCTGTCCATCGACACCGTTCTAGTCGACGACAATAACTATGAGATGTTTTCGGGCGCCACGTCGGAAATCATACCGTCGTCCATCAGTTCGTTCCACTATCCGCATCATTTTGGCTCGCGCCATGCCAGCGACGCCAGCGTGCTTAGAGAAACGTCGCCCTTGCTCTCGTCGAGCCACGAGCCTTCCAACGACTTGAACTTGCGCACCATCAGTTCCAACGCCACGTCTGCTTCGGCTGAGACCAGCGGCGGCTTCCGGTTCTTTTCGCCTGACGATATCGAAAGGGCGCCAGGTGGATCGACCCTCGAAAATCCTGAGGATCCTGTGGATTACAACACGAACTGGGACTATTCTGTGGACCGGTTTGAAGATCACGAAGAAGCACCGCCTCTCAGCACTTCTAGAACAAGCGGCTCGGCGGTTCCTTCCAAGTTTTACGAACAGAAAGGTTCTCGTCCAGCAGAGCAAGAACGGCTTCTGCGGCTGCCGTACCAACGTGCAGAGTCCGATAACGAAAGCGACGCAGAGTCGATCCTCCAAGATCGGTTTCGTCGAAGAAGCACAGATCCCGGAACGGAAGACCTGGCTCTGTCGAGTCTGGCGTCATTCCAGTCCGATGCCGAGGACGACTCCATGCAAGACTTCTGCCCGACTTCTCTCTACCAGCGGTTTTACTTGGCTGAAGAAGACATTGTCATTGGTGTGGCGGGCTACTCGAACTGCCTCTGGAAATCTGTCGCCTACTACTTGCTCTGTTTGTGCTCTTTTGGTGCCGCATACTTGGTCTTCCGGTGGCTTCCCCGCTATCGCGTTAGACTCATGGGCAATCCGTGTCCTTTGGGCAAAGCAGACTGGTGTGTGGTGGAAAATGAGTTTGGTGAATTGACCATTGTGCAAGTTGGCAAAACACGCTTTGGTGAACGTCTCTCTCATTTTATGACAGTAACGCAGAACCAGGAATCAGACGATCCCAGCTTGCAAGCCCAGGACACAAAGGAGGCCAATCCTGTGATCCCATATATCCATTCCTTTGAGTACCGGTACATTCGCTTCTTCTACAACCCAGTGGAGGACATTTTCAAGACGAATTCCACTTGGTACGACATGCACTGGCTCAATGTCAAGAATCTTCGTGAGGGAACATCGCAGACGCTCTATGAGTATAGAGAAAGTATTTTTGGGAAGAACAATATTGAGATCAAAGAGAAGAGCAACCTAGGACTTTTGGCTGACGAAGTGTTGCATCCATTTTATGTTTTCCAGATCTTCTCCATCTTCTTGTGGTTGGCCGATGACTACTACTACTATGCTGGGTGCATTTTTGTCATCTCTCTAGTTTCTGTAATGAATTCGCTTTTCGAAACTAAGGCGACAGTTCGCAGACTCAAGGAAATGAGCAAATTCTCGTGTGATATCAGGGCGTGGAGAAACGGCTTCTGGACGCAAATTGACTCCAATGACTTAGTTCCAGGCGATGTCTTTGAAGTGGATCCTTCGATGTCTTTAGTCCCATGTGATGCCTTATTGATAAACGGAGAGTGTGTCGTCAATGAGTCCATGTTAACTGGAGAAAGTGTACCTGTTTCAAAAATTTCAGCTACCCGAGACACAGTGTCATACTTGAGCGAAAACTTCACGCACCCAGTGTTGTCCAAGTCATTCTTGTACAACGGCACAAAACTTCTCAAGATGAAAAGTTCTAACGACGAGCCAGTTTTGGCTATGGTTTTGAAGATAGGCTTCAACACGACCAAGGGATCACTTGTTCGGTCAATGTTATTCCCAAAACCAACAGGATTCAAGTTCTATGAGGACTCGTTTAAGTACATTGGTTTCATGACGCTCATAGCCTGTATCGGTTTCATTTACTCCACTTATAATTTCATCCAGTTGGGGCTCGCCAAAAGAATCATGATTCTCCGTGCTTTGGACATCATCACAATTGTGGTACCTCCAGCATTACCAGCGACCTTGACTATTGGTACAACATTTGCTGTCAACCGGTTGAAGAAGAGAAACATTTTCTGTATTGCTCCTACACGAGTTAACGTCGGCGGAAAGTTGGACATTGTGTGTTTTGACAAGACCGGAACATTAACGGAAGATGGTTTAGACATTTTGGGTGTTCATGCAGTGAAGAACGCAGAAGGTAGAAAGGAAATTGTATTTGAGGACTTGGTTGACAATGTCAAGTCATTGGCTCCAAAAACTCCGTCAGAGTCGCCTTATGGTATTCAAAGTGGTCCTCAACTTCTTGGATGCATGGCCTCGTGTCACTCATTACGACTTATAGATGATGTTCTTGTTGGAGATCCTTTAGACGTGAAGATGTTTGAATTTACCAACTGGCACTTTGCCGAGGAGTTTGGTGGCAGCTCGGTGCCTATGGTCTATGAATCTGTGGGAAAGGAGACTTATGGTTACAAGATTCTTAAGGAGTACGAATTTGTTGCTGCTTTAAGAAGAATGTCTGTTTTGGCAGACAAGGACGACAAGAGGTATGTATACACCAAAGGTGCACCAGAGGTGATGTTGGACATTTGTGACCCAGCAACAATTCCCAGCAACTTTGAGGAATTACTCCACCAGTACACCCATGGCGGATATAGGGTGATTGCATGTGCCCAGAAGTCTGTGAGCAAGAAAATCAACCACAATGGGCTTGAACGGGAGCTGGCTGAGAGCGACTTGCAGTTTTGTGGATTCATCATATTTGAGAATAAGTTGAAACCTCTGACTAAGGGTACGTTGCAGGAGCTTCGTGAAGCAGCTATAAGAACAGTAATGTGCACAGGTGACAACGTGTTAACTGCCGTGAGTGTTGGCCGTGAGTGTGGATTGATTCATTCTTCTGTGAGTCAAGTTTTCATTCCCCGTTTTGCTGGCGAAGACGAACAAAACATCACTGGTGGAACAGGTCTTATATGGGAGGATATCCACGATGCCAACAAGCGTCTTGATTCAGTCACGTTACATCGCTTGAGCACGGACACTCGTGACATCATGGGCGAATACATTCTCGCCATCACAGGAGACATTTTCCGCTACATCTTGGCAGAGCTCCAGCAGGAGGATTTGACCCATGCCATCTTGATGCGGTGCAACATCTTTGCGCGGATGTCGCCCGATGAAAAGCATGAGTTGGTAGAGCAACTTCAGAAAATCGACTATACGGTAGGATTCTGTGGAGATGGTGCCAACGACTGCGGAGCATTGAAAGCTGCTGATGTTGGTATTTCGTTGAGTGAGGCCGAAGCATCTGTTGCCGCCCCATTCACGTCTCGGGTGTTTGAGATTTCGTGTGTGTTGGACGTGATCAAAGAGGGCCGGTCTGCTTTGGTGACGAGCTTTTCGTGCTTTAAGTACATGTCGTTGTACTCTGCGATCCAGTTCATCACCGTGACGCTTTTGTACAAGAAGGGCACCAACTTGGGCGATTTCCAGTTCTTGTACATTGACTTGGTGCTCATTTTACCCTTGGCTATTTTCATGTCGTGGTCCGGGCCCTATGCTAAACTTGTCGTGAAGCGGCCAACAGCCAATTTGGTGAGCCCGAAGGTGTTGGTTCCTCTTGTGAGCCACATTGCCGTTATTCTTGTTTTCCAGCTTTACGTGTGGTTGTCAATCAAAAAAGAACCGTGGTACATTGCACCCGAACCTTCAGACGACGATGATCACGTCAAACTGTCGGACAATACGGTGCTATTCCTCTTTACCAATTTCCAGTACATTTTACATGCGGTCGTGTTGAGCACAGGCCCTCCTTACCGGGCTCCTCTACACACCAACAAGCCATTTTTGGCCACGGTCGTATTTTGTTTGGCCCTTTCCGTTGGAATTTTCCTGATCGACTCGGAGTCTTGGTGGGGCGACTTTATGCAGTTGACCAATATGTCGCACGGCGCATACGTGATGCTACTACTTGCTGCTGCGGCCAACTTTTTCGTCGCCTCGTACGGAGAACTGGCCTTGTACAAGAAAATGGCCCAAGGCGTCAAGAAGGCGCTTTTTGGCAATCGCCACAGCAAAAAGCGCTTCAAACGCTTGGGTCGGGAAATGGTCCCAGTCGTGTAGTGTGCAGGACAATCCGTCCCCACAAAAGCATCCTAGGGTCTCGGCGGAGGGAGGAGACAGTTTCGCTTGCTCCATCAGTCCGTTTCTAGACGCTTGTCAAAGTGGATGGGTGTGTTGGTGGCAGCTTTAATTGCGGTGCTATTTCAGCCTGTTTGGGCTTGTTTCATCGTACTACCATTGAGGGTGGGTTTGCTGCGACATGGTGTCTCATCCAAGTTGTTTGCGACATGCGACATCATCGGTGCTTCTGGAACTACACCACCCCGTCTTTTGTCAGTGGCGTGTTTCACTATCTGAGCCGATGAGCCTAATTGGGATGCTTAATCTTGGCACCCCGCAAAACCATCGGAGTCCTTCTCACTCCGACACCGAGATCCCGGGGCCATCACCCGCAACCCCCACTTCCTGCAGACAGAGCCTCGTTACCTTCCCCACAAACGAATAGAGGTATATAATGATGAGCGCGCGCGAGCAAAATACGAGCAGAGAAAAAACCAGTCAGTGTTCTCAAAAAAAAGACTAAACTCATTGGAAGGAACAAAGCAAACTTATTTATACAAACCAAATGTCTAGCGAATCCATCCATTCTTTGAAAGAAACCGTGACCGACGACCATGGCACCGTTGGAAAAATCCGCACCACTGGCGATGGAGACGAATTTGTCATTCTCGGCAACCAGAAGTTCTACAAACACGAGTTGATGGAGGCCTTTGGTGGTACGTTGAACCCTGGTTTGGCGCCATACCCTGTGCATGAGTTTGCCAACCCATCGCCTCTCGGTTTGTGCGGCTTTGCCATGACTACGTTTGTCTTGTCCATGGTCAACGCTCGTGCCATGGGCATCAACGTGCCCAATATCGTTGTGGGTCTTGCATGCTTCTACGGTGGCTTTGCCCAGTTCGCCGCTGGTATCTGGGAAGGTTTGGTGGGCAACACCTTTGCTCTTTGTGCGTTGACGTCATACGGTAGTTTCTGGTTGGCGTGGGCTGCCATCCAACTCGATGCGTTTGGAATTGCTGCATCTTATAAAGGCACCGAGCAGTTGCACAATGCTGCAGCCTTCTTTTTGTTGGGATGGACGCTCTTCACGTTCATGTTGACCTTGTGCACGCTCAAGTCCACTGCTGGTTTCTGCGGCATGTTCTCGTGCTTGACCTTGACGTTCATTTTGCTCTGTGCGGGCGACTTCACCCAAAAGGTAGGTGTGACCCGTGCAGGTGGTGTTGTTGGTGTGATTACTGCGTTTTTGGCCTTTTACAATGCGTTTGCCGGTGTGGCTACGAAACTGAACTCGTACATCACGGCAAAGGCGTTCCACTTGCCACATTAAATGTGCTGTGTGTCTTTGGCCCAGTCACAGGTGGCGTGGGTCTTGTCTCTAATTGTCTCCCATATTTATCAATGTCAAGATGTGAAGTAAGTACCTTGTTCTGTATGCAGGCGTGCGGCAATCATGCGGCGTTGTAACTTGACTCTGACCGAATGTCGAACGGCTGAATGTAATGTGATGTTAACAACGATACGTTGGATGCAATGGGAATGTCTCCGCCTTGGGTCTTCCTTTTTTTTCCCTTCTTTTAGTCTTGTTCCCATCTACTATTGTTATCTTTGTTCTGTTCTCTATGCGACATGAGTGCGGCGACATGCCAAGCCTCAGACATCAGATGTAGCATCTAGAAGCAGTTGGGTATAAATAGCCACACCATTCCCAATTGACCTTTTTTTCCCACTACAAACTTTTTTCCCATACCAATTCTTCTCTTACCGGTGGAAGCCTCGTATTCCTGCTCATCGGAGTGCACGCTGTTTATTACCCACGTGTGATAGGCATAAGTGCAGGTGCACCTACTCTGATAACTTTCATTGAGGTTTTAAAAAAAAAAAAAGCCAAAGACACTACTTCTTTCCGTACCATGTCCCATAACAAGAGAATTGCATTGCCGGCCCGTGTGGAGCCCAAGGTTTTCTTTGCCAACGAGAGAACGTTCTTGTCGTGGTTGAACTTCACGGTCATTTTGGGCTCCTTGGGTGTTGGTTTGTTGAACTTCGGTGACCAGATTGGCCGTGTCAGCGCAGGCTTGTTCACATTCATTGCCATGTTGACCATGGTGTACGCTTTAGTCACATACCACTGGAGAGCCAAGGCCATTCGTTTGCGTGGTTCTGGACCTTACGACGACCGTTTTGGTCCTACCATGTTGTGCGTTTTCCTCTTGGTGGCCGTGGTGGTCAACTTTGTCTTGAGAATCCGGGCCTAGCTGTCGTTTCTCTTCTACGTGCATATTTGTCGTCCATCTAATAATACATTTCTGTCTAAGTGCTGTAGGCCATTCTAAGTGCTGATGGCCCGTCCTGTCAGTCCTGTCCTGATGTCTGCTGGTCTACCTAAGTGCTGGTCTACCTAAGTGCTGTAGCTGCGCTTGAGGTGCCTGTATCGCCGGAGGAAATAGAGTGCCTCCAATTCTGAGGTTAGTACGGTGTTTTTGGTCGTTCCTGCTTTCACATACCTTTGGTCACATATTCGCCCTTCTGGAGCGCAGACTCCATCTCTGCGGGCGTTTGCGCTGGTGTGTTTCGGAATGCCCGTTTGAGCTGTCTTGAGAACTTTTCGTATCCGCCAGATTGCGCTGGGTATTCTTTGCCCATATATAGGAGATTCTTGAAGAGCAGGCGTACTCGAGGATCCATGATAAGGTGGAAATGGGCTTTGGAGAACCAAGAAAAAATGGAAGAAGTAGATATCGGGGGAGTGAATAGGAAGAAGTGAATAGGATGTTGTAACGATGTGGAGCTGGGTCTGATGACAAGTGAGTGAGATGCAGGGAAAGTGGAGTTGAGAATCTGGTTTCACAAGTGGAGGTGTACGTAAACTTTTTATGTGATCTGGATGTGCTGGTACGTAAAGCAAGTTAAATCAGAACAGCAAGTTTAGTACGATTTCTTCTCTATGGATTTCTGGATAGAGGCGAATCTATGTTGACGTTCTCACTGAGAATCTGGAGACACAAAAGTGACCATTATGCTCCGAAGATTGGTTATTTGATCATTCTTGGATTCGCATTATGTCCAACAGTTGAGAGCATATTAATGAAGGCATACTTATTGCTCTTGAATGGAGACGTGGGCCGTCTGACTTTCTTCAGTGAAATTAGATACTTTAAAGTTCTGTACTGGCACCAGATACACTTAAAGATATTCAAACCAGCTATGCTTTCGGGTTGAAAATTGTTCTCTTTAAGCGAAGTGGACTTAAGGTATCTCGTTACCTGACTGGAACATTCGTGCTCAAGTCAAGGTTTTATCCAAACATAGTTGCGAGTTATAAAGAAGGTAGTTTCGTCAAGAAGGTGGTTTCATCGTTAAGATGTTTACATTGTAAGGAGTTTAAAAATTCACACTCGGAAGATCATTGTGACAGATATAATCATTGGCAATATTCAGGTGATAGTGGGTATGACCGAACGAGGTTCTAGACTATCTCATTAGTAGAAAATAGAAAGAAGCTAGAACTCATGCAGAAAATATCCCTACAATATATTATTTACCGTCAAAGTGTGAGTACTATGCCATTCTCAAAGAAGTGTCTCAGCCACCAGGTTAGTAGATGTAGATCAATCATCGCGATCACCACTAGATCCATGTTTAGCATCTACACCGCTAGATCCACGTTTAGCATCTACACCACAAAATGACCTTTGGTCACGGTCTAATTTAACAGAATCGAGCTTGACATTCCGTAAATTTCGACTGTTATTTCCATTACCTAAATTGAATTATAGACATACCGTCTCTAGGCATATTTATATTTCTACATACACAACGCGCCGTTTCTTTGATACCACCCACACACTTACAGAGACGTATATTTTCGTTAAGATCCGAGTGCGACATCTACATCATTAGTGACCAATCTGTTACTGTACCTATTGCTACAATTTACATTCCCCATAGCCACAGCACAACGGTATCATTGCCAACATGCCAGCCAGTCCACCTACGCCAGCCGCTGCGTTTTTGGTCCACTTTGATATGCGCCAGGGCTACCGCTTGGTGTGGTCGCGAGGCGACTTGGACCTCTCGGGAATAGAGTACAAGGCGCTTCCCTCAGGCATCCACGCCCACACAGCAACTACAGTCTACTTGACCCACGAAAGCAAGGGCCGTCTCTACTACGGGCTAGCGCGGTTTCGCCAGCTCAACGGCAACAAGTCCGGCGCGACAGATCGCAGTCTAGTGAAGATGTATGCGGTGGGGATTCTCTCGGAGCCCATTTCAGGGCCTCATTGGAAACCGGCCGAGTTTGCGTCGGGCGGCTGGGAGCACGTTCGGTCGCTCGACGTGCTGTTGCAGGCGTTTTTGAAAGACGAGAAGCCGGAGCACATGGAGCAGCTTTGGGCGTCGTTGAAGAAAGATGCCAATGCCGACATTCACAGTGAGAACCTCGACACGAAAACGGCCAAGCGTGACCACGAAACGGCTAAAGACGCCAGTAAAGACCAATCGTCTCTGCTTGGCCTCGATGGCTTAGATACCCTGGCCCATCCGACGGACCATCCGCTCGCGCAGTTGCCTGCGGCTTTATCTCTTGTGGGGCCGTTGATTTTTCCCATTTTCAAACGCAGCTTGTTGCGGCAGTCGGTGCTTGTTTTTGTGGGCGAGGCCGAGAGGGGAAACGAGGCGGCAAAGGATGAAGACAATGAACGAGAAAGAGAAAATGATCGAGAAAGCGAAAATGAAAATGAAGGAGAAGGAGGAAATGAAAGAGAAAGAGGAAATGAAAGAGAAAGCGAAAATGAAAGAGAAAGCGAAAATGAATATGAAAATGAAGGAGAAAGAGCAAATGGAGAAAGCAATGTCACTGACAATGACCAGGAGTCAGGAAGTCGCAGAGACTACGCAAAGGACGGATCGGCCTCTAGCCCTAGTTTTCGTCTAGCCACAACGTCCCATTCTCTCGCTTCCGCTTTGGTCTACCTTATCTCGCTTCTCTCTGTCGTCCCTTCAGATGTCCGCTTTGAGCCCCGGGACGACTCTCACCTTCTCTTCTCGCAACCTTTGTATTCCGTGGGACTCCACGACTTGGACACAGGCCTTTTTGGCCATCACAAGGGCTATGTGGCATGCACGGCCGACGACATTCTCCGTCAGCAACGGCAACTCTACGATCTTGCTGTCGTTTTACCGGCGACGTCTGCAGAGAGTTGCAATGCTTATACGAGCAAGAACGAGCCTGTTCGAGCAACGTTCAACGACTACGCCAAGTTCTGCCGTGTTTTTCGTCAGCTTCCTGAAAAACCAGGTGACGATGTTTCTATTCGTACGGCTACTTCTCAGACGGAACGCCTAGAACCGACATGGTGGCTCCATGATGCAACGCTGCCCATGTCTTGGAGGGAGTATGTGTGGCTGGCTTTTGCCTGGTTTGCCAGCGCAGGAAGCACAAGTCGTGAGGAGACAGACAACATGGCGTGGGAAACCCAACAGGAGACAGACGACCACCAGTACCGCCAGCAGTGGTTTCGCCAGCTAGCACATGTGGTGGGCGGGTTTCATCGGCTCACGAAAAAGTGGTTTTATGTGGTGGAAGAGATTGTGGCCGAAGCGGTGGAGGAACAGGGCGAGGGGGCTACGCTTCGGCTCACACACCAGGATGTGGTGGACATGGAGCTCGATCCCTACGCGGAGCAGGATGTACGTTTCATTGAAGAGTTTGTCCTTCTTTACTGGGGCTCCGTGGTGGACGCGGTGGAAATCGGCATTGGTTTTGAGAACATATGCTGCTAAGTTTTGAGTCTGACCTACGGCTGGTATAAGACGTGGTACAATGTATTAATGGCAACGGACTGGAATTGGACAAGCCAATGTAAGGTGAGGAGTTGGTGTTCTTGATGCGACCCGGTTACTGCGCTTGACGCGATACTAGTAACCAATGAGTATTGTACCTAGTTGTCAATTCTGAGATCCTGAGTGCCTAGCTACTTAGTTGCCTCTGATTTGTGTTACTTGGCTTGCATCCAACCATGTTTCGTTGTACTGTTAATCTTGTACTCGAATGGTTACTCGAATGGTCCGCAGAAGATCAATATCCTCCGTGGCAAGAATACTGCAACTTCCTATTTTGCTCAAAGAAAGTCATTGTGACATTTCTCAATCTGGGGCCGACCAATGTGTCTTGATACCTGACCATACGGGTGCAGGTTGGACTTTTGCACATAATCCTATGCTCTGAAAAGCCAATTTGTACTCTTTTTCCTGGTGACGCAATTTCATTTCTACGCATTTTGCATTTTACGTTTTCCATTACACTTAAGGTTTGTCTGCACATATGGCGCCGTCTTGTCATCTGACTCTGATATTCTGTTCTGTTAGCGTGCATAATCGTCGCGCACCTTGATTTTTCGGATTCCTATCCAAGAATGCGAACCACATACAGACAAAACGCGCAATTGTAAGAAAAGACTGGAAAGACGCCGACCAGCTCTGCCCTGTAGTTCTTCTCGACCGCCTCCTAGACTGTCCGCCATCTAGAGCGGCTCCTAACTGCGTGTCTGCCATTCGAAGGCGTTATTGGTCGCCGGGTAACTGTCGTGCGCGACCCAAAAACTCACCATAGTAGCCACTTGATGTTAGCGTGATCCAACTTGTCCAGCTTTGTTTTAAGCCGTTTGCATCTCGAGAAAAAAAAGCCTTCTCCGGTGCCCTGGTCCTAGTCCCATCTTAATTGCGGTTTCCCCATTTGCCCCGATCTGCCCCGGCAAATTTCCACCGCCACATTTTGGTTTCTCATATCTGAGCCCGTTTACTAGAGACCCGTCGATACTCTTTGGTATTCGTCCGTATCAATCCGATTGTCGGCATTTTCGTCCCAGCGGCCCCAATTGTATCCTGTGATACATCTACCCGCTGCCGATTTTTTTTCATTTTCTGATTTTTTTCTTTTGTTTTGTTTTCTTTAATTCCATCTTTCCGCTTTCTGTGATTGCATTCCCTTGTTTCGGGAGCTTTTTCGAATCCTCTATCGACCTCCTTACTGAAAATGAAGGGCCAAGTTTTCACCCCTGGCAAATCTCCTGCCGCTGCAGGCAACACCTCCTCAAATTCCTCGGCCGCATATCAGCAGGGCCACCGGCGCTCCAATTCTAGGCACAACACCCACCACCGCGAATCGCCAACGTCTGGTTCCCTGACCGGTGTGGGATCTGCGCAATTGGTGGACTTGGTTGCAAAATCGTGCGGCAAAACTGTTGTCGCCACCGTTTCCTCCGGCGCCCGCTACAAGGGGCTTTTGCTGTCAGTGGACATTCCTCCTTCGGGCAACGGAATGTCTGTTTCTCTCGTGGGCCCGCGGTTGGTGACACGGGCATTGCTTGATGAGAAGAGCAACAGCGACAGCGACTTGCCGGAAACGCTTCTTATCCAGGCCAAGGACTTGATTGATGTCGAGATCGTCCTTTCTCGACACGGAGACGACCAGGCGAAGAATGGCGGCGACCAAAATAAGACCGCCAGTGGCGAGAAAAAGTCAAAGCAGACCCCGCCGCCAGTGGCTGAGCCCGCTGTTCCTACTCCTCAATCACGCTTTAAGACTGACAGTGACATTTCCTCGGGATTCCATTTCCGTGAGAGAGAATTGCAGAAATGGGTTCCAGATGACAACTCAAAGGCCCTCTCCTTGGAAGACGACTCGGCTCCCTGGGACCAGTTCAAAGTCAACGAAGAGAAGTTTGGTGTCGAGTCCTCCTACGACGAGCACTTGTACACCACCAAGATCGACACTCTGGCCCACGACTATGCGCAGCGTTTAGAGCGGGCAGAAAAATTGGCTCGCGAGATTGAGGGCAATGCCAGTGGCGATCGTCATGTTTTGGAAGAGCGTGGTCTTGCCGTTGATGATTCTGGGTTGGATGAAGAAGACAAGTACTCTGGAGTGCACAACGCAGTAGACACTAGAGGACAGGAGCTTATGGCTGCGCTCCGCATTGGAAACGGCCTGAAGCCGCAATTGCCACCCTCTCATGAACAACCCATTGTCACTCACGCCGCCAAGGACGCGCCAGCAAAGCAAACAAAGCCAGAAGAAAAACCAGCACCGGAAAAACCAGCGCAGACAGGAAAGCCTGTGCATTCAGAAGCTGGGTCTTCGAGCGAAACGTCCAAATCGTCGGAAAACGGCGGATTCCGCTCGGCTCAAAGTGAGTTCAATGCGTTGCGTGAATTCAGTGCCAACTTCAAGGTGCCGCACAAGTTGCCCAACGATCTTCTCCCCATCTTAGCGAAAGACAAGGAGAAACAGGAAGAGATCTTGAAGCAGCAGAAGGCCAAGGAAAAGAAGGACTTGAAGCCGTTCAAGCTCAATCCAAAGGCAGCCTCGTTCACGCCTAACAAAGCGACGTCGCCCGTTCCTCCAAAGGCTAGCTTCAAGTCTCCAGGCACTGCTTCCCCACGCATGAACACACTGCGGCCCTACGGCCCCGGTTCGTCAGGCTCGGCTACTACCAAGCGCCACCACCAGATCAGCGCAGCAGACTTTTTCGGCGGAGCTGATAAAGTGCCTACTGCCGAGGGTCAAAAGGAGAAGATCTCCCGCATGCGCCAATCGTTCCTGTTGTTCACGCACGCCAAACAGCAAGCTCAAAAGACAGAAGAGAATGCCGGCAAGGAGACTGTCAAGGGCCCTGTGTTGCAGAAGCCGTTCTACACCCCGCCTACATGGGACTCCACGGTGGACGAAACGTACGAGGAACTTCTTGCCTCGCAGACGCTGAAGAGCAACCGTGCTCCGATGATGGCGCCTGTGCCAGGCATGCCGTACCTTGGCAATCCGCTCATGATGCCTGCTGGTGGACCACAGTTGGCCGCAGGCGGCTTCCCGGGCCCTGCGGTGGCATCCAAATACCCGGTGTCGCCTCAGATGCAGAGCCCTGCCACCATGGCCGCTCAGTTTCAGCAGCAGCAGCAATTGCAGGCGATGCTCTATCAGCAGTTCCAAGGTGGTGGGCCTCCGGGCCAGCCACACCTTATGTATGCGCCGCCCGACTCTCAGTTTATACCTCCAGGGTTCATGATTCCTGGATTTGCTAATCCAGGCAGCCCCGTCAACGCTGCTGCGGGCTTTACACCAGGACATAACAACTACAACGGGCATCCGCACCATAATAGGCGCTACAATGGGCAAGGGAAGCGTGGCAATCACCATTCGTGAAGTGGGGACGGAAGAAAAAGGAAATACTAATGCAGTATTGTTGAGCGGTATTGTACATCGGAGAGTGAGAGTACGAGATTGAGAGGAGAGAATCCAGACCTTGTAGTGACATTTTTATAGGAGTCTCGTGTGCATTTTAACACCTGCAAGTGGCGATGCCTGATCCGCATTAGCTATAAGGTGTTGGTGTTAAAGTGACACGAGCGATAGTTACCGGCTGGATCCAATAAATACTTTGAAGCATTTTAGGAGTAGTTACGTCAAGTCAAGGAACGAGGTGATGGTGAATTGGTTTAAATGGTGGAATTATCCAGTATTCTGTCTTTTCCCTACTTTTTCCTTGGCCCTACTAGTCAACAAACGTACATTTTATAATTTGAATTGATCATTCATTATGTCGTAGTTTATTTCAGTCAAATTCACGATTTCAATTATAAACATTCGGAAATTCATTTCTCTTGTTATACCGTGGATTCGCATCTATATTATCGGTATGTGCGTATTTATGTCTTATGTCCTAAAAGTGCCAGATCGCTGCGAATTGCAAATATACCCGTACGGAAGAAAAACACCAAATCAAGTATATGATCAATAAAGATCTTTCTGCTTCCAACTTCGATTAATAATGAAGAAAATCTGGTATTCAAGGAAATTTGGTTTCCCGTTCGGCGAATCAATCGGTCTTTCCGTCCATTTCCAGCATACTACTACACGCTCACATGTGCAGGCGCACATTCAACCAACTACACCAACATGAGCGAAGCCGCCTTGTCGAGAATCTCCAATCTCATCAAGGTCGAAGATGATTTGGCGAAAATCGACACGCTCCGGCAACAATTCATCAAAGAACGCAGCTCCATAGATGCCAAGTTGAATGCCACAACGCAACAGCAGATCGAGTCGATCATTTCCAACTTGGAGAAGTTGAATGTTTCTGCGCAGAAACTCACGGAAATAAAGTCCAACATCGACAAGATTGACATTGTGTACTCGGAATCCATCACCCAGGTGAAAGAATATGACACGTTGCGTTCAGTCACTGGCGTGTACCAGCGGATGATGCAAGTGCAGAACTTGTATAACGATACGGCAAACTTCCGAAGCTACTTGGACCATATCCGCAGCATCATCGACTCGGAGTTGGCCTTGGTTAGCGAGGATATCAGCTACCCAGCGGAAAGTCTCCAGCGGATCCACTTCCATGTGACGCAGGCCCGGAACTTTCTGGAGTATTTGGAAACGGAGTCACAACGCCTTTCGGACGACACCCAGTCGCTTGTGAACAAAATCGTCCAGCCGGTGAAGCAGATAGCGCGCCGTTTCGATGAACTATTGAAGGAAGTGATCATCAGTGTGACCGAAGCCGTGAAGGAGGGAAACACAGGACTAGTGGCCAACTTGGTGCAGATCATCGAGTATGAGGCCGCTGAAGACGCAAAAGCAGTATTGGTCAACAGTCTCGATCTCGTTTCCACTCTGCGGGATGTGCTTGACTACTCTAAATTCCGGGCCAAACCTCGTAACTACATGAAATTCTTCTACACCAAGCTTGACGAGAGCATCGCCGAAACTTTCAACAAATGTGTGGACCACTTTTCGCAGGACCAGATGCTCGTGTATGACAATCTCGACTGGCTCGAGGACGAGCTAGTTTTCGTTGTCCATACTTTGGCTCCGCTTTTCCCCGCACTGTGGGCCGTCGGTGATTTCATCCAAGGTTCCTACTACGACTTGTTGCACAAATTCACCATGGGGTTGATCAATACAAACCCTCCGGCGGAAGACTTGATGCGCATCTTGGCTTACGACTCGCACTATAGTACATTTGTGGGATCGCTTCAAGTGGCCACGGGAAAGAATGCCAAGGAGCAGCGGTCCATTTTGGGCGATGAGCTCAAGAGTTCTGTGCTTGATGACTACTTGGGCGTCATTGTGATCAAAATGAACGAGTGGAACGAGAATTTGATGAAGCAAGAGGCAACCGCTTTTGTGGCCAGAACGGAACCTCCAGATGTCTATGCATATACTCAATCCGTGGACGAATTGGATGAATTCGAGCATGTGGTCACTGTGGTGAAAATGAACGATGTATATGTTCTTCCCGATTTCAAGACCTCGTTGAGCATGTTGAAAGAACAGGCTGATGTGGCCGCCGATTCGGGCTACGGGAAAGTTCTTGTCGGGGTGATCGAAAACTGGTCCAAGCGCTACCTTGAGCGTATCCAGATGTTTCAGAGGTTGGTGATTGAGGAATTAGAAAAGTACATGTCTGTTTACAGCAACGAGCGGTCTTTGATCAAGGAGTCCAAAATTAAACGCTTCTTGAAGAAGTCGAACAACAGCCAGCCAGAATTCGATGTGGAAAATATGACCGCAGAGGAACTTGCTCAAATTTCTCTGCCTGGCCTTGTGGAATACTTGACTGCCCTCTGCAATACGTATGAGATAAATCTGGACCGCCTACTCGAAAAGTTCTTACCCAGCTACCTTGCAAAAGTGCACTCGTCATACCAGGAAAGAATTCAGCGGGCTTTTGAAGAAACTATCTCCCCTTCGACAGAATTGAATGCATGTGTGGTTCGTTCGTTGAAAGATATTATTCTCAATGACTTGTATCCAGCATTATCTGTCGTTTTCACGAAACAATGGTACGAAGGAGATAGAACGCAAACATCAGGGGATCCAATCATGGCGGAGTCTATTGTGGAGACATTGGTGGAGTATTTGGAAGACTTACGCAGCTTCGCTTCGTTTGAAATCTTCAGTCTTACTTTTAACATTGTGCTAGATGAGTTTATTTGTGTTTACCTTCAAATTGGCTTTCAAAACATTTTACACGGAGACGGCAAGAAAATTGATCCAAAGGCGACAAAGAAGTCAAAATCTTTCAGTGAGGCTATCAACAGAGACATAAGCATTTTCTACGATGGGTTGGACCCTCTTCTTTCGAGAAAAGATGCAATGACACTTTTGAAAAGCTTGACTGCTTTGGAGATGTTGACGACTTTGGCTACCATGGACGATCCATTTGAAAACATCCCGCAAATGTGGGAGCAGGACATTCTTGAGACATACTATGACTGTTCCGTGGAATACGTTCGGGGCGCTCTTCTTTGCCGAAAGGATATCGACAACAAGATGGTGCCGGCTCTTATGGACAAATTGACCGCAATTAAAAAACACTATCACTCTACAGTTGACCCGCCACAGATCCCAGTGGTGACCCTCAACAATTTTGCATTTGCATAGACTCAATAAAAGTATGACGAAACTAGTAGCCTTAGTAATAGCTACATAAAATGTACGAATAGTGAGGCCCTTCGACATGACGATTAATTGTAAGACAAAGCATTTCATAAATGCCAGCACCGGTAATTAAAAGGAACTACAGTTATCGAAATTAACTTCAATTATATCTTCTAATTAGTATGACTAAGCACTCTCATGCCTGAATGACTATTATTCTTCATCAGAAGACGAGTATCCTGCAAGTGCCAGCACTGCAAGAGATGGTTTCCCTGTTGTTTGCGTCTTCGACTCCTTCACTTCGTCTTTCTTTTCGATTATGGCACTTTTCACCTCGTCAACTGGCTTGCGCTTGGGTTTTTTCACTGTAATCACACCAGAAACGCTCGCAGGCATTGGCCGCTTTTCTCGTGTACTAAAAATGACTTTCGCCTTCTCGAGATCTTCGTCATTGTCCTCGATGGCCTTCTCCTTAGCCAAGGCTTGGGAAACTTGGGCATGGACAACGTTTGTCACGTGATCGACACCACCCGATTGCTGGAGTCGAGCCGATTTAGCTTGCAAGTAGGCCAAATGGTCATGTATTTCCTGTTCCCGCTGCTGGTCCGCGAGCTTATCCTCCAAGGACTCCAAAACGTCCTTTTCGCCCTGATCCTTGGCTTGCCAGAACGGGTTGTTTTTCCTTTTCGCCTTTTGTTCCTGGAACCGCTTGTTCTCTGTCTCCTCACGTTCGAGCCTTTCGAAGATCTCATCCTCCGTTTCCAAAGGCTTGATTTTTTCTTGCGGCGCTAGCGACTCATAGTTGCGGACTCCTCCTTCGACAGGCGCAAAGCCAGCCGACTTTGGGTCGGTCCGAAACACAATCCCATTGTTACAGCGCGGGCACTTGATGTGAAAGCGGATGATCTTGATGCCCATGTATTTTTCTGGGGTGATTTCCTTTCGAGCATTGAATTTGCGTCTGGAGGCAATGTACTCGTTGCACTGGAGACATTTCATCGAGAACGGAAGCATCAAACGCACCTTCTCCGCATTGGGATTTGTGTTTTTGCGCTTCTTCGGCACCTGGGACGGATCCCAGTCGGGCGGATAATATTTGTTGATGGCCTTACGTTCGGACATGGCTAAGATGGAAATGTACGCCTGGATGTATGCAGAATGCTCATCGGAGGCTACATGGAGAAGGCGCACTAAAGTGGATCATAGAAGGACGGCATAGGAGGAAGATGAAGAAAGAGGAAAGAAGAGGAAAGAGGAAAGAGGAAGAAGAGGAAGGAGGAAAGAAGAGGAAAGAGGAAAGAAGAGGAAAGAGGAGGGAGAAAAAGGAAGAGGAGGAAAGTCCCATTTCGTTTTGTGTAGCATCTGATCAAGTCTCTTGTCATGGACCTTGAGAAGTAGCAAAACCACTTGCGGCTAAACCACCTACGAGTCTAAATTCCGTAATTCCGTAATTCCGTCCGCGATGCTTGTGACCAACATCGAATATGGAAATGCTGTTTTGCCTGAACTCTTTTGAAGAAATGTGGCCCAAATGTGGCCTAGAAAATTGGCAGACGTGCGAACTTGTCTCTCAAGCCAATAAGTACCATTCACCAATAAGTAGGACTCAGTAGGCAGGAGTCACCAATAAGAGACAGAAACTTTATCGAGGAACACATGTGCTCATGACTCAGAAATGGACTGATCAAAACGCAAAACCGCAATTTACTTCATGCACCCCTGGTGCTTCGCTTAGAAAGTATGCGCAATATGCTTTCCCCTTAAAACCTTGCTCACAAAGACAAAGTCTAAGGTCTCCATCGGAAATAGTACCGTAGAAGTAGTCTAAGGGCCCCTGCCTTGTGTCCCTGCTAAAGGTTAGAAGACATCTCAGCCATATTATAATTGGCACCTACCAAATCAAGACATTTCGATGGCCATTCCCAAACAGAAGGCTCGAAGAGGCAAGAAAAGTACAATACCCGTGCTTATTGCCATGCCGGAATCTCCCGAATAGGAACCCAATTCTAACCAGGTTGCTTCGTCTCAGGGACATATTGGTCCATCGCATTACGAGAACAGGTGCAGTCTACAATAAAAACGCGCAAGTCCTTTTCTTTCCTCTGTGAGTGGCCAGAGCCAACACTGTGCATTAACCCAGGTGGGAGGTACGGGTCTCTCCCAGGCACCATTCTGGCTTTGAAACAGGACCAAAGCATACTGGCCCGCAGGAGGGGACAGGTGTTGCGTGTTCACGCCTGGCGACACTCCTGGCCGGCCCGGTGGCCACGACGCTGGAAAGCGGAGAAGTTTGTTTGCAGTTAGGGTTTTTCGCACGTGATCCGCATCACGCGGTCCTGCGGAAAAGCGGCCACGCTCGAGCACCAAAATGTTCCTTTTCGGTGACGGCGTGCGCCTACAAATACATGTCAGGCAAACTGGCGCAGCACAAGTAGCAGGAAAATTGCCAGCAAAAAGATGACAAAGCAGGAGAGAACTGGCCTCGAGGCCGAGAAAAAAACAAAAAAGCAAAAGCAAAAAACAACAACAAAAAAAAAAACAAGAAACTAAATAAACAAATCGTCCATTGTTGTTTCGCTCCGAACCGCATTCAGTAGTCAGATGAAGAAATAAGAATATGCCGTCCGCAATGTTGTGTGACGTTCGTCTCCGAAGTGCGCGGAGTGGGAAAGTGGAGGCATAAAAAAAATTTTCGGGCACGACGTTAGGCACACAAGCGTGCGGGAATTTTTTTTTCCCTCACCAATGTACAAGCGTGGTGAGGTGTAGTGCCACTTATAAAACCAATCGGCTGGCATGGGATTTTTTTTGGTCCTTGTTTCTTCTTAGTGAATCCGATTTTTCTTTCTTTGATTCCCTGCTATTTTGCAGCTTGTGCTTTATTGCGTGTGCTGTTGGTATCATTGCCTCAGTTCGGACTAGAACTCCAAAGTTGAGCCACGTTAAGGAATACTTAACCACCCCCCCAAAAAAATACAGACTACTAAGCCTGTAACAAGCGCCTGATCCAGCTCTTGTTTTTTATACCTTTTTTTCTGCTTCTTACTGTGTTTGTGACAAGTGCCATCATGGCTTACTAACTGCGCCAAGTCAGTTTGAATCACAGAAACCCCACCCAGAAAGAAGAAAAAAGTTTGCGAGTCATGAGTCTATTCAAGAGAAAGTCGTCTTCGGCTTCTTCGTTGTCGTCTCTTTCGACGCTAGGATCGAGACTGTCGCAAAAAAACCTGTTTTGCAACTTTGACGAGAAAAAGGATTACGTTCGCCGGTGTAATGTCAAGCACGCCTCTTCCGAGAGGAGTACGCCATGCGCTATTTCGTTTTGCTTGGGCAAGAAATACTGAGCGCGGACGAAAATCAAAAATTGCAGTAACGACTGAATGACCAGAGGGAAGGAAAAATAATAGTGCGCCTTGCGCCTTAGCCCCGGTATGTAATATATGTATGTGGAAACACGTCGGTTGGTTTAAACGGAGTAGATTGGGAGGCGAAACAATTACAGAATAGAACAGAAGACAGAAGAAGACAGAACAGACGGACGGCAGAACAGAAGATAGAAAGAACAGGCGAAAGACGGAAGACAGAAAACGACACACAATGCGTCAGTAGGCAAAGATGAGATGTAGTAGAACGTAAAGTAGACAATACTGGGAAGATTGAAGAACCAAACGAATTGAACAAATAGTGGTGGATCAGTATCAGAGAAAGTTACATGTCCAAAACGAACGTATGTTGAGGTGAACATACGAACGTATCGGAACGAAGAATGTTCAAGCGAACGTAGAGTCAAAGTCTCATGGAAGGAAACTGCAACTGAACTGTCGCTAGATCGCTCTTCCAGGTGAGAGAGTACAACCACACTAGGGACGGATCCGGCATGGTCGCTCAATGTAAATACCTGGAGGAATAATGAAGAGAAAATTTTTGTGGATGCTGGTCGCGCCCATATATACTTGTGGTGTACGGGTGTGGTGCTGGGACTACAACTGGTATGGGCCACACAAGCCATAAAAATCTGTCAGGTTGATCGTGAAAAGCATGCTTGTAGGAATACTTATAGTCTTAGGGGGTCATGGAATACGCTAGACAAGTTCTTTGCCTTGGAACGGATGGGTTGGTGGGTTTGTATGCAGGAAAGTATCAGATCGAGGCTGTCCATACACATTGCCCATTTTCGGTTATAGCAATTGTTTTCAGTTACTAGAAATGGTAAAATGTGCTCGTATTGGTACATCGTCTATATTCATGCATTAGCAAATAAATCCTTCCGAGGAAGACTAGAATACATGTTGCGTCATCACAATAAGTCCATAGCCATAGTATTATGGAAGCGAAGTTGCATCATCAGCAGCCAGAATGCTCAATTACGAAAGTAGTCGTCATCCTACCTGAACCTAGACAATAGCTCATCTTACAATGACTCAAAAATCTGGAAAGAAAAACTTAAATGGCCTAACCTTACATGAATTTTTGCACGTTCCTGCTATGATGTTCTAAGGTATCTCCGGGTTCAAACAAATCCAAGCCATGGAACACTAGGACTTGATTAAACTTACTGAGTTCTGTTCCTGTTTGGATCAGCAATAAATACGTATCCAAACAAGTGTCAGATTTGATCAAGCTCAACTGAGATTCCAAGTAGGCTGTATCTGACATTAGTCAAAGCTTGAATAAAATTCGCTCAAAAAGTGTTCTGAAGATTACTATCAATGATTCGTCTGTGTATATGGGCTGGAATCATTGACTGAACGTCAAGACAGTAGAATAATCCTTACATGTATCGCATCATAGAATCATTTACTGATTCCTGAACATTATGCGATTTGCCTGATCGCGAACCATCACAACAACATGTCCAGCTTCGAAAAGCAGAGAGATCAGCTTGTACAGGAGATCACCACTGCGTTGGATGGTGTTGTTCGGAATCTCGATGTCTTGAATAGAACATTGCACGAGTCTGTGGAAGTGGGTAAGGAGTTCAATCACGTGGGCCGTCTTTGGAGCAACTTCTACCATGAAAAGCCGGCGGAACAAGAGAAGCCCAAGGAAGACGCTTAGTCGGCCAAGATATTGGCCCATCCGCCTGAAATATATTTCCTGTGCGAGTCAATAGGAGAAATGGTCAATGGTCGTCTATGGGATTTGTGAATCAGCACATTTGGATGAACTCGGAAGCTATGATGTTGGCTGGTTCTATTAATACCCGAATCGATGTTTTATCTGGTCACTTATTAATGTTAGTTTTAGGTTCATTCATATTTAATTTAATGGGTACTTTTATAATAGGTGGTTTCATACCAATGGCTGGAGTTATAGCTATCGTCGACGATCAACACTTGAGATAGAATTCATCGCAGCTTGTTTCCTACGGACTAATCAAGTATAATCAATGCATCATTTAATACCTCTCATCAATACACCTCCTACCAATACACCTCCTACCAATATCAAGTAGCATCGGGAGAAATTACACGGACAGTAGAGCTTGCATCCATGTGATTGTCAGCCTCTGAGATCATACATTAACGTCATCAAAGGCACCACTAGTAGACATTTCTTCAGTAGAAATAGAACACTATATTAGTAGACATTTTTTCAGCAAAACAAGAGAACGCTCTACAACTTTCATTCTTCTCTTCCCTCTCGATCGACCGCTGCCTCGGCTATCCCATAATGTACAAGCAACCGTCGCTCCCCCAGCGCGCCTGAACTGGAAGTGTGTAGAAACCTTCTTCGTCGGGCGCGAGCGTGTTTTCGCCCACGCGCTCCAAAAACTGCTTCGCCTTGCCCATGTTGTAGCCGCGCGCACAGAGCGTTCCGGGCGACGCGCCGTCGTAGTGCACCAACTTAAGCTCGTCCGACTGAGCCACCGCCCCGAAGCCGCGCACACGTAGATCGGGCCTTTTGCGCACATCAAACACGTCCGAAACCACAATGGGCCCTGCGGCAACAAAGTAGCCCCACTCTTGAACAACACGCGTTCCAAGAGCCAAGCAAGCGGCCCTGGTGTCGAAATACTGCGCCGTGTCCACCGAATGGTGAACATACAAGAGACGCACCAGCGGGAGGGGCCGCGGACCCGCATGGGCCAAGCGAAGCCGCGACAACGAAACACGGCGGTGGAGCGCGCCAAGTTTCTGCACCAACAGCGCGGGCGCCGCCTCTTGCAAAAGCGCGCGCGCCTTAGGGGCAGACATCAGGAGGACGGTCGGGCGCCAGTCCCAACAGTCGCTCGTTGCCTGCGCCAAGAAAAGCTCGCTCTGCGACACGAAAGCCGCCAACGCCTTGACCAACCCATTGACCGTAGACTCGACCGAAGTGGTATCTTGGACAATGGCCACTCTGTCGTTTGCGCCTAGCATCTGCGCCGGCGGCAAATGTTTGATGCAGCTGGCCACGGCCGCGACAAGGTTGCCCTGGGTGAATGCCGTGGAGACTGCGCCGCGCGCCCGCAGTGCTGAGACTCGGAGGGCGATGCCGCGGTCTTTTTCGGGCGCGTAGACGTTTTCGAAACGGTCGGAGGGGCGCGCGTCGCGCAAAAGCTCGCGAACGGCGCCGTTTCTTGCGCCAGAAAACACACACCCGTCGAAGAATACACACCCTCTCTGGTCCAGGCGCTCTTTTTCGATGCCGCCCGAAACGCCCTCTTTTTCTTTTTCTTTTTCTTTTTCTTCTCTTTCTTCTTTTTTCTCCCCTACGTGCACTGTGACGCGCTCCACAAAACACGCCAACACCACCGCCAAAACGAGTGGGTCGGCAACGAAAAGCTCGCGCGGAATACGCAACTCGCTCGCGCCCCGAAGCCTGCGCGCCAACACCGCAACGTGCCCGTTCAACTGGGCGAGCAGAATGGTTTCGCGCCCAACGCAAACACGGCGGTCAGGCCGCTCGCGCAAAACCCGCAACGCAATTTCCCAAACATCACACAAGTTGCCGTTGCGAAGCTTGTACAGTTCATAGCGAAGGTCGAGCCCGACCCGAAGACCGGAGTAGTCGAGTTTGGTCGACTTGTACACGGCCAGCTCTTTTGGGCGGCGCGTAGAGTCCACCACGCTTTGCTGCTCGAGATACTCGGGCGGCACGTCGCGCGTAAGATCAAGATACTTGATGTATCCTAGCAAGGCAAGTGCAAGAAGCCACAACATGAGCCAGGAGGGGATGGGCAGGGATTCTGTTGACCAAAGTATAGAGTTGAAACGAAAGGTGCGCGATGGACCTTTACTAGGCGCGCAAACGATCGTATAGCTTTGCACGTCTCATGACCACCGACGACTCAGGCGCAGCCTGGGTCTGAGCTGTAGAAGCCGCCTGTAATTGATCGCTCGCCGGGCGAAGCCTGGTGTTGGATCGCCTGAATTGGCGCCTGTAATTGTATTTGCATCGCCTGAATATTGTATTTTTTCCCTTCTGTTCGCCCGAATCCTTTGTCTTTCCTCCTCTCGCCTGAATGACCAACTTGTATTTTTGCATCTTTCGCCTGGATTGACGCCTTGTATTTGCACTCTCGCCTGAATTTTGCATTAGTTTGCAATGGGAACCATTTGGATACCATGTTCCGTATTCCAGATGTCATATTCCGGATCCCAATCGACGTGAAGGCGCTTTCTTATTGAAACGTGAGTTTACTGATTTTCATTTTATACACATCTTCCGGTGCTGGTAAGTCTCATATGAGGATGTATTAAATGAAATCTTCCACAAGTGAAGAAGCAGACATTTTCCGGTAATTGTAAATTGGCCCATAGATTCATCGCTTTTTATGGAATTCCTAATAGCATTGATGTTCAAGGGCTAGTTACTTATAGTATGGTCATACGTCCACTTGACTTGGGCTTTGGATGAAGTCTGGTGGCTCTGGAAGACAAGAATTTACCTTTCTGTGCATCCTGAATGCTCTCATACCTACTCGAACAAAGATCTGTTCAGCTGTATCTGCATCATTGTAAAAGGTTTAGTGTATATTATTGGAGCAAGACTCCTTCTCCTTCCAAGCATCATCGGAGTGGCCTGCTGACAGAAAGAATGTAAAAGAGTTTCAATGCTTTGTAGGCTATGAACAAACAATTAGTTTCAGCATGGATTTAAATAGCAAAGAAAGGAGTAAACGAGTCGATGCACTATAAGTTGGAAGAATCGGTAGATCAAAACTTATCAAGAGGTATTTACAGAACCTAAAGGACCGAATGATTACTTGAAAACTTCTGATTAGAACGCTTCGACTTTCAATGAACTGCGAGTCTCTTGATAAGTGGCCAAAGCAGTAACTAAGAAAAGTTCTAGCAACACTTGACTACGATTTGACTCTTACCGCATGTGCACTTTGTCGATCGTATTGTTCTGTAAAATGCATCTGTGAAATTCTTCCGTGAAATTCTTCTGTGAAATTCTTCTGAAATTCTTCCGTGAAATTCTTCTGAAATTCTTCTGTATTCTTTTGTTCATGTTTGATTTGAATCTTACTTGCCTAAACTGTCCACGTATATCTGCGCGACGCTAATCGCCTGTCCGATTAGACTCCTGCACCAGACCAAAGACCACTTTACAAAGCTAACGCCAAATGTCCCTCCACACCTCCCAAATCTTCAAACCTACCAAATCTGCCATAAATCCACCTCAAATCTCAGCATCAGCACCCAAGATCAACAAAAAAGCCCTTCCTTCGTCCCGTCTCTTAACCTCTCTTTCCTCAGTCGTGCGCGCCCAAGTGCTCTATTAGTCGCACATCTAAGAGTCGCACCTCACCAGTCTCAGTCTCTTCTTCATGCCCAAGCTCCGTCCGTCGCACAAGCTCCTTGCCCTTTTGGCAGCGCTCTGGCTCGTGTTGTTCACCTACCACGAACACATTGTGCCGCGCACGACGGCCGCCCGGTGCCAGTGGGCGCCTGTGGAACCGGCACAAACAAATGTTCTTCTTGTGGCCGACCCACAACTTATCGACAACCACACGTACGTGGGGCGGAACGAGCTTCTCCTCGGCTTGTCCAAGCACACCGTGGACGTGTACATCAAGCAGAACTACCGAGCGCTCGTGGAGCAGCTCAAGCCGGACCGGATTTTCTTTTTGGGCGACTATCTCGACAATGGGCGGCTGCTGCTGGATGTTTACTACGAGCGCGAGTTTGCGCGGTTTGAGGCCATTTTCGCGCGCTGGCCCCAGTACAAGCGCGGCCACACGTGGTTCACGGACGTGCCGGGCAACCACGACGTTGGCTTTGGCGACGGCGTGCGCGCCGAGGCCCAGGCGCGTTTTGCAGCCCACTTTGGCTCGCCCAACGCCGTGCACTTGGTCAACGGCGTGCAGTTTGTGCTGCTCGACACCCCGAGCTACTCGCTGCAGTCGGGCGAAGTGCGCCGCGCGCTGCACGACCTTGTGTCGCTGCTCATGGACACAAAAACAGACCACCCGCGCGTTTTGCTCTCGCACGTGCCGCTCTACCGCGACACAGAGGCGCTCCCGTGCGGCCCGCTCCGCGAAAGCGCGCGCTTCGACCAGGGCCGCGGCTACCAGTACCAGCTGGCGTTGGACCCGTTGGTGCTGGCAGAGCTTTTGGGGAAGTTGAAGCCACAGCTTGTTTTCCTGGGCGACGACCACGACTACTGCGACGTGCAGCACGTGGGGCTGGCCCGCGAGGTCACCGTCAAGTCCATCTCCATGGCCATGGGCATTCGCTATCCCGCCGTGCAGCTCTTGTCCTACGTGGCCCACGGCTCAGACCTCAGCTACGACACCCACATGTGCTATCTCCCACCGCCATACCGTGACATTGTCGCCTACGTCACCATGGCCGTGGCCTCGGCCGTGACACTAGCGGTGTGGCTGGCGATCCAGCGCAAACCCCACCGCAGCCGCGACGCTCTGGACACGGCGCAGAAGGTGTCGGCGTTTTTGGAAGGCGCCGAAACCGGCGAACCCGTTCCTCAGTATACGGTGACGGTGCCACGTTGGGCGCAAATGTGGTACGGCTTATGCTCTTTTTGCCGCCGCTGGCACGTCGGAGCGTTTTTCCGGCACGCTGCAATCCTTGGTGCAGCTGCTGTGGCAATGTACTTGGTGCTGGTGTGGTTGGTGTGAAGCACCATCCTGCAGAGACAGCGTTGAAGCAACGTTTGTGTTTCGCATCTACCTTTGGTGTGCGCAATGGGAAAATGCAGGAAAGATAAGATAAGGCTGTTCCAAGTCGGAAAGGGCCATAAATGAAAGCGGCAGAAAAAATGTGAAACGATGATAGACGATGAAATACACAAGGAATTGAGTACGCTTCATGGAAGAGCCACGGATGTCTCGATGGAAAATATATCAGCTGCGCTTTGTTGCAACCGTTGTCCGTTTTTGGCTGTCTGAGACAAACACCTGCCCCTGACACAGGAACCACAAGATTAGACAGGAACTCTACATACTGAGGCAGGAGACAACTAAAACTCGCATACGAAGCCGCAGGAACCCCCAGCTCATCCCATGCACTCCTGTCAGCACCATATAAGACCTATGCCTCAGCCTACTTTGTACCCCACGCCATGGGATGTTCTGCCAGTACACTAGCCGAAGACTCGCAGGCGTATAGCAAGCAGCGCATGATGTCAGAGGCCATTGACCGCCTGCTTTTGCTCAGTCTGGAAGCAGAACATAAGCAAACACGGATGTTCCTTTTGGGTGCTGGAGAAAGCGGCAAGTCAACAGTGCTCAAGCAGATGAGACTTTTGCACAAGAACACCTTCTCTGATTTTGAGCGCCGCCAGTATGCCGAAGTCATCTGGCTAGGCTTGGTGGAGGCCATGAAAACTCTTCTTCTCAATGCGCGCAAGTTCCACATTCCGCTTGCGTGCGATCAGCCTGGGTCACCACTCGAGCCTCACAAACGAGTGATTTGGCGTACGCGTAACGCAGCAACTGATCACGATCCTCTGGTTGGCGACTTTGATTTTGGCCTGCGAGCTCCTCCACAGACGTATGACACCGCGCACTTGCTCAGCGATTCGTGGCGCGACGATGCGTTTGACATGTCGTCTCTGGGAGCTCTTCAGGGACTCCAGGGCGGCTCGCAAAGGCCGCTGGCGCTGGGCACGCCGCCATCGCGTGACCAGATTGCACGGGCGGTAGAGGCATTGTGGGCGCAAGACCCGGGAGTGAGGAGGTCGCTCGCTCAATCACATCGTTTCCAGATGGAGCTGCTGGCTGCTTACTATTTTGATAATGTTCACAAGTTTAAGGATACAACATATCGTTGTTCAGACGAAGACATTCTCCGGGGGCGTATCAAGACCACGGGGATCACGGAAAACTCTTTTCTTATACGCAACGGCGTGCTCAAGGTGCTTGATGCTGGTGGACAACGCTCAGAGCGTAAAAAATGGATCCACTGCTTTCAAGACATTGATGTGGTGTTGTTTGTGTTGGCTGTTCTGGAATACGATCAGACGCTTTATGAGGACACGCGTGTTAATCGCATGCACGAGTCGTTTGCGCTTTTTGAAGCGTTATGCAATTCCCGCTGGTTTCACAAGACGCCGTTTATTTTGTTCTTGAACAAAGTTGATCTTTTGGAAGAGAAGCTCCCGCGACTGCCCATCACGAACTACTTCCCTGATTACGACCGTGATCCAAATAGTGTGGGGGATGTTCTCGATTACATGGAAGCGGCATTGTTACGTTTAAACAAGAGCAAGAAGCCGGTCTATGTCCACCGCACATGTGCCACCGATACGGCTGGAATGAGTTTCGTGCTCAGCGCGGTCACAGACATGATCATCCAGCAGAATTTGAAAGAGAGCGGCATTATGTGATCACTTGTACAACCATACAGTTTATTAGACTGCAATTTCAGACATGGCCGTTTTTCATTTCTGTAACTCCAAATGACAGTAAGCATACATCAATTACACAGCTGCATTATTTCAAAAATGTAACAACATCTACACTGTATCATTTGTCTTCACTTTCATTTCCAAACTCTTGTACTTTCGATTAACGTCTGGGTCACCTATACTGGATCTACATTTGCACTTGGCTAAATCATTCTTTTATTTAATTGTATTGTATTCTGTCCTAGCACTAGCGTGAATAGATTTCCACTGACATCGTTGGATCTTCAGAAGGATGAAGACAGTTGCCAAGTCTGTACAAAGGTACGTGTATTGTATATTGATGCAATTGGAGACGTGCTCACCATCTCAACATGGCCATGTCGTTTCTCGATCTGTTGTAGTCCAACAAGCCCTCGATGGAGCCAGTGCCGGCAATCACAATGTCCTTGTCCCACAAGGCCACGTTGGCCCAGGCCTTGACGTCGGAAGTCGACACAGCGTCTACAGCATCCAAAGCTTGGCTGATGGATGCTCTGTAGCCGGTCAACAACACCTTAGAGGCAATGTCGTTGACAATGGCCACTGGAGAGTCCAAAGCAGCCAACAAGGAGGTCTTGACAGCAGCCTTGGCACGAGCAACCTCGGCGTCGGTCACAGACACAGACAAACGGTTCCACTCCTTCAAAGTGAAGTGCACAAAGTCGTCAATCTGCTCAAGGTTGGAGATCTCGGCGTTGAAACCCCACAAACCGGTGTCGGAGTAAGAGGTGGAGAAGTGCGAGTACTTGTCGACAATGTGGTAGTCCTGGACGATGGAGGCCAACTTTGGCGACGTGTACTTGGCAGTAGCGGCGTTGTGGTCAAACAGACCAAACACGGCGGCTGCAACCTTGGCCACGTAGTAAGCAGGCGAAGACACAGCCTCACCTTGTGCAGCAATGGCCACGTACGCCTTTGGGTTGGTGTCGTCGCGCATTCTGACCTCGGAACCCAAGAAGGCGGCTGGTTGAGCCACAGGCTTGAGGCCCTGGGCCACCTTCAACTCCTTCTCCAAAGCGTCAACCAAAGCATCGTGGTCAAAGTTACCGGAGGCGGCAACAACGGTGTTGGAGGCCACCACCTGCTTTTCCAAGAAGCGCTGGGCGTCTTGCAACTCCAAGTCGGCGATGGACTCGGGCGTACCGAACAAGGGCAAGCCCAAAGAGTAGCCCTGGAACGCAGACGCATTCAAGTGCTCCAAGACCATGCGCGAAGGCGAGGCCTCCAAGGCACGGGCCTTGACGATCTGGGCGTTTTTGGCAGCGGCAAAGTCTGCCTTTTCAAGCTTGGCGCTGCTGTTGCTCACAGCCTTAGCCACGGCAGCGGCAGCGGCAGCCACGTCGCCGTTGGTGGATTGCGCAATGACACCAGAGGTTTCTCTGGCAGCGTGCGACGAAAGAAGCGCGCCGTTGTCAAGCCCCTGGCCCAAAACGGCAGTGGACAAGGCGGCTACACCATTGTTGTAGGGGTTTTCGGCGCGAGAACCGGCACCAAAGAAAACACCCACGGCGGCGGAAGGAGCGTGGGGGTTGATTTCAGAGGCCACAGTGACGCCATTGGACAAAGTTGTGAACTTTGTGGCGGCGTTGGCAGTGCTGACAAAACGGCGGAATCCACGAAGCATGGGAAGAAGAGTGGTAGTGGGAAGAGAGATTGAAAAAACGCTGGCCAATGAACGGCGCGCGAATTGGGTGGTGTCTATGCAGGACCAGTGAGCCACGAACTGGAGCTGGAGCACTTTTGGAGACAGTTGTAGAGCGGCAAAATGGAAGCGATGGTTCTGTTGGTATTGTTTACGTGCGACGGTGTGTTTGTTTTGGTCCGGGATCTTTTCGTCGGCCGGATATGGTTGTTTGCGTGGAGCGGTGGTGTCTGGGTGTTTTGACGAGAAGTTAGTGCGAAAGAACAAATGAGGTGAGTAGTGGTAGGTAGTGGAGAATCTTTTAGCTAGTCTAGCTGCTCTCGATTTTCCAATCTCAATTTTCCAACCTCAATTTTGCAATGGCTCGGTTTGCTTTTTGTATTTCCTTTTTTCTCTTTCATCTTGTCTATTTTATCGATTTGCCTTTTCGATTTGTATATTGCCTATTAATAGCTGATGATGGTAATATTGTAGGGACAATGCGAATGAGACACCAAACGTATTAGCCAACTAAATTAATTATGGACCTGTTTTTATTTTTTTTTATTTTTTTTTTTTTTTTCGTTTTCTTTTCTTTCTTTTTTGCTGGATTTCAATTTTTCTCTCAGTGTTATGAGGTCTTCTTTCTGATGGAAGAGACGGGTTCATAATAAGAGATACATACACAGCTTCTGTGGTATTGGAAGGCTCCCATCTCGAAAACACTGCGTGGTCGGATGTCAATTAGCCTTTAAATTAATAGAATAATCAGGAACCAAGCACGATGGATTGGTTCCTGACTGTATGTATTAGAGCGAACTTACTACAGATATAACCATCAAAATCATTGATACTGTAGCTATTGAAAATGTGCCCAACTTTCAATCAGGTTTGCCCAACGTCCGATTATACTTCCTCAATCCAGTCCTTGGCTGATTCTTTCTGATGTCTAGTCATCCAATATGCAATTCTCATCAACATTGAATTTACAAGATATGTTTCAAATCTCCACACAGTCATTTCCAAGACATGGTCAAATCTCCACGAAGTCAATAGTCAAGAGATCAAAAGATCAACCCTATCTAAAAAAGAGACTCAGACCATATTTCAGTCTAGTTGTTTCTACTTCTCCTTAAACATTCATTGTATTTGAATTTTTTTAACCTTATAAATTCATGGCACTGCGGCATCTTTCTGCATGCGATTTGCACCCAAACTAGGAACCCCAAAGTACGCCTTGGCTTCTGCGAAAGTCTTGGCCCAGATATCCGTGGGGTCTCGTAGTGGTTTCAGTGTAGTTGCCATTTCTTGGGTTTTTGTTTCTGCCTGTAACTCTCTGGCAGGAAAGACATCAGGCTCGATGGTAGCTGGAGTATCCAACCAGGCGGAGAAAAAGTTGTCACCAAGAATGTCTGTTTGATCCGACGTTTCACATTGTTTCATTAAAGAGCTTTCAATTCCAACCGCTGGCAGGAAATCAGACAAAAGAGGCAGAATATCGGACTGGGGCAGAAGATCCAGCAGAATGAAATCTCCCAGAACAAGTTCAGGAACTAGCACCAGATACGCAACGTCAGAAAGAACATTCTCTTCCGCTGGGTTGTCGAAAAACGCAAAAACGTCTCCATCATCAGTGGTCTCAGAAATATCAGATTTGTGAGAAGTGCAATCCTCGTCCATGTCTATGCCACAAAGATGTTCGTCGCCATAGTACAAGTCGATGACGCTTTCCAAATCCGACAGCGTCTTGTGAAGCCTGAGAAAACGACCAATCTTCTCCCGATGGTATCCGCGATGTGTCCGGAGCGAGAGAAGTTTCTGGTTTCTGAGCTTGGTGTGGATTACACGAGGGTTTTTCAGCTGGTGATAGTAGCGCTGGCGCAAATCCACCATCATGTAATCCCAGTTGTAACGCATCTGCTTGAGCGCATGTTCTACAGAAGGAAGATACATGAAGAAGAGTGGATAATCTTACAAAAGGCGCGAGAAGCGCACAAAAAGCACCCGAACCAAAGCGATTGAAGAAGCCTATGTACAAAAGAAGCCAATCACAATTGGATGTACGCTCTGTGGGCAATAGCGTTTTTGTGCAACTGGGTTTTCTTGTCATATCCTGACGACTTGCCCTCCCACGCCGAAACGATTTCCTCGGCCAAACGAACAGAAAAGTCTGGCGACTTTTTCTTCTTCGATCCTTCCAAAATCCACAAGATGGCGTACCGGTTGCGCTGTCTCCTGTCCAAGGGGAAAGGCACGGTTTTGCTCTTTGCCGTGCCCGTTTTCTGCACCTTTGTGTGGAACAATGGGCCCAATCTGTCCAAGGTCTCGTATAAGAGCTTCACCGGGTCCTGTCTGGTTTTCAAGTACACAATGTACAACGCTTTGGAAAGCTGGTTGCGGGCACGGGTTTTCTTGCCGTCCCGCATGATCAAGTTGGTGAAGTTGTCAATGACCGGGTCGCTGGGCAACGGAACCGCCTTGTTGGCGTATTTTTCGACTTGCGCCAACTGCTCTTCGGAGGGCACAAATTTTTCCTCCAAAAATGGCTCAGGGTCCGCAAGCTGGCTGAGATACACCTCTGCAGGGGTCTCGGGGGCCTTTTTCCCTTCCTTCAATGTCTGCACCGCATTCAACCATTCGTCCACGTCGGCTTCGGTGATGGTTTCTTTTTCTAGCGGGAAAACTTCGGCGGTGACGCTGATCGGAGTAGTAGACTTGAACCGGTAGAAGGGCACTTGGGCCACACGGGGCACTGTCCTTGGGAACCGGATTTGCCTTGCCGCTGCTCTGATGAAAGACATGGGATCAGATAGGTGGTTAAAGCTGAAGAATTTTTTTTAGACCAGTGGTGCACGGGTGCATATACCACTGGACTTTGGGCCACCATAATTCTATAGGTTGTTGGAACCGCAAAGAGACATGGTATATGTATTGGGGGTCTCTTTCGTTTGGTTTTCCCAACTTTTTATTGTGGAGTTGTTTTTGTGCCCACGGCTTCCTGTTCAATTCGCACCCATACTGATTACTGAAGAGTAAGGAAGCAAATAGTAAACGGCAGAAGAACGGACGATGTACAGCTTCTGTTTGTGTCAGGATGTTTGTGTCAGGATGTTTGTGTCAGGCTGTTTGTGTCAAAGGCCGTCTAATCAGATACTGACTGGACTTCTTGCAGTTCCTAGTGAACTTTGTAGCACGATTCTGAGACATACGACAGACTACAAATTGGCTGATATCTTCACCATTGAGCAAATTGTTACAAAAATGCCGTTCTCCCGCCATGCCACAACATTTCACGTCGCCTGACGAAAGATGCAACTAATCAGACCCGTCTACTCCTCTGTTCTACTACTGTGCGCGTTTAGGAATCTCATCAACCTTCTATAGTATAACAATGCTACAAGTACCTCCGGTTTCGGACAAGCTCCAGAATGCACTACAGAGGGTGTTGGACAACAAAATCCTCAACGACGACGCCTTTTGGTGCGCAGATATTCTTCCGGCGCTCTTGGACCGCCTCCATGAAATTAAGCTTCTGGTTGCATCCAAAGACATGCATCCCGAATGTCTCGAAGCACATATCGTGGCCGTGGCAGACGAAATCCAATCCCGTCTTCAAACAGAGTTTCTGGATGGAGCGCCGTTCACAATTCTACGGATCGCCGAGTTGGTTCTACGCTACGATGACAATGGCTACTCGCTTTCAACGGCCCAGCACATGAAAAAGTACATAGACGCACTCAAGAAGACGGTGTTTGTGCTGTCCAAGGAGACAGATTATCCACTCCTGCCCGGCGAAACTTCGAGGCCCCAAACACCCAGCACGCTTTTTCTGGCCACGCCACTGGACTATGACCATCATAATCTTCCCACCAATGTTCTCTTTGTGCCAATCCCATGGGCCGAGACACTGAATCAAATGAAAGACAAACATGTCGAGGAGCTGGAGAAGGATGAAGTACTCGAGGAACCGAATAATGAACCAGATGAAAAGATAGAGTCTTCAGATAATCAGCATGTGCCCACGTCCGACAGCCCGAATGGAGATCTGAACGGACATGGAACCTCAACGCAACAGCGCACCCCAGATCCTGACAGCGTGAATGAGGCGAAAACTCCGGAAGCAAAAGTAAGGCGCTCCCCAAGACCGTCAAAGAAACAAAAAGTCACCTAATCCTACTCAGAGAGATGTATTGTGTTGAACAACTATCTGGATTTCAACTCTTACGAATTGATCTTCCCTTTCAGATGATGTCAAAGATGCATATCCAGATAATCTTTAATTGCTCGACGCATCTCCATTCAAATCCACCACTGCATGACTAACGATCAAGAGTTAACGAAGGAGAAATACATGTGCTATCCGTTGAGTTTGCCTCGCCGTATTCCGCTGCTTCTGCTCCATGTTCCTCTGTCGCTCTGCTATGTTGCATTAATCTGTACTCTGATGGCTCCATACATCCACTGGCTCCTACTATTCTCGACGCCAGAGTCTTCAATGTCTTGCATTAACTATGGCAAAGCCGAAACCTATTCACGACCTGCATCTGTTTTATACTCAAGTCCTATGGCGACGCTGATCTCAGCCGTGCCCGGTTGTATCCCCGCAGGTATCTTCCCCTCTGGTTGTGATCACGGTCGTCTGGTTCTCTCCGCACTCTTTTTCTCCGTTCGGATGGATGCACCGGCTTGAAGTCGCCTTCCACCAAAAGATGGTCCGCCTCCACATCTCCGTGCTCGCCCTTTCTTCTGTAGGCGACAAGCCACTTCCCGTTGCGGGGCCCGTGGTCCTCCTCAAAGATCCATTGGTTGATCTGCGACACCTGGATGAAATCAACAAACAACTCGTGCTGCGGGATAGACGAAAGATCCAACCTTGAAGGCTCTGCGGCAGCCTGTCCTGTCCTTTTCGCTTCCTCGTATTGCTCTGTTTCAATGCTGAGCAACTGGTCTGCAAGTGCTTCTCGCTCTTCGGGTGGAGGATACAACGACCCGTTCATCTGGTCACGCAATGCCGTAGCGGCTTCAACACTGCTGACTAGAACTACCGCGTGGCTTCTTGTTCGGTTCATCCACGCGCGTTCTATGCTCGCCGACCGCTCTTGGGCTAGACGCCGAAGATGCGCCTGGAAGGTGATGGCGTTGACGGGCCGGCGCAAGTTACCAAAGAAAAGCGCCCGTGTCGGATGGTGCTTTGGGCGCAGCTCCACGCGGTAAAGCACTTGTTCCTGCGGCAGCGGCGTCGCAGGCACAAGAAGCCCGTTGCGGTCTATTGCCTTTTCCTTGTCCAGCTTGGTCCTGTCCCTTTTCCTGGGCTCGGGCGGCGGCGGTGGCGGCAACAGCGCAGGCTGTTCTTCCATTTCGTAGTCCAAATCGACAGGCAGATCCATTTGAACGTTCTTCAAGATGATGTGCTAGCCAACAAATATGCTTGAACTATTGTAATCGCCTGACTTGAAAGTGAAAAGCTAGCGACGGCCCTTGAAGGTGATATCCAACTAGAGGCTAACAAATATACAATTATAGACTGCAATGGACTAAAATATCCCAGCACGATTGACTATAGTGTATGTTAAGCACAGTTGTATTGACTCGGCTTTGTTCGTTTCGCATTCGTGTTTATGTGGGGCACAAGTCTCTGTACCGGAAAACTAATGGGCCGACCTACAGCTATTGGACAAGAAGTGATGGCTACGATTAGACTCTATTTATGTACTGGAGGAAAGTCTAACTATGTCTGCTGTGCCTTCTTTTTGTCTTTCTCTGTGCCTTCTTTCGTCTGCACTCTTCGTTTCTGCTCTCGTTGCCTTGTTCTGCCTCGTTCCCTTGCTTCCTCGTTTCCTTGCTTCTGCCTCGTTTCCTTGCTTCTGCCTCATTTCTAGCATCTCTAATATCGTTCGCTTAGACATCTAGGCGCCCCATACGCGACTCACCAAGTCGAAAAGTCCGTTCTCCGTCGTCTCAAGAACATAGATTCCGTACATGGCCACAAACGAGCCCAAAGACAACAACCGCGATGCCGCAAGGTGCCAGAAACCATAGACCCGCTCGGGAATATAGTCAATGATGCACGACTTGAAGCCTGAGTGGGCGTGGAAAAGCAAAGTCAAGCAAAACGCCGTGTCCACTAAGGGATAGTCACAGCCAGCGCCATACTGGAAAACCGAAAGCGGCAAAAGAGACATGGCAAGAATTCTCTCGTATGTCCAGTGGTAGCTTCCTTCGTAGTGGCTAACCAATGGGATTTTATACGCATCGTTGACTGTTCCCACTATGTGACCTGGAGGCTGCTCGATTTTTTTGAATTTGGAAAAATTGGGTTTGAGCAGCAATGGCCTGGCTAATTGCAATGCAAAAGACGGCCGGAGTCCAAGCAGACGAGCTCCTATTATGGGTCTGGTAAGCATCGTTAGAGTATCACTTTTTTTCTTGTGCCTGTATGTGAAAGATGAGAATGGTAGCGATAATGAGAGTGTACAGAAGTTGGCGACAAATTAATGGATAGCATATAATGATGAAATACTTTGTATAAATGAGTCTATCTATAGAAGCGTACGGGTACACAGAAATGTATCGTAGAAGTTTCATTTGACTCGTATCTTTGAAGGTTATTCTTTTTCTTACTGTTCACTGGTGTTGAAATATTCTCAACGTTAGAGCACCTGCTTTCCTAAATCTCCGTCACTCATGTAAAGCAGCTAGTTTAAGTCAGCGCAATAGAGTTTAGTAATAGCTTGGCCTCATTCGGCAAAAGTAAAAATTAAAAGCAAAAAAGAAAGAACCCACGCCGGGACTCGAACCCGGAATCTTTTGATTAGAAGTCAAATGCGCTAACCATTACGCCACGCAGGCGGTTCTATATCTCCTTAAAACTGCTGGTTTAACATATTGTCTCATGATTTTAGAACTAGCAGTATGTAAACAAAAACTATGCACACGTTTACATCGTACGTGACTTATGTTGTGGGACCAATATCAGCTCTCGCTTAGATTTGTGCCTTTCAGAATTTCAATGTGGCACTCCGCTCACGTGAAAATGACTGATTCTTCGTAATTCGCGCGGTCGCAGCACTTGCCTTATCCGGCTTATCAGAACCAAGAGAAAACATACTAGGAACCCCACACTTCAGATGCATATAAAGCGAAAGAGAGCACAGGCCTCAACTCAATTCGTAAAAACCAACTTTGTTCCCTTTCCGAAAAATTTTCCCACCTTCTTTTCTGTTGATTGCAAACTGTGGCGATCTTCTGCAATATTAGCTCGAGCCGCATTTCCGCGATTTGGACCCGCATTTTAGTATAAGTATTCATGATACGCCGTTTTTTCCGTTCCAGCCCCAGAACACCGTCTTTTTTCTGCAAAATGTCCACCAACGCACACGACCCTGCGTCCTTGCACAATCCTTACTTCCAGCAAAACCCCACGCAAAAAGATGTGTGGTCTTTGATCAATGAAACCGCAGCCACGGCGCAAGAAGAGTTGGGGAAGCCTGTGACTAATTTGGGCCAAGGCTTTTTCTCCTACAACCCACCGGACTTTGCTTTGGACGCCGTCAAACACGCATTGACGAAGCCACAATTCAACCAGTATGCCCACGCGCGGGGCAACCCCAATCTCTTGAAGAGTTTGGCCAAGTTCTACACCGAATCCTTTGGTCGGCCAGTGGAAACAGGCGAAATCCAAGTGACTACAGGCGCCAACGAAGGCATGTTCGCTGTGTTTTTCGGCTTCTTGACTCCGGGCGACGAAGTGATTGTGTTTGAGCCTTTCTTCGATCAGTACATCCCCAATGTGGAGATGACTGGAGCCAAGTTGAAGTTTGTGCAACTCAAGTATCCTCAGAAATTCGACTCGGAGAACGTGGCTGGCGACGACTGGCAGGTGGACTGGGAGGGATTGGAAAAAACCATCTCGCCCAAAACAAAAATCATCGTTATCAACACGCCGCACAATCCCATCGGCAAGATCTTCAATGAGGAAGAGCTCAAGCGGATCGGCGAGTTGGCCATCAAAAACAACTTGATTGTGTTATCTGACGAGGTTTACGAAAACTTGTACTACCAACCTACGTTCCCTCGTCCTGCCACTTTGGCATCATTGCCTGCTTTGGCAGAGAGAACATTGACGGTGGGATCTGCTGGAAAGTCTTTTGCTGCCACTGGATGGCGGGTTGGCTGGGTTCAAGGACCTGCGGAATTGATCAAATACGTCACTGCGGCACATACAAGAATCTGTTTTTCCACGCCGGCGCCATTGCAACAGGCTGTTTCGGAAGCTTTTGAAATTGCTTCGACAAACGGTTACTTTGAGAAAACGAGAAAGGAGTATGAACGCAAGTACGAGATTTTTGAGAAGGTCTTCCAAGAGTTGGGCTTGCCTTACACTAGTGCCGATGGAGGATACTTTCTTCTTGTCAACCTTCTGAAATTGAAGATTCCCCACGACTACGTCTACCCAGAAGAAATTGCTGCACGTGGAACCAATGACTATAAATTGGCATACTGGTTGATCAAAGAGATTGGTGTTGTGGGAATCCCACCCACAGAGTTCCTTGTACCCCAGCACAGAAAGGGAAACCCATTAGAGAATGCCTTGCGGTTTGCGGTTTGCAAAGACGACTCTTTGTTGGAGGAGGCGGTAACCCGTTTGAGAAAGTTGAAGGACTATTTGTAGTAGACTAGTAAATGAAAAACTATAGAGGTGTCAATGAAAGTATCACAGATGAAAACGAAACGTATGAATAACTTTGTAAAAAGAACCATTATGTGCTTGATCATTCTTGAGTCAAAATAAAAAATCTACATCATTAATTATGGTTGTGGTGAGTCTCGAATACTCATTTGATCTATTGTTTCTCTAATAGTCTATGCAACAGTATAATCACGAAGTTGCCCTGGAACACCGACGGAGTTTTTTGAAGCAGAACTTGACTTCGCCAAAGTCATCGTAGCCATCATCGTAGTCTTCCTCTTCAACCTCATATTTGTTTTCCTCTAGTAAACGCCACAAATGGTCTCGTTCTTTCTCGAAATTGCGCCGAAGCGGTATCTGAAGAAGAACTCTGGCATCTTCGTCTGCACTGAGAAAAGTATTGAGCATGTCGACAATCCACTTTGGGTGCTTTGACGAATAAAGAGGATCAGACAAGATAATAGTCGAAAATGTCACAGCGCCATGGTGGTCTAAGAAGGCCAGAGGATTGCTCCAGTCCAATACTGCTGTTTCAGCATTGGTAATTCCATTGAGCTTCACATTGGCTTGTAAATTCGGTAGGATCTCCGGAAGGTCTGTCAACATTGTAGCAAAACCCAAAAGACAAGAAACCATACCGACCAAGCCTGTTCCTGCTCCAAGCTCAAGGACAGATCCATTGAGATAAGACGGAGATTTTGCCAAGCGAGTGCTCAAAACCAAAGAAGAGCCCCAAGTCTTGAGCCCAAGATTATCTGCTGTGAGAGAAGGTTCCTTCAAGAGGATTTGGTTTGGAAGGCTAGGAATGTCAATGTGGCGCAAAAGCTCGGGCTGCGCTGTTCTGCCGCAGTTTTCTGCCAACCGGAGCGATGCCAAAGACTTGATTTCCTCTGCTTTAGGCGCAGACACCCAGGCTAGATCAGAAGAGATGATTCGCGTGAGCCACGAGTTGTATTCCTGAGGAAAAGCCTTGCGGAGAGTTTCAGAGAGCTGTGAAACGGAAGCCAACAGCGAACGGGACGGGAACCGGCAACTTCGGGGCCCAAGCCAAGTGAGGGTGTCTGTAACGAGACTCTCGACGTTCTTGTTGGCAAAGACAGCATCGGTATCTAGACAAAGCGCCTCGGCCGGACCGAAATTGCGCTTTTCGTCGGGCGCCAAGAGCCGGAGAAAGACAAGTAGCACTTCTGCTGGCGGCTTCATGGCAAGAAGTGGGAGATCGTGGACATGGAGATAGGTCATCTCGTCTGAGATTTCAGAGTCCAGATCTGGAGCGGCATTGTCGCCGCTGGAGAGAGAACCCAAAAGAGTTTTTTGAGCGTCATTGGAGAAATAAGACGCTTCAGAAGATTCGGGCTCACTTGGGGCAGGTGTGAAGAGCAGAAGCGGATCAAAATCCATCGGTAGCTTTTAAGATGCAGAAACGGCGTGCGAGTGAAGGTATTAAGTACGAGTATTTACCTGGGGAATAGAAGAACCTGAATTTTGGACATTGAGTCAACGAAAGTTTTTTTTTTCGATGGCTAACGTTTAGTTCTGTAGGGTTATGCCATTTTGTAATTTTGCATTTTTGCATTTTTTTCAGTCTTTTGTGTTGAATTGCCAAACCCAGAAAAATGTGTAAAGCTGATTTCAGTCTCAATGTCCGCATTGATGAGACAAACGTAAAAAATCTATTCTTCCTAACATTGATAAAAACACTTTGGGTAGCTTGAATCTAAATAGGCAACTCTAATCAGGTTGTTGCATCGATATCTAGGTGGCATTCTATTAGAAGCATGTCTGCGGCATTCCATCAGGTAGTACTGACTATATACCAAAGAACGACACTCGAAGAACCATAAGTGCCTCAAGTACATCGTCTAAGAGCTCACAAAGTTGATACAGTTAGACGATCCGGTTAGTACATTCGTAGCTCATACACATATTTACAGTTCATTAAATGGTACATCCGCTATAGCAGTTCATATAACAGATACATCCTTGGCATCTATCACATAAACATCTCATGCCCACAGAACATTCATAGTATATCTATAGGGTGACAACGGGATTGCTTCTATTACCTACAAACCATTCAAAGCGTCCTTGAACGTCTATCAGAATCAGGCCAGCGTTAGCGGGCCTAGAAATCCGTCACGCGCCCGTTGAACGACCAGTCGTTGTGCCTCAACGGATCTTGCTTTGGGCCGCCCCGCTCACCCGTGACAGGATTCACGTCGCCCTCAAACTCAGGAATCGTCTTGAAATACTGAGCATGCGTGCCAATATCTGTCTTTGACAGTGTGGCCACATCGCTCGAAGCCACACCGGTCTCTTCGATTTGCCTGTTGTACTCGTCGATAGCCGCCTGCGAGTTTGCAAGCTTCTGTAGCGCCTCAAACTCTGCCTGCTGTTCCTTTGGCAATTTGGGAGGAGAAGGAACAAACTCGCCGAGTTTGGTGCTTTTGAACCGCAGACTCTGCAAAAAAGCCGAAGATGCCACAGCGGGAGCGGAAGCAACTCGAGAAGCCACTTTAAACGCCGCGTTATATGCACTGGGAGAAAACATGGAGAAGAACAGTTATTTTGGTGGCGTACTGCACTATTCTTAAGATATAGTGCGAGGGCCGATCCGGGATTTGGCTAGCCAAGACATGACGGAAATGATAAACGGCATTAGAGAAATGATAAACAGCATTAGAGAAAATGACAAAACGGCATTAGAGAAATGATAAACGGCATTAAAATGACAAAAACGGCATTAGAGAAAAATGACAGGATTAACCGACAGATAGAACGATAGTGACAACATAAATAGATAGAAAAAGGTATGTCATAAGACAACGATTCAGGTAAATCATCGTATGCCTTGTGATAGTGACATCTCTTCAATATGGGTGCAGATGCGGTTTTTAGCTTGAAACTACGATTTAATCTTCACTTTTTGCCGTCTTGCGCATCCTCATCCATAATACTCATCTCTGATGCCTCCAAGATCGATACAAAATAGCTTTTGAGCACATAGACATCTTTGAAATCTTGTCGGTTCTACAACTTGTACACGCAGAATCAAGTCCTTCTTTCTGCAACAATAGGTTCGTCAGAGGTTGACTAACCATACGAACTTCATTCTCTTCAAATACTCTATGTACACGGTGTCGTATAACTCACATTTTAGATTACCAGTTGTGCATCATGATGTCCCTTAGTCGTCCTAGTCTGTGCCAAAACCAGCAGGCCTGGTCGAATTCTTCGGTAACAAGGCCAAAAACTTGTAGATCTTGCCCATGCTGTTCTCATCTTTTCCCGTCAACCGCACATATGACTCGTAAAGCAGTTCTTTATTGGCCATCAGGTTGGCTCTTTGAATTAGCTGGTCGAAACGAACACCTATACCAAGCTCGTGGAGGAAATCACCTTGTTCTGTAGGGCCAAACACATCGACATGCGGCGCAGCAAGAAGCCGCAAGTTCTCAAAATCCACATCCACAGACAAGTCCACGTTACCAGGGCTGAAAAACGGCGACACAAACTTGTGCTTGTAAATTCCACGGAGAGAGTTCAGTGGAATGTCGTTGGCTAGACCATAGTCGATGATAAGCGCTGCTCCAGCATTCTGCCCCTTCTTGACAAGTTCCACTATGCGCAGCAAGTAAAGTTCAGCATCAGGACAGATCTCCACTCGGGAACCGACTGGCAAGTCACGGAAGCGAGGACTAACCGAGGGAATGGCCGACGACGGAGTTTCACGGGGAGCTGTGGTCAAAAAGAGAGAATCTGTTGGGCCGTTGGAGGTTGAACCGGAGTCCGATGTAGAAGTGTCCGATGTAGCAGTTGTGTCTGATGTAGCAGTTAAGCCCGATGTAGACAGGCTGGAGTCGGTAGCAGTCGAGTCAGACGTGGAATCAGCCGGCGCAGGGCTCTCAAGTCCCGAAAGGGCTGGTCTGTGATCTGCCGAGTCCACCAACAACTCTCGCCAGCCTTCTTCTTTGCGAACAAACGACTTGATAGGCAAAGCATCGAAAAACTCATGTGCAACCACATAACTCACTTCTGAGGGAACGTCCTTCTCCGTGTCGACCCACATCACACGATGGCCCCACTTAGAAAGACACGAGTCGAACCCAGCAGGATTCTCTGGTGTAGGCACTTTCTCAAATTGTTCAACGCCAGGACACAAGAGCTTGGCCTGTTCTTTCCGGAGCACTGGCGACGCTTCGATCAAAACTATGGACACAGACACCTTGGCAAAGCGGTTGAACACAGCCATGGCATCATGGATCAAAGTGCCTCTTCCCGGGCCAAATTCCACCACCTGGATTTTCTGCGGCAGGCCCTGTGCTTGCCACACGGAAAAAAGCCACATGCCAATCATCTCGCCAAAGACAGACGAGATCTCGGGCGACGTGATAAAATCTCCTCCTGCCGCTAGAGGGTCGCGTGTAGTATAATACCCAAAGTCTGGATGCGTAAGACACTGTCTCATGTATGCCGAAAGCGAGACAGGGCCGGTCGTCTTTATTGTTTCCGAAAAGAAGTCCAGCAAGTTCTGGACCGAGCGAGATGGGCCCTGGGCCGGGAACTGGGGCATTTTGCCGATGTTTTCCCGCACATTGTGTGTTCCTTTGATTTCTTGTTGGAGCTTCTCATATTGTGTCGTAACAAACTTGCGGGCTTCTTCGTACTCCTCCTTTGTGAACTTTCCGTAGTACAAGCCGTTCTCATGGATCAACGGGTTTTTCTCGAGGCGAGTGGCGCTTCTGCTCAAGAGCCGGGCAAAACGTAGCATGGTAAGATGGGATTTTCGCGCTAAGATGGAGCTGGAGCAAAAGTGTTGATGATGCAGCGAAAAGGTAAAGAGAAAGAAGATGAAAAGAGAAGGAAGATGAAAGAGCGAAAAAGTAGACTAAAATCACAATCAAGCAATCCATTTATTTTTCTTTGAATGCTGTTTGTAAATTAATAGGTGCTTCAATGGGGTCGTTCAGGTCCATAGAAGAGAGCTTGAAGACAGCTTCTCCAAAACAGCTGTATAAGGAACACGCTATTCTACTCGTTTGGAATGTATGACCCTGCTAAAGTCGACACAGAGTCGTAGACAGAAACCGAAACATGAAAGTTATCCGTCTTGGTCAAGTGGCAACGACAGAAAGTAACAATTTTAGACAGACTTTCGTTTTTCATAAGTACGACTGGCGTTTCTTCATTGTTTATTGCAATCAGTGGTGCTCTTTGGTATCTTTACTTTGGAAATTTAAACTCTGAATATATGATTGACCTATCATGCATTCATGTACCGAGACACATACATCAGGCATGTATTGTTACAATCCTAAACAATGAAATACTGAAAACGAGGAAGAATTTAACCATACATAAGTGAAGATATACCCACCATACATGTAAACCAAGCTTATTGCTTCGTTCAATCGCATGGGTTGTCTCTTAACTACAGATCTACTCAGACAAGAATTCATAACTATACGGCAGTTGGACATGTTTAATACAAGTCAATTAGCTAGCCACCTAACACACTTCTGACATGTTAGGTGAGTAGTCAATTAGCTGGCACCAACACTCAAACTGCCCGGTATCACAAAACTAGTTGTTCTCTGATGAATTAATTACTTCTTTTCTGCGTAAAAAACAAAAGCGTCCATGTAAAGAAGTTCCTCTGCAACAGGAGGTTTCTTGGACTTGCGCGAGAGGAAGCTTTTTCCAGAGGAAGGCGACCCGGAAAGGGAGTCAGACTCGTCACTGGAAGATTCCGGTTCGTTGATAACGAAAGTCTTCATCAAACGCCAGCCCAACTTCTCGTAAAAGCCACGGTTGGCTTGGTTGGACGACTCCAAGTAGCACCAGTTGCCCACCATGTAGTTCTCCACACAGTGGTTGATCAACTTTTTGGCCAAACCATGGCCTTGCATTGTAGGAATAATACCCACATCGCCCAAGTACCAAACTTGATCAGCAACCTTAAGCGACGACGAAGAAAGCATTGTTGCGAGCACAGAGTCTCGGTTGTCTTCCAACAAGACCTGGCCAATTCTGCTAACTCGACGGCGACACTTGGCTAAAGACGAGAAAAGGTTAAACTTCAAAGATGTCGGATGGATGTTGGCCAACGAAGGCAACGATTCGGCATAGTCGAAGCACTTCAGGTCTTCATCGAAAACCAACTTGTTCCAGCACGCCACGCCCAAAAATGGAACCTTGGCGATTGCCAGCGCTTTGAGACGCTGCTGAATCAAGTCCAGCTCCAAGTTGTTATCCTTGATAGCCAAAACCAACCCGCCAAGAGACATGCATTCGTAGGCAGAATGCTCAAAAAAAGAAAGCATCAAGTCGTGTTTCTTCTTGATCTGGCGGGTTTGGGATGGGTCGTACTCGATTTGGGTGTTGAGGATATAGTTGACAAACGGGTCCTTGTCAAAGGCCAAAGCAAGCGTCTTGGCCACACGGCGATAGTCCAGCAACGACACCGGAGTAAAAGAAAGATTTAATGGTTGTTTAGAAGCAGTCAGTCTCAGGAAACCCGAATTAGCACCCGTGCGGGTCTCCTGAGACTGAAGCAGTCGTGGTTTTCGCTTATGGCACGATTCATGGTCTTCTGGAATGACGGCGAACATAACTAAGCATAACCAAGCGAAATAAAAGTTGGGGGAAAAGTTTGGGGGTGGAGGAAGAAGGGGAAAATAAAGTGGTGAGAAAAGATTAGAAAAGTGCGCGGGGGGAGAGATTTAATAGTGGGCGAAAATCCGCGATAATGCACGCTGCAATCGCCTTCCGAAACGGGAAGGTTCTTGCGGTGACACAACTGTCAAAAATAGTTTACGGAATAGAACCGCGGAAAAGACGACGACGCAAAACGGCCAATATCAGAAAGAATTGAATGACGACCCAAACTCTTTTGTTCATAGACTCATCCGGTACTAGCTCTGCCATTACTGGAATAGGGGCAATCGCTATCTTTCGGGGCACCTAGCGCGATAGGAATGCACGTGACGTGAAATACAAGAATACACCCCGTGACACAACACACGTGACCAAACACACCCCGCCCGCCCAATTGTCCTTCAAACTGCCCTATGCTGCTTCTCCTTCCCGTACCGGGCTGGCTTACAGGCCCGCTCGTAGCGCTCATCTCAATGCCAGCTTGTTGTCCCCACCCGAGGACTGCATCTAAGTACGAGCAACAGAGGTACGGGTGTATTTCCCAGCTCCCTTTTCGCCCAACATATTTCCCCAGCACAGAGGCCAAGTACCAAGAACCAGGCTATTCTCCCTCTTTACATGAATAGTACCAACCCTGGAAGACCTATTTGCCCAAGTTGAAAAGCAAATGGGAGTTGAAGGCGGGTCGTGCGCGCACCATGTTTCCTATCGCCCTTCTGCACCCATTCACCTCCACCTACTCCTTCACTTGCTTGTTCTAACATCTTTCGGCAGAAACGAAAACCCGCCCTCTAGCGCCTTTGCATTCTTTCTTCTTGCATACTCCCGTCTGCATCAGTTGAATCCAGCCCCGCATTTCTTTTTGTTTCGCCCCTTCTTTTCCCCAGCAACTCTCGCATTTTCCCATCTCCAGACTGCTCTAGTCCCAGGCCAGATATCCATCGATTGGGGTTCAAGTCACAAGGTTTCCGCCACGACGCTTCTACCTTCACTGCTCAATACTCTTTTGGCCTCTACAGTCGGCATCTCCCGCCTTGCGCTTTGTGTCCAAACGCCTCTAACCGCCGTGGTTATTAGCGCCTCCATTCGCCCCAACAAAGTTTACAACCGCCACTTCCACAGCCGCTGATGGGTAACAGCCCCTCCAAATCGAAAAATGGCTTGTCCCTCTCGCGCACAGACACAGGCTCGTCCGCCAAGTCGGGCCGCTCTGTGCGCTCGCGTCTCTCCACCTCCAACCACCAGGACCTGCCCAAAGTCAGCCGCAAAAACTCGTCTGCATCGCTACCGACCAGCTTCCGAAGCAACCTGAGCGCCTTTGATGAAAATGGGCTTCACGCGTCCATGGCCGCCCCTGAACCGGACAAGCCGATTCTCCTCCGCCGAAACACAAACGACACCGAACACTCTCGCGTGTCTGTTACGGGCGACGAGCTTGCGCCGCTTCTGCGGTCCTCGACAAACCACTCGGCCCGCATTTTATCTCCGACTCCAGGAGCGTTAACGCCGCAACACACGGGAGGCAACTCCGCCGACGACAGAGCCGAGACCATGTCTGTCAGCTCGAAACGCTCGGCCCGCTCGGCGTCCTCAAGCTTGCAGGCGTCGCGCCGAGGCTCAAGTAGGAACGTGGCCGAGTATTCGGACCCGCATACTCACACAAACAATGTCATTGATATTGAGGATTTCATCCAGCGGCTCTTGGACGCTGGTTATTCGGGCAAGCGTACAAAGTCTGTGTGCTTGAAGAATGAAGAAATTCTGCTTATTTGCGCCAAAGCGCGTGAGATTTTCTTGCTGCAACCGTCGTTGCTCGAGCTCTCGTCCCCGGTGAAAGTCGTTGGCGATGTCCATGGCCAGTACTCGGACTTGATTCGGATTTTCACCAAATGCGGGTTTCCTCCGCTGACAAATTACTTGTTTTTGGGCGACTACGTTGACCGCGGCAAGCAATCATTGGAGACGATTCTCCTTCTTCTCTGCTACAAGATCAAATACCCGGAAAACTTTTTCCTTCTCAGAGGCAACCACGAGTGCGCCAATGTCACGCGTGTGTACGGCTTTTACGATGAGTGCAAGCGCAGATGCAATATTAAAACGTGGAAATTATTTATCGACACGTTCAACACGCTTCCAATTGCCGCAATTGTCGCAGGCAAGATCTTCTGTGTCCATGGCGGGCTCTCGCCTGTGTTGAACTCAATGGACGAGATTCGTAACATTGCTCGCCCCACCGACGTGCCAGATTTTGGCTTGCTCAATGACTTGCTATGGTCCGATCCCGCAGACACCATAAATGAGTGGGAAGACAATGAGCGAGGCGTGTCTTATGTATTTTCTAAGGTGGCCATCAATAAGTTCCTCCTGAAGTTCGGCTTCGACTTGGTTTGCCGTGCACACATGGTGGTCGAGGACGGCTACGAGTTTTTCAATGATCGTACGCTTGTCACAGTGTTCAGTGCTCCCAACTACTGTGGCGAATTCGACAATTGGGGTGCGGTCATGAGTGTTTCCGAGGAGCTTCTCTGCTCGTTCGAGTTGCTTGATCCGTTGGACTCTGTGGCATTGAAGCAGGCAATGCGCAAGGGGAAGCACGAGCGGAGACAGGCACAGTCATTGCAGCAGCTGCGGGCCAATTAATGCTGGAGGGAAAGCGGTGCTTTCTCTGGTGCATTGGCATGTCACTTTTGACAGAATATTTCCAGCAACCGAATACCTCACTTTCTTTCTATTGGTGGGCTCAAGTCACCACAATCCACAAACTCTGCTTTTTACTAGGTTTCTCTTTCTATAGGTTACGACATTACGATAGAAGCGCCATAGACCAGAGGCTAGTAGGTTGGAATACCCCAGAGATCACGTGCACACGGCCCCCATACAAGAGGCATATATACCAACTACAATAACATCCAGTGGCTCTTACAATGGCCACCAGAGAATCGAATTTTTTGCTCAACACAGAAAATTATGATACTTTATATCTGCTCGTCACAAGGCTCCGAAAACAAGTTGAGGAGAATGAAAACTTGGTTGGCCGCATAGCGAAGTTGATAGATCATTCTTTCCGAGCACCAGCGCCTTTCAATGCCGAAACAGAAGCGGAATCAGCAAGTTCTGTTGAAGAAGAGGGCGACGAGCTCCGGCACTATCTCGATTCCAAATACAAGCTTGACCAAATGAAGGATGAAGAGGAGCAGTTTCTGGATGTGGAAAACGTTAGGCTACGGCAGCTTTTGTGTGACAATGCCAAGCTCATGAGGATTCTAGAGGCTAAAAAGAAGGCCAATAGCGAGCTTCTACAAATATATTTTGAGTACGAGCGGCTCTTGAGAGAGGTTGTGCTTCCCAAACTAGCTGAGGATGTAAGCCGAAGAAACATTGAAAACATCCAGAATGCCAAGAAGAACGTTGCCGTGAAATATGAAGCCGAAGCGAGGTTCTGGGAGAAGTACCATGAGTATGTTCTTGTGCTTGAGCGGGCGAAAAATGCCATACTGGGACTTCTTCGAATAGTACACGAGAAGTTGGATGGAGACGATCTTCGGAGACTCGAAACACAGTTTCTCATTCTTCAAGAGCTTGTCGGACATGCCCAGCAGGGGAATCTTACGAGAAAACGAGACATTGGATGGGACGTGCAATGGCACTGACTATTCATAAAAAAGTGTACTCATTAGGGAGGTATATACTCTATGGTACTCGAGTCGTACGCGAATCATAAAATTAAGGGTCATCTCGAGGTAAATAGGCCGAATTCAATGTTATCCTGAACGATGGTGTCATGACATCAGCATAGTGTTGAGTCATCAGCTTAGTGTTGAGGCATCAGCTTAGTGTCGAGTCATCAGATGCTGAGTCGAATCATCAGCTTAGTGTCGAGTCATCCGATGCTGAGTCGAATCAACCAGCTTGACTCATCACCACCTGTCGACTCAATTGTCATCAGAGCCAGTATTCACAACTAATGGGTGAGTCAGTAGCAAGCCCGTCAAAGCTCAGACACTGAGCGAAGGAATGAAAACCAGTAGTTGCTCGAGGCCGGAAAATCTCTACCAAGCTCGACCACATCCGCGTCAGACCTGCAATAAGATCGATCCAAGATGAGACAGGTACCGAATGGAAGTCATGGATCCAAGCAGTCATGGATCCAAGCAGTCATGGATCAAGCAGTCATGGATCAAGCTATGGCACGGTAAGCTTGCAGACGTAGAAGGCACATGAGACCTAAGACCTAAGACGTTTCGGCTGACGGAACCGATATATGTCGATGGAGTGTCGTTGCAGGTCGGTGTTGTGTCGTTGCAGGTCGGTGTTGTGTCGTTGCAGGTCGGTGTTGTGTCGTTGCAGGTCGGTGTTGTGTCGTTGCAGGTCGGTGTGTGATTACGTGCTCAGGCGAAAGCTCGAATTGTCTCGGCTACACCGTCTGGCTCGCCTTGTCGTCTTCCTCGTCCACTAGGCTGTCGATGGTGGGCTTGCGCGACGGCTCGTTGAGCATGCGGGCGAGCCAATTGCCGCGGTCGGCGTCGCGCGCCTGCGGCTGAGGAAGCACAAGCAGGTCGCGCGCGCCGCGGGCGGCGCCACTGGATGCGGGCGGCGGCGCCACCTGGTTGAACGACTGGTGGAAAAGCGGCGACAACGGCAGCACCGTCATCAGGCACGGATACAGGAGAAGCGACCCGACGGGCCGGTAGTACAGGTCGGACTTGTACAGGGCGGCAAAGCCTGCTGCGGGCGGCGCCGTTTTCAAGGGCGGGTCGATGTGGGCCGCCATGCGCGGCGGCGCGAGCGCGCTGTCGTCCTGGAACGAGTGCGTTAGCGCCAAGGGCCGCGGCCGCAACTTGGGGTTGAATTTGGGCGGCTCGCGCAACGCCTCGGTCAGCGCCGGCGGCGTGGGCGCGCGAACGGCAGCAGGCGAGGCTTGCGGCGGCGCGCCGGGCGTCGACGGCGGGATGGGCGCCAGGTGCGGCGCTAGGTAGGGCCATGGGTAGTAGACGGAGAAGGGCGCACGGTCGCGTTGGGCGGCGGCAAAGTCGGGCGCAAAGTCGGGCAGGCGCATGGCCGCGGAGTCGGGCAGGCGGTGCTTGATGTAGTTTTCGTAGGCGTGGACCGTCTGTTTGTGCTGGCGGAGGTTGTCGAGGCGCGAGAAGTTTTTCGAGCAGTGCGGGCAGGTGAAGGGCCGCTCGCCCGTGTGTTTGCGGCGGTGGCGCGCCAAGTGTTCGGAGCGCGTGAAGGACTTGCTGCAGTTGGGGAAGCCCGTGCACTGGAAAACGCGGCCCTTCAGTGGCTTTTTGTTCTTGTCGGACATGCTAGAAGGAATGTGATGGAAGATGGAGGCGATGAAGGATGGATGGATGCTGATGACTGAAGTTATCTTGACTTAACTTGACTGGACTGTTAGTGACTTGACAAGTTGTCTTGCTTGTTGTGTCTTGACTGTGACTTGACTGTTCGTGACTTGACTAGTTGTGTCTTAACTAGTTGTGTCTTGCTTGTTGTGTCTTGCTTGTTGTGTCTTCACTAGTTGTGTCTTAACTAGTTGTCTTGCTTGCTGATTTGTCTTGACTTCTGATTTGTCTTGACTAGTTGTCTTGATTATTGTCTTGACTTGTTGATTTTCTTGCTGTCTTGCTGTCTTGCTTGTTTGGCTTGCTTTGTTGACTTTCTTGCCTTGTTGACTTTCTTGTCTTGACCTTGTTTTGTTGCCTTGATCTTGTTGATTTTTTCCTTGTTGTGTGATCCTCAGTTGCTTGGCTAGCTAACTGTGTCGTTTCTTTCGACAATCTTTCTGTTCCTGAATTGTTCTGCCGAGACAAACGTTAGGCACAAGGACGCACTGGTTATCGAGGATGGAGGACGACAGCAGGGATCTAAAGCGAGAAACAAACCTTTTCAGTTACAGCCTCACGGGCGGGATAGACGGCAAGCAGAAAAGGGAAAAAAAAAAAAAAAAAAAATCAATCACTAGTGGTTGACAAATGCGCGGGTTAAAAAAAGAAGCCCACGTCAAGACAATCAAACTGTACCTGCGGGCCGCAGGCCACAACGAGAAAGGCGCGCCATGGGTCGGCGGGGCGCGCAAACGTGAACAACGGCCCGCGCAATTCATGCGCCAGCGAATTTCGTCGGTGCGCATGAGCGCACCAGATCGAGACGAGCGGCGCAGATGCACCTGCACCCAGACGGGCCACCAGCCAGCTGGCGCAGATGCGGCGCTTTACGAAGGGAAAAAGAAGGCACAAGACGGCGCAAAGCAGCGGGAAAATTTCGAAAACAGCCTGCCACTGAAAGTGGTACAATGCTATATGCTTGGGCAGTCTGATACTGGATCAAAAACTGGCCTTTGCCAAAAAAGATCGGTGGCCGAAGATGCAAAGCAGGCTCTTGTCCTGCAGATCGGGTATGCCTCGTGCCGAGGGTGCGTCACCATCCACCTCAGGGGCGTTTGCTCCCAAGACTAGTGGCCATACATGGGCTAGGATTAAGGCACAGATGGGCCGGTGCAGAGCGGCGGCGCGGCCAAATTACAGGGCGGACTCGAAACGGCTGCGGCAACGTGCCCCAATGGGTGTGTTAAATGTGCCCCAATGGGTGTTTAGTGTGCCCAATAGGTGTCTTGAGTGTGCCCCAATAGGTATGTTGAGTGTGCCTACGGCGCACATAGGGCTTGCTGGAACTAAACCTAGGGCCGCCATGCGCCGCGGAAATCGCACATGATGCGGTGCGCCCACTATACGCCCAATGTTTCAGAAATGGCCATGGGCCATGCTACGAACAGGGCACGGGCCATCGCTTACGGCAAGAGACTGTGGGGCGGGCAAAGCAACATGTCGCTGGAGCACCAATTTGTTGGCCTGGGACTCTTCTTGTCTTGTTTGGCGTGTGTTTGTTTACTGATTTTGGCGACCTACAGCACCGCACCACCCGAGCTTCTTGTATTTTAGCACATTCTTGAGCGAACTGGTTTGCGTGGGCCGCGTGCAGGAGGCCCGATTGCACTTGCATTTCCATTGCAGAAATGCCTCCATGCGCGAAAGCCCAGGGGCTGACTCTGTTGGATGCAGCCCGTTAACTCCGCGACTTCTCCCCCCGCGTTCTGGGCCCTGTCAGTTCCGCCTCAGATGGTGCTTCTTCATTTCTGACCTCATGTTGCGTTAACCTGCGATATACGAATCCGATCCACCGTCTGGCGTCCCGGCAGATTACCCATGCTGCGTTATGGTTTGCGCATGTAACCACACCTGGTCTGCACATGCCCACAAGACAATACAATAACCCAACATCCAAAGTGCTTTCATTTTAGCCGTGGCCGGACATGGACATGGAGCAGGGACGCGGCGCCGTAAGCATGGAAACACACCTGTTTACGAACCTCTTTTGCGTCTGCCGACGTTGGGGCGTTTCTCGCTGCCCCTTTTTTCTTCTCTGTCCTCGTATATCCAGGTCATGGTGGCCCCCCGATGCATGAGAATGTATTCGCCCGCATAATGCGCCCTACGGAGCCAGCCTCGGATTCCTCGCATGGACTCTTCTGCTCCGAGATTCTTGTGTGCCAATGGCATCAATGACGTCGATACATCAAAAGATCCCACTTCCATGTTGCATCGCCTAATATCTGCAGGGCCTCGACATGAACCGACCCGCATGTAAAACACTAAAGATATCTTTGACGTAGATCGTGCTAATGCCAAAGATTAGTGTTGTGCTCTGCTTTTCTTAGCAGAATTTCTTTTTCTCCTCCGGTCCCACCTATCGCTCTTACCCTTCATCTTTTGAAAAGCGGCTGAAAACGTGGCCAACGTGATGTTTGAACGTGCGTTCTATTTTTTACCTTGTTCCTCTTATTTTTTCTCTCCTTGCATTTTCGACTCCATCTTTGTTCTCTTTGGTTTCTTTTTCGCTTCGTCTTTGTTCCTGTTCTTTATTGCGTCTTTGTTCCTTTCCTGCTTCAGGTGTTGTGGCTTCTTGTTCTCGTTTCGGTGCCTTTGTTTGCCTTTTTGTCATCCAATGCGTCTTGTCGAGTCTTTAGCTTTTGTCTATTTCGGACCACTCCACTCTACTTTGGTACGGACTTCATATGCCCATAAATCAAGGAACGAGCCTCAACTTAGCCTTTCCCTTTTAGATACTCATCTCTTCTCGTCTAAATGTCCCTCCTACGAACACTAGATTCTTCGAGATCTTACGAGATCCTAACTACGATCCGGTTCTCGTGTCTAGATTCTTGCCGATGCCAGTCTCTATGTATTGTCTTGAAAGTGCCATTGTGCTTTACGCTACTATTCTCTTTACCATCGTACTGTATAATGCTTTCCATTATGAAGCCCGCGTTATCTCTATTTTCGCTGAAAGTTAGAATGACCATTATTACAATGCGGCTTTTATGGAGTGCTTTAAAGTTTCATTCTTTCCTTTTCAACTGAGCGAGCCATTCTGGCAAAGGGTATTTCCACATTTGGCAGAGAGTTTAATTGGCAGGATCACAGTAAACGGGCAGAATCGTACTCGAGCATAAGGTTGAATCTCAGTGTCATGTTCACTTATTTCGCCTTCGAACTTGTCTAGGTAATCTTGTAATGGCAGTATTCGTTGGCACTTGTAGCGTGTCTTTAGTATCACTACTACAGTGGATTCACTAACAAGAATATATTCATACTCCTACACTGGGCTCACTAAAAAGAATATTCATACTCCTACACTGGATTCACTAAAAAGAATATTCATACTCCTACACTGGACTCACTAAAAGAATATATTCATACTCCTACACTGGGCTCACTAAAAAGAATTATATTCATACTCCTACACTGTAGATAAGATTCAGATGCACTTTAACGTCTGGGAGCCAAGCAGACCCCCCACGGAACAGTTCTACGTCCCTCACACCGTACCCTTGATATTGCAGTATGTACTCAGCAGCAGCCCGAACTTTCGGGCGCCTCGATGCTGATATTGACCGTTTCCGGCTGTTCGGCCTCCGCTGCGCTTTCGCTGAACTCAGGCAAGCACGCGGCAATGCGCTTGAACAAGAGCTTGACGTTGTGGTTGGCCTTGGTCGACGTTTCAATGACAAACTTCCCGCCCACCAGCTTGCAAAACGCCTCCGCGTCTTCGGCACTCACCTGTCTCTTGGCAGAGAGATCGGACTTGTTGCCCACAATCACCACAATCACCTCTTCGCCGCGCTCCATGCGCACGTCATTGACCCACTTGGCCAAGCTGTCGAACGACTTCTTGCTAGTGATATCGTAGCAAATCACAGCGACATGCGAGTCTCGAATGTACGACGGGATGAGCGACCGGAACCGCTCCTGGCCCGCCGTGTCCCATAGCTGTAGACGCACGGTCTTATTGTCTTCCAAATACATGGTTTTCGAAAGGAAATCAATGCCTATGGTGGCAGCATACTGGTCATCGAAGGTGTCGTACATAAACCTCGTGATCAACGACGTTTTCCCGACTGGAGGTTAGTTTGTGCAAAGAAATGCGTTTGCCGTATACGTACCGCTCTGGTCGCCGAGAAAGACAATCTTGTACTTTCGTAAGACCGTCTTGTCACTCATGTTGGTGGAATGCGCTTCTTTCCGATTGCTTACTTCCGGTGCAGGTGCGGGCCAGAATCAGCGATAACCAAAAGACTATGAAATGGGACAAGAACCCTGGAAAAAATGTAGAAAAGCCCCGAAACTGTTGAGCCTTGGGCCTTGCGAAGAAAGAAATACTCTGGCAAATATGCTAAGGTTTTTCTTCTGCTCCTTCGGGTCGCGCGAGTGTATCTGGATGGACGAGGCTAGATGCAATCTAGGGACCGAAGTACACGATCGTCATGGATGAGGCAGAAGATGTCAATGTAGAAAAATCTTTCAGCGACAGAATAGAGACGAAAATGTAGTTGCAGCATCATCGAATCCAAATTGTGAGATCGTTTTTGGTCTGTTGATATATTCGATGAGGGTTTCTGTTTTATTACGAAAGCATACCATTGAGCACCTACTTTGTTTCCATTTTCAAGTCCAAGGTAGAACTAAACGTAGCGAAAACACTGTGAGAACAATGAAAAGTTAATTGACAGCGCAATCAGAGGTTACTAGGGGAACCAGGTCAGTTAGACCTAAAAATACTAAGTCATGATACTTCTGGGTTTTGAAGAGTATAGTGTGACTTCATTGCACGATGACTAGAAAAGCAGTGCCATTAACTTTAGTTGCCTAGAGTTCGCCCAATATTGTGTTTGAAGCCTTAGACGTATATATCTTCTATGCTGTGCCTATTCAACGATACTGTGTTAGAAATGCATCTACTCACCTTATATCTCAATCCCAGCAAAAGAGCTCAAGTTTCGACTCTCAACTCAAGGCCATTGAGAGACTCAAATGTGCCGAATACTATTTGAAAGGCTGAAGTCAATGACAAAACAAGTGAAACTTGCAACGGCTCGTCTTTTGTTTACTACTAAGAAGAGTAGTCGAAACACAACTCTGGTATCAACACCGCATGCTCCAGGGACTTTTTCAGGTATCATGTTTCAGGTGGTAACTAAGATTCTTCGCTCAACTCTCTTCACCATCATCGTTTATCACTCTCACAACATCTGTGACCTTGACCTGCCCTGGCAAACATAGGAAGCTAATTTTATAGCACTAATGCTTTTACTCACGCTCTGGTTTGGGCCTGTCTAATTTATAAGGTATGGTCATGTTTGCTACCTAGTCTGACAATTTCACTCAGTCCCGTCACCCAATTTTGCTAACAAAAACAGTCCCCACTAGCATTCACAGACTGAATCAACCACGGACTTTTTAGCATCTCGTATTTTTTTCTCACTCCACCTTTTCCTGTAGTGTGATTTCTCACCTTCAGTCGCACACTTTTATTCCATGGACGAAGCTGAACTCAACGCCATTAGAGCCGCCCGCTTGGCCGAGCTCCAGAAAAACTCTGCTCCTCAAGGCCAAGAAGAAAAGTTTTCCGTTCTAGCGCAGGTCTTGGAGCCCTCTGCGCGGGAAAGATTGGCAAGAGTCCGTATCGTTCGGCCCGAGCGGGCAGATCAAGTCGAACAGTACTTGGTCAAGATGCTTTCGATGGGTTCCATCACGCGAAAGTTGGGCGAGGCCGACATTGTGGAGCTTTTGGACTCACTTTCGCGAGACGAGAAGAAACTGAGCCAGATTGTGTTTGAGCGTCGTGATGATAGCGACGACGATTTTTTCGACTAACCACTGGAGGAGCATATCCAAGACCATTTTGGATTGGGTTTTGTCTAGCGTCATTTAATCCTCTTGTCCTAGAACTTCGACAATCACCCAGATCCCAAGAAACTAGGCTGGATAATCAAAGTCTTCAAAGGTGTTCTAATCTGATGTTTGCATAGGTGTATGATTTTGCTGTTGGCATGTACATGTTATCGTTCTGCTACAATGCTAGAGTCTTTTCTTACGTCTGAAAAGTAAATCAGCCTGTTTGTAATGTATAGCCGAAGTTCTTGTTCTGAGGTCTAATGTGACGACAATGCTCGAAATCTTTGTCTGATCAATGTAGTAATATGGTCTATTTTATAATCACCGACTTCAGCAAGAATGAGTACATAATATACAGCTTTATGTTTCTGAACCAAAGGGCTAAATAGTGTCTTAATGTACCGTTCGGTTCATACTTAAGCCACCTTCCTTCGTTTCAACAAGGGAGATTTTTGTCTCTTAGCAGTACAACACGTTCATTCTACGGAGACAGAACAAGAACAGAATACTTAAGCATCAAGAAAGGAAATGTGTGTGTTCATTCATATTGTTACTACGCCAGCAATTTTTTTGTCAAGTGAAGTAGCAGTTTCTTGAGCAAATCGAGCAACAAGGAAACTCTTGGAGAAGCGACAACATGGTACCTGAAGTTTGCACCATTATTTGAATTTCAAGGTTCGAGTGGGACTTCCTCAGATCATATAAAGTACCTGCCGTTGCAGAAATAAGCAAACCAAAAAATCTAAACCAGGCTCTATTGTTCCGTAACTTCTCAGCATGGTCACGAATGAATTTCTCAGTGAATCTTTTACCATCTTCCTGTTCACATTCATTTTTTACTTTCGTTTGCGATCTCTCTACATATTTGATTTTCATTTCCTACTTCATTTTCTAATTCATTCTCTCATTTTCTGATTCATTCTCTCATTTTCTGATTCATTCTCTCATTTCTGATTCATTTTCTAATTCATTTCCTTTAGCCCCATGTATGTCTTACTACTTCCAGACTGCATGGATCAATCCAAGTACACAATCACCACCGCGATTTCCTGCACAGCTCACATAAACAACATCTCTTCTTCCATAATGTCTGAAAACATACAGGTGATTGTGCGGTGCAGAGCCCGCAGCAAAAGAGAAGTCGCCGCTAACTCTCCGCCTGTGATAGAGCTTCCGAACGATGTTTTCAGCGCCCAGGAACCGTACGTGGGTGTTTCCACAGACCAGCCTTCACTTCTAAGCGCCAGATCGAGTTTCCCAGGAGGAAAAGTGTTTAAAGTGGACCAGGTGTACGGGCCCAATGCCGACCAGCAGCTATTATTTGAAAACGTGGCTCTCCCGTTGTTTGACGACTTTGTCAAGGGCTTAAACGTCACGATTCTCGCCTATGGCCAAACTGGGTCGGGCAAAACGTACTCCATGTGCGGCGATTTGGAAGGCGAGCACGCGGGGATCATCCCAAGGGTTCTCTCGCGGCTTTTTTCCGTCTTGAACGGCGACTATATGGTCAAGCTATCGTGCGTCGAGCTATATAAAGAAGAGCTTCGAGATCTTGTTAATGACGAGTTGGACTTGGCTCCGATCAAATCAAAACTCCGTCTCGTAAGCGATACCTCAGGACCTGGCCCGTCCTCCTCCACCATAATCCACAACTTGTCCCAGATCCACATTGACAGCAGCGAAATGGGCTTTAATATCCTCAAAAAGTGTCTCACCAAGCGCCGCACTGGCTCCACGCGTGTGAACGATCTTTCATCGCGGTCCCATGCCATTTTCACCATTAATCTTTACCGTGAAGTCAAAAACGCAGCAGGCTCCTCCGAATATCGCATTTCAAAAATGAATCTAGTGGATTTGGCTGGTTCCGAAGACATCAATAAATCGGGTGCAATTAACGAACGCGCACGTGAAGCAGGCTCCATAAACCAAAGTTTGCTTACCCTTGGAAAAGTCATAAATTCGTTGTCTGAGGGAAAAGAGCAAAAACATATTCCATACCGAGAATCAAAGCTAACGCGATTACTCCAAGGTTCAATCGGAGGGAAAACAAAGACAGCATTAATCGCTACGATATCCCCGGCAAAGATCAATGTACACGAAACAATCAGCACCCTAAACTACGCATCCAAGGCGAAGAACATCCGAAACTTGCCGCAGTCGTCATTTGATAGCGAAATGATCTTGAAGAAAGTGCTTGTGAGCGATTTGTCCGGGCCAAATCTCTCGCATGACCAGAGATTTGATGGCAAACAAAGACAAGGAGAATGGTATCAGGATGAGTGTCCTGAACTACGAGGAACTCAATAAAAGCGTCGCAAGTCTCCAAACTGACTTGCAAGAGAAGGCGTCCGAAATTTCTGGTTTAAAGTTGAAGTTGGATGCGAAAAATTCTGAGATTGAAATGCTTCACGAAAAAGTCAATGAAATGGAAAAGTCTTCTCAGAGTATCAAAAGCACTTTGGAGAGCAAAGACAAAGAACTTAAGTTACTCTCCCTGGACTTGACTTCCCTCCAAAAAAGGTATACTATGCAAAACGAGCAGGTATCCAGAGTGGTGCAAAGTAATGTGAAAGAGGTGAGTAATGCGTTAAATCAGATTATCAAAACGTTTCGAACCGATAACAATGTCATCAGTCTTGATCTCGAATCCTTATCTTCTGAATTAAATGTTCAGGTGGCACAGTTACTTGAACATCTCACACAAAATGCGGACCGTATTGAAAAGTTATTAGAATCACAATCAGCCTCAATAGCAAAAACCCTACAAGGATGCATTGATTTTTCCCCCATGCTTGCAGAGGTTGAAAAATTCAAAGTGGAGTATAAACTACAAGAATTATCGTCTTTCAATAATTCAAACTTTGAGAGCCTAAAATCGCAATTCGAACCAAATTCTCACTTGCATCAAAAGGTAATGGAACAAGCAAGAATTGAGTTGGATAAAAATAGTCAAGTATTCAAGCAGGAAATGCTTGGAGAAATTACTGCTACGGTGGAGCTGCTTTTCAAAAGTAAAATTACTCAGTTGCAAAATCCAATAGAATCTGCAACTCGATCCATTCTTGATGCTGGCCACGAACTCATAGGAGAGAAGAAAGATGCAACCAACTCTAAAATTGAATTGGTTTCTAACCATTTGAAAACAGAGACACAACAATTGAAGCAGGAAATTGCTAGTCTTCATGGCCGTTTTAACAACCAGTTGACTTCTGCTACTGCTGAGATAAGCACTAATCTCAAGAGCGGTTTCAATGACGCAATTGAAGAAGTCACGAGGTCTGTCGTTGCAGGTGCAAACTCCAGCGTGGAAAAGACGGACTTACGAATCAGCCTGGTTAAAGCTGCAGTAGAGAAGATGGGTGCATCAGCCTCGAAAAGACTCGAACTGGCCACCAAAAACTTGAACGAGTTCGAGGAGGCTCTAACTACACTCGAAAATTCCGCAGGCGGAAGAAGTAACTCAGTTCTCCAGAATGCGTCGCCATCAAAAGAGACAAGCATTCTTCAACCTCCCGTTGTTAGCCTTTCACCTTCTTTACGATCTCCCTCAAAGACTTTAGCGCGGTCTCCATCCTCAAACTCATGTGCAACATCTAAAAGACGAAAGCCTGGGTCGCCGCTCAAGGAAAATAATGGAAGCTTCCGCAGCAAGATTCCGCACTTTTCTCTGAAGTAACCCAAACACTATAATGTTGAGCATGTATACGACGATATGGTGTGTGCACACCGGGAGACAAAAGTGACACGCGGATAAAGTGACCTCCGCATATCGGAAGCATCAATGACATAGAAGCATGGCCAAATACAGTTTCTTGTTGATTCTCTATGGCACATTTAGCACGGTGTTGTTCGGCCTCTCCTTGTTTACGCTGGCATCTCGAGCATATGACTACTTCACTTTAATTCACGAGCTTACGGGCAGCTTTCACCTCACATTACTTGTCAATTTTGTTGTCTTTTGTTTTATCCTCTGGGGTCTTGTCAGTACAAAATTGCTCTTTGGAGATCTCCGGATCATTGAGACTGAGCATTTGGTGGATCAATTGCCTTTCTACGGACTTAGCTTGCTCTTCATTTTATTCAACGATGACAATGTTCTTCTCAGCATGTTTTGGGGAGGAACCACCATCCTTCTCAAGCTGTATCATATCATCAATCAGGATAGACTTGAGCATCTTCAGTTGATGACAGTCAATAACCTACACAACATCAATTCGCCATCGCTCATATTCCGCACATTTGCGTCGAGCATTTTCATGTTTTACCTCCTCGTATCAATCGTGATTGATGTGTTTATGGCGAAGCTTTTAGTTTTCGATGTTTTTCAAGGCGTAAGCTCGATCGGGAGTTTACTCTACGGAATCCAATTCGCGGTTATGGCTACAGACAGCTTTGCTTACTTGTGGAAGGTTGGCTTGAATGTGTACGAACTCATGTTTTACAGGTGTGTTCCACATCCCGACGCTAGTGTACGTACTCCGACACAGCAATCTGTTCCGACTGACGGAGCCGAACATTCCGGATCAGGCGACGAAGATTTATTTGACGATGACAATGATGATGATGAAACCGAGCAAGTGTGGGAAAACAAGCCCCTTTATACTCAAACATTGGAGATTTTGTCATCGGTGATCAAAAGCGTGTTCTACTTGATCTTCAGCTACATGCTCTACGTGCATTCTAACCTTCCACCACCAATCTCTATGATCCAAGGCGGAATCGTCTCCATGCTTCAGGTTGTTCAAAAAACGAAAAGACTTGCAGCTTTTCTCTCTCAAGCTAAAAGTTTGGACAAGCAACTCGAAGATGCTACTGTGGAAGATTTGAATGCTGCTGACTACATGTGTATTATCTGCCGTGATAACATGCACTCGCCAGAAGCATACGAGGCACGCCGCCACAAACCATTAATACCCCGGCGGCGACCAAAGAAGCTTCGCTGTGGTCACATTCTTCACATGGGATGTTTGAAAGACTGGCTTGAAAGATCAAGCGTTTGCCCGTTGTGCCGGAAAAATGTTTTCGCTCTAGAGGCTCTGACACCACCACAGCCTCAAGGAACTGCACAAGTTCCACAGGAGACCAATCCTCCGAACCATGGCATGCATCCGACGAGGACGTTTCCTTCTGGAGTGCCAATCCCTACATCGGAAGCTACAAACGTATCTGTGCACGGAACGAATGGGAATCAAAGCACGAACAACATGTTCACTGGGCGGGTTCCAAGTGGCTGGACAGCATTTCCCATTACTCGAACAGGCCCTGATCGGTTTACAATCCGTGTTTCACCAACACAGTCAGGGACTTTAATCATTAGGGAAAACACAGGGGACGCCCAGCTTTATACGTTAGGAACAAATTAGGAATACACAGTGGGAATGTTTAATGCATTGATTGATGTAATTAATGTTGATGTAAATAGTTATGCACTAGTCAAAGTCAAAATCAAACTCCATTTCCTCCTGCTTACTTTTAGGGAAGCTTTCAAGGGCTGAGTCAAAATGATCCGTGTAGTCTTCGCTTTCTGAAAGCACAGGATTGGCCTCTTCAAGTGGATTGGGAAACATTTCATCATTGGCATCTTCAAAATTGTTTTCCAAGTCGGAAGATTTATCATCTTTATTCTCCGAAACATCTCGACTACTCTCAAAGCCAAAGGAAGTCAAATGATCCTGGGCTTCAACATCTTCCTGTTCAGATGAGCCATCCAGATTGTCTTTTTTCTGTGACCTCTGGGTCTGTGTCGCAAATTCGTGGAAGTTTTTGCTGACTTCCGCTTCATCAAAACGACTATCGAAAGTCGAGTCAGGGCTGAATATTTTCTGGTGCAGAAACTGGCTTTTGGAGTTAGCAAAGAATTGCAAGTCATCTTCTTCACTTTCCAGACTTTCATGCATGCTAAAGCCTTCAGTATACTTCGCAACAAAACTTGATTGTTTTGATTTTGCTTTCCCAGAATCATATCCATGCGTGGATTCGGGAGAGGCCTGCTCTTCTGAACCCATATTTGGAGATTCGAATACATTGGTAGAAACATTAGTGGCAGGCAAACACGCAGAATGCAAATGCTTGTCCGAAATAGGCGACTTTTTTAAGCCAGGTGGAACGGGCGAACTCTTCGGAGAGATTTTCGTTCTTGGGACCAGGGTAATTGTATCATTTATTTGCTCCGAAATAGCATTGGTTCTCCCCTCTTGTCCCACTTCAACATTTTGGTACATGTTGCCTTCTTCGACTGATGTCCTTCGATCTCCAGACATGTTCATATTCAAGTCTGCGTGGTCCGAATCAGCATCCAGGTCGTCTGAGGCAGAGACATTATCTTCCGTTGGCAAAAGTCCCACAGGAGCTGCTGATTCTTCCGAAAGGGTTTTTTGAGAGTTATTGAATCGTCCTTCTTTCTGACGAGCATTTTTTGCCTTTCGCCGAGTCACAGCACTCCAATCTAGAACGCGAGGAGTCCCGTTTTCAGCAACAGGTGGAGCTTGAGACGGAAGCAAAGCCTCCACATCTTTCTTGAGAAGAGAGATTTTTTTGTCGCTAAAGCTCTCTTCCGTGATTCCATGTGTCTTGATATGGCGGCTCAACAGGATCGTGGAACTAGACGGACGACGCAAAATTTGGCCGCAGATATCACAAATGGCATCTTTGCCGTCCTTGGAAAGCGTGCACCAAAACCAGACCCATGACTGTTTTTTCGCTTTCTTGGATTTGCCACAAATCACACGAGAGAGAAATTGCGGCGGTATGGCTCTTGAGCCAGGCAGATGAGGTATCAAACGGCCATTTACAAGAGCAAATTCAGATTTGGCGGCTTCTGGAGTTTTGAAAGAATCAACAAGCGAAACAAAATCGCTCTCGCCTTTTAGAATCGATGCAATACCTTCAATTTCTGCTTTGATGATGTCCTTCGGGTACTCAAAGTTGTACTTGTCACAAGACTCGAGCAATAACCGCACTCGTGTATGGTTTTCCAAGATTCTCGCTTTGATTGTTTCTTTGGATCCAATAAGCATAATATCATCAGCCAAGTCTCCCAACTGGTCATCTTCGGCAGGGAAATCCGGGGACTGATCGAAATTCGAATATAGTGACGCCAAATGAATGTTTTCTGCCAAGCTGCAGTAGGCTGATATGAGATAGAAGAGACCCTCGGAAGAATATGGGGGCGTCATCAACAATTCGTCTAGTGTCTCACGAAGTTTGAGATACTTGCGCTCAACCAAAAGCTGCCACAACAAAGAAACAACAAACATTGGAGCGTGCGTTGTGGACCCTGAACGGAAAACAGGGCCCATATTTGAGTTGTGGGAAATGGTGTTGAAACGGAAAACAGGATAAATCTGCATAAGCCACTCCAAAAAGCTCTGAGCCTTGAGCATATCTAGTTTTGAGGTAGAGCCTGTTAGTTCGAGCTGCTTTCGGCGCTGGAGCAAGATTTCCACTCCTAATGGCCACACCAAACGAACGTCGACTTGCTTGAGCCGCACAAGAACACAGAACAATTTGTATGCTAGGTCCCATTTCTCTCTCATCATGTTGATATGAAGAAGCGCATTGATGGATTGCGTATGCTGGTGTCGTATGGAATATTTGTTTGCGCCGTCGTTCTGTCCTAGAGGCTCGAGGCCCCATTTTCGGAGCGTGTACTGTTTCCGAGACCAGCTTTGGACCAGGTCAAACGAATGGTCCCAGACACGAGCCTTTTTGCAGGCGTAAAGAGCATCTCCATCTAACTCGTCGTCATAAGCCAGGTCGGTCGTCTTGTCGGAAAGATCAGCTTCCTCGTCAGAACTCTCGTCTGATTCAGACGTGTCCATAGCATCTGAGATATAGTCTGTACGGATGTCTGTTTCTATGCTTGAATCCGCTGCTTCTGCCTCTGCCTCTGCTTCTGCCCCTGCTTCTGCCTCTGTGCCTCTTGTTGCTGGTTCTACTGCATCTGTTGTTTCTGTTTGTGCACTTCGTAGTTCGTGAATCAATGTTTGTCGGAGCGACAAGTCAAAGTCTTCTGTCTTGTGTTTCTTCTGCAGCTCTGCTGTCTCGGGCAAACGCGGATACCACTGTTCATAAGTTTCTTCAGGAAGATATTTTTTGGCATCTTCTTCCTTGATGCGGTGTATTAGGCGGGCTTTTGTTTCGGGCAGAAGAGTCACCGAAAGATCCGACTCCAACTGCCGGAGAAGCCGTGTGTGGGTAAGGTTTTCAACAAGATAACGGAGCTTGTTGCCTTTTCTGTTCTTTTGGTGCCGGACATAGTGTCTGTACGGCTCCTCAAACATGGTCCATAGTTATGTGTTGAGATGACTTTTTTTGCGATAAGCCTGCGTAGGCATCGTGAATATAGTCACCACATACTACTTATTTGACATTTATTTGATTTCCAGTTTACTTTTAATTTGTTTATTATTCAATCTTTAGTTGATTTGTTGTTGTGGAAACAGCCGTGAAATTGACGGTATGTTGGTTTGACGGTTGAAATCACACTTAGTATTAGAAACACTGAAACTTCTACACGCGTATCATTTTACATTTCCTTTTCTTCGGTATAGGCTGTAATGCTTCCTTCAAAAGGAAAAATGACTTATGCTGGCATCACCGGACGAATGTTAGGAATATGTTTCCTTCTATCGAAAACCAGCAAGAAACTTCCATGAGAAGTCGCACATTAAACATGTATCTCTCAACTTTGAAGTAACCAAAACTGACACCACATACCTACATCTGAGACTATACTTATGTTCATGAGACTATGTACAATGGCTTAGAAGCCGCCCATGCCTGGCATACCGCCCATTCCTGGAGCTGGAGCAGCAGGCTTTGGATCTGGGACATCCACAATGGCACACTCGGTGGTGGCCAACAAGGAAGCCACACCAGCAGCGTCCACCAATCCGTTCTTGACAACCTTGAATGGATCAATAATACCAGCAGCAATCATGTCGGTGAATTGTCCCTTGGAAGAGTCGTAACCCTTGTTGAAGTCTGGCTCGTCGTAGATCTTGCCCACAATCACAGCAGCCTCCTCACCGGCGTTTTCAATGATTCTCTTGGCTGGCTTGGTGATGGCAGCCTTGATGATCTCAACACCCAACTTTTGGTCAAAGTTTTCTGCCTTGGCCTTGACGTCGTCCAAGATTCTGGTGGCCTTGATCATGGCAGTACCACCACCTGGCAAAATACCTTCCTGGACAGCAGCTCTGGTGGCGTTGAGAGCATCGTCGTATCTGTCCTTCTTTTCTCCAACCTCAATCTCAGAGGCACCACCAACCTTAACCACAGCAACACCTCCAGACAACTTGGCCAATCTCTCCTGCAACTTCTCCTTTTCGTATTCGGTGGTGGCAATGTCCTCCATGGCAGTTCTAATCTGCTCACATCTGCCTTGAATGTTGTCCTTGCTTCCTTCGCCGTTCAAGATAACAGTGTCCTCCTTGGTGATGGTGATGGAGCCAGCGGAACCCAAAAGGTCAATAGTGGCGTTTTCTGGTTTGATGTCCAACTCCTCGGTGAAGACGGTACCACCGGAGAGGATGGCAATATCACCCAAAGTGTTCTTTCTGTTGTCACCGAAACCTGGAGCCTTGACAGCACAAACTTGAACTTGACCACGCAATTTGTTCAAGATACAAGCAGCAAGAGCCTCGCCGTCAATGTCTTCAGCAATGATCAACAAAGGTCTTCTGGTCTGGTTGGACAACTCCAAAGAAGGCAAAATGTCTTGGATGGAGGAGATCTTCTTCTCCGACAACATGATCAATGGGTTCTCAAACTCCACCTTGCCGTTCTTGGTGTTGGTGATGAAGTAAGGCGAGATGTAACCACGGTCAAACTTCATACCTTCGGTGACTTCCAACTCGTCTTCCAAAGTCTTTCCTTCCTTAACGGTGATGACACCTTCCTTTCCGACCTTCTCCATGGCGGAGGCCAACAATTGACCAATGTGAGCATCACCGTTGGCGGAAATGGTGGCCACCTGGGCGATTTCCTCGGAAGTGGTGATTTCCTTCTTGTTTTGTTGCAAAAAGTCAACCACAGCCTCGACGGCAGCCTGGGTTCCTCTTCTCAAGTCCATAGGGTTGCAGCCGGCAGCGACGTTCTTCACAGACTCGGTGAAGATGGAACGGCCCAAAACAGTGGCAGAGGTAGTACCGTCACCTGCAGACTCGTTGGTCTTGGAAGCAACTTCCTGCAACAACTTGGCACCCATGTCTTCGAACTTGTCCTCCAAAGTAATGGATTTGGCAACAGTCACACCGTCCTTGGTGATCTTGGGCGAGCCAAACAGCTGCTCAATGAGAACATTACGGCCTTTTGGTCCCAAAGTGACGGAAACGGCGTCAGCCAAGGTGTTGACACCTTTCAAAAGGGCGGCTCTACCTTCAACACCGAACTTGAGCTCCTTATGGGAGTAGTTACGGAGAAAATTTTTGGCAACGGTAGCACGGGCTCTCAACATGGGGAAAAGTGGTGATGCAAGTAGGAAAAGACGTTGGTTATATATGCGAGCGCGGGGAGGCGGAAAAATTTCGAGAAAATTCTCAAGCGGGGATCCTGCAGGCTGGGCCTCCAGTAATATAGCCTCTAGCTAGAAACCACTGGCTTCAAGTAGATTGAGAGAGCTGTAAGTGGCGGCGCATGTGTCAAAATTACTGAAGGAATTGGTCTGGAAATTTTGGATATGTCGTGTGTTTTATTTCCGTGCGGCCAGAGTCTTTGAATCAGTGTGTTGAGGTCAATGCCTTGCCATATCATTGCCTCTGGAAATTAGTCTCTTTGTAGTTGGCAATATCCAAAGTTTCCATATTCAGTCTTCACTGGCTCGTTGAATTTGCTCGAAGTATCCGGTGTTCCCGCTGTTTTGTACTGTAGCACTTTGACCCACTTGCATTGATTGGACTGCGGCATTCTCAATATAGAGAATTGTCATCAAGTCTGAATCGTCATCAAGTCTGAATTGTCATCAAGTCTGAATTGTCATCAAGTCTGAATTGTCATCAATTCTTGAGGTGAAAAAAACGGTCATTCATGGCTTTGATTCGATGGCTTTTCAGCACCTAGCATTCATGAACATCTTTTATCCTCTCATTACTCTGAAACTAACAAAGTTTTATTTACTCTGTTTCAAAAGCCCTTTTCTTTTCTTCAGGTTCTTCAATCAATTCAGGCATTAATTGATCTAGTAAGGTCTGCTTTGTTTTGTGCCGATGTCCATGCGGTCAAGAAATACGGCAGGATTGATCAGTTGTTTGATACGTTCCTTTTACGAATGGGTGATTACAGTCAATATTTCAATGTCTTTTTAGGAAAACTACAATCAACATCTTTTATGTCTTCAATTTAGAATTTTAGGATATTTGGATACTTGGAATTATCACTTTATTTTTGGAAAGACTATGATCACGTACATGTAACGTACTGTTTCAAATACATTTGGATGTGTCTTTCTCTCTGCTTTCAGCAATTTGACTCGTAACATGGAGAGGCTAACTAAAGTCGTTCCAACCATGAACATAACCTGTTCCAGTAATAAGACCGCTCTTTCTCTATCAAACTGTTTCATCCCTTCAAGCACTACTACTACAGATCATCAAACTTCAAACAGAACTATTCTATACAAATTCTACTTAAATACTTCTTCAAAATGTACTCAATAACATACCTTTAACCACTACATCATCCGAAGATAGTCCTCCTTGAACAATGCATCCCAGTTGAACTTCTCCCGGTCTACGGCAAACTCTTGTCCAGTGTTACTGAACATTTGGTTCACCATACGGTTTACCGGATCCTGTGCCGGCGGAAGTTGGTCGTAGTTTGCGTATCTTTCGTCCGGCAACACGTTTGCCCATTCTGGTTGAGCAGCATAATAGCCTGGCACTTCGTGTGTGTTGGGTGGTGCTTGCATACGGAAATTTGGATCCACCATATTGTTACCCGAAAGCTCCATATTTTCCATCATAGGCACCACTTGATGCACGTACGAAGGATCGTAGCCATAGGCATGTTCGTTGATCACAGGCATTTGTGGGAAGTTGCCTTGAGGCATTGCCAGTGGAGGAGCTTCCATAGGTCTGACATTGAAAGTGTCTTCTTCCTTGATACCAGCTCTAGAGTCGGTGCTCAGCATGCTGGTTTCAGATTTGCGTGGTTCACGGTCACTAGCCATATCCACCAGAGTCTGAGGCAGACTGAAGTCGCCCAGCGCGTTTTCGGAATCGGACGCCTTCAGTTTGGCCTTGAACTGCATGTACTGGCCATAGAGCAATGTCACTGGATTGTCTTGGTCCTTGTATTTGCGAGGACTGGTGAAGGATAAGAACTTGCAGAAGAGCTTAAAGTGTTTCTCCAAATACAAATAGTGTTCCGGCTCGCTAACAATCAACGTGACCAAAACATGGCACAAGAGCGTAAGAAGACACACATCCATGCTGGCCCAGTTGTATGGGTCCATCTGATTGTAAGGCCTCATCCAGCTCAGCACGTCTGATTCTTGTGAGGCCCTCTCGCTGTCTGAGTCAACATTGAGTTGAAGTTCTTGGTACCGCAGCGACACAATCACGAACATCTCTTTCAGTATCTCTTCGATGATGTACATGGTCAGGTATTGTTTCTGGATGTGGATGAATGGCTTGTTTGTGAAAAGGAGAATGTGGTAGTACAAGTATTTCAATGTGTGGTTGTCTTTGGCGATCGTTTTCGAAGCTTTAAGCGACGCATACAGCCAGTGGCACACAGGGTCCAATTTTGACTTCCACTTCATCAACTGCATGTTGAACGCTTTGCATCGGTTGAACTTGAGCAAGTAGTTGATTTTGGGGTCCTTGTCAAAGGCAATGGGTTGGTATGTGGCCCGAATCATGTCGCGAGACAACTCCACAAGGTCGACGCTGTTTTTAAGCACCATATAGTCTGTCTCAGACTCGCCTGGAAGGCGCCAAACAGGGTTTCCTTGCAACTTCATGGTCGCCTTGCGACCCACGGCAAGTCCAATGAATAGATCGCAGAGAATACTGGCGCAGTAGAAACGGTTTACCGCCACATGGCCCGTAGGATTATAGTCAAAGCCCGCGTCATAGCCCGCACGCAACGCCAAGCCGGAAAGAAGCCAGCCATTCAGCATCTGGCCCTTGGAAAACTGGTGGAAAGATATAAGAAAGTACGCCTGCGCACGGGCTACGGTGGAATTCAGAATGTTCATGAAAAGCATGCGAGATGCCAAGTCGTAGTAGGCGTCGGCCTCGGCGTACTTGAGCTTCATGCTGTTGGCGCAGATGGCGTAGACCAACTCCCTGCTGAGGAACTGGCCCGAAAAGTTGCGCTCTTCCAACTCGGCCAACACTAGTTGGCGGTCCAAGATGTACAGGAAAATCATGGGGTACTGCTGGTCAAAAAACGACACCACCAAGTCGCGGATGTACTCAAAGTCCAGCTCTAGAGTCACCACACGCATGGGGAGCGTGTTGTTGCCCTCGTATATCATGGGCACGCCATCGGGCTTGGGGAAATTCTGAAAGTGGTAGATGCTTCCCGGGCCAAAGTAGTTGGCCTGCTCATCCACAATGGGGAGAGACACCTCGGCGTCGTGCGACGGGTCGAGGTTTTCGCCCAACTCCTCCGAGTACTTTTGTATCTGGTGGTTTTCGGTTTGCTTTGGGATGCTGGCGGCCAACGATGCGAGTTTCTCGGCCAATTTTTCCGGCTCGTTGCGGAGCGTCACCAAAAGCGAAAGGGTGTTTTGAAGCACCTCGTTGTTGGTCTCCAAGGACTTGATGTAGCCCACAGAAAAACGCTGCGAGCGGCGGTCCGTTTGAGAATATTCACACTGGGCGTTCCGCTTCAAGCAGTTGGAGCACGGGTCTTCGCCGTCGCAGCGTCTTTTGATTTTGCGGCAGTTGTGGCACGAAAGCTTTTTCTTCTCCTTCAGCGACATTGGGGACTGGCGGTTGCAATGGCTGGGAATGGTGTCTGAAAGCAAGTTTGTTGGGTAACTGGGCCAAAGTGGGAGGTAAAACAGCCTGGGGGTGGAAGGATGGATTAAAGTAGCTGGGATGGATGGAAATCCGCGGGAGCACAAGTATTCTCGAAACGCCGACTAAAAGAGACGGCGGGTGGGATAATTTTTATTTTATTTTTTTTCGTCTGAGGAGCTCCATCATCTATAAACTAGCGCGATACGTACTGTATGACACTGGGCGCATGTCCAAAAGTGGATGGCCCAGAAGAATGACTACGATAGAAGAGATGGAAAAGGCTTTGGAATCAACTTACTCAGCGGCCCAAACAGGCAAACCTGAGGTTTTTCCCGCTCGCCGCCGGGGTTTTTCTACGTTCCCGTCGCCTCTTTTCGCCTCGCTTTGTCATGTGTGCACCTGCATCATAGGTTAAAGCAGACGAACGTTGAGGCCACAGCAGAAAGACAGGGGCAGATGCCGGCCCAGACAGGAAGAAGCCGGGCCAGACCCGGACTTGGCGAAGCAGGCGGGTTTCGGCCGCACCAAGCAACTACGTTAGTGGAAAAATATCGTCGGGCACTTTGGCCGGGCGAAAATACGACACGGCAAAAATGACAAGCAAACTAGACAGAAGCTAGACCCAGCCCAAGCCAAAGATGCACAAGCGTTGTGCATATGTGCGAAACCCTGCATCGAAGTGCGAAAAGCCTCTGCTCGCTTCAACTTGTGCGGTTTCTTTTTTCCGTGACATGAAGGAAGAAAATGGGCCAGAAGAAACGGAAGGGAAAAATGGAGAAACCGGAGTTCGATGCAGTAGCAAAATCAGAAAGTGTAGTAGGCAGAGAAACGGCTAAAAAATGTCCACGAAAGAAATGGCTGGACCGTAAATGGAACGGCTAGAGCCCCCCCAGTCGACAGAAGCAAATAGTGGGGCGATTTTAGCCAGGAAAAATTCGCGCCGCACCAACATCCAGGGCGGCCTGGATGGGCGAACCTTCGGCGCATCTTTTGTATGCCTCCAGATTTTCGGCCGAGACAATTCTTTATGGTTTGATAAAAGGCATGTGTCTTGTTGTAGATCAGCGACGACGAGAACTCGACATACTCTCCGTTCGGAGTGGTCGCTGTTTCTTTGAGCTTTAGTGATTTGGTTTTGTTCGGTTGCGGTGTTTATTCATTCTGACTCCGGTTTGGTCCTCTTTATGTTCTATTTTCTTTACTGCTCGATTATTCGCGCTTTACTCTGTGCTTCCTCGTTTCAATATAGTGCTGTCGACATTTGGCCGTCTCGCCAATGTTCTTTCTATGATGTTCATACGTCTTATGCACCTGGAAAAAGCTACCGTCGTAATCGTCCGTGATAGTTTAGTGGCTAGAATTACCGCTTGTCGCGCGGTAGACCGGGGTTCAATTCCCCGTCGCGGAGCTTTTTTTCTCACCTGGCGCTTCTCCCTTTTAGTCTTGAATGCTAGACCCTTCTTTTTTGCCATTCCAATGGACGCTGACGAAGGTTTCGTTCCCATTCTAGGCATCTTCTATGCCATATTCCACCCGACAGAGGGCACGAAAATCGTCCACCAAGTACCTGAAGGCTCAATCACCAGCTTTTCTTCTGCCACGATAGTCGATCCAGCCAATGTTCTTTTCAACTTTGATACAGTGAAAAACTACATCATTCCCAAACCCCAGCTCTGCAACAAGTTTGTTTCTTTCAAAGTCAATCGCTTCAAGGTGTTGGGCTACCCTGTGAACATTGAAAGTGTTCGGTACTCGAGAAATTCCTTCAGCTTCAATTTTGGCTTTGTGTTTCCCTACAATTCCGATGTCACGCCTTACGAGTCGGCCATTCGCCGAATGGGCAAGATGTTCCGTGTTTTGGAGGAGCAGTCTTTTCTTCTCAGCAAGCTAGGTGAGGACCAGCTTTTGGTTTCCGACCCAGACAAAGAACTGGATCTGGCTAGACTCCGATATGCGCCGGGCCATGAGAAGTTCCGCAAGTTCTCCTTGCTGTCGATTGGTTCTTTGATCCATCAAATCTACCAGGACCTCAATAACTACTCAGAATGTTGCATTCCCATAGACTCGGCCAATAGTGTGGACATCAAGCTTTTCCCAATCCTTCCGCCGCCAGTAAACTTGAAAGCGTTTCAGGTGCCTATTCTTCAGGTGAAATTGCATCTGCTCATCGATGTGAACTGGGACCCGACCATGGTTAAGATTCTTCCTTACATTAATGGGCTTAATTCGGTGAAGAGAATCAGCGAGTTGGCCGACGCTGATTACCTTTTAACCAAACAATGCATTCAGCATTTGATGCACTACCAGTGTATTACTATGGTGGACATTTTCCAGTTCAGTAACATTTACGCTCCTACAAACAACATTGGGGATTTTCTAAAGCCAAACGGCATGGCCGAAGATTGCCAGGCTTATGTCATTTCTACACTGGACTGGTCTGCGCAGTCTTCGAATCCTCTCACACCCAGAACCCCTATTACCCCTTTGACGCCTGGCCTTTTAGGGAAATCCGTTAAAGACTCAGAAAACTCCGATAGTGCAAACAGCTCATATTTTGTGCACAAGAACATTGCACTGTCTACAAGTCCGCTAACAAAATATAGTTTGGGCCGTTCGGGCCCAGGAGGCACGGTGTGGAGGCAAACCATCCATGTGCCTTCGAAAGCGACACTTTTTTACCTTTATCGTCTGTTGAACCAGGGACAAACCATCAAAGAGTGGTACATACAGCACCAGAAAGCGTTGAAGAATATTGATGTACGGCGATTCATTAATTTTGGGGTTGTACGGGGAATCACTTACCGTGTTCATCTGTATCCAATTCTTCATTCGCTAACAAAATCATTGGAAAATGGCGACGAGAAAGTGAGCGACTTGGATGAACTTGTGACGCAGTATGAGAAGAAGATGGAAATAAACAAGCGGAGAACTCAGTCCAGTGCAACTGATCCGAGGGAGGCTGGCCTCTTGAAGACGACGATCAACGAAACAAATCTCAAAACGGGAAAGAAGACCAGAACCGTCAGCTTCAACTACAACGTTGATAGATATAGTCGAGATAGCGACGAAGACGTTGATGAGCTGGTTTTCATTAGTGATTCTGAATCTTCCATGTCGGGCGTAAGCGACCTGGATGCTGGAGTAGCACTCGCTGATGTTGGCGAAAGTGATTCGGACGACGATTCGGATGAGAAAGCCGATTTGGTGAAACTCAGCAAGTTGGTCCGGGGTGTTCAGCACACGGATTGTATATGCACTGAGCTTCAAAAATCTAGGATCGAAGTGGAGCTGCTTTTGGACCGTTTAGGGCCACATTTTATAATTAATTCGTGAAACGAAACTAGAACAGTGGAAATGCAAGTTTGGAATATCCAATCGCAATGAGTTTCTAGGCTGCTACATAGATTTTTAGACCAACAGTATCAGGTTTGTCCGAACTGTCTTGGCTTCATGCTTGTAAGTTTTCCACAAAGAAATACCACTAAGCAGATATTGAGAATCTTTAGGCTTGTCGTCCAACGTTCGGCACAATACTAAAATAAACTGATACACGAAAGAAGAACCTCTTTGTAATGGGGTTTTCTTTGGGCCAGCTCAATCAATGAGCTCAAAATAAATACGTGAGCTCAGTAGAAGAGAATATAGAAGCAGATAGCAGAGAAACAGAACGAAGTGACAGAAAAACAGCGAAGTGAAAGCTGAAGACTCGAAACCGAAAGAGTAGCAGAAAATCCGAAAGAGTAGCAGGAAAACCAATAGAGCAGCAGGAAACTGGAAGAAGCAACAATGAATGGAGAAATCCCCAAAAAGAAAAACACTAAAGCACCAACCATTCAGAACCATAGAGACTCAGAACTATAAAGACTCAGAACCATAAAGACTCAGAACCATAAAGGTTTCAAGCCTGACCGTCGAAGATATTCAAGAACCCGAGTGGCACAAAGAAAACATTAGCCAGAGGAATATCCATTCCAAGAGCCCATATAGATCAATGCGGTGTTATCTGAAGGTTCGTGTGCGGGTAACCTCGCGAGGATAATGCGCGCCGTGTTTATACAAAGTAAACAAACTACTCGCTACTACTGCTTTTCATCTGTAACCATGTCGGGAAAAGGAAAAGTGCACGGAGGAAAAGGCAAATCTGCCGAAAGCAATAAGATGACAAGCTCTCACTCGGCCAGAGCGGGCTTGCAGTTCCCCGTGGGAAGAATCAAGAGATATTTGAAGAGAACAGCGCAAAACAAAATCAGAATCGGATCCAAGTCTGCGATTTACTTGACGGCTGTTTTGGAGTACTTGACTGCAGAGGTGTTGGAGTTGGCCGGAAACGCCGCCAAGGACTTGAAGGTCAAGAGAATCACCCCTAGACACTTGCAGTTGGCCATCAGAGGCGACGAAGAATTAGACAACTTGATCAAGGCCACCATCGCGTACGGTGGTGTTTTGCCACACATCAACAAGGCCTTGTTGTTGAAGGTGGAGAGAAAGAAGGGCCAGAAGTAAGCGGGTGCTGCCACGCTGGGCCCTATGTACTATATGTTTTTTGTATACTAACCAATGTTAACGTCTGTGTGTATGAGTATGTACAAGAAGAGAAGAGGAAGAGCACACCTATTTTTCTTTAGGCTGGACGATTTTCTCTGCATCTTGCTGGAGCCTCTCCAAGTCCACGCAAAGCTTCTCCACCAAGTCCTTGACTGTGGTTATCTCTTCCTGGAGATCGATAATGTCGTTTTTCACCGTGAGCTTTTCGTTCTGGCTCTTGACGCGAGCCCGGTACGACTCGTAGAAGATTAATGAGCCGGCAACCAGGAAAATGAAAAACTCCAGGAGGAAGTTGGCGCCGTTTTCAATGGCCTTTTTATCGTTCAACGGCCGCACCTTGATTCTGTTTTCGCCCAAAAGCCGCATCCGGAGCTTGACATCGGTCGAATGTACCGTCTGCGCCACTCGAATGCACGCATTTCGGAACGCCTCGTGCTCTTTGGCCTGCGCCTTTAACGTGAGGGCAATCGGTTTGGCCACTGTTCGGACCAACAAAGATGTGAGTTTGAGAGCGATGCCACTCATGCTGGATAGGACGGGATGGAAGCAGAAAGCTAAAAGAGCGAATGGGGGATGGAATAGACAAAGCAACGAATCCAATGGGGGAATATATGACCAAAAGAGAGCCGGATGAGATGGGAAGTCGGATGGCGTAGATTGAGCGCGAAACTGCGCGAACTGGGGAATGGCGGAATGACAGTTTTGCTCACTAAACGGACAAGACAGCATCTTTTGACTTGGTTATTGGCAGGTGGCTAGACATGTGAGGGCAAGGTCATATGGCATTATGCCAATAAATCATCAGATAGCTCGGTAATCTGGCAGCTGAGAAAGTATGTTTGTTTTTAGATACTGCAAAACATGGTAACTTACATCTAGCTATTGTATCTTTTAATCCTTTCTGGACATACTTACTTTTATATAGATGGAAGCTGCGTGGCCTTCTGTGACTAGTTTAGCCCGCATTGCACTATTCGTTGGACAAAGGCTTTTGGTCGGCTGGACATTCTTTCGATAGCCCCTATTTGCTTTGAGTAGACAGATATCTTCCAATTGGTCTTGGTTTTGTACCGAATTGGTCATGAAGACTACTTGCACACAATACTTTGGAGCCCATGACGCATGCTTTGATAAGCCTATCTTCAAAGGATAACCACTGGTATCTCGATGTTGCTTAGAAAAGTATGCTTTGCACGAGTGGAAACGTTCAGAACTCTAAAAGATCAGGCGAGATGCCTAGCATCAGCGATATTATTTGAAACACTGCGTCGGGCCGAACAACACGTTTCACCAATGTCTTTTTCGCTACCTTGGCTGTTTCCATGCACCCCGTGTCAAACATGCTATCAAATTCATTTTCGGCCATCGACCTTCGTATATCTCCGTCTTGGTAATACTCCTCTCTTGAAGCTGTGAGAGTGCTTTCCAAATCCGTCTTTTGCTTGCGAACAGTCTCTAACCGTTCTCGTGATGTGTAGTCAACGTCAATGTCTTTCTTCAAAGTTTCCGTCTCAACTTCAAGCATCCGCAACCGTTCATCAAGTATCGCTATATCCTTGGGCTTGAACGCCTGCTTGATAGCAAAACTTGCTGCGGCCTCATCCACCAAATCCATGGCAGAAAGCGGCATTTTGCTGCTGGAAATGTATCGGGCAGCCAAGTGGGCGGCAGCAACTAACGTTGAGTCCAAAATACGCACGCTGTGGCTTTTTTCGTAGAAGCTTCTTTTGTGTCGCAAGAGAGTTAGTGTTTCACTCACAGTGACATCAGCAATGTCGACTCTTTGGAAGTAGTTTTCAAAAATACAGTCGGAATCCATTTCACTGTGAAATTCGGCAGGCGTGGTGGTGCAGATACATTGCAATTGCCCACTTGCTATGGCATTTCTGAACAGAACTGCAGTGGCTCTGTTGCTGGTAATACAATGTACTCCTTCAACGAAAAGAATCACCTTGCACTCGGATCGTCTCAAGTAGTCCAAAACGTCGTTAAACCCATCTTCAAACCCCCATAGGTTGCGGGTATGGTACTCTAGCGAGATTGCATTCAAGGAAATAAACTTGCAATCTTGCAAATGAGGCGGTCCACACTCGATGATTCGCTTCACTGCTCCATGAACCAAAGAGAGCTTCAGAAAACTGCATCCGTTGACTAGAACGATACTGGATCGTGCCCGTTTGCAAAGCACGCCAACAAATCGCCGAATATCGTCTTCTCTTGCCAATGCAGGTTTGACTTCGCCTTGCCGTATTTGCTCTGTCAAGTCTTCACAGTGCTTGACTATGTAGCCATAAGAAGAGCAGTCTGCTGTTCTCGACGATATTTTGTGGCCGTTTTTCATGCTGACAGCCACAGATTTTACTGCTTTTGCGTAACTCTCATTGCCCTTGGTGTCCTTGGGCCATAAATGAGTGCCTAGTACGGAAAGGAGCAAGTGGAACATTCCAATATAGGAGTCGCCGTACTCGATGCGAATGCCGTTAGCCTTACGAAGGGCAATCAAAGCATCTCGAGAATACCCTGGCCCTCTTTGCAATTTTTCGTGGGCCTTGAGCCCGTTGTAGAAACTCAAGTCGGTGCACTCGTGTCTGGAGCTGCTTCTTTCCACTAGCTTTCTCAAATACAGCGACGAGTCCCATGCATTTGTCTTGAACATGACAGTGAGTAGAAGTTCAACAGTCACTTCTGATTTTCTCTTTTTGGCCCTGTGTTGGCTCGCTTTGAGAATGTCAAGAACATCGTTGGTGTAGATGTTTCCAAACGGGTCAAAGTCACTATGCGAGGAAACAGTCATCTTGGCCATGGCCATGCAAGACGCTTTCTTGCCTAGCGGCTTGGTTTAAATGATGGAGATGCATTCAACGGTAAAACCAGGGTGTTTTGAGCCACGGCTCGAATATTTTTTACTTTAGACGGTGCATTTGAAACAAGCTTGTCGAGAGATCTAGGCACCGAAACAATGAGACAATGGTAGAAGTGATAACAACGAGATCATGTGTTCAGTCTTTCGTGGAAGGTAGACAGTAAGAAGGTTTGCGATAACAGCGTCCAATCAATGAAGTGTTGTCTTATCTTTTAATTGAGGTATTGTTCTTCTGCTGGCAATATGAACCAAATCGCATAAAGTACTGCGCAGACATGGACATTTGCACTTTTCGCTGTTTTGCGCATAGACATTCAATATCACCATGTGTAGATACATCATGCAAAACCAATCCCGTTATTGCTCCCATAGCTACAGAAGTGGGTTCCGGATCCAAATACCTTTTAGCATTTCACAGTGGGTCAGCAAACTCGGCCCAATGGGACAATACTGTCTGATCTCGTAAAGGAAAGACTCAATTTCAAGATCCAGATTCTAGAAGTTAAAAGTGGGTCAAGACAGAAGAGACCGCACGGGTTTGTCTAATCTTGCGCAAAATCTGTGGTCTTATCTCAGCTTATCTATCGCATCAATCTCATTCTAATGCCACCACCAATCTACACTACTGAAATACTAATCTACACTGAAATACTAATCTACACTGAAATACTAATCTACACTGAAATACTAACCTCACTGGAATACTAATATACACTGAAATACTAACCTACACTGGAATACTAATATACACTGAAATACTAATCTACCACTGAAATACTACCACTGAAATAATCTAACCCACATAAACACACTATAACCTAACCTTAATTAACCCAACCATTTTTTTTCTTGCCAAGCCCTGAACCCAACTATCCCCAATCCAGAGCCTTACCAACCCGGTGACATGCGGGTGATCGGAATCCTCCGCATTAAAGGAAAACACTAGAACCTGTCTAAAGTCGAAACGTGACCAATCACCTGGCTAAGGATTGTGGGGGACCAAGAAAACGGCACTGCAGTACCTACTAAAAAATCTCGCCAGTGCTCCGCACCGCCCCAGATGAGACTGAGGGGAGAAATCGGATGAACACACAAAGCTTCCGAAAGACTGTGGTCGAGAAATTGGGCTGGTGTGCTGAATTGAATAGGTGTACTGAATTGAACGGTTACGGAAGCCAATATATGGTCAATTGAGAAAGAGCAATATGTAACCAATTGATTACTTATACGGTTGAGGTAATTTGATAGTGCGAAAGACAAGCCAACAAAGAAGATCTCGGTCAAAGTAACCAACGTATCCAGCCAATGGGCAAATTGAGTCGGCAGTGTTTTCATCCAGCACAGCTTTTTTTTTTTATTTTTTAGTCGACATTTTCCCACCGACTCTTCTCTTCTCGAGTAGCCAGTATTTTCGTCTTTGGTCTCCTCCCCTCTTCGCCCTGCACCGCATTTTGTGGGGAGCATTTTGTGGGGTCGCACAAAGTCCGGCCGAAACTATATAAGGCAAGACCCGCGCCGTTTCAGCTTTTCTCTGCTCTTCAGAAAACGCTCTTGCGCCCATTCCACCCGAAACCGTCAAAGCGTCTACTTCTGTTTCTTCTCCCATGCCTGAACATTTGGCCATGGATCACGAGGGGGCCCAGCAGCCCCCACAAGGTTTCTTTGACAGATCCCACTCCGCTCCCAACTTGAGCTCTTTGGACGAGTACAATGCCATGTACAAGCAGTCCATTGACGACCCGGCCACGTTTTTTGGCAACCAGGCCCGCGATCTCTTGTCGTGGAGCACGCCTTTCAACGTCGCCCGCTACCCGGCGTCGCCCAAGGACGACTTTGCCAACGGCGACATTCCAGCGTGGTTTCTCGGCGGCCAGTTGAATGCGTGCTACAACGCAGTCGACCGCTGGGCCTTCGAGGACCCAAACAAGCCCGCCATCATCTACGAAGGTGACGAGCCCGGAACAGGCCGCATCATCTCCTACGGCGAGTTGTTGAAGGACGTGTGCAAGTTGGCCCAGGCGTTGGTCAAGGCCGGCGTGAAAAAGGGCGACACCGTTGCCGTGTACTTGCCCATGATTCCCGAGGCCATTGTCACCTTGTTGGCCATTGTGCGTATCGGTGCCGTGCACTCGGTGGTGTTTGCTGGCTTTTCGCTGACCTCGTTGCGTGACCGTATTGTGGACGCCGACTCGCGCATCGTTATCACCGCCGACGAGAGCAAGCGTGGTGGAAAGACCATTGAAACAAAGAAAATCGTTGACGAGGCCCTCAAGGACTTGCCCCAGGTGCGCAATGTGTTTGTGTTCAAGCGTACGGGAAACAAACATGTGCCCTTCTATCCGGGCCGTGACTTGTGGTGGCACGATGAGTTGGCCAAGCACGGCAACTACTCTCCCCCAGTCGCTGTCGACTCCGAGGACCCATTGTTTTTGTTGTACACATCCGGCTCCACAGGTAAACCAAAGGGTGTGCAGCACAATGTCGCCGGTTATTTGCTTGGTGCGTTACTCACAACCAAGTACACTTTCGACGTGCACCGTGATGACATCATCTTCACTGCCGGTGATATTGGATGGATCACGGGCCACACATACGTGGTCTACGGTCCTTTGCTCAACGGTGCCACCACAGTTGTATTCGAAGGCACTCCAGCTTACCCAGACTACTCGCGGTACTGGCAGATTGTTGACGAGTACAAGGTTAACCAGTTCTACGTGGCGCCAACCGCGTTGCGTTTGTTGAAGCGGGCTGGCCCCTCCTTCATCGAAAAGTTCAAGTTGGACTCCTTGCGTGTGTTGGGTTCTGTCGGTGAACCTATTGCAGGAGAGGTGTGGCACTGGTACAACGAGCACATTGGCCGTGGCAAGGCTCATATTGTGGATACCTACTGGCAAACCGAGTCTGGCTCTCACTTGTTGACCCCGTTGGCTGGTGTAACCCCTACCAAACCCGGTTCCGCGTCCTTACCATTCTTTGGTATTGACGCCCATGTGTTGGATCCTGTCACGGGTAAGCGCTTGACTGAGGATGGCGTGGAAGGTGTTTTGGCCATCAAGAACGCCTGGCCTTCGATCGCACGTGGTATTTTCAACGACTACAACCGGTTTATCGACACTTACCTTGGCAACTACAAAGGCTACTATTTCACGGGCGATGGCGCAGCAAGAGACAAGGACGGCTTTTACTGGATCTTGGGCCGTGTCGATGATGTGGTCAATGTGTCTGGTCACAGATTGTCTACTGCAGAGATTGAGGCGGCGTTGATCGAGCACGAAATGGTTGGTGAAAGTGCTGTTGTTGGATACGCAGACGACTTAACGGGCCAGGCTGTGGCTGCGTACGTGTCGTTGAAGTCTCAGTTCAAGTCTGATGACAAGGACGCGATCGACGCCATCAAGAAGGAGTTGATCTTGACTGTCAGAAAGGAAATTGGACCTTTCGCTGCGCCAAAGTTGATTTTGTTGGTGAACGACTTGCCAAAGACGAGATCGGGCAAGATCATGAGAAGAATCTTGCGTAAGGTTTTGGCCGGCGAGGAGGACCAGTTGGGTGACACCTCGACATTGTCCGACCCTAGTGTTGTGCAACAGATCATCGACGTTGTCAAGGAAACAAGAAAGTGAGCCATCATACTGCTGTATCGATAATATTTATTGTCCGTCTGAACCATGTAGAGCTGCAGTCTCTTCTCTACCTTATCTAGTTCCGATCACCTCATATCTCCGTTCCCTGGTCATCTTATCTCTCTTGCTCAGATCTATACATCATTCGTCTTCGTCTCATTATCTATTTCATGATCTCTTCTAAAAGAGCGGCGGCCGTTGGCTTGGGTGCCATAGCATGCGACTCGATTCCCTTTCCGTTCAAGTACTCTAGTGTGGTGGGGCCGATGCTGGCAATACGAACGCCGTCCAACAGAATCTTGCCCTTCTGGATATGCTCCACTATTTCCTCTGTACCCTGCGGACTGAAAAACACTAGCCAGTCCACCTTTTCCTCGCAGCACGACACAAAGTTATCGAGAATGCCTGCCTTTGGTTCTGTTTTATAAATGACCACCTCTTCCAAATCAACGCCCTCTTGCTTCAACTTCACCGGAATGATATCTTTGCGTATGACTCCCGTGAAAAAGACAATCTTTTTCGGGCAGCCCCGCTTCTCCTCCAAGATGATGTCGGCTAGCTTAGATCCGTTGCCGGCCAAGGAGCCCCCTCGGACATCGGAGAAGCCTTTGGCTCGGAGAATTTCCTCCGTCGCAGGCCCAACGGTGTAACCTGTTTTGGCAATGATTTGCTCCACCTTGGCTGGATCTCGAGATCCAATCACAGAAAGACATTCGTGGAACACTTCCACTGCACGTTGCGATGTGATGATGAAGCTGTCTGTTTCCGTTAAAAAAGTTTCGCTGGCCAAGTATTCTGCTGTCTGATCTATATCGATGGGCGCATGGTTAAGAAGAGGAACGAAAACAGGCTTGTGGCCGCTGGAAGAGAAAACGTCCTCGTACGCGTCTTTCGGCGTCGTTTTGTTCTTCAAAAAAAGAACCCTTTTCCCACATTCAGCAACACAAGGCATGTGTTGGAGTCGGCAAATGACAGTAGAGTGATATGTCAGAGGCGTGCACCCACCAACACGTTGTACCCACTTCAGCCTACACCACTACATCACCTACATCCATACGACTTATCCTTATTAGCGTGTATTGCCCCAATCCAGAACCTACAACTCGACTACATGTCGCATCGGCTCAGTAGAAAAAACCCGGGCCAATCTTTCGTGACCCACAACCAAATTCCCAATGGTGTTCCTGCACACCTGCTTCAACTGCTCAACCATTTCAACCTTGTAGCCAGTAATGGATACAAACGAGAAGAAACATATAATCATCACCAACACCGGCGTCCAGAAGAAAAGCAACATCTTGTCATTCTGCACAGTCTTCCGTGGGTGGTTGATGAATGACATCACCATGTCCTCCGACGAGTCTGATGCAACATCTTCTTGCGCATCTTCAGTCACCCCAAACGATTTGGATCCCGGAGCAGCGTCATCATCCAATTCATGGCCAGCGCTGGCCCGAGAATTGCTGAAGGGGAAAAGATCATCGTACGTTGGCAAATCCATTTCGGTGTCATTAGAGAATACAGCATTCTTAACCTTCTGCCACAAGTTGGGTTCGGAACGCATGAGGCTCGAGCTAGACCCTTCCTGAAGAACCCGCTCTTGCGTGTCCGTGTCGTAATCTGAACTAGAGTAGTCATCGTCGTAGTCATCCGTATACTCGTCTTCTTGGTCTGCGTCGTTGTGGTCAAGGTCCTCGCAGAAAGACAAGTTGTCTTCAGAGTCCCGCTCAGAATCAGCAAAGTCATCCGAATCATTAGCAAACGGCGTTGGCGATTTCGGCGTTGGAAGTTCACTGGTACCCTTCGTCAAGCTGTGTTGCAGAGCGCCAAGCGCCAGATCCTCGCCGTCATGGACTTCAGATGAATCCATTACCATGCGAGAAATGTGTTTACTGTAATCCACCATGAACATTGAATTAAGCGAATCGACACTGAAGGATTTGTTCAACCCGTCCTCTCCAACATCCGATCCCGAGCAGATATATGAACTCGTTTCTCCTCCAAGTGCTTGGTCGGACTCGAGTCCGTGGAAAATATCGAGGACGTTCATATCACAGTAATCTTTCAAGAACTTGTCGTTGCTCAACTTCAAATTCCAGTTGGATTTGCAGTCGACGAACGCTTTGATCAAGTGCCGGTTGCCACACATAGAAGCGAAAAACAACGGCGTCAAGCCCTGATTGTCCTGAATATCAATCTTGCACCCGTGTGTGATTAAGAACTTGATTAGGTGCGAATAATTTTTCAAAGTGGCCAAATGCAAAAGCGACTGGCCCTCAGCATTGCATAATTGCCAGTTTGGAATGATAATAGGACAGTTAGGGAGATCCACCAATGTGAGGAAGTTGATGAGGATTTCTTCCGTCGAAAGATCAGACCGCGACAAAACCTCGACAGCTTTATGGGCATTGCTGTACCAATCCATGTTGGCCTGGTTCATAGTCTGGTTCATTCCAGGAGTGCCATTGGGAGACGGTGTATGTCCGGCTGCCCCATTAGCACCGTCGGAACCAACAATACGCTTTGCAATGTTCTTTGCGTCTTCCAATTTCCCGTTCATTTTCAAACCAACAATTTGCAACGCCAATTCAATCAATTGGCGATCGGTGTCGTCTGTATACGTGAAAATCAGTTGTTGGCCACTTGAGAAAATATCGTCATGGTTTTCAAAACTCACCAATACTTGCCCTGGCTGCGATGCTGGAGGCAAGTATGTCACGATTGTGGTCTCAGACCAGCAATGTGTGGCCAATGCATTCTTTGTTCCAAACTTGACAATCAAGCCAGGCCGGAAATTGAAACCCAAAAGTGTAACTTCAATGCCGCCACGGATAGGGCCCTGAGCAGGAATAATCTTTTGAATTGTAGGATTGAGCGATGGTTGTTGGTAATGCTGCAAATGTTGCAGCAGACCTTGTCTTGCGATAGATAGAGACTGCGTCACTGCTTGAGGAGCTACGCTTGATGAACTTCCAAAATTATGCACGCCTCCAACAATACTATTCTTCCCATTCATATTGTGGATTGATGCATTGGTATCGCTGTTGCTTAGTGGGGAGAAACCACTGCCGCCGTTGAACATTGGGTTTGTTGAACTGTTGAAGGAATCGTCAAACGAGAGCTTCTTTCTCTTCAACCCACGCGACGCTGTATTTGAATCGGTATTTGTATCCGTATTAGCCAAGCCTTCGGTGGGTGAGTCATCAATAGACTTTGGTGAAAGAGGATGCAATCCCGAGTCCAAGTCGTGTTCCAAGTTTTCAGAGAGATCCAAATTAGCCATTCTTGAATCGGAGCCCAACAGTTCCTTTCCGCCAGCTGCGGAATTTTTCTTTCTGTCCATGATCATGATCGGGGTCGATAACAGTTTGGCCACAACCTGGCCGCTGTGATCTTTGAGTACAAAAAGAAGCTTGAAACCATTTTGCTCCTTGTGATGTCTACAATAGCATACTAGTCTTGCAGAAAAGTCAAATGCCTGGAACTGGTCGTTAGCCAAGCCTGAAGGTTCTGGAAGACTGATGATTTCTTTGCAGTTCAAGATGATAGCCTTCTTCATCATCTTATCATCGGCCCACGCATTGGGGTTGTTTTTGAGCATGTTAGAGGTGCCGTTTGTTGGAGAATTTCCAGTACTGCAATCGCTAGGTCCCGGCTTGGATCTCAGAGCTCTCTTCTGCTCTCTCTTGATGCATCGGGAACACACATTGCAAGAACGGGATAAGTCGGACGTGAGAACATACGCATCCATGTAGAGCATGTTCTGTCTCAAGACGTTAGGGAGAGAATCGACCGGGTTCTGCAAACAGAACTTGCTTTTGGAGATCAAGTCCTGTGGGATGTGAAGAAGGTTCTGTGGAGGAGGCGGCGAAAGACGAAACTGGAGCTTAGTTTGGGTCTCAACACGCGAGTATGTGGGCAAATCAAGCACTTCAAGCGTGTATGGAAGTTTGGAGAGCGCATCCGCAGAAAAATCAAGATACGAAGCGTCTGCCACATCGACAGATTGCGGGCACGGGTTTGTGTTGCAGTTGCCGAACTTGACCCGAGACATTTCCTTGCGCACCACATCGTAATTGTCAAACTGAAGGTTTCTGGATTTGGAAAAAGCGCTCTGCGGGCTGCTTGGGCCAGTGAAGGCCAGTGCCATGCCAAGCTCGTCCGTTGCGTCTCTGAATAAGGGCGGCGAAGAATGCGCTGGCGAAACTGCTTCGGCCTTGATGGGAGTTTGTTCGTCTTTCAAGCGGGAGAAAAGCTCCGAGTGGAAGTTCTCGAAGTCCTCGAGTTTCACATGGTCCGAAGGGTTGGGCGAGTTTGCGTTCATGGAGTCGAATACCCGCTGGTCTAAAAACTCGTTCAAGATATCTTGGTCATCATGGGACGTGGCTAGTAGAAGCGAATGGTCTAGAACCATATCTTCTTTGCTTGCCATAGCGACGGTAATTTTTGCTTTGTGTTCTTGTTGACGTTGCTGCGTCTTTCCTTTTCTTTTGTGCTATGGTGGTTGGCTACTATGGTGTAGGTGTTTTTTTTTTTTAGTCTTGCTCTAGGCGAACAGCGTATCTGCAGGACTTTCAGTTGGAAGCCCCTCTTGTGGCAAGGAAAAACGCTGTCTGCAGTCCCAGAGGAAGAAATTGCCCACCTCTGTAAGAAGAAAAGTTGATGGGTCTGACACGTAAGCTATTGGCGTGACGTGGCAGATCTTTAGTGGAGAGGGGTCTAAGCTAGGGGAAATGTTGGGTGCGGGTGTTGGGAGTGCACGTGAGTGTGCAGTCAGGTGACCGCCAAGGCGAAAAGAGACGATAGACAGACGAAAAAAGAGACAGGAGAAAAGAGAAAGAGACAAGAGAGATGGGCGAAAGATGATAGAGGTACGATGGTGGAGTGAGAAAGATCAAGTATACGAGGATAGTAAACGACTCAGTTCTGACAGTTCGCGTTCAACACTTGCATAGATGGCCAGTTATGCGGTAAGCGATGCATTTAGTCTGCAGATGAAAAATGTATACGAGAGAAATGATAGCCGTCCATATTTATTGCGAAATTGCGAAACGTCATTACGGAGAGAACTAAGACAGACGGTTGTGATTAGTAGATCTAGACTCGTAGATCCAGACTGGATGAATCGACTATACTCTTAAGTGCGGGGATACATACTCTAGACCCGTACATCTCCAGACAATAGTCCAAACCACCACGGCCGACTTTTACCTTCTGCTGAATGTTTCGTTCCTTCTTTGCACTGAACTTGTACTTCTTTGCTTGGTGTCAAAGCTGACCTTTTTTCATATCCAAGCCGACAGTTTGGACCATAGGTGGCAGTCTGGCCATAGGTGCTGAAATTTCGGTATTTCAATGCCCGCTTTGTCATACCTAGATTTTGCAATCCTTCACTCCACCCTAGCCCGATTCAGTAAACATGCCAGATGGAAAATGTCTAGCTAGCTCTAAGACGTGTTTGCCAGGATTCTTGTGGTGGCCCCACACACCCGTGCCTCCCACACCCACACACAAAGTTTTCCGCTCAAGTAAAAAAACCACAAGCATGCCTAAAAACACCCTATACGTGACTGGATTCACGAAAGAGTCCAAGGCAGCCGACTTGGCTCCGGACTTCGAAAAGTATGTTTCCATTTGTCTTTCCTGATCTCTACTTACGTATAGGTTCCGGCCGTCCCCGTTTCCTTTCGTTTCGCTTTGTCTTTCCTACTTTGCCATTTCCCATCCGTGATTCCTTCCTTTCTCCTCCTTCCTATTTCTCCTCCTCCCCTTCCCTTCATTTCTCCCTCCCTTCATTCCTTCACTTCTCCTTCTCCTACTTCTCCCTTTCTATCCTTCTCCTTCCTTCAGTCCTTCCTTCATTCCAGTCCTCCAACTAACACCAGATTCGGCGAACTCGTCAGACTAGACATCCCTCCTCCCAGAACCGACGACGGCGAAAAATACGCGTTTGTGGAATACAAGAGCCCCGAGGACTGTGAAAAGGCCTTGGAGCTCGACGGGAAACACTTGCCCTATGCCATGAAAGACGGCCTTGTTGTTCAGCTTGCCCGGTCGGACCCATACTCGGCGCGCCGTGGCGGCTATTCTAGGGGCGGATTCAGGGGCTATCGTGGCGGCTACGGCGCTCGTGGCGGCTATGGTGCACGTGGCGGCTACGGCTACGGCGGTCCGTACCCTCCTCCTCCACGCGGCCGTGGCGGCTACGGCTACCCAAGCTATGGCTATGAGCGTGGCGGCTACGGCGGCTACGGCGGCGCCTATGGTGGCCGCGGCCGTGATTACGGCTACGGGGGCCGTGACTATGGCTACGGGCGCGAGGCGTATGGCTACCGCGGCTATGACGACTACCGTGGCCCTGGCGACGAGCCATTTGATGGGCGCGAACGCTACCACGGGCGGCGCGAAGAGCGCAACTACGAGAGCCGGGCGGGCGAGCGCGGCGACCGTGGCGACCGCCCTGAACGCGACCGCCCTGAAAGAGGCGACCGCCATGAGCGCGACGAGGGCGACGACTACGCACGCGGACGGTATTCTCGGTCCGCGTCGCCCAAACGTGAACGGTCGCGGTCCCGGTCGCCTAGCCGCTAAGCTGGATGTATTTTGCAGCCACCAAAAGTTTGCAGCCACTGTCAAAATTACCATATTGCATGGGGTGAATGGAGTCCGATCGAGCACTTGAGTATTAACATCACAGCAAGGGACACTGCGCGGTCGCCGGTTTCGCGTCATATATAGCATCGACAATCGCCATTTACTTGGCCAAAGAAGCAAAAATAAAACCACTCGGTGCTGAGAACAGAAGCACCGACTTTGAATAAATATCATCTGAATCTTTCAAGTATACAAGAATTATCTTTGAAGGCTACAATTGGATGTTACGCTCGAGTAGTTCGATAGTGTGATAATTCTATTGTATATTTTCAAATGCACACCGCTCGTAGAGTCTGATTAATGACAGCTTATTCTTTATTCTTAGATGCTTTCCTGATATTTCCCTAGATCTCGAAAAAACACTTTCCCACCAGACTGCTAATACTCAAAGTTTCAGACGCAGGCAGATGACACAGCAGGAATTTGCTCGCCAACATCAGTAAGCACGAGGTCTAGACATCTAGCCCAGCAGGAATGCCAATTCAGAATGCCCAAATTCTTGCATGTGCCACTAATTTTCTCGCCCACTGCTGACGACGTAATTATGTTGGTCAGTTTCATTTATGGTTTGGTCAATTGCAATCTTATGGATGTAATGGTTAAGGACAAACTTGCAGCGACCAATCATACACGGCGCTTTTACATGGACGCAGTGATGCCGGGAGTTTGCGACTGATACAATGCAGCCATAGGACCAAGAAGCACCGAGTTAGGATACCGTGTGGTTGTCCGAAGCGCTGTTTCTCGAAGTGTGAGCATCACTGACGTAAGCACTAGCAGGTCTAAGCTTGACTCTTGCTCGGGGGGCTCGTAGAGGACAACTTTCCCGGCGTCGGCAAATTTCCGTGGCAAGAGCAGGCGACTGCCAGGCTCTGCACAGGCATCCATAAAGAGTCCAAACGGAGGCAACTCGTTTGGAATGTAGTTGCGCACGGGCCGCAGAAAACCTCCGCTGTCTTCGAGGAGAATGCGGTTCGACGCTTCAGGAACCGGGTCTTCCATTTCCGAGCTCGGCATGCGTTCAGACAGCAGCGTCGATGCGGCGCTGCCACGGCGGCTCGGGCGTCGTGCTCTCGGGACAAGATTATCACAAAGGGCAGGCTGTGTTGCATCCACAACAAGCAATTTCAACTCTGGGTTATAAGGAGACAAATAGTGCGCCGCCACGGACGTGCCCACGACACGGAAACGGGTGTGGTTGTACTCAAAGTCGGAGAAGGGCCGGAAATTGTTTTGGAACACTGGCACGGTGAATGGTGTTCCGTTGGGAGGCGTAAAGTGCATGAGATAGCGCCGGAAGTGGGCATGGGTACGCATATGTACCGCACAAAAGGGCACGAGTTCGCCTTCGCTAAGGCACTCGAATATCATGTACGGAACCTTGCGGCGGAACACAGACATGTACGGCACCAGGACACGGAGAATCGGGTTTGCTGCTTGTCCGTCTTCTGCAGAAGCACCACTATGATGGTTCGAAACAAGATGGCCGTTCTGGTGCGTACCACTTGTGCTGTTTCTGGCATGTCTCTCGTGTATGCTGTTCCGTTGTCTGTTCTCATGTATGCTGTTCCGTTGTCTGTTTTCGCTCATGCTATTGCGTTGTCTGCTCTCAGGTATGCTATTTTTCGGCTGTCCATCAGACAGCCTTCGTTTGGCCTTCTCTTTCTTCTTTTCTCCCTTGTCGCCCCGCTCCTTGTTCTTTTGTGAGATCTTGAACGCCTCGAAATCCTCAGCGCTGGCGAAAACAAGAATCTTGCCCAAAAGCTCCAGCGCCACCACCATGGTGCGCTTGTGGGTATACTCGTCAACGCTACGGCCCATGATCGCTGGCTGTATGGAGGCCACAGTAGTGTCGCTGCTTGGCAGTGGCAGCCGCCGTCGATTTTCCACCCGCAAGCGTCGAAGGAGGTAGGGGAGGTAGACGCTGAAGTTTTCCGCATACGTCTCCTGAAGCTGAAGCCGCTGCGTTTTTGTGTAGGCAAGAGTTTCCGTGTCACTGAGCGCAGGCGATACCGAGCGGGAAAAGCCGGGGGTGCTGTCGTAGGAATCGTCGTTGGTGTCTATGCTGGAGCTGTTGACATTGGCGGTGTGGCTGTGATTATGCTCACGTGGGTATTCTGTGTTGTAAAGCCGACTGTGGACATTGTTGTCATTTGGGCGATTGCAATCGTGGGTATAGTCATCAGTCTGAGGATAATTAAAAGTAGAGTCACCGTAGCTGGAAGGTTCAGTGCGGCCTCTTTCGTCGCGTGTATGGCGCCGTATGTTTTCGCCTTGGCCATTTCCTGGCCCTGCTGGGCCTTGGCGATCTTCTGATGCTTGGGATTCCTCAACCAGAAGTTCATGGGGTGATGCGTTTTCGGCATTGGGAGACTGGGTTATTCGAGCAGATCCGCGTGCTTTCCGCAAAAGACGCTTGGGTTCCGGCGCCGCTGCAGTCTTGTCTTGTTTTTTTCTTCGGTGGAAAAGACCCATGATTGACGTGATAACGCCTTATGGGCGCGGCTCTTTATCTCTGCACCTGCATTGTTGGCCGCGTTATCTAGACCCGGCTATGTTAATAATGCAGATATCGCCCGGTTACGAAAACGCAGAATCTGCAAGAAGCAGTTGAAAGACGGATTTGAGTCAAGTTGCGGTATTACCGTCAAAATGACGTGGCTGCGTTGATGACAGCATCTTCGCTTTTATGCCTGAATATATTATTGGGTGGATATCGCATTGCGCAGGTAGGGTTGTGGTTCTTAATTTATGTACGTGTTATTTAATTGATATGTTATTTAATTGATATGTTATTTAATTAGTATGTTATTTGAGCTGATATATGTTATCTGAATTGATATATGTAAAGATTGATACACGAATGAAATCTTTAGCGACGATGTATCTATCACTTTGACCGTGATAATTATTATTCGGTCTTTGCGAAGTCTTCGCATACTTTATGTGATCCGGATGAATTTAGTGGAGCATCAGGAGATTCGCCAATCGGGCATGTAGATCTACACATTCGCCTTAATACAGCTTCATTCGCCTTAATACAGCTTGATTCCAAGCTCAGAAACCACCGTTGAATTGGCCACCGAGCTTGATATACAGGTGAATTTCTGAAGAGCATGGAAAGTCTAAGATCTCCACTCCAAAGCAAACTAATACAAAAACAGAAATCAAACGGCAATGGTACGCAAACAATAATACAAAAAAAAAAAAAAAAAGCAGAAAACCCAGCAATGATAAAACAATAAAGACAAGGAAAAGAAACAGTAATTACACAATAGTACGCAATTGAAATACAGAACCAAAGTACCAGGCCGATCTTCAGAATCGCAGTCGCCTATCATGGTGCGAAAACCACCTCATGACAAGCATACTCCTATTGCTTCATTACCATCTTTTCTTTTTCCAACGCTTATGTAATTCCACAAGTGGCCGAAATCGCTCAACGTGGGGCACGACCATGTCAAGCCAATTTCTCATTGCTGGTCTGTTTCGGCCTATTACCCAATCTCTGACCATATCTCTTCATGTAACCACATCTTTGTGAAGCCGCTCGATTGGCGTCATTTCCTCCTCGTTACATTCACAACTGGCCTTCTTTCATCTTCTCTGGCGTTTCTTTGGTCTTCTCCACATCGCGTGCAGTCTATCACCTGCACCGGAGTACCCAGTCTTCCAGATTCCACCCATCTAACTCCTTTCCACCAAGTTACTCTTTTCATCATGGCTCAATTACGTCGTTCTGCCCGAGTTCAGGCTTCTTCTACTGCCCAAACTGCTCCACCAGCGAAAAAACAAAAGACTGAGAGAAAGCCAGTCGAAGCAAAGCCTAAAACCGCCGAGCCACAGTTGGACATTGGCGATGCCATTCCAGACATCACCTTGGCCAACGAAAATGGAGAGGATATCAATTTGGCCGAGGAGGCGAAGAAGTCCAAGTTTGTTGTGATATTCGCTTATCCCAGAGCCTCGACACCTGGATGTACCCGTCAGGCTTGTGGATTTCAAAGAAACTTTGAAGCTTTCAAAAAATTGGGCGCAACTGTTTTTGGTTTGCTGGCAGACCAGCCAAAGGCTCAGCTTAACTTTGTATCCAAGCAAGGTCTTGGAGTACCTGTTATTGCTGGACCCATCGAGAGAATTGATTGGTCGTTTAGGTGCCCGCAAATCGCCTTCTGGTGTTATCAGATCCCACTGGGTTTTTGTTGACGGCAAGCTTGCTGTTAAGAGAATCCAAGTGAGTCCAGAAGTGAGTATCAGCAGTGCTTTGGAAGAAGTGAAGAAGTTGGCAGACGGAAAGGAGGATGCGACCGAAGCAAAGGAAGAATCAAAAGAAAAATCGAAGGAAGAACCAAAGGAAGAATTGAAAGAAGATGAACCAAAGGAGGAAGCAAAAGAGGACGGATCCGATGCAAAGACTGATGAAAAAGATCAATTGAATGAGAAGGTCGAAGTTGGCACTGCCGACGAAAACGGTTTGCCCAAGGCAGAACCAGCGACGGCTCAAGTATGAAAAAACTGCTCGAAAGCTGGTGAACCAAAGTCACATTTGTAAAGATCAGCTTAAGCTCAAAAGGTGATATAGACCATAAAATTTCAGTAATCAATACTACGATGTTTTAGTAAACCGCATTGAGAAGATCGTCCACCTTCTCATATTATCTAAATTTCAATTAATTGTATTTATAAATAAGCATACTCCTAGAACAAAAAACGTCACAATTAAAAGTGACATAGTTCGTGTTATCGAAGTAAAAATGAAAACTCTATTCCATTCACTACTTCATACGGCTGATTGGATGAGTTTTCAGTTTATCTCCCGTTTTTTTGTCAAAAAAGGAAATTGATAGGGTAGTAATAGGTAGTAATTTGTTGATACCGAGAATAGAGGCATTTAATTTTTTGAAAAGTCTACAGCACTAAGAGAATTCATTTGGTAGCGTAGCCAGCAATGATTATTGTGTTCCATACATTAAAACACGAAGGTTTAATGGCCCATGACCGTGTAATTACTATAAACAAGTATTTTTAATTAATTTTCTTTACGAGTGAAATAGAATAGAGTGTAGAACAGTCCATCGAGATTTCATCAGCAGCAACAGAAACTTCTCGGGGAACGTGAACTAGGAACTTATAGATGGACTTTCTCATCCTTCCAGGGACGATGATTTATATGAGGAACTCAAATGCGATTTAAATAACCTTTTGGTCTAGGCGGTATGCAATAGGCGAAACTGTTTCAGCTAAATCAATATTCTTCAAACACGCTTCGCTTCCAGTTCTTTTACTCAACCTTCTCTCTTCTCTTGGAAGTCTTTTCCCTCTTTTCTTCCCAAAACACATAAGCTGAATGGAAGAAAACAGCAACTAAAAGCGCCACTTTTGAAGCCCACCACACATGTTGCACCACAAAAGAGCAGTACGTAAATCCAAAACGCCATTGGTCGCCATCAAAATGGCCTGTCATCAATCCTGTAGCGCCGTCATACTCTCCCATCATGGAGCGCACAACAATTTCATGAACTGGAGCTCGATCACCAGTCTGTGGCTTCTTTTCAGCCACCCATTGTCCGCCAACATGACTGTACCACAGATCACAGCCCACATGGTCGTGACCTGTAAGAATAATGCCTTCCTTCCCGTGGTTTGGGAACACAATGTCCAAAATCTCTTGAGAGGTGTTGTACAGCAAATGGTTCTGAGACCGAAGCTTGCCATTCTTGTATGGTTCACGTTTGAAATCTTTATAGTAAATATGTTCTGGGCCATCTGCACAAAGTCCGGCCCGCTTGTAAAAGGGGATATGGGTCATGAGAATCGTCGAGCCTTTGAAGTCGGCGTTGGACTGGTTGAGCTCGCGCAAAAACGACCATGTGTACTGGCGAAACTCTTCTTCGAGGGCTGGACCTTCGAGTGTAAGCGAGTCCAACACCACAAGACGCCATTCTTCTGGTGTTCCCGCATTGTACACTATAACGTAGTTGTTCTGGCCGAAAAGCAAATGGAAACGGGCCATGTGTTGCCACGTGGCATCTCCGCTGTAGCCAATGTCGTGATTACCAGTCAAGTTAATGAAAAGCGGGTTTTGGTAATTTGGGCCCGCACCAGGAACATACCAATCGTAAGTGTCGTGGTACAATCTGGAGCGGAACCTGTCCTTCGGGTCAATTTTTCTCTCACGCTCCATCCACGATATCCAATCATAGTCCTGGTGCTTGGCCCACGTTTCCATCACTGTTTGCTTGTACAAGTCATCTCTGGGGAAGAGACGCTCCACAAAACGGCGAGTCCGGTTGTAAAACTCCAGATCGAGAATCCACTGCGACAGAAACTGGTCGCCCATCACGGCCACGTGTGATGGCTGCAAACGCCGTTTCATCGTTCTGTAAATGTGGCCTAGGTAGTAGTCGTTGCCGTAGTTATCGAGCCTCTTAACATATGGGGTAGACTTCCAGTTGCCGTTGATTTGCGGATCGCCAAAGGTAAGCATGTGGATGTCACTCACTCTGCCTTCGTCATACACTGAACTGTTTTTCTCCGCTTGGAAAGAAGGGAAGTTGAGAAGGAAAATCTGGGCCCAGTTGTCTGGAAGACGATTCACGAATTCATACTTCGACTCAAGCCGCTGACCTTGCCAATGACATTGCTCGGCAGAATTCACGATGTTCGGATAGAAATAAACAAAGAAATTGAGCGCAAGAGCAATTACCGTTACTGCCCAGCGGGATTTGGCGAAAAAACCCATGGAGTATGTGTCTGGTGATTTTCGCACGCGACTGAGATTGTGCGTATTGTAGAAAATATATGTTTAGGCACTTTCTTATTGATTGATTTTTGATCTTGATGGAGTTTATTTTCCTCACGGTTGAAAGGTTGTGAAGTGGAAAATCAATTGTTGTAAAGAGAGAAATTCATCTACGATGTGGTAGGTTCGATTTAGGGAAAATTCATCTACGGTGTGGGAGGTTCGATTTAAGCTGATAGAAGTCTTTGTTTCAAGATATAAGACGGCGATAACGGCCGACTTGTCTGTGGTTATGAAGTTTTATTCTATAAGCCAAACTTGCGTTCGTGTAATATTACTCTGTTCAGAAAGAATTTTGAAAGGGCAGTCGATCGCAGTATTCAACAAACACCGAATGTTTCGAATGATTCTTTCTTGATTCGTTCCAATTAGTATCGGGTGGTCCTTTTGGATTTTAGATCTTGCTCAAGTTGTTATCTGATCTCTGATTGAGTAGTTAAGACAATCGGAGAGGACTGTGAATCTGCTCTTTAGAAGAGTTGAAACCTGCTAATAAACAGCGTAACAAAAGACTCACATTCAACTTGGTTCTACTCTTCTACATTTTTGCCAGTTGTTTTGTTCAAGTTTCGTTCTCATTAACAACATTTCCAGAAACGGAATCCGAGCTGCTGTTCTAGAAGAATGTTTTGTTGAAAGTGACTAACTTTGAGAGCTTTCAAGTAGCATTTCCCTATAGTAACACTTTCACCGATCCTACTGCAGGTGAAACTCTAGTTTTGTCGTCTTAATGGCTACACACCGTTCTAATGTCGTTCATTCAGACGAATATATGTGGATCTCGTGATTTTGCACCAGCGTGCCATGCAACTTACAAAGCCTCGCCCAAAGCCAGGTTCAACTTGGAAACCTTGGACACAATAGACAAGTCGACGGTCTTGTCACCAACGTCAACAACCAAGCCGCCCAAAATGTCTGGGTTCACCTTGTTGGAGATCTTCAAGGTCTTGTCACTGCCGACAAAGCTCGACTTTTGGATGGCAGTTTGCAATCTCTTCAAGATCTTGGAGTCCAAAGGCTTGGCAGAGGTGATGGTGGCCTCAACAACACCTCTGTGGGCGTCAAACAACAAGCCAAAGTTCTTGTAGATGGAAGAGAACTCGCCCAATCTGTTGTTCTCAGACAAAACCGACAAAAAGTTGGTGACGGTCTTGTCCAACTTCAAGCTGGACGAAAGAGTGTCAATCACAGTCTTTCTGTCGTCCTTGGACAACGCTGGGTTGGTCAAGAACTCGTTGACCTTGGCGTCCTCCTTGATCAACTGAGCCACTTTGCTCAAACCTTGGTAGGAAGCTTCAACAGAAGACTCTTGGACAGAGGCAGAGTACAAAGCATTGGCATAGGTACCGTCCACGCCAAACAATTGCACAGGAGGCTTAACGGACTTGGCGGCAGAGGCCATAGAACGGGCGAAAAAACGGGAGGCCATCATCTTCTAGTTATGGAGAGGAAAACAAAAGGTGGACTTGGGTTTTCGGTTTTTCGCGCTCGGACCTGGGTGAGGGTGATGATTGGCTGGGAGGTCGTGCGCGGCCGAACTTTAGCCCCGGAGGACGCTTTGGGGACAAGAGGAGGCTTGAAGAGGAGGCTCAGTGGGTTATCAGAGGACTGGATAGCCGTGGGGAACCTCAGATGTGTGAATCTCTGTGGTCTCTTGGAGGGAAGACTCAATAATGAAGAGAGGAAAGAGATGTGTTGGCACGTGACCACTCATAAGTAAGAAGGTGGTAGAGATAGTTTAGGAAGAAATCTGTCAATGTTTTGATTGAAAAGCTCTGTAAATTGATTGGCCTAGTAAGATCTTGAGGATTTGATTGCCTAGTTGCAGATTCTGTATTTTAGGAATTACTATTCTCAGCTTTCTCAACTTGTTTCCAATTAGACTGCGAGAAGTGTAGTGAGATATTAGAACGTGTAAGCTACTAATCTATGAGCAAGATGGACATACTGTGCATGCTAGGAAATATCGAATCTCATAAACTGAGAATTGAATGAAAGGATGAGAATGTAGACCGAGAGAAGAATATGACCAAGACAGCAGTAACAAAGAAACAAGACGGATAAGACATGGAAATATTAGAAGCATGGTAAGTTAAATTTCGCATCTACTTTCAATACTCTGTGAGCACTAAAACTAAAATATAATACTTTCATCACAAACTTGTTCACAAAAAAATTGATTTTTGGGGCCACACAAGCTGGCTGAGATTTTCAAACCTCTGTGTTGAATATTTATCAGAATTTGCTTTCTCCAGCCTTGTGGTGTAATTTAGTGTTGAGAACCCACTTACAATTAGCATTCCTGCAGACAGTACAATGGGAAGATGATCAGATATCCAACTCATCAACAACCCATCTGAAACCTAGACACCCAGACACGATATCCATCATATCCCGTCACATTTCCAACGTCAAAATGAACACCAAACATCCAAACACCTTTTGCTTCTCCAAAAACACATGTACTCTACTCTTGTCCACCTACACCCGTGCACCAGGTGCTCGCACCAAAAAAAAAAACCGCCAGACAAATTTTCTAAATCACCATGTTCAGTCTTGTCCGGCGCTGGGGCACCATGTTGCCCGCCTTGTCACGCGCCCAGACCGTGTCCACGGTCTCCGCCGCAGCAACTTTAGCCACTCTGGCTGCAGACGACATGACAGACTTGGAGAAGAAAGACGCCATCTATCGCAGACAGCGGAAACTAGCCATGGCACAAGTCAAGGTGAAGTCGTATGCCAACGGCCACCTCCAGCCTGGTCTGACGCACTTCAAGAAGCCCATCCACGACCATCTTCACAAGGGGCCTCCCTTGCGCGAGTTGACCGTGGCCAAGAAGCAAACGGCAGGGCGTAACAACACAGGCCACATCACGATTCGAGGTAGAGGCGGTGGCCACAAGAGAAGAGTGCGGTTGGTGGATCTGCACCGGCTCACGGGCGGCCGGCAGACGGTTGTGCGGATCGAGTACGACCCCAACCGGTCGGGCCACATTGCGCTTCTCAAGCACAACGAAACGGGCGACTTGTCGTACATTTTGGCGTCGTCGGGCTTGCGTGCCGGCGACGTTGTGGAGTCCTTCAGACCAGGGCTTCCGGCCGACTTTTTGCGCGAGATGGAGGAGAACAACAACGGCGAGATCGACGAGGCCTTGTTGAACCTGAGAATCATGCAGCGTGGCAACTGTTTGCCCTTGCACATGTTGCCTGTGGGCTCGATCATCCACAACATCGGCTTGCATCCCAACGGCCGTGGCCAATTGGTCCGTGCCGCAGGTACGTTTGCCCGGTTGTTGTCGAAGCACCCGGCTCAGGGCAAGGTGATTGTCCGCTTGAGTTCGGGCGAACACCGCTACGTCAACATGAAATGCCACGCCACGCTAGGTGTTGTGTCCAACAAAGAGCATCAGGCCACCTCTTGGGGTAAGGCGGGTAGAAGCCGGCACAGAGGTTTCCGTCCACAAGTGAGAGGTGTGGCCATGAATGCGTTTGACCATCCGCACGGTGGTGGCCGAGGCAAGTCCAAGTCCAACAAGGTGTCGCAGTCGATGTGGGGCCTCAAGAAGTTTGCCAAGACACGGAAGTTCAAACGCGTGAACCGGTGGAAGGTCCAAGACAGACCCAGACGGTGATTGTAAATAGTCAAGCAAAGCACAGCTTTATCAGAGCTATGTAGGGGAACAGCAAAAACGGTAGCTATGTAGGGGAACAGTAAAACCGGTAGCTCCGTGGCTAGCATGCCGCCCCGCTTCCAGAGTCATCATGATTGTCCTCATTCAAGACACTATAATTGACTTCACTTATAAGTTATAATTGGTTCTTAGAGCTAATACATTCTACTGCTCAACTAATTAGTTATAGTAGCTACTGTTATAAGCGGTACATGATAGGAGCTTTGGCTGTGCCATCGGAATTTCAATTTAATTCCTGTTATGTTCCATAGCTTCACATGTTCTCAATAGGTCGATTTCAATGGAATAAAACCGACCTCATGACCAAAATTCTGAGCCATGCTATCGTTCAAGAATTCAATCACTTCCTTGTACTTCCAATAATCGCCTCTTCACTATTCTACACTTGGCTACTTATATAGGCTCTGCTAGACTGGAATCGGCATTAAAAGTGCCCAGTCTCCAGTCTGGGGCTACTCTTCCGCCGCACGCCGTGAACAAACACGAAACTCGTCTCTCCCCCAGAATATCATCTCAAAACCACACATTATGGCTAGCACTATCAGAGTAGCAAGCTGCGATTGGCCCGTTTTCTGTAAAAGCGTCACTACTGCAACACATACGAGAATCGCCAATAATGCAGACACTGACCAGTGGTTCATGAGATATGTTCGGGCTCTTGCGGGCAAAATGTATTCCCAAAACACCCAGAGCACAGTGTCGATGAAAGCCTGTCGTTGCTGTGGGAGCAAAGGGGTTGCTTCGCCCCGATCAATGGGACGAAGCCCTTCCCCTGCAAAAGATCGGTCAAGTGCGCTTGCAGGCGCCGTATCAAACTCTTCGGATCGGCCGCTTACTAGAAGTTGCAAGCTCTCATGTGGAGATGGAGGCTCTTCTTCATGGCGTATTGGGAAGTGGATGGTGTCTGGTCCAGCCAGGTTTGTCTGTGGCCCCGCCTCCTGCAAATTTTTCGGGTCTTGTTCTTGACCGTTTTTCGGTCCCTGTTCTCGACCGTTTTCCGGCTCCTGTTCTTGTGTTTTTGTTACTGCGTCCCTTGTGCTTGTACCATCAACTTCGGAGCTGGATACAAATTCACCTTCGCCATAGATTTCCAGCAACGTTGGGCTCGGCCCTCCAACGAGCTTTTCTTCGTCCTCATTTTTTGCCCTAAACCGTTTTGCTCGTATGTGCATTTGATGTTTCATGGGTATGGGTGCAAATGCAATAGTGCGAATAGTGGTTAGAAACAAGTCTTTACTAGCAGAGGGAGACTTTCTTCGTCAGAAATAAGTCCGTCGTCGTTTTCCAAAACAAAATCAGCAATCCCTTGCGGACTGACGTTTTGCTGTCCGTATTTTTTCTCGTATTCAACATCGCCATAAACATAGTGAAGCATCTTCTCTGCTAAGGGCGAGACCCAGATCTGGTCTCGCTGGAAAAAGTCCACATCGGAGATTTCCAAATACACAAGTGCCACTTTGGGGCTGATCCGGAGCCCACCTACAACTCCGAATTTCAGCCGAAGTTGGAAGAGCGTAAGGAATCGGAGATTGGCCTGTTTCACCAACAATAGACTGTGCACGGTGTGATACGTTATACGCTGGCCATATCGAGACTCAAACCTCTCGATACACTCCTTGGTGAAAAGAACAAGGATTTTATGGCTTGAATCATGGAGCACGGCACTGATTTCGCCCGAGTCGGTCAGCTTTGTGAATGCAAAGACTCTGAGAAGCGGAGTCACATTCAAGTTCGTGCAAGTCGGGCTTTCGAACTTGATGAAGTTTTTGACCAAGAGGTTTGTCGAGTAGATGGACTGGTCTCGAATACAGCCTGTCACAAGACCAAGAACCCAAGAGTTTAGAAGAACTATGGGGTAATCCATGGCGATGGAGCATTGTGCAGGTGAGAACGAATATTTTAAAATACCCAAGAATAAACGTATATACATCGAAATATCTAAAGGTGAAGAGAATGACAGTCTTCTGGTCAAATGTCTGAAAATTTTTCATGGCTACTTCTTTTTTTCTTGTGGCTTTTCTATGTTGTGTATTTTGCCATATCTTGTCTACCCTCATACAAAGTGAGAACCATCTCAATTCCGATACTAGCCATTTAATTGATTCCAAAAATTCAGAAAAACATAAAGACCGCAACACTAGGGTTATCCAACAAAACTTACTTTATATCAAATCATGAATTAAGTATATACATTATACATTATACGCTCTCATTGGAAAGACGTCTCTTTTTCTTGCTAAGTCTTTGCAAGCGCTTGGCCTCTCTCTTCTCTGACTTTTTCAACTGCTCTTTTTGACTCTTTGCCACCTCCGCTTCTGAAGTTGCTGATGTGGAAAGTTCACTCAATTTGGCGTAGAAAGGCTTTTGACACGCCAAGTCATTGTAGCGAATAGTCATAAAGTCGCTAGCATAGCAAATATCAATGTCATCGAAACCGAGTTTCGACTCATTCATTGTGAAAACATTTGTGGTTGAACGCCCGATATATGCCTTCAAGTTTTCACACAACCTATCGTACTCTTCAGCATCACGGATGAAGCTATGTTTCTCCGAAAATCTTGCACTGAAATGAGTCAATATCACTTTTGGACAGCCCATCAACTGTGCCACTCGCACAGCTTCAACCACAGTGGAATGCTTTTTAGCAATGGCCTCTTCGATAAGATCATTGTCCAAAGACGCCTCATGAATAAGCAAATCGCTATCAGACCCACTTTCGATAAACCTTGTGCTTGGCCGCGTATCTCCTGAAAACGACACTTTGAATGTTTCGGAAGAGGACAAGCTGAAACACAAACTGACAGAGTATGACCAATAGCAGTGGATCGCACGGACAGTGCGGATATTCGCCAAGTTCAAGTCACGATAGAGCATATCGATGCGGCTTGTTTTCGGCAATGCAGAATCCTCCTTGGGGATACGGTCAGTCAATCTGTTGCTGTCGTACTTTTCTTCGAATTCGTCTAGGGTAAACTGTTTGAGCTGAGCCTCTGGAGTCCGCATGAAATCCTCGCAGCTGAGGTAGACAATCCGACTCATGTCAATATTCGAAGTGTATTGTTCCAACCTATACCACTCGGTGATAAAGTTATTGTATTGCCACGGAATCACCAAATAGAGCTTATCGGTATTATTTTTATTAGCTTCAGCCCATGCGCTTATCACAGAAATGATACCCAAGTGGTGGTCTGCGTGCAAATGGCTGAGATAAATGAGCCTCAACTCGGAGAAAATCTGCTTGAGTTGCTTCAGACTATCATGACCAAAGTTCCGCATAAGGGTGCCAATGGTGTTTTCGCCACCATCAAGCAAAATTGCACGGAAGCGTATTTCTTGCGTCTCTTCGTCTCTGTAAGGAATCCGAACAAGGTTCGAGAGCACATTTCTATGGATGGACGGGAGTGCAGATCCTGTTCCGAGTGTCACCACTTGAACATGGTCTTTCAAGCTGCTTGCGTTTGGAATAGGCAGAAGAGGGAGAATGCCGTTCTGCAAGATTGTGCTTTTATCTGTTCCCGCAAGCACTTCCAGGGACGGAATTTCAGCATCGTACAAAGACTCCCAGGTCTCACTGATGATATTTTGTTCGTCCAAAGACACTCCCAGGGGATCGATTGTGAAGTACTGAAGAGACAGCAATTTGTGCGTATTTGGCGATAGGTCCAACGGCAGGTGTTTTTCGATGTATGGCAACGAAAAGCTGTTGTTAAGTACACATTTGAGCTTAAGCAAATGGACAGCAGCCGTTCTGAAGACCAAAGTATCGTCAGCGATCAGGCTATGACTAATTACATGCTGGCAATCTTGTGGAAACTGCGATATGAAGGAAATATAGTCTGCGCTCCGGAAATCAATGTCATCGCCCAAAAAATGGTACACGAGACCCGGAAGCTCTTGGCCGGCCTCTTCTGATTGCAAAAACCACTCGTCAGATCGAAGCGTGTTCTCGAGATAGTTTGCATTTGGAATGTCGATGATCACAAGCTTGCGAAAGGATTTTGGTTCAGCCAAGACCTGATGAGAGTGAACCAATTCATTCTTGGAGTTGAGCACAGAGTCACCCATGGTCAACTTTCTATAGTTGATACCGGGCTCGACTCCAAGCGCTTTGGCTTTAACCGGATCAAACTTTCCTCTCACGGGAAGAAAACGTATCACAAAACTTAGGGCCGGCTGAGAACCCACATCAACCAATTCAGAGGGTTCTGGAAGTCGGACATGCGTTTGGATTTCATTTTCGCTTGGATCCGACTTGTGCGATGCGGGATCTCTACTATTAGCGGCTGAATCGGGGGGAAACATGAGGGACGTGAGCTTTTTAAGCTGTGAGAGAATCTTTGCCAGAGCACCCATCGGAGACGAAGAGCGGCTGGGGATTTTCACAGGGCGAAAAACAGTCGTAGAGTCGCCAATAAGGTTTTCCAGCTGGGTGTCCAACACGTTGAGCTCGATTCCCTTTCGGAAGACAAAGTAGCGCCAAGTCGCCACAACGTAGGCCATGACGCTGCTGGAGTTGGTGAAAACGTCGATTCCGCGGCTCGTGGCATCGCTGATGGTCAAAAACAAGCCGGGCAAACCGCCAATATCGCTCCAAGTCTGGACGGTTCCTGTTAAAAAGATGCTTTTCAATTTTCCCAACTTGACGCCATTCTCGTTGAGCACACGCTGCGCTCCTTCGGGCACCTTGCCAAAGAAGTACCGCGAGCCTTCCCGACTGGTGAGCATCACCATCGGATGCTGGCAATCGCTGGTCTTGTGGCAGATGGTCGAGACAGAAAACATGTGGGAAGAAGAAGTTGCCGAGTCAGAGAAGCGCAGGAAATACAGCAGGTGGTGAGCAGGCGAATCGAAAAAGCGCGGCGGCTGGACACTGGCGCCGGGGGGTTTTTGGAGAAACAATTTTCTCTTTCCGGGGACAGCTGGGCGAAACAAGATTGCTTATGGAGCCAAAGACATGGCGATGATTTTTTCGCACCCAGAAGCGCGCGAGATGAGAAGGTAGCAAAGGAGACAGAGTACGATGAAAAGGAAGAGGGGTGCTACAGAGGAAGAAACAGGCAAGAAAAGCCAGAGAAGTTGAAAATCAGCAAGCTTTCAAAAACCGGAGAAACAGAGCTTGACGATGGGTTGTATGGGGTTCAATGTGCAGGAACGACCCCAGACTGATAGCCAGCATGTGAGGAGACAGAAAGTCGCAAGAAAGATAAAGGCAAAGAAAATTGGGCGGTTGGAAAACGAAGAGAGAAGAAAATTGAGACAAGGAAAAATCAAGACAAAGAAAACCGAGACAAAGAATAATTCATGTTGCCCAAGCAGTGTATTTAGCCGAGCCAAGTTTAGTCAGCGAGTCATACAAGTATCAGACAGTCAGGTATTGCATTCGTCTCAAGCAAGCCAAAAGCCAACCACGCTAGTCGAACCACTCTATCATACAACTACTCTACCATAAAACTATAAAGTCGAGCGACAAGTCAACAAATCGACTGCCATCAACCCACATCCATCAGATCAACAGGCGGTCAGAGCATCTACTGTTTCGCTTCGTTAGGCCGCTGTTCTCCTGGCGTCTATTCTGTCGCTACTTCTAAAACATCCCTCCTGACCCTTGACCATGGACTCTCGCACAGACCGGGCGGATATTCCAGCGGACATTATCGAGCACCTTTTCACGCAGCACCCCCAGTTGCGCCCTGCGGCAGCCGTTCCTCGCCCCGGATTATGTGCGCGCGCGCAAGCTTTGGCGCGGGCCTTGCCCATTTTGGGGCGGCTTGCGCCCGCGCCCGACCTGAAACAGGCGCTCATCGACCAACTCTTGGCCCAGCAGCAGAACGCAACCACTTATCGCCAATGGTACGACGCCAGTGCCCAGCTCGACGAGCTTTCAGGCAACAACCTCTGGAAAGCCACGCCGCAGTGCCGGCACTACGACCACCGCTTAGTGCAAAAAAACCTCGAAGAAATGCGCTCGGCCCGCCTCAGGAAAGACCATAAGCTTCTTCTCTACCTCATTCGCACCAAGTGGACACGAAACGTCGGAAACATGGGTGCCTTGGGCCTCTACCGCCATTCGCATGTGGGAACAAAACGTCTCGTGGAAGAATATATCGAAGAGTGTCGCCAATGCTTGCACTATTTGGTCCATGATCCAAGCGTCCACCTAAACGACCGGTACCTTCTAGGCATGCTTATCCAGACACGCAAGAACATTGGCCGCACTGCCTTGGTTCTCTCGGGAGGATCGACTTTTTCGCTCTCGCATGTCGGCGTTTTGGTGGCCCTATTGGAAAACAGTTTGGTGCCGCGCATCATCAGCGGATCGTCATCGGGGTCCATCATCGCCAGCATTTTGTGCTGCCACACAAACGACGAAATTGGCGAGTTGCTTATGGGAATTACAGAACGGCGCTTCACCATTTTCGGCACCGAGTCCGAGAAAGATGGCAGGCTCAAAGTTTTCCTCCAACGCATCGGCCACCTCCTCAAGTTCGGCACGTTTTTCGACATTTCCGGCTTGCGCCAGACCATGTATGATTTTGTGGGAAACATCACCTTCCGCGAGGCGTACAATCGGACGGGGAAAATCCTTAATGTGACGGTGTCTCCCGCAACCAAGCACGAACAGACCCGGCTTCTAAACTATTTAACAGCGCCAAACTGTCTTGTGTGGTCAGCTATTTGTGCTTCGTGCCTGTTACCAGGGATATTCCCATCCAACTCCATTTACGAGAAGAACCCCAGCACCAACAAGATCCACGAGTGGAATAACGACGAGTCTTCGAAATACGTTGATGGGTCAGTGGACGGCGACTTGCCCATCTTGCGTCTTTCTGAAATGTTCAATGTGGACCATATCATTGCCGTGCAAGTAAATCCGCATGTTTCGCCCATCTTGAAAGTATCTGTTTCCAGTGTGGGAGGAAAAGCCGATAGTGAGCTCAGTGAAACTGTAAAAGGTCTCTTGAACAATGCCTACGATTTTATAACCAGCGAAATCATTCATGCATTGCAGATTCTCCATGAGATGAACATCTATCAAAATTTGACACTAAAATTGATTTCGCTTCTTTCTCAGCTGTACTCGGGCGATATCACCATCCTTCCCCAACTTGAGTTGCGTGATTTCCTCAAGGTGTTTCAAAACCCAACTCCTCAGTTTATGCTCGACTTCATCCTCAAGGGCGCCAAAGCTGCATGGCCCAAGATTACCGTGATCAACAATCATTGCGGTGTGGAGTTTGCTCTCGATAAAGAGATCTCGTTTGTTCGGGGTCGTTTGATTGCAGAAGCCAATAGCAGAATAGCTCAGGGCTTTACTGATTTTCCGAAAGCTTTCGACTCAAATGACTATCTTGTCAGTTCTCCTGTGCTAGCCGAAGAAGCCAATGCAGTTAGTCCTGCAAAGCAACGAGCGAAGGCAAAAATAAGGAGACACAATCTGGTCACTAGTGGTGAGGCTCGTTGGCAACGACATAGTCCTGTGGTGCACCGGAAAAGAAACTCTGTCAGTTTTGTTGACCGAAACTTGAGTTTCCGAGGCAAATCCACAACGTCCTTGAATTCCATGGGAGGCAAAGAAAGGGAGTCAGAAAGGGAGTCACCGTTTTTCAAGACTCCGCAAGCCAAGTATATCTCTAACGGGGGTGATGGCGATAGCCAAAGCACAAGAGGCACATCTTTCGACTTCCGCAGTCCGCATCATGAGAAGTACTTGGACACAGATTATGTACCAGCTTCACCGAAATCAGAGCCTCGAGAGCCCCGTGATAAAGCCAATCTCCCACGTGTTCTGCGAGCAGGCTCGCTTCGGAACTCGTATGTTGGACTCAACAGGATCAAAAATTCGGGAGAAGGCGATTCTCCTCTCAGCTCACCTAAAAGTTTAGAAAAGGCGTACCTTGAGCTTGAAAAGAACTTCAAAAATCTCCAACCAGCGACATTGAGACAGCATTTTAAAAAGCCAAAGGAGGAGAAAAGACTATCATTTTATTTGGAAAAGGGAGGAGATATGAATGGCAAGCAGAAAAGTGACGAGCAGAAAAATGACGAGCAGAATAATGGACAGAAAAAATGGACAGAGTCTTGCATCCGATGCGGTAGCAGAAACCAAGAAAAATGGAACAACAACAAATGACGAGGACGATGCGGAGTCGTTCGAAGATGCGTCACCTGTTCTCGAAAACAGTGTTGGGTATTTCCCGTACACTGATGATTAACCCAATTGAGCAAAAGCGACTGGTACTACCATTCCCAATGCAGCAAGAAGTAACTGCAGGCGAGACATGGATTCGGGCCTCTGTTCTTCCATAGGAGAATAGTCGGCCTTGTGTGTGATTTCATTCATCACATGCATTACGCTGTACAAGAATGTTCCAGCACTGATTAGAAGAAGGCATCCCACGGCGAAAAGACTCTTCACATCAAAGCAAATGGCTATAGTGTATGTCAATATGGAAGCAAGAGGCGTTGACAAGGAAAATAGTAATGCATGAAACTGGCACATTTCAGCCGGAAGTCCTTCTTGTAGGAGTACGACAGAAAGACTCATAGCCGTAGGCAACTTATGGATGATGATGACGAAAAAAAAGAGGAGCTCGAAAGAAGTATCTCCGTTCAAGAAAGAAGTCCCCAACGCTATTCCATCAACGAAAGAGTGCAGAAGAAGCCCCACTGTCAATGTGGATGTGGCTACAGAGACAAGTTTTCTTCTCCACTCCAGGTTGTTAGAGTCGCTTGATAACTCGAAACGAAGCGAGCAATTGTCTAGCACAAACATCAATGCAAAGCCGGCTAGCAAAGACATCCCGATGCAAAACAGAGGGTCGTATTCCAGACCTTCGACGGCTTCATACAACGTTTCCACGCCCTCCGGAATCACAAGACAGAGCACTGTTCCAACCAAAAATGCCCATGCCGAGAGACGAAACAAGACCCAATTTCTGGACAGGAATGGCCACCTTAAGGGGCACAAGGGCAAAGCCGTAGGCGGCCAAGCCCATGAAAAGGGCGGAAACTAACACTTTGAAGAAGGTGAGCATGGCAAATATAGAAACGAAGCGAAAGCAAGAACCACGCAAATAAGCACGATGCAGTGTCAGTCCACAAATGAAGATCGATCTAGGAAACAGATCCAGAAAACAGATCTAGCAATAGTTTGGCTGAATATGCAAAACGATAGCCATCAACCTCGATCTCTGTTCGATAAGCCTTGTCTACACGTTTGGTGCGAAAACACCTTCACGTCTTAGCCCAGCCATGGACTTGGCCGAGGAGATTGTGGGCGAAAAAATCGAACTTGCCGTGCTTCATTTCCGCTCGGGCAACTACGCCAAATGTCTTCTGCTTTACAACGAGGTTGTTCAGACTTTGCTGGCATACTCTGCGTCTGAGGTGGTGAAAGTCAGAACACACTACCAATTGAGCCCAAAACCCATTTTGGGCACGTTGGTGCACCCAAAACTCGCCAGTGTTCTCGACCAGAGGGCAGCCACATACGAGAAGCTTGACGACGTGGAAAACGCTTTGAAAGACGCCCAGAAAATCGTTTCTGCCGATCCGCTCAACTGTAAAGGCTATCTACGCACGGGAAAGCTCTACTTGAAGCAGAAAAAGACCGTGGATGCTTACAAAATCTACCAGCGAGGTGTCTACGTCATTGACAGGGCACGCGAGAAGCACCAGGTGGAAGTGGCAACCAAGCTCTTCCAGCAGTTGAAGGACCAGTACAAGAAACTCAACCGCCATTTGAAAGATCTCCGGAAAGATGAAAAAACCCCAACAGAATCTTCTCCTGGCCCCCAGGTTGCCAAAGCTGCTCGTCTCTCATCTGCCAGCGTACAGAGAAGATTAGATGACATGCTTCCCTTGAAAAGAGCCCACAGCCTGGCTAATTCCTCGGCTCTGCAATCTCTTCCACAACAGACGGTAGCAGACCCTAGAAAGAAGACCAAGAAAACCTTAGACATCTTCCAACTACCGCCAGAAATTGTGGAATCCATCTTTGCTTATCTTCCCATACGAACAGTACTACGCTGTCATTTGGTATGCAAGAACTGGTATCACGGTCTAACGTCGCTTCCTCGCTTGTATAAAGGCCAGTTTGTGTTGAAACACCGTATTACTGCTCCGGAGTACTTCCAAGGCTTGCGGCTCATGAAGAAAATTCTGCATTGTCTGTTTTCCAAATCCATAGATTCCCTACGAGTGTGGTCTACTTTCAATTCCACACACTTGCGAAGAATCGTTGACAGCATAATCCAAGATCCGCAAATCAAACTCAAGCGATTGGCGTTGGTCAATCGAGATTTCAGCATAGAGTATTTTCTCGGACGCTTGGACAAGAACAATTGGTCCTTCGATAATTTAACCACAATCACGCATCTAAAGCTCGGAATAAACTCCAGCATCATATACCCCACCATTCTACTTTTGGCATTCCCAAACTTGGTGTCTCTTGAAGTAGTCATCATTGATAGGGTGCTACGGAAAACCAACAAACAATTTCTTCCGTACAACGTGGACAACTTGAACCGAATGGCGCAAACAGGAGACAAAATCGAGTCACAAACTTCTTTGGAAAGCTTGTCTTTGATAAATCATCCCGAACTAACTAGGGAAATGCTGCAGATTCCTCCAAGCCAAAACTCGTTTAGTGTAAAGGCCCCGTTTCTAAACATTGCATACCCAAATTTGACGAAACTCACTGTTGTCAATTTTGATTTTAAGAACACGGAGGCTCAATTTGGTGGGTTCCTCTCTCATTGTACGGGCTTGCAAGAGCTTTACCTTGAAAATAACGAGACCTTGTCAGTTAAATGCCTATTCATGATTCTTCGGCTGTACTCTCCGTCATTTGTGCTTAAAAAATTGACGATCCGGGAGAAAAGCCAAGATCTACCGTACAGCTTGGCTGAGCTAGACGAAGATGTGCTAACATGTCTTTTCGATCTAGAACATCTTGATGTTTATGGGTCATGTCTTTCGAACCGAGGCCTCTTGAAACTTTTACGTATTGCCAATCGCTCATGGAACTTGAGAAGCTTGAACATCGGCAACTCGCTGCGGCTCTGCTTTCCGCAAGACAAGTTTTTAAGCAGTCAGGATGTCGTTACGTTTGCCCAGATTTTCCAAATAATCCCGAGCCTCACCAGCCTCTACTTGAACGAACTTGACCTAGATAATATGTCAATGAGAAAGCTTCACCAGGATTTGGTGGCCATCAGCGGCTACGAAAACTGTCGGCTCAAAAAAATCGACCTACTGTTTTGCCATAACATCAATGGCGTGGGACTAATGAACTTGGTCAATGCTTCCTATTCGCAAACACCAAACACTTCAACGCTAATGTTGGACGAGTTAGTATTGTATGGTTTGGACATCAACAAAGAAACCCTTCATCTTCTCAAAATGCGTGATATTGTCAAACTGATTGTCGCCGACCCATTCAGAACGAAGTGGAGACAGTATGGAATCAATTCCTATGTGCAAGAAACGTAGTGGTGGAAAATTCCGCGCGAAGGCAGATCGGCGAATTGTCAATCGGAGTGAACGACCACAAAATTCTGGAAATACCACATTGAGAATCAAGGTGTCCGAACTTTGGACATATGCGGATTAGCGGGTTATTTCCAGTCCGAAACGAGTAAAAACCGACTTAGGTGCTCAAGTTTTAATTCGGATTAATGCGAGTGATTCGGATTAGTGCGAGCAGATATTCGGGTTAGTGCGAATATGGCCGGGCTAATGCGAAATCGCGCCTTATCGCTTATCTCAATGGGCTCCATCGCTTACGCATATAAGTACAACCAAGATCCCATTCTTCATTCTACACCAGCATGACACTTGAAATTCCAAAAATCAGCTTGCACGATTTTGAGGCCAGGCGCGAACAAATCAAAAAAGAATTGTATGAAGCGGCCACCGGCGTCGGCTTTTTCGTGCTCTGTGACCAGGCATCGCCTTCAAAACCGGAAATCGAAGAAGCGTTTGCCATGTCCAAGTCGTATTTTGCGCAACCATCCGAAATCAAGCAAAAGCTCCCCTTCCAGAAATTGAAGAATTCCGGTTACGAGTTCAAAGCCCAGATCAGGCCATCCACAGGCACAAAGGACTTGAAAGAGACGTTGCAGCTTCAGTTGCATAGAAAAGATATCTACTGGCCGTCGTCAGAAGATGTGGGCGAAGCCTGGAGAACCGGTGTCGAAGATTTTATTGGCAAGTGCCAAAAGTTGAGCATGGACGTCTTGAGCTGTTTGGCCGAGGCTTTGGGCTTTGAGAGCGACTTCTTTGCCAAAGCACACCAGATTTCCGCCAAAAACGCACAGTCAACATTGCGTTTATTGCACTACCCCGATGTGACGGGCCAAGAGTTTGGGCCCAACGAGTGGAGAGCAGGTGCACACACCGATTTTGACTGTCTCACGTTACTTTTCCAAAGAACAGGCGATCACGGCTTGGAAGTTTCTCCTGGACGCGAGGCCCACACGGATTTTGCTATAGGAGACACGTGGTATCCCGTTGAGGCCAAAACGGGAGAAATCGTTGTGAACATCGGCGACATGTTGATGTCTTGGTCGGACGACCGGTTCAAGTCCAATTTCCATCGCGTGAGAACGCCCCAGAAAGGCGAGAATCAAACGTCGCGGTACACAATAGCATGGTTCAACCAGGCCAACGAAGATGTGGTGATCCAAGGTCCGGAGAAGAAGTATCCTGCCACCACGGGAAAGGAATATATTGTCGAAGCCATGAGAAAGAACTTTGCTCGCCTCCAGGAAACACTGGCCGTGTCTATTTAGTAGATAATACATATTTATATCTCATTAACAGGTCTAGAGAATCCGTATTTATATTTCTAACAGGTCCAGGAAATTCATATTTATGACCCTTAGCTAGCATAGACTTAATGCAGTAATTTTTCCGACCGCAAGTATGGTATTAAAGTCTTGATATGGGCTGGATTTGTTGATTCATCAGGGAATCTTGCACTGCTCCACTGTTGCATTCTAACTGTCTCTATGGTCTAAAAGGCGACAACATTCAATGTATCCACTAGTGATCAGAAGAAAGCACTTGAAACAGGACTTGGAAAAACAACAATAATTGTTCAGAGGAAATGGCCATCCAGTCAAGGCAGTAGGTAAAAATTAGAAAGAGAAATTAACGTCTGAAGTCATTCGATAGACATGCTCTGCGATAACTTAGGAGCATCTCCAGCTCCAAATCTGTATCTTTGATATTTTTGCAAAGTTCATTTTCCATAAAAAGGGCAAACCGATCAATGGAATACGTCTATAAGAATACACTGCGCATCATATAAAATGACATAGTACAACAGAAAGGTATAGAAAAGACAAATAGCCGAAACGAACAGAATGTAGAAAACGTGTATTGACAAAGAAACAAACAGTTGAAATCACATTCTATGTCAATACATTTTAAACCAAGTAAAAGCTTTGATTCAAGTGTTCGATCATCTCCAGTCCTGGGTGCAAATGCAAACTTTCGCACATACACAGGCGCGCCAAAAAATGCGATGAGGCGCACTCTTCTACCACAATAGCCCATACACCATGGTTGTCACTAGGAGCGGAAAAACCGTTGGGTCTGCTGTGAAAATCAAGTTTTCCGACGACGGAACCATTCCTGATAATGCCGAAATTGTGAGTGTGGACACAAGAGAGTCCACACGAGAACCTGAGGGAGAGTCTGAGTCTGACGAATCGGATTCAGACGAAGCCCCAGAAGAAGAGTCGATTGCCACGTCGAAGCAGGCGTCTATCCAGAAGCAGAAGGAGCAGCAGCGGTTGCAGCAGGAGTTGCGCAAGCAGGAACGGGAGAAGCGCAAGCAGAGAGACGAGCAGTTCAAGCAGCAGCAGGAGGCCAAGAAAGAGAAGATCAAACAGCTTGCGCAGGCGGACGAACTACCCGATTTTTTGCCCGACGAGGTGTTTGAGTCGGACCTGGAGGAACAGGCCGGAGGCAAGCACATGCGGGCAGAAGACTTTGAGAAACAGCACGAGGCCGCAAGAAAGAGGTTGAAGTTGGAGAGGTTGAAGCAGCTCAAGGAACAGCGAGAGAAAGCCGTCAACAAAGGGCCGGTCCTTGTCAAGGTGCAGACATACGACCCGGCGAAACGGCGCGTGCCTCCGGCAGAAGAAAGCATTCTCCAAAGCAAAAACGCTTGGCTACAGAGACCGTCTTTGGGGAAGAAATAATTAGACATTGAACATAACACAAATACACAACTCGAATGCACACGGGGGCCTGCCTGCGGCTCTCCTCACCTCTTGATTCCGATTCTGTCGTTTCTGGCCTGCGCAGGCTCTTTGAACGAGATTCCGCCCTGGCTCTTTTCCTCTTGCGTGCGGTCTGGGTTGTCAAATGTGCTTTTGTGCATCGACACAGACTCGTCGTACTCCATGATGTCTTCTGGCGTCAATCGGATCGTGGTGGCGGGTCTTTTCAACATGAAGAAAGGTGAGGAAAGAAGCGTGTATACTAGACAAGAAAGGCACTCCAGTCCAACGGTTCCAGACTGATTCCAATACAGCGGATTGTAATGACCAACAAAGTGAAGTAAACAGTAGACAATAAAGACTTTTATCCCAGTTGTTATATCTCTCTGTTGTTTAATCTCTCTTGCTAAATCTTCTCTGTGTTGTCTTGGAATTTTCCAGTGATGCGCATCTGACTTCAAGAAATGTGTGGCATTTTCTTTGCCGTAAGCACCAAAGACCAGAGGCGACCTTCTTTGTTCGAGGATGGGCTCTCTTCAAATATCGCTCCTTTCAGCTACTCCGTGCAACTTTCGGAGGCTCAAATTTCCGCCGTTACCAGCAAAAACTTGAGCGCAGAGACAAAACTTACAAGCGCCCACAAACAGAAAATCGAGAATCTCCAGCGGCTCCGGGCGCTTCATGTGGAATTGAACAAATGGAAGAACGCTCGAAACTCGGCAAAGGCCGCCGAGATCGAACAGCAGATGACTTTATTGTCCGTGGAGGACCCAGACGAGAAACCTGGCCAAGACTACAATCATACAGACTCGTCCATTGCAAAAATCATGGCAAGAGGCCCAGACTACGCCCAGTACTCCGAGATGAGCCAGAAGAATAACCGCTTTCAGTTCTTCTCCTCGGTTTTGTCTCTTCGCCAACCATTCACAAGCCAACCAATCCACATCCATGATTGTGTGCTTCAGTTCAATGGAGAGCTTTACAACGGCGATTGCATAGACTCCAACGACACGGAGCTAATAGCGGAAAAACTTGGCTCGGCACTAGACTCGAACGTCTCGCGAGAAGACGCTATTCTTACAGTTTTTGCTTCGCTCGACGGAGAGTTTGCGTTTGTGCTCACAGATTTGCAAGACGAAAAAGTTTATTACGGCAAAGACTACATCGGCAAACGCTCTTTGCTCTATACTGTGAACGAAAACGCTTTCGTTGCTGCTAGTGTTCTTTCCGGACACGAGAATACACAAGAGACAGAAGCTAGCTGCATCCATATCTTGGACCTCCGCACGTATGACATCCAAAAGGTATCATACGCTTCCATATGGAATAAGCATCCCTCGGAGAATGCCGTCTTTCTCGAGTGTATCTTGCCGGGTACAAAAGACTTGGATGTGGATTCTCAAGTGGAAAAGTTGCATCTTCATCTATCACAAGCTTGTGCAGTCAGGCAACATACCATTCACCCGCTTCATAACAGTCTGGGAGATGTTGAGCTAGGAGTTCTATTTAGTGGAGGCTTAGATTGTACAGTCCTTGCCGGACTTTTGGCTGAAAATTACACCAAGGATCATAAGCCTGCCACCATCGATCTTATTACAGTAGGATTTGAAAATCCTCGGACGGGCTTTTCGCCAGACCAGTCTCCCGATAGGCAGTTGAGTTTGCGCTCGTGGTTTGAGCTTTCCAAGGCTTTTCATGGAACGTGCGTGACTTTCCGTCTTGTTCAGGTCAATGTGGCGTACTGGGAATGGCTTTCCCATAAAGCAAGGGTGTTGGATTTGATCTATCCGCGTGCTACAGAAATGGATCTATCCATAGCAATTGCATTTTACTTTGCTTGCAGAGCCGAAATTGGCGATTCACTTACTGTCTGTAGTGACATCAGAGACATGGGATGGAGTGACTTTGACATTGATAGCATGGCAACCCGAGTTCCTGATTACACCTCCAGAGCCAAGGTTCTCTTTTCCGGTTTAGGTGCAGACGAACTTTTTGGAGGCTATTCTCGACACGAGAACATATTCAACGATTTGACAGAGTCATCGAGTGAGGCGCTGATAAATGAGAAGTATGGCGAGCTCTCTGCATCTTTGGTGCACGATATAAATGTGATTTACGAGAGAAACTTGGGCCGAGACGATCGTGTGATGTCCAGCTGGGGAAAAGAGTTGAGGTACCCTTACTTGGATAACGGGGTGGTTTCATTTATTATCAATTCAATTGAGCCAGAACTCAAAGTCGGTTTTGAATGGGTTACGCAAGTGACAAAAAAGAGAGAAAAAAGGTGCAAGAAGTTCACCAGGAAAGTTTTGTTGAGACGTTTAGCAGAGAAATTGGGTTTTCCACTTGCGGCGTCAGAAATCAAACGGGCCATTCAGTTTGGTGCTAAGAGTGCAAAGCTTGAAGTGGGCCAAAGCAAAGCAAAAGGGACTGACGCCTTGTAGCATAATAGATCGAAAATAAATCATTGCTAGATTCAAAGACACTGAAAGTTGATAAATAGATTGGCGACGATAAATAAAATAAATAGAATGCACAATGATATCACACAAATCACTGATAAGCTAGAAGCTCAATAAATAAAACCGAAAAGCAAACCGTCTTACTTTTTGTTGCTCAACTCGTGGACCCATCTCGGTTCGATCACCAAACACTCGCATTCACTCAACAAGTTCTCTTTTCTTTCCACAAACTCTGGCACAGAACCTTCGATATCTGCGTCCAAGTCCAACTTGTAAATCTGGCCCTTGACCCAGCACTTGCGGCCGCTTTTCTTTATCAGCGTGCACTTCACCATCACATACGAGTTGATCATGCATGGCTTGAAATAGTTGATGTTCAAGTTTGCCGTGACACCTTTCTTCGAAGGAAAGTTCTGGAAGGCCAAAATGCACGTAAGCTCATCCAAAAGCGTAGCCAACAAGCCGCCATGGACAATCAGCGAATGGCCCGAGAGCTTGCTTCCCAAATGGAAAAACGTGTAGCTTGAGTTGTGAGCATCTCCAAGATCGGAAAAGTCATTGCATTCGCTCAAAAAAGCGTCGTCCACCACAAAAATGCCCCGTGAACGGAAGGTGATTTTCTCATCACCAACCAAGGTGACTCCTGTGAGTTCAGGCCAAATGCTCTGGTCCAAAGAGGCACTAAGCAGATTATGCAATCCGTGCACATAGTGGAGTTCATCGTAGTGCTTATATATGGGATGCGACACAAGAATGTTTTCTGGCGTTTGTGCTTTCAAGTCGGTGAAAGACCCGTTGACAGAATTGACCAAAGTGTCCATTTGACAGAAGTTGACTAATTAATGAGTTGACCAGACTGATTAATCTGTTGGGCAGATAAGAGTATTTATATGCTGGAGGAGCATGAGGCGCATGAAAAGTGTGGGGTCGATCCGCGGAAAAGAAGAAAATGGCACGAGCTGTATCAGGTTCGGCCAAAAGAAAGTTGCCGGTTGGATGGGCTAGCTAAGAGAACGGGAAAAGGAAGGCATTTTCCGAGGACGAAAGGAGTATCCTGTCACGGTGCCAGTGTCGTATATATTCGTATACATATACTGTTCGCGAGCGACGGACAGAAAAACAGTAATCACTGATGACCAACAATTATAGGTGAATCAAATAGTAGGTGAATCAAATAGTAGGTGAATCAAATAGTAGGTGAATCCAATCAAATGAAATTGAGTAGGTATTCTTCTTTTTTTTTTGGATATGTAATAAAGTCTGAGTTAAGTTGCGACCCAACATTGTACTCGAACTCTAAGCCAAAGATGATTGATGTAGTCGTTCCCAGTCTTCATTTTACTGCGGCCGAAGGACAAAGAAACCAATGTCTCCTTCTTCTCCTCCCTTCGAATTACCAAAATATTTATCATAACCTTTCCAGAGTTGTTTAACATGGAAATGATCACTTAATTCCCTTAGCACTACAACTATACGACAAGAAGATTATCGGATGAGATACCGCAAGTTGGATATACGACTACATCATGTGTATCAACCCTACGACATAAATCAATAATAGTGCATCACATTCTATTAGATACTAACCGTCCCATACCTCCTAAGGCTTGGCCAAGACCTTCTTCTTACCTATACGTCGGGCAAAACCAGCTTGAACACCTTCTTGAACTCCTCCCGCCCATTCTGCTCAATGACATTGCCGTGGCACATGACAATCCGGTCAAAGTTCCACAGATAGATGTTTTTCAATCCAGGCGCCGAGGCTGGCTTGGCAAGACGATTCAACAAAAAGCCCCCCACCTTGCTGTCTGGATTCAAGTACCTCGTAAGATACGACCAGCCTCCATGGGGGTTGAAATCAGGAGCAAAGCCGAGCTCTGTGCCAAACTGCTCCAAACGCTGGTCCAGACGCAAGTTGAAGAGCAAATCGGCCTCGAAAAGCGTTTTCGACTGCTTGTCGAACATCACCAACTCCTGGTTGCCGTGGTGGGGGAGATACACAAACTCAAAGTTGTCCAAGATGGCCTGGTCCTCTATTCCCAAGGTCAGAAGCGCCGACTTGCCCACAATCACGTGTGGCTCGCTGATGACATAGTCAATTGGCGTTGCTGGGCCCAAATTCACGCCCAGTGAAGCGATGATTTTCATCTCCGGGAACGTTTGCTTGAAAGACGCAGCGGCCATCGTATGCTCGTTGTCAGGAATAACAAGATACGCCACCAGGTTCTGGTTTTTGCCCGTGAGAAGCGAAAGTGCCTTGTCAACTTCTTCGCCGTACGGAATTGCCGACCAGACGATGATTCTGTTGCCGTAGTGGAAAAGCGCCATGCGGGCACCGAAATTTAGCTTGTCGAAGCGCTTGAAAGCGGTGGAGCTTAAGACAATGTTGTCGGTCAAGCGACGCGAGATCACCTTGAGTGGCGATGGATATGTCATGGTTTACCGATACTGTCTGGTTGATTGTCTTGATTGTCTTTCCGATATAACTTTCTGATATTTCCTGTTCTTTTGTGTGGTCTGTGGGGGAGATTTCAGCCACATATTATATAGGTCCAGTCATGAATGCGCGGGGCCTAGATTGCTGTGGGAACTAAACAGAAAAAAAGAGAGAGCAAGCAGGCAAGCTGTTGATTTTATCTTTTACTGGCTTTAGTTGGCATAGTGGCGTTTTTCAAATTGTGGATTATTATTATATTTTTCCCCCTCTCCTGCTTTTCCTTCTTATCGGGGAAATCCACAAATTGACACATTAGTCATCACGCAGGAAGACCTGTGTAGGGAATCTGAACAAGAACGATGACTTGCAACCAATGAATCAAAGACATAAAGTAGACAATGGCAAAGTACTTAGGCGTTTTTCCATGTCAGCCATGTTAATTCTGCTCCATCTGTGCTGGTATCCGTGTTCTTTGCTGCTGGAGAAAATGCTTCATGTGAGTGGCCTGCATATGGCACGCAATGATACCCCATATCCGGGCTCTTCTCATGTCTTATCCGGAGTGAAACCGAATCTGGTATTGGGTGTACTTCTTTTTTTCCCACTTTCTTCTTTCCCATTTTTCTTCCGTTTTCCACCATGGGCGCTCGCCAGACTTATCTCGAGCTAAAGGAAAAAGCGAATGCCTTCCATGTCTCGGTCATCATGCCCAATCTAGGAATTAGTCTTCTTCTATTGTCGCAGTTTCTCAACTCCATCATGGTTTTGACCTGTAAGCTTTTGGAAGGCGACCGAGACTTGGCAAAGCCCATCCACCCGGTCCAGATCTTGTTTGTCCGCATGTTCATCACTTATACTCTTTGCGTCTTGTACATGGTGGTGACGGGAAAAGTTGCAGATGCACCTTTAGGTCCCAAATCACAGAGACCTCTTTTGGTGTTGCGAGGCATCTTTGGCTTTTTCGGTGTTTTCGGCTTGTACTACTCGTTACAGTATCTCAGTCTCTCCGATGCGGTCTCCATCACATTTCTTATTCCTATGGTAACGACTTTCTTTGCCTGGATCGTCTTGGGCGAAAAATACTCTCTTCTTGAAGGCGTGTGCGGACTCTTATCTTTGGTCGGAGTGGTAATTATCGCCAAACCCGATTTCCTCTTTGGCAGCAGCTCCGAGACACAAGGAAACGACGCTGCAGAATCGTCTTCCAGCAGGCTCCGTTTGATTGCCACCACTTTGGGGCTTATTGGTGTGTGTGGCGCCTCGAGCGTATACGTTTTGCTCCGTAAAATCGGAAAGCTGGCTCATCCGCTCATTTCGGTGAGCTACTTTGCCATGATCACCTGCTTGATCACCTTCGGCGCCACAATTGTGGTTCCAGGCCTCTCTTTCCAAATGCCACGGACTTTCTACCAGTGGTTTTTGTTTCTCTTGATTGGGCTTTCTGGTTTCTTCATGCAATTCTGCTTGGCAGCGGGTCTCCAGCGGGAAAAAGCCGGCAAGTCTTCTCTTGTCACCTACTGCAATATGGTGTTTGCTCTTTTCTGGGACCTCGTTATATGGCACCATGTGCCGGGCTTGCTTAGCGTCTTGGGATCTGGCCTTATCATCATGAACGCGTTCATTGTTTTCAAGTTCAAGCCCACTGTCGAGGACGATGTTCCAGACATCGAAAAAGATCAGGGCAAGTACCTGGTCCCAGGAGACATTGCCTTGCAAGACTTTATCTTGAGCGACGACGAGCTCGAAACCGATGATAGACAATAATTATGATCATAGTGATAAGTATGACCAGTAATAACCAGCGACAGTAGAAGACACTTCAAGTAGATGAAAAGCCTAACAAAATGTGGAGAAGCCCAATGATAATTAGACACATACTCTCAGTAGACAAGTGATTTCTGAAGCAGCCAATACAATTGCCTAGAAGCCACTGTATTCTTCAGTATCAAGGCTCTCCATCCACCCAGGACAATGTGCTTCTGACATTTCGAAGCCGGAGAAGACTTTCGACAGCGTTTTCCTCCTGCGCCGTGTTTTCCGTGCTTGCACGAGCCAAGCCAGCGACGTTTGCAATGAGCTTTCTCGAGTTGTTGAGGTTCACATCAATGTACTCCACTTTAAGGGTGTCATTCGCCGACGGATCTGAAGGAAGCGCTCTGATTTGTCTGGCCCACTTCATGACTGGCAACACTAAATGAAACGAAAGACTGGCCTTGGTAGTTGTGCTTGCAGAACAAAGTAAATGTGGTAATCTGATATCTCTATCTTATATACTTGTGCGCACTAAAGATACGAATCAGGAAGTTTACCGTATCTAAATGGCTCATGGGTGGACAGGAAAAAATACCGTTTTGGTTCTTAGACATAAATATGGACTAAGGAATCAACTAAACTATATTCAATGTCCAATACTCAATATCAACAAGCTTGCAACTAATACCATATTAAACAATATCGTAACCTATATCTAGTAATACCAATATCTTGTAATACCATATCTAGTAATACCATATCTTGTAATACCAATATCTAGCAATATCATTATTTAGACATATCAATATTTAGACATATCTAGGACATATTTAGTATATTCCTCATAGCTAATACCCTGCAACTTTACAACGGTAAGTGCTTACATCTTCAGCTGGAATATTCGCCTCAGTTTCTTCTTCGCCTACGGTAAGAAATTCAATCCAAAGCTGCTCGAAGTCAGCACTCTTTCTCTTTGTCAGAAATAAATCTCGACTATTGGTAAATCGGCGGAGCAGTTCGTTTCAGCAAAGGGAGACCGATATTCAAGAACTGTCTCAAAATAAGGTACAACAATTCAGCTCCTCAGACTTAGAATTCTCACTTTGTGTCACAGTTAATACTGTTAATACTCATTAGCTTGCCAGTATTGTTAAGTATTTTGTTAAGAGAAGGTGAACGAATTGTGATTAATGCTGTTCAAAACAAATACTTAACAAAGATCATCGACATCTTCCATGGTAAAAATGTGCTGTAGCTCTCGTCTGAATATTCTGAGCATACATGGCCTTCAAACACATCTCTCGAGAATAATTGAAAAATAAACTCATGCAGCAAAAGCTTTTGGGACATGCAATGCATCACTAATAAAAACTTTTATTGATAGAAACACAAGCACAGCGTATAAAACAATAACAATAGAACAGGAAAAAAAATTTAAACTTTGAGCTGCCTGGACACAACATACAACAGCTGTACATGAATTGAACAGGGAAATGCATAAGCAAGTCACCTTCAGAATCTAGAACCTCATGCATTGCACAAGGCCACAACATTATTATCACCAACGAGGTCCCGAAAGGTAGGCATCAAACTTTTCGTACGGCAACATATCCAAAACACCAAGTGGGCCACTGGTCGACAAAGGTTTACCACCATAGAGCACTCGCACGTAGAAAGAGTTGTCCTTTTTCTTCCAGAGCTCAAACACAACTTCGGCACCCATTCCAGGCCATTTCAACTCGTCAATCTGAAGAGCTCCCAAAAGTGGCGCAACAGACCCGTCGTGGGCCACATTGTGTCTATATTTGAGCAGAGACGAGCCACATTTGGCATCACTCAAATGTGCTTGTAATTGCATGAGGAAAACGCCGTATCTGCCCGTGGAGTAGAGCGTGGAGTTCTCCGACTTGCGGTGCAAATAGTGATATTCAAAGTTGCCCAAACGGAAAACCTGGAACGCTTGGGTCTCGGAAATACAGTCGCCGCCACCGATTTTGCATGGCAAGTCAAAGCCATGGCACATACGGTGGGCCAAGTTGTCGAAATAGTGGTCCCATGTGACATGCCACTCTTTCACGGAGCTGTTGACACCAGAAATGGCGTCGAGCTGTTTGAACAAATCAGCAGATCTGTTCAAGTGGGCCACCCACTCGGGCTCTTCGTAGATCGACGCCTTTGTGTTGACTGCGCCGTCGCATGTATACTGAGGTTCCAAAGAGTCCACCGCCACACGCTGGATATTGACAGTGACGTTCAGGTTTTCCGGGTACATTCCAGCAATAAGGGCGCCGGCGACCTGGGAAGTAATGACGTTGGAGGTGACGTAATACTGCACCTGCAGCGAGTTGTACTCTTGTGGGAGAAATTGCAACTTCGAAGCGTAGTTGGTGAAAAGATCGACTCCGTGGTAGTACGAGTCGTTGAGGCCGCCGTTGCTGATTTGCGGGAACTGGCATGTGCCGTTAAAACCTGGGCTTTGAAACGTGAACGGGTTGATAGGGTCCTGGTAGTTTGCCCAGCCTACAGCCACGTTTTCCGTCGGTCTGTCGATGGAGTGGCCGTAGTAGAAGTTTTCTGTGGCCGAGCACGAGAGCTCCATGTCCTCTTCAGGGAAGGTGTTGCTCTGGTAAGGAGTGCGTTTGTGGTGGCGGTGAATCACCTCGACGTACTGAAGCTCGTAGTCTGGCAGCGGCACCAGATACTCCGACGCACGCACGTGGGGCATGTTGCAAAAGTTGTATGTTCCGTAGGCGTCGGGCGAAACATACGATCCGTTGTAGATGCCGCCCTGTGTTTCTGTGGAGGCATTGAACACCTGGTCCAAGTCACCAACAATCAGGTCGGATGGGGCGTAATGGGTCGGGTATCTGGCCGAAAGGGCCAAGGAAACAGGACCGAACAAGCGCATTCTCTCTTTTGTGGTTGGACACTTGACGTGCTTGAGATATGGCGATTTAAGCGCTGATGTTTGAGCCGTTAAAAACGGTTCCCGTTTGCGGGGCATGCGGCTTATATACCAACATACGAGCACACGTGGGTGCAATAGAAAGTAGCATGATGGCAGAATTACAGAATAGACGAGCCGATCAAATGCAGTTAAAATACCCTCCAGGAGAGAAAGGAAAGACGAATCGCCATGGCGACAAAGAAAGTAGTCAGTAGTAGTGGGAGATATGGTGCGAAGAGTGCGAAGACATGTTATGAGACCAGACATCTGAGCATCAGACTGTTGAACCAGCTGCCGTATTGACAGACCAGAGATACTCTGAGTACGGAAATACGTGAATAAGAGCGAGAATAGCGAAACAACTCGAATCGAACAATCCGAATCGAACAATCCGAATCGAAGAATCCGAATCGAAGAAGCCATCCAAATCTGAAGACAAGCCGAACCTGAAGATCAACCAGTAAGCCCTTCCGAAAGCAATCATGTCACACAACGGAATCGGCCTCCAGACGCCCCGTGGCTCGGGCACTTCAGGCTACGTCCAGAAAAGTCTCTCAACGAAACGACAAGAAGGGTTTCGGGCCAAAAGAGAACGTGAAGCCGAGGAGGAAGAACGGCGCAAGACGAGAGCCCGCCAGGCAGAAGCAAGAAAAGGCGCAGACTCGGCCATTGTAGAGCATAACAGAAAAAGGTGGATTGAAGTGCAAGTTCTGGAGCTTCGAGACAAGTTGGAAGACCAAGATGAGGACGAGGACAAGATCGAGTCTGCTGTCCGTGCTCTTAGGGAGAAGTTGACGAAAGAGGGAACGAAAGGAATGGATAGGGGTGAAGAGAAGGGCGAAGACGTCGAAAAAAAGGAACAGGACAAAGACAAGGATAAAGAGGTTGACCAAAAGGATAAAGAGGACAACCAAAAGGATAAAGAGGACAACCAAAAGGATGAGCAGCAAAAGGATAAAGAGGACAACCAAAAGGATGAGCAGCAAAAGGATAAATCAGACAAAAGTCGGACTGAACAAGATCCTCTATCAAGCAAACAGGACAATTCAAAAGCCTACAGTTATGTTCCTCGCTACAAGGATAGGTGATCATATTGACTATTCAGGGTGCACCACATGCGTGTCGTGTTTCAACTCTTCAATGGCTTGTTCAACGTCCTCGATACTGACCATTCCCTCGTTCGTATCCGAATCCACGGGCGTTGGATGCTCCTCTTGAATCTCCTCATAAGGGGCATCAGAAGAACTGATGATTTCGTAATCTCGGTCGGCAGAGATGTCGTTCACATCATCGCTTTCCTTGATGGGTTCGGATGAAAGATGAGTGTCCAGCAAATCCAGCAGAACACGAGGTTCAGAATGTGGTATGGAGGGTGTCAGAGTCTCCGGCTGGGAATCTGGCTCCGTTTGCGGCTCTGGATCTTCGATGGATGAAACCAAATCTGGTTGGGGTTCTGCATTTGCATCAGACTGAGGTTTCGAGTCTGCGGACCCTTCAAGGGGCTCTGTCGACGTTCCACAATCGGCTTCCGCTTTTTCTGTAGCAACGAATACATGTTTTGAAGCTACTTCAGGGCGAATCCAACACATGCTCTGTAGTAATTGCCTCTGGGAGTTCCAGCGTAGATTCCTCATTGGAAAGAGACTCTGTCTGCACTGAATCGTCCTTTGTAGACGTTTCAGGTTCAGCCACCGTCTCTTTGTCACTTTCTGGTTCTCTTACCGAATCCACAAACTCTGGTTCCACTTCGTAGTCTTCCTCCAAATCATCGTCCACTTTTTCCGTTTCCTTGGGCTTGTTGAACTCCACTTGCCACAAGCTAGCCACACGTAACTGGAATCTAGGCTCGACTTTCACGGTTGTTTCCTTGATGGCTTTTGGAAGTCTTTTTCCCCTGGGTCCACGTGCTCTTTGTGGAGCCTTAGACACCTGAGGATTTTGCTCTGGTTCGGCATGGACATCTGCCGTTTCTTCTTCTAGGTCAGTTGAAGCCCTCTGGAACATTTGCGGATTGGCCATTCCTGGCAAAGCTATTCCACGGCCCATAACATTTTGCAAGTTTGCGGCGAATCCAATTTTCTCCGATGAAAGCTTTCCGCTTTTAGGATGCTGTGGAGCAGTAGGAACGGCCTCTGGCTGGTTGAACATTTGTTGGAAAGCGGCGATCTTTGACGAAAGTTTCTTGGGTTTTGGCGGAGGAGCCTTTTTGGCGTCGGATTCTTGAACACTTTCAGGAGAGCTCGAAGCAGGCACAGACCTCACAGGACGTTTGGGAACCGAAGGTACACTCTTGTTTGGCCTTGTAGGGACTATTGGCTTTGAGGGTTGCTTTGAGGATTCTTGCTTTGGGATTTCCTGCTCTGAGGGTTCTTGCTTTTCTGTTGGCTGTTGATCAGAAACAGTTGCTGGTTTCGCCTGTGTAAGATTCTCCTCAGAATGCAACGATTCTGCGGACTTGTTAGTTGTTTGGCTAGTTTCAGCAACCTCGGCTGGGGGTTTTCCTTCCGATGGAACAATTGCGGACTCTTCAACCTGGAATGGAGAACCTGTCTCCGAATCCTTTGGTTCAGAACCACTTTCTTCCAACAAAACGTTCTCCTTAACGTCCTCGTCGCCCTTGTTAGACTCAGATGTGTCTTCTGAGATCTTAGCATCAGACGGCGTCTCACCTATCTGCGTGACTGAAGATGCCTTTTCCATGGCTTGATCGTGTTGTTCTTCAACATCCTCGGCCTCTAAAGGTTCAGATTCACGAGCAGTTTTCAGTTCACGGTCTAACACGAGTTCATCTTCAGCGTCTTCACTGGGTTCAGTAGGCTTCACGGCCTCCTCAGAGACAGGGTTTGCAGCGTCGTCGGTAGGCTCTGACTTGAAAGCACTATCTGTTTCAGACAACTCAGAGATGGGCACCTCTTTGGCATCGTCCACCTCAATGCCGTCGTCTACCTCAATGTCACCTTTGGTATCTGCAACCTCAGATTCTCTTTCGACCTTTTCTTCAATGTGTACGCTTGCTTCAATGTCCTCTGATTTGGTCTCCTCTGATTTGGTCACGTCTTCCGTCACGTCTTCTGATGGGATGGCCGCTTCCTCCAGATTGGCTTCTAATGCTTTCTCTAGGTTCAATGCCGGGTCCTTTCCGTCAACCTCCGGCTGTTTTTCAGCTTCGGAATCTCCGATGTCTGGCTTATCTGAATCAGCATTCTCTTTAAGTGCTGCGTGTATATCTTTCTCGGGTGTCTTGCCTTCACTATCATTCCATCCTTCATCACTCTCTGCATCTTTGGGCTTTTCGTCGGCCTCCAGATCTGTTTCTCCTATGTTCTTTTTCCTTTGAGGCCGGCGGGGAATGGGCGGAAACTCTCCTGATCCTTCACTCGAAGCCGCTGCACCATTGTTTTTCCGTGGCCGAGCCGGAACAATTGGAGCCGGAGTAGAAGACGGAGTGGAAGAAGGAGTGTTTTCCTCCAGAGATTTCAGTCTTTTGGGCCGTTGTGGAATCCGGGGAATATCCATTATCGAAAGAGAATGTGGAGATAAAACAAAACCTGTATAATGATTGAGATCGGGGCGTCCTACTAGTTCCACTAGTGCTAGCGATTGCTACTATAGAAATGTTGGACCAATTCGATAGAAGAAAGCACACTATAACGGCAGATCGTAGAAATGGCAGACGTCAATTTGGACATTCCAATGAAGTATATGAATTAGAATACACTTATGCGAAACAGAGATAGCTTGGAGGATACTTTAAACAATTGCCATTGGAGCGTAAGTAGTTCGAAATGGTAGACATGCTGTAAGTGCTGTTAAGGCAAATTCCACAACCAGCCAGGGGATATTTTAGTGGCTTTGTCGCCTTCGCTTTCTTCATGCCTTATGAGTCCTTCTCATCCTTTTCATCCTGTTCTGTCTCTAGTTCTCTCTTCTCCCTCTTGTCTACCCTTCATCAACCTCCTTCTCTACTCCTTCTACTTGGACCCCAACTTCATGTATTACTCGTATATTACTCGTGTATTACTAAGAGTAGTTCAATCTGAAAATGTCGTTGAACACATAGTAAGAGTTTCCGTCTGGAATCAAGTGGAACACCTGGGAGTAACGTTGCGCGTTCTGTTCCTCGTCAATCAACAACTCACCGGTCACCATGACCAAAATGTCGCCGTTTGGAGATCCTGGTTGGGCGTCCAAGGTGGAAATGCGGTGGGCCACCTTCTGGAAAGGCAACGAAACCAACTTCTCCACAATGTCCTTGGCACCTTGCAACTGCGAGGTTTCGAAGGTCAACATGGATTGGTCTCTGTACAAGTTGCCCAATTGGTTTCTGTCAGAGTCAAATTGTTGGTAGTAGAAGTTACAGAACTCGGTGGCCACGGTGTTAAAGTCGACTGCAGGTTAGTACGGAACCAGAAAACGGGAACATCATTTGCCCGTTGTATTTTCGTCTCCTGTGGTTCATTTTACATACCAGACATGATAGAGTGTTTACTTAGATCGTTTAGAAGCGTCTTTTTTTCTTTTTCTTCTCCCGAGTGAGACCTGCAGATAGGCCTCCAGCTTGGCTTCTTCCTCCAACTCCTTTCTGGCGAATGAACAATATTGTCCATATTTCGTCTCTTCTGTCTTTTAACCAATCCTCTCATCACTGTTTCTATTTCTATTATTTGGGGTGTGCTCAATGGTTCTCATTCTCGCTTTTTTTCGTCTTGCGAACAGAACAGTTTATTAATCTACAATATTTGATGTACATGTGAAGCCATTTTGAAAATCTGTAATCCTGGACCTTGTGCAATCTCCCATATTCCGTAGCCAATCTCGACTATATTGTCATCTAAAATTGTTGGGCAGTACGGACTTTTATTGTCCTAATTTTCTTCCGTGTCCTTCATAGAAAATAAGGTGCATCTATTCATTCTTGCAATGAATAATTGTCGTAAATGCTCTTGGCTCCTATACTTGTTTTTTTATATATTTGGCTGTGGCCATATGCTAAATCAAAATGTAAATGAAATCCAGACTGTCGACCAACAAACCTCTTGGCTCGTGCCGACAGCTCTATTATCGCCCGTAGCAATTTCAATCCAGTTCCTTGAGGGATTTCCAATCCTCTTTTTCCGCCGCTTATTCCGTAATAACACCATACTTACACAAGCTGCGAGTAGTCCTTCAAAATGCCCTTCATGTGGGTGTTTGTGATCTTGCCCCGTCTGGCTTTCCGCTGCTTGCGCTCCTGCTGCTGGGGCTTTTTCTTGAGCTCGTGTGGATCTGCGCCTGTAGGCTTCAACGAGTTGTCAATCAACGCCTGGTAGAGGCTGTCTCTGTCCGGAACACGGATTTTCGACCACATCTCGACAAACTCCTCGTCCACCGTGCCGATTTCGCCGCCCAAATTGGCCCACACAAGGCGCGGCGCGTTCTCCTTCTTGTTGCGCAAGACAAGGATCTTGTTCTCCTCCTCGAGCTCGGCGATCGCGTCCAAACAGCCGGACCAGCCGTCACGGAGCTCCTTGACTGACGTGCCCTTGAACGTTGGCTGCAGCCGCAAGAAATTCAACAAGTCCTCGGCGTTTCCAATGTTGTGAAGCGACATGTACTCCAAGGTGTTGTTTGCCGGATCGTACTTGATCCGGTCAATCTCCTTCAAGAGGGGAAGAAGCGTATCGGAAATGTCAAACGAGAGGTAGCCCTGCAACTTCGAAATGGGCACAGGCGCATCTTGCAGCTTGATGTACTCCACGGCCAAATGGAGACGAGTCGACAAGTGGGCGCCAGAAAGCGCCGAGTCGTTTTGTCTCTGGCGCTTGATGGCTTGGGCCAAGTCGGAATCGCCACTTCTCTTGGGAGGTTCGGGGGTCTTGACCGGCTTTGGCGTCACGGCCCTTTTCACCGCCACAGAAGCCCCGCTTCTGATTCGGTTTTTGAACGCAGAAAGCTGCGACGACAAATCTGACATGAAGAAGAGTTGTGGCGGAGGAAAGCGGTTTTTCGCGGTACGGATGTACAAGGCGCGAGTATGGGCATACTGGAAAGAGGTAATATGCATTCAGGTATGCGTGGTTCAGTATTTTTTGATGAAGAAGTATAATGGATGAAGTATCATGAGAGTTAATGATTAGGTGATGATAAGGAAGTAATGGTTGCTGAAGAAATATTAATGAGGTAATGATTAATGAGGTAATGATTAATGAGGTAATGATTAATGAGGTAATGATTAACGATTATAATCAGGGAAATTGATCAAAATAGTGATCACTGAAATAATGAAATGATCAATGAAATGATCAATGAAATGATCAAAATGGTGATCAGGAACTAAAGATGAATTATACTTATGAAGTATTAGTGCATGCTTTGAGGTATAATTAATGAGTGAAGCTGAAAACCACAGAAATAACAGAAAAGTAAATTCCATATCTAATGCATTTATGACATGCGGTACCGACTGCGAACAAGAGGATGTTCAAACCATCTGTTTTGTTGAGCTCGATGAAGGCCCAGTTAGGTGTTTTGTGAAAGACTTCCACGCCTCGTATTGAGATACTTCCAGTTTCTACCAGGCAATAAAGCCTTTCATCCCTAATATGCTTGTATGGACCAGATCTATCTCCCATAGCAATTAGGTTTTGTGTCCCACTGCTTATTTGGCTGCACAATCTAAGTTTGTCCACTGTGATATTCCGCTTCCGTTCTTAACTTTAATTTTTGGCCGTGTTCCGTCAGATTAGCTTTATTTCCGTCATGTATGTGGAAGTTTTTCGTACCTGCTTTTGTGCCAATTTTCTTTTACCATGTAATTATTGGGGTATCTTAGAAAAGTGTCCAAAAGTATAATCTCTACAAGTTGGACCAAAAGTATAATCTCCACAAGCTGGTCTATAAGGCAACCCTCAGTCAGCTAGATATCATGTAGTTCATTTAGTTCTATATTTGATTCGGTAGTTCACTTGATGAACTGTTTGAAATTGAGGTCCCCTTCATTATCAGACAACAAATATATTGCGCTTATATTACTACAGATCAACAAATTAAAAAAAGCAAACTGTATCAAATGCCCCCGAATAGGAACAGAAGGTCTGTTCATAAAGATCGATCTTCGAAACTACAAATATGGATCTGATGTACAAATACCCTAGTCAATGATCATTCATCGATCTAATACTCAAACACGAAAATTATCTTACTTGAAGCGCCAGACGAAAGCTGTTTAAACTATTCTTCCAAGTGCATGAACGCACAATTTCCGCATTTTGCCATAATACGTCAAAAGCACGTTTGCATGACTGGCACCTAAACAAGACGATACTCAAACCTTAAACAAAAGAAACTCAAACTTCACAACGGAAGTTTTGGAGTACTGATAAGCTTTTTTCTTTTTTTTTTTCCTCATCAAAAATAAATTTTTTTTTATTCACTTATAGAACCCATGCATTTTACGTTTGACATTGCACATATCTGCTAATCATAATAAAATGCTTTGATTTTATATAACCTGCCCGTTCAATTCTTTAGTACACAAGCAAACAACTGGATTTAAATGTGTGAACTTCCATCGTTCCCTGGATTAAATGTCTGAACTTACATCGTTTCCTCGACAAAATTTGAATTCACATCGTTTCGGCGTTCGACTGTTGCCACTACTCAATGCAGAGGCCAAGACGCTTCAATACTTTGGCCTACGCTCCCACGCCTTCTGAAGTTCCGTTTCATACTTGTATATTCATATGGCTTCATAATGGACAGTAGTCGTGCGCACACCACCAAACTATATAAACGCGCGCATCCCCAGCGTAATGACTTTTTTTTCTTCCACGCCTGTTTTTCATCCTGAAGCCGACCCAGCATTAACACGTGCCAGGCTACAGTTGAAAGACAGGCGCAGATTATCCGCCAACTCTAAAACCATTGCTGTTCGAGGTCGCCGGCCTCGGCCTGTGCCGATCCATGAAACGGTGATGACCTGAATGTTGGGACATTTTGTAGCTACGAGAAATAATTCTCGCCAACGCGGCCACGGCGTTGTCTCTCGCGTATCACATACTCCTCAAACGAAGAGAGCAACTCGTCGTTGACTATTCTCTGCACGAGTTGGCGGCCCCGTGGGGTGGCCATGTCGATTTTCTGTGCCCACGGTAAGTTTTTGTTCATGCCCAGGTCGGACAAGTCGAGGAGCTGCAAACCCAGCCTGCTGGGTTCGACGCGGCCCTCGAGCGGCTCGCCTACATCGTAGTAGTGGCCTTGGAAAAGCCATAGATGTTTGCCGTTGACACACTTGCGGTCCAAGTCACGTGCCAACATCTCCAACAAAAAGTCCGCCACCAACTTGGCATTGAGCCAAATCAGCGACGACAAGTTGATGGAGCGCACGCGGTGACCACGTGCCGCCAAGCATCGGAGAATGTCGCGTTCATGGACAACTTCAAGGTGCAGAGTGTTGATGGCCTTGACATTCAAGTCGCTCAAGTAGATGCGGCCGTCGGCACGTGACAAGTAGGACATTTCCGTTGCCGAGTTGGGAAGCGGCGGAAGCAAGCTGTTGTACTTGCGGACGGGCTTGGCAAAGTTGAGCGAAAACACAGACGACACAGAAGACGCTTCGAGGGAATCGGGTGCTGTGGGCGGAAACGTCTCCTGGAACGGGTTGAACGACGCTGGCTGCGCGAGCGGCAGAATGGACTCGACGATTTTGGGCAAGTCCTTGTGGTAGTTGTGCGTGAGATCGTAGGGCTGGTACTTGTGGGCGTAGGGCAGCGAGATGCGGTAGTCTGTCAGCAACGACAAGTTGCCCAAGTCTGCTTCGACGAGGTTGGGACACAAGTTGATCACGTGGATCACATACCCTACCGGCACGTCTTTGGAGGTGGAATAGCTAAGGAGGAAGCGGTTGATGGTCGGGTGCGGCAGCAGGTGGTGTGCCTGCTGGTGTGGCGCCTCAGGCTTCTCGTACAACGGCGGCGACGAGCGCCGGCGCTTCTTGAAGTACTTGGCCAAGTTGCCCTTTTTCTGCGACGGCACCAGCGCCACGGACGAGTTGGAGACTGTTTTGGTCAAAACGGCCAGGTGGAACGCATACAACGGGTTGTTTTTGAACTTCCAGTCGCGCCAGCCCGCAAGCGTGGCGGCCGGGTTCGAGCAGTCGTCCCAGTCCTCCTCCTGGACGCCCGGCTTGAGCCCCGAGAGGTCGAGCCGCTCGACATAGGTGCCGGTGGCCGGGTTGAGGCGGAGACACGTGACGAACTGGGCAAAGCGGTAGGTCGACACAAACGAGACGCTGCGGTAGAGCATGGGCTTGGCCAACTGGTAGAAGCGCTTGCTGGCAAACAAGCACAGGTGGTAGGCGTGCGGGTCGTCGACAAACGAAAACACAAGAATCTGGATCTCGAGCGGGAGCTGGCCAAACAGCTTGCACCGCAGCCACAAGTGTTTCGTGGCCTTGAGCGTGTGCTGGGGCGGGTGCAAATTCAGCTGGACCCGCATCGAGAGCCGCAGCGCCTTGCGCGACACCTCGCCCAAAAGCGACTGGTACTTCATCTTGAACTTCGAAGGCGGCGGCGGCTCGAGCTGGAAGCGGGACTCGATGCGCTTGAGGTCCTGCTGCGAGAGCTCCACAAGCAGATGCGTGCGATAGTCGTATTTGGCATTGGGGGTCAAGAGCGAGCGGTACGAGGGGAGGTATTTGTTATACTCAACCTGGGCCATCAGAGGGGAAAGACAGAGGGCAGCGGCAACAGGTTATAAAGGTGAGAAGTTGCGGGAGTAGTATCAGCAGGCAATGTTTCCCATTGAGGGGCGGATGATGGCTCAGCCAGTGTGCATAGAGATTGTTGCGGAGTCACAAGACTCGAATAGGGGCACGATAAGAATGAAGAGAAGAGAAAAGAGAAGAAAAAGGAGAAAAGAGAAGAGAAAAGAGAAAAGAGAAGAAAAATGAAGAGAAAGGAGAAGAAAAATGACAACGAAGAAACAAATGACAACGAACGAACGGACTAACAGAACAAATCAGCAAACACAAATAATCCGACTGCTACGAATCTATTACCGTGCGTAGGCAGGACTCGATCCATGCGCCTTCGTGTGCTTTTCTCTTCCGCGCACACGGGCTTATCTGTCGGGCTGGACGCTTATCTGTCGGGCTGGCCGTGCTAGTCCTGGCAGAAGACCACCATGGCATGGGTTTTTCCGTAGCTTTGATCCGGGCTCCGTAGTGGGGTTGACGCCGTCAGGTGACCGGAATCACTTGACCGTGGCGCCGCTCGCCTAAAGAGCCAAGACTTGCTGGCATACATCACTCCATTTTGCATGGTGGCGTTTCTCGCATCGCATGCATCGCCATTTCGCCATTTCGCCATTTCCTGCTTCTTCTCGCTCATGTCCTGCCTCTGTGGGCGCTATCCATTGTTGTGGGAAATGTGCTCCGTATCGGCACGGCGGGCTAGATTATGCCATTGTTCCATGCATGGCTTCTATATGCGGCCGGCTGGCATTTCCGAACCTGTACGCCAGTTAAAATACGGAATCCGTTGTTCGATCGCCGACTAGGCTTGATTTCATATGCATCCCCATCAACAATCGCTACTCCTGTTTGTACATGCTTCAGCTCCGGTTGCGCAGCATTTTTCTTAGCCCTTCCTTCCACTCTTTGACAAACCTTTCGAGCCGCTGGCTCTTCGTCGGACTTGCTTCTCCGCTCGCGGTTCTTATTGGCCTACTTCGCCTCGTATGCGCATGGTTTGCTTTCCATCTCTTGTGCGTCTCAGAAAACACGACAAGACTACAGATGACAAGTCATAGGTCACCTCGGCCCGATGTCTATGCACTGCACATGCCTGCTGCAGATCGGCGCATTATTTTTTCCATTCAGTGATCATGCAATGTTCTGCCGCTCTTGTGCGGAGATGAAACTTCTTAAACTTTAAAAATGGGCTCGGTGAGATGCATTGGCACCAGCAGATAAGCTTTAGCGGTTCTTATTGCTAAACAAGATTTACTATTTCCCAGACAACCAACTTGACGGTAACGCTTCAAATGGAGCTCAAGGTGATCCGCTCGTTTCTTCCCGTTTGAGACAATTCCAAAGCCTATGCAAGTCTTGCATTGTGGGCCTTCTTTTAATCATGTATGTGGATGCATACCGATGCGGTGGTGACAATATACGTACTCAGCTCCGCCGTTCGTAGCCTGTGAAAAACAGGGCCCCAAGGAAAAATGGAAGGTCCTGAAATTGGGAACAAGTAAATATGCAACGCAACAAACTCAGCCGCTCGGAAAGTGTCATATTTGCGAATTCTCGACGTCTATGCACCTGCGTATCCACAAACTAATGCAGCTTTATACATCATGTATGGTGTAGAGAAACTCAAAAGCAAGGGGAGCCACAACAACAGCACCCAAATTTAAACTATTTTATGGTTAAAGTAGAGTTGCTTAGGGGCCATAGAAGCAGGGTGTCGAGGCTCAAAGAGTGCAACTTTTCACGATGTTTCAGAGCCGGCAAACGATTCAACTGGCTACCTAACGCAATTGTCACTTGGACGCACTGTTCTACAGCAGATGCGAGAGAAGATGTCACAGCGCAAAAAAATTCCTTTTCCGAAGAGCACTGCAGCATCTGGGCCCTCATGTAAAACGATCTTGAGTGCATTGAATACGGTGTTCCCCGGGTATTCACACTATACGCATCCAAGTCCGTTCGCTTGCCATTTCTTTTTTTCTCGCTTCTATGTTTGGAATTCTCGCTAATCACTCTTCTCCACGAACATATAGAGAAGGTGCCGTGCTGATTTGCCCCACCACGTCCAAATATAATTGCAAAAAAACAAAAGAGGCAAGCAGTAGTTCGAAATCAATTCCTGTCCGTTGTCCCTCCTCCACCTGCCCCTGTAACGCAGGTTTCACCAAAAAGCGCTTTATCTGCACCTTGCTGTGGTATCTGGGCTGACCCTATTTTCACAACCCAAAACGCATCTGTGCCTTCTAGAAATAGCGCATCTTTGTTGGTGGAGATCATCTCCACTCGGGGCTTTTGTCTTTAAGAGAAATTTCAAGCTTTTGGCTCGTTCTTTCTTTTGCTAGCCTCGATTTCAAAAGCTTTTCTCTTTGATCTTGACCCATAGCACCAAACTCTGACTTGCAGCGCTCGCTCACTTGTTTCCTAACCCCACATCCTCTTGTGCTTATCGCCCCGATAACAGTGCTTGCAAGTGTGCTGTTGGCAAGACTACACCCACCACCCCAATTGCAATCGTCGCCGTCTCACTTCCCCACCCCGAGACGCTTCGCGCATCTTTTAGCGCTCCATCTTGGCCCGAGATTTGCAAGTACTTGTTGGTCTTTGCTCGCCCATGTCTGCGCTCCAGCCTTCCTACATAGGCTTTATCGGCTCCACCAAAGATGCGTTGCTTGTGATCCAAGCGGCGCTCGATAAAAAAATCCCCACCGTCTCGCGCCGGCCGCTCCACCGCGAACGGAACCTGCTCATTCGCCTGGGCCACGTTTTCGTGTTCATTGAAGAGCGCTCGGGCATCAAGCGCTGGACCGACGGCGTTTCGTGGTCGGCGTCGCGCATTTTGGGCCGCTTTTTGGTGTACCGCCAGTTGGACACCTCGAGCGTGCGCGAAAAACACGCGCGGCGCAAGAACTCGCGCAAGTTTGCGTCGGTGCTCCCGCGGCGATTTGGGCCGGGCGCGGGCGCGCGCGCCTCCATCCGCCCTGCGGAGGACCACGGCCTCATCAAGAAAACCATTTCGGTGGCGCTCGACTCGTCGGCGGCCAAGTCGGAAACGGTGCATTTAATTTCCTATTACTCGGCCCACGATGTTCTTTCGGGCAAATTGACTAGACCTACGCAGGGCAACCTTGCGCACATTGACGTGCTGCGGCGGCTCTCGGACTCGGTTGGGTGTCTGTCGCTTGGAGGAAAAACACCTTCGGGCGACGAGGCACAGTACTTTTTGGACTCGAGCTACCAGCTTCTGGATATGCTGGTGTTCTCGGTGGCAGATGCGGAGCCGCGTAAAATTGCGCACGATTCGGCGGACCACAGCAATTTGCGTTTGGCTGCAGATTCCATAGCGTGGCTGCTGCAGGAGACCGCCCTGATGATGCATTATTTGCAGCCACCAGCAGCGGCGGCAGCGGCAGCAGGTGTCCTGCACCTAGCCCAAGGCCCTTTCCTGCTGCTGCTTCCTCCTTACTTCCCCACGTTGCACCAACCGCAAAAGTACGCGTCGCTGGGCCAGCTAGACTACCTTCTGTTGCAGTTGCCCCAGCAAATGCATACTTTGCATCTGCATGCTTCCATGTTGCAGCCTCCCATGCAGCAGGTTCCCGAGCAGTCGACGCACGTGCTGCAAATGCTCACCCAGCAATTCCCCACCCCTGAGGACTTGCATACACCAGGGTTCCATGCGTCACCTTACAGCTCGGAAACTCTTCCATTCCCATTGGGCTCCCCCACTTTGAACGCTGTCCAAGGAAGCCAGTTTTTGCTGCGGCCGTCTCTTTACGCCCGCAGTGCCCAGCAAAACTTGGCTGCTGACCATTTTGCTACAGACCACTCGGATCGCGATTCAAGTGACCACTACTACGCTTAGTTCTGGTGCCGGTGTTATATGTATGTAGCCGTGGACATTTTCTTCTAGAAATGCCCAACTTGTCTGTACGAGAATCGATGCCTAACGACAAGTAAATGTATAAGCCAGAATCAATAGACAAATGCCTATAGACGACACTGTCAGTGGCCTGTGATGAATACTAAAGTTGTGGGTAAGAACAGTCCGGAAACTGGTCATGAACACAGCCAGTATGAGTCCTTGGGACCAATTAAGCTGCAGATTGTCAATGAGCCTAAACACACGCTGTGAATAGTCAAGGAACATCCATAAAGAAGACAGTCTATCAACATTGTAAAAACTGCTCAAATGGACTCTGTTAGCATGACGAGTATCAAAGCCCACAGGATTAATGCTCGTCGTGCGCATGCTTTTTCCACTCCAAGAGCGGCGCCAACTCCTCAATCTTGGTGCTCTTATACTGAATAAATGGGTGCTCCAACAACTCGTCAGTCGAAGCACGGTACCGCACGTCCACGCAAAGACAAATGGACAAAAACTTTTTCATGGAGTTGCTGAGCAACTCTGGTTTCTTGAGCTTAGGTGTACCATTGGTGGCAATGAGGTAGAGGGCCTTCAATGGTTCTTCGTTCAAATACGGTGGTTCGCCCTCGATCATCTCGATGGTCATGATTCCCAACGACCAAACATCGACCTTCTCGTCGTATTCCTTTTGTTTGACGACTTCCGGAGCCATCCAGTAAGGTGTGCCCACCATAGTGGCACGTTTGGAACGCTGGTCGGTCAATTTGGCACAGAAGCCAAAGTCGGTGATCTTCACGTTTCCTTTGGCATCAAGTAAAACATTGTCCGACTTGATATCACGGTGGATGATATGCTTCTTATGCAAAAACTGAAGACCCTTTAGCGTTTCGTGGCAGATGGTGGAGATTTGACGCTCGTTCAATTTGCACTCGTTGTTTTCAATCACCTCCGTCAAGGATCCTCCTTCCATGTACTCCATCACCACAAGAAGATCATTGTCGCCGCGCAAGTACGAGTCCAAAAAGTTGACAATGTTGTCGTGCTGGGAGTCTTTCATCACCAAAATCTCATTGATGATAAGCTCCTTGCTAGGTTGTGCCTGCAAATCCATCTGTTTGATGGCCACCTTCTTGCCCTTTTGACCGGGAATTAGCGATTCGGCAAGGTAAACTTCACCTGAGGCACCTTGGCCTGCTTTCAGAATGATACGGAACAAATTGGATGGATCATTGTTGTTCACAACAGTTTTCAACTTTGCAAGAACTTGGCGGTTATTCAATGCTTCACGTTCCTTCTTGATTTGTTTGGCAGTCTTTGTTTGCGCCGGTCCCGTGGCAAGTTTGGCGGGCGCTTTGGAAGAAACATTGGTCTGTGCATTATTGGATGCTTTCAATTTGAGTGGTTTGAGGTCGGGCGAGACGCGAGAAGGCGGGGTTTTCTCCTTCACGGGCAGAATCTTCACGTTGGGATGCACATTGGGGAGAGCCGGAGGAGAGGTGCGAGGAGGTGGATATGCAGCGCCCTGTGGTTTACGCTGCAAGGAAGCCGAAGGCGGCAGCTGATGTCGCTGGGGATGTTGTTGCAGGAGCAGAGGCTTCTGTTGCAGATGCAGCAGTTGCAGCAGAAGCAGCAGTTGCAGCAGCAGTTGCAGCAGTTGCAGCAGCAGTTGTTGCACCGCATGCGCATGCGCATTTTGCAGAGGCCGCAGTGCGTCAGTGCGAGGAGGCGGCGGCGCCCGGCGTACAGGCACCAAATCGTTATTCTGTTGAAGCAAGTTGCCCAACGGCGACGCCGATTCCTTTTGCTTCTGCGTCATGTGGTATGGCAAGGGCGGCTTCGGGGCAAGCCGCACACCAGCGCTCTTTTCGTCTGTTTTCGACGGCGCATGCTTCGCTGCATCGTGAATGCTAGACATTTGCGGAGGGCCTTGATAAAGCGCCGGCAGCGCCACAGGCGTATTTTGTGCCAGCCCGCTGATGTCCGAGTAAAACTCCAACACCTCAATCACCGCCACAGGATCCTTTTTCCAGTCCTCGTTGGTGATTTTCGAGTGCTGGAGCATGCTCTTCCATGCGTCGGGCAAACCGGTGAAGCTGCCGCTGGCCGGGTCAAAGCCTACATGCACTTTGTGGGTGAAGTTGATGGGGCTTGACACGCCGGTGTTTCCCACAGCAACGGTCCCGCCCAGCCCGATCTGCGCCAAAGGGCATTTTGTGCTAAAAGTGTCGAGCCAGTCCAAGTACTCTGTGCTTGATTTCACGGCAACCAACAAGGGCTTGGAGCCGCTTTTGAACACAAGCTCCAACGTCAGCGCACCTTTGGACGGCCCCAGATTCTGCTTCAAGTTGATGGCACTCACCAAACTGAGTGGGTACAGAACATCCATGTCACGGGCCGGATCCTCGGGCTCCTGCTTGTACAAGTTGAGCAGGCGGTCGCCAAAGGCCATGTAGCGCTTGTTCCACCGGAACAGCGTGAAGATGCCGTCGTCTTTGACGTACACCCAGCCGCTGTGCTTGCGGGGAGCAGAATTGAAGCGCGACAGAGCTTCTGGCCGAGCTCCAGGGGGCGGCGGCGCCCGACGGTGGTTTTTCAAGTCCGACGTGTAGATTGAGGACATTGAGGGGCCTGAGGAGGAGAGGATGAAGCGAAGGAGAAGGGTGCGTGGCTTTTGGCGGACGGTTTGCGCAGGACGCAACGCTCTCGCAATGGTGCAGGCATGTGCGCCGCGTTGAGCGCTGCAGCGATGCGCATTGGGCGCGTCGCGCTTGGGTGGATTATATGCGATGCCTAGCCCATGCTGCTAGGAACGTATCATACACAGGAGATGCTTGGTACTGCTGGTCTTTGACAGCGAGCAAAGGAGGCAATCGCTGTGGATTTTTCTCGTCATGGAGTTGACGCGTCTATGCGCGCGCGCTTTTTGCGCATGTTCTTTGGCCAGCTGCAGTAGGTCCCACGACCAGATTCTCAAGTGGGGGACAAAAAGGAGATTGAAATGCGACCAGAAAAATTGAAAAAAAGCCAAAGTCGACAATAAATCGGCCGTGTGCGCCTAGTTCTATGACAAACTCATTTCATCGTTCACTCGTGTGTAATTTGTTCCACATCGCGTGTATCAGTGGGGAATGTTCATCCAAGTTTAGCTGTCGCTAATAATCTACGATGAATCTCGCAAGATGCTCCCTCGTATATATTTTGCCGGTCTAGTTGCATCTTGTTTAGATGGTGTGCGTTTTTCAAGCATTCAAGGTGTCGTGAGTTTACTATAAGTCTGACTCGCACCTCAGACTCTTAAAGCATTCTCTAGATACATTGCATACACATTCAGTCACATTCATTCACTTTTGCTTTCCTTTGTTCTTTGCTTTCCTTTTTTCTTTGCTTTTCTTTGACTTGTGTTTCTTCCCTCCATGCCTATTCTCTCCTCCCTATATTTTGCCTTGTGATCTTCGTTGCTTCGGCGTCGTCTCTGGTTCCCCGAAGACTGCATACATCCACAGGGTACATGGGCCGCATCCGACGGCCCTTTTCACTGATACTTTATTTCATGGGCCTCTTTTCACGAAAAAAGAGCATTTCCAAAGTTTTGCCCGACGACGCTGGTTCTGGCTCCAGGAACGCCTTGGTTCGAACATTGTCGCCTGCTGGCCTTCGGAGGTCTAGAAGTGCAACACCTAATCATGAGAAGCAAGATAGAGCAGATCAAGTTAAAGACGGCGGAGCAGATCGAAATGCAAGAAAAGCAGGGGACCGAGATCGAGACGTGGATCGGAAAAGAGACCAAAATGGAGATGACAGAGCAAGAGGCCAAAATCGTACCTCAAGCCTACGAGTAAGTCCATCAAATGGAACTGCCACAGACAAAGAATATAATATGCTAGGAGGTCCCTCCACGGAAACTAAAAAGCCTATATCAAGCACAAACACAAGACCTAATCCAATCACAGAGCCGGGTTTTGAACCTCACCCAAAGTCGGATTTAGACACCGACTCTTACTCAGACACGGATTCAGACACGGATTCAGACACGGATTCAGACACCGACTCCGAGGAAGTGACGCATGACCATGCAATGCAGCCCCAGACGTCGCATGCGTCGCAGTTCCCTACATTCATGGGCTTCCGCGGCCTCCTGCGTTCTGCGCGTGACGAACCCGACACACTGCGGCCGTCGGTGTCGCTTTTGCATTCCAGCGCCCACATTCCCCGACTCTCGCCATCCATGGACCGCTCCGACCCACGTGCGGCAGAACCGGCAATTGGAGATGAACAAACAAAGTTGATCACCACGCTCCGAAATCGGCTAGCGCAGCTTATGGATCTTGCGCATGACGCAAAAGCACAGCGGGCAGCATTGGTTGGACATGCGACGCTTGAAGAGCGGTACGGCGTGCTAACCAAAGTGGTTGGCCGCGGCGCATACGGCATCATTCGCGTGGCTGCAAAAGTCGACAAGGACGGGAAGCAGCACAGCGCGGAATATGCAATCAAAGAGTTGCAGCGGCGCGATAAAAGCACAGAGCTGCGCGAGCGCTTCATTGACCGTGTAGTATCCGAATTTGTATTGCTGCTGACACTCAATTGCAAGAACCTTGTGCGGACGTTTGACTTGCTAGTGATGCTTGCGCCGGAGTCTGCGTCGGCCAATGCAGACTTGAAAGTGGGCTAGGTGATGGAGTACACGGGCGGCGGCGATTTGTTTCTGTATTGCCGCAAGTGTGTGGCCACGCAGGAGTACCTTAGCATCGAACAGATTGACTGCATGGCCAAGCAATTGGCGTCGGGGCTCTGGTACATGCATCAGCATGGCGTGGCGCACTGCGATGTCAAGCTCGAAAATGTGCTCCTTGCATACGGCGCCCCTACAGCGCAGCTGCGGGCACCGCTCACGTTGAAGCTCTCTGACTTTGGCAAGTCGTCGGTTTTCCGCACGAAGTGGGACCGCAAAGAACAACTATGGCCCACTTCTTCGGGCCTCTTGGGCACAGAACCGTATATGGCGCCCGAAGAACATGAACCTGCTTCGTTTGTTTCTTTGCCCAAGAAAGACTGCTGGGCGCTAGGCGTCGCCATATTGGCCCTTTTCAATTTCCGGCGCTCCTACTTTAGCGGGCGGTACGGCGATTTTTGCCTGGTTTCTGTGCACGATAAAACACACGACGAAGACGTTCTGCACGTATACCCAGCAACGGTGCTCTGGACAAGCACGGCACAGAAAAACCAAAAGGCAAAGGATGCAGTTTTTGGCGAATACTGCAATCTGCGCATGCTTGCAGACTACAACCGCAAAACAAAAGAGTGGACGATCCGGCGGCAGGGGTCGTTTGCGCCCATCGAGACGTTGTTTGAAGAAACAGACAAGGAGGACTTTGATGAAGACGACTTTGTGCTCCGGCGGTTTTTCCTCTACAAATTGTTGGACACGGACCCAGCCAGGCGAGCCTCCGTCGACGAACTCTTGCGCGGCGACTGGATGCGGTCCGTGCGCTGCTGTGAATGAACGTGTATGTCTAGACATGCGGTAGTTAAGGAGTGGATGAGAAGAATGATATGAATGTGGAGTGGTGAACGGTGGGCTGGTAGAATAGGATAATAATAATGGGCGGCCATGGCGTACTGGTCTGTGAGTAGAGACTTGATTCAGACCCTTGGAAATGAATTCAAAAGCGTGTAGCTGACAGAGACTGCAAAATCCAGACTCTTGGAAAGTGATCTGTAAGCGACTGGCGTGCGTTGTGACGTTAGATCTATAGGCAGCGATCGCGATTGTACTTGGCAAATGATGAAGGTATGGCACGTGGCCAAACACCCAAGTGATGATGTTATCATGAGCGGGTTCTAGACTATGGTCCGTCAACAGACTGGTAGTCCGTAGCAACAGGTAATCGACTGGACAACCTCTAAGATGTCCGTCAGACGCATATCGTCTAGAAATCCACAAATTTGTCTGCGTATGGATCTGGCACTCCGGTGATTCCATAGTCCAAGTCTTTATCTTCCGGATAGCGGTCAAACTGAGAAGTGTCACCGACTCCGGAGGTGATGGGAGGCTCGTACGGCGTTTCAATGTCGCGCGAAAGGAGCCTTTCCCACACCACTTCCTTGAACCACGGATGGTTTTTCACGTCGTCAGAGCCGTTTTGCAAATTGCCAAGTCGTTGCGTCAAATCCTTGACAATGAGCTTCTGGAGCAAGTCCAAAATGTCCGGCTGCAAGTAGTCGGGGTACGTGATGGTGCCGTTCAAGATGTTTTCATACGTTTTCATCGGCGTCGGGTCGTAAAACGGCGTGTAACCTGTGAGCATCTCAAAGATCAAAATCCCAAACGACCACCAGTCCACGGACTTGTTGTATGGTTTCGTGGCTACAACCTCGGGCGCAATGTAATCGGGCGTGCCGCAAAGGGTGTATGTCACGTCCTCCACCTCTTTGGCAAAACCAAAGTCCGTCAACTTGATGTGGCCGTTCTTGTCCAACAAAATGTTTTCGGGCTTCAAATCCCGGTAGATGATGTCGAAGCTATGCAAGTACTCGATGGCCAAAAACACCTCGGCCGCGTAGAACTTGGCCACGGGCGTTGGGAACCGCTGGGACTTTCTCAACAACAGGAACAACTCGCCTCCCTCGATGTAGTCCATGATCATGAACAAGTTGTTGCAGTCCTGGAACGTGCCCCACATGCGGATGATGAACGGATGCTGCGCCAACTTCAACATTCGCCGTTCGTCGTTTGTGTGTTCCACCTGTTTCATCTGGACAACCCGCTCCTTCTTCAACGTCTTCATGGCGTAGAACCGCCCGTTGTGGACCGAACGGGCCAAGTGCACCCGCCCAAACGACCCTGTGCCCAACGTTCTGAGAATCTGAAAGTCATTTAACGAGTATTTGCCTTTGGTGGTTGTGTCTCTGGAAAGTTTTTTTTTCTGTGCCCCCGGCGGCTGGCTGGCTTGTTCCATGGATGCTGCAAGACGGTTGGTGCTCTTTCCCTTTGTATGTATGTGTGGTTATTAATAAATTCTTGTGTTCAAAAGTCCGGTGTTTCGTGTTTGGGCGAAAAAGAGCTGGCTGAAATATCCCCGAAACTGCTCGCCCCTTGTAAGCAGTATCTCAAAAAAAAAAAAATAAAAAAAAAAGTGATGTAAGCGAGCAGACTTTTGCTCGCAGAAGCAACAATGCTTTGCATCCAGAATTTATTGCTACTCTAAAAGAAGAGGAACCGCTGTTCTAGCGTGCAAAAGAAAGTTGCGACGAGGATATGAGCGTCGTAGAAACTAAGAGAAATTAACAAACTGGGTGAATGCGGCCTCGAGTCGCCCTTGTTCACACCATACGTGCTGTACCAATCCACCACAGCTTGTGGCCTCTGGATCCTTTTATCCTCTTTCATTCTCTGATAGGTGATCTCGTGAATCTCATGTCCATCTTGCCCAAGATCGAACGGCTGTGATGGATAACGGTCGGGGACTGCAGGCAAGACCAGGACCCTTTGGTTGAAGTTAGATTGAGCTTATTTCATCTTCTCATCTGCTCGTTTATCCGAACACACAAACGGTTAATTAGTTACCGGGAAAAGTTTTTTTTTGCTCCTTCTTTCCAGTTGGCATCAGCTGCATGTGTCGTTTGCTCAAGTCAACTCGTTTCCATCCGTGCCCTCACCAACCTGATTAGTCAACCTTCTCTAGATCTTTGATTTCAGTTCCAAATCAACCACCTTCACCATCTTTCTCAGGGAGGTCCAGTACCACCAGCCTCTATCTTTGTTCAATTCGCCTACTCTAGCTTTTCTAAGTTTCATTGTCCCCATCTCTTTTACCTAATCCAGTAATCGTCCATATCTGCCTCAGGCTCAGTATGATTGCTTTCGTCTGTTTCATTCTGGTCGCCCTCACTTTCAGGCTCGATCATGAGCATTTCCGCCGCTTGTTGGATTTCTTGTCTGGCACGGAACCCATCTCTCGCATTGATGATGTTGCTCTGGCGCCGCAATGGATGCTTCTCCTCTTTGCGCTCACGGAACCGCACTTGTCGCGGATTATCGTGTACTCCGGCCACGAGCTGAATTATTTGATGATGTGCGGTTTTGGACTTCTCGTACAAATCGTTCGCATTGAGATTCTGAAACCGTTTCATTGTCTCGTGCCTTGTTTGGTCACTATCAAAAACGGGCGTACACATGCCCCGGATCAATCTCTGCAATGTGTTTGCAAATCCGTGTTTATAGAGGAGTTGTGCTCGGTCCTCCGGAGACACAACAGTATTCTCGTGCATCAGATCTAAGTCAAACCCACTTTCACGCGACTGTTTTTCATCCCCTTCTTCCTCCTCCTCTTCGTCTTCGTTATCTTCAACCACGATATTTGTGGCTGAAAACATATTGCTGCTATCGGAGTTCGCTCTCACCGTATCCAAAAGACGGAAATTGACTTTATCAGTGAGCGGGTAGCCAAAATCCTGGTCTTTCCACGTTAAATTAATCAAGAGCCAATCAATCGACACTTTGACCTCGCTCAATTGTGAGAAAAGTTGAAGAGTCTTTTCCGACGAGCCGTGACAAATCTTGCGTTCTAGATCCTTCAGTAACTCGACTTCCAAAAGTCTCTTCCAGACATTCAAGAGGTTATTACTTGGAAGATCACGTTTCCGAAGTGTTGTACTGTTAGTGTACCTGTGATCTTCTGTGTAATTGATGCCAACAATAAGTCGCACGTAATCTGGATCTAGAAGTAGGCGAAGTAAAAACTCGTCGTCGCTCAAAAACTTTGTTTCGAGCTTATCGATAGTGGAAACATCAACAAACAAGTCAAACGATAAGATACTCGACACAAGGTAGTCATTCCATTCCGAAGGAAGATGGTTCAAGCCCTCTTTTTCTTGCTCCTGAACGAATTCCGTGTACAAATCCTTAATAATCTCACTGAAATATGTGGACGACGCCGTAAGGTTTCTCATAATCTCGAATGCAATGACCTTGTGTTGCAATAACATTTTGTGCAATTCGTTATCTTCACATGCTGGAATTAGTATACCATAAAGGGATTTCTCAAAAACAATTGACAAAGGGATGAACTCCCACATGTACTTCCTATTCTCTTCATTTTCGTTGTAGAGGTAATTCTTGATGATTTGCAATACCCCAAGTTGTATCTTTGACAGTTCATAGGCTGTGTCTCTCAATTCTAAATCTTTAATTTCAGAGTAATCGTATTCTCTTTTGGTTTCCGTGGCCTTCTTGTACAAATTGGACAAATCCTTAAGGAAAGTGTCGTTGTTCACTATCTCATAGCGGAACGACGTGAAGTCCAAAATAAAGTTTGCCAACAATGCAAGCAAAATAACAAACTTTGCATTACTGATTTCACCAAAGTGTCTTTTGATAGTTCTTTCTTTTGATTTCTGGGTTGAAAAATACATCATGGCCGTGTAGACAGGGTCCAAAACATTCAAAATTCTGAGTAAGCTCGAAACAAAACTTCCCTCTCGGTCAAAAGTCATTTCCTTATCATAATTTGATGAAACTATCTCCAAAATAGACCTCGACAAATTGGAAGAGTCACTAGCTTTATGAGATGACTCATTGTCAAATGGGCTCTGAATGGAGTTACAATCAATAAAGAAAGTCCGAAGAGTAGATACGGACCTTGAAAGTGATCGGATGAGGTAGAATGTGTTGGAATAAATTGGGTGGTCGATCAAGCTCATAAGCATGCCAACATGGCCGCCAAACCAAGGTAAAAAATCAGGTTCGCTCTTTTCCCGAGGAAGCTTTTGAAAAGCCAGGAAAGCTTTATAGCTAAGCAACATTTGCTCACACAAAAATCTGAAGTTGTCAACAAGTTCGAAAACCATTAGACTCAAAAAGTTGGTGGTATTTTTGTCCTGCTTGTTGTCTTTAAACGAAGCAACACGCCTTCTGAATTCATCGTTCGAACTGGTGAACACACTGAGTAAAAGCAAATAATTTGCAATGGTATCCATCTGAGCCGTTTGAACACCGTCATCCAACAAACGGGATTCAGTTATCAGAGACTTCAAGGCATTGAAATTCACAAGCTTAGTGCCACAACCAGAGGAGGTCTTGAGGATATGAATTTGCTTCAAAAGCAAAGATTGCGAGAAAAGCGACTCCAATTCCAGCATTATCTGGAAATCCACATTTGTATTACGGATATAGGAGCAAACTCCTGGGTATTTCAAACAAAGATCAGAGAGAATTGATATGGGAAGCTCCAAAAACTTGGGCAACACGACCATCTTATTTGAGATTCCGAGAAGGTCAATAATGCGAGGAAACAAACTCTCAATGATAGATGTCGCAAGCTTCTCTTGTGAATGAGAAGCAGAGGAGATATGATCCAAATAGCAGGAGATCAAATTTAGTGTTGCAGTACTCAAAAGATGTACTCCGTTGCTTTGAAGTAAGGCTACCAAGCAAAGACGCACTTCAGTAGAATTGTAAAACTGACGTTCAAGAAGTGAGAGAGATCTTTGGCGGGGCTTGAAGTAATTGAGTAACTGTGCGGCCACCACAATCAAAGAGCACAAAATCGGAATATGCACCACTTTTTCCAATGTGTGGAAGTCAGGAACAGTGTTGGGCATGAGCATATCATTGAGGTTTGAGAACGTGGACGAAGTAAGTTCGGCATTCTTCTCAATAGATTTCAGTTCCTCGCCTTTTGGAAAGTGGTCAAACTCAGTGAGCAAACGGCGCAATACAACTGCAAGAAGAGCATCGGCGTTCGCCCCCGGATCACTTTCCAAGTACACGGGCACTAAAGCAAGACCCGCTTGAAGGGCTTTCTTCAAGGGGAAGGTATCGGATGAGGGAGAGTGAGTGACCAAAGCAACCAGGGTTATTGAACGCCAAAATGGATCTGCAGACTCGGCCACAGCAAGAGGCAGTACGTTGGCTAATTCAAGCAATATGGAAAAGGCACTAGTAACCATCAGGTCTAGAAGAGTCCACGAAGATTCGGATGGGTCCACAAAAGCTTCAGCAAGCGCTTTACCGGACACATGGTCAAGAAACCTTCCTATAAGCGGCACACACCACATAAGCTGTGCATGGTCTGCTCCCGGAGTAACAGACAGTTCCGGGGTGACCAAGAGATGTAAAAACTCTATGCGGGAGGCGAATTCAGGCCAACCGTGGTCCAAATTCTCGAGGGCTGAGCACATCTGGCTCTGGAGCCACCAGAGAAAGTCTGGAGCACGAGTGAGCCGGGCCTTTAAGGCCGGGTTGCCGATGACAGCTTTGCGAAGCTGCGGAAGGATCGTTTCAAAGCTTGTGTTTGGAGGAAGAGAATCGAGATCAAGCGGCATGGCTAGCAACGATAGAGGATAGGACGATAATAAAGATGGAAATTCAAATGACCGTAAGACAAGAATCAAAAGTTTTGGGGGGCTTACTTAAAGAAAAATGGGATTGGGAGTGGAGTGAAACTGGGTAAAGGCACAACGATAGTGATAAGGAGCCAACTTTAAGTCGGACAAGATATGAAATGCGGTCAGAGCTGGAAGGCCGGGAGTGGCAGGACAGTCTCTCGGGGAGTTCAATACAGGCAAAGACAAAGGCAAAAGCAAAAAGGTTTTCAGAAACAAGTGAGCCGAATACAAAAGGTGTAAGAAGTAGAGTCAATATGGGGGTGTTCAATATGTGGGGTCGCGCGACATTGCTAGGCACACTACATCTTGCCGCGCCAAAACTTCTGTGCCTCCGCGGCCGGGCGCCCGTGGCGAATATCCTCCGCAACGTTTTCGTCCGCGTGCACCCGCCGCGGGATATACTGCAAAAGCTGGGCCAAGTCCACGTGGCTGGGCACACACACCACGCCGTTTTCATCAGCCACCACCACATCGTCGGGCGCAATCGTTAAATCGCCCGCAGCGGTCTTTACTGTGAGAGGAACGTTGATGCCCACCACTTTCACCACCGGGCCCGGCGCCGTGGTTCCTACGCCGTACGACCAAACCGGGTACCCAAGCGCGCGGTGCTCGGCCAAGTCGCGCACACGGCCCAAAACCACCAGCGCGGCCGCCCCCAAGTACTGCGCGCGCGTCAGCATGAGCCCGCCGTAGAGAGCATTGTTCACCGTGACATAGGGCGCCGCGGTGATCTGGCACTCGGGCGCAAGCCCAACCACAACCACGCTCCCTGACGGAACCTGGTCTATGTATGAAGCACCCACTGCCGGCCGCGGGTCGTCTTTGGGCGCATAAAGAACCGTGTAGGCGCGGCCGACCGCGGTTTGGGCGCCCAAGGCCGAGCGCTGCACTAAGTTGGGCACAAACCCGCCGTCGGCCACGCCCTGCGCCACCAATGCGTCCGACACGTCGCACGCGGCGTACTGGGCGAGCGATTTCGCGTCCGTCATGTATCAGGCAAATTCGCAGGCAAAAGATAGACAGGCAAATTCGCAGGCAAAAGATAGATTGCAGGCCAACTCGCAGACAAAGATAAGTTTGCAGGCAAATTCGCACTTGATTGCGATAAAAATGTGGGGAACCCGGGCTTTATATATTGCGATCGCGGAGGCTGCAATTCGGGAAAACGGAGGTTTTATTCAGGAAGATCACGAATGTAACAAGATGAAAAAAAGTAAGAATGAACAGGAAGAATGAACAGGAAAAAATGAACAGGAAAGAATGAGTAAAGAATGAGTAAAGAATGAGTAAAGAATTCGGTAAGGAATGAATATTGGAATGAACATTGAATGAACATTGAATGAACATTGAATGAACATTGAATGAACATTGAATAAACATTGGATGAACATTGAATGAACATTGAATGAACATTGGAATTGAGCCGGATTGTATGGTAAAGAATTGAATGTGAAGAATTCAATGGTAAAACATTAATGGTAAAAGACTGAATAATGAGAGTGGTGAAAAATTGAACAGTGGAAGTGAGAAAGGTGAGAAGTCTAACAACACTGAGATAGATGACTTGATGATGATTTGAAGGAAAAGGAGACATAACGGACGAAATTAGAAGAAGATATGTAATATGGCAAGATCGAATATTTTGTCGTTTGGTTTCGTTTAAATTGCAATCTGGGTTGGTAACATCAAAATACTGATTGGAAATCTGTCGCTGGATTTCCTAATCGAAAGACATGAGAAGGATCCAGCGACAAGAATTCGAAATGGCAACGTCCGAAAAATAAAATGCAAGGTAAGTTTGTGAGAGAAACAGATAATCAAAGATTTTTTCATGTCTTCGATAATTTCAATCAATCGACCACGAGCCTATAGAACCTTCATTATTTTACAATCTCATGTCTCTTTATAGGCCATGAAACCTTCCTTGCTTTACTATCTCATGTCGCTTTATACAGATTGAAGTCAGCTCAAGTTCAAAATCATCCAAGAGAACTGTCTTCTATTTTACTTGATTGGCTTTGGTGAAGCTCCGAAACTAACATTAATTTCTGAATACTTCATCTCTAATACTGTTTCGATCATGGTCCATATCCGTCTATAATCCCATTTTCTCTTGAAGAACGGATTGGCGTACATGATATTTTTTTTAACTACTATTTCTGAATGACTAAGTGTAATGAGAATGGTCCACTTATGATCTTTGGAAACGTGAGTGTTTGGGACTTTGTGCCGTGAAACCCGGGAATATCTTTATTATCAACGATTCGCCAGAGTCTTTCCATAACTTAAGGCAAATGGTATCTAAACTGAATCTGGATCTTCTAGCAAGTCATCCACTTATAATACTCACCCAATTTACTTTCACAGTGTGTCACAAACCAAAGACCTATTACTTGTGAGAAAAGACTTTGAATCTTTCTTTGATTTTGGTTATTTATCCTTCTTTGTTTGCCATATTAGTACATCGTTGTCATATCAGAGGCTGTCGTAAGACGAACTTAAAGTATAATAAGCTCAAAATAAGAAGCTGCACCGAAAGATATGTAGAACTTCTTACTTCGATTGCTTATAAATAATATTGTAGGTTAACACGAGTGTTGCTATTTTAACGTCATTGAACGTCGGATATATTTAAACGCAAATAAATAAGCATTCTGTATTATTTTGGTCCTTTACTAAAGGCCCTTCTTTTCACAAGGCATTGTTGAGCTCATTCTAGATCGTTCTGCTTTACTCACCGAACTATACGAACAAGTAAAAAAACACTCAAATAAATGCATCACATCAACGATACAGATGAATGTTTCTTCATTGCCCGTATTGAAAAGAAAGGATTGAGCACGTTGAACAGAAAATCGTGGAGGATTGCTCTCTTGCTCACATGAGCTACTATGTACATCATTAATTATGGGTCTGCTCCTACTCTAGCCGCAGGCGCAACTGGCGGAGCCTTTCGCTGTTCACCTCCTCGCTCATGTCGCCATCGTAATCGATCATCAGCTCGCTTGGACGTGCCGCCTTGGGCCCGATCTCGTCCTCCTTTGTCTGCTCCTCTATCACCACGATGTTCTCTGCCACTTTGAAGCGGCCCAAGTTCTCCAAGTACTGCGGCGACACCAGGAAGTCCTGTGCAATCTCGCTGGGCGACGCCTTTCCCTCCAAAGCATTTAGCACGGCTGTGAGTGTGCGAGGATGGAGCATGGTTCTTGCCTTGGACGATTCGCCCGCCATTTGCGTCGCCACCTCGCTCTGGCCCTTTTCGTAGAGGCTCTTTCTGTTCATGAGCTGCCGCAACGCCCGCACGTCCAACTCTCCCGGGTTTTTGCCCGTGCTGCTTTGGATCTGCCGCCCCAACTTGTTGATGGAGTCAATAAAGGACTGGTCTGCCTGCGGATCCATGCCGTCTCTGCCCTCGGGCTGGCTGCTTCTGTCTGCTTTTGTATTCTGCTTCGTGTATGGAGGCAGGGGGCGGGCCGTGTTTTTTCCATCTTGTCTGTCGTCTTGTCTTTCGTCTTGTCTTTCGTCTTGTCTTTCGTCTTGTCTTTCGTCTTGTCTGGGCTCGAATCCCGCCTCGAACTGCTCTTTCAAAGCCTGCGGAGGAAGCCGGGCCTGGGCGGTTCGGGATACTTTCCCCGCTTCCAGAATCGTCTTGTTGAGCTTGCGTGCCGGCCGGGAGATTTTGTTTCCCATGTCTGAAGAAGAAGATTGGTGCGAAAGATGTATGAAGAGACAAAACCCCAAGAAGAGACAAAACCCCAAGAAGAGACAAAACCCCAAGAAGAGACAAAACCCCAAGAAGAGACAAAACCCCAAGAAGATGCAATATCAATAAGGCATTTACAGACAATGGTCAATTCCAGGACTTGAGACGCCCTTTTTCACTTTTGCTCGTGTCGTTGGTATCATTGCACTTGTGTTACTGGGTTTTTGCTCATATGAATAGCAATCGTTATTGTATTTTCGTTGATTCTCTGTTTATTCGTCGCTTTTATCCATGTTGTTCTGTTTCGTTTACTTGCTCATTCGTCAACTTTGCTCAACTTGCTTACTCGTCAACTTGCTTATTCGTCAACTTTGCTTTCGTCAACTTTGCTTTCGTCAACTTTGCTTTCGTCAACTCTGGCTTCTTCTGTATGAACGTCATCTTCCTGGTATCTCTACAGATCTTCGCTACGTTTCTCCCATTTCGAGGTTCATTAATGTACAAATGCAGTTGCCTATTCAGACTTGGACTTCTTTTTCTTGTCCTTTTTCTCCTTCTTGTCCTTCTTCTCCTTCTTCTCTTTCTTGTCCTTCTTTTCCTTCTTCTCCTTCTTTTCTGAATCCTCCTTGTCCAACTTGATTCTCTTGACCACCTTACCGTCGGCATCTAGCCTAGATTCGGGAATCGGTTGTGCCTCGCTGAAGTCGCCGGCCGAGTATCCTGTTGGAAAATGTCTCATTCTCAAGTTCTCCTCCTTAGGCACGTCTTCTCTGGCCTTGACCGCCTTCTTGAGGTCGATTTCTGGAACCTTGACTACTTCTCTCACCGTGTAGAACCGGTCGATCTTCTTGTTAAGCAAGTCCTTTTGGATTATGGTGTATTTCGCCGATTCCGAAGCGAAAAGTTCTTCGTTGGTCTGGTACGAAACGCCATCCACCTCAAACGGCTTCACCCCTTCGTTGGAGACTCTCGATGCGGTGAAGGAGACGGGCAACTTCTTCAATTTCGACAATGGGAAGTTTTTGGGCATTTTGATCAACCAAACCTCTTTGTTGTCTAGCGAGGTCGAAAGCTCGGGCAAAGTGGTTTTGGTGTAGTTTTTAGGAGCCTCGAACCCGGCATCTTCGAAGTCTGATCCACTTTCAGAGTCATAGACAAACTCTTCGGACTTGTGGGGTGTCATGTTGTGGATTGGCGTTTTTTTACAGGAAAAAACTCCAGATGCTCATCTACCCAGTGCGCTTGTGTGCAGGTCGCTTTGTTTGGACCAATTTATGGAAACGGCAAGATAGTAAATCGGGGAAATCTGGGGCTTTGAGGCTGCAGTATCGAGATTTCATGTTTTTGTGGCTGTATGAAGCTACAAGATTTTTGTTTTCGTTGTGAAAGACCGAAGGCGCATGATTTCTGTCTATAAGTTTGACCTTAATCTTTTATATGGTGTGATCTAGTCATGGAAGTGGTACTTGATTAGGATTGTTCAGCCATTTAGCCATTCTCTGTGTTGATGAAAATTTGAGTCGAACATGGAAATACCTTTTGAACCTGCCAGATTGTAGTGGAATGGGTGCGCACATGTGAAAGCATATTGACTCTGCTTTCATCGTTTTTGCGGAACTTGAGCGGAATATCTGGAAAAGTCTGTAATCTTCAAATTTGATATAAGTTTAATTTGGAGGCTAAGACGAGCAATCAGAATCTTTCTTCCTCGGCTAACCCCAGAAGCCAAGTTATCAGTATGGCAGTATGGATCTACACCGATAAAATTTCGGTAATGTATTCTCCTTGCGTCATCGAGTGATGTTTATGCCTCAATGGATGACGTTCACCTCGAACCTCTATTCAAGCTAACGATTATCAAAGTACAATCATGATTGAATGATTCTGACTCAAAAGTTCTCTGGCAGACATTGAACCTTCGTGTGGATTTTTGACCCGTCTCAAACTTCCATGGACACATTCCTCATCGGATCGAGCAACGTAACAGTCAAAACAGCTTTCATAACATTTCCATCATGATAAAAAGCTTTCACGATGCTATAGAACCGTATACACTAGTTACGAGAATTACATGAGGGAGTATGTGAGGCTTCAATGAAAGAATAGAATGCCATTGGCATCTGAAGAGGCAAAGATTTTCTCCACATGCTTTAAGAGTAGTCGAAACATGGCCCTAAAGTCACCAAGTAACGAAAATGGAAAACAAATTTCAGAATCTTGGTAGAAAAGCTAATACATGACAAGTGGGAGTAATCGAAGAAGCACTTCGCCGGCATTTTTAAATCAACCAATCTCATCCCACAATGAAACCTCAACTTGGTTCCATCATTGCTTGTAACATTCCATGAAATGAACAAAGTAAAGCTCAAGTCCAGTGATGTAATAACATGCAAGATTGCCCCAAATCACGAGTAAACACAAACTGTAACATCAAAACCCCACAAATAGACAAAACCTAAAAAAAGCTCAGCCAGCACTTATGCAAAAAGCAACTTTTGGAAGCGTCCAGGCTTCGTATCGGCAGTAGTCACTAAATCTCGCATGTGGTTCGACTAATGTCCAAAACTCTGCAGACAGTACGATGCTTATTACTATCTCGCATGGTTAAAGCCGCATTATACCCGTTCAAGCACAGGAAAAAAGAAACCATCAGACGAAGTTGTGCATAGTCTATCGTAAATATCCCCTCATGTTTGTTGAAAAACCCTCATATGTTACATTGCAATGTTTCGCTTGCCTCGCACTTTCAGCAAAGTGGAGATTAGTCGGTGCTCCATAGCCTCAAACAGATTGCGATTTGAAGAAAGTGAAAAAAACGAAGAGAAGAGTCAGGAGGAGACCTTTGTCAAATAGGCGATCCTTGAAAAAAGAAAGAATTCTAAAATCTTGGCTTTGTAGGACCCTTATCAACATGTTCGCACCTTCAATTTTGTCCATGGTCAATGTCACCATGCAACAATGTAGTATATAAGCTGCAGACCTTGTCGCTCTCTGTCTTCTTGCCTTGGTGCTGATTCACTAATTATTGTTATCTCGCTCATGTCCGGTTTTGTTTCGTCCAATCTAGGTGCTGCCGCCTCGTTTTATTTGGCCTTGTACGTAATCTATGGTCTTTTCATGACGACTGTTGTCTTCAAAAAAGGCTTCAAGACCGTGTACACATTCATGTGGGTGTTTGGTCTTATTCGTTTTCTGGGCCAGCTTTGTGGAGTCGTATATGCCAAATTGGGCCCGTCTCATTACCAATGGCTCATTGCATATTTGGTTTTGGGTGCCGAAGGCTATCTCACGTTGATTCTAGCTGCTTTCCGGTTCACATGCAAGGCGCAAATCCGCCAGTATGGGTTTTCGTGGGTTTTGACCCTGGGGCCCTTTGATTGCCGCCTTTTTGGCAAACCTTTCTCGTGGAAATTGATCTTTCAGAACTTGGTGTTGATTCCAGCCAATGTGTTCATCATCATTGGAGGAGTGATGTTAGCGGGAATGGACAACGAACAACTTGAAAACCATTATGAAGAAGTTAATTTGTCAAAAGGTCTTCGGACAACTGGCCAGGCCGTTTTTGTTTTTGTGACTTTCACCGTGGTGGTCTTTAACATCCATGTGTATGCGAAAGAAAAAGTCCGCAACTGTCTTACCATTGCCGTCATGTGTGCTTCGCCGTTTCTTTTAGTCAGAGGCATTTTTGGCATTTTGGCCATTCATGTTACAGACATGAATTACTTTGATGCTAGCAACTACACATCTGGAGGTTCAGCTTCGCATAAATTGACCATTTATGAGTATGTTTTAGGCACCACCATGGAATTTATTGTGGCTTGTTGCTTGGTTTCTACATTGGCATTTGAAGGAGACAGCCGGGCGATTGAAGATGGCACTGATGAAGACAACTTTAAAGACATTGACGAAAAGATCGTTTGATTCGAAAAAGGATAAATCGATACTCTTAAATACAAGATTGAAAGATTGATCTTTGCGTATAATTAGAGAAAGGGCTGCCGTATCCATCAGCGGCCCTACGTTCCGTATCTGGTGTGGAACCTGGAGACCAACGAAGAAATTACATGAGCCCAAGAAAATGATTGATTGCGAGAACAATAACAGGGAAATTGTCACTTAGATTTAATCTGAGAAATTTGCCCGAAGTACTCGAATAAATTCGTATTTTTTCAAATCACTGTGCATGTTATATGGTTAATGGTCCATTTGAGCGTCCAATTGTAACTCTACCTCATCCACTCAATTTTCTAATGCACCATAGTCGCTTAAATTAACTTCCATGTCTATTTTCTTTCATGGGAAAGAGTCATCAGTGAATCACAGATTTGGCCATGAAAAGAATGTGGGCAATAAGATCATGCTTGTCTCAAAGTTTAAGCCATGCATGTCTAAGTATAAGCATTATACAGTGAAACTGCAAATGGCTCATTAAATCAGCCATCGTCTATTTGACAGTGCTAATGGCATACGCCTGGCAATTCTACCAATGCATTGAAGGGAGAGAATTACCAACTTGATTCGGCTTCAGGGATACAGTTGATCCTTATTTTTAGCAACTGCAGTGGATACATGGCCGTGGCCCTTCATTTGTCAGCACCGCCTCAATGTCCTTATGTATGACCTTCTCTAACGCATGATTTAAAGATGTCATGTACGAGATCGACTAAAACCCAAGGGCATTAGTGCTAGTAATACGAGACTAGCCACCTGTAAGTCTTTGATGGCTAAGTTTTGTCAATTATTCTTCTCTCGTATGTTGAGAGACATGTCAATTACTGCAGAGACTGCGCGGCTTATGACAGGTTAAAGCCGTTTTACGTCCGTGTGCCGAAAAGAACGAAAATGACAAAATAGACGGCAAAAAAGGAATAAACAACATCCGTGCATCCTTCCAGAGGGGCTCTCTCCTTATTTTTGTATGGCAGTCTCCTCGTAAACTGTATAATCCTTAGTCAACACTGCATTTCGGTCCGACTTACACGGCTTCATGGTTTATGTGCACTCTGCACTTATGTGCAATGGGATATTTGAGCCAAAGGGCCCGAAATTGGTGTAAAAGAAGACAACCAAAGATCGATCATCGATCCGAAAACTTCGCCGTTGACGTAGGAAAATGAGCAAGAACGAAAGAACAAAAAAAAAAAAAAAAAAAAAAAAAGGACTTTGTTTAAGGACCCTCAAAAAACGCACTATCGCCGTTAACCTAATTGACGTATATGGTCGAAAGCCGCCCTTGTCACATTTGCTGTCACAGGGCAGTATATTAACCCCACGCCCCTCTTTCTTTTCTCCACGATCTCTTTCTGTTTCTTTCCTCATGTCTGGTTTTGTATCTACCGATTTGGGTGCGGCTGCCTCTTTTTACTTGGCCGTATATGTTCTCTTCACTCTTTTCATGACAACCGTTGTCATTCGAAAAGGCTTCAAGACCGTGTACACATTCTTGTTGTTTTTCGGAATCGTTCGAACTGGCGGCCAGTTGTGTGGCGTGGCGTATGCGAAATTGGGGCCATCTTATTACAAATGGCTCATAGCGTATTTGGTTTTGGGGGCCGAAGGATATTTTGCATTGATTTTTGCCGCTTTCCAGTTCATCTGCAAAGCCCAGAAACAAGAGTTTGGGTCTTCATGGCTCGTGACGCTGGGTCCTCCGATAAAAAGTTTGCTTCTCGGCAGAAACCCTACGTGGAAATCGACATTTCGCCATTTTTTGATTCCAGCAAATGTTCTTGTCATTGTTGGCGGCACGATGTTGGCAGGAATGAATACTGAAGATCTTCAAAAAGATCACAGCACAGTCAACACATCAAAGGGCCTTCGAACTGCAGGTCAGGCTATGTTTGTATCCATGACAATCGTGGTAGAACTCCTCAACATATATGTGTACTTTAAGGAACGGGTACGCAACAGCTTGACCCTTGGTGTCATGGGTGCTTCACCGTTTCTTTTGGTGAGAGGAGTTTTCGGAATCTTATCCATTTATGTGACGTCCATGAATTATTTTGATACCAGCAACTACAACGGAGGTTCTGCTTCACACAAATTGACCATATATGAGTATGTTTTGAGTACCACGATGGAATTTGTCGCCTCTTGTTGTTTGACGGCCACTTTATGGTTTGATAGAGAGGGCAAGCCTGAATTTGAGGAATGGCCATTGACGACAAAAACATCGGAGCTTGAAAAAAATGCCTGATTTGAATGTTGGAAAGTCTCAAGGTGAACGGAGACTCATAACTTTAAGCTTGAATGCACGTTTATCAAAAATAGATTTCGTCGGACGCCGCTTCAGTATTCTTGAACTGTTCAGTGATACATATAATGGTTCAGCTTTTGACAATGTTTTACTTTTGCAAATCAGGTTTAGCGTAGTTATGATGTCACATTCCGAGAAATAATTTATCACAGGTCTATTGTTCCAATTTGTCGCGTTTAGAGAATATCGTAAACCGACACGAAATTACAAACATTGCGTTTTCGAAGAGAATTTTAGTAACATATCGAGACGCCAGAAAGAACAAGTAGTAGATGGACGATTTTTCTTTTTGTACCCCAAACACAAGAGCAAGGCAAATGCCACAAAAAGAGAATACACCCGTACATCTGTAAATTTTTAAACCCGTACATCTCACAACACCCGTACACCAAAGAATAAAAAACCCATACACCAGAAAATTGACACCCGTACATCGTTCCCAATCGGGAAGCTGTACCCCTGAGATGCATCTGAGCATACCATTCCTCAGAATGCCGAGTTACAAAAAGTCTATAAAAAAAGCATTGAATGGAATCGCTACAATAAGCCTAAGGCGGAGTGTATTGCGACAATATCAAGGGATGTCAACAATCGACACAAAACGAATTAGCCAAAATATATAAAAACTATATCTTTTTCATTTTGATTCCCTGGAATTTTATTTATTTCCCACACCCGAGATGACAACGAGCAGGAAAGTATGTCTTATTGATGGAAACTTGACGGAAAGCCTGCAAGTGGGAACGGACCTAACCACTCATTCGGGGCCATTATTCTTCCGAATCAGGAAGAATGCACAGACCCTGCATACCGTGTGGAATTACACTTGCATGCGCAGATTTCTGGCTATTGCTACAGACAAGCACTAATAAACCTTTTAATCTATCCTAAAACAAACCTAACCTAGCCGTCTCCTCGAGCCATTAACACGAGGGCCAGCCTAAAAAAACAACCACTTCTTGGAGCGTTTCGTTGGAGGCGAAAGCAGATTAGAAAGAGTGGTGTTGGAAAGACCTGGAAGAGTATTGTTATTTGTAGAAGGGTTGTAGTTGATGGCCGCGTCGGTCTGCACAATCAACTCGATGTTGTAACCCCTGGCCTTGTTGGGGCAAGCGGTCTTGTTGTGGTTGCCCCAGTACACCCGGTACTCGCCTCTATAAGAGTTGCTAGGGCAGGCCAAAAACTCGGTGGAGTTGCGGAAAGTCAACTTCTGTTTGGAAATGCCAAAGCCGTGCGTGGCGTTGGCTGCGTTGGGCGCAATAGTCAACTGGTACGTTTTCGGGTCCACATGGACGTTGGTGGTGTTTGCAATCAGCTGGGTGGCATTGCCGGACTTGACGCTGCCCGGAAGATTCAACACATAGCCCTCGGAGGCTCTCACTCTGCCGAAAAAGGCCTGCTCATCGGCGTTAAGCAAAAGTTCCTTGCCGTTGTACTTCAACAAGTGGTACTGGAATACAGCGCCTTCATGGTGGGCAATAAGCGAAAACACCGGAGACGACGGACGATATAGACGTTTGACGGGGAACGCCGCTGCACAGAGGGCAAATAGGAGGACGTTGACGAAAGATGTGAAGAGCATGGGGAAAAAATGTCGATGAAAACGGAAGTACCACCAGCCACCCATATTTATAGGGTAGAGGCATGGCGCAAGAGATGACGCACGCGAAGCAAGATGCCGCTTCCAGACGGCTATAAATGGCACGCGCGCTGCAGCATGACGTTTCTGCGCCAATCACCCTGCCTAAAGAGGAAATAACCCTGGTGGGTTGCTGATTCTTGCGCACTTGACACCAAACAGTGCGCTGGTATTTACGATTGACACAAACGGAACAGGTGTTGCCGTCTCGTTTTTCTTTCCAAGGCCGTTTCACCGTGCTATTTTCTTCCTTTTTCCTGCTTTTGTTCTGCTTTGTTTCTTCCTCTTTGTTTTCGGTATCGATGGAAAGAGGCTTTGCCCGGATGACCTCGTGCATATAGGCAACGTCACGGGTTCACACCGGAAGTATAGGCCGGTTTTTACACATTCTCTCCGGTACAGAATTGATTGCGATAGCCACAATGGGATCAATTGCATTATATTGCATTTCAATTGCATCAGTGTCATGTCAAAGCAGTTGGAAGGTCTTTAAGCCATTATCACATTATGGTTCAGCCGGTGACGCTTGTCCAAGTAGTCTTGAACATTTTTGCAATTCTCTTTGCTAAATTTGCAATTCTCTTTGCTAGCAACGTGAAGTACCGACATACATGGAACGGTGCTCAAGATTTGATCGTTTCTTCTTAAGTGAGCGCTCGGATTAGTTAATCTCTTCAATTGATTATGTGTAAGAAAAATCGATTTCTACAGAGACTATCATAAAGCACTTTCTATTTCTACAGAGACTATCATGAAGCACTTTCTATTTCTACCAGAGACTATCATAAAGCACTTTCTATTTCTACAGAGACTATCATGAAGCACTTTCTATTTCTACAGAGACTATCATAAAGCACTTTCTAGCATTGGTTGGCTCCACTTGAAATAATTTGTTCGAGCAGTTTGATTCGAAAAAGTGATCCCACTGTAACACGAACTATTGGCACAGGATGTGAAAGTCGATAGACAACAAGAGATTACAAGCAATCAATTAGTAATAATATAGGCGTTGGCTAATAAACTGCGTCTTAACGGGCTGCTTCATCAAAACAGACTTCAAATGCAGATACATTGATTTTGATCTTGCAATTGAGTCGATTTTGAATCATCAGCAAGCATTGCCAGTAAATCGGTGTCAGACCATTTTTACTGAATCCTTCATCAGTCACAAGTACAATGCGTGGCGACAATTAAATGGAGAGACTTAATCAGATAAAGTTTATGAATTCGGATCACTTATGAAGACATTAATAACAGCAGTAAATTGAAATAACGAACATGCGAAAACTTCAAGTCAAAAACTGTCATCTTCTACAGGATCAATTCCAAACTGAAACGTCTCCAAGCATACTCACGATGTCTAGCATCTATAATCCCGCGCAACCGCCTACGCCATAAATAAGTGACTGTCATCCCAATGACTGAGGTGCATTAATAAATACATTCTACTTACAACTCAACGGCCTTAGGGCAGTTCAAAGCAGACTTCAAAGAGCCGTAGATGGTGAACTGCAAAGAGGTCAAAGTACCGACCATGACCAATCTGGTTGGCAAACCAGTGAAAGAGCCACGGATACCCAATTGCTTGGCCAATTGAGCCAACAAACCAATGGTGGATTGGCCTGGAGCCTTCTTGGTCTTGTTGACCTTGGACAACAAGGTGTCAGCAGGTTGAGAAACAATGGCAGCAGCACATCCGGCAATGATACCAGCACCCAAGTTGACGGCAGTGGCGGCACCAGAGGACAACTCAGCCTTTGGAGTTGGGATGGCACCGTAAATGGCCTCAGCAGCTCTCTCGAAAACCAAAAACTTGGCAATGTTGTAAGGAATCTGCTTGAACAAGATAGGGGTGAAACCGTTGTAGAAAGAACCGACACCTTCTTCCTTCAAGATTCTGGAGAAACCGCCAATCAAACCGTTGGCGAAGGTTGGCTGCGACACCAATCTGATTCTGGTGGCTTCCAATGGACACAAGGCAATGTCGGCGAAAAACTCGGCCAAGGCAGCGGAACCAATGTACACGGAGTTCTTGTACTTGGAGGCGGTGTCGTAGCCCAATTGCTCAATGAAGGTCTTCTTGAACAATTCGTAACCACCAAACTTGAAGGCACCTTGCAAGGAGTAACCCAAGACGGTAGGACCCAAACCGGTCAACAAAGCACCGGCACCTTCGGAAGAGACAACTTGCTTGAAAGAGCCAATCATACCCTTGTTGTAAACAGTTGGTTCCAACTGGATTCTGGTCTTCACCACATCGATTGGGGTCATGGCACCGTGGGTGACACCACAGCCCATAGCACCGGCGAGAGCAAAAGAGGCGTAGTCACCAACGGTGAAAGTAGGAAGAGTCTGCTGCTTGGCGGCCATTATGAATATATATACACAAGTGTGGAAAAGAGAAGAGAAGGAAAAAATTCCTTTCGCACCGGGCGATATATAGGCGAAAAACGAAAAAGCGCGCGCACTATCGCAGGAACGGTTCTTATTGGCCTGTTTCCAGGCGCACCGCGCAAACTTTCTTGCGCATCCGTATGTCTCCGGGCGCGCACCTGCTGTATCGGGTCTAACTCCGCCAGACCAGGCCCACGCCAAACCTACGGCTTTGGATGAGCCAAATTGTAGGGCGGTGGCACAAGAGGCAAATCGGTGGCAGCACGTGCGTCTCCTTGCTTGGGTGTGTGTGCAGGCTTTGGGGAATATTTTTCTCGTGCTCTCTTTTCTTTTTCGTCTGTACAGTCTTGGTACGTCACCGATCTGGCTACTGTTGATCCAGCATAGCATCAGTATTCTAGGTTGATTGTTCTTTGGTTGTTCTTTGATTGATTGTTTGATAGATTGTTCTTGATTGGTGTCTAGACGACAGTTTGGATTTCAAGTTCTGATGCTCGATCAGACCGTATTTAGGCATTCTCTGGACCCTGTTCTAACATGTAACGGCAAACTTAGATTGTTTATCTGATGAATGGCCTCGTAATGATGCAAGTAAACTTAAGGTCGCTAGTTGTGCTAGCAAATTAAACTTAACGTCACTAGCTGTGCTATCAAATATAAACTTTCTTTCCCATTTAATCAAAAGAGTACTATCACCAGTTCAGAGATAATGCCATCCTACTCTTGAAGTGGTTGTATGAAAGGCTTGACACAGCGCAAGATGCTGTCGTCAGATCGTCTTGTTAGACGAGTATACGGATTTCATGAGATTACAGGATATACCTGCATTCTTCAAAAGTGGTTGAAAACATTGGTCAACTCTATTCTCTTTGTAACTCAATCAGACGAAGGTCATATTACTGATGATTAGCGAATTTCACCACATCTTTATTACCTCGACTCTCAATTCAATCTTAAGAGGCGAACATTGAACCTAAAACTACTTTTCCGTCTTCACGCAATCGAATTTGTGATGATCAAAATCAATTAATTAGATGGTGTGAATAAAGCTGAAACTCTAAGTCGCTCAACGTGAATTCGTACACCATATCTCCTGGTGAAGTAGATCCAACGAAAATGTTTCTAAATCAGAAGCACTTTCAGTCTTGGCCACTCCATCTTAAAGATATCAGGTAGATTATCCGGCATCAAAGCAAGTACGAGAACCCTTGGCCTTATTTAAGGTGCAAACCAGCTTTGCCTTTAACTCTCAGCTTAATTCCAGAAAATCACTTATACGATGTGTCGGAACGGTTCTGTTCAACGATCTAGTAACCTAAAGTGTTGTGACATCTGATACTGTGATCAATAGAAAGCATTGACTGTTTCTTTCTACTTATGATTTGCAGCTTCATATCTTACAAGCATGAGCCAGCGCATACATACGTAGCAAAATCTCTTCCGACGCATGCACTCAAGATTATTCTCTCAATGGATGCTAGAGCCAGCACTTATATAAGTCTATAGCTTAATGGCCAACTTCATTCCTACCTCCGTTTGTCCGGACGCTTCTTCATATTGGGAATAGGCGGAAGGGCGCCGTAGGGCAATGGCATACGAGGAGCAGCGGCTGGAGTGCTTCGCCATGAGCCTGGAGCTTGGCCTGGAGCTTGGCCTGGAGCTTGGCCTGGAGCTGGAGGTTGTCCCACTGGTTGCGACACTGCGCCAGCTGGAGGCATATGACCGGAGCCGCTAAAATGCAATTGTCCTTGGGGCTCGGAAATGATTCCTGTCGGTCCAGAAAGTCCAGCGGGGCCCGAAATGCTTGTACTTGGAACTGGGTCCGGTCCGGTGTTCAGGCCATCCAAAGTGTCGGTAAAAACGTCTTCTGAGAGTTCAGGCGAGTATGCATCGTCGTCGTCGTCTTCCGGTTCCGCTTCAGGATCTGGTTGGGGTTCAGACTGCTCGATCCGCGGCTCGACCCGTTCTGGAGTTCTGTAGTGCTCGAGAAGATGCGTTAGAAGCTTTGTGCGCAGATCTGCGTCTGTTAAGGTGTTGTAGGCGGCCCTCTGTTTGGCGGCCAAGGCTGTGTCTCCGGATCCAGAGGCCAATGCTAGTTCGCCCACGCGAAGACGGAAAACAAGCGGGTCTTCGTTTTCCTGCTCGAAATCGTAGCGGAGCTTTTTCGTCGGATGCTCAAAGTAGTTGTTTGCCCGCGTCACCAAGAACTGGAACTCGGCGTACGCCACGGCATGGAGGTTTTTGACCTGTGCGTCGGGAAGTTTGGCAAAAAGCGGCTGGTAAAGCTTGCTGAGCCACTTCTGGATCTCGGCAAACGTGTAGCCGTGGCGAGCCATGCCGCCGACATAGGCGTAGAACACCGTCTGGAGGATGCGCATCTTGTCTTCCACGGGCAATTCTTGCGAGATGTGCATCATCACTGCCTCGGAAAGATTGTAGCAGTATGCCAAGCGTGCCACGACGTGCGGCGCCGTGAGCCGAAACCGCAAGTGCTGCAAATCGTCTTCGTGGGCCGTGGGAAACGCCGTGTTGGCGAGAGAAATGAGCGCACAATCAACCAAAGCAGACCCGTGGAGGGCAAGCTTGCGGTTGTGCGAATTGCTGAAGTGCAGCGCTTCTAGAAAATCGCCGGGCTGCCGAAACGACTTGTCTGTAAGCACAAGCTTGAGCACAGGCTCGCTGAGCGGCGGCAACGTCGGCGGGTACAAGTCGGCCTTGTCGCTCTGGCCTTGGTTTTGGCCGCTTTCGGGTTCTGTTTTGGCGCCGTCTGCGCCGTCGATGCTTTTGCCGTTTTCCACCGTCCTCTCACCCTCGTCGATTCGGAACCTGTCCTTCGCCTTTCTCTCCTCGGGCGTGTAGTCCAACAAGTACCCGACATAACGGTCGCTTTTGGCAGACTTGAAGTTGATGTGGGCAAACGTCTGCAAAAACGGCATGAGGCCCTTGTCGTAGAGGCTCTTCAAGCGCACCGCCACCTTGAGCTGCGGCGACTGGAGCAGCACACGGAGCTTTTCTGCCATGGCCAGCGGCTGCGGCGCCTCGCCATAAGTATGCATCAATTCTTTATACTGAGCCACCGTGGGCGCCTTGGCCACGACCTGGTTGAGCGTTGCTTGGAGCTGCGAGATGTTTCCTCGCACCTGGTGGAGATCGTCGCACCATGATAGAAGGTCGTCGGACATTTTCGCTCGAGCAGTTTGGGTTGGGTTGAAGTTGATAGTGAGAAGAGGCGGCGTGCGCGGCCCATATTGTAGATGCTTTGGCATGAATATTATTTATACCGTTTACCATATAGTTACTGTTGCACGTAATTTACTATAATAAATCTAATGTAATAATTGTAATAATTTATATTAAAATATAATTATAGATATTATTAGGCACATCAGATGCTTTTGTCGACACCCCAGTGTCTTCTTGATTTGTTGTTGTTTGTTGTTTGTTGTTTTTTGATCGGTTTGTTGTTTGATCGTTTTGTTGTTTAATCGTTTTGTTTTTTGTTTTTTTATTTTATTTTGTTTTTTTATTTTGTTTTTTGTTTTTCGTTGCTTTCAGTTTAGGTGCCGTTTTGCTTGATTTGTGTATGAATGCGAACCAGACAACGTTGTAGTACAGAAGACTTTCGAAAAAACATTTTGAGTTGTAATTAGGATTTCCGTTAAGCCTTGATTAGATATGATGGCAAGCTGGAACGGATCGGAGCTCTTTCGTTTTTTCCATGCTGCTAGATATGTCAGGCTCGTCAGACGGCATTGATAATAAAGATACAAACTATAAACGAAGTAATTCTAATAATGATATAAATTACGAGTCCTAACTAACTTGTTCTCTGGTTAGACGAGAAGTATGGAAATGATTGGGCTCACACAATTGGATTCAAATGTACTGGTTGATCCAGCTACAAAATTTGTCCCCTATGATTGACAACCACATCAACTCTTCCAAACAGATCATAAACTGTTCTCAACTAATAAGTCTTGAACAATCAGACAGTCACTGTCTTTACGAGCAGGTGTTGAGATCTCGAATGCATCAATGCTATGATTGAGCTTCAAACTCACTAAAAGTAGGAAAGCAATCTCATTTAGTGCTTTATAGCAACGGCTCATTTGCATTCCTGACATTTAATTTTGGAGAGGTGTGGCAGGGAAGGTGCTAAAGCCCTGGAAAGTGATGGACCTTCAAATCGAGAAAGAATCAGCGACGAATAATGGGGCGCCGTCGATGGACTAAAACGTTCAGAACCCACATCAATAGATTGACTTTTTTTCGCCCAAGTTGTGCCCATTGGAGTCCTATACTGGCCAAAGAAACTTGTACGGTTTCTGATCGTACAACGAAGGGATATTATAATAAGTTTCCACATAAAGTTGTATATTGAACTTGGGTGAAAGAATCTAAACTTCAACTAAATCTCAGCGAAGAGGACTGATAGTAGCTTCCTAAGAGAACTAAGATCTTATACCCGTGTGAGAGCTAAGAAATGACAATGTACGTCTGATTGAATCTTTCGAATGCTACCTACCACTGCTCTCTCCAAGAGCACATTCAAACGTCTACCTTCCGATCTTGGTCAAAGGAAGAAAGTACGAGCAAATAATAAGTTCGAACAATTATTCAAACAAATATTCAACAAATATTCAACAAATATTGAAACAAATATTCAAACAAATATTCAAACAAATATTCAATCAAATATTCAAACATAAAAATGTTCGAACAATTCAAACAGTCACTCGGCGACTCTGCTTTCGCAGTCTGAACAAATCGTCGTAGTCATGAGTTCAACGTTTTTCTGGGATATACCTGGTCAATCAGGATCTCCAGTAAGCAAATACCACAGATCCAGTACACCATTGGGCCAATTCTTTATACATTTACAAATACAGCGATCGCTGCACAATGCATGAATCTACTTAAACACAAGTATGCTTGAACGGTACAGGTAAGTATCCTCTAAGATTGATCCATTTTTCGATCTACTCACATGGATGTTATGTGAGCCAACCTGTGGCCTTACCAATTCTCCAAACCATTCATACCTCTCGTTGTCCAATCAACATCTTCTGTCAGCCTGTCTACTAAGTGACTAGGTGCATGACGTCTGTCTTACATGTGGACATCGCGGGTGCAAAAAAAGAAAAAGAAACGCAAGAAAAAATTTACTTCACCGTACTATGCTCCTCTGACATCGACAACAGGCTATAATCAACTGCAGAAATCATCACTTCTCCGTATTGCAACTTCAAGTACCATCACAAAGAACAGCTCCAAATAGCTCCTAATAACTCCAAACTCCAAATACCTCCGAATACAAAATAGCCCAAGAACTCCATTATCTTAGCGCCAGAATATTCCCATGAACGACTACTTTGCTGAAGACTACGTCCCGGGCACGACCAACATCCTTGTGTCTCTGGACGACTCGTCGAGCCACCGTCCTGTGAAAAAGACCGCCGACGGCATCATTTTGCTCCCCCAGCCGTCTGACTCGCCCAACGACCCGTTGAACTGGTCGAGCAACCGCAAAATATGGCATTTCCTCCTTGTTTGCTTCATCACCGCATTGACCGCTGCCATTTCCAACGACGCCGGCGCAGCGCAGGACCTGTTGAATGAGATCTACGGCATCTCCTATGACGCCATGAACACAGGCGCAGGCGTGCTTTTCCTCTTCATTGGCTGGCTGTGCATCTTCTTTGCGCCCGCGTCGTCGCTTTACGGCCGCAGAATCACCTACATCATCTGTCTTCTGGCCGGAACGGCCGGTTCCATCTGGTTTGCTCGCCTGACGAAAACCGCAGACACAATCTGGTCGCAGGCGTTCGTGGGCATGTCTGAAGCATGCGCCGAGGCCCAGGTCCAGCAGTCCTTGGCTGACATTTTTTTCCAGCACCAGCTTGGTTCGGTATTGACCGTCTACATCTTGGCCACACTGGTGGGCTCGTTTTTGGGGCCCTTGGTGGCCCATCTCATCTCCGAGGCCCAGGGTTTCCGCTGGGTCGGCTGGTGGGGTGCCATTGTCACTGGCGGAACGCTTTTGGTGACTTTGGTTGCGTGCGAGGAAACGGTTTTCGATCGTGCCAGCCACTTCCCTGTCTACGATGAAAAGATTGGGCTGAAAAGTGAAGAAACAGGCGAGAAGAAGGAAAACAAGGATACTCCTGCTCTTGACAAGGAAGCTGCAGCGCTTGAGCTTTTTGAGAGCGGCGACTCGAAGGACGAAAAGGCGGAGGAAACTGAAGAAACGCACGAGACCGAGAGAACTCCAGAGATGGACGAAAAGGAGACAGGAATAACTTCCAACCAGGCCGGCAGTCCGATTGTTCGGTGCCGGCTGTCGTTTGACCTTGAGTCTTCTGCAGAACGCCCCAAATCGTATCGTTCCCGGTTGGCTCTCATCACACCTTCATCCTACATCACTGGGTTGGGTTTCCACCAGTACGTGAAAAGATTTGTGCTCTACTTCAAAGTGTTTTCGCTTCCTGCTGTCTGGCTCTCGGGCATATTGTGGGGCTTGCAAGATGCATACATGTCTTTTTTCCTCACAACTCAGGACACATACTTTGGCGAAGAGCCTTGGAACTATACCGAAACGCAAGTGGCGCTTATGAACGTGGCCACTTTGGTTGGTGCTGTTTTCGGCTGTTTCATGTCGGGAGTCTTGTCTGACCGCCATGTGCTCTGGTTGGCCCGTCGGAAAGGCGGTTTGTACGAACCCGAGTACCGCCTTTGGCTTCTTTTCGTCACCATGGTTGTTTCTCCTGTGGGTCTTGTGATGTTTGGCGTGGGAGCAGCCCAAGGCGGAGCATGGCCAGCATGGGTGATCTATGGCGGCTTGGCCCTCATTGGTTTTGGCTGGGGCTCCATCGGAGACACTGCCATGTCGTACTTGATGGATGCGTACCCGGAGATTGTGATCCAAGGCATGGTGGGTGTTTCCATCATCAACAACACATTGGCATGTATCTTCACGTTTGTGTGTTCGAAGTGGCTCGATGCTGCCGGAACCCAGAACACTTATATTGTGTTGGCGGTGATTGATTTCGTGTCGATTGCGTTCATTGTGCCAACGCTTTACTGGGGCAAGCTGTGGCGCCGGGCGACGCGGGGACTCTACATTCAGTTGGTGGAGCTTGCCAGCGAGAGCTGAACGATATGCGATTTTGACTTAGAGCATCGACTGATAGACTGATAGATGTAATAGAATGTATCGATAATTTCCGATATTGTGATATATGGTAGTCATGGTGTATTGTTAGATGATCGATATTGTTATATTATTTGATAGAAGGTGTGAAGAATGTAGATGTACTATAGGAAATGTGAAGAATGTAGATGTACTATAGGACATGTGAAGATGTAGATGAAACGGAGACGTAAGATTCAATTAAATACACAGAGAGATGTAACGGATACGTAAGACTCAATTAAATACTACAGAGAGATGTAACGGATACGTAAGATTCAATTAAATACAAAGAATAAGGAAAGTGTAAACTGATACAAGCGATACTGTGAGACAGACTGACCTATCATCACACAATGAATACATGGTCCTAACAGATAAAAACCACACGGCACATGTATTTACAATGCTAATCCTCGGTCTCTCTGGTCCTTGTCTAGTAGTATAATATCATTACATACAGCCAACAACACGCCAGTCACGTAAAATTTTCTTCTCATGTACAAGTTTCATGTCACCACACTATTGTCCGACGCAAACGACGCAAACGATGCAAACGACGCAAAACTTTTGTGAGGTCTAGTCCATGGCCTCGCCGTTGTTCTGGGCCGCAAAAGCGCCGCTGTCGCCGCCCGTTGGAGTCACGCCGTCCATGTAAGCAGATAACTCTGCGTCCAAGTCTTCAGCGGTCTTTTTCGCTGGTCTGGGCTTCCTGGCCTTGGGTTTTCTGGCGCGTACGCGAGGCGCCTCCTTCGAAAGGGCAATCGGTTCAGCCGCCGCACGGGGCGCTATTCTGTCAGCCAAAGACGTGGCGTTTTCCACAATCAACGTGTTGCCCATGGCCTTCTTGCCATCGAAACGGGAAATGGCCTTGGCATTGTTGTCGGCAAAATTCAGCTGGAAGCACACGTACGCCACCGCCTCGTCGCGGGGATCAAACTTGACAAAGTCCACAGGCGCCACGTTCAAAAACAAGTTGGACAAGTCTTCGCCATTCAACTCGGAATGCACGTTTCTGAGCCGCAACAAGGGCCTCCCATGGGCGCTTTCAAGAATCTGCCGAGGGATACCGGTTCTGCCGGTCGGTCTGCCGGTCGGTCTGCCGCGCTGAAAGTTAGTATGGAGGGACGAAAGACGAAATCTTGAAACTTTGCTGAATGACACATACAGGTGGTCTTCTGGCGCCACGGGATCTGGGCGGTCTTGCTGGGCCGTCTCTTCTTCGAGGCTTGTTGGAGCCGATGATTTCGTCCAATGATTGTTCTAGAACGCCCGACATGGTTCTGTTTGCAATTAGGTGGAGTTGTTGAAGATGTTTTCGAGTGGGACCGTATGCACTACCGTCTTTGTAGCAAGAGCCAATATACTAAGCAGTATGAATATTATAAATTAACTTTATGGATCTATTTGGAGGAAGGTTACATTATAGCAATTGATTTAATCCATTATTTGGGCTGGTGTTAGATACAAAGGAGAGTCGGGTATTATTGGACGTCACGAAAAAATGGATCATATACTGAGAAAAAGCGGAACAATAATGTGATTTCACTATAGTGTATTTTTTCATTAGTGTGTGTCTACTATGATGGAATTCTGAGGCAGTTCAAGGTTATAGTTGTACTCTTTCAATCTTTGCTATTACTTTTTGTGAGAAAAGACTGATTATATGGTTCAAGAGATCATGGAAACTACATGATTAAATTTATGAAGTTCTCTTGTCCAATATGAATGGCAAGCCAATAATGTGCCATTGGATTGCCCATATTGGATCCACCATTGTTTGTATATTGCAAAGCGAAAAGGCTCAGTAGAAATGTGAAAATACAACTTGCTCTAAACAAGACAACGATCGCTTCCCCAGAGTCTGCAAAAACACTTAGTACGAAGTTATTCTTTCCCAGGTCGATCTTTTCTAACGCTAATTCCCATTATATTGAATGTCCAGATACGAGAACAACGTTTGATGGCACCAGAACCTTCTAAATTACTTGACAATGCATTTCGTAAGCATAATTCAGTTCATGTACTACAGTGCCTTGGCCAAAAACAATATCCTATTCACATAGCTAAAATTAGAAGCGAATCATCCATTCTATAACAAAGTCGTCCGTGGACCTAGTTGCGCTTCTTTGACGTCTTGAAGTTCTCGTGCTCCTCGTAGCGAGTCCCCACCAACTTCCCGTCGGCACTGAACTCCTCCGTGCGGCGCAAGTAGTCCAATGGCATCAACAGCGGCCAGTTGACAAACTGGTAGCCGTTCTTGGCAATGTACAGCGCATTGGCGCCGATAAAGTACAAGCAGCCACCAAGGAAGAGCAAGTTGCGCAACGACAAGAGCGAGCCACGTGGATACATGATAAGCGCCACCGCCACCAAGACAGACGCACCAAGCAAGTACGGAAGCAACTGCACGTGTGGCGCTCTGCGGTCGACGAACGGGTTGGTGACGGCGTCCTGGTATGGGCGGTACATGCCCAAAAACAAGTCGTACGAGTCTTGCCGCTGGCCGTCGCGGTAGTTGTTCAAGTAGTAGCGGGTGATGGAGTTGACCAAGTCCTTGAGGGCGCCGATCTTGGTGCGCTTGCCAGTTCTGGTGTAGTCGGTCTTCAAGGCGCCGGTGCCGGAGTAGGCGCACGACACGGCATCGGCGTTGTCGGCCCAAAAGCTCTGGAAGAACAAGTTGAACTGCGGGTCAAGGCGCTCCCACGGCGACGTGGTGTGTTCGGGCAAGTAGCCCGCACGCTCCAACTGGTTCTGCAAGACCCACCGGCCCAACATGGACTGCACAACGTTGGTTCTGTCCAAGCAGTCCATACAGTTGGTGCGCACCACCTTCTGCTGGGTGTGTTTGACGGTTCCAGAGGCCATGTCGTAGTGGAAGTAGTTGTCGCTGGTGAAGCCAAGCTCGATCAAGTGCTCGATGAGAAGCTTGACGCGGTCCCAGCGCATCTTGCGGCACTCGTGGTGGAAATCAAAGTAGATGTAGTGCACGTGCAGCGCAAGCAGCAGCGGAAGCGTCTCAACGGCCTTCTGGTAGGCGTCCTTGACGGGCTTTTCGTAGCCGCTCTGGTTGACCAAGTTGACCAAGTAGTTCTCGCCGTACAACAGAACCTGCTCGGTGAAATGCTTCGCCGTGGCCTCCTGCGCAGGGCGAGACGACACGACAAGGTTGGGCTTGTAGCGCAAGTTGTTGATCTCGGACCAGTACACGGGCACAGAGCCGCGTGTCTGCAAAAAGGAGAAGATCTGCTTGTCTGCGGTCGTGAAGATCTGCTCGGTCTCGTTGAAGTTGGCCACGTTGCCGTCCTCGTCGATTCCGCGGCGGAAGTATCTTGTTCCAGCCCGCGTACAAGAGCGGCGTGTGATCAACGCAAACTCCAACGACTGGTGGCCCTTGAAATACGCCATGTGCAGCTTGAAGTAGCCGTAAATCACCGGCGTCACGAAACTGTCGGCGCCCGCAGCAACCAACTCCTCACACAAGTAGCGGTTCCACCAGAAACGGGCGTCACGCGCCGCCGGAGGGCTGGCAAACTGTCTCTGCAACGAATTGGTCACGTCAAAGCGGCCGTCCACGGAAAAGTACAACGTGGCCCGCGCCAAGTGCTCGTGCAACAACGCAAGATACTGGCTTTCCTCGTGGTCCTTCTTGGACACCGTGTCGTTTCCAAGCGGGTAGATCTTGTGCGACACCACACGTGCCACACTGTGGCCCATCACCGACCCGGTCACCTCGTGCTTGTCGGCGACAACAAGATACCTGTTGATTTTCAACTTGATGGTGCCCAAAATACACGATACGGCCGAAGTGGCGCCTGAGACGGCCTGGGGCGGCTGCTGCGCCGAAACTTCGACGCCGGCGCCGAGCGTGAGGTAGGTGCCCGTGGCCGGCGCGTGGAACACGTGGGAGCCGTCGGCGGCTATGGTGTGGGATAAGGTCATAAGGAAGAAGTAGTTGGCGGGTCAACGCACCCGTACCTCTGGCGAAGACGGTGGATGGTGCGAATGCAGATGAATATGAATGAGATATGATATGAGATATGAGATACGAAGGTATGAAGGTAGGAAGATATGAAAATATGAAAATGTGAAGGGATAAGGGATGAAAATGTGAAGGGATGAGATAAATATATGAAGATTTAAGTACAGATATAAATACATGAATACAAATATGAATATGAAGGTTGTTAGGAGGTACTGATGGAGAACCTGGAGGCCAGTTATGGTGCCTACCAAATAAGCCACGAAGCCTTAGATTACATAAGCTTCGCCGTATGAAGACTCGTACCCCTACTACGTCTAGACTGGCTTCCCTTGTTTTGGAAGCGAACCAAGAAGTTCGGACGCAATTATATGCAATCAGTGTGTTCCTAACAAGATATAAATATGAGATATGAAGATATAGATATGAATACGAGATAAGAATGTCTGAATATTTGAATACATGTGCGAGGCAGAATTGAATAAAAACGATGGAGACGTGGCAATTCGAATAGCCTATATTCCTTGGCAAATGCGTGTGCCTTCGATTATCAGTCAAAAGCTAACCTTCCGAAATGGTGGATTTCGTAGCTGATCATCTGGTAGAAAGTAGCCCTTTTTTCATTCTATGGTCACAGATCCGCTTCAATAATATTGTGAAAGGACATTCTCAACCATAGATTATGAATTTTCACCACATTTAGGACAAAGGTTCAGACACATGCAATGACATCAATAAAGTATCAACTTGACCTGTACTTATCTCTTGTACCTTGCTTGTACCTTCGCTTGTACCTTATCAAATGGAATCTGTGGTGTCTTTTGAAGATAACTGGCGACGACAAGACGAAATTAGCGAGTATGAAAAGGAAGCGACCCGATCTCATCTATTCAAAAAGTACTTCAAATTCAGAAGAATGTTTGTCTCCCTTCGCTTCATTCACTGCAATATTGTTTGTTGAACACGTACAAACTTGTACCTTATCCACTTGTACCATCACTTGTACCTTTATCTTCTCTGTACCGTTCTCTGTACCTTTACCTCCTCTGTGCCTTTACCTCCTCCACCCTTCCTTTATCGATGCTAACCGCGGTACCATTACCGATAGCAGGCTTTCTTACAGTCACTTGTATCTAGCACAGCACCAAATACGAAAGCATTTCAATGCTCATCTTTATATGCCCAATATCTTTGTCAGTCATTAGAATGCAATAATTGAAATATGATCCGACAACTTCCTGGACAGTCTCTTTAATAGAAGTCTCATGATCCAACCAAGTATGCCCCATAATTAAATGTTTGGTCAACCAGTCTTTATTGTGCGAAATGTCAATCTTGAAATTCAGAAACGCTTTCTTACTCTTTTCAGGACTAAAGCCCCAAATCAAATAAACCCATCTGCCCAACCAATCATTTACAAAATTAACGAATTTTTTTTTTCAGAACTATTCCTTCCACTTGGAGGCAAATGGAAGTGGCCTGCACAATGCCCCCAAGATCAACTCGCGCCTACACCTCCACATCTTCTATCCACTTCTACTAGTGTTACTTGCTGTCAAACCTTTTGCAGCCACCTGTCTATATAAAGCGAGCGATTTCCCCTAAAACGCAACAGTCGCAAAAACAAAAGAAGCAACAAAAACACAGCCTGCACACCTGCATCCACATGTACCGCTTACTGACCATTCTCTCCGGCCACGAGCTGGACGTGCGTGGCGTGGCCGCCCAGGGCGACTTGCTCGTTTCGTGCCTGCGGGACGGCACCGCCCGAGCATGGAATCTTGCCACAGGAACGCACGAGACGTTTTTCCGCTCCGCCAGCTTCATCAATAGCATTTCTTCTGTTCCCGAGTTGGGGTTGGTGGCCGTGGCGGGAAAAGACGCCGTGATCTACTTGTGCGAGCCGCACGAGCTGTATGCGAAAGTGGGCGACGATACAGGCCGCTTCCAGCTTGTCGGGCACACCAACAATGTCTGTTCCGTGCGGAGCGGGTTTGGAAAACTCGTCCTGCTGTCATGGGACAACACCGCCAAGGTGTGGGATTTGCAGCTGTTTGCGGTCGAGCACGACCTCGTTGGCCATGAGGCTGCAGTTTGGGATGCCATTTTCGTTGACTCCGACACTGTGCTCACGTGTTCGGCCGACCGTACTATCCGTCGCTGGCACCGCGGCACACAAGTGGCCACCTACACGGGCCACACCGACGTTGTGCGGCGACTTGCCCTTTTGCCCGGTGGCCGCTTTGTGTCGGCGTCAAATGACGGCCTGCTCAAAGTTTGGGACATGGAACTGGGCCACGTGCTCCATACGCTCCTGGGCCATGCTTCTTTCGTCTACGACGTGGCTGTAACTCCTCACGGGCTTGTGTCCCTGGGAGAGGACCGTACGGTGTGTCTTTGGGACGCGCTGGCCTGGACAGTGGCGCAAGCCATTTCGGTCCCGGGCATTCTGGCCTGGTGCGTTGCCGTATTACCCAATGGCGATGTGGCCGTTGGCACCTCTGACAGACACGTGTACGTGTTCACGGAGAGCGAAGAGAGACAAGCGCCGTTGCACGTGGCCGAAGCCTACGCCCAGCAAGTGAGTGCTGCAGCCATTCCAGAACAGGCTGTGAATCTTCTGCGCACAGACGTGCCTGGCATTGAACGGTTGCAACAGGCGGGCAAGCGCGAGGGTGAGACAGTGATGGTGCGCAGCAACACGGGTATTGTGGAAGCACACCAGTGGTCAGGTGGCCTGTGGGTGAAAATCGGCGATGTGGTGTCTGCAGCAGGTTCAGGAACAAAGCAGCAGTACAACGGCAAGGAGTATGACTACGTTTTCGATGTGGACGTGGCCGATGGCCAACCTCCGCTTAAATTGCCATTCAATGCCACGGATAACCCCTACACTGCCGCAGAGAAGTTTTTGGCTGACAACGACTTGCCGGCGTCATATGCGGACGAGGTTGTGCGTTTTATTGCCAAGAACACAGAGGGTGTCGAAATTGGACAAACTGGGAACCCAAATACGGGAACGGACTCTAGCGCTGGACCTGGTGTAGCTGCGTCTATGTCTCCCGCTGCATCTACTCCAGAAGCTTCTACTGTTCTCGTTACGTTTCCTGACTTTAAGCCAGAACAGCTTGTGCGCGGCTACTCCAAGCTTGCACTTCCTTCTGACCCTTCTGTGCCGTCAGCCTTGAATGACCTTGTCTCTCGCTCGGCCCTTCATCTCGTCGACAATGTTATTCCGCAGATTTTGAGCTTGCCAGGAAACCAGAAGTTGTTGGGCTTGGATATGCTCCGTATATGTATCCCGCGTATCACTGTGGCTGACTTGATTCAGTCTACAGATACGGCAGAGAACATATTGAAAATGATGCTTGCTGCTCTTAACGAAATCGCTGGCGAACCAACGTTAGTCATGATGGCTGCTCGTGTGCTGTGCAACTTGACTGCCAGCGTGCTTTTTGCCCAGCTATTCTTAACTGGTGAAGGCTCTTCCACCGTTTTCAACAGTTTTTTCGAGGACTATGCCGCTCGCTTTGTGAAAGCTGTCAGTCTGCTTGAAGGCACACAATCCAACAAGCATTTCTCTAGCGCAGCAGTCGCTGCCAGTGCGTTTTTGTATAACCTTTCTGCGTACAGCATCAAAAACCGCATGGGTTCCCAATCGTTACTGAAAATTGCGGAACTTTTGGATACAGTGGGTGAGCTTTTGGTTCGTGCGGACGCAGAAGCCGCCTACAGATTGTGTTTGACAGCAAGAAACTTGCGTCATGGTGGAGTGGAGCTTAGAAGCTGGTACTCTGTCTGTAAAGAGACGTATATGTCTGCGCGGTTTCAAGAGGAGTACGCAAGAATCGACGTGTGAAGTGCTAGTCGAAGACCATACGTTAAAGAAACAGAACCGTACTTTGATAAACGAATCCTGGACAATGCGAGGCAGAGATGATATGCGAAGCTACTATACGTTTTCATTCGATCAGCAGAAGCTATTACACAAGATGTAAGCAAGTTCGAGTGCTCGTTACAAAAATCAGAACTCCCAACATGATAAGGCCTCGTGGTCAATGTACAAATTGAACGATTTGATCGGGAATAGGGCTTATAATGAAATCCAGATATCTTCACTTACATATGCTTTATGAATATGCTCCATGAAGGTGACAATAAGCACAATGAAAACACTCGGCTCTCTGAAAAGGGAAGCAAGCTATACATTATTTACTTCACAATTCAGTAATGCATGAAATCGAGCCAAACTAAAATTCACTAATTTAGGCGAAATTGCAATGGAAGAAAACATTAGACTTCAGAAACTAAAACCTAATGACGTGTCGCCTCTAGAACGATCGGTTTTCCCTCCATACTTGACTAATATTCTGTTTTTCAACTGTTGTACACGTAAAGATCCACATACAATAAATACACAAGACATTGATATTGTAACTCTTTGTATTATTGATACGGTACGCCTTCGACGGTCCATCCAAACCATGTTCTTCATTTGTCCATTTTCAGTTAGCTTATTGATTATAGTCAACACTCCGTTCACTTGACTACACCGACTTTTCTCAAACGTGTCATTACCCTAAAAACCTAATGAAGAGCCCAGTGAAAATCCTGACAGAAATCTGGCAAGAAAACTAACAAAACTTCTGGGGCATCCTAGTAGAAAATCGTGCTCCCGCTAGAATTTGAGCCTAGTAGAAAAGCTCTGGAACCTTCTGAACAAACTTGGCCAACTGGTTGGCCACATCCACATTCACGCCGTCCGAAAGCGGCAACACAGAATAAACGTTCACTTTGTAGTCGGAAACGCCCACTTTGCCAATGATCTCGTAAACTTTGCCCACCTCCAACTTGTCGTTCGAATGGATGGACACATCTATAGCTCCTCCGGCATCAAGGCGTGCCGAGTCGGAAACGGCATCAAAAGAGTCGACGCGGCCCACAACCCTAACAACACGACCGGCAAAGTCTTTTATAGTGGAAGCATTCACTCTGATGCTGGCGGCGTCCATGTTGAAGATAAATGTTTAGTCAAGACGCGTCGCTGGTTACTATGTATGTACACCCGTACATCCAGAAATTTGGTGTGCAAGATTTCATGAGGTTTGCAGACTGGTTCAATACGAACTCATCAATCGAGATAATTCAAACAAAAAATTCAGACTAAATTGTTGTAATAGGAACCGAACCTAAAAGTAGGCACGAAAAATAGGAAAACTTCTTTATTCGAGAGATTTTGTATTCTTAATTACGGAACCCCTAAGATCCACAGACGTTAATTTTTACTTTGTGAGGGACTCATTTTTTGTTTGATTTGAATCTTTGGTTTGAATCTCGGACTGGCTTTAATTTTGGTCTTCGTTTGATTTCAAAGCTAGACTGTATTAACCAAACAAAAAGTTTTGGACTTTCGGATAACTTTTGAGGTATAAGACAAAAGTGGGCCTCATCTTTCTCATTCTGCTTGTTTTTATCTATAAGTTCTCATTGTCTTCATGCATTCATGAGACGAGAACAGGACGTACTTACCGAGCGTATTCTTCAAAAGGGCTTTATTTGGTAATTGAGAAATTGTTTGTTTGGTCACATTCCTTCGATTGTGGTTCTAGCAATACGTTGAGTTAATTACGCTCTTGACTTCAAGGATTGAGCAAGACAATTGTTATCTTTACGGAGTGACATGTATTATAATACTCCATCTTTATATGTACACTGTCTTGTTCTGGTGCAAATCGAGACATATATTCTCTTTCCGATATAAAGTATTTTCTAGCCTATATGCGGATTGAATGTTTCAAAAACCTTTCAAAAACGCCACTGAAGTATGTGGTGCAAAGTCAAACATGATCATTCAGCAATGGTAATGAATCCAGTTCTATAGCCATTTTTAACACTTCGAAAAAGTGGCTAAGCCCATTGCATTGATCCATGTGGGAGTCAGTTCTAGGTTCAGAAAATATGTCGGCTTCCGAGATATCTTTAGATCTTTACCGAGAGTGTCCGCATATCTAATAAATATATATTTCTGATATGGAACTGGACAGTTTTTTCCTCAGGATCTGCATAAGTAACGGTAGATTTTGGACAGCGTTCTGTTCCCTCTCCAATGATTTGAGCATTATTGAAACTCTCGTAGTAATCATAGCTAAAAGCGTATCGGGATCTCGCACTAAAGATTGATACTGTTGACGTGCATACTTCCATGCATAAACGAAAACTATATGCACTCATATATGCGCCGAAGCGCAGACTACTTTCGTTTGTGACTATGAAACAGACGCAAAATGTCCACAAATGGACCAACAGACCAGTAAAAGTGCAGTTTTCAATGGCTTTTGGCTATATTTGTTAACAAGGTTGAGCATTAGAGCTCTAGGCACGTAGAGAGTATAAAAAGCCGCCTATCTTCCAAAAAATACACATCTGCTCCATCCAATCTGGCTGTTGAATTGAAGGCTAACTATATATTAAAAAATTACCGAGAGTTGCATTTTCTCACCACCACCTTTGCCAATCTTGCTTTATTCTAAGCCAATATCTAAGATTTAGTTTCCGAACTTAAAATTCCTTCTCTAGCTCCCACATCTCGCTAATATCTGGAAGATTTTCCAGCTAACAAAAAAGTACAGCTTTACTAGCAAGAAAGACAACATTTTCCATCCCAACTAAGAAAGTTCTTTTGCTTATTTATCTTGCTAACTACCAAACAATTTGCCTTTACTCGCTATGCAATCCGATTCTAATGAAGATTCTGATCTTTGGATGGATTTGGACCAAGTGTTTCTAAATTCCAATCCAGCGGTGCCTGAGAGAAAATCCAGTTTTGAAGCAGTAAAAACTGAATCTTCTCCTGCTACAGATTTCTTTACGCACGAAGAGGCCGATTTTTCTGCCAATGATCTCAACTTAATTGCTTTGGGATCTCACTTGAGACCATCTGGAAACAATGACAAAGACGCAAGCTTCTTCCAAGAAGCACATTCCTCAAAAAGTATTGAGGAGCACCACTTGGCACTCCCAACGAGAGAAGCCGCATTATGTCTTGAAGATAAATTTAGTTTTGGGGAAGCTGGTGTGAACTTTCCCGACCAAGACGGTTTTTTGGGTGTTTTGGAAACAGATGCTGGCTTCCATTTCCCCGATCAAGAAGTAAGCTTGAGTTTCTCTACTGACGAAGAGTCCAGTATTTTCTCCAACAAAAGAAACTCGACCGACTTGGAAACTTTGGTTCCGAACATGGACGACTCTCCAATGAGAAATACACCCGTGGAAAAAAAGAAGAAAGTATGCCTGACTACGGAAGCTCTGAATTACAATGCTGATTACATCCCTACAGACTCTGTTCCACGTACCTTGGAGGTTGAAGTGTTTTTGGCCGAGCCGGTTCTTTCTTTGGGAAATATATCAGGCCAGCATGGACAAGTTCCTACATCGGTGGATCCAAGAGACTTTTTTTCTTCTGCTTATGAATATGTTCCAACAGAGCTGGACTTCAGTCAGTCTCTGAGCTTTTTGGATCTGAACTTCAGTTGGGCCATGCCCGCTGAAAATAAAAGTGACAGTCTGAACTACACCTACAATGCCAGTGAACAGAGTTCACAAATACCGAAAAAGCGACAGTGTCCTACGCCTCCCCAAGAGACGGCCAAAGCAAAAGCCAGCGGAACCAAAAAGCCCAGAAAGAACACCGTCCCCAAGAGAATCTTCGACTACAGTCAAGTGAAGATCTTCTCACAGATGGAAAGAGCACCCCAACTCCAGAACAATGCCCGACTTCCCGACCCGGGAACAACCAATCATCAGATGCAGCTTGTGATCTTGCAGAACCAGAGTAGTTGTGTCATCAACCGGACCAGGTACGTGAGGAGCAATCTCGACCCACTTCGATATTTGCACCCAAACGTGATTTACGAAAAGAACGAACTTTTCGAAGCCAACAACCCGTACCAGCAAGAGTTCACCAGAGTGGAAATTGACCCAGAATCAGGTTTGCCCATCAATGAAACCAGAAGTGGGCTCTGTCCGTATTGTGAGGATCTTAGCTTTTACGAGTTGAAGAACTCCAGCTACGCCCAACACTTGAGCCACTCTCATGGAGTTTTCACCGACAACTTTTTGACTCCCAACCCGTTGCATATTGGCCACTATGCCGTTGCAAAGAGCACGAATTCGCCTCGAAAGACTACGGCCCGAGTTCGGTCGCACGAAGGCGTTGTTTGTCCAGCCTGTTACAAGGTGGTGGAGATCCGATGCTGGTCGTCGACTCTGGTGAAAAAGCCGCTTTCGAACTACTTGCGCCACTTCAAGGAGGAGCACCGGGTGGGGAAGAATAGAAGCACGTATTTCCGGGCACATGTCTAAGTCACTACATATACGATTGTTCGCCAATAAAAAGAAAATACATAGAAGCGACGTAGAGTAGACATATTTAGTGCTTCCATGGCTATTAATTCCCAGTTAAATGCCATCAGCATCTTCGAACGTCTCGGTTTTCTATAGAAAAATAAACATCATGATAGAGTAATGAAGACGAACAATATCCACCGTTTTCATATTATTTTAGGTCGTAACTGCAATAAACTACCAGAACAATATGTTCTTGTTGAAAATAAGAGAGGAATATTTCCAGTTTCTTCACCTGCTTCAAACTCCTTTGTGCTAGTAACCTTAGAATGCACAGTTAACTTACGAATATGCTTGGTCTATAAAAAGCTATCTGACTGTGCACTTTGTACGGTTCACTTCCCCTATCTTGAAGAACCAAGATTTGTCCCAGCTACTCTGTTCTCGTGCTCTAAGCTCTACGTTAAGATTCTTTTCTTCCTTCGTACTCTTAGATACGTCCAGCCTGTATTCTAATATTAAATGTGTATGAGCTCATGCAAAAACGTTCCAGCCTCGCCTTTTTCCTCTGCTCTCATCAAACTCTCTCCAATCAAAAACCCATCCACATTGTCCTCGTACTTGTACTTTTTCACATCCTGAGAAGTGGTGATTCCCGAAAGAGCCAACACCAAAACGTCCCCTTCTCTGCCGCTGTTTTTCGCCTCGGAAACCAAAGAGCTTGTGGTGTTCAAGTCCACATCAAACGTCGTCAAGTTTCTGTTGTTGACTCCAATGACAAGTGAATCTGCCTTGGAGTTGTTGTTTGTCAAAGCCAAAGCGACTTTCAACTCATCCGAGTCGTTGACTTCGACAAGGGGAACCATGCCCAACGACAAGGAGTATTCATACAAGGTCTGCAACAACTGGGCGTCTTTCAACATCTTCACAATCAACAACACAGAGTCTGCGCCGGCCAAACGTGCCTCTAAGATCTGGTACTTGCTGAAAATAAACTCTTTCCTTAAAACAGCAGGCCGGTCCTTTTCGTTGGCAATCACTTGGCGAATCAAAGACATGTCGTCGACGGATCCTTTGAACCACTTGGGTTCGGTCAAGACGGAAATGGCAGAACATCCGTTGCGGGCATAAGTCAATGCTTGTTTTCCTGGATGCGCAGAGATGTTGATGTCTCCTTTAGATGGCGATGCTCTCTTGAACTCAGATAAGATGATGGTTTCGCCGCGAGTTTTCGTCAGCGCAAGTCTTTGGTAGAAGTTCACAAGTGGAGGAGCCACGCCAAGATCCAACGACACTTGCAAATCCGCAAAGGACTTTCCAGGCTGCGCTTCGATGGCAGCATAGTCTTCAATCCGCTGCTTGTAAATGGTCTCTAGTATGTTTCCCTTGGGCTTGCTAGCCTGGCTTTCTTCCCAAGTACCTCCGTTCATTCTCAAGACATTTTCAATAAGCTCGTGCCCCGCCTCGGTCAAGATAGACTCCGGGTGAAACTGCACACCCTCGATTGTGTACTTTTTGTGTCTGACTCCCATGACAACCTCCGGATCCAGCTCTGTGGTTGCCGTAACTTCCAAGCAGTCGGGAATTTTGCCCTTGGTTCCGGCCAAAGAGTGGTATCTTGTAGCGGCCACACCTTGTGGGATCCCTGCAAATGCACCCTTTCCATCGTGCTTCACAGTGGACGTTTTGCCGTGGACAATTTCGCCGGCAAAAGTCACCTCTCCTCCGAAAACCTCAACCATACATTGTTGGCCCATGCAAACGCCGAAAATGGGGATTTTCCCCTTGAAATACTCAATGGCTCTTTTGGAAAGGCCCGAGTCTGTCGATGGGTGGCCTGGGCCCGGCGAAATGAACAAAAGATCGGGCTTTATAACGTTTTCAATTGTTTCAATGTCAATCTCATCGTTTCTATAAACATCGACTTTGGCGCAGAGCTCGGACTGACACAAGTACTGGTACAAATTCCAAGTAAACGAGTCGTAATTGTCGATCATCAACACATGTTTCGGGGTCTGGGACATGCTGAAGTTGTATGGGGCAAATTTTATTACAGATTGAGATTTGAGTACACCCATTTTCTGAGTCATGTGCCTGCATACACTGCAGATGGTCTTTTGTATATACGCTTAGTATACAAAAAAAAAAAAGAAAGAAAAGAATGGAATGTCTGATGTTCAGAGTAGGTTAGTTGTGTTTTCTTCTCCGGAGACGCGAGCTGATGGGGTTTTCGTCTGCCAAAATCTCGGATATTTTCGTGTCCTGGTCTTCGAACTTGACGCCTCGCAAGATCACTGTGCTCACAAGTTCTAAAATGAGCATGAACAAAGACGATAATATAGCCAAAACATAGTTCGAGATGGACACTCCAATATCGAGCCACGATCCTTCGGTTCTAACCAAGTAGAAAAAGTTGAGAGACAAAAAGTCTGACGTGGAAATGATCAACGTTGAGATGGTGAATTTTCTGATTTCCAACTGAGAGTTCATAATTCCAAAACACGTCGACAATAACACGTATGGGATAATCAACTTAAGCATAAGCAATGCCCCCATTGCAAATGGGTCAAAAATAGGCACTAATCGGTAGACCGAGTCCAAAGAGAAGGACGAGATCGATGCAACATTACCGATTCCGAAAAAGGCAAACTGTAAAAACAAAAAGCCAATGATAGACACGCGGATAGTTTGCAACCAGTAGCCTTGTGGTAGAGATTTCAGACTTTCTTTGCTTTCTTCAATTTCCTTTCTTGTGAACTTCAACAGTGTTTCGATCTGCAACCACTGCAACAAAACCAAAGAATAACTAACGTAAAAGAACAACTCAAATGAGATGGTCAAAATGACAAATGTAGGAATAAACGTCAAGAAAATAATCAAGAGCCGCAATTGGTAGTCTGAGCAAGCGTGCAATGCATGGAAGACTGGCAAAACCACCAACGAAACCACAAAAGTGACCCATCCTAAAACTTGAGAATACAATGGCAAGCCTGTACGTGCTTGCAATGAAACAACGGAGACATTTGTGGCAAATACCATTACTGGGATTGTGGCCAACTGTGCCACAACGAGTTTCTTCACCACTGCCGGAATATTCCGTTGGAAAACTTTGCCAGCACCAATAGTACCGACAATGAATGCAATGGCAGAGCTGACATTAATTTGCGCCAAGCTCTCGACCTTGACCACGTCCAAGTTTGTGAAAGTACACATGCAGATGCAGCTGACGAGCCAAGTGAGTTTTGTTTGAAGCGGCAACGGTTTCCGAACCATCCATGGATACAAGCCGGTCAAAACAAAGAGAAGCGAGAACATGTGTCTGTTGAAGAAACCATAGACAATGCTTTCATACATGCCAAGGAACGAGACAAGGGTAAAAGCCTTGGTTGGGGTTGAGATTCCGAAAAGGAACACACGCAAACCTTGGGCAAACAAACTGCGCTCGTTAAGAATGGTGTACCAAAAATATAATGGGAATGCAGCATACATGTAGTAATTGAATGGCGAGCGTTGGTAAAACAACAAGTAGTTCAACGCTGTGGCAAGGACGCCAAACAAAGCAAGTAGTGGTGTGGAGTGTGGTGGTTGAGTGAATGACTTCAAGATGAACAACTTCAAAAACACGTTAAGGGAGTAGCCGATCCAGCCGAAAAAGCCCAACGTGACAATGGACCGCAACAACACCCAGTTGTAAGTTTGCAAGTAGGTTAAGCCATCCAAAGCACATTTCATCAAGCTTTCCACGAGAGCTACAAGCTCTTCTTCGCGCTCAGGCGTTGGATCATGGCGGAATTCAGCAAGAAGGTGCTCGATTTGGCGCTTTTGCTCTGCCACGGGCCGCTCGACAAACGGGTCGTACGGCTTGTACCGGAACTGATGGCCATACACTTCGCTTTCCTTGACAATGTACTGTTCAACAATGGCCAAGGCGTTTTCGTATAGAGCGGCGATTTTGTCTTCGGCAGCACCCTCGATGTAGGCCAAAGGCAACTCACCAACGGAATTGGCTGGGTAGTTTGCGCCAATCAAGTAAGCCATCAACAGCGCAATGTCTGCCTGTTTCACGTCATGGCGAGCATACTGGTCCAAACCCCACGTGGCAAAGTACTCGTCTTCGTAACCCGCCACTTGTGGGTGCTGTTTTGCAAGCTGTTCCGGCAGCGCAAGCTCTGGTTTCCGGACGCCCGCACCCCATGCAATGAGAGGCGTCCGTGTGTTGTCTGGGTGGCCGTCGCCATGCGAACCAAAGTCCGACATGCCGTGGTCTGCGGTGAACACAAAAGCGGAGCTTTCGTCGCCGAAAAAGGCCTCGAGCCGAGGCACAAGATCGGCAAGCTTTTCGTCAATGTAGCGGATGTTGTCGTAGTACTCGGCCGAGTACGGTCTGTAGGCGTGGCCCGCGGTGTCGGGGCCCAACAAGTGCAAGAAGAAGACGTTGCCGTCGCGACGCAACTCGGCATCGAGCGTGGCGTTGGTTTGCGCCTGTTCCAAAAGCAGATCCACGTGGTTGAACACAAATGCATCGAGCTCGATCGAGCTCTGGGTGAAATCTTCAAACTCGTGGCCGTACATGCACACGTCGATGCGGCCAGGCACCACGCTGTCGCCGTAAGCGAACATGGGCAAGATGTCTGGCGACCCGAAGGAGTAGGTGTGGGTCAGCTGGTTGAAGAAGGAGTCGAAATCGACCGGGTTTTCTTTCCAGCCCTTGGTCACGGCGCTCACGTCCTCGTAGAAGCCGGCGATCATGGCAACGTGGCCCGGACGAGACTCGGTGGGCATCCGCGTGTTGGAAATGCCCCACGTGGCGTTGTTCTCCACAAGCAGCCGCAAATACGGTGCCAAGTACACGTCTTCGCCCGATTCCGGGTGATGCACGCGGCCAAACGTCTTGTCGGCGCGTAAGCCGTCGCCCACAATGAGAAAGAGGCGTTTGGCGGGCGCGTCTTGCGTGGCCTTGTGCTGGGCCATGCCGTGCACGAGCGGCGACACAAAGTAGATGTCGAAAATCAGCCAGAGGTAGAAAAAATGGAACGCCACGCCAAGCGCGACGAAAAGATGGCGGTGGAACATGGGGAAGAAGGAAAGACGGTTGGTGGTTTGGTGGTTATGCGCGAAAGTCGCGATACATGGCATTTAGTGGGTTGGAAAGGCTGAAAATCCGCTCGACAGATCATGAACGAGAGAATGAATAAATACGGCTGATAAAATAAATGGTCAACCAGATAAATGTGGCCAACCGAATATATGGGTCGACTACAAATGGGTCAGTCAGAATAAATGGGTCAACCATAATAAATGGGTCAACCATAATAAATGCCGTTTAACGTCAACTACATACCGACACATAATTACAATTCCATTGACGAGTAAATCATATATTATTCTTGTTCTGCCTCTTTTGTACGCTGTTTGAGACGTTCTTTAATGCGCTGTTTTACGTTCTTTGCGCTGTTTATACGTACTTTAATACATTCTTTAATGCGCTTTTAATCGTTCTTCAATGCGCTCTTATCTCTTATAATACGCTCTCATACACATCACGAATAGCATAAAAGTGATACAAAATTGAGAAGAACAGAGAAATCTTGGAATAAAGAAATTAAATCCTAACTTAGAAAAGGAAGACAATATGCATTTTAGTAGATAGTATATAGAATCAATTAAGAAAAGCTCTTCTAAATGCATGGCCCGTTGGTCATAATGTCGCCATCTTTCTATCCATTCAAACCATTCAGCATGAAGAAAATGAAAATTTAGAAATCCAAGTTACTCCTGATTTCATTGAATCGAATTTGGAAAAAAAAAATTGGCGCCTGCTGCTTGGCTTACATTACCAAACAAGTGTATTTGTGATTATTCTTCGGTCACGTACATACTCTCTATTTTCTAAGCTAAGAAACATGGGGCCATTTCTCCAAACAAAAGTTTCACTTCAATTTGTTTTCCCTAGTCGTGCAATTGTTTTTCAAAGCACCTGGCCATTTTCTCGAAGTTTATTTTACCTAAACAATCAGGTAGCACAGTGTTGCTTTGTCGGTTCTTGCTACTTCCTGTAATGATTGAACCACGATCCTAAAATTACGCTACTTATATGAGAAAGAGGTTCAAAAATAATACTTGTATGGAAAAACTGAATTATCTATTTAACATAGCATTCTAAAAGCAAACATTCATTTCTTACAACATAAACGGGAGCATCTAAGACGGATAGTTTGAAGACACCTTTAGATCTTTCAGGTTTAACCCGTTTACGGTATCCAAGAGAACAAGGGAAAGCACGGCTGGTCTACCAAGGCATTAAGCAGTCCGTTTCCCACCAGAGAAACAGCCAAATTTGTACATATGTCTACACCACGTATCCGTTCAATGTATTGTCCGTATCCTACCATCCCTAACATGCATCGTCAGTCTATTCATTGTCGAGCTTCCCATTATGCTCTGGCCTCGCTGTCTCGGCAGAATTGCCGTAGCGTCTCCTTGAACTCTTGTAGGACTCGCGTGTAGCTCTGAAGAAGAAGCACGTCGTTGAACAAACATGTCTGCAACACGTCCAAGCACGACGTGTCCGAGTATATCACGTTGTGATGGCGCTCGTCCTTTTCGAGCCTTCCCACCTGGTACTCAAGTACAGCCCTGCGGTAGCTGGAAAATGCCCTTTCATACTGTTGCATGCGTGTGACGTGAGCCTGCCATTGTTCTGGTGTTGCCCGCAGCACGTCGATCCGCGGTGGGGTTTCCAGAAAGACGAGTGCTCTTTCGTCCCGCGACGGCGACAAGTCCAGAACAGAAATGGTGCCGCCGCCAGACCGGAATCCCCTATTGACGGGAGTGAAAAGAGTCTGTGCACGGCTGCGCCCGTCCGTGTACTCTGCCTTTTCCACCTTTGCCCTCTTGGCCGACAGTCCTGGCGCACTGGACTTGCGAGCTTTGGGTGTTGTGGGCAACGTCTGTCGCATATCATCAAGATCGGTGTCAAGTCCCGACGCAAGCGAATCGCGGAGGTCGCCCAAGGCAAATTTGGTGCGCTTGGCGCCACGGGCGCCGTATGCGGGCGACTCAAACGCTTGTGTGGCCAGCCGCCGCGGCGAGCCCGAATCGGCGTGTTCAGGCCGCAGGTCGGCTGGCGAATTAGAGCTAGTACTTGCATTTTGGCCGGAGCTCCCACTTCCATTTTGGCCCGAGCTCGCACTATTTCCATCTTGAACGGAGTCTCCATTTGCAGAGGCGTTGTTGATGCCCTCAGCGGCGCTTTCCTCCTTGACGCCGCTCTGGAACGACGTTTCAGCCTCTTTTGCCGGCGGATGGGCATCGTGGAAGCTCTGCGGACTCTCGCCCGCATCTTCGCTCTCGCTTGCCTGCTCCTTGACGCCGCCATCACTTTCGCCGTCAACTTCGCTTTCGTTTGCGCTCTCTTCACTTTCCGCGCTCTCTTCACTCTCATCCTCCACCACTATAGGTTCTGCAGAGTCGTAGCCCCGGGTCAGACTCTCGCTTTCGCTGACCTCATACACAGGCGGGTTGTGTGCCTCCTGTTTCGCCTGCCAGTACCGGGACTGGTATGTCTCGCGACTTTGGGCCGCTTGTCTGGCCTGCCGGGCCTGTTCCTCCTGCTGGGCCTGTTCAGCCGCCTGCCGCCGCCGCCGGAGCTCGTCCTCGGCCTCCTGCCGGGCGCGCTCTTCTCGCTGCCGCCGTGCAAGCTCCTCGCGCTGCTGCTGCGCCTGCTCGACGTACTCGCGCCGCCGCCGCTCCAAGTCCTGCTGCATGCCCATCTGGGCCATGCGGGCGGCTGTCTGCGGGTCCGGCCGGCTGCGTGTGTAGGCGTCTGTGTACGCACGTGAGTTCTGTTTGTACCACCCAAAGTAACTCGAGTCGCTTGGCGGGTAGAAATGGCCAAAAGCGCTAGCAAAGCTGTGGAAGCCAGAGGCGCCGTTTTTCGAGTGTGGGAAGCCGGAGAAGCCCGAGCCGTCTCCTGCTGGGTCTGCAGAGCTGGGCTTGGCCTGGACCCCGTTTTTGGCGTCGTACTGCCGCCGCAGCGTGGCGTCTTTCAAAGTGTCGTATGCTTGTTGAATCGTGTGGAACCGCTCATTGTCGCTCGGGTTGCCCGTTTTGTCGGGATGAAACTGGAGCGCGAGTTTTTTGTAGCGGCGCTTGATGTCTTCAGCAGACGCCAGCGCCGCCACGCCAAGAACAGCGTAGAAGTCTTGGGGCATGTTTTGTGAAGATGCTAGAAGCGGGTCCTAAAAATGCGTGGTCACGTGAGCGCCTCCATTGCCTTTATTTATTGTTAGTGGCACCAAGAGGAATGAAGATGCCTGTTTGAAGGTGTTGGTGTTGGTTTTTGTGATTGAAAGTAATTGAAAGTAATTTGATGTTTTGGTCCGGCTTAAGTATTTTTTTGCCAGTCTTATCATCTGTGTATGATGCGATTTGTACAGTCGCATCTAGGATCACCACGATTAAGAAGCGACATGGAAATTATGAAATGGCTTATAAATTAAAGGAAAAAGAAAAAGGGGCGTGGATCTACAAGAAAATATTTGCTTTTTGATTCAATATTGGGTGATGTTCGAAGTTATCTTCTTCCGCCAGTTGATCTTTTCTTAGTTCGCAGTTTAGTATGGATTGAATAGAAATTAAAGAAGCCGCTTCTTCCCATTTCGATAAAGCTACTAAATCTCGAGAGAACATCATTTTCGCTTAATTTGACCATTTTAATCAGTGGGACATTTTTTTTTTTTTTGAGGAACTAAAAGTGTATTTCCTGGTGACTGATGGGCTATTATGGCAACTTACAATACTAAGTTATGGAGTTAGTTTTCACAATGGCACAGTATTGTTTGGAACATTGGGAAAAAACAAGAAATCAGATTAGAAATGAGGCTAATGAGCATGAAAACTGAAAATATGATGATGAAGTGTTGTCGAGCTAACTTGTGTCTAATCAATGACAATTACTCTTATTTCTGACTAGCCACTACTTATACCAGAATCTACGATGCTCACAACTGAACTATAACATTACGGATAAGAAGACGGTTTGTTGATAGAATTTCTCTCTTGGAATTTATACTTAATGTGATATTCTGTATGAACTATTTAAATGTTCTAGGCTCTACTCATTGAGATCGGATTTAACTACATAAATGCCTTAGACCCCAGAAATTCATTAGATATGTAAGTCGATTATCATCAGATCATTAAAAAAACAGTCGATCATCGACCTCCTCTGGAGATGATGCATTCGCCAAATAAAATGTGCGGTTGTGGTTTCTTTACAATGACTTAGGAGAAAAACAGTAAGAACACTCATCAATACAGGTCAGTAAGCAACATCAATAAATGCATTGGAACTAAAATAGATTCAAGCTGAGATAACCAAGACCAATTAGATATTTAAGTTAAGATAGCAATCAGATGCAGTGGCGTACTTACACTAGTCACCTTCAACTTGATTGTATTAAACGTTCCTATTTGAATGTCAGGAAAATTTGACTCAAATTTTAGTCCACCGTATTGATCTCCTTCTCAATAGTCCGGTCTTTGAAGAACTTCTCCATCACGATCGCCCCGTACGCAGGTACCTCCGTCTTTGTTACTGCTGAGGTGAAAATCGACGGCACCTGAGGGTTTTCTTGCCCGCCATTGTACTCCTTAGGCAAGTTGTCCTTTCCAAAAGCACTGCTCAAGTCTCCGCTGCTGAGCATTTCGAATTTCTTGAGCGTAGCCGCACTCATAAAGCCGGTGGCTTTGAAAAACGTAAAGACCCAACCCATCAAGAGCGGCACGTTGATAAAGTACTTTTTCGACAATAGTTCAGGGTAGTTTTCTCCAAAAACATGGATAATCTGCTTCGTGGCCGCCTTCATTCCAGGGTCCATGCGGAACATGGAAACGTTGTTGTAGTCATGCACCTGGGCAATCTTGTTGTTGTGGGCGTTGCTGAAATCCAACAACAGCAATGCCCGCTCCATGAGCCCGACACGCCAGCGCAAGAACATGGTTCCTTCGAGCTCTTCCTCATTCTTGTCGCCGTCAACACCGAACTGGGCGAAAAGCTTCTTGGGGCTCTTGAGATTCGCATACAAGTTCCACGTCACCACGCGAAAGTTGTCCTTGTTGTTTTTGTAGTCGGTAATCACGCCCAACTTCTCGAGCTCCGGGTCGTAGGTCTCTCTGTAGGCGGCGCTGAGCACTTTGAACTTGCGTCTCCAGTTGAGCGTCGCAGTCAACTTCTTCTTGGCCACGGCCACGTCGTACTCGGACGCAATGAGAAACTTGAGCAAAATCTCGTTGCGGGCGGCAGTTTCCACGTGTTCTTGGCCGTCCGGGGCCATTCTGTAGCCGTAAATCTCGTCGTACTCGCGGTTCTCGGTAGCTCCAACAATCTCCTCAATGGAGTCGATAAGCTGCTGGAGCTTGGAGGTCTGGTCCTCGTCCAATTTATGCGAAGCCACCAACGACATGAAAGATGTATATGCGGCTGAAAAACGGTGCGCTATCGCTGGTATTTATGTGTCTTAATCCCATGCGACTAAAGCCGTCTATATATATGTACAGAAAGGTGCGCCGATTCGGACTGTACCCATAAGCCATTTCGCAGCCGTTCTTTTTGTTTTCTTCGGGCCGTTTTTCTTGCCCGGATCCAAATCTTACTGGGCAGATTTTTCCGGCCAGGCTTGTCTTCCAGGCTGTGGGAATGAGTGTATTAGTCAGGTGGGCGGACATATCGGCTGAACAAGACTTGGCGCGAGGTAAATAGCAGTGGAATTTACAATGCCAGACACTACCAAGGAATTAGTATATTTTGTCTTGCTATCGTGATAGGCCAACCTTGATGGAAGCTTTAAGTTCCTCTTCGTTATCTGGTGAGTTTCCTCTTCGTGATTTTCAACTTCTCGCTCATGCGACATCTGATATCAGACTTGATTCTCATAAACTTACGGCGAAAGTAGCAAATACATTTCTTGTAATTGGAGCCTTTATGGTGGTGGATTGAAAGTATCACCTTTCCCATGGATACTGGCTTTATGTATTCATCTTAAAGCCTCTAGAATAAATAATTATAATTCATTAAATGATAATTATTATTTACTCTAAATATTATATTATTGTCAAACCCGCTGACTGATTGTCTATCATTTATAATATAGATTTTGTTCACTTAATAATTATATAATCTATAAAGAATTAATTTCAACGCCTTGGCTGAACAGGCTTCATCATTTACTACATGGTGACAGCATGGGCTTGCAAGTCCATCCATTGGCTGAATACAGTCATTCAGAAGGCCACTCAAGTTGTGTGCCTTGCCTCATCACTACAGTTGTGTGCCTGCTTCATCACTACAGTTGTGTAGATTAGTCTTCCTCTTCACACCATTCTATATCTCCCTTGCTGTCTGTCCCTCTTGCTGTCTGCTGTCTCTCATCTACTTAATGTACAAACGTCGTCCAATCGACATCTCAGTCTCTATCACATTAATGGCCTCACGACTTGCCTGGCGCCACACGGAACGAGAGAATGTCGTTCTTCCCTGCGTCCACGGTATCCTCCTCGCCGACTCGGCCGCCCACACCTTCGATCGCCGCAATAGTCACATCGCCCATGATGCGGCGAGCCACCACACCAACCTGCGTGCCCCGCTTGACCAAGACACAGTCAGGAAACACGCCCAGGCCCGAGCCAAAGGTGTGGATGTTCCGCACGGGGAACACAGGCACAAGGTCCAACAAACGGGCCGCCGCCTGGAGAAGCTGCGTCACGCCTGTGGAGCCAAAGCGGAAAAGAACCAAGTCGCGGATGGACTCGATGCGTGCGGCCAACTTCTCGTCGAGCGGCCGGAGGCCGGCGTCGGGCAAGTCTTCGGCCGTGTCCACGAACTCGGTGCCCGGCTCATAGCGGATGAAGTTCTGCGCATGGAGCTTGCGCAAAAACACCTCGGTGAGCGAAGACGTCAACACCGCCACCAGGTCCGGGTGGCGCAACATGATCTTGGACACGTTCTTGTCTGCGTCGGCGTGGTCCATTTTGTTGAGCGCCAACACGGTGGGGAACTTGACCGCCACAAACAGCCGCACCACCTTCTGCAACGTTGCGTCGTCCCACTCGCCCAACGGCGGCAAGCCGGGGAGCCTGTCCAAGGCCTTGGCAATGAGCTGCTTGGTGGCGTAGTAGCCGCCCAACTGCTGGCGCAACGTCTCCAACGTGGTCGACTTGGTGGCGTTGTGGCGCCGCACCACCGACGGCCACTTTTCGGTCAAGTTGCCCAAGACCCAGCGGAAAATCTCGTCCTGGAGCCACTCTATGTCCTGGAGCGGGTCGTAGCCGCGTGTGGCCTTGCCCTCGGCGTCCGTGGTACCGCTGACGTCGACAATGTGGATGAGACAGTCGGCCTCGGTCAAATCGCTGAGAAACTTGTTGCCCAAGCCGCGGCCCAAGTGGGCGTTGGGCACCAAGCCGGCCACGTCCAAAAGCGTCACCGGCACGCCGCGGGTGCCGTCGCGGCAGTAGCCGTAGTTGGGTTTGCACTGGTCCTGCTTGGAAACCCGCAGACAGGCGCACGGCACTTCCAAGTAGCCCGTGGCCTTGTTCGGGTCGATGGTGGTGAAGGGGAAGGCGCCGACCTTGGCGTTGGCGTCGGTGAGGGCGTTTAGCGTGGTGGACTTGCCGCTCGAGGGCTTGCCCACGAGTCCAATCACGGTTTCTCTGGCCATGGAGGAACAAGAAGGTTGGTGTAGGACATGATGGATGCGCGAAAATGGAAGATGGATAGACTGACGAGATGACGAGATGACTGGTTGACTGGATGACTGGTTGACGTTTGAATGACTGTTGATTGACTGATTAGACATCATTCTAGACATCATAGACATCATTACAGACATCATTCTAGACATTATTATAGGCATCATTATTGGCATCATTATAGACATCATTACAGACATCATTACAGACATCATTACAGACATCATTACAGACATCATTACAGACATCATTACAGACATCATTACAGGCATCATTAGACATTATAGACATTATAGACATTATAGTCACTACGACATCTTTCCAGACACAACTACAGACGTTATTGCAGACATGGTACGACTAGACTTCAATTGGTGTAGAATCAACTGAATGACATTGTGAAAAATCGATAAACGTATAGAACTGACTTCTATTATGGTGGGCCATAGATGATTGATTTTTCCATACATGCAAATAGGCAATTCTGATTAAGAATCTAGAAATATGCACAGTTCCTCGGTGGTCAGTTTTCTCAACCCGTTTGGTACTAAGATGTAAAATATATACCTAATACAGACAACATGGTAAACAGTACGTAGATAGATTGAAATGAGAATGTTGGTATTGAGCCTCGTCAGTCGCTGACTGATCCAGTAATCATCGAATCATAAATGTGATGAATCTTGCAAGGTGTCATTGATTCAATGAAGTCTTTTTGACAGCGTGGTTTCGGGTTGTCGAAGCACTCTAAATCTCATAATACAGTTGAAGCACCCAAATGACTTGACAAACGGATCTTTCATAAGATGCCACTATCACCACAAGCAGAGTTACAAGTTCCTTCTCCTACGCATGTGGCCATTTACAATCAATAATATGATGTTCTGTCATGTTAATTCACATAGCAAGTACGAGACTTATTTATCTCGTGCGATTGGGGTAAGACTCTGAGGGGTCAATGGAATCGAGTATGGATATAATGTACAATGTCGCCAGGTATTCTAAAATTTAATAGTGGTGGATCTTACATTTTCCAATTAGGAACTTAACAGACAAAGCACGTTCATCATTTTTCCATTTTTGAGTTACAGCAAGAACCTTAAGCGCAGTAAAATTAGCATTCTCTCTTCATAGTTAGTATCGATATTGAATAGATTTTTCTCTACAAGCGAAAAAATAAGAGAGTTCAAAACCACTATGATGACATTATCTCTCCTCTGTATCATCGGTAAGCAATACAAATATCTTCATCTGCCCAAATATAATCATTTCTGAACATAGTATACCTTTATCCAGCTTGAATCGCAATTGAGGAAAAACTTCCTCCGATGTATTAACTCACAGAACGATTCTCTATTTTCCGGTTACTATCTTTATAGCCCGTACTTTGTTTTGTATACAATAGTCTATAGTCAAATTAGTACGGCAATTTCAATACGTGCAAGTGAATTCACAAAAATGTCTCAATCCACCACCAATGTCAAAAAAACCGATGGCCATAAAAAAACACAAAAACACCACATAAACAAACGCTTCTTCATTATTTCAAACTGCAGAATATTCAAGCTGACTACCATTTTTTCTGTCTATTATTGCGCCCCGTGTAGTGGTCACTTGTCCAATTGGACCTGCACGTGAGCTTGTGGATAATCTCAGACTAGGTTTTTTACTAGACATTCCCAACAGGTTACTACATTTGCCAATTGAACAATGGCCTTCTCCATACAAACGATTTTTTCGAATCTCTTCAATGGGTTTTCGCAGGATTTCCGGAAAAAGAACTTTTCCCTCTACGGCCAATGGATTGGCCTCTTCACCATCTTTTTATGTTTGGCGCTAGGAATTGCCAACATCTTCCACTTCAACTTGGTGGTGATCTTTGCCATCATCTGTATTGTGCAAGGTTTGGTTGTTTTGTTTGTCGAGGTGCCGTTCTTGCTCCGTATTTGTCCCTTGACCGACACCTTCACCAGATTCATCCACAATTTTGACGACAATTGGCCTCGCTGTGGTTTCTACTTGTTGATGAGCGCTATCCAATGGTTGAGTTTGACCATCCAAGCCACGTCGTTGATTGCTGTGGCTCTTTTTTTCCTTTTCTCCAGTTTGTGCTATCTTTTCGCTGCTCTCAAGCACCAGGAGTACATCAAGTCCTCGTTCAACGTGGCTGGCGACGGCAACGACTTGGAGTCACAGGCTGCCAGCCATATTGTGAGAAATGTCTTGTGATTCCTGCCAGAAGCTGTTTCTGCGCAAACTACAATCCCGGCAGACCTATGGCGTTTCATTGGACATGAAAAAAAGCTGCCCTTCTCTGTATGGCCTTTATACACGAAATGAATGAAGAAGTTGGAAGAGCCCAAACTTGTTTGGTTTTCTGTTTTGTTTTCTGCAATGGAGTAGTGCTGACGTGGTCAAAACAGCGAGTTTGAAGCGAACAAAGGAAAGAAACAAGAAAAGAAGAATAAGAGAGGAAAAAGTAGACATCAGCTTCCCCTGCTTTATTTTAGAACAAACAATCTCATGTCTCTGGCCTTTCATGGAAGGTCGGCTCGGTGGATATATATACACGTGACTTTTGCCACGTGCGCGCATGAGCGAGAAGGCTCGCGAGAAAAAAAAAATACATACATTATCATTATCTTTGACATGGGTCTACTATCCTTCACCGAAGACACAGAACCGTCCCTCATAGACGACAAAGTCAAATGGAAAGAAGAAGGTGACGAGCTGATTAGCGCCCGAAAACCCCGGAAAGAAAAGTCACCAAAAACATCGGATGGGGTCTATTCGCTTTCCTACGACCAAGTGAATGACAATGCGGACGAACTCATAGAGTTGCGGGGCGAAGGCAGATACTTTGGCGTGACAGATCCAAGCACGGGCTCAACCATCAATTCGCAACAGAGTCTTGGCCCGCTTTGCGACAACTGCCACAAAAGAGGCCATGTTCGGTCCAAATGCAAAACTGTCGTTTGCCACAAGTGTGGAGTTGTGGGCGACCATTACGAGACGCAGTGTCCCACGACCATGATCTGCTCGCGGTGTGGCGAAAGAGGCCACATGGTGAGCATGTGCAAAAGCAAAACCAGAAAGAGACAGTATTGTCGCCATTGCGACACCTTCAGCCACGGCGACGACAACTGTCCCAGCATATGGCGCTCGTACATCACCAAGGTGCAGAAGGACGAGGAGTATGTTCTTCCGGCGATTAGCTGCTACAACTGTGGCGACGACACGCATTTTGGAGACGAATGTCCCGAAGCAAGATCATCACGGATTCCCAACACCAGCGGCAGTGCGTTCAGCGGCAGCAATTTGCCCAAGCATTTGCGCTCTGTGTATTTCGAAAGCATCGGCCAGGGAAGCACCAAAAAGTACACCAGCAGTTTCAGCAACAGCTACAGTCTCGACTATAACCAGGGCTACAACCTGAACTACAACGGCTCCAAGTATAGTAAGAGCAGCAAACAGAGCTATCAGAGCGGCTCAAAGGCAAGCAGCCGGAACTACAATGCGGCGGAAGATGCAAACCCACGCAATTTCCAGCAAAAGTACTCTAGCTACTTGGAGCAGAAAACATCTGGCAAAAAGGGCGCGTTGCCTTCGAAACCTGCCACCGCCAGCCGCTCGGGCTATCTCCCCAACAAAAAGGGCGTGGTCAAGCCCAATCGGACAGGCGTGCTTAAGGGCAAAAAGCGCAATTATCAAAACTTGTACTAGTGTTGATAGACTCATTTATAGGACGGCATATGCATGGGCTCGGTTTGCTAATAGACGGTTTAATGAAGCAGTAGCGGTATAAGTATTTGTAAGCAGTAGCAGTATAAGTATTTGTATGGCGACATTGCCAAAGACGTGAATGGCACCATGATCGGAGAGTCTTATCGATGGGTCCTAGAACTGTGTACGAACATGGTGCTTTTTCATTTCAGTTTGTCGGCAAAAATGGCTCAGCCTAATCCATGTGTCACTTACGCATCGAAGGATTATCTCAAATGCGCCCACGAAAAAATTGCGCTTTTCTTAGTGGCCACAAGTAAGTACCAGCAGAATTTGCACCTCGAACGATCGCAGCAATCGAGACTACTGTACCAACAATCTTTAAGAGGAACCAACAAACGTTTCCAAAAAAAAAAAAAAGAAAAAAAGAAACACTGTTGCTCTTTCCCCGCCACTATAGATGGGATAGATTAGATCATTCGCACCTGCACACGGCCACCGAACGGCTCTGCTCTCTGTATACAAACCATGATTTATCTGTGGCGCCTGACCGATTCGGACTTTTTACGGAACTCTAGCACTTTGCTTCTGGCCCGGAAAAACACTGCCGCAATATGGATTTTCTCCAGTATTTCCACTATCCGGACGGCAAGACCAAGGAATATGTCCAGTTCCGCCAGTGTATCACCGTCAAGTATGGGCAGATCATGGAAGTTGTGCTTTTGGTGGTGATCTGCTACATCCCGCTCCAGAACTATCTTTTGGCGAAAAAGAGAACGTTTCTCCCCCGGCTCCACCTCTTGGGCTCGATCAATGTGGCATTGGACCATCGCATCCGCCATTACGAAGCCACAAACAAGCATGTCCGGCGCTGGATTTGCCAGGCGTTGAAAAACTTGGCTTACGGCATCTACTTGAATCTGACCACGTTATTCCAGATTGTCTTTTGGCTCGCCTTGTTCCTGTTTATGGCCTTGACCGACATCCACAGAGGCGACTTGATCTTCGTGGCGAAAAGATTGGGCAGACTTTCGGTGGTTTCGTTACCTACGGTTCTTTTCCTCACTCTAAGACCTTCGCCGTTGCCCAACACGCTCTACTTGTCGTTGCTTCCGATCCACAAGTGGCTTTCTCGTGTGGTTGTTCTTCTGGCCGTGGTGCATACGGCGCTTTATTTGGGGTTCTTCCAGAAGTCAGACACCTGGTTCAAAGCCTGGAAAACTGAAAACCTCTACGGCTGGGCCGCGTTGCTCGGCTTTCTATTGATCGCCATCACGTCCTTGCTGAAAGTGCGAGACCGCAGCTACAAGCTTTTTTTCTTTAACCACTATTTTTGGAGCTGGGCCGTGGTGTTCTTGCTTCCTTTCCATGTTCGCCCCGTAGAAACAACCTACGTGAACATTTTGAACGTCTCGATATTGTCGTATCAAGTCTTTTACCGCTTGAGGTCTACTTCGGTCTCTACACTGACTTCAAGCTTCAAAGTACGGGACATATCGCCCAACTTGGCATGTGTGGAATTCCCAAACTCCCTAATCAAAAAGAAAGCCGTCAATCCTGGCGCACATATTCGCATCACCAACTACCATCCTAATTTCCTTGTACGTGTGTACAAGCAGCTCATTCCAAATTACCATCCGTATACGCTAGTGTCCTTACCTCAGGACCGCTCGCAAAAACTCATTGTGAGGAAAAGCGCCTTCAAATGGCAAGCCAATCGCAGGTACTTAGTATTTGGGTCGTTTGATCCCAAGTTGCAGTTTGTTCACTCAAACAACACTCCAGGGCAGGTTTTTTCGCTTTCAAAAGTGAAGGTCACGGCGCAGAAACTTTTGCTTGTCGTGGGCGGGTCGGCTATCTCGTTTGCAATTCCAATTCTTCGTGTGCTGAACTACCATGGCATCCCAGTCAAGGTCATATGGGTCATTCGGGACTACAGAGACATTTCTGTTTTGCGAGAGTTCGATGGCTACATCCATGGAGACGACTTTGAAATCTTCGTTACTGGAGGCGTTGCCACAGATTCCGAAATGCTGTCGATGAAAATGCCTTCATACGGTACGTTCAACACCACAGACCTTGAGCAGAATGAGAGCTCTCGGATCTTCTACTCGGACGACGAAGAAGTGGGAGTGAACCAAGAAATTGAAAATGTTGACGTGGACCTTTCTGAAGAAGAAGACGATGAAGAGTGCCAACGTGATTGCACGGCTCTGCATATCGAGTTGCCTCAAGATATGGAAGATGTCAGCGATATCAGTTCACTTGAGGATGAAATGGATTTCTCTCCTGCGACAGAAGTCACACTGGGAATTTCACGGAAAACAAGCCGGTCGCAGTCGATCAACGAGCAGTTCGTGCCTCTTTTGGACAAGAGCATCGAAACTCATCGTCGGTGTATGAAAACGTTGCAGCAGCTCAACTTGCAACACCACATTTACAAGGGCAGACCCAAATTGAACTACCGGTACTACAACTGGTGTGTCAACTCCAACGACATTTTCACCCAGTGTTCAGGACCTGTGATGGACGAATCCAGCAATGTTGTCTGCTGTCGAGATCTTCCCGGCCGCACACATAAATCTGCGCCCATGTCGTCTCTCGAAAATGTGTGGGTAGCTTCGGCTGGGCCGAAGTCTTTGGTTAAAAACGTGAAGCTTTGGGCTAGTGAGAACGGGCTCAGGTATCACGAGGAAGCATTTTACGTATAGAGCATACTAATGATTGTCTATGTACATGTAAATCAATGAAGATGATGAAGAAGATGAAGATGAAGAGCATGAAGAAGATGATGGAGAATATGATGAAGATGAAGACGAAGGAGATGAAGAAGACAAATGAAGGGGCTTCCTTCACTTTCTCCCGCCAATCTCCTCTGAGAAAAACTGGTTTCGCCGGATGTTCTCCTCCTCCGCCAAATCTCGGGTGATCCGCATCCGGGCCGTTTCCGCAGAGAAAGAGAGCCCGACAATCCCACACGACACAAGATACCAGATCTTGTATGGCCTCAGGAAGAACTTGGTGTTGGGCCCATGGTTATATCTATAATTGAAGAAGTAACCCGTCACGAGACCAACAAGCGTCCCTTTTAGCATGCCAATTGCGCCAGCTTGGAGCATTTGCTTATTGATTTCCGCCAATCTTTCTTGGCTGATATTGGAAACAGGCATTGGTAGACTGGGAAAGAATAGTGTGGTCTTATCTTAGTGGTGCATGAAAATGAATCGCGGGGAGCAACGGTTTCTGTTATAGGCAGAATGTGCAAGATCACCTAGTTCGGGGTTTTCAAGAGCAAATTGTAATTCATTTCAGACTAGTTAGTTCATAGATCCAGAAAGAGAAGTAATGCCAGTAAGCTGCCAAGAGTACTCCTAATGCTTATACTTGTCCTATATGAGGCTCAGAAATGAAAGTCTCGAATTCGGCAATGGGATTCACCAGAAGGAAATTGATTGTCAGCCTGTTCGGGAAAATAATGCTAAAAATGAAAGAATTGACTGATTTTTTTCTACGTCCAGCAATAGATTTTACGTTGCCTGTCAATCCGTCATTTTCTGTATTCAGAGATCAAAATTCAAATCTTGATGTTTTGGTTGTCTGATTTCCATCGTCTAGTAATCTCCTCAATCACGTCGTAGGACGAAAAACTGTTCAAAGGGCATGGTATCCTACACGGTATAAACTAATTGAAAATATGCTTCGGATGCATTGCGATCTATAAAATGTAAAGCTGAAATCCACAGCACGATAAAGGTCTTCGTTTCGTTTTAGTTCATCCACTTGTCTGCATAGCTAAGTTTCCCCTCGGTGCCATTTCCAAACTTCACAAAATTAATACTGTCCACAGAAGGAAAGGCAACTGTCTTACTCAATGAGACCACACGAAGTCTGGGAAACAACTTGCCTTTGAGCAAGTTCTGGTCTATGAGTGTGATGAGACAGTTTTCAACAATCAAATCATCTACCGGAGCCGATGGTTTTTGTGCCAGAGACGTTTGTGCTGGCACAGCATTAATGGATATTCCGTTCAATGAAAGTTCAAGGGCCACTTTGATGGCGTCATAGTCTAGTCTCGGATGTTTCCCTTGGGCCAGCCACACTTTCCTTACCAAATTCCGTAGTATCACCACACACGTTTTGATCGAGATGAAAAGCAAAAGGTAGTGCAGCTTTAGAAACTCGTAGTTGGGCGGGTGATTTATCAATTGGTGAAAATCAAACAAACTGCCTCGGTTTACGGTTTCCACTATTTGGCCGTACAAGTCTAGAAACGCCGGGCACTGGGCCTGCGATGTGTAGAAAAACGACTTGAAGTTTTCGATCCGTGGTCTCTTGCCCAACACTATCGAAACAGGAAGATAATCTCGTAGAATCTTGGTGACATTCAAGTTGTTTTGGAGATGGTTTGGTGGACAATGTTGGAGACACCAGGAAAAATGCTGGAATGCATCAACAAACTGGTACTTGACCATGTAAAACTTGGCCAAGTAGTACCGGTACTGAAGCTGTTGGTTCATGGGATACGAGTGGAATTGGAGATTGGCATTGTTCATGTTGGAAAACACATTGCGACATAGAAGCGGGTTGCCCAAACGGAAATACACGAGACAAAGCCTTGCGCCAATGTAAAGCATGATGGACTTTTTCATCATCTCGATGTGATCGCCAGCGCCCAACAGCGAGCGGATGCTATTGAAGATTCTCAAAAGAACAGACGCCACGTATGTGAGCCGAGGTTTTCTGTGTTTCTCCTTGAGCAAGAGCTGGTGATCCAAACGCGACGCAAGCGGGATTATGAACTCGATCAGGTCCTCCAAGAGCGGCGTGAGAAGGTGGCCCCGGGCCTTGTTGGTGAATGCAATGGATAAATCGTTCAAGTATCGCGAGTAGAGATCAAACGACTCGAGTAGCGACCAGGGCTCTAGCTGATTGGCTAGATGGACAAACGAGACAATCACCAGGTTCATTGCCGCCCAGTCGTCGTTGAAAAAATGGCGCATCTCGACCGCCTGTGCAATCTGCTCTTCTTCCAAGTTCCCCACATTGTTCAACTGTACGACGAACGGATTGAGCGACGGGTGGAGACGCAAACACGAAAGGAGCATCTGCGGCTGTTGGGCCGGCGGCGCTTTTGTGGCATTCTGCACTTGGAGAAGAAAACCGTGCACCACGTCCATGGTGGAGAAAGTCTGTGGTGGCAGAGCTTAGAAGATGTGGTGTGCGAGAATCATAATGAGAGGTGGACCAGTCCATCTACAAAACAGGCCAAACAGAAGAATTCATACATTGTCACCTTGAAAGACATATACATTTAGGGGTGTTGTTGGAAGGTTTCCTTTCGATTTTTCTGTAGTTTAGTAGGCTGGACCTGTTGTTGTGATATGGTCGTTTTAATCTTGAATCTGTTAGTGGTCTATCTGTACTAGTCTGTCTTTGTACTTCAAGTTTGATTTTTTGTTCATGTTAGCTCTTTGAGTTCATATTTGTTCATATGTTCTTGTTTGTTCTTTGTTCTTTTGTTCTTTCTTTCTTCATATCTGCTCTTTGTTCTTTTTGTTCTTGTTTCTTCATGTTGTCCTGTCGTCTATTCTTCTCTCTCCTTGTTGTTGTGTCGTCTATTCTTCTCCCCTTGTTGTTATGTCGTCTATTTCTCTCCTTGTTGCTGTTTCGTTATTTCTACCTCTTTCCAGTTCCAAAACGAATCATGGTTTGTTTCGGCCGTACTACTTACGCATGGAGACAATGCATGGTGATACTTGGCATCATACTTGTTGAAAGCTTATGAATGAGCAAACCACATTCTGAAGACAAACAATAGCAAAGATAAAGATTAAATGGATCCCGCCACCCCTTGGTCCATAATAGACTGGAACTAGAGGAGTAGATAACTGTGACTCGTGTACTTAGATTCTTCCATATTCAATTCGCTCTTCACTTTTAATCTTTTCATTTTATTTCTTTAATTTCTTTCTTTCTTTGCTTCTTTACTTCTTTAACTCAATTACTTTTTTTCTTTTGTTCTTTTTTTCTTTTCATTTATTTCTTTGATGTCCTGGTGATCCCATTGATTGTTTCTGTACATATAGTATCGCACTTTATCGCCATCTCAGTATCGCGACTTTTGATCTTCGATTGTACTCGTACCCATTTCCGAGTATACTCCATGAGTGCCGCTGCAGCATTGGATCCGCCGAAAAAGGAACCGAAAAAGAGAAAACTGCGGCAGAAACGACAGAAAAACCAGCCGCCCGCCATCGAATATGAAGACCCAGATTTGAAAGTCGTGGTCAGACTACTACCGCCTTCTCTCAAGGAAGAGGACTTCTTGGCCCAGGCAAAAGCGCTATGTCCTGCCCTTGGCACGGAATTGGCCTGGACCCGGTTTTTTTACATGCGTGGAAGCAGAAACGTCCAGGCGTTTGAAGAACCCATCTGTTCGCGTGCCTACTTTCTTTTCCCGACTAAGGAGACTGCTGACGAGTTCAAGAGACAGATTCTGGGCGCATCGTTTCTAGAGCCCGAATCGGGGGATCATTATCTGGCGCAAACCATGAAACCGATTTTCGGCTCGGTGACACAAGTCGAACCTGCCACTTCGCTTGGTGACATCATCAAAGATCTGCTTTTCATCAAGTTCATGGCTCTGTACGCGGCCAAGACGAAGAATATCGACTTGTCAGCTTTGCTTTCCGAGATACGGGAGCAGAAACGCAAGGAAAACAGGAAAAAGAAGGATTCCAAAGCTTCGTCGAAGAAAAGCTCAAAGCAGAACACGCCAGCCCCTGCAAGTAGGACCGAAGGCACGGGCAAAAACGAAGCAACCGCAGATAAAATTGAGGCAACTCTGCAGAAGACGAAAAGAAAACGCAAGCTGAAAAAGGCAAAGAAAACAGCACTGGAAACTACACGGGAGACGATTACAGTCCCTAACACACAACAGGGCCCAGCAGCCGAACAAATAGACAAACCTTCAGAGACTGGAAAACCCAAAAAGAAAAAGAAATCAAGGAGGGAAAGAGAGAGAGCTAAAAAGGCTCAAGAAGGGTCCAAGACTGCTAGCGCTGGTACTGGCGCCGGTTCTGGCCTCGATGTAAGTGAAGGGAAACGACTGGAACACTCGGATCCCTCCAACAAGAAACCTCTGGAGGAGAATGAGAATACGGGCGAAGAGAAGAAAAAAGCCAAGAAACGCAATAGGAAAAGAAAGCCGACGAAAGGATCTGCAGACCTGGCCAATCCAGCAGCAGACCAAAACGCAGCCTAATAATGTCCATCACTATAGCTTGTAGCATCCGAATGCTTTATACTACATAAGGATAAGCACTACGCCTTTTGAGAACTCAGGTACCATGCTATTTTTTCGTGCAAATAAACATACTTCTCAAAATTAACTTATAAGATCTTTCTTTTTGTCTTCTTTTTTTCTCTTTCTTTCTCCTACTTTTTTTCTTTCTTTCTTCGCTTTTTCTTCTCCTTCACTCTTCCTACTCAATCAAGATTCGCGCTATAGTTTAACTATATGTCTCTTCGCCGTTTTTATCGCATAATACCCAGACAAAGAAGCCACACAGTTGGTCGCCGCTTTCTCTCCGATAAGCAGAATGGCGGTTTCAAATTTGCTAATAACCTCGACTCGATCGATCCGTCCATCCACACAATGGAGAAGATTCTATCGATTCTTCATACTGCAGAATCCACCACTGTGCAAAATGCTGCTCCTGAAAAGACGGTAGCAGATACGCTAACGCCTGAAGAATTTCATCAAAGATTCTATTCCAGCTTGGGCTCCAACGTGGTGGAGTATCAGGTTACAAGGATGCTCAGCCGTTTGGAGATTGTCAACTACTATAAGGTTTTCCAAGAAGTCGATCCGGAAACTACCCAAAACATTTTTTCCCGGTATGCTTCCATCTTCAAAGATCGCTACATGTGGCAGATTGACCCGAGCGAAAATGCCATGACAGAGTTGGGGCTCCAGTTTGCCGAAAATCCGCTGCGTACATTATCAGCCTTGGACTCCAAATTCCACCACATGAGTAAATCGTTGCTCACAAACTTTTCCGAGCTAAGAAAGAATGATCGCTTCGAGTTTGACTTTGGCCCCGTCGAGCTTTATCAGCCTTTCCGCTCATCAACGGAGGACCCTCTAATATTGCGTAAGGGCTTAAGCATGAAAAGGCACCCTCTAAATCTTTTGGCGGTGATGATCAACGATAAGAAAGTGCTATGTGAGTTTCTTTCGCGGTCCCGAAGCGAGATCCTGCCCGACCTTCTCCTAAATTTCATGACCATCCAAGGTATTGAAGGCGCCCAGGCGTTTAAGATCTTGGTCAAGCGCATTCTCAAAGACATGGACCCCGAACAAACTATCCGCAGTCCTTTTGAGAGCTACCATGTGGCTAATGTATCCACAGAAAGTGATAGCGACATCGAAATAGTGAAGGCAATTGTGGCTAGCCGAAGTAAACTTATGGAGAGACTATTGCCTTATCGCGACTACAAATTCGGGCTTCTGAAGCTTGACGACGACAAACAGGATAGTAATGAAAAGGTTGTCAAGATACTAGCAAGCCTATTCGACAGATACTTTGGTGTTTGCTATCGTTTGGATGCAAAATACTGCAACGAGTGGGTGCAGAACCTTGTCAACTTCTACTTGGAAAATGATAGAAATGAGGCATTGTTCGAACAGTTGTTCAAAGATAGCATCATCAACTTCCAAACGAACATTGCGTCTCTGAAGCTAGAGAAGATGACATTCCATTGGGGTAAAAGAAGTACTGCTACAAACAACCGTGGTAACGAGTTGAAAACGAAAGAATTAATTAATGAAACTAGAGCTTTATTGGCTCGTTCCAAACAACCCCATGCAGAGGTTTCGTCGTTATAGCATTCAAGTCTTTAAGACTATGCTGGCTTTTCAAAGAGAACTCTGTTTCGTTGAGAGAGTTGAAAGTGATGATTCCACTGTCTATAGTGGCGAGAACAACACATCTTCCTGTGGAGCCGTTTTTGAGCTTTGTATCTCTCAACTTTAGGTAATTGTTTCTTTGCACGATCCGAGGATCTAGTTTTTCCTCGCGTGCCTTTCTTCGTTGCATCTGCAACTCCTTTTTCGTTGGAGGAGCTGGTTTCTTCTTTTTGCCCGGTGCAGCTTTGGGCGCTGGCTTCTGGGGAGGTACAAACGAGAAATTGAGCTGGTTCCACAAGCTCTGGATCGCCGACAAGGACGGAAATGGAGTCTTTGCAACGTTGGCAATGACGATTTGGAAATCTGGAGGAGGTGGGTGTTTTTTACTGAATGAAGGTGTGGGTTTCCATACGTTGAAATGAAGGGCATATTTTGGGTCGGCGATGGGAGGCCGAGATTCAAGAGTCTCGAATGCAGTGTATGTGGGAATAAGTCGAAGCGACTCAAATATCTTTGTGTAGTTGAAGTAATGCGTGTGTTTGGAATAGAATGAAGTGGAAGAGAGCGAGTTGCGCATGTGGAAACCAAGCAGAGAGAAAAAGCTCTGGGCTCTCGAAAACAACGATGTTTTCTCCTTGTGGATGTCGTGCCAACTTTCAAGCTGCGGCCAATACTGCTGGAATTCGAGAACGATGTAGCCCAACCGTTTTAAAAGAGCAAAGACCTGGTACTTGTCAATCAAATCTGGGTCCCCGCCAAACGCCAATGAGTACAAGTACGACATCGGAAGCTGTCTGAGACTGTTGTAGTCAAAGGTGAGCGAGTCATCTTCGATAAAGCGTGCAAAGTCCTCATTGCTCAAATACGTGATTAAAGAGCCTCTTTCGGTTAGGTACACCGTTTCTATTGGAGTGAGCCACATGCCCAGCAACTTAGTCTTGCGCTTGAAAACATGGGCTGTCCCCATATCCTTGAAAAAGGCGCCTTTGGCATGCGGAACCAACGCCATTTTCCGTTGGGGAATCCACACTGCAACTAATATCTGCCTTACAAGATGACCTCGGATGCACAGAAGCGCGTCGTACATCTGGCCCCTTGCCCGATTAAGATCCGAGCTCTGCGTTTCCGAGCCGTCGTGGTCAAAGTATTTTTCTGAGCGCTTGGGCAACTGTTCGTCGTGCTTCCAGGTACTTTTCCCACTGACTAGCCCCCAATCGGGAAGTGCTTCCTCGACATTGTCGTCTTCTAGACTTCTGATGTTTTCCTCGTCGTCCGACATTTAGAGCAACAACCCAAATCAACTAGAACCGAAATCAACTAGAACCCAAATCAATTAGAGAAGATGATTTTAAACGTAGATCGGCCAGAGATGGAGAAATCAAGGTCTCAAACACACCCGTGCACCAAACGTCTTTGTGCCTCCACATAAGCTGAAGACATTTCGGACATCACTAGTGTCTGGAAATTGCATCTCAGACGACAGTACGACAACGTGTTTCCGTGCTTTCATCTTTGACGTTTACTCCCTTCACATTGCACATTTCTTTTTTCTACGTCGCCGCCCAGATTACTCGTCCATGACTTCGGAAGTCACTATAGAGATGTTGGTACGTATCTGTCGAGCGTGTACATTACTCACTGGCGCTAACAGTTTAGGCCGAATCGGTTTATCAAGACATGATGGCAAGCATTGTGCGACAGGTGTCGCTCAGTAATCTTTCAAGGTATCGGGCCATCAACGAGTTTGTGGAAGGCGGATACCAGAACGTCGTGACAAACACACAGATGAATTCCAACAAGGACATTTTCGGCCAGAATAAGACAAAGCTCAAGTCGTCGGAAACGTCCCGCTACTTTGACTGTGGCAACTGCGGCCGTCAAATTGCGGGCGGAAGGTTTGCTCTGCACATGAACAAATGTCTAGAAAGAGATCGGTCGTAAGCGAAAGAAACGATGAGAACAGATATGAGAAGGAAGAGTGAAGTAGGGGAACAAAAACAGAAGGGGAGAAGAGAGATACCAAAGAAATAGAAGAAAATTGCCCTGAGAGCATACGATATTGCCCGCCCTCTCAGAGAGGACTGGTGGTTTGGTTTCACTTTACAGCCTTTTTCTTTCCGCTTTTCCTTTTATGTCACATTTGCAATTGCGTCTTTGTTTTCCATTTGTTCAGTCTCATCTGTCAAGCCATGTAAGACTATCGCGCGCCTATCAAAGCAAGTGAAGCTTTTTGGCTATCAGAATTGTCGTTCGCAGTTTCCCGTTTGGGCGAATGACTCACGTGCGCCGCTCGCTTCCACTCCAAAAAAAAATTCTACTCCGCTATCTACAAGTGAGAGCAGAAAAAAGTGTTAGCATCCTCGGCCGCGACAATATACTGACCCAAATGGCGCCTCCTCCTCCCATTATATTGGATGCCCTGGTGGTTTCGGGAATCACCGGCTCCATCTCCATCGCATGCTGGATTATTGTGTTTGCTCCACAGATTTATGAGAATTTCCGAAGAAAGTCCTCAGATGGCTTGTCCTTGATGTTTATCATCTTGTGGTTGGCCGGAGACGTATTCAATGTCTTGGGTGCGGTCTTGCAGGGTGTTTTGCCCACGATGATCATCCTTGCTGTCTACTACACATTGGCTGATATTGTGCTCTTGGTGCAATGTCTTATGTATGGCAACGGCGAGCAGCCGGACTTGGTGCACTTGTCTCCCGCCAATCCGCTCAGCGAAGACGTTTTGGAAACGGTCTTGTCGAGAGAAAGACCCACCGACGAAGAGGTTGGGCAAGACTATAATATTGACTCCTTCGCGGATTCACAAGACTCGAAATGGACTCTGGTCAAAGCCGCTTTGTACAAGTTCTTCATGGTGTTCCTTGTTTTCTCCGCCGGCTTGATTTGGTGGTACATCTCTTACATGCACAGTAATAAGAAAAAGAAGCCAGCAGACCTTGTTTTCGATCCATTGGCTCAGTTTTTCGGCTGGTTATGCGCCATTCTCTATTTGGGCTCCAGGGTTCCTCAGATTTTGCTCAACTACGAGCGCAAGTCTTGTGAAGGCGTGTCCTTCATGTTTTTCCTCTTTGCTTGTTTGGGAAACCTCACATACGTCATTTCCATTCTTGCCATTGACATGAGCTGGAACTACTTGTGGGTCAACTCTTCGTGGTTGGCCGGCTCCTTGGGAACTTTGGGACTTGACTTTACCATTTTCGTCCAGTTTTTCTTGTACAACGAAAACACCGACGACGAAAGCTCCACCACTAGTAAAGCTACAGACAGATTGCTTGATCAGCGCTCGGAACCTTACAACTCTTTGTAATGGAACAGATGATATAGGGAAGACCAGCGAGATTGACTTGGGTTCGTGTACCATAGATGAGCACGATGTGCATATTATTATTTCAATGAATGTTGCATGATGGAATGTATATGTAAGAAGAATCAAGAACTAACAGTGAACATGCTTGTGGCGCATTGAAAGCTGTGACGTTGAAAGCTGTGACGTTGAAAGCTGTGACGTTGAAAGCTGTGACGTTGAAAGCTTGTGGGTTAAGAGATCTGTTCTAATGACTAAGATCATGTGGTTGAGATTACAAGAATGATAAGCACAGAACTGCCGAAACAGCCTATTTGACGCTTTTGAAATGGTTTTCTGCAAATTTTTGTAGTCATCTTTTTTCTTTGATTAGATATGCATCTCCTAATTCGATATTTCATGACTTCTTCAAATGTTCTAGCGTACTGTAAGTAGTGTACGCAAAACGGACCAGACAGAAGCTCTGGTGAAATTCTGACCCTTCAAAAAATCCCAAGATGACATTTAATTACAGTTCACGTTACTTAATCCATGAGCTTAGGAGACACAATGATTAGTAAAGAGATTCCGCCTCTATCGCAGAGGAACGGATATAAGCGCGAAAGGCGGAATTGCGCATAAAGGCAAAAGCACAGAAAGCCAGAAAAAAACAGAAATTCCAGCGAAGCACTAAAACACGACATGTAATTGCCACGAGAAGATGGCCCGTGGGTGCGTCTGCAGGGTCCCCCAGCTTAGCATGACCCATGTGTGGCACGGAGATGTGGCAAAAGGGATTTGCCCAAATGCAGTATATCTCCGCATCGCTACTCGTAATGCAGAACATATTACCCTAAGCTTTTTTCTCCGTGCTTCAACTCCGCAACACCTGGAAACTTCATTACTAAAGATGATGGAGGTTCAGACCCAAAACGACAAGCCGCGCGTCTCGGCGGCGGCCCAAGAATCCGCTGGCCAAAAGAGGAAAAGGCTGAGGGCAGTAATTGTTTGCACCTATTGCCGTCGCCGCAAAGTCAAATGTGACAAGCAGCTGCCTTGCTCCAACTGTGTCAAGGTGGGCATCGCCGACACTTGTACATACGACTCACACACGGACAAGAAGGGGAAAGACAAATACGAAATGGAGCTTGCACTACCTTTGGGCCAGCAGCCCTTGGATCTGGTGGCTAAAGAAGCCAACATTGGCGTGTCTGGTCAGTTTGCGGTGGCGTCGGGCGCTGGAACAGCCAAGTCGGCGCAAAATGGACCCAAGCGCATAAGGAGCGAGAAGGGCCTCACTGCTCTGGCTCCCAGTTCAGCATACTCGGCTGCGAGCAGCCACGAACAGAGTGCTGGGAATCTAGCGTATGGGACCACGAACAGAGCTCCGAGCGGCCCGATCATGGGGCCTCTGAACGGCGCGCCGCATGTTAGCGGTGTTTCGCCGGCTGGCAGTGTTCCAAATTACGGCGAGCCCAACGCATCATCCACAGCTAGTATGAGCTCGGCCTCTGGGGCCACGACAAACTTCACATCTCCATCGACGTATTCTGGCGGTGGACAAACACCGGGCTATGCTGGCTTTGAGCGGCCGGCCAACTCCACCATCAAGACTATGCCGAGATCTCGCGTGGATCTAAAGCAGGCCGATACCCAAACGATAGAAACGCAAAAGTCGGAGATCGAGGTGTTGAAACAAAGACTCCAGCAAATAGAAAAGACCTTGATGGGGTCACCCAAGTCTCTTCCGGCACTTTCCGCCCAGCCCAATGCCTTCCCTCCAATGCCCATGCAACCTTCTGCTCCACCTTCTCTGCAATTGCAATATCAAGGACCGCCACAACCATCGTCCATGCAGCCTTTAGGCGTCCAACCGGCGCCGTTCCAGCTTGGTCAGCGCCCCTCATACTATCCGGGCATGACTCCAGGCACGATACCCATGCCAAGCTCGTCGGCTTTTACGCCGCTATCGCAGCGTAACTCGTTTTCGGAGGATCCAATGTTGGCAATGCTTCCGCCTCTCAATTCGAACCTCAAGCGTTCCGGCGGCTCCCAGTCTCCATTGCAGGCTAATCTGGTTGGTCCCTTTCCCCAAAGCGTCAAGCCAGCTGCTAGCGAAAGCTCGTCTGCGACGGGATGCGAATCGGCTTGCAACGCAACTTCAACCGCTTGTAACACCTCGCCTGCCACCACAGAAACGCCACCGAAGCTCACAATTGAAAATCCGAAAGCTGAGGATTTCTTGATTGGCGTGAACATCTACAGCAATGCGAGTGATACCATCAACTTCTACGAAAACTACTCCTCTCTCCATTTCAAGGACAATCTTCGCCGCAGCAACTTTGGCCCTTTTGCCTGGACGTCGCTCATGAAGCGAGATTACGGCTTGCGTCTTATTTGGGATCATATCATTGCACAAAAGCAAAGCACCAAGGATGACTCCAGTGCCCTAGCCTTTCCGCAACAAACAAACGAGATCACCGCAGAAAATACAAATACCATCTTACATGCCGACAAGTCGGAGCTTCTGGAAAAACAATTCCGCAAGCGTGCTCTTCAAGCGGATGGCTACGAAGATATCGTCCCTTACAACACGATTCTTGAAGCGAAAAAGGAGCGTGACATCCAAAAACAGACGTTGAACCAATCTACGTTGCCGTTGGGTTTGACCTTCTATGACGGTCAGATTGACAGGGAGCTTCAGCTTATAGAGAAAGTTCGTGTTGTTCTCCCCAAAAAGAGAGTCATATGGAAACTTATAGCTCGTTTTTTCAAATGTGTCTATTCTTATTTCCCTTTCTTGGACGAGGAATACTTTAGGCGAGACGTTTCGAGGATCATTGGGCCAGAATCTTATGAGGACGAGCTGGTCCCCGACATCAAGATTGAAAGAAAGCTCGACTTGGCCACCGTGGGCATTCTCTTGATTGTTTTGAGACTTGCGTACCTTTCTGTCTTTTCGAACAACACAGAGCTAAACGAGCAAATCTTGCGCAGCGAAGCTCCAACCCTTGAAGTGCAGAGTATCAAATGTTTGATGTTGAACCCAATTAACATCAACATTATTGACGTTGCAGAGCTCTGTTTCGAACAGTTCAAACTACTCAGAAGATCGAACTTCACTGTCCTTCAACTAGCATTGTACATCCGGTTGTACCACACATATGCGCCAGAAGACGGCGATGGAGCAGATGGTGGTGACTCTCAGGTCCTAAATGCAGTGTTGATTCAAATGGCATATTCCTTGGGTCTTAACAGGGAACCTGATGAACAATGCACAGACTTGAAAATCAACAATCTCTCGAGGAAGATTTGGAGCTACTTGACTTTAGCAGATCTTCATCTTGCCTACGCTTTTGGCAATCCAATGAGCATTGATACCATGTATGCGGATGTAAAACCGCCTCTTTATATTCCAGGAGGCGAAAATCTCCTTGACAAGGAAGCAGATCGCCTTATAGTTGATCGTTTCAACACATGTACATTTTGGTATCCGGACATTCGAAGGATATTGAAACTTACGCTTAATGTCAATGGTAGAGTTCCTTTACCTGAATTATGCTCGTTGTTATCTAATGCCGAGTTGGACTGGTTTCAAAAATGTGGTACTCTTTCAGAAGCCCTCAAATGTGGAGGATTAGGTGTTAAGTCTACTGTCGAAAGAAATTACACCGTCAAGATTTATCTTGCGTTGAGGGTGTCATTCCTCGCCATATTCTTCCACATTTTTCTCCATTATGAACGGAAGAATGACCACGTTTCCTTCTTCTACTTGAAAAAATGTTTGCTCATTACTACTGCTGATATCATGCCTCACTATGAGACTCTCTTGTGCAAGAGTGAAGTTGTCAGTGATATGATTATCAACCCTACTCTTGAAATGGCTGTGCACAAGGCAAACATTATATACCTTGCGGCCATTATTCGTGTTAACTTTGCCGTGTATCACTTGAGACAATCTTCAGAGCACGACCAAAGATGCAAAAATGATAAGCAATACTTGACATACTTCCAAAAATTGTGCCAACTCTCGTCTTGTCTTACTAGAGCAAGTGAGTACAGTATTTCGGCCATTTCCAAAATCAGCAACCGGTACTACTACGCTTGGAGGATTACCAAAGGTCAAACATTCATGTTGAAGACTGTAACGTCGACACAATTCTATGAGTCAAATTACCACGCCGCCTACCTGCTATACTCAACAAGGTTTTCTTGTCAACAGATTGATGAGTTGATCTGCATTTGTGAAACCACTTTAAGCAAGTTCCGCCACACAGAATTCAGAACTTATGGGTTTTCGAGGGAAGTGAACGACCAGTTGGTCAAATGTCAGCAGTATTCGTGTGACCCAGTACGCAACGCAAGCAATTCCAGCGAATCTACTAGTACTAGTGGCTTCAGTGCCAGTACTGATTCTATCTCCACCGATGACCCTACTAACCGGGTGACCAATACGGAAGTTGACAAATTGTGGTTGCAGCTCCTTTCGATGAAGCATGATCAGCTTTTCAATGAGGATTACCGTGAAGCGCCCGAGGTGATGGTGACAAATGGGAACGGCACAACCAACAAACCCGTTAGTCAGAATCACGAGGCGAATGCTGGAGCGGCGACAACAAACGATTTTGCTCGCTTTGGTTACGACATGGAGATGGAGAACAGATATGACTGTTTCAGTGACCTCCCATTTGATCAGGTATTTAATTTCTAGTTATGGAACGAAATTTGGCAAGGATACTTTACTGGTAAAGGGTATGTTTAAGACATGAAAGCATTTGCAAATTTTTTGTGCTCGGTTCTGGTTCTATATGAGCACATACAAATCTGAGTGATTGAAATACTCTAATGTCATGGATGATTTTATTACTTAATTAATATCAATTTCTTAGTTCAACTCAGCAGCTAGTTCCGTCGTAAACCATTTCGATACAGGCTGTTTCTGACTCATTGATCGGCACATCAGATAAATGACTTCTCTTCAATTGTATTGTGTTCACATACATGGAATATGGCATTCTAGGAAAGAAGTCACTTACATCGTGAAATTAGAATCAGGACATGAAGCAATGAAAACTTATTGTAAGCTCTTCCTACACAGCCTGGGACATTTTACTTAAAATTAACGTTTATTCAAATTACTCCATCACTCGTCATCGTTGAAAACAACAAGTGGGTACCAGTTAGGATTGACGATTCTCTTTGTTCCAAGAGTGGAGGAGATGGAATTGATCTTCTCGCCATCCTCATCGGACAAGTCCACAAGCTTAAAGTTGCTTTCGATTCTACTTGGGGTGACAGACTTAGGCAAAACAACGGTGCCTCTCCAAACAGCCCAGCTGATCATAATATTGGCAGGAGAAACCTTGTACTTGTCTGCAAGCTCAAGCAAGCCCTTGTCTTCAAACAAAGGAGAGTTGGTGGATCCCAAGGGGCTGTACGCCTCCAAGATGATGTTTTCCTTCTTGCAGAATTCCAAAAGCTTTGGCTGGGGCAAGTATGGGTGCAATTCCACCTGGTTACATGCTGGGCGCACATCTACACCTGGCGAAGAGAGCAAACGCTTCAAGTTTTTCACGGAAAAGTTGGACACGCCAATGGCACGCGCCTTTCCCAGCTTGTAAAGAGGTTGCATGTCCTTGTAGGCGTCGACAAAGTCACGGTCAAGAAGAATGTCTCTGTTTCCGTTGGGCAAAGTGGGGAACGTAGGGTGCGACTTGTTTTCCGGGTTCAATGCCACGGGCCAGTGCATCAAGTAGAGATCCACGTACTCCAAGCCCAAGTTCTTCAACGACACGTCCAAAGCCTTGGCTGGGTCAAGCATGTTGATCGGAGCCAATTTGGTGGTGATGAAAAGCTCCGATCTGGGCACGCCTGAGTCTGCAATGGCTTTACCCACGGGAACTTCGTTGCCGTAGACAAATGCCGTGTCAATGTGTCTGTAGCCGGCCTTAATGGCGGTCAAGACGGCGTTGTAGGCCTCTTCTTCGGTCGATTGCCAAGTGCCAAGGCCAATGGCTGGAATGTGGGCGCCGGTGTTCAAAGTGAAGGTTCTGTATGTTAGCAAAGCCCGAATTGGTCAAACAGCGAGTGAAATTGGACATACTTGGAAGACATTCTGTGAGAAATGTGTCAAAGTATTAGAGTGGCAACTATTCCAATTTGACAGGGCCGTGCGCGGCCTTTAAGTACTGCGTTTTCCCCTCACCCCACCTTTTAGTTACGTCACGGCATAGGGGTAACCAGCCGTGAATACGTTTACGGGATATTGCTTTTTTCTACACCGTTAGGATTTGTGGGTCTGTCTCGCCGTTTGCCACGTGGAGGCCTGGTTTTGTTGGGAATTCGAATGGGGGACCAAGTACGGCGAATGCGACGTTGTAGTTTGCTGTCGCGGAAATTTCGGCTCCTGTCCGAGACCATGCGGCTAAAACAACGTTGGAGATGGTTAATTCCACACGCTTCTTTGTAAGTCTGTCTTTGCTATTCATGCTTGTCGTGTGTGTGTGTGTGTGTGTGTGTGTGTGTTTTTTTTTGTTGTTGTTTTTTCTTTATGTGTATTTCTAGTTATATTGATCTATTATGTATGCATAGTCGCTTGAGTCAACCGTTATATTGTGATTGAAATACTGAAAGGCGAACGACATTCATCTAATTATGTGAGTAGAGTGGCTAAGCGCATTAGCGATCAATCTTCATTTTATGGCAATTGAACAAAATCATCTCGTGTCAATTCTACTATGTTCTTATAGGCTCTGATTAGCTATGTTGATCAGACTTTATGACTAAAGTTCTGTTGTTTGAGATCGACATATTTAGTTCGGAAAGCCGAGGTCTGGGAAGATTCGACAAAAAGGACAAAGTGGTACTGATATATTTTGGAGTCAATTTTTTTTTTTCAAATCTTGGATGGATCTTTTAATTTTAATTGTATTCGCAGAAGTTCTCGTCTTTAGCCATTTTTGGCAAATGCGATCATAAATGCATTTTTCACCATGTTTTTTTAAAGAAGAAGAAAAAAGACGCCGTGAAGACCTACAATAAAAAATTCTTGAAAGAAGAATTTCGTAACGATAAGATCACCCAGATCACCCAGATCACATTGAGTGGTAGGCTAGCATGTTTTTTGCCTGGACAGGACATCGCGAAATCAGCCTTACTACCATGAGCGAAACAGGAGAAATGGGAAACGACCTAAAACGGCAAAAAACGGAGCCTGCCGATGGGCTAGGGTTCCAAAAGCCCCAAGTGCCGGAAGGCATGTCCAAAAACGCCTGGAAAAAGCTCCAAAAACAAAAGAAATGGGACGAAGAAAAAGCCGAGTACAGACTCAAACGAAAGGAAAAGAAAAAAGCCGCGAGAGCCAGAAAGGCCGAGCGCAAATCCCAAGGTCTCTCGGACGATGACAACTACCACCAGCAAGCAAAGAAGGCGATTCCTGAAAAGCAGAAGCCTAGTGGAATAAAGGTGATTATGGACTGCGAGTTTGATGAGTTGATGAGCGACAAAGAGATTGTCTCCATGAGCAACCAGATCACACGATGCTACTCAGCAAAACGGCATTCTGACTACGACGTGGACTTGGTCGTTTCGAGTTTCAACAAGCGCTTGAAGCAGCGTTTCGATAAGAGTGTACTGGACTACCCCCGATGGAAGAATATCACGTTTGTGGAAAACGATAAGCTTACAGACTTGTTGCCTACAGATGCCGAGGAATTGTCCAAATGTGTCTATTTGACTGCAGATACAGACACAGAGTTGGAGGAACTAGAGCAAGGACACACCTACATCATTGGTGGAATTGTGGACAAGAACAGGCACAAGAAATTGTGTTTGAACAAAGCCAAAGAACTCGGTTTGAAGGTCGGGCGTTTGCCTATTGGTAAGTACATTCAGATGAACGGGCGTCAGGTGCTTGCGACATCACATGTTTACGAGATTATGTGCATGTGGTTTGAACAGGGCAACGACTGGCAAAAGGCCTTTAATGCGGTCCTTCCTCCCCGGAAAATCAAGGGTGAAGCAGAAGCCAAGGACGAGACAGAAACAAAAGACGGAGAGGAACCAAAAGACGAAGAGGAAACAGCAGATGATGGTAAGGAGAATGGCAACGAACATGAGTCTGAAGATAAGGAGAATCGTGACGAAGAGAATAATGTCGACGGAGAATAGAAGAGCAGAAGTCATTGATGGCACAGTGCAAACTAAAAGTACATAGGCATCCAAGAATAAATCAGGGCCAGCATCAGTTTTAAGACTAAGAAAGTAGAGACATACGTAGTTTTTTACTGGTAGCCACTAAGAAGCATGTTCACTCAATCCTGGAGGCGCAACCACTTTAATTAATTGATAATATAAAATAAATTATGAGCGTACATAGTCCACCTTCAGATCGGAAAAACAGAAGGGCCAGTAGAACGAAGGATATGTAATAATCGGTCTCTTCAAGTCGATTACATCGCAATCCTCACTGCAATGTCAAGATCTTATTATTTTCAGCCTAACTTCTCTTTTTTCCTTCATATATTAACCAACATGACAGACAATAATGCAACTACAGCAACCGTTTCACCCAAGTTCTCAAGTTAGAAGCTTAGAAATTAACCATGCACTTGCAAATAATCTCAGTGGCTGCTAGACAAAACCGTAGAGGCTAACACTACAGTGTCAGTTTTTGTTGAAAATTCGAATATCAAAGAAAAAGAAGCAATGGCCAAATTATTAAACCAGAGAGCAGGATAACCAGCAAAAATAGACAAGACATTTCTTGTGTCTTGAAGAAAGACGTTCTTTTAAGCGGCCTACCCTAAGACCAATCGCAAGTTCGTGCTTTAGAGATCGCTGTAATTGAGAGATTCCTATGAAAAATTACGTAATTCTATCCTCTTTGTCGATGTCCTCTTGGTTGATGTGCCCCTGTTGTAACTCCATCTACTTCTAACCTTTAAAGCATTTACGCTGTTTGTCCTAATAGACGATAGACAAACATCACTACGGAATGTCTTTAAGTATCGTAGGTAACAACAATCCAAGTATTCAATAACGACCCGCTCCCCTATAACCAATATTCACTCCGAGAATCGAACTGACATACCTGCCAAATCCACGTGAAATTTCAATGGTCCAGACCTTTTGCCCGATAAGCTTCAGGCGTCGCGCATTTGAAATTCCATGCCAGTTAATCCGCCGTCCAGTAAGGTTATTTGCTTGGTTAATTTGCGGCGCCGTCCACGCACGGGTCATTTCTTGGGCAAGCCCGAATCTCTGGCGCTAGATCGATCCGTTCATGGTAGCATTTCCAGATCAAACACAGTGCTGTGTGCAGTACACGTTACCCTGAAGGTTTAATAGGCCAAGTGCATGTATAGCACCTAGTCGACGACAGAGACAGGTTGGTCCCACAGTCCCCCGTGCCTTCTCCGTCTCCCAAGCGAGTGGAGGTCCTTTCCCGTCAGCTTTCGTAGACGACACGTGATTTGGTAAAACGTAACCTGAATACCGCGATATGCGCGAGTATACGCGGCAAACGTCCGAGAAACATTCGACGGCAGGAGAAAGAGACAGACAGTGGCGAAGACAATTTTTTTGAAAACAAAACGAGGAAGCGGCCGACGCATGTGGCCTCTTGGCGGCGTTTCACCGCAGCCACCCAAACTTTAACCGTCTCCGTGGCCACTGTTAGCCACACGCCGTATGGTATCTGCATGTGCCTGTCTGCAGTCCGCTCCTGTCACGCATCCGTGCCTTTCTCACAGCCCTAGTTCCAAAAACGAGAAAAAAAAACCCTGGCCGTATCTTGGACTTTCTGGAGCTCTTTTCTTGTTTGCGCTTTTCCAAACTCCAATACATTCAAACTATCCACATATTGCACGTATGTATCGTTTTGTTCGGTGTCCGGCCTGTTCTCTGCCGATTGCATAACTCTATTCGTTCGCCGAATTCTTTGTGATCCTTGACCACAATGTGGCTCGGCTCTGATCTTGCGCTATCGGAATGTTTTCCTTTGGTTGAATGTGCAAAATCGATCTGATCCTGTCATTGGGTGATGCATTGGCTCGTCGAACAGTGTTTGAGACTCAGCTGGAAGCAGCTGCTTTCATGATGTTTGTCGTGTATTCGATTGTTATTCTTTTATCGAGGGGCGAAATTCAGTCGAGCAAAGAAAATTCTAGCTCACCCAATGTTTTTCGCTTTCTCGAAAATGTGCATAAGACCATCCACCGCTTATACTGCTGGTGTATATGTCCATTGCCACTCTTCTTTTACGACCCGGATATCAAGTTTATAAACATAACATTTACTAACGGATAGAATGGTTCCTCCTCCAGCCGAGATTCGTAGAAAGTTGGTCATTGTCGGTGACGGTGCTTGTGGTAAGACCTGTCTTTTGATTGTTTTCTCCAAGGGCACTTTCCCAGAAGTCTATGTTCCAACCGTTTTCGAGAATTACGTTGCTGATGTCGAGGTTGATGGCAGAAAAGTCGAATTGGCCCTTTGGGATACTGCGGGTCAGGAAGATTACGACAGATTGAGACCTTTGTCTTACCCAGACTCCAATGTTATTTTGATTTGTTTCTCTATCGACTCGCCAGACTCTTTGGACAATGTTTTGGAGAAGTGGATTTCCGAGGTGTTGCACTTCTGCCAAGGTGTTCCTATCATCTTGGTTGGCTGTAAAGTCGACTTGAGAAACGACCCAGCCACCATTAAGGCTTTGGCCCAAGAAAACCAGCAACCCGTCTCTTCTTCCGAAGGTGAGGCTGTTGCCCAGAAGATTGGTACCCAGTACTACTTGGAGTGTTCTGCTAGAACCGGCCAAGGTGTCAGAGAAGTGTTTGAAACTGCCACCAGAGCATCTTTGGTGACCAAAGAAAAGAAGGAAAAGAAGAAGAAGTGTGTTGTCTTGTAATGTGGGAGACTTTGCCCTATTGATGAGAGATTCACTCCACTTGCCGTCCCAGTCAAGATTTTTTTTTCATTTCTTTCGTTTCTCACCCATTTAATTGTTAATATTGCTGACTAAATTGAATTAACCCAGAGCCGCTGTCTTTCATTTGTGGGAGTCTGATCTGCGATTAAATGGTGTGCGTACATAGCTCGGGAAAAGCTATTCTCGATCTTGTGAGACCGAGCATAGCCGCGTTTGTCTTTGATGTATACTACTTCAACACTACTGTAGAACGAAAAATTAAGACAATTATATACTGACATGGTGTGTCTAGTGGTACTCTAGTGATAATCTAGTGGTACTCTAATGGTATTCTAGTGGGTATTCGAGTCGCGCACAACCGAAAATCGTCCACGTGACACGTCACGTTCTCATGAGAAAAAAAACCATCCAATAAACACCTTGAGATTGGTCGCTTACCGTAGAGAATCTCTTCTTTGACGGATATCGCTACTTCCCCAAGATGTTGAGCAGATCATTATTCAGAAGCACTGTCAGATACCAGACTACGGTTGCCGAATCGGTCAAGTCCACAGTCACTGGCCTTACTCGCGAAGAGTTGGCTCACAACAAAAACGCCATGCAAGCGCCAAACAGACCCAACAAGTGGTCTCCTAGCCAGGAAGGCAGAGCGGAGGTGATTGCGCGCAACCCGCAAAGATTTATTCAGAAAGATTTGAGCGCCCAGCCTCAGCCTTATGCTGCCATTGAGTTGATTGCCAAACAGCCAATCATGTACTTGTCCGAAGGAAACATCGCAGTCTGTGACGGAAACAAGGGCTCGACTTTGCAGGGCCACCCTAAAGTGTACATCAACTTGGACAAGCCTGAAGCGGCCACGTGTGGCTACTGTGGTTTGAGATACGCCAAGGAGGCTCACAGAGAACACATTGAGAAGAAGTAGTGGCCTCGGAGGAAAGACACATGTGGTTGTGTCCGTGCTACATGAGGCATATCTAGCCCTGGGGCCAGTGGGACTGGGGCTGGCTGTTCCTTTCCGTTTGATGTATCATATCATTCTATCTGCATAATTTATTCAATTGGATGCAAGCTCCTATCTGTAATACGTAGGCTGGTATCAGAATTAGACGTGGCTATCGAATCCACATGGGGGTTTTAGCAAGATCTCCGCTAGTTTGCCTCTGAGTGTATGAATTTTCATTCAAGTATCCGATCGCTCCTACCCCAGGTGTTCCTTTTTGAAATTTAGTGGTGAATGATATCACATTGCCTGACAAAGATAGCCAGAAATATTGTGGTACGAACGAGATGGCCAAATGTGTCTACTCTATTTGTCTAGTTCTCGGTGGTTTTGGAATACTTTAGGAAATATAGAGTGTCCCTACTACGCAAGAATTGTCACATTCATTTTGAACAATAAATAGTCACATCCATTCTGTACAATGAATTGACGCATTTCTCCCGTACATGGATTCATTTGCTCCTTTCGTCTTTATAGTTACCATTCCGAATCATTTCATTCAGTCACAAGAGATTTCACAGGTGGACTTTAGTGCGGAATACCTCTTCATCTAATCTTGCTTTTTTTTTTTTTTTTTTTTTTTTTTTTCTTTCCACTCCATTGTATTTTATTTGCCGTCATCATTCCATTCTTGATAACTGCAACTTTTCACAGGCTAATCTGGATTTCACTCTTGCATAATGGCTGACTCATTGTTATTAGTGCATACACTATCTAGTGGGATGTTCTGCATGAAGCTGTGATCTCTACCCCGGATTTTCTATCCTGTTTAAGTCTTCTTCTTCCAAACGAGAAAACCGATAAACCAGTTCCAAATGTCAAAGGCCCACGAAGTCCTAAAGGGAGTAGGGTATGGCTTGTGGTACTCGCAGCACCATATTATCCATTCCTTTGTTATTATACCCTTTGGTATCATTGTTTTATTTGCAATTCTTTATGGGTTCAATGTTCTTCTCGCTGACGTTTTCAAAATCCAATTTCCGGCGTCGGTGCTCGGCATGTTGATCAATTTGCTTGTTTTGTGTGCCTTAGGCTCACTTTCGTCGTTAGCGGCTCAAAAATCAGGGCCGAACCCCACCTGGAAAACAAAAATCGGCCTCCTGGCGCAGTGGATATTAGAACACTACCTCACAATCATTAAGCCGTCCATGAACTTCAGCTTGAAATGGATTAATGTGTTTTTCATCCCCTCCTTCATCATTTTACCCTTAAGTGATCACATCACTTTCATCGAATGTTTGAAAATCGCTGCGGTGTTTGTCATTGGCGGAATCTTTTTGATGGTGTTTGATGTGTACTTAATCCTCGGTTTGAAATTCATCTTGAAGAAGATAGGTATTTACTCGTTTGATCTTGACAAATCAGAGAGTGCAGTCTCCGAAGATGAGGAGGATGACGAAGAATTGGAGCTTTTCAACTTGAACAAGCCATACACTTCCACAAGAGACGACATTACTACTATCGACATGTCGTCACTACGGGCAACGAAAACCGAACCTGCTACTAAAACTCGGTCCTTGTCTGTTTCTGAGAATCCTTTCTCTGACCAGAATAATGCTGACCCGGCGATCAGAAGAATCTCAACATCAGCGGGTGTGGTACCTAATCCATCTGAAAGTGCTTCTAATCAAACAAATGTATTTTCATCGGAACACTCCCCTGCCAACCCATCCCCACCTCCTTCGGAATCCATTGCGCCCGCTTCTTCTAAGGATGAGAATGCTCATCTTTCTCATCTTTCACCACTTTCTCAGAAGACCACCATTTTCGTAGCGAACTACATTGACTGGTTCCTTTATTTATTGTTATTTTTCGTGTCCTTGCCCTTTTACTATGTATCAAGCATACATGTCATGCTTCCATATCACTTGGGTTTAACGGTCATCGCATATTACTTAGCATTACTTATTCCCATGAAATTTCCTAAGCTGAAAAAGTTTGCACATCCGATCTTGATTCTGACGGCAGAAATCCTATTCGTTTGCTTCATTGGTTCCCTAATTTACCACAAAGGATCACCCAAAGGGTTTCTTGACGACTTGCGATTCTACAAAACAGGAAAAAATTATCTTAACCTTTTCAGTGGAAAAGCATTGTATGATAATGGTGAAAAGGTGCCCCAAAAATTTCTTGATGAGCATTTTACTTCTGAGCCACTTTGGCCCGGATGTGGTGACATTTTATCCTCTCTCATGGACATCTCCATTGTCTCGTTATCGTTACCTATGTTTACGCACAAGAAGGACTTCATCAAGAACTTTTGGGTCTTGATGCCACCTCTCTTGATTTCCATGGTGCTCACCTTTTTCTGTTACCCAATCATTTGCTTCAAAATCGGAATCAGTTCTGAACGCTCCATCGGCTTTATCGGCAGGCTGGTCACTTTGGCCTTAGGAACCCCGTTGATCGGCGCACTTGGAGGATCTGTTGCCTTGATGGCTGTTTGTACGATTCTTAGTGGTATTTGTGGCGTGTTGATTGGCGATGCTTTCTTCAATCTTCTCCGGGTTCCTTCCAATGATTTTGTGACCAGAGGTGTTACCTTGGGTATTAATTGCGGAGCAATTGCCACGGCGCATTTACTTAATGTTGACCCAAGAGCTGCTTCGATGAGCTCTTTGAGTTTCAGTGTCTTTGGTACCATCATGATTATCTTGGCCAGTATTGGTGCTGTGCGTGATTTGATTCGAAGCTGGGCTGGTCTTTGATCCTGATACTATTGGCGTTCACCCAAAGACTAGCGTCGTTCTTTTAAATATTTATTGTACTTTGTTCTTTATAAGGCTGAGCGGAGCCAAAAATTCATTGAACACTTCTACTGGAGTAAAGTAATAGCAGACAGAAGAGTGAAGATTGACGAGAAAATCTACGACTCTCATTGCGAAAAATCAGATCACTGACCACACAATACTTTGGCAATGCCATGTAAACAGGTCTACTTTATTTTTTCCGATTTTGCCAAAGAACGGTTGATATCTACATTTGCTTCCCATGTCTAGAAAAAATAAAAGACTAATTCTCAAATTTTAGACCAAAACGATATCCAGTATGGTCTCGCATCAAAAAACGCGAGTCTTGTACAACGCGTTTGATCATTTGCATCACCATTATTATGCTCATCGAAGATACGACGAAAGTTGTCCTTCTTCCGAAAAATGAACGCTCTTTCCAAATCTTTAGCTTGAAATTCGGCTCCACAGAAAAACAAATTCTATATTCCGGAGAGGGTGTCTATGAGCTTCGACTGATAACTGGCCAAAATGACTATGTCAGTAGACCAGAACCAAAATTGACAAACGGGGAAGCGGTGAAATCTTTGATTATCGAAAATTCAGCCACCAGTGAGGAAGGTGCTGTTCTTTCGTGTCCCAATATTGTGAACAGCACCAAACTCAATTTGGCATACTTTGTCATACTGGTCATGTGGCACAAGAAAGAATTGTACGGCGGCCGTTACCATGCAATGGACGACATTCTAGACAACTTCAGCGCGTATGTGAAACCGCAGAAACTGCTTCAGGATATTCGGCCTCATCTTGTTAAGCTGATTGAATCTCTCTGCCAAGTTGTAGAAGAAGGCGGAGAGCCATTCTACAAGTTCTCAACCGAAAAGGCCATGAAGTTCGTGTCCACAAAAATTGACTCTCTCACTGATCTATTGCATTCATCGCCTGATTATGCTCTCACTGGGTTCATTAGAAACAAATTGAATGCATACGAAGAAGCACCGGATGAAATTTTCCAGCTACAGATCAAAAAATACGCTGTCGAGTTTATCTTTGGCTCATACTTGACACAAGAGATTAAGCACGACTTCATGCGTGAGGCTAGCTTGGACTTTTCCACGGTAGAAAATTACATGAAAGCCCAAGAAGAAAAACAGAAAGCGTTGGCGGTGGTAGAATCTAATATGAACTCGGTTGTGCAAACAACCAAGAAAGCCAGAGAATCTCTGGCAAAGATTACGAAAGCAACAAAGTCATCAAAGAAAGTGGTGAAAAAGGTGGCCGTTGGCAAAGGTGCCTTGGATGGTTTTTTCAGCAGGGCTTGACGATTTATGCATATTTAACAGGTTACACGTATACTACAAGCTTACTCATAGTCGGAATGTATTAGGTTATCTGGCAGCTCCCACTTCAAGAAGCTCTAAATGCATGTTCTTGTATCTTTCTTCCTCGTCCTCCTTCAACAATGCTTTGATCTGATCAGTCAATTTTTCAGCCACAGCAAAACTGTTCTGCGCTAACGATAAAAGCGCCACACCATCTATGGGCAACCCTCCGTTTTTGGACAACTGGATTAGCTCTCGGTTTTTGTTCATGGTTATCACAAGAGAGCCATCGCGAATGGCTTCCTCTTTCAGATTGGCATCCATGATTGCAATCTCTTGGTTGAGGGCTCCTTTTATATTCTCTTCTTTATCACCTGGATTGAAAAACGAGTAAGTCACGCAAATTGGCACATGAAGAATACTCAAGGGCACCGGCTGGCGCTCGTCAAAGCTATAAATGGTAACGTCTGTTCCTTGGATAGAGACATCGGGCTTTTTGAAATGCTGAAGCGCAGTCATCACACCAATACAAGATGCATCGATAAGTCCACCATCGTAGTTCAAAAAATTGATATCAGCACGGATGTGCCAAACCTTCTCTCCTGCAATAACACACAAACTCTCAAGGTCCAAGGCGTTTGATCTCCTGACAGCTTTTTCTATTAATCTCGATATAAGAACCTCTTCGTCTGAATTCTTTCCATTTTCGAACATGGGCGACGCCATCGAGCTGATTTCTGTATTTATAGTGAAAGTACCTTCAAAAGGCCTGTCTTCAAATGGTTTCCCGATCTCACAGCTCACTCTGACGGCCAACTTTGTGTCTCCCAATTCAACCTCGACATATCCATATTCGGTCTTGGAAAGCGTGATGAGAGGCTTGCGCATCTCATCCAAGGCCCTGCCATCGAGACGGAAACCTTTTTTCAATGCATTAAATATGTAGCTTCTTTCGTTTGTTGAAAGCTCGCCAGCTTTAGTCATCTTTGCGTCTGGATTACTTTGTTGAACAATCAAACGGTGATGAGATGAAAGTACGCGCACGTGACAGAATCAGACAAGTCGGAGCAACATCTAAATTCCATCAGTATGCATCAAGTAAGGTGAGCCCAAGTAGTCAAAGGGGTATAGTGGCTAAGTATTCGTAGTGGTTGTCGTTCTTTTACAATAGAAAAAATAAAAAGGATAAATAGAGAGAACTGGCCATGTCTATCTCGCTATAAGAAATCTCACAAAATCTCACAAAGTAAAACAGAAAAGAGCACTCAGTCTCAGGGAATGCCAGAATCAAAATCCGGGAGACGGCAGAAGCCAAAAATCGATCAGAGAAATTTAATTGTTCAACTTCAGCAGTAGTGTAATTGGAGTGTCATGTGCTTCGCACGACCTGGTAGGCAAAAACGTGATGTAACAACTTGTCTCCACATTGATCGAAAAGCAGGCAAAATGTTGGCATCCAGATTAGCCAAGACTCCCGTGAGAAATGTGGCGCTTTTGCGCAACTACAGCAGCATCAACCCGTTGATGGCAAGACAAGGTCCCGTTTCTCCGGCGTTGAATTTCTTCCAGAAGGAACGTCTACCAGCAAACACCATTATCAAGTTCGTTCCCCAACAAACGGCTTATGTGGTGGAACGGATGGGAAAGTTTCACAAAATCTTGAAGCCTGGTATGGCCATCTTGATTCCCGTGCTTGACAAGATCACATACGTCCAATCTTTGAAAGAAACCGCCATTGAGATTCCTTCTCAGAATGCAATCACCGCCGACAATGTCTCTTTGGAATTAGACGGAATATTGTACGTCAAGGTACATGATCCTTACAAGGCATCTTACGGAGTTGAAGATTTCAAGTTTGCGATTAGCCAGCTTGCGCAGACAACCATGAGGTCTGAAATTGGTTCGTTGAACTTGGACTCGGTGTTGAAGGAGAGACAACTGTTGAATTTCAACATCAACAAGATCATAAACGAAGCCGCCAAAGAACACTGGGGAGTTGAGTGTTTGCGTTACGAGATTAGAGATATACATCCTCCTCAAAATGTATTGGATGCCATGCACAGGCAAGTAAGTGCCGAAAGATCAAAGAGGGCAGAAATCTTGGAGTCCGAAGGTACTAGACAGTCTCGCATTAATATCGCCGAAGGTGAAAAGCAAGCTTTGATTTTGAAGGCAGAAGCCACTGCTTTGAGCATTGAAAAGATTGCCAACTCTATCAAGAATACCCCAGGTGGCACTGATGCCATTAACCTTCAGGTGGCACAAGAGTACATTAAAGAGTTTGGTAAGATTGCCAAGGAAACGAACACCATTGTTCTTCCTTCCAACTTGGGCGATTTAAACGGTTTGATGGCTGCAGGGTTAGGCATGTTCCAAACTTTGAACAGAAACACTGACAAAAAGATTGAAAGTGTTACCGAAAAGGGAGAGGAAGCGAAGTAGTCTTGTGAATAGATAAAGTATTACGTATAAAAATTAACAAAGGTAGATCCAAAGAATATCGGTTACAAATTATAGTGTTCATTAATCTCTTCACATTGATTAAGCCTATTAGTAGTATGTATCATGGGGATTCGTTAAGCGTTTCTAAAAATTCGTGAGAATGAAAAGGATAGACTAAGGTGAGGATAAAGTATGACGGATATTGAGGGAACAGGAAAGCGGGAAACTAAACCAAGTTCTCCTCCTTTTCAAAGTCGATATTGACTGGTAAGTTGGAGTCCTTTCTTAATCTCCGCTTTTCGTTTCTTCTCTTCCAAGGAATCCTAGATGCCAACAGTTTGAATTTCTTGCTGAAGTTTGTGCGAATGCACCATTGGTAGAACCACCACTCCAACAAGAAAACGAATCCAGCAAGCAAAAAGCCACCAAAAACAGCCATTCCAATGTGGTTAGCCAAAGACTTGATCAATGCGGCATCATCTAAATGCCACGAAGATCCTGGTGCAATAGTGAAGAATGACAAGTCGTTATTCTTGTAGTCCTCGCGCATAAGGATTCTCACCTTCCAAGCCTCGGTGATACCCTTGCGTTTGAACTGGATTAACATGACGGAGAGGAACAAGGGACCGGTAGAGAACATGATGGTGATGTATGGAACCAACCAGTTTCTCTTGTACTTCTTGAGGTTGTCCACTGCCTTGAGGAAAAATGGATGCTTTGGCACTGAACCCAACACATCGTTTGAAATACCAGTTGGATCAGTGATACGAACAAAAGCAGGAACGGTAAGAAGAGGGTCTAATCTCCGCTTGCAGCCGTCATCCAAATCAATGTAAACACCACCGTAGTGGACAAGTGCAAAATATCTGATGGCATCAGCCCTTTGAATCGGGTATGGGTACGAGTCCCAAGTATCAAGAAACCAAGGGTAATGCTCTGCAATGAGGTCTCTGGCCATTTCGTCGGTCCAGAGAATGTACTGGTAGTCCGGGTGCAAGTCGATGCAAGCTTGCTGGCCTGCTTGCCAGTGTTCAGGGATGTCTTCAGTCTTGTAAGTCTGGTGGATGATTTTGGGAATCACCAAAGGACGATTTAGTTTGCCGTCAACAGGGTTTAATTCAACGTCAAGCAAAGCATCTGCATTTGGGTTATCCACAATCAAACAAAGGAGATCGAAAGACAAATAGACCAAAAACATCACTAGGGCAAAGTGTGCCCACAATATACATTTCAACTCCTTTCTCATTCTTGGGTGGTGAAAATCAAAATAACCCTCCGAGGATCAAAACAAAAGTAGGAGTGGAGAAATGATTATTGGGGGTTGGGGCTGTTATAAGCAGAAAACAAGTAATGAAGTCTGCCAGTATAACAGAAAAGACGAAAAAAAAAAAATTAAAAATGAGTGCGTTATGTTGGTCTAAAGAAAAGTCAAACAATAAATAGAGTATGAAAGCACGTCGAGTTAGGAGAAGCTCAAGTGAAGGAAGCCGCAGTAAAGAGGCACGGCATGGAGGAAAAAAAAAAAAAAAAAAAGCAATGAACCCGCGCAATTCCAGTTACGCAGAAAAGAAATTCAAAAAAAAAAATCTGTATATGCCCGACAAGACTATTCAGTCTTTTGTTAGTGCCGATAGTAAACTCTAGTGTGCCCTCGTGGTGGCAGCTTGCGGGTTTCGTTCGCTCGGGTGAAATCTTTTCGTTTCCGCTACGTTTATACCTCTGCGTATACGAGAAATAGAGACGGTTCGTGCGTGTAGTTTCTTTGCGAGGGCGGAGCAGTCATTTATCGCGAACATTTCCTCAAAGAAGCATCAGGTTTATGTGCAAATAGGGGTGCAAAAGTTTGCGCAGAAGGAAGCAACCGGTACATTCAGGCACATTGCAAATTAGCATTTCAGTGCCTGCTTCCATATCTCTCGGCGTGGGTTATCTATGAAGCAATCTTGAAATTGCACGTATCGAAACCCCAGTTCAGTCTTCGTCAGTCCAACGTGCACACCTCGTTTATGGTAGAATAGGGGGCTCTTGTCACCTGACCGTCGCGTGACTTTACAGTCTACCGTCTCATTACATCATGTTTGTTTTGATGGATAGGAGTTAATCCTGTAGCCTTACGCACCTACGACTATAACTCCGCTTATCGCCAAAAGTTTAAGTTATCTGCGATTGTAACTCCGGTTGCATTGCTCCTATAATGACTCTAACAAAGGCTGGTTTTCCAACTGCACACAGCTTAAAGCTTCGCCTTGGGCACTTCTAAATCCCGATCAAAGGTCTTGTCAACAATGTCGATCATGTAATTCAATGTGATGTCATCAATTTCGTTTTCATTGATCAATTTTTGCAAGAAGCGAAGCACAAATGTCAAGTCTCTGCTATTGATGATGATGACATACGCTTTGGTTCTAGACTTGTTTTTAAAGATTTTGATCAATCTCAAATTGTTCAAGTAGAACAAAAACGAGAGTAGGTATTGCTTATTGTATGTCTCAATCTGATACAAATTGCCTCTTTCTTGAACAGATTTCTTTAACCCCTCTGTTTGAATAATGCGCAATAACGTTTTCGTTGTGGGGTAGTCTCGCAGCATCAAAGAATCGTTGATCAATTGCTGCTCAGTAATTTGATTTCTTGACTTGGCATAAAATTTGCCAACGGTGGAATTTAAATTGTCAACGCACACCATGAATGAGTTGATGAAGGGTTGGATTATTACAAACAAAGTCTCAAGATACTTTTTGTCCTTCACCACATAATCATTTGAGATAATGCCTGTCTCTTTAAACTTTTGCAAAATTGAAGATAAGTTGTTGCTCTCGTTGTAATCGTAATCAAATAAAAATTCGTTCTTAAGGAAACCAGTGAAAATGTAAAATAGCTTATTGATTTGCTCAAGGTTCAGAGTTCGCAATAGGATAAAAGACGCCAAACATTTGTGAATAATTAAGTGAATGCCAAGGTTCTTGTAATACAAAAGTTCAAATGAGTTTTCAATCCTAATTTCATTAGTATCGGGGTTAACTCTCGTATACTTGAAAAACTGAATAATCTGTGACTTGATTAATCCCGCCTTCTCGTCATTCGTTAATTTCGTTATAGCTGTTAGCATTCTCAAGTTCGTTTCGCTTATTTGCTCTTCCAAGTAGACTTGTACAATGAAGTCAAACATAGGAAGAAGAGCGTCCATTGAAAACGTTTCTAATCCATGCAAATAGTAAAAAGTTTGTATTGCGGTTCCCACAATAGAGCTTTGAGGAAGAAAAGATACCCCGTTGATCGCATGCATAATCTTGAAGCCAAGCTTTTTCAAATTTACATTCTCGTCTGCAATCAAATTGTCGGTTTCCTTCCTTTCTATCAAATTTTCGGGGTCTTGGACGAATGAAGAGAGTGTAAAGTTATCCGCTAACTTGATAAAAATCTTTCCGTGTAAGGTTCTATTCCTGTTATCAATGAAGCCATCTTCCAGTCTTTTAGGTCCATCCCTGTCCACTCCATAAACCAAATTTGTGACACCGTTCGACAAAATGCTCATAAAGCTCTCCTGCTTCTTGTCTTTCCCGACCAATTCATTCAAATATCCTTCAGATTCGTATACCCTTTCGTATATGATTGAAATCGGTTGAATCAAAGAATCGAAATTGTGATTCTTCTCTTTGAACCTCTGTTTAAGATAGATCGATACGAGGGTCTTTAAGATGCCGTATTTTGGTAGCAAAAGCTTACCATCTCTTGAGCGTGTACCTTCAATAAAAACTTCAAGGTTAATTTTGTTAACAAGAACATATTCAATGTAGTTATAGAGATTTTTTTCTGTGTATAGTTCATCGTTGAATGACCTCTTTATGAAAATCGCTCCAAGTCCTTTCAATATTCCTCCAAAAACTGCCACATTCAAATTCTCTCCTGCAATGACCATAGGTATCGCCATTTGAAAACGAATGAGAATCAAGTGCAACATGACATAATCAATGTGAGACTGGTGATTTGGGAGCAAAATTATTGACATTGGATCTTTCAAGTACTGCTTGTAAAGCATGTTGAATTCTTTCTTGTTGACCCATACTCCTTCGGGAAACATCTTAGAGACTGTTTTAATTACAGTCATGTAGCAGACTCTCAAAAAATGAATTGAACCGAAATTTGGAAGACTCTTCTTATTTTCCTTCGCGTAGTATCTTACCATGAAGTCCTTAACCTCTTTGAATCTTTTTGGAAAGTCCTTTCCTTTGATTAGGTTCATGCGTAATTCAGAATTGATTAAATCATAGACAATATCGTCCAAGTTTGAATCGCCTTCACGTAATTTGTGCAACATGTACTTTTCAGATGCCTTGTTGAAGCTCTTCGTCATTTTATGTACTGAATACTTTGTTTCAGCATTTGAATAAACCTCATTATAATTGAATCCAGTCGCAAAGTGTAAAAAGTTTCCAAGAAGCTTCCAACTGAGAGAAACCTTTTCATTTGGCTTGGAGTCAAGCACATCATCATTATCAGTAGGTAAAGGAAAAGTCAATTCAATGTTCGGGTGCGTCAAAGCACCCTCAAGAATGTTGATGTCAAAATCAGAATTGGATATTTGTTCACCCATATTGAGTTATCAATGAGCGAGAAATGTAGATTCTAGCGAGCTCTCTTCGAATAGATGTTATGATCTCTCACCCAACAAACATTGTCGCACCCCACATTTAGCTTTTGTTTCCTGTTTAAGAAATTATGATTGCGCACGTCAAAAGCCAACCCCACCAGCTATTTCAAGATTGCTACTCAAAAGAGTAAATCATTAGAGAATACATTATGTTTTGAGCACTTGCTTCCACGCACGATTCATCTGCAACAATAAATAAAGTTAACGCAGCAATGAGGAACCGAAAAAGAAATGTTCTTTATTTTCTCAGCCATCGTTTATTTCTATTTCAGTGACGCATTGAACCTTTCCTCCATGACGACTTTCGCCGTACATCTGTATTATGAGCTCATGACCCTTTACCATTGTCCATGCAAATTATGGGCGGTTGATGTTTTCATCCAGTCCTACACCAACTCCGGCCTCTGTTGACCTGTAACTCACAAAGTTTGGTTTCTAACCATAGATTTATGCATCCGGCTAACATCACGCCAAACGAGTCGCTGATTCCGACGCAACCCATTGAAAACTCTCTCTTTTCTGGTGGTGCTTGCTCGCTAACTGACATAAATGTGTTGACGTACAGAAGTCCGCCAAGGAGACCTTCGTAAAATATCAACATGAGGACTAGCCATATATTTGAAAAGGGCAAGTCAAAAATCGATTGGCATAACGTAATCAAGACGTTCAAAACCTGTAGCACGCTTAAAATGCTGAGATTGCTCACTCGGATTCCAAAGTTTATCGATGATCTAGAGACAAAGACTCCCAATTGATACAAAAACCCGTAAACAACATAAATGTCTCTGTACGAGGAAAAGAGCCATTTCGGTAAATCCTTTAATGGAAATAGCATTGTGGGAGATATTCCTTGGTTGATCACATATTCTGCAACATATACGGTGCATAATGGCAACATGAATGGTCTGATCAAAGGACGTATTTCTCCAAATGTATTCTTGATGTGTTGAATAATCAACTCTTTCCTGGATGCGTATGCCGTCATAGTTGGGAAGCCTTCTTCTTGATCCACGGGATCTAGTCCGAATTCTGACATGTCCGCATCATCGATGGCAGAATATGATTGATCTAATACAGGCGCGGGAAGCATGAAGTAGTAAGCAAGGATGAAGCCTAATGGAGCAGCGGCAAACAAGAGAAGGGCAATCCATACTTGGATTCCTAACACATTGGTTAAAACCATAAAGAGAAAGCTTCCTGCGAGGCCAGCTCCCCCGGTGCCAGAAGAAAAACCGCCAAGCGCCGACGTTGTCTCATAGTAATGAGTCAATTGAAGGAAGGATACTTCTCCTAAGCCCGAAGAAGCGGACGCCATAACAATACCTAGGACTTTCGATACCGTAGCATCCTGATTTGTCAAACTTACAATCGCCATTCCCGAAGAAGAAAGAGCAACTAAAGTCCATATCCTTTGCCGGTAAGGTATCAAATGCATTACGAAAGGGGAAAGCACTTTAACCGTCAAGGATGGGATTATGTCTGATAACAACACCACCGCTTTTGGTGTGGAGGGACCGACTAGGTCAACAGCGGCTGAAAGGATGACAACATAAAGAACATTGTTCAAAAGACCGAAAATAAAGAAGGCTAAGAATATCCGACGTCTATCAATGACCCAGATGGACATAGGTCTTGGTGGATTGTATGTTTCGAGGATATAGTTTATGCGCGATTAACACGACAGATGGATACTAAGTACACTAAGATAAGGCCAAAATATACAGACTCCCTAATCGTGTTCTGGAAGTCCCATGATACTACTTCCAAAAGCTTAACTAGAGCAATTTCGTATGTCTTCCTGGTAGCACATTATAAGTATTGCATACACCATTGGAGTAGTTATGAATTTCGCAGCAATAGTGTTCTTGAACAAAACGCATCTGGATGAGAAATTCGCATGAGTCTAGACAAGTGATTTTGTAATCAGGATTCTGGAACAGCCAAGCTCATAATGACAAACAATTTATTGCGCTAATAGGATAGTGATGCTAGGCATCTATGAGTATTGTCGGCATTGCTAGTGTTCAAAGAAATGACTGAAATAACATAATTGTTTCTCCCCTTCTATATATTTTTTACGTGTATTTTGTAGACCAAAGCGACTAATATCAATGCGGAAAACAAAGTAGCCTACTGGACCCACGTGGAAAGAAGAAAAAACACTGATGGTGCCCTACAACATTCTTCATGCCTTAAAATGTGCCCTTAATGCTTAATGTGTATGTGAGGTGATCATTCTTGACCAATGTAACGCTTCATATTGCAGAAAACAACGTCAAAAGTGCATATAAGTACTGTACTTGCCAAGTTGAATAAAACTTTTGAGAGCAACACGCCTAAAATTTTTCGGGTGACTCAGTCATACACACTATTTTAAAGTTGCAAATCAAGAGAATTCTCCCTTCACCTTTTCCTACTCGACCTATATACATAGTTTTACAAAATGAGTCAAACGCCTATGCCTGAAGAATACGATGATACTAGAATTTTGGGTTACGATCCATTGATTCCACCTGCTTTGCTTCAAAACGAAATCAGAGCCACCAGAACTTCCTTGGATGTTGTTCTCAAAGCTCGTGTGGAGTCCTCTCAGATCCTTGCAGGAAAGGATGACCGTTGTCTCGTAATTGTTGGCCCATGTTCTATCCACGATACCGATGCTGCTTTGGAGTACGCTAACCGTCTTAAAAAGTTGGCAGCTGAGTTGGAACAGGACTTGGTGATTATTATGAGAGCATACTTGGAGAAGCCAAGAACCACCGTTGGTTGGAAGGGACTTATCAACGACCCTAATGTTGACAACACATTTGACATCAACAAGGGTTTGCGTGTTTCCAGACAGTTGTACGCTGACTTGACTGGCAAGGTTGGAATTCCAATCGGTTCCGAAATGTTAGATACTATTTCTCCTCAATACTTTTCGGACTTTTTGAGTTTTGGTGCTATTGGTGCCAGAACCACTGAATCTCAATTGCACAGAGAGTTGGCTTCCGGCTTGTCTTTCCCTATTGGTTTCAAGAATGGAACGGATGGTAACATTGGTGTCGCATTGGACGCTGTGCAAGCTTCTTCTAAGGGCCACCACTTCATGGGTGTCACAAAGAATGGTTTGGCTGCTATTACCACTACCAAAGGTAATGACAACTGCTTCATTATTTTGAGAGGAGGAAAGAACTTTACCAACTACGATCCAGAATCAGTTGCTAAAGCCAAGAATGATATCGCTAAGAGTAATGCTCCTCATATCAAATTGATGATTGACTGTTCGCATGACAACTCCAAGAAAGACTACAAGAACCAACCTAAGGTATTGGATTCTGTCGTTGAACAAATCTCTCAAGGTGAAGACTCTATCATCGGTGTCATGATTGAGTCCCATATTCATGAAGGTAAGCAGAGCATGCCTTCCGGAAACCAAGGCAAATCTGCTTTAAAATACGGTGTGTCTATCACTGACAGTTGTGTCTCTTGGGAGACTACCGTTGACATGTTGAAAGGTTTGTCTAAAGCTGTTCAAGCAAGAAGAGCAAAGAAAAATTAGGAGGCTCGGACACTTAGTGTTTCGGGGATCTCATGAAAGAAAAATAATCAAATAAACTTTGAAACACAACAATGAGTTGGTGGACCTTTGTGTTCAAGTATCACGATACGCGCTTAATGTCCGTAGTTGGATCGTATTCGTTTCTTATATGAATTGTAGATCTACTTCTATAACCTATTTTTGAGTCCAAGGGAAATTGACTAGACTCCTAATCTCTATACTCTCCAAATCACTTCCTTCATCAGATATATGCTCTAACAACCGCTGGAGCTGTTTGTTACTAGCATAATATCCGTGTGTCCTTTTGAATGGGTTCCTTTGTTTTTTCTTGTCTAACAATGGATGGGAAATACCGTACCAATCTTTTTGAAAGTGAGAGAGGGCATGCTTCTTTTCACTGGCCATCAAGTCAGCGAAATATCGTGCACGCTTCGAATCATCGAATTCAGGATTAGGCGAGTTGCCAATATAATTAACCTTTTCCACAGGGAATTGAAGGGCCTCCTGTAAATGATGATTAACAAACCTCTCGTGTTTAAATTGAAAGCCGACTACACTAATCCGTTCTGGATAAGTCTCCTTTATTTCGAAGAATCTGCAGATCAGAAAAATCACGTTCTCGAATGAGTCTCTCGCAAATTCTTCAAGGCAAATTCTATCGAAAACTGGGTCATCACCATACAAAGCTTTTGCAAGTTGATAATATGAGTATGCTTCTGATTGGGGACCCGCATCCTTTTTTGTTTGACCCCCAGATATAACTAAAACAGCATGTGGATCATTCTTTAATTCTTTGATACTTTTAGATACGTGATCAATAAAGCATAGGTGGTCATTGCCCTCATATTGGAACGGTGCTAAATGCCACTCGTCTCTCTGTTCCCCTTTGGATGGGCCACCTGACCAAACAGAATGGCAAGGTAAAATGATCAAATGATTCATGAGCACAACGTGTATTTTTATGATAGAGTGCGCGTATGTAAATAGTGATAACATGCTACAAGAGCCTTCCAGTGGCAGTAAGCTGCAACCACAACCATAACATGAAAGATTTGATGAGAGTGGCCGAACAAATCAAACTTCCCTGGCTTCATTTTATCGAGCAATGTTTCTTCTTCGCCTTCTGGATGTTCAACATGGAAAAACCTTTCTGGAACTCGTAATGCATAAAGACAAGCACCCAAGATATAAAAGACACCTTCTGCACAGCACCAGTTAGCTGCCGACCTTCCGATAGCGTCTTTCCAACCAAACATTTTAACTCCTGCAACAATGGGTAATGTTCCAGACAACCCAAATAAAATGAACATAAAAGACCGAAACGGTCTGTAATCAGGAGTAGAGAACTTATCATCAAAGGTAACTTTGGTGCATGCCGTGCCTAAGAGGAAAAATAGTAGAAGAAACCCATTTCTAACCTTCGGAACGTCGTAAAAGGCGAAAAGAATGATAGAGTTCAAGGAGCATGTGATCATGACTATAATACCAAAGTAATCACATTGATTTCCGAACTTGCTTGCTTTGTGTGAGTGGGACTTGAAAAGATGAAATAATGCGGACAGTGTCAAACAGAAGGTAGCAGCTCCTCCAAATTGAAGAAAGTTAAGTCTCTCCCAAATACCTAAGTCATTCTCATACTTTTCAATTCTCCAGTTAATGAAAACTATCACAGCAATACTGGAGAATATAGATGGTAGAAGATGGGAGTATACATTGACTGACTCATTGTGCAAATATGTGAGTGATTTAATACATTCCTTGTAGCTAGCTGTTTCTTTGACATACCCAGACCGGATGTAATGGTTATCTTGTTGCCAAGGGTCCAATTCATGATAATAGTACACTCTTCTGGCCTTGGACATAGCATTCGGTTCCTTTCTTTCGTACGTGTTAGATGTGGTATTCCTTTGTCTGAGGCTCATAATATGACAAATATCGGGTACTTAATATATTTGTCTAGAAGTTGGCACGATTCGAGACCCAACAATTTATGGCTTTGCATATTGGCTACTGGTTCTAGGAATACATAAAACCAATCTTGTAGAAGACATGTGAAATGAAATCTACACTGAAGGTCATAATTGGTGAAACACGTATAATTTACTCACCTGGCTTGATTAGCGCAGAACTGGAGCCCATGAGTCTGCCATGTTGGAAACCAATTGTTCTCTTCTATAAGAAATGATCATGCAGATGATGATACTCACACACAATATGCGCCTAATGGATTCCGATTTATTCCATGTGGGTCGTAAATTTCAATTCAGGAAGACGTTGAAAACTCATTTTTCCATTTTCACTGTTTTTGACTATTTCACATCGAAATGAGATCGTGTTTCCATGATAACAAAGTCGCTTACATCAACATCTGAATATGCGTGTTAGGCCAAATCGCACTTACTGCTAGTTAAATGAAGGCTCTATAGACTCTATGAGATCCGAGTACATCCGAAGCTTGCTTGTTATATCAATCGAATCATGTTTCGATGAATCAAGACGAGCTCCCAATCTATTCTTGAAAATGTCACCCGTGTAAAATAATTTCCAAGGAGAGTCCTGGAGACCTAGTGAGCCACGACATCTTTCGAAATACCACTTGTTCACAGGATTATTCGCTCTTGATCTCCAAATTAATTCGCCTTGATGTGACTGAGAGACTAGCTTGAAGATTATGTCTGCCAAGCTAGGTAATCCCTGATTAGCTACTGAAATGGCAAATTTGTCCAAGTATGCAACTCTTTGTCCATCTGCAAGCTCCTCCCACGTAACAATTGCTGCACCATCATAATCACCTACTATGATTATTGATGCTATGGAGTTTTGAATCCTGCTCCTATACTTTTCCTTGTCCAATGGCCTTCTGAAGGAATCACTTATCAAATTAAAAAGCTTGTCTTCATCAACTAGACCATCACGGACTAGGTTCAGGAAAGTAAAGTGATTGTCGTACGAGAATTGATCGAGGACAGTGACTTCGAATCCTTTCTTTAAAATTGAGGTCGAAACCTGGGGGGTTCTTTCGAGTGAAGAGGGTAATGACGAGGATATTATTGGTCGATCAGTCAAAACGTTATAAATAACGGGGTTCAAGCTATCGTTGTTTAATGCAATCACCTCAGGTGTAGTTATTATTCCTGTTGTATCATTATTTCCCGATTTCTGTGCAGAGAGCTCTAGAATATCGTTCATGATATGCAAATTTTTCAAGTGTTGGTCTCTCACCTCAGTTTCAAGAAAGCCGATATACATTTCTGAAATAATATCAGATAATTCTTGTGACAAGTTGATGAATACATGACTAGTCTGGTTTCTCTCGATGGATGGAATTCCGCCGAGCTTATCAGCAATCACCACTTTCTCTAAAGTAAGCAAGCTTGAGTGGTTCAATAGATCCAAGCAGATCGTATAAAGTGCTTCATTCGCATCCACAAACTTCTGCACCCCCGTTGCCGACGTATACTCAATAGGCTGTAAAATTGGTATGATTCCTTGATAAAGAGGAATGAGAATTTGCTCTAAACTCGATATCGTGAGCTGTTCGCCCTTCCTTATAAATGGAGAGCGAACAATGGATGATTTTATAGTTGAAGTTTCCTCTTCGGCCTTCTTAGCTAAGTATTGGTTCAACTTGTATGCCTGGTGCATGGCATGGGAGGTTCTTGCCTTGAAGTTAGTTGTCTCAACAGATGCGTTGTCTAACACAATGATAGGTGAAATACCCAAGTGAACCAATCTTCGGAACGTCTCTGTTATTCCTTCCCATAACTCAATTGAGCCATCCATGACACATATTTTGAATAATGCTACTCGCAAGGGGATCTTGCGCAACTTGGTTTCCTCTTCATCGTAGACATTTAAAAAAGGGTCCTGCCCTCTTAAGAATCTGTTGATAAACAACTCTCTTTGGTGGTCTCGTTTTTCAAGTTTTGGGGCTACTGTCGTGTTTTCGAATGATATATCACTGAAATCAAATTGATTTTGATACTTGTAAAGGTAGTTCTTCGCTTCCCGCTTAGTAGTCGTGGATTTGAGAATCGACAATATGAGATTTCTTTTTGCGTCTGTCACATACTTCGTCGTTTTAAAGTTGGATATGAATTGTCTATTTAGGGTCTTGAAATTGCTCATTATGGTGAAGTAAACCTGCGTCACTTTTCGGAAGCACAGATAAATACTCATGACACGTGACTTGCGTTAATCTGATTCGTAGTTATCCTGAACATCCTCTCCTTCGTTCGTGCTTTCATGCAATTGCCTCAACTTGTTCATTACATTAAGAACAAATGGCCTTATTTCATTTATTTCCATGAGCGAAAGCCCGTTAAGTTGGATGTTAGATTCATTGAGCTCTTTCAACCCTCGGCGAGCTTTCAGCTGTCGAACTTCACGAAGATCTTGTATGATAGACTTTATTTGACTTGAAGAATCATGAATATCATCTGCTGCACTATGAAGTAGCACTTTAGATACTTCTAGCCAATTCCACGGTAGTAATGAAAACAGATCAACGAACTTTTTCTCTTCATCATACTTCTCTTTCAAATATGCATAATTAAGCCAATCCGGTGGCACTATATTGCACTTCCCTTGCGATTTAAGAATCAATGCTACCCACAATGGTACTTCAATTCTCCTCATAGCCCGCAAAGCAGGCAAAGACGTCTGCATGGTTAGTAAGCAAAATCATTCAAACAAAAGCTATATTCGAGTGGGAACCCGTCTTATTTCACTTTATTTTTATGCTCAGAGTCATTATTACATACACCTATGAGGTCCAACTTCTTCATGGAGTATCTCGGGAGTATTGTTATCTGTTCATTTTCAGAGAGAAATTGAATCTCGGATGGCATGAGCCTTTGTCTCAAGCTTACTGGCAAAACCATCTTTTTTGCACCACTTGCTAAATGAATTAGGTTCTTGTCCTAGTACTGATAGTCTTGTATTTTATGGGCTGGAAGATACGAAACGTTTGAAATCGCGAAGATCAGCGCGATATTAAATTGAACCCATGCACGAACTCCTCGAACGCGAGTTCCTCTACCAGCTGATCCTCAGAATTACCTGATGCAAGCTTCAGATGAGATCGAATGATCCCAAAACACTTCTTCAACGTTTTAAACACATCCGGTCGACTTTGAAAGTATGTTTTTTCTTCTGGATATAAAGAGGATGGTATTGTCCTGGTTTTCGTGGTCTCCATAGGAAATGGCGATTTTGAAATTTCGGAGCCTCTGTGGTTTAAATGAGGCATGATCACAGCATCGCGGAAAGCCTTCAAAAGAAGACTTTCAACCCTGATTTGGTTTGTGCCCTTTTTTCCATTTTGGTTTTCTTCCTCATTAAGAAACAATTGTAAGGGGTAGAAAACGTTAAGTAGATAGTATCTCACAGATTTGTTAAAGTATTGCCATGTATCGCTGATTATTTCCCATTCATGCAAAAATTCATTAAGTTTCAATCCTTTAGTATTTTGGTTTTGTGATTGAGTACGAGTGATCATTGTCTCTGAAAATCTCTTCCCGCTCGTTTCATTCACTGAGCTATTGAACCCTTTATCCTTGGCAATAGTTGAGCAGCACTTTTCAAAAAACTTGCAGAGCTCCTGGATCAACTCTTTTTTTTTTAGCTCCACGGCGTCATTTATGTTCTCCTTGAGGGAAGAATCGTCATCGATCGCTACAATAAGGGAGCTTCTGCCCTTCTCTGTACGTCTGAGTGACTCCATTTCTTGTTCCTTCAAAAGATTCTTCACAAGCTTTTGGCGTACAAAATTTGCGGCATGTTCCATCGTTAATGGAAGTTGAGGGGCTGTTCGTCCATTAGATAACGTCGTTTGTGATGATGGTATGAAAAGCGTGTGCATCATTGCAAACAAGTCAGAAAATATCTGGGAATACTTCTTCTCGCTCTCGATGGGAGTCAAAGGTAGATCATCGTCCGTGAAATGTTTCTCCTGTTCTGCGTTCAGAGGATTCGGTGAATCCATCATGCCTCTGTGCAATTTGGATTGCATAAATTGATCTGTAGAAACCAGGTACTTCCTGTGTATTTCCAGAATTGCTGGAAGGTCTGTGTTTCCATCAGCAGAATTCACCATGAAATTGGGATCTGTAAAGTTGAACAAGATGGCAGAATTTAGATCGGATACAAATGAATTGGAACTCTGCGATGATAAACTGACAGACGTCCTATGAGGTAAAGAGTTGAACAGCTTAGTAGTACTGGATCCATCTTCTTGTAGTTTGATTGAATCTGCTTTGGACTGTCCGTGTGGACGATGAAAAATATGGTTTAAGGAAATTGGCGACGGGGCTGTTTTCTTACCGTATTCGTCAACACTTGATGAGCTCAACAACTTTTTTGGCACTTTCAATGCATGGTGTCCCGTGGTTTGAATTGTGAGGTCTGGTTTGGACATGGACTTGTTTGTTATTTTAAACTTGGGCTGCTTCCGTGAAAGTTTGAAAAGTCCTTTATGAGACGAAGACGTATCGTCTCCGATAACAGAGCCGGGTAGATCTAGTGTCAGAACCACATCACTGCCCTCATTTATGGTAGAGGAGGATCTATTTCTCGTGAAAAATCTTGCCAATGAGTTTGATTTCAGAGTGTTGATAGTAGTAGCATCGGACGACACGGAGACATTGGTAGGTTGCTTTTTTAGGGTGTTGAAACCAACACTAGAAACTTGAACCGGCATTCTCTGTGAAGGTAATGACGACAGTGATGAGTCATTTTTATGCAAGTATAAGGAAGTTTTGATATTATCTTGGGACATCAAATCTGCAAGATCTTAGATACACAAGATCCACACCATATTACAGAGTCCCATTATGCACACTTCTCAAGTATAGACAAACGCTTCGTATATGACTAGAAGACTAAGCGATTAATCAATAGTATTTTGTTGCCCTTTTTGCCCTTTTCATGTAACTGTCTTAAAATTTTTCTAGATAAACTTGAACAGTTTCTTGGGGTGATTCAATTGTTGATGTTTGGCGGTTTCATCCTAAAATTGCAAAAAAAAAAAAAAGACGTTGTTCATGGTATCATACTACATGGTTTAAAAAACTTCATATTTAGAAAGCACAAGAAAAAATCGAAACATCGTTTTTGTGGGATATATCTAGAAGTGTCTGAATGCTTGAAAGACTAATTAATTGGCTGTGAATAACACGGTTTTGAGAATATTTGCATCTAGTTCTTGAGCAACAAATGAAGTCGATTTCAATTCTAGATTCAATAGAGTTCTGAACACAAGGTGCAAAGAAAATTGTCGTCAATGACTACTGTAATAACGATGTTTTTCATTTACGTGTTTGAGAATAATTATTTTTGTTGTCACTTATATTTCCCTTTTGGGACGTATCAAAAACAAAACATCGACAAGCTCATATATCGAAGATGCTAAGCGATTATTACTGATTTCTTTCGAAGATTTACACCATTCTTTATTGACCACACCTAGAAGAGGAAAATGGTTAATCCTTTCGAGGAGAATGATCCTTTCTTTGACGCTCTGGAACCTTCGCTCCCTAATGCTGCATTCACTAGTGATAGGACATCTCCCAGACGACTCTATCAAATCGATAGAGAACAAGAAGAAAATGATAATTCCAGCTTTGGAGGAATACCCGAATCTGTTCGCTCGAGCCCCAATCATCGCCAATCACCAAATATATTTACCAGAAGCTCAACCCATGCTAAACAATTTGCGGCAAATATTTTACAGACCCCCACGCCTTCTTTGAATTTTGAGACCCATAAGACTCCAAGAGCAAGATACACATTGGACGAAAGTCCCAAGAGGGAAAGACAAGGCGGTATCATCATTTCGGAAGAAGCCTCGCTTCCCAATGAATATGATGGTTCCCCACATCGTCTAGAATTTAGAAGATCTTTGCAAAGCTCTAACAGAAGTGAGCGACTTTTAGAGCCACCACAACCTATATTCTCTAGAGAAACTTTCGTTGAAGCGAATGAAGCCGGCATGAAAGATCAGGCTGATGAGCAAACGCTTCATCTGCATGGCGACTCCGAGTATGGATACGACGCCTATCAGAAAGAGTACGAAGACGTTGAGACTTTCTCTGATCGTAACACTGTTTACACGTCTGATTCATATGTAACAGGCGTAGAGAGTGATTACTTCGGAAACTCCCTTGATAAAGATATGATGAGAAATGTCTCCGAAAACTATGTCCCCAATCGTGAAAAAACTTTGACAAAAAGAAAAGTGAGATTAGTCGGTGGAAACTCTGGGAACTTAGTACTCGAAAATCGGATTCCAGATGAGTTAAAAAAAGTCCTAACAAGGACAGAATCACCTTTTGGCGAATTCACAAATATGACCTATACGGCATGCACTGCTGAGCCCGACGACTTCGTGAGTGAAGGGTTTACACTAAGAGCAGCAAAGTATGAAAGAGAAACAGAAATTGTCATCTGTGTTACAATGTACAACGAGGATGAGCGCTCTTTTGCTAGAACTATGCATGGGATTATGAAAAATGTTGCACATTTATGTTCCAGATCCAAGTCTTCAGTATGGGGAAAGGATTCCTGGAAGAAAGTACAGGTAATAATTGTTGCAGATGGCAGAAACAAGGTTAGCGAATCGGTTTTGCAATTGTTGACCGCTACCGGTTGCTACCAAGAAAACCTTGCAAGGCCATATGTAAACAACAAAAAAGTAACTGCTCATTTGTTCGAATATACCACCCAAATATCGATTGATGAAAACCTTGAATTTAAGGGAGATGAAAAAAGCTTAACCCCAGTCCAAGTTTTATTCTGTTTGAAAGAAAAGAACCAAAAGAAAATTAATTCTCATAGGTGGCTCTTTAATGCCTTCTGTCCTGTTTTGGATCCAAATGTGATCATCTTGTTGGACGTGGGCACCAAACCAGATAATCATGCTATTTACAACTTATGGAAAGCTTTCGATAGGGATTCTAATGTTGCTGGCGCCGCTGGAGAAATTACTGCCATGAAGGGTAAAGGATGGATTAATCTCACAAATCCATTGGTCGCTACACAGAACTTCGAGTATAAAATGTCCAACATATTGGATAAACCTCTTGAGTCTGTTTTTGGATACATATCGGTTTTACCGGGAGCTCTTTCTGCTTACAGGTACATCGCTTTGAAAAATCACGATGATGGTACCGGTCCTTTAGCATCCTACTTCAAAGGTGAAGACTTATTGACGTCGCATCATGAAAAGAATAGCAAGACAAACTTTTTTGAAGCTAATATGTATCTTGCAGAAGACAGAATCTTATGCTGGGAACTTGTTGCTAAGAGAAACGAGAGTTGGGTTCTAAAATTTGTGAAGCTGGCGACAGGTGAGACTGATGTACCAGAAACTGTTCCGGAATTTTTATCCCAAAGACGAAGGTGGATAAACGGAGCTTTTTTTGCTGCATTGTATTCACTAAGACATTCGAATCGAATTTGGCTCACTGATCACTCTTTTGCAAGAAAATTTTGGTTCTGTGTTGAGTTCACTTACCAATTCATCAGTTTGCTTATGTCCTTCTTTTCTTTGAGTAACTTCTATCTCACATTCTATTTCTTGACTGGTTCGTTGATTCATAACAAAGGATTAGGACGCGGAGGTTTCTGGATTTTCACAATCTTCAACTATCTATGCATTTGCGTTTTAACTTCAATTTTCATTTCATCCATTGGCAATCGCCCCCAAGCGTCTAAAAACATTTTTAAGTCTTTGATGATTTTGCTAAGCGTCTGCTCATTATATGCCCTCATTGTCGGTCTTTATTTTGTGATCCATACAATTCAACTATATGGAATGGGCGGATCATCATCGTACGTGCTAGCGAGTATTGTGGTATCTTTGTTGGCTACTTACGGACTTTACACGCTTATGTCCATTTTGTACTTGGACCCTTGGCACATGTTTACATGCTCGTTGCAATACTTTATGATGATTCCGACTTACACATGTACGTTGCAGATATTTGCATTCTGCAATACTCATGATGTATCTTGGGGCACAAAAGGTGAAAATAATTCCAAAGAGGACCGTACAAAATATGTAATTCAACAGAACGAAGCAGGTGAATTTGAAGCAGTTGTTGTTGATTACAATATCGACGAAGTCTATCTTGAAACATTATACAACATTAGAGCCAAACGGTCGAATAATAAGGTCAAGAGGAATTCAGAGAAAAAAGAAATTGTTGATGGAGAAGATTATGCTAAGGATGTACGAACCAAAGTGGTTCTTGTTTGGCTTTTAAGTAATTTGATCTTTATTTTGATAATGTTGCAAGTATACGATGCTGGTCAAACAAAGAAAAACTACTATCTTGCATTCATTCTTTGGCTTGTTGCAGTTCTTGCCTTCTTCCGTGCAATAGGGTCGATGGGATATTTACTTCAAAACCTTGCAAGACGACTTGTGGAGGCTAATAGCAAATGGAAACATAAAAGGGAAGGTTATGCATACACTAACACTAACCTGCTCAATTAGCTTCAATAAGTATCATGAGGCGAACCAAACTATCCATATCTTTTTAAAATATAACATAATGGTAGAAGTAAATGAGTGTATCTGATCTTTTGTATGGAGATGCGGTATACACACCCACCTCATTAACACTTCCAAAAAAAAAAAAAACAAATGTGCATACAGTTGAAGAAAAGAATTCGATAGTTCTGATCCTAATGGTTGCATTGAAAAGAAACGAGAAAAGGACCGGCTCACCATTAGCAAATGGTGGGGCTAAGAGAGCCAAATCTACAGCGTCGCTGGTTTTACATTCGTATTCTCGATTGCCAGATATCAACAATCATCCCGTCACTAAGACTAAGCCGTTAAATATCTTCGTATGGGGCACAGGTTCTATGTGTGAGCTAGGCCTCGGACCTGATGCTAAAACTAAAGAAGTGAAACGACCACGCTTAAACCCTTTCCTTACGAGTGAGAAGATCAAAGCCGATGGAATAGTTGACTTTGCTGTTGGCGGAATGCATGTGCTTGCTTTGGACTCAAACAATAACGTTTGGAGCTGGGGAACCAATGACAGCAAGGTTCTTGGCAGGGATACTTCAAACGCTAAAGAAAATTTGAAATCGATGGACAAAGATGATTCGGACGACGAGGACGGAGATTTGAACGAAGCAGAGTCGACTCCTGGAATGGTCGAAAATCTCCCTAAGATTGACGCTCATATTGTTCAGCTTGCTGCAACGGATAACCTAAGTGCAATATTATATAGTAACGGCGATGTTTACGCATGGGGTACTTTTAGATGCAATGAGGGCATGCTCGGCTTTTCGAAATCAACCCGAGTTCAGGAAACTCCCATCAAACTCGCCAGCTTGAAAAATATTGTACAGCTAGCAGCAGGTAAAGACCATGTTTTGGCATTGGATACGAAGGGAATTGTTTATGCTTGGGGTAATGGACAACAGTTCCAATTAGGAAGAAGAATTTTAGAAAGACATCGGTTGGCAGCATTAGAGCCTCAACAATTCGGCCTCTATGATATCAAGTACATCTCTAGTGGAGATTTCCATTGCTTTGCGATTGATAGGGATGACAACGTATATACTTGGGGTTTGAATCAATTTGGGCAATGTGGCATTACAGACGAAAACGGAGAACTTGAAGATGGTTCCTTAATTGTTAAACCAACATTAATTCCGAAATTGAAGGACTTAAAGATTATAGAAATTGCAGGAGGAGAACATCACACTTTAGCACTTTCTTCTAATGGTGATGTTTACTCATGGGGAAGATATGACATGAAGGAAATTGGTATTCCAGCCGATAAGCTTCCAGACTCTACATACAAGGATCAACATGGAAAACCAAGATCAGTACCTGAGCCAACTCGCATTGAATTTGCCAATAATGAACAGGTAAAGATGAAAACAATTGCTGCTGGATCCCACCATTCATTTGCTGTTACGGTTGATGGAATGGTGTACTCTTGGGGTTTCGGTGATACTTATGCTCCTGGTCTTGGTCCCATAGATGGAGATGTTGAAAAACCGACGAGAATCGTTAATACCGCGACTAAAGAAATGGACATTCAAATCATAGGAGCCGGCGGACAATTCTCAGTAAGTGGAGGCATAAAAATAGACGAAGATGCCGCTGAGGACCGTCTCGAAAAGTACGAAGACATTGACGCAAAACAGTGATTCAAAATTTGTATAGCTATAAGTTTGTTTTTTTTATTTCTTCCAAGCACAAACCAATCCTTCTTAGTTCATTATTTCTAAGACAGGCCCGTGAATGCTCTCGTATAATACTCTTCATCTCACACCGCTACCTCTCAAAAAGGACAACCAAATATTCGCTAATAGACACCGCGCACAAAACTTATCGGGTATTTATTCATTAACAGAGGGTGGACATATACCCCCTACAATTCATAACATTTAACATGATTTGGAAAATCGATACCTATTCAATGGGTGACCTCATTTTTACTATCGAAAGATTATCACATACATACATATACATATATAGAGATACCTCTCTAAATAACCTGCGTTAAAATATACAAATATATACTATTACAAGTTACAAGTTATTTAAAAACACGAACTACATCAAAAATAACTCAATATAATCTCTCAAATTCACGTCAAAGAATACTAAAAGATTCCCTCAAATTTAAGTCGAAATTATAATCTTTCAGCACACACGGTAATACATTTAATTATCACTTTAATGTAAAAAACTACATTTCTCTGCTGTTCATGTTTAAGTTTAAATACTCTCGTCTTCTCTTATGTATTAAACCACTAAAATACATCACCATTTTTTATAAATCTTTGCCCTTATTCCCACTCTACCCATTTAGCATCCTCAAATTATCAAATTCTATAAAAGTGGCGACAATTTTGACCATTGAATTTGAGAGCACCTATGCCCCTAGATGATGAATAACTCGTTTCCTTAAGAGAAAGATTAGTTCATCAAACAAAGGCAAATAGAAACAAATCATCAGGAAACATTGCAGTAACATGACACAAAAGATAAAGGAAGGGTACAGAAATAAAAAAGAAATCATTATTTATACTTGCAAAATTATCATAAATTCAACCAACACTATATCGATTAATGTTCTTTAAGTACATTATCAACATGGTTTGATAGAACTTACATCCACCCATATGTCATTTGAAACATTGGCAATATCAAAGTCAAATAATTCTTCCAAATTTCCCCGATTTCATTCCAAACAAATCCTTCATGTAGATTTAGAATAAAATAATTACTCAACTATGAATAATAGAATGCTATTTAGTACATTACATTTACCCCAGTACAAATGAAAAAAAAAAAAAAAACTAACTACCGACACATCTTAAGAAATATATATGTGATTTCAAGAATGTGTCTCTAATAAATAAACAATGTGTGTCTTTCATAAAAAAAATGCAACAAAAATGGTAAATAAAAAACGTCCACTACGCCCCAAATACAAAAAAAAAACGTATGTTAAAAAATGTTCAAATAAATTAGAATTTCGAACAAGACCACGACCATTTCGTAGCAATTCGAATAAATTTTACACAGAGTACCATAACTCATTTACAGCAAAACAAGTTTACAAATATCTAATGCAGAAGTCACTACTACCTAATGATCTAATGTTCAGAAAATTACAGAGTTAACAACATTACAGAAAATCATCCAAAGACACACCGCTGTAAACAACGCGTATAGATAGCATGAGCTTCCATAATTATTTTTTCAATACCCCGCCATATTAATAATCATCGAAAACAACGTACATTGCTGGTAAGATGCAAAATAGTGTAATTTCATCATAACTTTCACAGCGTTTACTTAAGGAGAATAACGTAGGGAATCTACATTTCATGAGCTCGCTAAAAAAATATAACACTATTCAAATTTGATAAGTATACAGCATATATTTACAGCGTAGAAACGCTAAATCTCATTGTAGCAAATATCTACTTGCAAGAGGACATACAATCCAAATAGATAAGGTTCATATTTCGATTGATGATCATGTTTGCCCACTAGCTTTGGATTCAAAATTTAAAAATGAAAGACGAAATAGGAAACTAGAATAAAACTACTTTTTTTGCCCAATCATTAGAGAATATTCATTTTTACTCTATATATTTAGACACATTCAACGGTATCAAGAAACGCTTGGTACTCAAACATTAAATTGTATATTGATAAGACGACTTTTCATGTAAATGTAATTGATCTTCTTTTCGTAATTTGATTTAAGCTCGTTACTACTAACCTCGCTTCTTAGCATTTTTATTTTCTCTGTGTGGTGGGAATATAGTAGCATAATCCCTAAGACTAACCTCGTATATTGAGTGCTGTAATACTTTGGAACAACTTTAGTGAGCAAACAAAGAACTTCAGGGCATAAACATTAGTGGTCTGGAAGATTTTAACTTATGCCATTAATTGTAGGGAGTTATACATTGTAAGAATCAAATGTAATACAGTCTTTACATAGTGTTTATCGTACAAAATTATATTAAACGAAACAAGAACAACCAAACAAGGGAACGTATCTAAAGCAAATGGCATTTATCTTTTCTACTAAAATAGAAAAACTATAGAAGCCAGTATGGAGTGTAATAGACATTTAATCGTGCAATTAACCATGCAAATCTTCCTTCATTTCTTCGATTAAGCTTGAGCATTGTCTTAGGAGAGACGGAATTCTCATCGTTCCTTTGAATTTTCGTCGTTTCAGATGAACACGCAGTCTATAGCATTAGATTTAACCACCCTCAGGTGTTCCTATTAGTGTCTTCAATTTTATTCTTTTGGTTAGAATAGTTTTATGGGTGTAGTTAAGATTTATTTTTTCTCAGGTTGAATAGTTAATTTCGTTTCGTCTATTATGTTTTCCTTTTTTTGTATGAATAACAACTGTGAATTTTGTATAGATTTAAATTAAAAAAAAAAAAAACTATACATACTATTTAGGCCTTCAGGAACTAAGGATATCTTTTTAAAATGAATCTCCTGGATTGCACACTTGGTTTTAATGTTTATTTCATAATCTTGTTTTGTGAATAGCGCATGTATATGAGATTATAAGTAAATGAACTAAGATTATCTTCCCTTCGTACCACATGGTCATGTTAGTGTATCTTTTCCAGTAATGCTCCCGCAAAATTTAATACGAGTGTATTTCGTCAGAATCGTCTTCATAGTACAGTGCCTACATTATTCATTGAAACTAATCAACAGAAGTATATCAAACCGTAGCATCAAGACAATGAAGAACTGGAGAGGACCGAAGGCCAGAACTAAGACAGGAGAATTGATGAACGAATTTGGATGTATTAATTTGTGAACTTAAAGCTCTATGAGCTAAAAGGACTTCTTAATGCCACTAAAAGTTAAATTTAAGCTTTGAAAAGGCGGTTGGTTGCTGTCTTTCCCTCTTGATTTGAATTGTTTTGGGAAGCATTCTCGGGCACTAGTACCAGTTTATTATTTACAGAATATTGGCGAAAGACTAAAACTTGTTTTTGTTCAGATGATTCTACGAGCCGTGTACAAAGCGATCTTACTAATAAAGTATTACAGTAGGTTCAACTATGGGTCTTTCTTTGGTAGAAAAAGGTGGGTCAGTTCGTGGGATCCTCACAGTAGAGCCAATCCATTGATTCGCATTGATCAGTAATCTACAATATTATTGATCAGAATTTATCAATCAAGCTGGGGATTTGGTATAGTTCAAATTCAGTTGACACTCTCTCCTTACCACCTATGAAGAGTGGTGCTTCCTTATTCTTTTCAATTGCTTCCCTTGCCTTTGGATGAGGATCTTTCCATCTTCATGCCCTTCCTCTTTCTCTAGTGGCAAAAGCAGAACTTTCCATCTTCGGGCCCTTCCTCTTTCTCTAGTGGCAAGCTAGTTTTATATCTTCAACAAGTTCGAACTATATTTTGCAAAGACAGTTACCGCGTTGGTGAGGATAAAAGTGAAAGGGAGCGTACTGATTGCATTGAGGCATTGCATTCGTTGGGGCTGGATTACTAGTTGCTAGTTCTTGGATTCATAGTAATGACTTCTTAGCTTGAAAGCAAAAATAGAGATGTAGATAACTTCAAAAGATGCACAAGTTCGAAAGCATCATGTCGCATTTATTACGCAAATTTGTTTGTGATACCCGTTGACGATTTCCTATTTAGACTTGAAAACTATTTGAAGTGGGATATCTCGACAGTTAGTTAGTATTACATTGATCGCGTCTTGAATCGGAGAAAAGGTTTGGTTGTAAAGCGATTTTGTATTTTTTTCTGTATTGGTCAACGCGCAACAAAAATTGAGAATATATTGGGAAGTATATTCAAAAACAGTAGTATAAGCGAAGCAAAGAGTTCACATTAATTTATTACGTAGCTACAATCACATTACCTCCAAATTGCAACAGTAACTTAGAGATGAACTTCTGGTATTCTTATACAACAGAAGTAACTCTGCCAATGACCTTCAATTCAGAACATACTGATTCCACTTAGTCATATTTAAAAGTAGTTGACATTGTCTCAGAACAATCAACGGTCTTGGCGAGTGAAGCGACAGGTTTTACAGTAACTTGGTGGTGACTCACTTGGTTACGCACTTCATTGTATACTATTTTCCTGCCAATCACTATGAAAAAAAGAGGATAGCTTACAGAATTCCTGATCGCCAGATCTTTTCTACGATGAGTGCATTCTTGAAAGTCTTAAAGACCCTGTTATCTGGAAATTGACTTTATCCAGATTGAAGCAGAGGCTTGATATACCTAAGAATTCATTGATCACCAAGCCTTCATTACTGTGAGTTCTAAAGTATGGTTGTTTCTTTTCAGAGAGATGTCCCTCTACAGTCGTAATTAATTGCGGCAATCGCTCCATGAACGTGAGAGGAGACAATTACCACTACATTTATATACAGACACCAAAGAAACGAGACGCGAAATTTATACGGAAGACCGCGTATCGAGATTATCCTAAAAGTTAACCAATTTCAAGTTGTTTGTGAATGATGACAACGTGGTGGAGCCTTTTGGCTAGCTGCTTGCTTCAGATATTAGGGTTTTGCATCTTTCTCAAAGGTTTCTTTCCGTCAAAAGTGGTATTAGATGGGTTTAGTGAGTTCAGTGATCTGTACTCCCCTTTTAATGTAGATGGAAAGGCCCAGTTTGACAAGGTGATCTTCATGGTTGTTGATGCCATGAGATCTGATTTCATGTTTTCTGAAAATTCGAATATGAAGTATTTTCACTCATTAGTATCAGAAGGCAACGCTATACCGTTTACAGCATATTCAAATCCTCCTACTGTCACCCTTCCGAGATTAAAAGGCATCACGACGGGCGGAGCGCCCAGCTTCGTTGACGCCATATTAAATGTTGCTGATGATAAAGATGATTCTCAAGGACTCTCCAAAACGGATTCGTGGATATCTCAATTCAAGCGTAAAGGGCTGAACCTTCACTTTTATGGGGACGACACTTGGCTCAAGCTCTTCCCTCCTTCAGAGTTTTTTGACAAATATGAAGGCACAAACTCCTTTTTTGTTAGTGATTTCACAGAAGTGGACTTCAATGTGACCAGGCATTTGGACTCGGAATTGAATGATTCCACATGGGATGCACTCATTTTACATTACCTCGGATTAGATCATATTGGCCACAAAGGGGGTCCCGAATCGGTGTATATGAAGCCGAAACAAATGGAGATGGATGACGTGCTTAAACGAATTTATGAATCTGTCTTAGCAAAGTCAGAAAATACTTTGATGGTTTTATTAGGTGACCATGGAATGAATGAGATCGGAAACCATGGTGGCTCTTCTCCAGGTGAAACGCATCCAGGAATGGCCTTCATTTCATCAAAGTTCTCTCAGTCACTATCAAAAAAGCCCTTCCCGGTCTCTGGTACTGAAAATTATGAGTATTACTCAGTGATTTCACAGATAGACCTAGTACCAACTTTGGCTTCCTTGCTTGATTTCCCAATTCCTAAAAATAACTTAGGCATAATAATTCCTGAGTTTTTAGATCTATGGGGCAATGAGGTACAACAGAACAGAATCCTTTTGGAGAACTGTAATCAGTTGATGAAACTATTAACTTCAAAATTCTCTCCTGAAGCTGAAGAATTACAGAACTTCGAGGTTTTGCTTTCACGTCTTCAAGAGACAACAAAAAGTGGAAAGGAAGAGTATTATTCCTTCCTAACTAGAGCACAAGAATTGTTAGCCGAATCAGCTACAAACTACTCGTATTATGATATTTGGTTTGGCGTGATTTTGATAATGTTCTCATTCATTTTATCTTCCCTCCAACTCATCAATTTCTTTGAATGTGACCAGCGAGTATACTGTGGGGCAAATGTTGTATTTGTATTGTCTACTCTCGTTTACTCCTTTCATTTCCATGGTTCTTCATTAATTGAAGAAGAGTATCAGATTTGGTGGTTTTTGACGATAACTTTCCTTTCATTCTTTCAAATTTCTGTTAAGCCAAAAAAATTTAGCCTTTTTGTGAAATGTTTACTTGGAGTACGGGTTATACGCGCATGGAGCAATACGGGTCAGAAATTCAGCACTCCATTGACCGTTTCCACAACACTTTGCAACTTTCCCAACGTTTTGTGGTCTTTGAACTGTTTGACTTATGTGACCATATCCTGGTTGGTAGCCTTTGAAGGTGGCTGGCAAAATCTATTTTCACGAGATAAATCAAAACTACCGACAAAAGCTTTAACAAAGCTTGTTGCTTGGGTAATAGCTTTAAGCATCAGTATCCCTTCGTTCATATTCAAGAGTTGCCAATATTACATTGATGGGAAAGATACCCCCGTTTGGATGAAATTTCTGATTGAGATATTTACTTCGTTACTCGAAATTGAGGCCGATGACAAGAAGGAGATTCAGAGGGTTAATATCAGTCTCTCTAAAACATTTTTTGCAATTTTTGTTGCATTTTTCGCGTTGCGTATTCTTATCAACCAATGGCACAACAACATTAGATCTACTTTGATTACTGATTTGGTCAACATGATCACATTTTTACTTATTCATCAGTCTAAGGCGGAAGTTATTCCCCTCTTCTTAGTGTTTTTAAGTGTAAGACATTCTTTTCGGGGACTCATTAAAGAATCTACTTCGTTGAACATCAATGAGAAGGTTTTATCTATCACTGCTTTCATGTTGTGTATGCAAAATTTGTCGTTCTTTTCAATTGGAAATACCAATCTGCTTGCAACAGTAGATTTGTCCAATGCATATAACGGTATTGCAGAGTATGATGTCTTCTTAGTGGCCTTCATGACATTCATCTCGAATTATGCAGTGGTCATTTTTTGGTCATTTACGGCACTCGAACTCATCTTTGTTACAGTTGGGGAATTAGCTCCAACCAATTTCAAAACCCAATTCAGAAACGCGATCCTTGGGCGCTCCATATTGACGACATTTTTTTATGGATTATCTATGATGAGCTTAGTTGGTTCATGTATTAACTTGAGATTTCACTTATTCATCTGGTCCGTTTTCAGTCCAAAATTACTATACTTTGCAAGCTGGTCCATCTTAGTTAACATTGGTATTGACATCATTATTGCCAGTTTATTCTCTATTTAAAATACACACATAAGCATCGCTGAAAATTTATTACCCATGAGCAATCGTCTATTGTAGAAGTGGATCCCTAAAATGTGGTTGATTGTTAATGAACTTAGCCGCCCTTCTATCATTAACATCGTCTCTCTTCTTCTCTCTTCCCCATGCCCTTTTCTGAAGGGATAACTCCTTTTTGTCTTTCGCAGAAACAAAATGCCTCGACTCTGCAGCGATAACGGTACCTTGACCTTCGCTGAGAACTTTTTCAGGAGGGAGATTTTGACGATAGTACTTCGCCATTGACCTATGACCCACAACAGCACCAGATGGTAACACAAGTTCCACCCCCATGTTTATTATTGGATTTTCATCAACCGGTATGTCATCTTGGGCCTCATCTTCAGATTCCTCGTCCCCGGACACATCTTCCCAATCTTCATCATTCGCATCCGAATTAGGAGGCAATGGAAGATCCTGGTATGTAGAGGAAAAGTCATAAAAATCAGAAATCTCTAACTTCTCATTTTCGGTTTCGTAAGGTATTTTCATATGGCGCTTAGTCTTCATGTGCTCCCTAACAGCTGCAACATTCTTACCCTGGTAAGAACACACTAGGCACACATTTCCGAGTCCTATTTTCTCTCCCAAATAACTTAAAAGACCTTCTTTGTCAACCAAATATTTAGTTTCAGGAACATAAAGCCCATGGTCCTTGAACATATGACTAATATTCTCATCCACTGTTTCAAAGACAACCGAACTTTTTTCAGGACAGAATAAACATGTAGTAGGAGTGATTTCAACCCTGTTTGCAAGTTTTTCCTTAATGACGTCTTCCTCTGTGATTTCATCTTCCTTAGAAGTATCTTGGTGAGTAACTTCATCCGTACTAGATACATCTATTTTACTCTTGCTGTCACCTGTAGGCGAATCAGACAGGTTTTCTTGCTCCAAAGTCAACTTAGATTGAATAGCTTTTCTCACAGCGAGAAGCTCTTGTTTTTGTTTCTGCAAAGCCTCCTTCTGCTGGCGTCTCAAGTCTTTCTTGGTAAGTTGCTTTCTGGTGCTGCTTTGGCTACCTGCTTCTTCTGCACTGGAATGCACAGCAATTTTCGAGTTGAATGTGGCCTCATCAATTGCTGGAAGTTGAGCAACTCTTCTTTTCAAGTTGTATCTATGCCAATCGGACTTCATATGATCCCTTTGGCCAGTAGCATCATTAAATGCCAAACCGCAACTAACACAAGTGTAGTTCATACTATTTAGGTTGAGAAGCGTAGTATTGAACCGGAGAGATGCTCATCGCCGCACTTTTTTTTCTAACCTCATTTTCGCGCAGGCCTCTCGAGAGATATATTCAACCTCACCTTAACTGCAAAGCACTATGTCTGACAAGCACGCCTTATTCGACACAGTGTTCCCCAAAACCGTGAAAGCGGTTCGTGCGGCATCGGCTCTAGCTGCTCAAGACATTAACTTCTATACCTCTTTAGATAAAGGTATCTCAAGCGACGTTAAGGATGCTTCCAGTTCGTTACTCGCGTTAGCAAACAAATTACTTTCGAAGACTACGAAAGACTTCGAATTCATAGAATACGGAGAAGAAAATATCGTGAGCAAATTGAATTGGAAAAGAGTGTCAGATGTGTTGGATACATGCTTCGAGAAAGCAGACTTAGCATTGGACGAAGTGAAGAACCCGCAAAGGGCACTGACATCGCACATGATATATTTGAAAGATTCGTCAGATGAGAAAAAAGCTACTGAAGTGAAAGTTAAGCCTCAAGAAAACTTCAGAAGTACAGTTGATAATAGCGACTCCCTGCCCTTCAAACCTCGATTGGAGAACAAACCTTACGCGCTCAAGTCTCTCGAAGAATCCCTAAAGTTGCGATTTCCAGATCCCACAGATGATGGGAAAGTTTCTGCTCCACATTATGCCCACCCATACGAGTTTGAGATTATGAACCAGCCTTATCCAGAACTGTGTTTGCAGGTTAACAAACCAGTACCATCTACGGATTGGGCAACGACTGCCGCCAAGTGGGTTGATACTGTTGATGCTCTCCAAGAGATGATAGAGGCATTACGGTCGCTGACAGAGATAGCTATTGATCTTGAACATCACGATTACCGTTCGTATTATGGTATTACATGTTTGATGCAAATATCTAACAGGGAACAAGACTGGATTGTTGATACTTTAGCCCTACATGATGACTTACGTGATTTAAATGAAATATTTGCCAATCCAGCCATTTTAAAAGTTCTTCACGGTGCCAATATGGATATCATTTGGTTACAGAGGGATTTAGGACTTTACATTGTCTCCTTGTTTGACACGTACCATGCATCGAAGAAATTGGGATTCCCTAAGTTCTCTTTAGCATATTTATTGGAGAACTTTGCACATTTTAAAACCTCCAAAAAATATCAACTAGCAGACTGGAGGATCCGCCCTCTTACAGACGCTATGATGCAGTACGCTAGAGCAGATACACATTTCCTTTTGAATATTTACGACCAACTTCGTAACAAACTTTTGAACGCAGGACAAGGAAAGGTCCAAGAAGTCTTATATGAGTCTAGAAAAGTGGCATCCAGGAGATTTGAGTTCAACTCATTCAAGCAAGACCAGACGGATAACTGGATGCACCTGTATGGTGGAATGGGACAAGAGAGATGGGTAATGAATCAATACAACATTGAACCGGAAAGAATTGAAATTGTGCAAGCACTCATAAATTGGAGGGATAAAGTTGCCAGAGAAAAGGATGAATCGACGAGATATATCATGCTGAATCAGGTTCTAGCAAACTTAAGCTCTTTAGTTGCCCCAGTAGATGCATCGAAGGTTCATAATGCTGCGGGAAGTCAATACCTGATTGTGCGTCAGAATTCTAAAGAGTTGGCCGAATTGATTGAGAAGTACTTAGCCACTGTTGGTCACTCTGCGAACAATGAAAATGTGACCTCTTTTGATTTGACTGAGGTAAACTATGACAAGGCCTCCGAAATATCCAAACACTTTACGGATCTCACAAAAAGTGTACCAACAGCAACGAATCTATCCCTCAGTGACAAAGACTCCCGTTTGCTCTCAAAATTTGCGGGAAAGAGTTTTTCTCTTAGTGCTGAAAGCTTCGAACCATCAACAAACGAGCGTATACGTATTTCACAAGAGGAACTTATGAAGAGGGCCACACTTTTGCTGGAAAGCCTTGCTGAAAATTTGACTTCCTTTGAGATAGAAAACGAAAAGTCAAAAATCGATAACATGGAAGAAGCAGAGGAGAAAATCGATAAGTCTGCCACAGAAAGTCCACAACGGCAGTCTTCGGAAGAAGATAAAGACGCAATTGTCGTGCTTTCAGGAAAGAAGTCCAAGAAATCTTTTAACAAAAAACAATCTACTGCCGATGAAGAATTATTCGACTATTCTACTGTTGAAGAGAAGGTGTTAGCAAATGTGAAGAATGGCAATACCAAGAAAAGATCATTTGATCCTTTCAGTAGACAGGGCACGGGTCCAAAAGCAGCGAAGAGAAGCAGAAATGTCCCCACAGGTAAGTCTACATCTTTTGTGAAGAAGAGGAACTAAATGTATGGGAGACTTGAGCTGCATAATTCTAAATAAATTCGTCAAACTTTGTATAGTGATGAAGTAGATAAATAATCATGAGAATCGATATGCACTCACGTAATTTAATGCTCACCTTATGCATACAATCCGCTTTCCTTAACAGATTAACTAGTCCACGCGAAGTGACTCTGAGATGAACTTTTACATCGTACCGTCGATGCTGTATCAAGCCCAGCAAAAGATGAATAAGAATAAGAGAGAGAAACAGAAACAACAAGGAGATAGATCCCGCAAAGGGTCATCTGTAAGTGACAAAGCTGGGTCACGTTCTTCGAGGTCAAGTGCAAGTATCCATTCTTCTAATGAAGCAAGCCAATCAATCAAAAGTTTAAATGAGCCAAGTCGGCCAATGCAGAAGCTTTTAGGTTCCAGGTCAAGCGGAAGTATGGAAATGACTCCAGTAATTTCAGAACTGGATGCAACAAACTTCGAAGAAGGGACGGCCCCAACGTCACTGTCATCCATGAAGATTGATGTTTCACCACAAACAAAAATAAGTTCTCATTCGAGTCTGATCAACTCTGAGGGTTCGATTCCTATTTCTCCGAATAACGTTACAAAGAGCGCATCTTCACAGAATCGGCATTTATCTTTCTCTCAAGTTCCAACAGCTTCAATGGAACCACAATATCCTCCAGAATCAATGAGCCCGAATAAGAGAAGGGGAAAAATGAATACCAATTTTGAGGTACCGCCATTTCAACTAATCACAGACTTGTCTATACTAAACGATGATGTCATCGCAAAGAAGAACTTTTTCAATCCTCTGATACTTGACAAACGGTTTCACAACTATTTGAACTGGCTCAGCGAATACCAATCAAGTGATCCATTAAACTTTGCTGCTGTTCGAGCGGAATCAATGATGAAATTGATCAAGAGACATGGAACCAATTACTTTCAAAAAGCCAGCGGTGACGGTCTGAATCATATCGAGGATACCCGCTATTACGAAGGATTGCTAGCATATGAAGCTATGCAATGCAGAAGCTTTATCAAAGACCTCCTTTACTTGGATTCAAAGAAAAACTCTCACAAAGAACCTTTAATCTTCAACGAAACCTTAATACAGCTCAATTTTGCTAACTATGTCTGGTATCTCCTACGGCTACCTAACATCTCCTTGAATGATCTGAAACAGCTAGATGAAATTATCTCCAAACATTATCATTTTAAAGCAGCTTTCGGTGAAGTGAAAGATGCATTATACAACCTTAATATGGAAAGCTATTCCGGGGATATTTTAAACTCTACTGCAGGTGCTAATCTCTTGCTACAATCAGTAACTAAAGTGGCGAATGAATTCATGATCCTTGAAAATTACTTGATCCATATTCTCAACAAATTTGGAGGAAATTCCCTCATTGAACATAGGGTCACTAAGCATTTGTTTAGCCTTTTTGATTTGAATCTTAAGTTGGAGAATACAGAGTCTTTGAAGGTACTACATTATAACATGTTTCTTAGCGATCATTATTCGTGGAACCTTGCGATTAATATTCCATTCGTCCGTGTTTTTGAAATGAACGTGCATAATGAACTAAAGGATTCAGTTAATGATATGCTGGCATATCAAGAACAGCTAAAATCCAGTAATAAGAAAACCACATTTCTGAATAGAGACAAGCAACTTTTTGATGATTATTTCAAGAATCTTGATTTGCAAGATTATGAGCAATATAGAAGTATGTCAGGGAAGGATTTTGTCGAATTGCAAAAGAGCGCTTCTGCTCGTATTCACAAGTTTTCTAGCATGTTAGATGATGCAACCATCAAAAATCATCACAAACCTCCAAACTTCGAGTACTATTCAGAGTCATTGTCAACGATTGCATCCGACACTTTTCATGTTATACATTGCAGAGACGCTTACTTCCAATTAACACAGACTAACTACAAAGTTGTGTTGAGTGAGTTCCATCGACTCTTAAAGAGAGGAGGAATTCTCGAGTTACCTTTATTTATACCTGGTGAATCCCAAATTGACAACCTCAGGGAGGATACATTAATGGGAGTGGAGTTAGAAGCTCCAAAGCCTATTCCAAATTTTATTTTTACGATATGTGATGAGCTTTATTTGCTATTCGGTGCAAAGAACGTCAAGTATGCTGAGGTATTATTGTCACCGCAGAATATGATCAGCAATTTTTGGATCAACCATGTCAATTTTCTCACAAATGATGCATATGGTGACGTGAATGCCTTTTGTGCTAAACATCAATCTGATCAAATTCTCAGCCCCAACACAAAGGAGTGTCACTACTTTTACTATATTCGTGCAGAGAAAATCTAAATACTTAATCAAAGATCATTAAATAGCCGTTGATAGTTCTCTTATCCTACGATTGTTTATCAAAATAGGACGGATAAATAAATTATTGGTGTGCATGCATCGCACATAAACCGTACTGCGATACAGTGAGTCACCATCAGCATTGATAAGCAATCCTGAAGAGTTTTCTCGGTCGCCAAATGGATCAAACTGTTCATATTATTGATGTCAAGTGTGGCAACTTACAGTCTCTCTCAAATGCTATAAAGCGAATTGGAGACTACAAAATTGTGTTTATTGAAGATGCAAGTGACTTCACCAAATATGATGATAGTATCTCGAAATTGATCTTCCCTGGTGTCGGAAACTATGGTCATTTCGTTAAAGAGTTGAGTGAAAGAAATCTTTTTGAGCCAATTCGGACATACATCGAGAGTGGTAGAGATATAATGGGTATTTGTGTTGGTCTCCAGGCATTTTTCAAGTCGTCGGAGGAGAGCAAGGGAATTGATGGAATGAACCTCTTGGACTTAGATTTGCTAAAGTTCTCCAGCAATGACCCATGCTTTGCAGCACACAATCAGCTTAAATCTATTCCCCACATTGGATGGAACACAATCAGTGAGATTCACCATGATTCCAAAATCGTGGAATCAAACACAACACTTTTCAATCTAAATGTCCGTGACAAATATTACTTTGTCCACTCATATGCTGCAATTTTAAAGGATGAGAAGGCTGTTGAAAAGCTAAAAGCGGCTGAAGCAAAAGGATGGGACTTTGCTCTCTCAAAGTACGGTTCTGAAACGTTTTTGGCTGCAGTTGCTTATAAGGGTTTGTTCGCAACGCAATTTCATCCTGAAAAATCCGGAGTCGTGGGGCTTAAAATTATCAAGGCATTTTTGGAAGGACAAAAGTTCTCTGAGTCTAATGACATTTCTACTTCAAGTGTCGAAGGACTTGAAACTACAGTCGGTGGTTTATCCCGCAGGATTATCGCATGTCTTGATGTTCGAACCAATGATTCTGGTGACCTTGTTGTAACTAAAGGTGATCAATATAATGTGAGAGAAACATCTGAAAGTGGAGAGCTGAACGTCAGAAACCTAGGCAAACCGGTAGAGCTTGCCACGAAATATTACTTGCAAGGTGCTGATGAAATCACGTTTTTAAACATTACTTCTTTCAGAAATTCTCCGATCAAGGATTTGCCGATGCTTGAAGTTTTAAAAAGATCAGCAGCACAAATTTTTGTCCCTTTGACAGTCGGTGGGGGTATCAAGGATATGGTGGATCCGGTCACCGGTGAACTATACCCAGCAGTTAAGATTGCTGACTTATACTTTCGCTCTGGTGCTGATAAAGTTAGCATTGGCTCGGAAGCAGTCACGATTGCGGAGTCTTATTACGCCAACGGGAAGAAAAAGACTGGCAAAAGTGCCATTGAAACAATTTCTTCTTGTTTTGGTAACCAAGCTGTGGTCATCTCGGTTGACCCCAAGAGAAAATACGTATCCAACCCATCTGATACATCCATGTCCGTTATAAAAATTGAGGATCCTAACAGCTTTGGTCCTAACGGCGAAGAATATTGTTATTATCAGGTAACGTCTCAAGGTGGCCGCAAAACCCACGATCTTGGAGCTTTAGAGCTTTGTCTTGCTTGCGAAGATTTGGGAGCAGGAGAAATACTTTTGAATTCCATTGATTACGATGGCACGAATATGGGTTTTAATCTTCAATTGTTAAGACAAATCAAAGAAAACGTCTCGATTCCCGTTATTGCTAGCTCTGGAGCGGGGAAACCAGAACACTTTGAAGAAGTTTTTAAAATGGATTGTGGTGTTGATGCAGCGCTTGGCGCAGGTATGTTCCACAGAGGAGATTATGATGTGTTGACGGTTAAAAAGTACTTACAGGAACATGGAAACATGGATGTCAGGATAGACACTCAAATCGAATTATGATATACATCACAAATAGTTATCAATTAGACTATAGTCTGCTTCACGTAGGATACTTCATCATCAAGCCACAGGCTTTGCGTCATAATACAAGTCAGCGTCAACTGGACCGATATATGCCCTATCGCCAAAACCGCCTATAATGTAAATGTCCTCCACTTCAAATTTTAACCAGTGAGTCTTGTGTGGTGAAGCAGGATTCGAAGGTAACCACCATTTTGCATCAGGATGCCTTGATAAGAAACACTTTTCTAATGCGATACGATCAACTGGGTTCGCGAATGTTACATTCTTCAAGTGGCCCTTAAGATTCACTCTCGGAGATCCAGCTGGAGAGCTAGGAATGCCTCCAGGATATTTTGGATTGACGTGATCATTCAAAGGATGATCACCAGCCCTGATTGTAAATGAGAAGGCTGATCCACTATCGATATTACGATAGGTGGATCCGATATCCACCACAAGCCAATAAAGGGTTCCGTCGTTATCGCAGTCGGCATAATACTCCATCGATGATACCGGAACATACAACGTTTCGTTATCTTTGAAGACCCGCTCAAGGGTATTAATATTTGCCAACGACTCACGCTGAACCACGCTTCTCGCAACTATAGCACCGTCTTTCATAGTCGGCCTCAGGGGTAAGTTCAAATTTAATTGAACTTGATCATCTAACCTCATAGCCTCTGACACATTGAAAAAGGCTAATAAAGCTACAGAATAGTTTTGTGTGTTGAACAATTTCATTTTTGCTAATCAAGGGGAGTAAAGAAGTGAAATTATATAGCAAGACCGAAGTTCGGAAGTGCGACTATTAAGTAAGCCGCCCTGCCACTATTGCTTACTCAAACTCAGTTGACAAGGTGTCGCCTTCCCAGTATTTGAATCCAATACCGTAGCCCCATGGGTCGTTGATGTATCTCTTTGGGTTCTTTGCACCAACTTCATAAAGCGCATCCAAATCTTCCTTGGTCAAGTTAGGCAACTTCACATTGTCGTTCTTGATTCTCTCCAAATTGGAAGAACGGGGCAAAGACACTCTGCCAGACTTAATGTGATAAGCATTCGCAATTTCATTGACACTCACATTATATTTCTTAGCAAGCTCTTGTACTAATGGAACCTTAAGCACAGGTGCTCCGTCACTACCAACAGGCGAGTACGCCTCAATGATGATTTTGTGCGATTGAGCAAAGTCCACCAAATCTTGCTGTGGCAATTGGCAGTGGTACTCGATCTGGTCCACGACAGGAGTAATCTTGGCCTCCTTCAACAACTTACGAAGCCTTGGCAAAGAGTAGTTAGACACACCAATGGATCTCACTTTGTTTGTTTCCGTCTTAATTCTCTCAAGCTCATGGTAGACATCAATATATTTCGTACCATTCACTGGGTCATCGTCGTACTGAAGGTTTCCATTCTCGTCCTTTGGTGCTGTAGGCGTACCGTCGGGACCACCGTGCAAGACAACCGGCCAGTGTTGCAAGAAGAGATCAACGTAGTCCAAACCCAAGTTAGACAAAGAGGTGTCTAATGATTTTTCTGGGCTATGGTAGAATGATGGCCATACCTTAGTGGTGATAAAGACATCTTCACGCTTGATAACATTCTCGTCAAACAATTGCTTCAAAGCTTGACCAACATACTTTTCTGTTCCATAGTACCAGGCAGTATCAATGTGGCGGAACCCCGCTTTGATTGCGGTAATAACTTGGTCTTTCACTTCACTTGGATCGTTCGAAGGAACAGTTCCCAAGCCCAATGCCGGGATCTTGTGTCCGTCATTCAAATCGAAGTAAACATCAGTTGCGCGAGACATATTTTTTTGGTTGTTTTTAGGTTATGTGATCTAAAGTTTAGAAAATTTAGAGCTTACGTCGCCGTTTTTATAATGTTTAAGAGCGCCACACCGTTGTTTGCTATTTGCTGTTCCGATCCTTATGTGTAGTGTGTTGATGCTTATGCGTGGCGTTCCTCAATATTATACCGCAATCAAGTCATGTTGGGCTTTGTTCATTGCTTTCTTATAAACTGAGACAGTAGACAGTATCTTGCACAACCTTCAAGGCTAGCAACATTCGGTCTATTCGGGCAAAAATTACATCATTGTGCAGGCAATCCACGCTTCTTCAGTCTGCCCACGCAATGCTTATATACGGAATTGACAAACGAATTGCTTTCAAATTTCAAGATCCCCCATCACATCGTCATTATCATCATCTTCATCATCATCTTGTTCCAAATCTTCCTCCATAAAGTCATCGCTATCATCATTCTTGGACGTTCTATCAATTTCATCGTTATCATAGGCTCTATCTGGATTTTCGTTTACTTGTGAATAATGGAGCCTGTTGAGACCAGTAAGATACAAGAAACACACTCTCTTCTTCTTCTTGTTGTAGATGAACCAATAATAAGACCACAGCGTTTGATATGGATGATTGAGGTCTTCTAAAATAGATTGGTCTGATGGCAGAAACTCGTAGATTTTGCATCCAGGATCAAGGTTCGGCAGAGGATCAGTCTTGGGTGATGTCAGCATTGTGCCACTGGTGAAACTATTTTTCCGAGAGCTGTTAACTGCCTGGGCCGACAATTTCGGCGATCTAGAAGGGAACAAATCCATGTAAACGTTAATTGTATCCCATACCCAGCTTAGCAAATCTTCTTTTTTGCCCAAAGAGATCATGATACTATTGAAGCGATCCATCAAAAGCTCAGGCGATTCCACTCGATCAAAATTCTCGGTCGTGGGCTGCAAATTGGAGAAATCGTGGTCGGGATACGTCGTATTGAGAATTGCAATCAAATACGCAAACGTTTTCCTTGTAGAAACGTTTTTTAATGGTCCGAAAGGAGATTCGTCTATCGCTGAAGTGTCCTCAATGCTGTCATCTAGTAATGACAGCGAGAGGTTGGAACCTTGCATAGGGCTTTGAGAATAGCTAGCGTATTCGTTGTTTTTAGCGAATGACAACAGCGAGTTGCTAGGCCTTCTTTCCCGCTCACTAAAACTATTGTGAGAGCTTCTTCTGCGAGTAAAATTGGCTCTCGGGGGAGAAGCACTGCTCCCAAACAAAGAATTAAGTGATTGCTTTCTCTCGATAGATTGTGACAACTGGTGGTCTTCCAAAATTTGGTCCAAGTGTTTGTCAATAGTTTTAAAGAGCTTCTTGTCTGTGCTAATAGGTTTCGTTGTGAATAAGTCACACCCACCTTTGATGATAAGATTATTATCTGGGGAATGGAAATTGAGTTCCTGGTTGACTAGTTCGATGTCAACCTCGTCGATAAACTAGTTTTGTTAGATAAGAACTTTCTACTGCGCGTAGACACAGACTTCAGGTTTCGGATTGACTTACTTTCATTTGGTTTCTTTTGCAAGTTAAGTTATAAATTGCGTGTGTACCTAATGCGTTGATTGTCAAGTATCGGCACGTTGGCTCACGTGATGATATCTCAGTTGTCTAGTCCGCGACTTCGCACAATCCCTCTGGTACTATAGAGAAGGCGACGCAGTTTCGCTTATCAGCGAGATTGTAGGTGTTGCTATTTGAAATCACTCTAGCGTATCTCTTCAAAATCCATCCTTGCAGTGTATCGGTGGAACTCACCTCTTGTGAAAAAGGCGGATTTTCCGAATTTTGTTGAGTCAATAATGTACCTTCTTTTCTCTCAATGTTTTGCACCATATTCTCCAGCGGAAGGTATGATTTCCACAAAAGGATCTTAGTTGGAACGAGTTTGGACCATGTGTATCCCAATGCTTCGATCTTCTTCTTGGGTCCGGATGCTAGCTGAGTGTTTTGGCTGTTTTGGCGCAGCGCTCTGTATTCTTCTTGCGCTAGTCGTTGCCTCTTACTGACAGTACCCTCATTTGAAGTTTGGCTAGTAAGCTTGGTTTTGTCTACTTCAGTTCCGACTCTATGCATGGATTGGGCATTCCAACCCGAAAAAGTGCCAACCTGCGATTGAAAGTTTAAAGGATCATTTAGTTCGTCTTCCATAATGTCGTCTGCTAGGTCGTTCGGGTCGAAAGAGTCGCCCACTTGATTTGAAACCACAACAGCCACATTGTGCTTCTTTGCAAGGTCAGAAAGATGTGTGTACAATGTCAACAAGTAATATTTTTTTGACACTCGTTTTCGAAACGCTGCATTCCCTTTAAAGTACTGGTTTGTAGTTCTGTCGAAATCCTCTTTCAAAACATTGTATTCGGGAACATGTGAAAGTTTTTCCTCTTGCTGTTGCAAGTGGCTCCTCAAGTATTCCAGAGCATTGATGAAAGCCGCATCGTCACGAAAATGGTGACTGATACTGTCAATGATAACAACTTTGTAGTCTTGGCCCAGCACTCCATCCCAACATTGCAGGAAGCTGAGTGAAAATGATGTGGTCTTGGTTTTCCACGTCATGGCAGTATGTGTATGATATATTATCTAGAGCATCGGGCAAGCCTCGATGGATACACATGTCTTGCAATCGTCTTGTCTCGAGTGCCGATTCGGTAGAAATAATGATGCTTCTGCCTCTAAAGTTGTCAGTATTTTCCTCTTTCCTCTTACCCTGAGCTTCCAACGCTATCTGCAAAAGCAATTGAGACTTTCCACATCCACTAGCGCCAAACACTTCTGTGACGGATCCAACTTGAATGCCATTGTGCAATAGCATATCCAACTGCAGTAATCCCGTGCTGACAGCACTTGTGTTTTGCGAGAGACGTTTCTTTTGTGGGCGTATGCTTTCTTTAACCGAATCCATCACTAGATTGATGTAGTCTGTACATTGGTCAAGTGGCCAGTCCAACTGATCACAAAGCTCCTCGCGAGCCTCTTCAGCCTGGTAGAGGGATATCAAATCGACCAAAGAAATGCCATTTGCCACTAAAAGTTGTTCGAAGGAATGTAGTTCCGCGGGAACTTCAAATCTGATCGATGCGTACTTCCCGCTGTCCATGATGTAGACAAAATACTTTGAATGCGCGACTTACAAAAACATGCTGTAGGATGCACACAACGAGTTATCACAAACTATTTGAACAAGCTATATAGCAAAAGGTTTAGTGAGCACCAGAGATGAAGAACCACTTGTCAATCGACTTGTCAATTGGGGCAGCTGGCTCATTGGTAGCAGCTGGCACATCAACAGATTCGGCGTAAGTCGAAGTAGAGGCCAAGGTGGTGTTGGTCAAGTCAATTTCGCCAGCGTCAGAAACACCCTTGATCAACTTGTCCCAAGCTTCAGCACACTCAGCAATAACCTCATCAGCGTACTTCTTGTTCTTGCACTCACCAGAGAAGGCAAACTGGTTTTCTGGCTTTCCATCTGGGATTTTGTAGATTCTGAACCATTCATTGGTAGCTCTCAACAAGCCTGGCAAGTGGGTCTCGACATCCTCAATGTCATTCAACTTTGGAGCCAATGGGTCGTTGACGTCAATGACAATGACCTTCCAGTCGGTCTCACCTTCGTCCAACAAAGCCATGACACCCAAAACCTTGACTTGCTTAATTTGACCAACAGTGGCAACTTGCTCACCGATTTCGCAAACATCCAAAGGATCGTTGTCACCCTTGGCCTTAGTTTCTGGGTGAACTTGGTTTGGGTCTTCCCAAGTTTGAGGGAAAGCACCGTAGTTGTGGATGTAGCCATGGTGAGGGAAACAGTTTCTAACAAATCTCAACTTACCCTTCTTGGTGTCTTGGATGATTGGGTTCAACTTTTGTTCCTTGGAGATTTCCATCTTGGCGTTGGTCCATCTTGGAACTTCAACAATCATGTTGAGAATGGTCTTTTCCTTGTTGGCATACAAAGGAATGTCGTGGAATGGAGAGACTGGCTTGCCATCCTTTTCAATGAAGACCTTGTAGTCCAAAGTGTTTGGGGCACCAACTTGACGAGCAGTGTAAGACATGTTAAGAAAGTTGTCGAGGTAAATTGGGGAACTGCCAACTAGCGTTGAGAATTTATTTTGCTGGTGTGCACACAGCCAAATCACGTTAAATCACCTGTTCCGGGCACGTACAATGTGATTTTACTCCACAAATACTGATTGACACTTTGAAACAGTGCTTCGTCGTCTTTAATGACGTTGATTTCTGCTTTTTTGAAGAGTAGGAGACTTCTTCGTAATTCTCTGCCCATCAATTGCAAGTGCTGTTCCACAGGCACTGAAACAGACGGACAACATTCCGTACGGGCGTTCCTTTGCAAAAAATTGACACTTCTGATCCACTCGCGCTTATCCATCGTTAACCATTCAGTTCTATCATCGCAAATAAACGCGCCGCCTAGTTTGGCGTTTTGGGCAAGTAGCTCGCTCATTTGCATATAGCTCCAGAATATCTGTAATCCGTAAACATCTGAATCCACAAAATACACCATTGGCGTGGATGGTAAGCAAGCTTGCAAACCGCCAAGGAAAGATAGCGTGGCTCTATCGGGAAACCCTTTCCCTGTTGCCAAGATCAATTTAACACCTGTTGCGATTTTCTTCACAAAACACATGAAAGACTTGAGAATTGCTTCTTTTTCGAACACAACCACCATGTCGACGTCACCAACCACCGACAAGTTTTCCAGAGTTTCCCTGTGGCAAATCAACAAGGGTTCGTTGCAAGGGTCAAAAGACATTTTCTTTTGCTCCCCCACAGTTATCTCTATGGGATTATTACTCCAGATCACGCCCTTGGGTGTCGGATATACACCTAGGTCACTTTGTAGCAGGACATTTAAGGAGTTGGCAATTGCATCCAACACGTTATTCAGATGGGCCTGCCTGCCCTTAAAGAGAGTCACATCTTTGTAGTAGATGTCTCTCATTGTAGACACTTGACGATTCTGGAGTTGGTCAATGAGGATATTCATTACTCTGACGGTGGCAGCGAATTTCATCGACTGGTGCTCTGTTTCGGCCATCTCCCGATGACACACGTACAGACTTGTTTTTCCTCTGTGTCTTTTAGGGCTCTTCATCAAGAGCAATATTTCCTGTGAATCTGCTACGTTTGCCATTTCCTTCCATATGAGCGTTAAACGGCTGAGAATACATCAAGCGCATTAGTAAAGGCATGGCCTGAATGGATAGTGCAACGTACTGTTCCGTTCGGTCAAACGGAATTTCACACTGTGTGTTTTCTTTCGAGAGCGCCTTGAGGCGTAGCGAATGCTTCATGAAAGTACGAGAGCTGTCCTACTGGCGCATGTGGTGTGGTTGGCGCCTTGCCAGAACGTTTGCAACCGGCGTCGTGTCTTTCCCAGATATGGACGGACTTACCGCGCATTATCTACGAGGGGTAACCCAACTGTGGAAAAGGTGTGACCAAGTACGAGAAAGTAGAAGAAACGAAAGAAAAACAAAAAGTAAAAAAAGAAAGAAAGAAAAGAATTCAAAGAACATATTGACAGTCACCTCGTCATTGCCAAGTGCAGCCGCCACCCTCCCACAACAAATGGCTTTCGTAGGCCAGCCGTGTGCCCGGAATTGCGCAAACATGACTAGAAATATTTCTGCGCCTCAGGAGTTCCGGCATAGCACATTTTCAAGTGAAAGCACCAAGGCTTCTGCCGAGAATACTCGGAACTAATACACTCGCCTTCCCATTTTTCTCGACTTAAATTGCCCAGTGGTTCGCTATTGTGCACATTTTCTCGCCACAAAACCACACAAGCAGGGGAACGTCTACATGTTCATAAATTGGGAACACCCGCCCGAGAGGGCAAAACGATACTACTCGTACGGCAGCGACTGGTCGGGCGGCGCCCGCTGGGCGTTTTTCGCCATTTTCATTGTGTTGATCATCATCGTGGTGTTTGGAACCATGCGCATCAACCGGGCGAGAACGAGGCAAGGCAGAGACCCCATCTACGGGACCCGGTGGATGACGCCACCGTCGTACTTCCAGTCGCAAGACCAGTACAACCAGCCAACACGCGGCGACCCGGACATGCCCAATGCGTACGTGCCCACGTACACGGAAACCGCCAACGATAACGACATGGGCTACTACGACCAGGCCGGCAACTTCCACGAGAACCCCAACGCCAAGGGCCCCCTTATGCCCGAGCAGGCGCACCAGCGGACCACAAGCTACGCCGACGGCGTGCCTCTTTCAGACTATAACGCCGGCTCGCCAGGCGCCGCCGTGTCTGACCACGATGCGTTCTATAGAAGACCGTCTGGCCAGCCTCCGGCAGTAAGCACTGGAGACTCGGACCCCGTCTACCAGCCGCCACCAGGACCTCCTCCTGGTGAGGACTATGCCCGGCCGCTGGGACAACCGCCACGGAGCTAAGCGGTGAGCTAAGCGGTGAGCTAAGCGGTGACAGTGGTGGCATGGACAGCAAGGCTGGAACCTGGTTTTCAGCCCGGAAACGTTTCCATTCTTTTTTTACGAGTCTCACATGGGCTCCTACGTCATGTTGCCTGTATGTGATCTGGACTGATGGGTGTGCCTGCAACTAGTTTCCCGTTACAGGACAATAAAACACGCTGCGCATGGAGGTCGAACCGTGTGCACCGCAGGTGGAATGAAACGCAAAAGGCTCAACCAGAAGCAATGCCCGCATGACTAATTTTTCCATTTAAAGTTACATAGCCCCCCTCCTGTAATAAAACGTCGATTGTTTACCGAAGCGAAAAAATTCTCTCAAATTTTATTTTTATTCTCTTCTCCCCGTCGCCGCTGCGGCCCATGATGCGGCTGATGGCAGGTGTTGTAGTTGTAGGCGGGTGATGGCTCGTTGTAGAACAAGACATCTTGCAGTAGGCGAAAATCAGTCACAGGCGTGGGTGCAGGACGAGAGACGATCTTTTCTGCACTGCGCGCCGGTTCTGAGCGTCAATTCTTCCCTTTCATCTGCAAGGTGCGGCATTCCTTGCCAGCAACACAAGTGAAACCTGCAGACAGGACCTGCATGTGACCAATTGATCCTTCTTTGCTTTGCTCCTCTTCTCCATTGCGCGGCAATACTTAAAAACAAATCTTCCAGCTTCACCGTGCTAGGAAAAGTTTGCGAGCCATGTCGTCTTCCTCTACTGAAAGCAACAGTTCGACGTCTGCGTCGCAATTGTTGTCGTCACTTATTCCCAACTTGATCATTTTCGCAGTGTTCATTTTGGGCTTTGTTCTTCTTAGAAAGAAGCAAGCTCGTGTTTATGAGCCTCGTTATACGCTTGAAACGGTTCCCAAGGACTTGAAACCGGCAGAGAGCCCCAGTGGCTTGTTTGCGTGGGTGTCCAACTTGTTGAAAAGACCTCAACAGTATCTTATCCAGCAAACAGGGCCCGATGGCTATTTTTTCCTTCGGTTTTTGTTTGAGTTTGCTTTCATTTGCTTGATTGGTTGCTTCATCACCTGGCCCATTCTCTTCTCTGTCAATGCCACCAACTCGAACCACAACAAGCAGTTGGATATGTTGGCCATTGGTAATGTCAAACTGAAACAGAGATACTATGCCCACATCTTTGTGTCATGGGTCCTCTTCGGTATGGTCATTTTCATCATCTACAGGGAGTTGGTGTACTACACCACCTTCAGACATGCTTTGCAGACAACTCCACTTTACGACTCTTTGTTATCTTCGCGGACTTTGCTTTTGACCGAGCTTCCCGAATCGGCCATGACTGAGGCGGACTTGAGAACTTTTTTCCCTACTGCCACCAACATCTGGTATGCCCGTGACTACCTGAAATTGGAAAAATTGCACAAGGAAAGAGCAAAACTCGCAAAGAAGTACGAGAATGCTTTGACTTCCGTTTTAACCAAGGCGGTGAAGATGCGTAACAAGTGCCAAAAGAAGAGCAAGCCTTTCCCCGAACCTTCTGACGACATCAATCTGTACTTGAAAAACGGAAAAAAGAGACCTACACACAGATTAAAGTTCCTCATTGGAAAGAAGGTGGACACTTTGGACTATGGTGCAGAGAGATTGGGCGAATTGAACCTGGAAATCAAAAAGGCGCAGGGTGAACACAAGACCAACTTGCAACTTCCTTCTGTTTTCATTGAGTTTCCATCTCAATTGGAATTGCAAAAGGCGTACCAGGCTATCCCTTACAATCCTGAACTCAAGAAATGTGGCAGAAGAAGCGGTATTGCGCCAGACGATGTTGTGTGGGAAAATCTTTCCTTGACTTCAACCAAGAGAAGAACCAAGAAGGTGCTTGCCAACACAGTTTTGACTGTGACGATTATTTTCTGGTCTATCCCAGTTGCTGTGGTTGGTGCTATTTCTAACATCAATTTCATTACCGAAAAACTCAAGTTCCTTAAGTTTATTAACAACATGCCATCAGCATTGATGGGTGTGATCACCTCCCTTTTGCCTACCGTTGCGTTGGCCATTTTGATGTCATTAGTGCCTCCTTTTATCAAGAAGATGGGTAAAGTTAGTGGATGTCTCACAATTCAAGATGTTGAGAGATACTGTCAGAACTGGTACTATGCCTTCCAGGCCGTGAACTCGTTTTTGGTTGTGACTCTTGCTTCTGCTGCCATCAGTTCGATCCAGAGTATTATCGATAAGCCGGACACTGCATTGAAGTTGTTGGCTCAGAAGTTACCTAAAGCTTCCAACTTTTACATTTCGTATCTCTGTTTGTACGGATTGAGTGTTTCGTCCGGATTGCTTTTCCAAATGACCGCTTTGATTTTGGCTCAGTTCTTGGGCCGTATCTTGGACAAGACCCCTAGAGCCAAGTGGAACCGTTACTCCTCTTTGGGACTGCCATTCTTCTCGATTCTTTACCCAGCTTACATGTTGGTGAGTTTGATTGCTCTTGCCTATGCCATCATCGCACCATTGATTTTGGGTTTCGCTACCATCACCTTCTTCTTGATTTTCACTGCCTTCATGTACAACTTCATTTACGTGTTGCAACCCAACAAGACTGATGCCCGTGGCCGCAACTACCCATTGGCACTTTTCCAATTGTTTACTGCGTTGTATTTGGCCGAAGCTACGCTTGTGGCTATGTTCGTGTTTGGTAAAAACTGGGCATGTGTCGCGTTGGAAGGATTCTGGATCCTTGTTACTGCAGTATCCCACGTTTACTTGAAGTGGAAATTCTTGCCATTGTTGGACACAGTTCCAATTTCTGCGCTCAAGTACGCCTCGGGCGACCGTACTTTCCAGTATCCAATGTACGATCAAGGCTTGAAGGAAATCAAAACAGAGGGTCAAAACTACTGGGAAGGTGGAAACCAACTTGGCTTGGCAGACTCCGTTTTGGACCAAGCATTGCCAGATCCTAAGGAGTCTGTTTTGGAAGGAAAAGAAGAAGAAACGGATTCCAACCCACGCAGTGGACTCGTTGCGGGTGAAGGGAAAGGCTCGTCTGACCAATTCATTGAAAAGCCTTCTGTGGGCTCGATTGGAAGATTTTTCAAGCCTAAGGAAAACACATTTGACATGGTTCGCAGCACGATGCCGGCGCCATACTTCAACTACATTGAATATAATCCTGAATTCGTCAAGACAGCTTATGAGGACCCAGCAGTGACAGAGGATGAGCCTCACATTTGGATTCCAAAGGATAATTTGGGCTTATCGGAAATCGAGAAGCAAAAGGCGCTTGAAAACGGAGTGGACTGCACTGATGCCGATGCTGGTTTTGACGAAAAGGGACTGGTTCAATACTACGGACCACCACCTGCTTATGAAGATCCTCTTAGAGTTTAATTTCGCATTTTAGCTCACCGATTCATTTCTGTTCTAAATGACTATGTTTTGTTAGTAATTCGTATATTTATTATTGTATAAATAGAAAGCTTTAGCCAGTGGCCGTTTGAGTAGGCATGTATCAAAAAATGTGGTCTTCTCATTTATAGCGGGATTTGCTTGTAACTCTCAATCTTTAGAGTACTAGGGGAGTCTAAAAATAGTTGGCCGCTATCATGATCACATGTATGTTTCCTAATTAACTATACTAATTAAATACATCTTTCATTAAATGAAAGAAAAATACCTTTAACCTATTTTTTGGAAGGCTCCGCCACAATGTTCTCCTTCTCGACATCTTCGTCCGAGTTGGTATTAACGGAATCAAGCTCTTCCTCAAATCCGAAATGGCCAGTCCATCCGTGTTGGACCAAGTAGTTTTTGAAGTTGATGTCTTCCTTCATCAAGTCATCGTCAGTCAATTGAGGAATACAAAGGAGTGCAGTGGCCACACCTAACAAACCACAAATAGCTGCAATGATAAAAGTCCATTTTTTGCCAATATTGTTTTGAATAGGAGTAAAACTTTTGGTTCCAACGACTGCACCCACTTTTCCGATGGCGGCGGAAAAGCCGTAAAAGGTTCCTCTCACTGGAGTAGCAAAACACTCAGAAGAAGTCAAACCCATCATGTCACCTGGTCCCAAGTTTCCCATTGACATCATCAAACCGTAAAAGACAATGAAAAGACCAGTAATGTCTTTGATTTTGTCAAAGGAACAACCAATAATGAGACCAAACACAATGTAGCCTGAAAAACCAAGGGCCAAAGTGTTTCTTCTTCCAATCTTGTCACACAAGTAGGCACCCACTATAACACCAGGAATGGCAATGATACCCAACAACAAGTTCCATTCGGCAATCTTTTCCATGTTCTTCTTGTCCTTTCCCTTCAAGACAGAAGAAATAATGGTACCAGAGAAAATACCGTTGGGGAAAGTCACAAAGTCATACAAGAACCAACACAAACAAGTTCCCAACAATCTTCTCCAGTAGTACTTCACAGCCAAAAAGTAAGGAACGTTCTTTCTAATAGCGGACTTTTTGAATAATTCAGATGTTGCCATCTTGTATCTGAAGTAAAAAACAGAGAGCGGCCAGAATGCTCCAATAGCAAACATGGTTCTCCACAAGCTGTCCTTGGTGCCAGTAATTTGGTACACAATTAAGAAAATGATCAATGCAAAAGGACCTCCGAAGGACAAGGGCAAGTTAGTCACCAAACAAAACACACCACCTCTTCTGCGGACAGTCTCATTGGCTGCTTCGTTTGCCGAAACAGAGCAGGATGGATATTCTGCACCAATACCAAAACCAGTGACACCTCTGAAAATGATCAACATCCAGAACATGCCATTTACGGATTTTCCGTGAGAAGCAGCACACATAATGGTACCGAAAACCAAAAACAATGTGGCAATGACCACAGCTTGTTTTCTGTTCATTCTGTCTGACAAAATACCAATGGCAACCTGGCCAAAAATGGTTCCCACCAAAGAAGCATTGGAGACATTGGTCTTCATATTAGTTCCATACTCTTTAGGGTAAAGGGTGGCGAAGAGTGTGTTCAACATGGTCATGACATTGTTCTGGTAACCGTCTGAGATCAAAGCGAAACCGGAACACACAATGGTGAAAATGTCTGCCGCTCTCTTTCTTTTGCTCAATCTGTGCTTTCTCTCTTCTTCATCGTAGTGGAATGGGTCTGAAACGGTAACCTCATTGGCGTTTGCGATTTCTTTTTCAAAATCTGTCAGGTTCAGGCTCATTGTATAGCGACTGGAGATTGAAACCTTTGTTTTTTCATTTTGCTTAGGCTCGTCTGCCTTTTATGGTACATGGCAGAGTAGATAAGAACGGAAAAATACATGTCAGGCTAAAAATATAACCGCGGTGCGTTTCCTTCGAAACGAGGCCCACGTTTTCCCACGTGCGGCTAGGCTTGACTATGGCCACATTGGTCGTTGGAGCCACTCAATTTTCGCTTCGAAGGAGTCGTCTGAAATTTTTAGTTTGGTCCTGCTGCATATGCAACCCTTACATCTTGTGAGCCAATTCTGCGCAAGCCCGTCAAAGCGGAAACCTTGGCATGTCACTTTGACAGGTTGCGCGTGCGATAAGACAGAAAACGCAAGATGCCGCAGGTGGACCACAAGAGGAAGGCTGACCCAGAAACAGAGAAAGAAATGAATTACGAGAAGATGGAAATAGGAAGAGAAAAAAAAAACGTAAATAAAAAATAAAAAATAAAAAAAAAAAGACGAAGAAATAAATCAAGCGACTGCCCGTTGATGTTGCAGTAGTCTTTAATCGACACATCTTGATCCTGTCCCACGTTTTAGTGCGGCGTACCCTGAGACAACGCATCTCCCACGATATACATACATGAAATGATGCACAACTCGTTTCATGGTCCTTGCACGAACATAAGACTTCAGCATCAAGACCGTTTCTGACTACTTAATTCAATTGCCTAAGGATAAAAATAAAAGCTGGAGAAGCGAGCCGGTTGAGATGCATGGCATGTTAAAGCAAGGAGGAGGTCTGAGGGGAGGGTCATTTCCTGATTGGGGAATATCAAGCGCAACGTTCACCCTACATCTCTGGAATTGCTCAGTCTTGATGCATGATGTTTTTTAGTCGTTGCGCCTTTCATTGATGGCAGGTTTCGTGCACTCGAAAATAAAGAGCCTCGGTAATCTACATGAAATTCGCGAGAGCAATTGCCGGAATCTAATCGCCGAAGACCTTTTTGAAGGTGAATGCAAGGGCCACGCCATGAAGTTTTCGGATGTGTCTTTCCATTTTAGGTCCAATCTGCAAGGTGTAACTGCTTCTGTATACTGAAGAAACCACATGAATGAGTCTTTTTGGTCCAATGACATCTCGTAAATGATGTGACATCCATGGATTATGTACATATTTAGTTTACGAACCCCATATATTCCTACGATAAAGATGCGGTTCCCGTACTTTTCGCCATATTCTGTAAATTTCAATTGGCACCAGAGGTATCTGATTTGACACCGCAGTTGAAGTTAATTTCAATTTCAATTTGACAAGCTGAACTAGCGCTCGTATTTGCTCTATACTCTTGTTTCGACCTTCTTGATCTTAGTGGTTTTCGACAACTTGCATGAACCCGAAAAGAATATCTCTTCCTTTTAGCAAAGCTTTTGCTGCTCTTTCACTTTAAACTGTCAGCAAATATCCATGGGCAGCTTATTGAGATTATGCTTAATAATGAGCTTATGGCTGTTCTAGACCGTTGGTAAAATTTCATTTACCACCGTAAACGGAATGAAAAGTGCTTGATTGTCCTTGATGTTACCGGGGAATGTTGATATTTATCTTAAGAGGTCTTATAATTCTCTCCTTTATGGGGCATAGGCTTTAAAAGGTCTTTTATTTTGTGGCCACCGTTTGTTCCCGTACCATCTCAAGAACAAGGCTCTCAAGCTATCAAATGAAAGTTTGAGAAGCATACACTGTGGTGCCACAATTCAGTGTGATACTAGAAATTTTCTTCAGGTTGAATTTCCTTGAAAAACATGTTTTCCGATTTTCTGAAATGATGCAAGACTCGCTTCTTTTACACTATTGAACAGCATACTGAAACCATTTAAAACAATTTTTTAATCCTGTTCAAATCAATGCAAAGCCAATGAAAAAAAAAAAAAAAAAAAAAAAAAAAAAAACCATTTAGTGCCTGGTGCCACACACTTGTGAACAAAAGTTAAGAATTCAGAATGGCCCACTGTTCACTAATTTTGGAATCTTTCCGGCTCTTGATACCAAAAACGGATTGAATTGTAGTCACTTGGTGATGACTTTATGAAAAGGTTTCTTCTCCTGAAGCATTCTTGTGCTATATGAGATACATTTATCAGCATTCCGTGGACTGTGTGGTTTGCCCATGCAAATGTTGCGCTAGTGAGTCTTTGATTAAGTTCGCAAAGTTCTATGTTCTTGCCATAAAAGTTAGCATCAGACTAAAATCAGCGAGGTTATCGATATTGGTTTGACAAAAACCGTACACAGTATTTGACACTTGCTTATGACAAAAGTACTAGCTGAACACCACATATGACATGGCTGAACCAGTTAGATAGCTGCATTCAAGTCACAGAAATCAAATTACAAGTCCTATCTCTTCAATGATCTGATTCATCTCCTGACCATTTCCATACCGACACCTATTAGTCATCAGAGCTCCACCGAAATCAGCCAATCACAAAAGGATTCTAAAATCCTAGCGCCGGTCTCAATCCATCATCCATGTAGATGCGGAAGTGTTCCGACAATCGGAAGCGTTCCGATAATCTGCGGAAATACATCAGTTTTACTTTTCAGCCAACAGTTCTGGCACTTCCAAATGATAACGGTTGACTCTAAGAGAGCTTTATTCCATTCATAGTTTTTTCCACCACTTTACTTGATTTTCTATGCATTGTTTGAAGCCTGTAGACCTACTGGATGCATTTGGTCCTGCACGATACACATGGAAAAGCGTCTTTGGTCTTCTTTGCACTGCGTTACCCCACTATTGGTCACGTGTTACCGGTATACAATACTATGACCAAACCTGACTCATTCGTTGGTTCTACTTTTACATCAGAAGCTTAAATAGCAGGGCCTTTGCTTTCGAAAAATAGTTTCCTTAAATCTGTACAACTTTCCAAAACACTACAGCCATGCCTATGCTCGCAGACCCCTCGATAAAATATGATGCGTTTCCTCCGGTGAATCTTCCCAACCGCCAATGGCCATCGAAAACCATGAAAAAGGCACCCAGATGGCTTTCGACAGACTTGAGAGACGGCAACCAGTCTCTCCCCGACCCAATGTCTTTCGATGAAAAGAAGGCCTACTACCACAAGCTTGTAGACATTGGCTACAAGGAAATTGAAGTTTCGTTTCCCTCGGCATCTCAAGTGGACTACGATTTCACCCGATATGCCATCGAACATGCTCCGGATGATGTTTGGATCCAGGTCTTGTCTCCGTGTCGTGAGGAGCTCATCAAGAGAACCGTGGAGTCTTTGAAAGGAGCAAACAAGGCAACCGTCCACATTTACTTGGCCACATCCGACTGTTTCAGAAACGTTGTGTTCGGCTTGACGAAAGAACAGAGCAAGAATTTGGCCGTTAAATGTGCCGCGCTCGTCAGATCTTTGACCAAAGATGACCCGAGCCAAAGTGGCACCCAGTGGGCTTTTGAGTTTTCACCCGAGACTTTCTCCGACACAGACTTGGATTACGCTCTTGAAGTGTGTGAGGCTGTGAAAGAAGCATGGCAACCATCGGAGGAGAACCCTATTATTTTCAACTTGCCGGCCACTGTTGAAATGGCTACGCCAAACGTCTATGCTGACCAGATTGAGTATTTCTCCACGCATATCTCCGAAAGAGAAAAAGTGTGCATCTCTCTCCATCCACACAATGACAGAGGCTGCGCCGTTGCTGCGGCAGAGTTGGGCCAGCTTGCTGGTGCAGACAGAATTGAAGGGTGTCTTTTCGGAAACGGAGAAAGAACAGGAAATGTCGATTTGGTCACCTTGGGTCTTAATTTGTACTCGCAAGGAATTTCTCCCAAGATCGATTTTTCCAACTTGGGTGAGATTATCGACATTGTTGAGAGATGCAACAAGATTCCTGTTGCTGCCAGAGCCCCATACGGTGGCTCTCTTGTCGTTTGTGCTTTCTCGGGATCTCACCAGGATGCCATCAAAAAGGGATTCAACCAATACAACAAGCAATTGAAGGAATCCAATGGTAAGCTGGTCAAGTGGAAATTGCCCTACTTGCCGATCGATCCGGCCGATATTGGAAGAACGTATGAGGCCATTATCAGAATCAACTCGCAATCCGGAAAAGGTGGTTCTGCCTGGGTTATTTTGCGCAATCTCGAGCTTGACCTTCCAAAGGGCTTGCAAGTTGACTTTTCGAAGTCCGTGCAAAAACAGGCCGAAATCAAGGGTCAGGAGTTGACCAACGAGGAGCTTTGCGACTTGTTCAAGAATGAGTACTTCATCAATTACGAGACCGATGGCCACAACCATCACTACAAGTTGCGTGACTACTCTCTTTCCAAGGCTGTGGATGGCGCAAGAACAATTGAAGTTGAGATCGAGGTCGGCGGCCAGGTCAAGAAAATCACCGGGTCCGGTAACGGTCCTATCTCTGCATTCTCGAATGCAATTCTGAAGGATCTCGGAATTTACAATGACGTTTTGCACTATCACGAGCATTCGCTTGGCGCAGACTCTAACTCAAGAGCTGCGACTTATATCGAGGCTAAATTGGAAGACGGCTCCACGAGATGGGGTGTTGGTATTCACGAGGATGTGTCCCAGGCGTCGTTTTTGTCCTTGGTATCGATTTTGAATAGCTTGCACGCACGTCAGAACAAGTAAAAAGCAGATCTTTCAAAAGAGGAAACCGAGTATCAATAAAAAACGATCTTCAGGATGCTGGAATAATTGGAATGGGTTTTCCTAACATCAATTTTCAATTCTGTGGTTTATATAGTGCCATCAGCCATCTATTTGGCTGAAGTGTGCTTATGGTATAAAGAAAAGAGCAATGATCGGCTCTAAAGTACATATAAAAGGACATTTTGTGCATGAAAAATTCATGATGTAGTTATCTTGTTATGCCATGATATCATCCGGCAAAAAACGAGACGAAAGCTTTAACCCAAAAGGGAAACCTATGCAAAGACTTGTATTCGCTCATCATATTGATGCCTAAGTGTAAACGCGACATTTCTTGTAAAGAGAGCGACAATGTCGCATCTAGGTCATGGTGTATGGGTTTTTAAACCAGAAATGTACGGGTTTATATGGATGTACGGGTCTTGTATTTGGGATGTAAGGGTTTTGTTGTTTAGGATGTACGGATGTTGTTTCTGTTTGTGTCACCTTGTGTTTGTGGCATGACAGTTTTTCCACATTTAAGCTCTGTCAGGTGATAGCAGTGGTTTTTAGGAGTATAAAAATGGGCTTTTTGTTATGGGGAAGGCTTTGTGCCATTAGAAAGCAGCAATTTCAAAAATTTACACAAAGATACTGGTAGTGTATTACACATAATACAATACATCGCCAATACACTGACTCAATCTGAAAGCTTTTATTTTTTTTTTTTTTTCTTGTGTTGGTGAGCCATTCAAATAGTACGTGGCTAACAAGTATTCAAGAGAATGTGCATTAATTAATTAGTATCATCTCAATTGTTAGGTGAATACAATTGTAGTGTACATTCAAGTACGAATTTCTTGGTTCCTGGCTTCCAACTACAACAGGAAGCCACGATTCTCATGGACGTAGTAAATTTGTGGTACGCGTCTTATCTCATGTGCGAAGTTTATCAGTGAATCGAGCCAGATAAGGCATTGTGGCTTATCTGAAGGTTACCATAACCGGGAAATCGGATACCCCAGGTTGCCATGGTCGACCTAACATCAATAGAATTATTTGAGTCAGAGAAAAAGTTCCATGACGCAGATATCATATTCTTTAGGTGATATTTCGACATAGCAACTGTAAAGTTTAAAGCTGTCGATTAAAATAACTAAAATGATTTTAGACAATGAAATTAGAAAGTAGAATTTGAATTGGGTGTTTGGAGGCCTTACCGTTTCCGCATTTCATATAGTTCGTATTTCCGAACAGTAAGCTTTTAGATCTTGCAATCAGTGGAGTTAAAGAGACAATCTAGCAATCTGATTATGTTACCAAGACTGGTTCATACTAACTGACAGGTACTTTACCGAACGTAAAAGTAATTAAAAAGAGTGTAATCACTTCAATTTAACCAAAGATTCGTCCTTAGAACAATAGGGAAGCTGCTTTCTATCATGAGAACCGGTTAGAAATACAAAGAATTACGGATAATTATTGGCAAGACTGAATTTTCTTCAATTCAGACAGGCTTCCATTATCAATTATTCTGCATTTTTCTTCACTTCTGACAAATCAGCTTCACCAACTTTTAGTTGAAAAAATATTTGCGCACCAAATTATACAAGAATTTTGAGGTCATCTTAGCACAGGTATGCTCATCACTACTTGCCCAAAGGTTTTGGCCGAAAATATAATCGGAAAAACATCAGAGAACGGATTAATTGTGCATTGTACATGGATGTTCCTGCACACAGGACCAGATCCAGCATTGTGCGTCCGACCGGTGCGTCTGTGGATGGGTGCAAATACAGTTGTGTTCTTGTCTTGTCTCACGTCACCAACAACCTCTTTATTTGTTTAAGAACAGACGACTTCAGAAAGACACCAACCTAGATTTCAATAGTCGTATCTTCTTGAGCTAATAAGGACTACGCTTTCTAGCAGAGCCCAAATTGAACCAGTTGAGTTTTAATTCATTAGTCAAGTTTGTGCTCAAACAGAAAGTTTACAAGTAGAATCACCACCACCACCGCGAGTTTCGACTCCCAGGCGAGATGATTGAAGTTGAGGATCTCAAATCCTTCAACCTCAAGCCGTCCCGGCACCACTTTGGGTTCCGGAACAAAATGCTCATCAAAATGGATGGTGCACAAGCGCACTTGGACGAGAAGGTGGAGGACTTGAAGCTGCTTGCGTCCGACGCCAAGTTCAACATCCAGTACTCCATTTCAAAGTACTCGGGTGTCGATCCCGGATTGGGCATGAGGGCCACCGTCCGGGGTCTTTTTCACCGTAGTGAAACCAATTGGCATGATCCAGATGCCCATCTCGTGAGGAAGGTTGATCCTGCAACCATGTCCGCCGAGGAGTTTTCTCTTTACAGTTACCGTGAAGAGAGAAACCGAAAATTTAGAGAGAATGCTGACGCCCTTCTTGCCGAGACTTTAGAAAAGTCTGCCGCTCGCGCTGCGGCATTAGCTGCATCTACTGCCACTGCAACAACCAAAACCGCGCGCACAAGAAAACGTCAATTTAGGTCGAAAATGCGTTCGGGCGCACCAATTCCGGCAGAGGAAGCCGCGAAAAACAATGCGAGTGCGAAAAACAGTGCGGGCGCGACATGCACCCGGGCAGAGCTGGGCAGAAAAGTCAAGGAAACTTTTCTGGCCGCGCGCTCTGCGCCCGTAGAAACTTCGAAAATCGGCGCTCTGGGCCCTGGGACAGCCGGAGAGCACGAGGATGAAGAACAGGCTTCGACAGACTGGAGCGAGTACGAAGCCAACCCTTGGGCAGACGAGCCCAATTCGGTTTGGAGGGCTGTTGTCATGAAAAATGCTCAAAAGTCTGCTTCGGACGCCCAGAAGGTTGAAAATGAGAGTAAATGCGCTCCAGTCGGGACTGCTGGAGAATCTACCTCTCCAACGACCACCGAAACTTCCACTTTTGCTGAAGAAGTGGAGGGCGCCTGCGAAAGTCAAGAGCCAAACCCTCAAGATGGTGCGGCTGACTCTCAAACGGCTGGTTCCTTTAGACTGGAACCGGCTGGGGAAGTGGCTACGGCCGAGCTTCCCGAAGATGGTCCAGCAGTTGCCGAATTGGCCATTTCTGGACCTGTTAGACAGAAAAGACCAGTCAGCGCATATTCTTGTGCTGAGCAGTCTTCGCCCAAGAAAATGGGCAAGGTCGACACCAATGCTTCCAGCACCGCGGCTTCTGGATTCAAAACGGCTGGTTTCAAGTTCCATGCTGTGAACTTTGCCGCTCCGAAGTTGGCTCTCAAGTCCAGTTCTAGAGTGGCTTTCAAGTCCAGTTCGAACATGGCTTTTAAGTCTGGCTCCAAGATGGGCTTCCAGTCTGGTCCCAAAATGGCCTTCCAGTCAGGACCTAAATTGTGTTTTGAGTCTAGTTCCAAGGCAGAGAAATCCTCCGCTGCCAATCTGACTACACCATTGTCGACCAATCCCTTCGTCGCCGAGGAGAGTAAGTTTTCGTTTACGGGACCTACCGAAGTTCCCCACCGCAAGTATGGCTCGTTAATGGCGGAAAACTCAGACTCCTCCGATGATAATCTGGACTCTGACAGTTCCATGACCGCAGACAACGGTTCCGAGAACAAGTTGCTCCATAAGCTTCGGGAATTGGATACCGAGGTGAAGAGCCGTCCCGACCGCCAGTTCAACCGTCTTTTCGCCTTGAGATTCCCAGAACAGACTGCTTACGAGGACGAAGTATACAAGAAGCTTTACGAGGCTTCCCAGTTGTTGTCAAGAAAGAGAAGCAACATCATCAAGGAAAAGGAACAGGAGGAGCCCGTTTCTCTCCTCCAATTGCGTCAAGCAGGCCGTCCAAGACGAGTCACTTCGAACAGTAATGTACTGAACCACTGTACCTCAAAGGTGGGGAAGAATACAAAGAACCGTTCAGTGTCCCATGCCTCAGTCATTGACCCTAAGAAGGTCGAGGACCGCAAGAGGTCCCGCAATCGCCGGTTCGAGAAGCAGGGCAAGTCTGGCATTGAAATCATGAGAGCCAACTCGACCACCACAGCAGCCCAGGCAGGAGCTAAAACCATTGTGCTGGCTATCAAGAACTTCACGTTCGTCGCCTTCCCAGAGGTGGCGAAGATCGAAGAGATTACCGATAGTGAAGACGATGCCAAGGCAGAGGATGTGAAGCCAGAAGAGGCAGCAGAGGAGATGAAGGTAGAAGAGGCAGCAGAGGCTGGATTAGAGGAAGCAGTTCCTGTCAACCAGGCTACAGATGCGACAGTCATTCTGGCCATCTCCATTGAGAAGCTTGAGGAACCAGCTGACTTGGATAAATCTACTGATAAGCCTGAAGGAATTCCCGCCCCAGATGCCGACAAGTGCCCATGCAAGTCTGAATCTTCGGCAGAGAAAACTGACTCGGATTCTCACCAAATTGGCGGACAGGCCACTGTGGCCACCGTCTCTCCTCTGAAAGATTTAGAGGCCCAGGCTTTGGGAGACGCTCCAAAGCCCGTGCTGTCTGATAAGGAGCACAGCGTTTCCGCTCTGCTTTCTGTCTGTAACGACTTACAGAAGACGGAAATGGAGGATACATCGGCCGATGTTGAATCCAATACCCTTCAATCGAATGAGGTTGGTTCACATCCAATCGAAGATGGTTCGGGTTCAGCTGAAAATGATTTGGATTCAGCTGAGACACCAGCCACACCTCAGGATGATAATGATGAGCCTAGCAGGACCATCACCTTCAAGGAAAAGGACCAAGTTCGTTTTTTCAGTGCCGAGAAGGGAGAATGGGCCGATGTGGTGAATGGATTTATGCTCTGGCGAAAAAATCCAGTGGGTGTTCCTTCGCCATGTCAGACAGAGGTTAAGTCTGTTTTGAAGACGACTTCTTCTACTATTCTCATCAATGAACTTCCTCCAATGGATGAATATTGTTCCGACGACGATACTTGTCACTTGGAACAAAACTCTCCACTGAACAATTGCCCGGAAGATCTGTTGGATCATGACCCGATGGATTGTTCTGACGTCTCAGATGACCTGATTGTCAGCTCCGATTTCGACTCCATCGAAAAGTTCAGGGCCAAGCTTGCGAAGATAAATTCCAAAAAGTCACCTACCACTGACGGAATTTCTGAAAGCGGTCAAGAGAAACTTACCGTTTCCAATGACTGTCCAACAAACACCGAAGCTGGCAACTACCTGCAGCAGGAAGTAGCAGCTACCAAAATTAGTCTGGTGAAAACTGCCAGAAAGCGTGAGGCCAAAAAGTCTTTGACCAAAAAGTCTCCAAGTTCCCCTCTGTCTTACAAGGAACTCGTGGCGAAGGTCGAAAAGATCCAAAGGGCCAAAAAGACCAGGGCCAAAATGTCTCTGACCAAAACGTCATTGGGCAAAATGTCCGAGATACAGTTGTCTGAGGCTGAATCTCCAGCGCTGTCTGAGGCTGAATCTCCAGCGTTGCCTGAGGCTAAATCTCCAGCGTTGCCCGAGGCTGAATCTCCAGCGTTGCCTGACTCCTCAGAATTGTCAGCACCTTCGCCTCAGGATGTGCTTTCGCCCGAACCTTTAGCTGAAAGCTCACTTCTTTCTTTCACTGAATCTTCAGCCGAAACTCCAGTTAAACTCGCCGCGGAACCTTCTGCTGAAGATTTAACGGATTTGGATTCCTCTTGTCAGACTTTCCGTCTCATCGACCGGGACTGGAAGATCATCCAAATCATGTCTGAATACTCCGAGGAAGAAGAAAACTATCCCGGGTATGAAAACATTCGAATTTATAGAGACGCTCTCGTGGCTTGTGCTGATGAGATTAAATTGAGCCGTGGGCTTTTGCCTTCACGCTTGTCTCTGCCGGAGGAAGAAGTTGCTGATGTTCCGGAAAAGAAGGCCAATGAAACTGCCAATGGCAAACCACAAGTGCCTGAAATCCAGCATGCTCAAGAAAACGAGCCATGCAAAAAGGATGTTCCCCAGTTAGATTTGCCCGAACCATTAAATCAACTACTTGGTTTTAAATCTGAACAGGAACATGGTGGACAGTTGCCATGTCCTCCTTTGGAGCAGACACCTGCTCATGAAATCAGGGAAAGACCCACCCTGAGATCTTCAAACATACGCAACAACAAGTTGTTTGAAGAAGCAAAAAATGCCATGTCTGCTGCAGACGTGGCAGATCCGTATCTGATTGATGTTCCAAAGCCCGGAACTTATTTGGCCCCGATAGATCCATCTCTATGTCCGCCGGTGGCGTTTTTGAAAAACCCACCATTCTCCTCCAGGCGTGGGTTCTTGTTATCTCAAAAAAATTTTGTCATCAAAGAAAGGGTACGCTTTGAGTATGAGTTATTCAAGCATCGTCGCTCTTACATGGTTCATCGGTGTCACCCATCAGAAGAAACGGCAGAGTATGCCCAACCGGTGACACGGAAAGACTATGCCGACTTCGAAAAATCATTGAAGCGGAAGTTGCAAGAGAGACGAGACGCTTACGAAAAGACTCGACAATCCATGTACAGCCGTCACCCAACATGTGGTTCGTATATTGATTTCGTGGATGAATGGGAGTATGGATCCACTGATCCATATGGGAGTCCGAATGTGTTTCCCAAAGATCTCTATGACGTTTTCTAGGTGCTCTGGTCCGAAGAAGACAGAATGACACGATCTACTGTCTTGTGCTACCAACTTCGCTAGAGTCCCATATACTCATAGAGGGGAAACCTAACCTCTCATTAGCTTAACCAGAATAGGAATCTCAAAAGAAGGCTCTTAGTCGCTCGAGGTTCCTGATAGCTAAGAATCTCCCAATTCTTTCCAATACGAACCGAACGGTGTTGCAGAATGAAGAAAAGAACATCAACTTCCAAGCTACTCTTGGGTTTTTTCTTTTGCTTCCAGAATTGTCTCTGTTGGAATCCTTCAGCGCTCAGGTTTGGGTCTAGTCCCATCCCAGTCCCAGTCCCAGTCCCAAGTCCCGGCCTTGACCTGAGCAAAAAAAGGATTCTTTCAAAGGCGATAATGGCACGAAAGATTGCCCGTGCTTGGGCCTGTTCATCTTCAGAACTTCAGCTCATGCAAGCAAACCATAGTAAAATACTTTGGCCTGTCAATATTCCTGTTGCGGAGGGCCTTTTGCTGGTGTTGTATTCGTTAGTGTGTTGGTGTCTAAGTTCAGGTTGGGTCACGTCCCAGTCCCAGTCCCAGTCCCGAGTCCCGGCCTTACCTGAACAAACAAGCATCTCATACTGGACGCAATATGCATCAGTGGAAGTCTTGCAGTAACGAAATCAGGTCTACTATGGTAAAATATGATGGTCAGTGTGGTGGAGAGGTACTTAAATTATTGCTGTCTCTGCTAATACGGGTGTCGATTTATTCAGGCTTAGGTCTTAGTCCCATTAAGTCCCAGTCCCAGTCCCACTTAAGTCCAGTCCCGGCCTGGGCCTGAATACCAAAGACATTCCTATTGCAGATGCCAGTGATAAATCAGAATACTCTCCTCTGTTCTGAACCAGCATATTTTGAGCTCTGGCTGAACACGATGGTACGGAAGATACGGAGGGCATGCAGAAAGAGGAAATATAAGGTGAGGGAGCTACGAAGAAACGAACGAGGAGTGGAGGTGAGGGAGTTACGAAGAAATGAATGAGGATGTGGAGGTGAGGGAGCTACGATGAAACGAACGAGGATGTGGAGGTGAGTGGAGTTGGAGGAGGGGAAACTGTGTCTGACTGGACCCAAGTCCATGCTGTATCCAGCACCGGGCTTGGAAGTCACCAGCAGACAAATCCAGGCTGGCTAAGCGGGAAAAGCCAGTCTGGTCACTCACATGCCGGCGCCGTAGTCCTTTGGGCTACACTGCTGGTCTGTGTGAGTGAAAGGCCATGGTCAGCGCCCAGGTGCTGGCTGTGGTCCCTGGCCGGACCAGACTATGCTTCCTTGGAAGTATTGGTCTGCAGTAGCCGGCCGGGTGAAAATCCATGGACCCAAGAGGCCATGGTCGGAAACAGGATCCTGGGGATAGAGACGAGAGTTTCTTTTGCCAGGGACTGTTTCCGTAGCGAAATCCATTTTGCAGAGGCCGAGGCTGATGCAGAATGGTCTTCCATCGGACGATCTTCCGTGAAGACGCCGAGAGGAAGCGTTGTTCCCATGGTAGCGGCGAAGTTTTCGTGCAGACCATGGCTCTCTGGACGGGCCAGAGAGGAGGTGTTGCTTCGGTGAGGTGAGAGGAAGAGGTGAGGAAGTGGTTACGATGTCGTGGGGTCGGAGGACGATGAGTGGAGCAGGTGAGGAGGGCGGAGTTTGAGGAAGTGGGAAGGTGGAAGAAGAGGATATTGGTGAGATGGCGGGAGACGATGCTGTTGTGCTGGCGATAAATAAATTTCGATGAAGTTGGATTTATTTTATACGATGAAGGTGGAAGAAGAGGATATTGGTGAGACGGAGAAAACAAATTCCAGAGTTGTTGGGAATTTATTGAAGAGGGAAGAAGAGGATATTGGTGAGATGGCGGGAGACGATGCTGTTGTGCTGGCGATAAATAAATTTCGATGAAGTTGGATTTATTTTATACGATGAAGGTGGAAGAAGAGGATATTGGTGAGACGGAGAAAACAAATTCCAGAGTTGTTGGGAATTTATTGAAGAGGGAAGAAGAGGATATTGGTGAGATGGCGGGAGACGATGCTGTTGTGCTGGCGATAAATAAATTTCGATGAAGTTGGATTTATTTTATACGATGAAGGTGGAAGAAGAGGATATTGGTGAGACGGAGAAAACAAATTCCAGAGTTGTTGGGAATTTATTGAAGAGGGAAGAAGAGGATTTCGGTGAGATGGCGGGAGACGATGATGTTGTGCTGGCGTGAAATAAATTCCGATGATGTTGGGAATTTATTGAAGAAGGAAGAGGTCGGGAGTTGGTACTGGTGTTGGTATTATTCACAGTGTTGAGGTGATCTTAGATGCTACAAGATCCTTAAATACTACAAGATCCTTAAATACTACAAGATCCTAGCGGGGAAATATTACCAATTCTACCCGTTGGTCCAAGGTTACTATTCGGGAATCTTGGGGAAGATGCATGACGTCCTCACTTGGCCAATAAGTGATGACGGTGAAGCATTTCCATTCAAAGAAGGGTTTCATTGCTAACAAGTGCAATTGATTCAACAGGCTAACAATTGGAAGAGCATGGTCATCTTTAATTTGTTTGCCAATCGGATTGCCGGGATACTTCTGCTGCTGGATTCTATAGCTGGCCTATGCTGATGAGCTGATTACGGGCAGATAAGAAATTGCTCGAAGGGAAGGATCCCCCTTCGAAACAAGATCTTTTCTCTCCCAAGCAGTTCCAAGCATCGAGGGTGCAGATGCCGACAATTTGAACGGAGAAGAATGAGAAACAAAGGTGAGGGAGCATACGAAGAAGAAGTCATAGTGGTTGGAACTGGATTTCCGTGACCGCTAAAATTTTTATACTTTGCTGCTTGTCGGTCTGGTTTAGGTGGTCGACTTTGGATGCTCGAAAATCCGTGTAAATCTTATATAGTGTGGTGGGCCAGCCATAAGCAGGGCAACTGCTGTCTTTGCTTCATGGGGTTCCGGCTGGGTGTTGTAGGAGCCATCCTGGTGGGGAAGGCATTTCCGCTGCTGATCACAGCGGAATTAGGTTGACTGGCAGACCTCTGTTCAGCCAACCACCTTCTACACCAGGGCAGGGAAGACTGTCGGACCAGGCTTCCCGGCCAGCTGGCTCTACAATTCTCTGTCGGGTTGCCCTGGCCGGAGAGCTGTCTCCACTGCCACCACCCTTTTTTATAAGTAGCGCTCTTCCTCCACTGCAATGTCAGTGGAGGTAATATAAACCCACTGGGATTCCCAGTGGCGCCTAGCACGGGGAACCTGCGTCAGTTAGAAATCGTCTAATCGTCTCTCGAGTGCCAGAGATCTATGATTAAGAGCCATGTGTATCAGGAAATAAAAATTGTCTATTTTACTAGCTGATTGGTATGTTATTGAGACTATTTATTTGGATTTTCCACTTGATATTGAGAGAAGAAAATTCAACCTTCGATTTCTTTACTTGTTAGCATTTCTTTTTGGAGGTGAGTGCTCAGCCAGTTTATGTGAGTTAAATCGCTTACGAGGATATTATTAAGCACATGCAAAACGGTAATTGACATCATAGTGGTCTTTGGAAACTCATTATGTCCAAAAGACTCTTCGGTTAGTTGATGGTCGCAGGAATGCCCAAGACCTGTTTCTTTTTGTTCAATTGGTCAGAATTTGAATAGCCCTCGCTTAATACCCATCTACTTCATTAAATGAAGATCGCCAACTCCAATTTTATGTATACTTCAGATGAAAAAGGTTTGCAATGGTCCAAATATGATTCTTACCTACATGAGAGTTGTGTTCCTGGATTTTTACAGGTGAAATAAGGCATAGTGTTGAAAATACAGCAATCTTCACTCTCGTTAGCGTACTTTTTTGTTTCTAACTATAAAGATATAGAACTCATCTCGTGTTACTCGATGTGAACCACGGCATATGATCAAAAAATTTCTAACTTTCTCGCTCGTGTTTACTCTGCTTGAAAATTCGCTGATCAATTGACATTTTTATGGTAGTGTCTTGTAATTAGCAATGATTTGAATCCACTTTTAGAAGTACCTATTAGCACATACAGTTATGCCAAATCGCACTTCCAGAAACCATGTAGATACCGTTTCCGAAAAGTCCACAACTGACTTTATTTGCTGATCCACCGTCTGATGTTCGTATCGCTGGCCTTCCTACATTTGGACTGCCACTATCTATCTATTTCTTATCTCCCATTATGCACGCTAGACGATCGTGCATGGCCCAACACTATATAGATGCCGCGCAATAATTGCTCACTATCACCATGACCCAGGAAGACTTGAATATAGCAGACACATACAAACAGATTGCCGAAGCAGAAAAACAGGCGCTGGCGTTGGAGAAAATGCTCGATGCGTTGGACAGCAAGATGGATCTGATTTTGGCAGACATTGAGCAAAACAATCTCGAAACAGCACAAGCCAAGGTGGCCGAGCTACAGATCGAGAAGTCCAAGTTGGACTCGTTGTAAGACGCTCAACTTTTCGACTCCACGAGCTTCAACAAGTCTGCTTTGCGGATAAACTCCGGTTCGTCTGTTGGAACGAAGGGATTGATGGGGAACCTGGGGTTGATCACCATGGCGTTTTCGCCCTCCGGTGGAGCGTTTTCAAGCTCTGGAATAGATACCTTGGCCGCTGCACCCTTTTCGAGCCACCACTTCTTTGCGTCGGAACTAGGAGGCGGCATGTCATCGCTGTTTTTGTCGTCGACAAACTGTGAAATATCACTGGAAGTTATGAGCACGTTGATATCTCCCACGTCCTTCTTATAGCTCTCATAAATGTCATGCGTGATTTCCTTCTTTGCCGTTTCGTTTATCATCGCCACGGACGCTTTGAATATCGCATAGACGGGCCGATGGTCCGAAAAAATGACGTCTTCCTCGCAATCGTAGACTTCTTGTTTCAACGTTTCGCCCTTGGACATGCTCAAGATCCGGTCTGTCCACGCTGGAATTCTCTGTTTCTCCGACGTGTCGTAAACCTTGGTGTTGTTATCGAACTTGTATGTGGGAGGGAACGTGATTTCCATCTCGTTGAAAAAGGGAAACGACTCGCCACTGGCCATCTGTCTGTTTAGCTGGTCATATTCAAACAACTTTTGGAAAGACCCTGCTTTGATAAGATTCTTCACATGCTCGTTCTGCAAGTCTATTCTGTAATTGAAGTCTCCCAACCATATCACGCCTTCGTGATCTTTAATCTTTTTGCGTTTGGAAAAAAGAATCCCTTTGGCAATTGTTTTGTAATCTTGGTGTCTCTCATCAATATTGCTGAACCCGGCAGCCAAATGAGAGCACACAAAGCAAAGCAGGGTTTTGGCATATGTAAGCGAAATACCTATTCCTCCTTTATTGGCACTCATACCACCTAGACCGGTTTTTTTAACCGATCCTTCGATATCAGAGATGTTCGAAACGTGACTTTCCTTAATGAAAAGAAGAACGGCGATTCCTCCCATTTGCCAACTCCATAGAGAGACGTACTTTTCTTTGGTGTATTTCAGTTCTTCCAAAATCTTTTTTATTTCCTTTTCCCATGCAATAAAGTTGTCGGATTTAACATTCATCATGTTGCCCGCAGTCAATTCAATGATCTCCTCGAAGCCAACGAAAATAATATCATAGTCTTTATCAACATCGTGCTTAGAGGGGAAGATCCACTCTCGTAAATTATCATCGTGACTCACGTCTCCATTGACATTGAACGTCGACGCAAAGATTTTGATTTCCTTGCTGTAGCTAAACTCACTTGATCGTTTCTTCAATTCTAAGCTCACGTACTGGTGAAATGGATTGTAGAGAACAACGCCATCTTGGTCTTCCAAGCGACCCAATAATTTTAGCATGGCGACGTCACTTTGCTTTACTTCTCCAACAACATTCATGTATTTCCAAGTCAATTGTTGCTTAAGCGAATGTTTGGCTGCAGAGCTCTTGGAGTTTTGAATTTTGGTCATGTTTGCCTGATAATTCAACGTGAGATGTTTCAAGACGTCATCATTTTCAGACCAAAGTTTGGCGTGTTGAATGTAAAGATCGTGCGGAGCCTTGATGTTCATATCCCGTAAGGCCAACTCAATCACCTCTTGGCAAATTGCTTTTGAAACAAAGTTGGCTTTGGAAAGACAATCGAAAGAATTCACTCGCATCACACCCAATTGTCTCCCAATGTATGAGTATCTTTTAAGGTCGTAAAACATGGCACCAAAATCAATCACTGCATTATTCAATGGCCCGACAACATCAGCTGGGTTGATCGTGCTGTATCCCACTTTCTTCATGTACGATGTGGAAATGGGCATATCCGTATAAGAAAGTTTGTAGTTGTTGGTTGGAGTTTGTTGCATCACCGCAGCATCGGGCAAATCGCCATTGCATTCGTCTTTGGATTTGATGGCAGCATCTAGAAGGCTCTTGAAGTTCTTATTGAGTTCACCCTTGTACGTATGCGGATCTTGCAGCAAGCAATTGACAACATGAATGTCACCGTAAGTTTTCCCCAAGTCGTTGAAATGACGTATGAAGGCGTGCTGTGATGCTTCGGAGGATCTTGTGAAGACCACTTTCTTACTCTTTTTGGAGGAGAGGAGGCTCTTCTTCGAGAAGTTGCTTTGCAATTCCCAAAAACTGGGCACATTGCCTCGCAAAATGACGTACGACAAACAAAAAGACTCTGTGTAGATGATCACCTCCGACTCGACAAAGTTGGACACTGCGCCGGCCTCGTCGCATCCCCACTCGCCAAAGAGAGGCCCTTTCTTCTTGCACGACTGTTTGGAAATCAAAGTGACGAGAGCGTTTTCCCTATCCAGAAACTTGAGATTGACCGACTTGGCGTAGCCCCGCATGATGGTGATCAAAAAGCCGGCGCTGTCGAAACTTTCCCTCTCCTGCAAACTCAAGGTGCTTCGGAACTCGAGAAGCTCCAGGCCCATGTACGAGTTCCACATGAACCGCGAAAAGTACGAATCACTGGAGTTGAAAGCGTGGCTCAGCGACGTCGGACTGCCACGCTCTTGCATTGTGGTGGTGACGTCAAAGTTCTTGGAGAAGTAAAAATTGCCCAGCGAAAGAAACCGTTTGACGGAGCCGGCCGGATACCCCGTTTGAACCAGCTCCACTTCTTCGGAGGATGCGCTGCTGTGGACTTCGTCTTCTTTGTTGATCCACCCGTCGTAGTGGTCGCTGTTGAGACAGAAGAAGTCGACGCTGTCGATCATGTGGATGTTCTCGCCCAACTTGGGCGACGCCACCTTGGTGGAGCGGGTGATGAAACCCAAAAAGATCTGGCCCTTGACATTAAGAAAGCCCAAAAAGCCCGTGAGCACCTTTTCTCGCGTTCTCCCCGGGGTGATGTCGCTGAATCCTTTGAGCGTCAACGCCTCTGTCCGCACAAACTCCACCATCACCTTGTTTTGGCCGCTCTTGTTCTTGGATCGGGCCTCTTTGGCCTTGCGGCCTTCAAGATGGATATGCGCATGGCGGTGGCTGTGTTCGTGCAGCGAGTACTGTGGATTCGGATGGCGGATTATAAGCGAGAACTGGGAGTCGGCCACAACAAAAGTTCGGGGATATTCATTGAGGTAAAGTCTCATGTGGTATGAGGAAAGGTGTAGATCTGATAGTGCGCGAAGTGTCTTGAAGGGTCCCAATACTCTAGTTCTTGGCTTCTTGACTATTCGATTCTTGGACTACTCGGTTCTTGGGCTATTCGATTCTTGGACTACTCGGTTCTTGGTCTCCTTTGGCTTGAATTCTTTCTTGTTCCTTTGATTCTGGGGCGTTTTCTATAATTATGTTTATCTATCTCTTTTATCTGTGGCAGTGCAGGAGTGTACAATCTCTATTGCTAGCATATAGAGTCCAAAGCGTGTGAATGCAATGGCAGACAGTATAGATTAGGGTGAACAAAATGACAAATGGATTGCTCAATTGGTAGCCAAATACGAATCAGCACAAAGATAGGGAAAAGCTGTCCTAAGATAAGAAAAGATAATTTTTGTGTGGTATCTTGAACTGGTGTGTTGGACCTTGGTAGTTGATAGAAAAAACGCAAGCTGGAACGGCACAGATGAACATAAAAATCCGTGTACATGTCTCGACAAATAATGCTTTTCTAATATGGCATAATGCTAGTGAAATACGCCGTATAATTAGACGTTTAATTATGGAAGCTTCAAAGTGTAATTATGGAAGCCTCAAAGTATAATTATAGAAGCTATAACTACACTAGCTATAACTTACAGTAACGTTACAACTTGCAATGTGTCAAACCAAAATCAACCATCACATCATCAGCCAACAAATCGATTGTCGCTACCAGTGACAGCTTAACTAGAAATAACAATCGCTACTTTTATTATTCTCCCAGATCGGGTTTCTCGGTCAAATATACATGCTGAGCCCATTCTCAGTACGCCTTCCGGGACTTTGTTCTCTTCTGCGGAACCTGGTGGTGAGAAGGCACCCACAGCGGGTCGAATCCAGTCGATTTGGCAGCAACAGGCACTTTCTTGGTGGGGGCCGTGCGCTTGAAATACGTTTTGAAGTAAGTGGTGTACACAAAGTAGCCAAGACCGCCCAGAATCGCCACAAAGAGAAGCTCCAAGAACAACAATTGCGGGTCCAAGAAGGACACAGGCACTTCCAGCACAATGGCCAACTGGCCTCTAGCCTGGATCGCCTTCAACTCATCTTGGAACGCAACATACACCTGCGGAGTCAAGTAGTAGCTGCCCGAGTCTATGTCCAATCTGATTTTCTGTCCCACCTGGGCCGATTCGCCAGGTGTGATCACCAATGGGTTGACAGAGTTGGAAGTCAAATTCACTTTGTAGTCGCCCGAAATTGGGTCACGGAAAGCGCCGCCAAGCCCAACAACTGTAAGGTCGGTATCTTCCTCGTTGGTTATGGTGTAGAGCAACTTGATTTCCTCGCCAGCCAGCAACTGGGCTACGTCAGACGGATCGACATCGGGGTATTCTTCAATGATGTAATCGATTTTGAAGTTGGAGAGTTTGTTTTCGGTGGACGCCTGGCCGAAAAAATCCTCCACTTCTTCGGAAAACACAGCGCCAACAAAACTGAGCAAGCCTAACGCCAATGTAGAGAACTTCATGGTTTCTGAATAGATTGCCAAAGTGGAGATCGCAGACTGACGTGTCCAGTGACTGGTATTATAGTCACGTGACGCTATATCAAGGCGGGCCAGCATGAGAAGCCCCATTAGTTTTGAATGATTAATCAAGAACAGGAATTGGATAGTAAATTTCCAGAAAGGAGAGAGGTTTGGTGTGGCTACATTTTTATTTGTGTGGAGAAGGAGGCATGAGAGCATGAATGAGCAGACATAAGTAGGAAAGGTCAGAAATTAGCTATTTATACTTCTCTGAATTGTCCTCATAATATTTATTGCTAGTTAACTGTTGTAGACACTAAGGGTCAACAAGCTTAATTAGTGAAATGGGCAAAATAGTAGTTTGTGCTTTATGTTCTTGTTGGTGATTATCATGTTATGTGGTATTGAAAAGGTGGAATATCACTCAAAGACTTCTAAAGCAGACAATTGTCAGATGAGCTGATACTTATTTTGAGGCAATTGGGATGTCTGTTACCCCACTTCCCATTATCATAAATTGGTATACTCATCAACCAACGATTATTAATCGAGTCTACAATATTATGATTCCTTCATTGAATAGATCAACTACTCGGGCCCTCCTTTATCATTGAACTCTGCTAAAACCATTCCATACTACCATTCAAGAAAAGTCACATAGTTAATCTAATAATACACTGTTTTGTTGCCTGGTGTCTTACTAAAAGGCCATAAGGTTTGGAAGAAAAGGATTCTCAAAACTTTAGGTGCGGGTAGATTTTGGTTCTTTTGGAATATTCTCCTACTACTTCAACACCTCGCACCTACAACAGCATATAAAGTTTATATAATGTATTTTTTTTATAATTATCTGTCCTCGGAGCTGGGTACATATGCTCTAAGAGGAATATCTATGGCCTCGGAGCCAACAGCCACAACCTAATGGGATCACACAAAAGACTACTTCAATCTTGCCAACCCCCCACTGAACCTCCAAAACTAAAGACAAAGATCCTGCTTTTTGCCCTATGTTGGAGTCATCCAACTGCCTCTTTCCTCCACAATAGAATAACAAAGCTGCCACGACAATGGTATTCAAAGGCCGCCGCTGAGTTGGGCGAGATTCTTCTGCCACAAAAAATCTCATCTCAGAAGCGGCCCCTAGGAAAGAAGACATATGAGGTTATCAACCTTCAAGAAAATAGGAATAAGCAGAGTCCCGGAGGCGCTGTAAGAAGATGCCAACATTACATTAGACCGACAACAACCGAAAAAATGAAGGAAAGGATAAACCAAAATCAGTTTGGAGAGGAGACCAGGCCCGTCCCAAATGTCCCAATGTCCCAAAGGCCCTCGCTCCCCATTGTATTATCCCATTTTCCCCGCTTGTGTCTGAACAGTAAGTAATGTAGCCATCAACAGCAACAACGCTCCCAAAACATCCACTCTCCTTTATGTGACCACAGGAATGTATGACTGTTCAATCCCGTGGCCGTTTCTCAACTACTCACTGGCATCCAACGATGACATGAGATCGTCCAACATACGATCGGTCACCCTGGTAGTTTGGTGAGTAAGTTTGATGGTGCGGTGGATTTTGTTGAGGTAATCCAGCGCATCGTACAAGTCCTTGTTTGCTGTGTGAAGCGACTCCAAGAACTCGCCAACCTTTTCGCTCATTTCTGTTCCAAGGAAAGACTTTCTGATTGCCTTGAAGTGTTCGCGTAAAGGTGTGAGATACTTGTTTCTAAGAGACTCTCTCTTGATGTATCTAATCTTTGTGTCCTTAAACTCTCTGTCCAAGCGTTTCATGATGCTTTCGTGGTTCAAGAACGTTCTGGCATAAGCATTGGCTTCAACCATGCCCTTGTTTGTTTCTTCAAACAAGGCTGGGTACTGCAGCATGAGGCATTCGTACTCAGCAAACAGCGTCTTCCATTCGGCATAGTTGCGGGCAAACTCGTAGACCTCGCTGGCCTCCACCTTATTGTTCTTCAAGTAGAGCACCGTTTCTTGCGCGTGGTCCATCATCTGCAGCTGGTACTTCATTTGGTCAAAGTACTCCATCACCTTGTCTCTAAGCAGATAGCAGTCGAAGGTGGAGTCGCACATGTGGCGACAAAAGTGGCCGGCGTTGTTGGCAATGAAGTTCAAATCATCCGTGAAGGTCGTCACCTCCAGGATCAAGTGCTCCAAGTCCTTTCTAAAATGTCTGGACGCCTTGGCCCGTAACCCGTATTCGGGACTTACGTACACCGGGGGTTCGTCCCGCAACACCTCGAGGTTGATGCGGATCTTCTGAACCTCGGAGTGCTTGGGCTTCTTCACATTCTCGCGCGCCGAAGATGGAGTCCGCCCAAAAAACACCAGAGGTTCCCGTGGCCTGCGGGGCCGCGGAGGAAGAGTCTTTTTCGGCTCAAAAAGCTGCTTGATTTTGGGGAAAAACCCGAAAATGCCCTTTTTGGCCGCGGCCTGTTTGGTTCCCAGGCCCGCCGGTTTGTCCTGGTCCGCCGGTTTTTTTACGTTTGCGTCGGTCAGGACATTCTCCTGCTCCGTTTCTGGAGATTGGAGAATTGGCTTAGTGTTAGGTTCGGAGCCTTTCCCGGATTCCTTGAAGTAGTCGCGGTTCTCGTCGAACAGGTCATCCGTTGAGGTGTTGATGTCAACAGGAGAAGTGTTTACAGAAAGAGAAGAGCGGGAAAGCATCGAGAAAAGCCCCGAGATTTTAGAGAGCCCCGAAGGACTCCTAGAGAGCATAACTGTTTCTTTTCTTTACTTATCTAATATTTTTTTTTTTGTTTTTATGAAAAGAGCAGAAGAAAGTGTGGTAGAAGAAAGAAATCTTTTGGTTCAAAGCCGTTTCCAATTTATACTGCGCGGATTCTGGCGGCCACAAAGATGTCGCAAGAGGGGCGATAGGGCAAGGTCACAAAATGGGTTTCGGCCAAAACCGTTTCAAAAGACCTGGAATTCGAGAGTGTTGCTTCAAATCGGCTTTTCAAACCGATTCTTGCCAAAGAACTGCACATTTAGAAGGCAGAATGCCATTCCCACAAAAATGGGTGCAAAATGGACGTATGTACTGCAGATAGTCCGGTTTCTCCAATGCCGTTCGTCTGACCCATTTGGAGAAGCTAATGAGAACGAGGAGGCTAGTAGGTGCTTGATTGTCACTTTTGGAACTTTGGGAGATGTTTGGTGTGTTTATTGGCTTGCCAAAACGGACCATGTCCGCAATCGCACAAAGCCACTTGTGACCAAACATGACATCAAAACGGAGCCAAAAGTACACTCTTCATCATCATGGATGACTATTTCTCTTATCGCCAAACAAGATCTGACAACTAGAAGAGACCAGTATGTCATTGCATCAGGATCAATGCATTTGTGTCATTTCTTCAACACATCAGTAATCGGCACATTACGGTATCAACAACAATGACTTGGCAGCAGTAATAACAGCAACCCCTCCAGCACGATAACCCTCCTTCTCTTTCTTTTGTAAGCCATCGACTATTTGGCTGGCATCTGTGTAGCCTAGCTGTACTGTCTGCAGGACCCAAATCCAGTTTTCGTGGTGCACGGGTCCATCTCAGAAACATGCGATTTCGCTTATACCCAAGCTACTAAAAGAAGGCCAAAAACATCAAGATGCGATTTGCTGGCTGCTCGAGGAGGTTTTTCTCCGGCTCGGCAAGAAAGCATCTCCATCTTCTCAACACATCCGCGCGGCCGAGAATGTCTCTCCGGCAAAGCTTGAACTTTTTCGATTCTCCCGAGCTGAAGATGTTTCTCCAGTTTTTGAAAAGCCCTAGCCACTTGATCTTTGTGGCTTCCAACGTGGCCATCTTGGCGCATTTGCAGTTCTACAGCACTGTGCGCAAAAAGCAGCGCATCGAAGAGTTCCTTTTGCAGATGGAGGAGCTTGAAAATTACATTGACTTGATCAACGACCTAGACGCCGAAAACGAAGAGATACAGCGCCAAATCGCCTCTTTGAAGCGTCTTCAAAACCGGGAGCTGCTGCCGGCGCCTTTCTCTGAGAATAGCAGGCAGACGAATAGCGAACCTAGCATTCTTGCCCAAAAGAACGATGTGTCTTTAGCGACACAAATCCAGCATTCTCGGCAGTTTTTAAAGCAACGGCAGGTTTATGTATCTACATTTTCCCAGCCCGAGAACATAGCACGGCTATTTCCCCAGTCGGATAGTCGTGTCGAGGAACACGAAGAGCATCCTGGTAAGCTCGCCTACTCCTCTAGCATTCAAAGCTCACTTATGGCCTTGTCGAACCAGTTGGTCAAGTCTTTCTTGGTGGAGCTCAATTTGCGCCACAGCTTCCACGACTTTGAGTTGGAGCAAGCGCTCTCAGACGATTCTTTTTTACTACATCACGACTTGTTTGCATTAATGAAGAACGACGAGGAAAAGAAGGAGCTTATAGCAAAGCTTTTGGCTCTCAGGTCCGAGAGTCAAGGACTGGCAAGAAATTTCTTGGAAAAATTGAGTCCTGATGCGGTTGCGGAGATGCTGGACAACTTCAAGCATTCGGATGCATTCAAGAGCAAAGAGCTGAGAAGGTACGATTTTTACCACTACAAATCGGGCCATTACCTCAATTATGAAAACTCCGACACCGTGAGTTCCATTCAAGCGTTTCTGCTGCCCCAGTTTCTTACCAATACTGTAAGCAGCAGTGAATATATTCGTCGCTTTGAACAAATTTTTGCATCATACGAAACTTCCAATGCGCCTTTCAAGCACATGGCGCTTGCCCTTGAGTTGGCGCAGGCCCTTTCCTCTGGAGGCCTGTCAATACCCACCTACTCGGTTTTCCGCTATCTTTTGGACCACTTGGGGAACGCCGGCTTGTACAACTACCAGTCATTGGTGTACGACATTCTTCCTTCGTTTGACATGCGCCAAACTGCATTGGCAGACTCACTGAAGTCTCTGGAATTTGCCTCCAGAAACGCATCGCATTTTGCCCATCTAATCGAGGAAGACCCAGACTTTTTGGGCAGCTTGATTGCCTACCAAGTTCCACGGAAAGATGTGGCTGCCTTCAGACAGCTCCTCAAGTACCTCCAAGTCATGCCAACGCAAAATAAGCTTCATGCGTCTCTCATACCAGCATTCATGAAAAGTCATGCGGAGGAGCAGGATTTGCGCTCGCTGGAGGAGATTCTTTTGCCTCAGGACAAGACCCCCCGCTACATTAGCCTCGCTACTATGGCCAGTGCATTCAAAGCGTGTGTGGAGCTCAAACAATACTCCCTATTAGACACTTTGATCAACAAATTGGTGTACAATCTGATTGAAACACCAGAGGGCACGAAAATACTTCTTAGCGAATCGGGCCGTTCCCATACGGCAGAGTTCGAGTGCCAGGATATTTTCTCTGAGCCCATTCTTCTCCTGTTGGGCCGGGCCTATATGGAAACAAAAGATGCAGCACGAGCGAAATGGCTTCTTCCGCATCTCAACCATTTTACGAGTCGCAAGCTGAGCGCCCCGCTTCTAGAGATGGAACGCAACCTTGTGGAGATGTCTGCTGATCATAGAAGAGCGAAGACAGTTTTCGAAAAGCGAGTGGGAAAAAAGCCTGAGCCCGTGAGAAGACCAGAACGAAGACTCAATCCAGAAAACATGCGCACCAGCGCTACAAAGTACGAGACAGAGGCACACGCCCGCCCGTCTGTTTCTGTCATGGCATAGAAGGACACGTATCCATTTTTTCTCTTCTCCGGCCCATATCGCCTGCTTTTGGTTACTATCGGGGCCGTGTATATAGTGTGCAGGACAATGGGTAAAATTCGAGTGATGAGCACCAAAGTAGTATCTCCATTATCGCAGGAAAACCACAACACCCACAACATGAAGTTTTTGACCTCCAACTTTGTCAGATGCGCAGTTAAGACGTGTGACTCTTCTGCCGACGCATTTCCTCTACAATTTTCCGACTGCCAGCTTGTGCAAGAAGAACAAGAGTACAACCCAGAATTCATTGTCCACATGTTGGACAGATTGGACTGGGACGCCGTTTTGAAAGTGGCCAAGGACCTAGGCAACGAGCAGCTTCCTCCGGTCAAGCCCGAGAACTTGAACGCCATCATGGAGGACGACCAGGCCATCTTGAAGGAATTGCATACTTTGCTTGTGGAGACGCAAATCATCGAGGGCAAAATGACCTGCCGCAACTGCAACCACGTCTACTACATCAAGAACTCCATCCCCAACTTCTTGTTGCCTCCACATCTCTGCTGAACGGTGTGAAAGTGCTGTGAGGGCAGAGATTGTATATTAAAGCGACATCAGCGTTCCGGGAAGCTCTGCAACGATACCGGTATGATGCTACGGGCCTGTGGCCTTCACAGAGGAAAGAAAATGGCCTTGGAGGGTTCAAGTGGAGATTTTTCTCAATACCAAACCGAGAATGACATCTGCTCGCAAGAATACGGCTGAATGTTAACTGACACACTTACGTACATAAATACTGATAATTTACTACATTTGCAGATTTTCTGACTTACAGATTCACTGCCTTTACGTATTTCCGAAATTTACTACACTGACATTTAGTTAATTACAGTAGTGGGCCCTGCCAATACACCCGTGCCTCCCGGCGTCCATCCTTGGGCGCATTTAGATTAGATTTGGACGACATAAACCCATTTCGAAAAGCTCCGTCCGCTCAAACAAAACGTGGCATCATGTCAGGAGCAGGAAACAGGGAACAGGTTTTTCCGACCCGGATGACATTGAGTCTCATGAAGGGTAAATTGAAAGGCGCCCAGCAGGGCCATTCATTGTTGAAAAGAAAGTCCGAGGCCTTGACCAAGAGATTCAGAGAAATCACCCAGAGAATCGACGATGCCAAGCGGAAAATGGGCCGTGTGATGCAGGTGGCAGCGTTTTCTTTGGCCGAGGTCCAGTATGCGACCGGCGACAACATTGCTTATCAGGTTCAAGAAAGTGTCCAAAAGGCCCGTTTCCAAGTCAAGGCCAAGCAGGAGAACGTTTCGGGTGTGTACTTGCCCACTTTCGAGAGCCACCTCAACGAGGAAATCAACGATTTCAAAATGACCGGTTTGGGTCGGGGTGGTCAGCAGGTGCAGAAGGCCAAAATGGTGTACACCAGAGCTGTCGAGACTTTGGTGGAGTTGGCGTCTTTGCAAACGGCGTTCATCATTTTGGACGAGGTCATCAAGGTCACCAACAGAAGAGTGAATGCCATTGAGCACGTTATCATTCCTAGAACCGAGAACACCATCAGCTACATCAACTCGGAATTGGACGAGTTGGACAGAGAAGAGTTCTACCGGTTGAAGAAAGTTCAGGAGAAGAAACAGATCAATATTGCCGCAGAGGAGGCGGAAGAGGCGGCGAAGAAGGCGGCGCTTGAAGCTGATGATGAAGACGACGAAGAAACTGAAGAGACCGAAGAAACTGAAGATGCTGAAGATGCCAACGCCGACACCCCAGCGAACAAAGACGAGACTGCGCCCGCATCGGCTGGAAAGAAGAAGAAGAAGAACAAGAAGAAGAAGAAGAAGACTGCCACCAACATGCAACCCACAGAAAGTGAGGTTATTAAAGAAGTCGACCAGTTGGCGTCCCAAGAGACAGATGTGTTGCAAGACAACGAAGAAGATGTCATCTTCTGAGCAAGGAGCGTGTGCTTCTTTCTGTTTAGTTCTTCCTTCCATTATCAATAGATACGTTGTACTGCTTGTAATCCTAGACCACCCTCAGATGAAGTTTTGGTAGATTAAAAATCTGATTACTTTCGAGTACGATGGATTATCGATCATATTACAGATATGAATCCTACGATTATCAGAGATTGAGCGGTGTGAAGATTCATAGACCTGCGAAATGATTGTGTAATTTTGAGTTAATCTTCTAAGATGCAAAATTAGGTCAGCACCTCCGTGTAAAAGAAGCTTCATGGGTAGAAGTAGAGATGGCGAAGAAACCCTTGCCACATGAGTGATGAGCTCTTGTGATTCGAATGATTCTTGTCTCGCTTACATGATCTGACAAGATGTTCTTATGATTCAAAAATTCCTGTCTTAGAAGAATCCATATCTCTGCCGGAAATGATATATGCTTTCACAGTAGTCTGTGTTTTACTGCTTGTTATTCAGTACTAAAGGATTCATTCGCTTCCACGTATAACGAAGGTTGTTGAAAGTCATCGTTTCCATTAGTTGGGATATGTATAGGTCAGGATTGTGTTCATTAAACAAGTTACGGTACTCTGTTGATGTAGTACGTCCATTCACCTGTGAGAAGTCAACAGTAGAGAGTTCGGACACATTACTCTTCAATTTATGGAAGATCAAGGAGAAGCTCAATCATTTAATCGTTCAATCCCAATCATCAATCCCAATCATCAATCCCAATCATCAATCATCTTACCATTCTCAATCTCAAGAAGAGATGGGGAATTAGTTCTCTGAAGCATTGCAAGTCCGTCGATGGATTTAAAGCCGTATCAAATAGTTAGAGAAAATTACTACCTGAACAATGGAGATTACGGAACAGATAAATTTTCTCAAGAAAATGAGTAAACTAATACTCAGAAAGCAAACGGTTCCAAAACAGAGAATAGGATTTCAAGGTTAGAAGAATTCATGAGGGTTGCTTCGATGCCGCCTCATAGCTAATTTCGGATTTCGAATAACTTACTATGCTCATCCAATCTAATTTGAGTTCTCAGTATTGGCCTTATGTAGCTCAGACCGATTCTCAATTATCTCAATCATCTTTACCATTCTCAATCATTCTAATCATTCTAATCATTCTAATCATTCTAATCATTCTAATCATTCTAATCATTCTAATCATTCTCATTCAATCATCTTAATCATTCAGTATCTTAATCATTCAATCATCTTTACCTCTCAATTGTCTTTACCATTCAATCACCTTTACCATTCAATCACCTTTACCATTCAATCACCTTTACCATTCAATCCTCTCATCATTCAATCCTTCAATCCTTCAATCTTTCAACCATCTCATCTAGTGCAACTGTCCTGCAGTTCCTGGCTATCTACTGATTTTCCACATCCGGGATAGGCGGCTGAGTCCGGTGGTTCCGACTCGGCTACTGTCCGGAAGTCGCCATATGCACGAAGAAGCCTGCGAGACACCAACCTCACCAACACCAAGCTCCACAACCTCAACTTCAATCAATTCCAATCACTCAATTCCAAATCACTCCAATCACTCCATCCAATCACTTTAACGTCCATCTCCTTTGCTGCTTACGTACACGCTTACATAACTCCACCTCCACTCTTCTCCCGGCCAGAGTCGGCACGCACTGTGTGTAGTTTTCGCGCCAGCAAATAAGAGCGCAGACATTTGGCCATTACCAACTGGACCCCATAATTCTCCGCCAGTCTCCGCGAAAAGCTTTTTACTTTTTAGCACGCTTTTTTAGCTCCCTTTCTTTCTCCCACGCTACCCATTTTTCTCTGCACCATGTTGAGAAGCTTCAGAGCGTTTTCCACCTCCAGAGCGGCCCGCCAGGTCATTGGCGCCGCCAAGGGCGAAACTGTCAACTCCACCAAATACTTGGGCCAAAAGTACCATGTCATTGACCACGAGTACGACTGTGTGGTTGTCGGCGCCGGTGGTGCTGGTCTTAGAGCAGCCTTTGGCTTGGCCGAGGCCGGCTTCAAAACCGCCTGTGTCACCAAGTTGTTCCCCACCAGATCCCACACCGTGGCCGCCCAGGGCGGAATCAATGCTGCTTTGGGAAACATGCACAAGGACGACTGGCACTGGCACATGTACGACACCGTCAAGGGTTCGGACTGGTTGGGTGACCAGGACGCCATCCACTACATGACCAAGGAGGCGCCCCAGTCCATCTACGAGTTGGAGAACTACGGTGTGCCCTTTTCCAGAAACGAGGAAGGCCGTATCTACCAGCGTGCGTTCGGTGGCCAGTCCAAGGAGTACGGTAAGGGTGGCCAGGCCTACAGAACGTGTGCCGTGGCTGACAGAACCGGCCACGCCTTGTTGCACTCGTTGTACGGCCAGTCCTTGAGACACGACACGCACTTTTTCATTGAGTTCTTCGCCATGGACTTGATGATGCAGGACGGCGAGTGTGTCGGTGTGGTGGCCTACAACCAGGAGGACGGTACTTTGCACCGTTTCCGCGCCCACAAGACCGTGTTGGCCACTGGTGGTTACGGTAGAGCCTACTTCTCCTGTACCTCCGCCCACACCTGTACCGGTGACGGTTACGCCATGGCCTCGAGAGCTGGCTTGCCTTTGCAGGACTTGGAGTTTGTGCAGTTCCACCCTTCGGGTATCTACGGCTCGGGCTGCTTGATCACCGAGGGTGCCAGAGGTGAAGGTGGTTACTTGATCAACTCCGAGGGTGAGCGTTTCATGGAGCGTTACGCTCCTCACGCCAAGGACTTGGCCTCCAGAGACGTTGTTTCCCGTGCCATCACCATGGAAATCAACGAAGGTAGAGGTGTCGGCCCAGAAAAGGACCACATGTTCTTGCAATTGTCCCACATCCCTGCGTCTGTGTTGAAGGAAAGATTGCCTGGTATTTCTGAGACCGCCCACATTTTCGCCGGTGTCGACGTGACCAAGGAGCCTATCCCTATCTTGCCTACCGTCCACTACAACATGGGTGGTATTCCAACCAGATGGACCGGTGAGGTGCTCAAGAAGAACGAGAAGGGCGAGGATGAAGTTGTTCCTGGCTTGTTGGCTTGTGGTGAAGTTGCCTGTGCCTCCGTTCACGGTGCCAACAGATTGGGTGCCAACTCTTTGTTGGACTTGGTTGTTTTTGGTAGAGCTGTTTCCCACACCATCAGAGACTCTTTGACCCCAGGTACTCCTCTCAAGCCTGTTCCTAAGGACCTTGGTTTGGACTCCATCGCCAACCTTGATAAGTTGAGAAACGCCAACGGTACCAAGTCCACTGCCGAGATTAGATTGGCCATGCAAAAGACCATGCAAAAGGGATGTGCTGTGTTCAGAACCCAAGAAACTTTGGACGAATGTGTCAAGAACATCAACGAAGTTGATGAAACCTTCAAGCATGTCAAGACCACCGACAGATCCATGATCTGGAACTCCGACTTGGTGGAGACTTTGGAGTTGCAAAACTTGTTGACTTGTGCCACTCAAACTGCTGCCTCTGCTGCTGCTAGACCTGAATCTAGAGGTGCTCATGCTAGAGATGACTACCCTGACAGAAACGATGCTGAATGGATGAAGCACACCTTGTCTTACCAAGAGAAGTTTGGTGCTCCAGTCAGGTTGGATTACAGAAATGTCATTAGCCACACCTTGGATGAGAACGATTGTAAGTCTGTTCCTCCAGCCAAGCGTGTCTACTAAGCATGTTAGCCCAATGACTGAATATTCGCATGGGTCGAATGAAGTCACGAATCTAATTTATTGTGGATAGCTTCCTACGACGCAATGCACGAAGCACATTAAATATCAAATGCATACTCCAGATTATTATTTTTTTGGTCCTTACATGTATGGGCAATTGTAACGGACGTGTTATCAGATGGTATGTTCATACGTTGTAGTTCGAAACTGTTGACAAAATGTCTAGATGAACGGGCATTCTATTTCCACAATCACAGGTTATGCTGAGATCTTATTCGGTTCTTCGATTTATACAAAAACGCTCGAATGATGTGTTACGATCTCTGATAGTAAACACTGTCCCACTACGTACTTAACATTTCAAAGTGACTAATGCTTATCGTTCTTCTCTTGCTATATGCTAAAGGAAGTTCAATAGATCCTCGTTATTTTGCGGTTTGGGAGTCGGAGTAGACCCAGTAGAGCTTGGTGTTAGGACCACGCTAGCATTGTAACCAGGAGGGTATTTTACAGTAGATGACGAGTTGCCGATTGCTGAAGACAGAAAGGTTTCTTGGTTCCTCATAGTGGGCAGCAAAACGGTGGCTGATGGGGTATCGTAGCGGGGCTGCAGACTCTTGGCCGAACTCCAGTCTATGCTTGTGTTATTTGACGAAGAGCCGTCTTGGAAATCTTCAAACTCATCGCCTGCAGAGGTTTGGTTCTTGAACAACATGGGTTTTCCAAAACCAGAATTGCCGTCTCCATCGATAGCTCCAAAAGACAACGGCGTCTTTTGTGTTGGCTTCAATGTGAGCGGCTTGACATGGCTGGGCCTTGCATGTTTCACAGAGCCAGTGCTTGTGTGTTTTGCGCTCTGGTTTCGAGTAGGCCGTGAATTATTGGCCTGGGCCGGCGCTATGGGTTTCAGCTGTGGTCCCTTGACGGTGTCATCTTTTCCTGCTTGTCTGAGCAGAGGGGTGTTGATCAAAGAGTCGAAGTTGGTCGAAGAAGCGTCGGATTCTGTCAAAGTTTGCAATTTCCTTTGCGTGAGTGTTGATTGGATACCTTCGATGGATCTCATGAACTGCTGGAACTCGGCCTTGCTGCACCCTGAGCATCCAAAAGCAAGCCTCAAGCACTGGACCAATACCTTGTCCACTAGGGTCTCCAAGTCCAATGCAATATGCTCACTTTGGGAAAGCTTGGTGAAGAAGAATAAAATGCCGCTGATGATGCGCTTGTCACGACTCTTTAAGTTCTCCACCACCGGAAGAAGTTGCTCGTTGACAATGACCTTGTCGATGACATTCTTATCAATCAACATTTGAAATGTGGCAATGGTCTGCAACTTCGTTGATAATATGGTTGTGGTTTTAAACACCTGGCACACAAGCGGGAACAAGGTTTTCTTGATGTAAGGAAAATCAAACATTTCAATGACGAGCTCGAGGTTCTGCAAAAAAGTCTCTTGGAGCTTGATCTGATCTGCTTGCACATCAACCTCATTTGGTGCATACGTGAGACACAACTCGGCAATGTCTCGTACAATGTCTGTCACTTGCTTTTGCAGTAGTTTTTTCGTCATAACGTCAAGATGGTTAATGATCTCGAGTCTGCACTTTACAGAAGTTTTTGCCAACTTGAGCAATGGGCTGGAGTCATCTTTCCTCTTTTTCGTGGAGTCCAACATCGTCGCATAAATCCTATCTTGGAAAGATAATCCAGACAAGTCCTGGCCAATAAGCATAATCACATTAAAAGACTGGCTTATGAGGCTATCTGTGTCAGCATCGAGTTTCTTTGTTCCTAGAAGATTAAGTTCGTTGGACGTCGATTCTGCAAGTAGAGGGAGCAATTTCGAGTTTTTAAACACAACAGGAAGCTTTTTGAGCAATGCACCTTGATCAGCCACAAGCCCCGAAAGAAAAATCAATTTTTCATCAATGTTTTTGGTAGAATATTCGTCAATAAACCACATGGTTTTGATTAGACTGCCGCTGAAAAAGTCTGAATCTATGAACTGATCAATGGTGATGCGATCGTTCGGGTATCTTGCAAGCAAGTGTGTGAGGGTGCTCCATAAGGATTCGGGAATATCTTTCAACAAGTACTTCAACTCGGAAACTCTGTGATTGTAAAACTTTTGCTCAAACTTTCTGAACTCTGCCTTGAACTCAGAAGGGCTGTTGCTATCGAAACAGCTAATTAGATGCTCGCCTTTATTGTACACGTAGTAAATGAACAAGCCTAGAGACCACAAGTCGTTTGCCGTGTCGAGCCGGAGATTCGACGAGTCCACAATAAGTTCTGGAGCCGTGAAGTTCAAGTTGAGATTGGCGAAAGGGACAATGGAAGAATTGTTCATGATGTAGAAGTTTTCCCTCTCCAGTACGGACAACTCGTTGAGATTCTGCAAAAACTTAAACCCGGCGAGCTTCCAATCGCCCAGGCTCGTGACGAATACAGACGACGGCTGAAGATTCAAGTGGATGGTGGAGCAGAAGTTGTGTAAGAACTGGAGGCCCTTGCTGACCTCCAACAAGCCTTTCTGGATGCTGAGCTCATCCTCCTTGTTCAAATCAAGCGTCACCAAGTTGGCCACCACTGCCTCTGTGGCGAAAATGAACTTCAGTCGTGTTTCTTCAAGCACTTCAAGCACAGTTAAGATCTGCGGATGCTTCAACTTGGTAAGCTTCGACACTTCCTTTTTGATGAGCTCGTAGCACTCGCTTATGATCAATCGGGGATTTGTGGCGTTGGGCGACTGGGAACACATGCGCTGAACCAGAGTCTCGAACTTGGTTTTGTCAAAGATGAATACCGACGCAGCTTTTCCCGTCAGCCGATGCTTGGCCGGATACACGGCCCACAGTTCTGTGTGGAAAGAAGCATTTTCCGACACGTTATAGGTGCTCCGGATGCCCGTTTTGAAAACGGACTTGAACATGGCGGTGTTTGGATTGATGAAGAAGTTGGTGTATGTACTGGTGTGTACAGGAAAGTCCAACTCGGCTAGGCTGATGCGGTTATCTTTTAGTCCTTCGCTGGTTTCTGTCTCTGATTTTGTTTTCTGTTGTTCTGTTTTCTGAAGTTTTCGCTCTCTGAAGTTTTCGTTCTCTGACGTTTTTTGTTTTCTGATGTTTACTCTTCTCTGACATTATTCATGACTCTGTTTAACATGTTTTGATATGGCTAAGAGTACAATGGTATAATGATGGATGAAAGGAATTTCAGATCGAGAAACCTGAAAGCAGTGACGATTAGTTATTACTCTTCTTGTTCTTGTTTCTATTTTTGTTCTTTTGCTGAAATGGTTGTTTTTTTTTTTGGAGTAATAAAACCTCTATCAGACTTCATATCTATATTAAAGGTCTTCGCAATTTATGTGCGTTTTGACACAACTGTGCGTTTGACATTCTTGTCTTAAAAGCAAAAAATACAAGACAAGTGCATTCCCATTAAAATAGGAGACACACCAGATTTATAGCCACTTGTAATCCTATCCTCTTTCTTTCCGTTCTTTCTCCGTTCATTTTCTTCCTTGTCTGACTTTTGGCGGTGTATCACGTGCACACATACTCATACACTTAGACTATTCCATCTACTTGAAGCCAACCATGGAAATTCTTGAAGAAACATACACCAACTCGGCCGAGCGGTTGGACAAACCGTCGCAGTACTTGATCCGCAAGGCCATCAGAAGAGGCAATTTCGACAACATAACCAAGGCGTTGCAGCTGAAAACCGTGTATGTGGGAAACTTAACCCATTTCACCACAGAGGAGCAGATACACGAGTTGTTCTCGAAATGCGGCACCATCGACCGAATCATCATGGGGCTAGACAGAAACAAGTTGACTCCGTGCGGGTTCTGCTTTGTCATCTACAAAGACGAAGAAGGTTCGTTGAATGCCATGAAGTACTTGAAGGGCACCTACTTGGACGGCCAGAGTCTAGAGATTGACTTGGATCCGGGATTCCGCGAGGGAAGACAGTTTGGCAGAGGAATATACGGCGGCCAGGCCAGCCAGGAGCAAATGGACAACGGCTTTCCAAGAAGAGAACGCGGAGGATTCCGTGGAGGATTCCGGGGCGGCTTCAGAGGCAGAGGACGCGGCAGAGGCGGGCCAAGAGGCGGTTTCAGAGGCCGTGGTGGTTTCAGGGGCGGCTTCAGAGACTCCTTTACGCCGGACCGTGTGTAAAGCAATAGGACGAAAGAAGGGAGGAACCGAGAGAACGAAAGCAAATAGAACGAACAGCAGAAGAAAACAAAGGAACATAAAGTAGGACGAGCAAAAGAACATGTGGGAGCAAGAGAAACATAAAGTACGAAGCAAGAAAGGGATAGCATAATTGAAGCAAGAAACGGATAGCATAACTCAAGCCATAGAAACGAGTGGAGCCAGTAGCAAGCAATATCAAAAACAGGAAACATTTTATTGAGCGAAATAAGTAAGACGAAGAGAAGGTAAAATAATTCCGACTATTGCACACACTTGTTGTAGTCGTCGACTTTGAAGCCAATAATGTCACAGTAGTTGCTCGTGTAGCAGTCGTCTGTGATTTTCGAGTTGTTGGCACAACTTGGAACGTACGGATTGTTTCTGTAGAGCAAGTTCGTGTACAACTGGTTGAACTCGATGTCCAGCTGGTCCTTCAAGCGCTGCACAACAAACTGGTCCCAGAAAGAGGCGTTCAAAGGAGAAGACCCTGGCCATTTGCCTTCGGTGTCGTACGTGGTTCTAGGGTCGTACTCATAGAGCCACTTGGGCTCGGCAGAAGCACTGACCCATGTCTCATTAAGTGGGGAGTAATAGTTGTAGGCGTTCATGATATTGAACGACTCATCCTCCACCTCGTAGTATCTCCAGGAAGGATTGGCGGGACCCAATGGCGTAATGGCCTGAGACACCCAAGCCATGTTAATTGGGTTCAGGTTGCTGTCGTACAACACTTTGAACTGGTCCTTGTGTGTGTGGCCGTAGAAAATGTTAGCGATGGTATAAGGCGAGAATCTTTCGACAATTTTGGCGAAAATGTCCGATTGGATTGGCAAAGCATCCTGGTCACCTGCGGGAATGTGAGCCAAGATCCACACTCTCTGGCCGTTCTTCTCTGACTCCACCAACTCATCAATCAAGTACTGCCATTGGCCGAAAAGATCGGGCTCGGCCTCCATGTTGATGTAGGCATACAAGTTTTTCTGGTAGTAGCAGTTGGAGTTCAAGGAAATCACCTTGAGGCCTCTATTAGTTGTGGTGGTGAAAGCAGAGTAGTGCTGCTTGATCTCGTCCTTTTCGGACTCGTCAAGCCAGCCGTTGGACGTCCAGAGTTCGCTCATAAGTTCGTCGTTCCAGTGGTAGACCGACTCATTCAAAGAGACGTTGCCGATTTTTTGAGGGGCCAACTGGCCGTAAGGGAAAGTGTCGTGGTTGCCCAAAGTTGGGTAGACTGGAATGTCTTTCAAGAAGTGCTTCATGATCTTGTACGATCTGATTTCGGCAAACTTGGTTGTGTTTGCGTCACAGTGAATAACGTCGTGGTCCACGATATCACCGGTGAAAAGCGAAAACTCGTATTTGTTGGTGGGGATGGTGCCGCCAATGTGCAACAAACTGTTGTTCAACAACACTTCTGGAGGATCACACTCGTAGTTTCCAAAGGTAGAGGCTGGGGTCCATGCAAAACTCCAGCCGCGGTACAAAGGAATATCGTAGTATTCGCCGGCAACATAAGCGTCGTTTTCGTCGTAGTGGGCATGTGGGTAGAACGAGAGGTCCAATTCACCCGAGGCGCCAGCGTCCTCGTACACAGAAGTGAAGTTGTACGATTTATCGGTCAAGTCAGAGTTGTAGGACTCAGGAAGACAGCAGAGACCCTGAGAACAGTTTGCTTCTGCGCCAATCTGGTAGCGGAGCTCGTTGTGGAAGTCAGACACGTGCAACACGTTGAAGCGTTCTCTGGTGGCATTGTACTGAGGTTCAGAGAAATACTCTTCTTCCTTGGCGGGCCACATGGAGTCCAAGTCTATAATGGACGCCAAGTCTGGTGTCTCGGGCAACTTGCAGTAGCTTCCCTTGTAGTGGCAGTAGTAGTCAAGCGAGAGCTTCGACGAGGTGTTGAAGTTCTTGATCATCTGGATGAAGTCGTTGTCGAAGAAGCTGATGGAGGTGGCACCTTCGAATCCGCCGGCGGGGCCCGAGAACGCATTGTTTTCCGGGTTGGTGTAGGTGTTTGTGGTGATGAAAAAGTCAATGAACTCGCACTTGGTGTCCTTGTTCTTGTTTTGCACCAAGCAGTACTCGTAGAGCATCAACGAGATCAAGTGCAGTTTGTCTGGGTTCTCGTTGACCAAGTCCTGGGCGTAGATGACCTTGTGGTGGCATTTTTCGCACAGCGTGCCATTGTACTGCTGCAACTCGTTCAAGTGCTGGTCAATAAAGTCCTTCTCTTCAAGAGATAAGGCGGCAATGGTGTCGTCCAAGACGGAGCCATAGGGCACGTCACGTGCATGCACCTGTTTTCGAATCAGGTCAATGTTGGACACTGTGAGCGCACAAGAAATGGCCCACAAAGCGGCGAAAGAAAGCACGCGGAGCAACATTCGAGGGCGACGGAAAGAGAGCGATGTTTTGTCTTTTCCCTTTTTCTTTTTCTTTTTTTCTTCTGCCGACACCTCAAGTATATATATCGCGGTTATGCCGCACGTGGAGCAGTCTGTTGTATGCAAGAGGAGTAATAGTGAAATTATCGCTGATTATGCGTCTACGATTATGTATGAGGGTGGTCCGAATCCGGTCTGGATATGCGACGAGATGTGTCTGTATGTCATGAAAATTGCCTTTTGTCTTTTTCTCTGTCTTTGACGATTGGGTTTTTGTGAATTTTCATGGCCACGATGCCAAGATATCATGCCAATTGTATATGCTGTTACCATAGATTTTGATTTTCCACCCCATTTTCCATCTGCCTGCCGCATTTTCTGTCATGTCACTGTCACTTGTAACATACATATATTGACATTTCCCACGTGCTGACTTAAGGGGATCGGATCTGAGACAGGCCTCCGCACCTGTACAGGTTCGTATCGACACCGGAAAAGAGGTATCTGGCTCAGTATTCTGAAAAGTCTTCATGGCACTGTGGTACTGAAACACCCGAAGATTATCTCTGTATCCAGAAAATTCCCTTTGTATCCGAAGGTTGACCTACAAAGACAAATGCCAGAGTGTTGGACTGCAGAATGGCCCTGACTTCGTAATGCATATGGCACCCTTTTACATGCAATGCATGCTTGTCCTGCAACGGCCAATTCGACTAGGATAGACCTGCAACGGTCTTAAGGGTGGACGATTCTTCGATTAGGCAAAGACCACAAAAGTTTGTAGATGACAAACATTCTGGCCCAACAATCTCCTACCGGATCTTTCTGGTGTTGTTTTCTGGTCTTGCTTTCTGGACTTGCTTTCTGGACTTGCTTTCTGGTTTTGCTTTTGACTTCAATAATAAAGCAAGTGGAGAAAGCTCGTATATCTCGGCTCGTAATCCATGCGCCATTTCCATGTAGCATGGCTCATCGGGATGCATTTCCGAGGCTTCCAAACTAGGCAATTGCAGTAGGCTCTATGTGCCGAAGGGTCTTGCAAATACGAGCTTAAGTCCTACTTTGTGAGAGCCACTCTGTTTTTCATACTGGATCATGATAGGGTACCACGCAGAAAGCTTGTATATTCACCAAACATCGATTAAGTTTACTTTTGGGAATGATTAATCAAGTCCGATTAGCCAAGCAAGGAGACCACAAGAACTACGGATATAGAAATCGGCCTTTGGTTTCACGAGTTGCTTTGGTGTAAAAGCTTGAACTCTCGGTGGCTATGTTACAAACAAGACATTTTTGGAGTAGTGATCCTATGAGGGCTATATTTTTACGAATGATGAGACGAATTCCCCGATATCCAGAACCTCGATTCATCATCCAAAAATAAGACATCATGCAAACATTGTCACCTATACTGGGACAATAATGATACCAGCAATATGATCTCAACAATTTAGGAGCTGGCAGAATACCTCAATGAAAATTGAGCGATATGAAAAGTGGTCGTGTGATTTTTTTGTCATTATGACCAATCCAGAGTTTTCATCATCTACTCCATTGGAACTAGTTACTTACTGCTTAGTCATCTTTCGCGGGATGCTGACGTAAGCGTGGCCATGACTGCGAAATGAAAGGATGCTTGCATCAAAGTTACATAAAATCAATCTAAACAATTTTCATCTTACTAGATGTTTTTGGCACATTCAAAGTAGTCGTTGACGTCGAATCCAATCACGTTACAGTAGTTGTCTTGGTAGCAAGAGTTGGACACCTGCGTGCCGTTGGCACAACTAGCGACGTATGGGTAGTGTCTAAAAATCAACGAGGAGTACAACAGATTGAAGTCCACCTCCAGCTTATCCTTGAGTCTTTGCACGACATACTTGTCCCAGAAAGTGGCGTTCAAAGGAGCAGAGGCAGGCCATGTTCCGTTGCTGTCGTACGTTGTTCTGGGGTTGTATTCGAAAAGCCAGTTTGGCTCTTTTCCACCATTGACCCAAGTCTCGTTGAGAGGTGTGTAGTAGTTGTAGGTGTTGATGATGTTGAAGGACTCATCCTCCACCTCGTAGTATCTCCAAGAAGGATTGGCCAAACCCAAAGGAGTGATGGCCTGAGAAATCCACGCCATGTTGACTGGCTCCAGCTTGTTTGAGTACAACACCTTAAACTGGTCCTTGTGGGTGTGGCCATAGAAGATGTTGGCGATAGTGTATGGAGAAAACCGCTCAACAATCTTTGCAAAGATAGCAGACTGGATAGCAAATGCATCTGCGGCTCCCGAAGGAACATGGGCTATGATCCACACTCTCTGTCCGTTTTTCTCTGATTCAACCAATTCGTCAACCAAAAACTGCCACTGACCATACATATCAGGGTCGTTTTCCATATTGCCGAAACCGTACAAGTTGTAGTAGTAGTAGGTGTTGGAGTTCAACGAAATCACCTTGAGGTTTCTTTTCGTGGTGATGGTGAAGCCAGCATAGTGTTGTTGAAGTTTTTCCTTTTGGTCGTCGTTGATCCAGCCATTGGACAACCAAAGCTCGCTCATGAGCTTCTCGTTCCAGTGGTAGACAGAGTCGTCCAAAGTGACGTTGCCAAGTTTTTGCGGAGCCAATTGGCCGAAAGGAAAAGTGTCGTGGTTGCCCAACACTGGGTACACGGGCAAGCCCTTCAAGTAGTGCTTCATGATCTTGAACGATCTGATCTCAGCATACCTGGTTGTGTTTGCATCACAATGTGCCAGGTCGTGGTCGACAATGTCACCGGTGAAAATGGAAAACTCGTACTTGTTTTCGTCGAACGTGCTGCTGACGTGCAACAAACTGTTGTTCAACAAAACTTCCGGCGTGTCACACTTGTAGGCACCGTAGGTGGAAGCAGGACTCCACACGTTGTTCCAGCCCCGATGCTTGGGCAAGTCGTGGTAGTCTCCAGCCACATAGTTGTCGTTTTCGTCGTAGTGGGCGTCCGGATAGAAGGAAAGGTCCATTGGGTCCTGGGCACCAATGCCCTTGTACACAGAGGTGAAGTTGTACTTGTCGTCGGTCAAGGCGGAGTTGTAGCTATCAGGCATGCAGCAAAGGTATTGCGAGCAGTTTGCTTCTGCGCCGATCTGGTAGCGGAGCTGGTTGTGCAAGTCCGACAAGTGCAACACGTTGAAGCGTTCTCTGGTCTCGTTGTACTGGGGCTCGTAGTAGTATTCTTCTTCCTTTTCGGGCCACATGGACTCCAAGTCTATGATGGACGCCAAGTCGGGCATTTCGGGCAAAGGACAGTAGCTGCCTCTGTAGTTGCAGTAGTAGTTGAGAGAAAGCTCCGAGGACGTGTTGAAGTTCTTGATCATCTGGAGAAAATCGTTGTCGAAAAAGTCAATGGAGGTTTCCGATTGGTATGCGGCATCGGGTCCGTTAGTGCCAGGAACAGAAGCCCGTGTTTGTGTGTTGGTGTGGATGAAAAAATCGTTCATCTGGCACGCAGAGTCTCCTTTGGTCGGGTTCTGGTACAAACAGTACTTATAGAGCACCAACGACACCAAATGCTCTTTTTCTGGGAACTGCGAGATCATCAGCTGGGCATAGGAAACCTTGTGGTGGCACTGCTTGCACCGGGTGGCATTGTACTTTTTCAACTCGTTCAAGTGCTCGTACAAGAAATCCTGGTCGTCGATGGACAAGCCTTGGACAATGCCGTCGATAAGAGACGTTGGGTGTGTGTCACGTGCCGATAGCTGTTTCTTGATGCTGTCTCTGTTGGAAACGGTATGCGCCAAAGACGCTGCGCATAAAACGGCGGAAAAAAGCACACGCAACAACATGCCACTTTAGTCTTTAGCTGTCTCTGTCGACAAAAAAAAAAAAAGTTTTTGGGTCGCTTTAAGTATGGAGAATCGGCCACACGTGGACATATTGGTGTATTTCAAGAATGCAGTCCGTTGTATGTCCCCAGACTGTCAACGTGGGAACTCCACTATAGACCGGAATGCGTCAGGTACCGCATATCTAATACCAGAGTTTATTTTCTTGTCAGCCAGCCCTACAAGTAGAATATAGAGAAAAGACGGCAAAGGGCAAATAGACTCAGCAGGACACAGCAGCACATAATACACCAGCTGAAAGTGTTTTGTTGGGATCGCGCAAAACCGCATCAATGCATGTCCCACGTTGTTGAAATACATCCGTGGGATGTTGGAAATTTCTGCAAGCACATTCTGCAACGATCCTTGCAATTGAATGCGTCTGAGGGGCATGTATGATGAATCCGGTAACGATTCTGCGACGACGGAGGCCGTATTCCAATGGCATACAAAATACCATGCAATACAAACACCGATACATACCAAAACCAATACAACCACCGATACAAACCATACAAACCATAAAAACATACAAACCATACAAACCATACAAACCATACAAACCATACAAACCAATGCAAACATACAAATACCAATAAGTACGAACGGCCCATGAGTAGTTTCAGTGAACCAATGTAACAAGACTAGTGCAACCAGCATTGCCGTGGAACAGTGATGAAATTAATATCCCGCATGTATTACATTGTCACTGTCATTGTCGGAATTGACACCCCGATTCGTCCTTTTGCGTCTTTTGCACAGGCAAACTTATGCGCTCAACGAATGTGAACGGAACCGAATTCCCATTGACCTAATTACAGATACTCAATGTCTTCAGCTGACAATCTCTTCAATGTACGAATGGCTTCATGAACGGTTAATGTCTCGGCTTCAATGTACTAGGCTTCAATGTACTAGGCTTAATGTACTAGGCTTCAATGTACGAACGGCTTCAATGTGCGAACGGCTTCAATGTAGGCTTCAATGTTATATTGCCGATACTTGTGGCATGACACTATTTTCATGGGAAATAATAGAGCACCTTCTCCATGCTTGACTTCCCTCGAAAATGGAAAACATTTCCCTCGATACGTTTTTATTCTTTTAACTCACTCGGCAGTGATCTTTTTGTCTGCTTGAAACATGGTAAAAGTGGATAGGAAAAGCTTTGAAATGTTTCAGCGAACACATAACCGTATAGCTCATATCTTACAACCTAGCTGTTCATAAATTACACCCGTACATTAACTAAATACCCTTTTCTGCCGAACTTGTTTCTACCTCCCTTGTTTCGCTAGAGGAATCCACTTCGGGCGCCCGATCGTACTTTGAATTGTACAAGACAATACCGTTCTGGCGAGCATGCCGTTTCTCTTGTCTCTTGTAGAGCCACAACACAAGAAACGTCCACAAGCACAAGCAGAAGGCACTGGTGGCGGTGAAACTGTAACCTTTCAAGAAACGAGGCGCCTCTTTTGTTTTCCATACGATGACAGCCATCCAAGCCGTGGAGGACTGCGCCAACATATTCATCACCACCAAGATAACAGCACGCTTCTGCGCATCACGGCGACAAATATCGTTTTGCCAGGAATACAAGACTGGCGCCATGGCCCAGCCAAAATATTGCATACACCAAGCAAACCACTTGGCCCGCTCGGGGACATGCCACACGGCCAAAATGACGTTTCCGGCAATGTTGAAAACCTGCGAAAGCAAAATCGCCAGCCACCGCAGATGGAACAAGTCGGCATACATGCATGTGATGAACAACCAGGCCAAACCAAGGCCCGGAGTCAAGGCACTGTAGTCTTGAAGCTTTCCTGCCCCGTATCTTTTGAGCGACTTGAGCCATAAAATGTAGGCACCAGAAGCTCCGTTACTGTTGTTCCAGCAAAGCATGTTCCACACAGTCAATACGTAAAACTCCCACGACGAAAGAATGGACTTCCACATGTTTTTGGAGACGAGCGATTTCAACAAGTCGGACTGCGGCCGTGATGCAGTGTTGTTCTCCTTCAATTTGCGGCGCAACAACCGGATTTCGTCGTCGGTCAAAAAGATCGAGTAACAGTCGGTAGGTGTACCTGGAAGCATGTAGAAACCGAGAAATCCAACGACAAGCGAGATGATACCGTCGATGATGAAAATCCAGCGCCACGCCTCGAGTCCGCCCTTGTTCTGGAACGTCCGCACAATGGCTCCGGAGAGCAAGCCCGACGTTAAAACACCAAGGTACTGGCCAAAGTAGTAGAACATCGAGCGGCGCGCAATCATGGCCGGGTTGAAAATAAACGTGCCAAACAAGTACTGGTAGGCCAAGTAGGAGGGCGCCTCAAAGGCACCAATGAAGAAACGAATGGCCTTCAACTGGCCGAGCGAGTTGACGCGGTACGTTCCGATGGTCAACGCCGACCAGCAGAGATCCAAAAAGGGCAACACATAGTTCAACGGCAAGCCGTACAAAACGTACATGAAGGGGATCTGGAACACAATGTTGCCCACGTTGAACAAAACCTGCGTGTTGACCAAGTCGTTTCCCTTCATGGAAAGAGACTCCTGGAGCCCAGCCACATAGGCATTGTTCAAGTTGGTCTGGTCCAAGTACTTGACCCAGTAGGCCATGAATGCGTAGAAGGTCAACAAGATGTCGATTTTCCACATCAACTTGCGCTCGGCAGGCGTGTCGTTTTCGTCAAACCACTTGTACCACTTGTGATTAGCCCGGTCATGCTTATTGAGGCGGTACTCGTACTCGTCAAAGAACTTGTACCACTTGCGGTTGGCCTCGTCGCGTACTTCGACTTGTCCCGAGTAGCCGTCGTCGTTTTTCGAGTGCACAGACTTTTCCAGCACTTTTTCTGCCTCTTTTTCCAGCAAAATTTCCTGTTCGGTAGCGATGGTCGAGACGCCGTTCTCGTCCTCATCGACGATTCTTCTCACGGGCAAAAAGCCCCACTTCAAACGGCTCAAAGGCTCTTTAAGAAACAGCATGCGGCCCAAAATGAACGGCCCGGCGCCATCTTTTATACTCCAAACTGTGGTTCATGCACCCAGATGCTTTTTCCATTACCAAAACTCACGTGCGAGATGCATCGGGGACCCTTTTTATCGCGAGATTATAGCGCCAGAGAAATGCCCACGGCTCCAAATTTGCACGGCCGCTCTCTGCCGTCCCGTGTATTTCTGGGAACGGCCTTTCACAGAATGGAGACTTTTCTCCAGCCAAATAACAAGATGGAGTTGGGGAAAATCTTGTGTCCGGCATACCGTTCAGCCGCATGCTCCGGACTTGGCGTAACGGAAACGGCGCGCAATCGCCGGCAAAAAGTGATTCTGATTGACTGGGCGAGGAAAGAGGCTAAATGGAAGGAGGCAAAAAGAATGGGGACAGAACGAAAATTGGGACAGAACAAAAATTGGAACAGAACAAAAATGGAGACAGAATGAAAATGGAGACAGAATAAGACTAGCCAAAACGTTCACGAAGCGGAAAGTCAGTGCGAACGTAAATTGATGTATTCTGGTCAATACTGAAGGAATATGCTTTCCTGACTCACGCAAATTTTTTGATGAGAGCGAAGACGGGCTTTCGACGAAGTAGCTCCACATGCTTAATTCAATGTATTAAGTCAAACATGGCAATAGCAGGTCTACAGAAATGAATCATGCAATTTTAAACAACCTAATTTTGTCGGACTATTTTCTCGTTTCTGAATATACGAGATTTGCATGAGCCGCGCGGAAACGGCAATAAATGCGCTCACGTGTCAGAGAAGACGAAGCTCTGAACTTTTTCATTTAAACTATCATTTGAACTTTTGAACTCCATTTGAACTATCATTTGCTTTCATTTGAGCTTTCATCTGAACCATCATTTGAACTTTCATTGTAGAGGGTTCTTTCTTAACGAAGAAAATACTCTTCTACCATTTGACGCCGGGAGCTCGATTTCATACTATAAGCAAGTGAAGCATGACTTTGCCATTGCTGCCGAGGCTCCATAATTTAAACTGATTCCACTTCTGGCATGTGTAGACAAGTTCAGAGTAAGCTTCTTGAAGTACAGTCCATGTATCGACATACAACTAAATTCGCAATGTCGTATTTCACAAATCAGACGAACGTCGAAGGATACATGAGGCGAAGAAATTCCTATTCATAATTAGAATCACAAAATCGTACTTTCTTGGCTAAACTATTTACGAATTCACCAATCAGGTACTCTCATCCAACACGTTCATGTTTGGTGAACCATGAATGAATGTGATTTCCATTCTACCTACATGCTCTGTAAATATTTCAATAATTTGAATGCCATTGCTACTACAAGCACCTTTGACTTATCTGAAGATAAAGAATGGTAAATCCAACCACCATGAACCCATCTCAAATGAATGCCAAGTCACGTGCATGATCAAACACCGATAAGACAAGTAATTTTCTACAATTTTCATCTTCAAAACGTTTGCCGATTATAGTAAGCATTTCCATAGTTTACTAGATGGACCAATTTGGACTTTGACACTCTTTGTCAGATTGTACTGCAGACAACCGTCTCGCTAGATATACATGTACAGGTGTTTTTGCTCAACTGTCTCCTTGTTATCTGTTTTGCGCCAATGTCCCAATCTTCCCGGAAAAAGCTTCTTTTGATGGGCCGTTCGGGCTCCGGGAAATCTTCCATGCGTTCCATCATCTTCTCCAACTACTCGGCGTTTGACACTCGGCGTTTAGGCGCCACCATCGATGTGGAACATTCCCACCTTCGGTTTTTGGGCAACATGACATTGAATTTGTGGGATTGCGGCGGGCAAGATGTTTTCATGGACAATTACTTCACTTCCCAGAAAGACCACATTTTCAAAATGGTGCAGGTGCTCATTCATGTGTTTGATGTGGAATCAAAGTCCATCAACAAGGACATTGAGATTTTCGTCCGGGCCCTCACCAATCTCCAGAAGTTCAGCCCGGACGCCAAGATCTTTGTGTTGCTACATAAGATGGACTTGGTGCAGATCGACAAGCGCGAGGAGCTTTTCGCCATCATGATGGAGAAGTTGCAGAAGATCTCCAACCCGTTCCAGTTTAAACTCGTGGGCTTTTCCACATCCATCTGGGACGAATCCTTGTACAAGGCCTGGTCGCTGATTGTGTGCTCTTTGATTCCCAACATGAGCCTATTCAACTCGAACTTGCTCAAGTTCAACCAGGTTCTCGATGCCGAGGAAATCATCTTGTTTGAGAAGAGCACGTTTTTGGTCATTTCGTCTACGGCGTCCATCCAGAAACAGCTTCAGAAACAGCATGCGAGCGAGTTGGCGGGCTCCACCGAGTCCTTGGATCCCAAGCGTTTTGAGAAAATATCAAACATCATCAAAACTTACAAACAGTCGATATCCAAGCTCCGCACCAATTTCCAGAACCTTGTCATCAGAGGGTCGAACGGCTCCCACTTCTACATCGACGTGCTCACCGACAATCTTTTCATCATGATTGTTCTCAAAGATAAGTCTTCACAAGAATCTTGCCAGACGACACGCGAAGACTTTGTGATTTTGGACAATATCAAGGCGGCCCGGCGGTGGTTTGAGAAAATTGAAAGCGGCAAGTAGCTGCATAGCACTAGAGCAGACTAAAATGAGAGCTATAAAAGAAGAGTGGGTGTATATTACGGTTAATTAGGAAAGTGGCACCATGTGGTGAGAATAAATTCATCTGTGAGGGCAAACAGAGACGCTGGAATATCCGGTCTCAGAATATAGCACATCAAGCATCTAATACAAAAGGAAAAGAAAAAAAAAAAAAAAAAAACCGATAGGAAAAGTAAAAAGGTCAGAGTAAATGAGTATCAGATGTCGCACAAATTTATTATGGCCGATCGCCAACCGCGAATTTTCTCCATCGTTCGTTCGTATAACCGGATAAATCTGTCTTCTCTTTTGCAGTTTCCCGTGTAAACAGATAGAAGGCCGATCCGTTTAGGCAAAACCCAAACGCATTGCTACTGAAACCCAGTGTTATATTCCGCTCCCAATTCTGCCCCTTTCCCAGTTTTTCTGATCGTCCCATCAACACAAGAAATCCTTTTCCACCATAATGGGCAAATTACTCCAATTGCTTGCCCATCCCACAGAACTTAGGGCGGCAGTCCAGTATTTCTGTTTCAAATCGTCCATGTACCCCTTGGACCTCAAAAATGCTCCTGAATCTTTGAAAAAGTGCTATGTTTTCTTGAAACTTACATCCCGGTCCTTTGCGGCAGTCATTGAAGAGTTGCATCCCGAATTGAGAGACGCAGTCATGATTTTCTACTTGGTGTTGAGAGCCTTGGACACTGTGGAAGACGACATGACCATTGATCCCAACGTGAAAGTGCCATTGTTGAGAAGTTTCCACGAAAAATTGCTGCTCAAGGACTGGAACTTTGATGGCAACGGACCTAACGAAAAGGACAGAATCGTGTTGGTGGAATTCCACCACATCTTGACCGAATTCCACAAGTTGAGGCCAGAGTACCAGGACATTGTGAAAAAGATCACCAAAAAGATGGGAAACGGCATGGCCGACTACATTTTGGACGAAAATTTCAACACCAACGGGTTGGAAACCGTCAAAGACTTTGACTTGTACTGTCACTATGTGGCTGGGCTTGTGGGCGAAGGCTTGAGTGATCTCTTAGTTTTGGCTCGTTTCGCCGACAACCAAGTGCAAGCTGAAAACTACAGATTGTCTGAATCCATGGGCTTGTTTTTGCAAAAGACAAACATCATCAGAGACTACCACGAGGATTTGGAGGATGGCCGTTCTTTCTATCCGAGGGAGATTTGGTCCAAATACACAGACAGTTTGCCCAATTTTTTCAAGAAGCCAGAGGAGCGAGAGAAAGGTGTCGAGTGCATTAACGACTTGGTTTTGAACGCGTTAAACCATGTCATTGACGTTTTGACATACTTGTCTTTGATCAGAGAATCGACCTCTTTCAACTTTTGTGCCATTCCGCAAGTGATGGCCATTGCCACATTGGCGGAGATCTACAACAACAAGAAAGTCTTGGAAACCAATGTGAAAATCAGAAAGGGCACAACATGCAAGTTGATTCTCAACTCGAGAACTTTGCCCGGTGTGGTGGATATCTTTAGACATTACGTGCGGGTGATAAACCATAAGTCCGATGTCAGAGATCCAAACTACTTGAAGATTGGTATCAAGCTTGGTGAGATTGAACAGTTCTGCGAGACCATGTATCCTCACAAGGCATCATTGCCTCCATATGTCCAGCAGAAGCGTAAACCTATCAACGAAAATATCATCAACCGGGGCAATTTCGATAGAGATGGCGCTGCTATGATCAGTGTGGAAGAATTTAAGTGCAACATTGCCCTTGCAATGGGCGCAACGACTATTGCTGCTTTGGTGTTTTTCCTTTATAGTGCTTTGTTTTAGTAACAGACGATCGAGTTTCCGTTAGAGATGTCAAGTGTATAATAAAGACACGAACCATAGAGCATACTAAAGAAAGTGCCTTTCGCATCAACATTGCAAGAGCATATTGTCATTCACTGTAGTACCATTGTCAAAAGTCACAACTTCAGCACTAAAAAGCTTCAATAATATGATCCACATTCGTATATAATCTTTCCATCCTTGGTCTTTTGTCTAATTGCCAGAGAAGGTCTACTAAAATACTTTATTGATTCAATCAGCCTCTTGCAAACCTAAATCAATTAGCCTCTTGCAAACATAAATCAATCAGCCTCTTGGAAACATAAATCTATCGATCAATGCCACCTCAATGCCTATCAATTCAACCACTTAGATCATTAGATAATTGAATCATTACACAATTGAATCAATTATAATCGTATCAATTATCTTCGTGGTCGCATCGGTTATTCTGACATTCTGCTTATCGGTTCCATTCGCATCATGTCAAGTCCATCATTTCGATTGTTCATCTCTTCCTCTTCACCTTTTCTGCTCATTTATCATATTCCACTAGAAGTCTTCATCTCAAAAGTCATTCCTTCACTTTAAGCCATTTCCAAGTCGTTTGAAAACTGTCTCTAACCGGCCCGTTGTTCTTCCATTATCATCCTGCATTCCCTATCAGACTCCGCCTCCACACATACAGTCTACCCCATAAATATCAGGGCCTACCCCATAAATATCAGGCCCAGACTACAAAAAAACCATCCCAAAAATGTCGGACATAGAATTCCCCGTGAAGGCCATCACATGGTCTGTGTACGAGCAGAAAACACCGATTCTCCTCCAGGAAGAAAACGGGCCGTGTCCCTTGATTGCACTAGTCAACACGCTTCTTTTGGCTTCGGACATCGAGGCCCGAACCACCGCCTGGGGCAAAGAAAATGCCGTTTTGCCTGAATCCAAAGAGCTGGGTCTGGCGTCCTCTTCTCCCCAGCCCAATGGCTCGGCCCGCATAAAAGAGTTATTGAACAAACATGTGGGGGACCGGGTATCTTTGGTGGAACTTCTTGCATGTTTGGGCGACGCTCTTCTCGAACGGACGCAGGTTGAAGCCAATGTCGTCTCGGATCTCCTTGAGAGCCTCCCTCTTTTGCATACGGGACTTACGGTGAATCCAAATTTGGTTTCTGGCGGGTTTCCGCCGCAAGACTTGGCAGCGAAGATCTTCGACGCCTTTGGCTTGACGTTTGTGCATGCGTGGATCTGGGAACCGGGCCACAACAAAGATGCCGACTCGGTCTTTCCGCTGTTGCAGACATTCGATGCCGTGCAAGACTTTTTGCTTACAAAAGACGAGGAAACCGAGCCAAACGCCGAGGTTTCTGCCGTTTCGGCGTGGTTGGACGAAAACAGCACCCAACTTACTCTGCATGGGCTTTCTGTGCTAGACAAGCAGCTACCGGCTGATAGCGTGGCGATTTTTTTCCGAAACAACCATTTCTCCACGTTGTATAAGGCTGATAACCACGACTTGTACTTGCTTTTAACCGACACGGCATTCATCAAACGGCCGGAATTTGTTTGGCAGTCGGTGATCTCTGCCTCGGGAAAGGACGATCTTTTTTTCTCGGGCGATTTTACTCCGATCAACGATGAACTAGAACCATGGGCTCTGTATCCAAACGACGATATGGCTGTGGCTCGCCAGTTGCAAGAGGAGGAGGATGCTGCCACAGCACAAAGATTGCAAGCTTCTTACAACACCAAAAAATCGAAACAGAAGGGAACCACGGTATCTGAAGGAGCCAAAGGTGCAAAAGAACAACCACTGAAAAAGGCTTCCAAGAAGGAAACTAAAGAGGGAAAGAGCAAGAAAAAGGGCAACTGTGTGATTGTTTAGATATGTCAAAAAGCATTAGCAGAACTAGCATTTTAATAAATCATGTAGGTACTCTTGAATTAATTCTGGTGAGAGATGGCTGTGGATTGAATCTGATCCATTCAACTTATAATGTTCACTATCATTCAAATATCGTGCGTTTTAGACCAAAAGACAGTGAAGAAGACACCACCATTGATTCCATGGTCTTGATTGTATTGGTGTTGACTAATGTCAGTTTTTATACGTCAGCCTTGGAGTTTGAATGATCATTTAGATTTGCACTTTAGACCGATGTGTTGAAAACCATCTTATACCTACATCGCTAATACTCCCGACTTATCAGAATCTTGAATGATAAATTTTTATCACCTTCTATATGTCTATGCAAGCACACATGTTGATCTCGATAATTACAATCACTTTCGTCGTGCAAACTTTAATATAATACAACCAAGTCTATTAACTTTGAGCGTTTTCCGCCTCTGTGGCTCTGTCAAACTCGTCTGCCACGTCACCTTCTTCCGCTTCGTCTTCCGCTTCTTCTTGTGCTTCTTCTTGTGCTTCCTCCTCTTCATCTTCTCCCTCGTACTCCATCGGATCATACTCGGACCGGATAGTGTCCATCTTCTTCAACTCGTTTGTGTTGGGCTCACGCACTCTCAAGTTGATAACATCCATGGTGCTTTCATCCAAGAAACGATTGATTTCTGTGTTGGTCGACGCACGGTGCTTTTTCAACTCCACACGGCCAGAAATAGGATAGTAGTACGTGGCCTTGCGCTTGCTCGAGCCCGGCTCGGAGACAAACTTGAGCGCAAGTTCCTCGTACAACTTGGCGGAACGATGATATTGCATGTCGTAGTTTTTCGTGTGGCGGAACCGGTACACATCCAGGTCCTCCTCGGCAAGCAAATCCAGCGGCTGCTCTCTGTCTGTGGATTGCAATTTTTCCTTGAGTTCTTGCGCCGCTTGCTTATCTTGAAGCTGGTAGTAACTGACCCATTCTCCATCTTCGGACGTGATGGGCTTGTACAACGCCGTGACCAAGGCGTTTTTCTGGAACTCCTCGTCGTAATTGTCCTTCTGTTGTCTTTTCAACGTCTGCAACTCTCTGCTGAGAGATGCCGAGCCAGAGAACTTCACAGCCAAGTATTTTGTGTCCATCATAGACGTATCGGGCAAAAGAGGCCATGCCGCCACGGCACGTAGGTTTTTCCGGCGTGGGTGCTTTAAAGAGCCGAAGTTGGCCAAGCTCTCTTGTGCGTGGTCAAAACTCTCCTCGACAGCCCGTAATTGGGCCTCTGGGTCATGCTGTACTTCCTTTTCCATATTGGCCGCTGCCTGGGCCTTCTCGTCCGAGCGGTTGGACGCGTGCCTCTCGGCAATGTATTCTGTTCTTCTCAAAAAGGAAACGCCGGGCTCCGACTTGTTGATTTGGCCGATTCCCGCGTCTCTTAAAAGCGCCCTGTCTTTGGCGTGCAACGGCACCTGGCTGGCGGCTTTTTTGTCGGCCGAGTCGAAAGCCCCGCGCTTCTGGAGCGGGTTCAACGCCATTCCAAACTCTTCGTCGACCTGGGCCATGAACAGGAGGAAGTTTTCTTTGCGGAAAAGCGAGCTCATGAGGTTTTCGTTTTCTTGGTGGGGCGTCACTTTTTCCGTCACATTGTACTGGAGAAACTTTGGGTTTAGTGGCGGAGGTGGAAGGTTGTTGATGTACCGTGGCTTGGAGATGTAATCCTGCCGAACTGGTTTTTGGGATTTGGACATTGTTGGTGTGGAAGAATGAGAGAAAAGCGTGGTTTAAGTGTGGGCGTGCAGGACACAAATAGAGGAAGTATAGAAGAAGGACATATAGAAAGAAAAAGGGAATACAGAAGATAAAAAGGGAATGTAGAAGAGAAAAGGGAATAGAGGATAGAGGATAATAGAGAAGAAATTAGAAAGTGCAATTTAGTCGTCTTGGTGTACCTTAGTCGCACAATATGGTGCGACCAAGTTGATTCGGATGTTAGTGAAAATTAAGTCTATAGTATCGACCGGACTCAGGCTAAAAATCCAAAAGCTATCGAAAACTCGTTTTGTTGTTTAGATGTTCGTAGAGAATACTTTTGCGGTCAACCACCATTTCAAACGTACTGTGGTGATGTTCTTCCAGACTTGGTGGATAATTTTTGTAGTATTAGTCTTGAAGAAGTTGATAGCACGTAGTATTAATCATCCGAGACGTTCAGATACAAATGAAACAAGGACAAACAGACTACGATTTCGAAAGCAGAGAGGAAAACTACCATTTATGGAGAAAACTTTACAAGGCCTATAAGTAACCTGATTCACGATGAATGGCACATAATTAACCTGATTCATAATGAATGGCACAGAATAATTATTACCGGACTTTTCTTACTCAGGCACAAACTCGATCCTCTTCCAGTACAGATTCAAAAGCCACAAGATTACCAAGGCAAGGAAAAATGGACTAGCTTAGGAACATATGTTAGTATGAGGATGCTTCTACAAAAAGGACAGTAGATGGCAGGCTCACTATTGATCCAAATCGGGTTCTAGGTATGAAATTATAAATTTCGCTCACGAAATTTCAAGACAAGCCCAAAGCCTTAGACTTGCTTTGACAAAACAGCAGTGAAAACAGCTCTATAAACATGCAAGAGCGCCTTAATTCCACTTCTGGAGAGAGTGGACCACTCAATTGATTCAAATCGTAGTATGACGCAGACATGGAAAGCCATCATTTGGAGAAAATGACGCTACTTTCAAGACGTCGATCCGTCGACCTCGGCCACACTATCTGAATTGAAGAGATACCAACTTAGCATAATATCTTGCAATTATTGACATTCACCTTTGTATGGCTTATAATTGGGAAGAGGGCCATAGTCAAATAGTCAAATAGTCGGATTCAGGACATATTCTAATCATACTGTCCCAGGACATTTTTTAATCATATTAATGCTTGCCAAGGACTCAATGATCCCGCACAATACCAGGAACTCAAACCGTCTACAGTCCAGTCTATGCCTAGTCAAGGTTTTCTTACATTGGTCTAAATCAGCCTAGAACTTCTTGATGGTCTAAATCAGCCTAGAACTTCTTGATGGTCTAAGCCAGACTAGAACTTCTTGATGGTGTTGTAGAAAGTCTCGCCCTGGGTCTTTGCAATCTCCAACTCCAAAGGAGTCACCTCTCTTGAGCCGTCGCCTCCAGCAAAAGTGCCTGCACCCCATGGAGAACCGCCATGAACCTCCTCGTTGTTGGCCTGGCCCGGATGGGCATAGCCCAAAGGAACAAAAATCATTCCGTGGTGAACCAAGGTCGACAAGGTGCTGATGGCGGTGGTTTCTTGGCCGCCGCCCAAAGTGCCTGTACTGATGAAAACGCCGGCAGGCTTTCCCCTCAAGGCGCCGGCAGCCCACAAACCACCGGTCTGGTCCCAGAAGTTCTTGAACTGCGTGGGGAAGTTGCCGTATCTGGTGGGAATTCCAAACAAAAACGCATCGTACTCCTTCAATGTGTCCACACTGGCCACAGGCACGCCTGGTCTTGGGATTCCGCCCAATTTCTCCACCAACGAGTCTGGCAAGGTTTCTTCAACTTTGAAGATATCGGCCACTCCGCCGGCCGCAACAATTCCCTTTTGCTGCGCCAACGCCAACTTGTGGATGTGGTGGTAGAGAGAATACGTGATGATTGCGGTTTTTGGAGCCATGTTTTTCTGGTGTTGGTGCAAATTGGCGACTCTTGCTGTCTTTAAGTACTACTGGCCCTGCCTGCATATGTCTGGTCTTGCATGGACTCTTGACTATCTTTGACTAAAACAGCGACAACGCCCTGAAATAATTTTTACTCATATCCTGATAAATGACAAAAACTGTTCCTGCAGCCGGGATGTTCTGTTACCTCCGGCTACGGTTTTCCGTCTCTAGGTCCGTCTACTTCCGTTTGTGGACCGTTGCAGCTTCGTAGATAATGCATCCACAACTGTTGTCCTGTGTGTGACCTGCAGACAGGGACGCCCATATGCGCTTTCAACACTTGTATGCACTATAATGGCCAGAATTGATGTCCCCACAATCCATGCATTAGTAAATTAATTTCGTAAAATGTGTTTCTTGACTAAAGTTGGACCATGTGGTTCTGAGGCCCCCTTTTATACTCTTCTCTAACTTTGTTACTCTAGTCGTTTATTGGCATAAAATATAGCAGGCACAGGCCATGGATGAATAGTAGGTTGGACAGCCCCATTGTTCATTTTTTTTCGGGGCTCTATTCGTCCGTGTTGTGATAGATGGTCGGGTCGTCCTGGATGATCAAAACCTCGTGCGAGTCCGGCTTGTCCAAGGCTTTCAACAACTCAAGATCCAAGTCAACTTTCCCCCAGTTTGTTTTCTCCTCCAAAGGATCGTCCTTTGGCGCTTCAGGCAACACAGACAAATTCTCCTTGATTCTTTCCTTGGTGGCGGTTTTCGCCAACACAATGAAGCCTTGAAGATACGACCACTTCAAGAGAATCTCGGCCATGGACATGTTGAACTTCTTGGATAACGCAATGAGCTCGGGGTCCTTGAACTTGATGCCACGTGTTAAGGGCGAGTACGCCTCCGCCAAGATTCCGTGCTTCAACATGTATGCCCGCAACTCCTGTCTTGGTAACCATGGGTGCAATTCCAATTGGTTTACTGATGGCGGAATGGTGAGCCCGTCCCACTCCATGAGCTCCTTCAAGTGCTCAACTCCGTAGTTGGACACACCAATGGACTTTATTTTCAAAACACCATTTGCAGGATCCGAAGCAAACTCCTGCAATGCCTTCCAGCTATCCAAGCGCGTTTTCTTGCTCTTCAGCGGAGCATGCAACAACATCAAGTCCACATACTCAATGTGGGGCTTGACGCGGGCTGCAATTTCTGCAACAGCCTTTTTCGTTTCCTCGTAGCCCAATTGGTCGGGTCTGATTTTCGTGGTGAACCAAATATCCTCGCGGGCCGCTTTATCCGGATGGTCCTTCAAAAACTTGGCAATTGCTTCTGCACACTCCTCTTCATTCTCATAGTACACCGCAGTGTCAATGTGGCGATACCCCTGTAATAAGGCCTCGTACACAAGGTCTCCAGCTTCGTTTTTGGGCAACTTGTAAACGCCAAAGCCTGCCACTGGGATATAGTGGCTGTCATTTAGCTTGTACTTAGTTGCGCGTGTCAATTGCACAGAAGAAATGAGAGTGGTCATGTTTTTCGGGGGCAAAAAAATTAGCTTTTGCAATTGGGGGATTGCCTGTCTTTATATACTTGGGGCTAAAGGTGGGGCAAGCGTACTAAATTGCGGCACGTGACCGCAGCAACCCGTTCAGACTTCTTTTGTTTTCTACGCACGTCATTGTACCTGATTGCAAAACTGAGTTTTCGTCAAGACAAGGTTTTGTATTGATGTGAAAATAATCTATCTATGCTTTATATGTAATTTATTTATGATATACATGTGTCTGTTATTTTTTAGAATCTGCTATCTTCTAATGCTATCTTTAATCTGCTATCTTCTAATCTGCCATCTTCTAATCTGCCTATCTTTATAATCTTGTTATATAATCGGCTTGTATCTTCTACAATGTTATTTCCTAAATCTGCATTTCTAAAATTGTGAAATTGAATAATTTAGCACTGTACTCCAGAAAAACGGAGCTACGTTCTAAGCTTCAAACCTATGCTGTTGTGATTGTATTATAAATTGCCCGAACCACTGTCTTAGCGACTTATCTGGGCCGATAATCAATACCTTATGATATTATCACAAGATATAGAATTATTTGGATCAGTACCAATGGAGTGTTGCCTCAATAGTTACCTCAGGCTTATAGAATTGCTCGCGATTTCAACATATTCATGCAATTTATTCCCGTCTAAGGTTAGTACAATATGATGAAGCAGAATTATCAGGCAATCCAGTTATCTTCAGGCAGCTGACCGGAATTAGATGGCTCACTTGATTCACTAAATAGTCGAAGTAAAGACTTTCACCAATTTTGATTAATTTCCCGTATACTTTTAATTATTGAGTGATCGGTCCATTGAACACTTTTGCCTCAAAAATCGTGTTTATTGACGGCAATGGCTTCACTTTTGCCCACTTGGCCGTTTTCTACTCACTATTGCTTTTGATCTTATTTTGTAACTTGATTCTTGGTGTATTTATTATCTGATTGGCTTCATACTAGTTGATGTACTGTATATTGCTTCAGGTCAGAAACATACGGTTCAGATCCCACACGACAGATCCATAGATAGTAAGCAGCTCCTTCCATCCGCTGCTCTAGTAGATACATCCACACCTTCAAGAACACATTAATTTCCTTGTCTGACTTGGTCCTTGGTGGGTTGGGCCAAAACACCCGTGCACCACAACCCGCCTTATCTTTCTTTCCCCAGCGCTCAAAAAATACACATCCCAACATGTCTGCTCGTAAGAAAACATTGTTGAAAGTGATCATTTTGGGCGACTCGGGCGTGGGCAAAACCTCGCTCATGCAGCAGTTTGTCAACAATAAGTTTTCCCACCAGTACAAAGCCACCATTGGCGCCGATTTTTTGACCAAAGACTTGACCATCGATAACAAAACTGTGTCCTTGCAAATATGGGACACGGCGGGCCAAGAGCGGTTCCAGAGTTTGGGTGTGGCGTTCTACCGAGGCGCCGACTGCTGTGTGTTGTGCTATGACGTGACCAACGAGAAATCCTTGAACAACTTGGCTTCGTGGAAGGACGAGTTTCTTATCCAGTCCAACGTGCTGAACCCACAGGACTTCCCGTTCATCATAATAGGAAACAAGATCGACGTGGACGAAAGCAAGAAAATCCCTTCCTTGTCGAAGAAGTTGATGAACATCACAAACAACCAGTTGGGAGGCTTGAGCTATCCTGTTTTCGAAACCAGCGCCAAAGACTCCATCAACGTGCAAGCGGCCTTTGAGGTGGTTGCCAAAATGGCCTTGCAGCAGGAGGAGCTCAACGAAGGCGCCCGTAGCGACATGAACAACGACTACAACGACGCAATCAATATTCATTTGGAGAACGAAACCAGCGGCTGTGCATGTTAAACTGTCTGTGACGTGTTTGCAGAGCCTGACTGAACTGCTTCTTTGAAGTGTTTGCCCGGACGGGATAGGAACATGCCTGAAGAATTTCTGCCGATGGTGTAAAATATATTTATCTGTCATGCGAAGTAGCCTTTGGGAATAACATTGAAGCATAGAGCAGGTGCTTTGCCACTTCCATCTTCCTCTTGGCATCTCCTTAATACATCTGTTTTTCTGTTTAGTAATAGTTTCCGTGAGTAAGAGTTCAGGAAAGTGGTTATCAAGTTTGCTGATCAAATGAACAAGCTACTTTTGCCGAATAAAATCGTCATTCGTCTACGACTAGTCTTTATGGCTTGACAAACTGGTACTTTGAGTACTTAATCTAGCAACTTTATAGGCTCTCGGGTAACGAAAATGATTAGAGGTGTAGTTTAACATGAACACTTATTAACACAAGAAATGTATTCTTTGAGAGAAACCATGATATAGAAACAAGCAACATCTCACAAATATGGGCTCTAGGTTGTTTGTGTATATAGTAATGAAGAGATGCTAGATCATTCTACACTGATATATGGAAACACAGTTGAAATAAATACTTCGCAAGGTCTCTGGGATACGTAAAGCTAATGAACAAGAATACAAATGAACGACCCAACACGAATAAACAAGAATACATGAATGAACGAATTAACAGGATGAACGATTTACAGGATGAACGAAAGACCACGGCAGAATTAGCCAGCACCACTACTTGTTGATGCAGGCACAGAACATCTTCAACAACGCATTCACAAGACCATTACCCGTGTCAAACTGCTGAGGCTGCTGCTGATATGGCTGCTGGTAGTTCTGTTGATATTGCGGCTGCTGCTGGTATTGCGGCTGTTGGTAAGTCTGCTGGGGATAGCCTGGCTGGGTCCATTCGTCAGGCACACTAGCGTCGGGCGAGTTTGTAAAGTCAATCACCAAGACGCCCGAGTTCTTTGGGTCCATGTGGTGGCGCAAGCCACTCTTGTCACACAATTCGTCGACGGCCGGCTTCAACTTGGCTATGCCGTTTTGCGAGTGCAAACCTTTGCCGACAATCACCCGCAAATGCAGCTGGTTTGTCCTAGCACACTCGGCGATTCGGCGCTGAAGAATCCACTCGGCTTCCAGCACGTACAAGCCGTGCAAGTCGATTTCGTCCTGGGCCGAGTCTGCGTTGTTCTCTTTGAAAACATACTCTGCCGCTTTGCGGTCGGCGTCGATGGCTTTTTGCATCATCTGCTTTGACTTGACGCTGAGCTCATGGGCCTCGGCCTTGTTCCCCTGTTTGTACGCGCTTTGCGACTGTTTGGAAAGCGCCGTTTTCTTGTCGTGAAAGGCGCTGGCTTCTGCTCTGAGCCGCTTATAAGTGTCGTCTGTGGCATGGTTGTAGTCTCTTTCCTCAAAGAGAGGAACGCCGCGAGTAGCCATTAGAAAGAAGAGGAAAGAAAGGAAAAAGAAAGAGAAAGAGGAAGAAAGAAGGAAAGAGTCTGAAAAGACAAAGGTGAGATAAGTACAGAAGAAATTGGCTTGATGCGAGAGAAGCGCATACACACAGGATATTAGGCACAATGGACAACGTTTTGTACGGCTAAATAAAGTATTCATAAAACTTTTGAAATTAGTGAAGGGTAGGATGGATGAATCAAATGGATTAATCTTTAAACGAGTAGTTCAAACGATGGACAAGTAGTTCCAACGAATTAATCTTCGGACGAGTAGTTTGGCTATTCGACTGTATGGGCTGAAAATATTCATCACTATAGATTGCAGATTAGGCTTTCAATTGTAGAATAGCGTACTCATATTTAGCGAACAAAATGATCAAGACGAAATTTGACTGCGTTTAATGACTATAACCGGACGAAATACAAATTTGCATTTCTTGTTGAATTCGTTGGTCTTAGCAGAGAAGATTGCGAATTGAATTTATTCCTTGTGAGTTTTAGTTTCAAGACTAGGTAAAAGTACCTGCCAAGGCAAACTTAATGGACACATAGGCTTTCGCTTAATACCGCATGAACTGGATTTCAGGAACTTATCTGGAAGGACACATCTTCACCTTAAAGCGCAAAGGTTCAAGTAAAGAATAAGCGAGACAACAGTGATTCTACCAACAAATAGAATCTTTCGTAGTTAGGAAACGACATGCTTACCTCCCGGCCTTCAAAACACAACGTATTTCTTCCGACTACTTCACGTTCAAAACATAACGTATTTCTTCCGACTTCACCTTCAAAACATACTTCTGACTTCAGGCACTACATTATTCACTTCAGAATCACTTCATTCCTATTAACTGATAGCTTACTTCTTGGCAGCCTTTTGAGCAGCCTTGGTAACCTTACCGGCCTTGTCGGTCTTCTCAACAGCCTTGATGACACCAACAGCAACGGTTTGTCTCATGTCTCTGACAGCGAATCTACCCAATGGTGGGTAGTCGGTGAAAGCCTCAACACACATTGGCTTGGTTGGGACCATCTTGACGATAGCAGCGTCACCGGACTTGATGAACTTTGGCTCTTCTTCCAACTTCTTACCGGTTCTTCTGTCGATCTTCTCGATCAAGGTGTCGAACTTACAAGCAATGTGGGCAGTGTGACAGTCCAAAACTGGAGAGTAACCAGAGGAGATTTGACCTGGGTGGTTCAAGACAATGACTTGAGCAGTGAAGGAAGCAGCAGCCTTTGGTGGGTCGTTCTTGGAGTCACCACAGACGTTACCTCTTCTGATTTCCTTGACGGAAACGTTCTTGACGTTGAAACCAACGTTGTCACCTGGGACACCCTCAGCCAATTGTTCGTGGTGCATTTCCACGGACTTGACTTCAGTGGTGACACCAGCTGGAGCAAAGGTGACAACCATACCGGCCTTGATGACACCGGTCTCAACTCTACCGACTGGCACAGTACCAATACCACCAATCTTGTAGACATCTTGCAATGGCAATCTCAATGGCTTGTCGGTTGGTCTCGAAGGTGGCTCAATGGCGTCAATGGCCTCCAACAAGGTCTTACCGGTGGACTTACCAGACTTGGTCTCCTTCTCCCAACCCTTGTACCATGGGCAGTTGGTGGATGGCTCAATCATGTTGTCACCGTTCCAACCAGAGATTGGGACGAATGGAACAGTCTTAGGGTTGTAACCAACCTTCTTGACGAAGTTAGAGGTTTCCTTGATGATTTCCTCGAATCTAGATTGGTCCCACTTGACGGAGTCCATCTTGTTGACAGCAACAATCAACTGCTTGACACCCAAGGTGTAAGCCAACAAAGCGTGCTCTCTGGTTTGACCGTCCTTAGAGATACCGGCTTCGAACTCACCGACACCACCAGCGATAATCAAGATAGCACAGTCAGCTTGGGAAGTACCAGTGATCATGTTCTTGATGAAATCTCTGTGACCTGGAGCGTCAATGACGGTAACGTGGTACTTTGGAGTCTCGAACTTCCACAAAGCGATATCGATGGTGATACCTCTTTCTCTCTCAGCCTTCAACTTGTCCAAAACCCAAGCGTACTTGAAAGAACCCTTACCCAATTCAGCGGCTTCCTTCTCGAACTTTTCAATAGTTCTCTTGTCAATACCACCACACTTGTAAATCAAGTGACCGGTGGTGGTAGACTTACCGGAATCGACGTGACCGATAACAACGACGTTGACGTGAGCTTTCTCCTTACCCATTGTGTATGTTAGTTTAGTTAGAGAAAAAAAAGAAGAGTCACTTTTGGTGCGAAGTGGCCACTTATATATCCTCCGAAAATTTTTCGCGCTGGAGCAAAAATTTTCTCTGCAATGCCTGCATCTACTCGCCACCAGACCCACGACATTTTTTCTACTCTTCTTGCCCCGCCGTAGTTTTCTTCTCCAAGAGGCGTCTTGCGCCAAAAATTTCAGTCAAACTTTTCATTTTTTCGGCCGGTTTCACTTAAGCGCTTTTTCGCAGACTTTTTCCGCCTTTTTTCCCCTTTTTACTCAGCCCTAGAAGGTGGGGTTTGATGTCGTGTCCTGCAGCAACCTTGGTGATGATGCGCGACATTTTTCTTTTTTCGATGTCCTTCTTCCTTATGCCCAGTAATTCGCCTCTCTGACTCAGAGCTGGATTATCACTTTGCCCCTTCTGTAAGTCTGTAAGCTGCGCTTCTCTAGCCGCCACCAGTGGCAAAGATAAACGTTTGTGGGGGTCATCGTGTCACGTGAGTAAACCTAGGGCTTGTGCCCTATACACTTCCATCTGTGTCAAGAGTGTTTCAATTGAAGACCGTTTCATCTACGATACTTATTCTCGTGATTGTGCTCTTTTTATAGCATGTGTGGGCGCCACTTGACGGCGCCAATTAGTTATCCTGAAACAGTAAATTCTCATGTGCGGAAGAAGCAAAAGAAGAATGGCCAGGGCCCTCAAACCACATTGCTATATTTTATGTAGATATTTTCTTGGATCCTCCGGTAGGCTTATTTATAGCAGTATGGTTTGTGACGCCAGGGATCATTGTTAATGAAACCGGTAATTTTAAATGGCACTAGCCAGATAATATGTGGGAAAATATCTGTAGACCACCCATGTGCAAAGCTAATTAAACCATCAGAATACTTAGAAGATAGAAGCCGTGTTTAGGCATTTCTTCAACTTACTTTAAGCCAATTCATCTTGATGACCAGATTCTCTGCAATTAAGATGTTGACAATTCTAAGAGGAAGCCCTCACAAAAACTCCATAAAGTATCTTACTATGGTAGGAGATGCCCGTCGGTCATCTGGTCAATTGGAAATGTAGAAAATCTTCATCGTGATGTTTTTCGTAAAGGTTTCATCTATTGCCTTGCCTAACAACCATTTTCGTTTCTAATTTTCCTTTCATTCTTTCATACCAATCTGGTTCACCAACGTGAATGGATATAACCAAGTGTCACTGTGTTGTTAATGTCTTTTTTATTCTGCTTCATTCTTTGTCTGTGTTTTTCAAATCCTCATCCACTGTAAAGATGGTGTCCATTGTCGGAAATATGCTTCTCTTCAGGTACATGCTCAATTATTCCTCCCATTCTATAGTACATAATTTACGTAACCTTGCGTCTTCTTTTGGTTGCACGCTCCGGCCCTTCGAGTTTCCTCATCAACTCTTGTTTATCATGAAGTGAATCCTGGTTTTCGTAACCCACCTGCGTTGGCATGTCATCGCTGTCATGGGTATCATCGGGTCCTTTCTGTAGTGTATCTTCGTTGTCCTCGCGAGCTTTCTTTAACTTCTCGGTCAATGATTCCCCACCTCCGGCCAAGCGACCATACTTGAGTTTGTTCTTTGCCTTCCGTGGTGAAGGTAATTGAACTTGCATCTCTTCAGTTCCTTCGGAAGGCGTTTGTGTCAGAAAATTATTGCTCATTTTGCGAACATAGTCCAACAACGTAGTAGGACGTGCCATAGTTTGTGGGGCGAATATGCACCACGATAAATCTAAAATGTCAGGCACCTGAAGATTGGCTTTGTTTGTCAGCCGTTCAATCATCTCCCAGAGGTACGCAACCGAAACGATTGGAATGCCCCATTTTTTTGCTGCACTGATCTTATTCTTGGCTGAGATCATAGATACAGACTTCGAGTCATCGCCATTTTGATAGACGGGACAATGCAAAATATCTTTATGTTTGTACTCAAAAAGCTTTGGACTGTTCTTAATGAATGCTGGTTTGAACAAGTTGATATTAATGATAAGGAGATCGCGGTTAGCATTGAGAACATCGCAAAACTCAAGGTTGAGGTAGCCGATTAGCTTTTCAATATGAAGAAGTTCAACACCTGTAAAACCTGAAATGCAAACTTTGTAACGCGTGGCCAGAGGCACTAATCCCTGAAGCGGCTTGCACCAAGAATCAAGACAGATTCTGTTGTAGAAAATACTGCGTTCAATAAACCAATCCGTCACCACCGCTACTTCTTTGGAGTTAATGCGTCGCTTCATGGCGCTAGGGAGCATCAGAAGCATTAAGTTTGCCTGTGGGCCATTGCGTACCAAGAGAAGTATGTGAGTAATAGTTTCATCATCTGCGCCTTCAGCAATCTCACCTTGGTGCGAGTCCACTACACGCTGAAGTACCTTCTGTTGTGGAATGGAAAACCCAACGGCAAGAAATTTGAGTCCAAGAAAAAGTGTGCTTGTAGCTGCCTCCTTTATCGTAGCGCTTGACAGTGTTCCAGCTTTGGTCTTTGATGAGTTCAACAAAACCGGAGTCTCTTCTTCATCTTCGGAGGCATCGTCCCAGGTGCTGTCACGCACAAGACGCGCTGTGTGCGATCGCGTGCGGTCCATGATGGAAGACCAAATATGCGAGGACTTTTTAAGAGCAGTCTTATCGATTCTCTGAGGCTCATCGTCCGGTGCGGTTTGTGCAGCCCGCTGCACACGCAAAGCATATAGCTTTTTCCACACAAAAGAGGCGTTGTTGTAGAGGTTGGTGCCACTCGTGCTGACTCTGTAGTCATCGAGATCGAGTGCAGCCCCGCGCAAACACGAATCGTAGATCCAAAGAGGGTGTACTGCCGGGATCCCCCATTGCTGCGCCATGGTGAAGCGGCGACCGGCCGCGTCTGTGCCCACAATCACATTGCACGCGGGCGTTAGTGTGGAGCTGACCTTGGCGCCATGGTGGGCCAAAACCAGAACAATGTCTTGCGCCAGGAACGCGTCTTTCAAGGCATGTGGAGGGATTGCGTCGCGGGGCGGCGTGCGGAACCGCTCACCAAACAAGCGCAGCACTTCTTCAGAGGACGGCCGGTCCACGCGAGCCACGCATACGACAAAGGAAGAAAAGAGAGGTAGCTGCACGCGAAGCAAAGCCGCCGAAACGTCGTCTCCGGCTGTCCAGCGAGCGTGGGCATCAAGAATGGTGGAGACAGAGAGAAATGTCACGTCGTGGCGGTAACGCACCGAGTAACGGTACTTTTCTGTGTTGCGAGACCCGACTACCAAATACGTTACCAGACTCATGAGATCTGTGTAGTGGGTTCCACCCAACGCCACGATCTTGTCAGCCACTTCGTGACGCTGGGACGACTGGATGCCGGTGCAGCAGAACGTTAGGCCCTGGAACGGTTTGGACATGGATAGGAAAATAAGTGACCTGCACACTGCGCTTGTGTTGATGATGGTGGTTGAGATGGAAGATGAAACTGGGGCACGTGACCTAGCAGGCTGCAAAATCATTAGACGCCAGTAACATGGAGAATTCAAGTCAAAGGCGTCTGTGGGGTAGAAGTTGGCACGTTTGGATGTGAAGGAGTGGAGCATAACATGAATGTAACTGTAGGAAAGAGGGAAGACGATGAGAAGGAAGAAAGACGATGAGAAAGGAGGGAAGGAAATAACAGAAAGGAGGGAAGGAAAGAATAGAAAGGAGGGAAGAAAGAATAGAAAGGTGGTAATGGCTATATACAATAGAAATAGAAGAGTTAAAGAATTGTAGCTGAAAGAACTTAGAATAAAAGTTGATGGAAGAGAAAAAATCTCAATCGCAAAACCGAATAGAGGAGGGCCAGAATCGACTGTCAAAAGATCCACCTTTTTAAGGACTGTAAGTATTGACATACAGCAAAGCTTTGTCAATGGGATGAATGGTCAAAGAAGTAATTTGGACGATAAGATGATCATCAAGCATCATTTAGTAGTCCCAAACAGAAACAAAATGACATAAGGCTCCATAGATAAGGCTGGAGGACGTTACAATGGGTCAATTGGAAGATTTACAGACAAGAAAGGTGTTCAAGAAACGTATTCAAGAAGCGTTGTGAGAAATTCAAGAAACAATTAATCGACAATTCAAGCAACAATTAATCGGCAAGATACACAAAAAGCAGAATAAACACAGAAAGAAAAGCAAACCTTACGTTTTGGAAAGACTTGAAGTAATGGCCAAGTGGGTTGACAGCAGAGTATGTTTGGCCCTGTTTGGCCCTTATACATGTTGAAGGCTTTCCTTACGCAGTCAAATCGCAGATAGAACCAATTCAGGATCACTTTGGCCAATAGATAAGCCAGGGAACTGTTTATTTAAGTTTTCAAAGCAAGGAGTGGAACTTAAAACTGCAACTGCAATACCCAAATTAGAAATACGTGGAACTGCACAGCCAAAGCTTATTCTAATAGGCAAAGCTAATTGAGTTGGAACATGATCAGCTGGATTGGGCTTTCATCGAAAACGTGGAAATGGCTATTGATGCCCAGCCGTTTTATTTTCTGTTTGTTTGCTAGGAGCAGTAGATCATAACAGGTCCAGACCAGGCGGAAGTAACCATGTCTAAACCTTCTTCAAGAATCCGCACATCACACTAGCACATTGGAAAGCCTATCGGATGGAGACTATTGGCACTTCGATATGACCTGGTATGAGCTTATGGCGAATATGGTGCAAGTCTTTTTCGGTGAAGGTGGCTACACGGTAATTCCTCGCCTATCGAGACGGAAGCGATTGATTTGGCTCGTCAACGTGGTTGCAGCGAGACTTACAGGTTGAAAGATCCAGCTAGGAGTGTACGAGTCAGGACATGTGTATGCAATTTGCACTAATTGGATTGGCCAGCAAAAGCTAGTAAAAGCCAATAGTGAAAATCAGAGCGGGTAGTGTAACAGAGCCGGAGGTACAGAGCCGGAGATGTCAGTTTACGGATCAAAGCCGGATGCCTATTACGGATCAGAGCCGGATGCCAATACGATCAAAGCCGGAGATGCCAATACGATCAAAGCCGGAGATGCCAATACGATCAAAGCCGCAAGCTTGAACTAAGGTGGGCGTCTACCATGAATTCGATAGAGTTTCGATAGAGTTTCGACGCAACCCGAAATCAACAAAACTGCAAGTCTTCAAATGCGGGCTCATAATCGTCACCCAACTACGGTAATGGAAAGGCCGCTCAGTTAACCAAGCAATCAAGGTGATACAATAACAATACCAACCAATACCAACCAATAACCAAAAGCCAACCTAGAACAAAATCCATATCCAAATCCAATCCAAACCAAATCCAAACCAAATCCATCCAATCCTACCAATCCTACCAAATACCTACCAACCTAAGGTGAGCCATGCGCAAACCAGATACGAGCATGGAAAAGCCGAGAAACGCATGGCCTAACACCCACAGAAAAATCGAGAAAACAAACATCCAAAACAGCGCCCAAAACAGCGCCCAAAACAGCGCAACATGCACGTGGGGAAAATAACAACAAGCCGTGCCTCCGCTTAACAAAGCACGCTCAAACAAAATATCCAGCACGGAAAATGGCTCCTGGCAAATGGGGCCATGGCCGGGCCGTGTGCAGGCGACAAATGTTCAATTTCCCAGTCTCATATAGGCTACGGTTCATGCAGTCTCAGGCTCAGATCCATACAGTCAGGCAATACGTGGGCTATACAGTCTCATACAGTCAGGCTCACATGGTCGGGCCGTCATACAGTCTTTGCCATACAGTCTTTGCCATACAGTCTTTGCCATACAGTCACGTAAACATCTGTCCTGCAGCGGCCCGAGCCATTTCTATTGGCGGACCCTGGAGTCATCAACCGATCCAACAAAGCAAGCAGCAAACCAACCAACCCAATCAAAAAGTTAAAGAACCAACCAGGCCTGTGTCTTCCAAGTCACCAACTGACCAAATGCCTAATCCCAGAAAAACCAAATCACCATATCGCCAAAAAAACCAAATCTGCTCCATCCATCCCATCTCCCATCTCAGATAGCGTTCCTCTGCAGGCGATAATATTGCTCGTTTCGAGCCCCGGCCCACACAGGCAACCGTGCGTCTGCACCTCTGGAAAAGGAGACCCACTTCTATTTAAAGAACTTCTCTGTCGGCGCCATATATAAAGCGCCGCCGCGGGCCCAAGGCTTTTTTTTTCTTCTCCATCAACAATGCAATTCTCCACTTTCGCTACCTTGTCCGCTTTGACTGCCACCGCTTTCGCTGCCTACTCCAACGACACCACCTCGGCTGCTCCAGGCTCCAACGAGACCGTGGTCACCACCGACATCACCGTCACCGGCTACACCACCTACTGCCCAGAGTCCACTGTCATCACCATCACCAAGTGCTCTGACGTTTGCGAGCCATCTGCCGTCACCGTCACCGAGGCCACCACCTTGACCTTCACCGAGCCATGTCTCGTTCCAACCACCTACACCACCCACGTCACTGAGGAGACCACCATCCCATGCACTGAGTGTGAGCACAAGACCACCAAGGGTGCCGAGTCTGCCACCACCTCTGCTCCAGCCTCCGTCTCTTCTGCCGAGGGTGCTGCTGCCAAGAACGTTGCTGGTGTTTTCGCTGGTGTCGCTGCCGTTGCCGCCGCTTTGATGTAAGCTGCCTGATATTTTCGACGTGAATAAACGTACTTATTTCCACAATGTAAGACACCGGGCGAAGCCTGGTGTCGCCTGACTTGTATCTTTCTGAATACAGGCGATGTCTGGCCTGAACTTTTATCTTCGCCTGAATTATTGAATAATATTATTGAATATTATGGAACTAGGTTATTGTACAAATATTGTACGAATTATTGAATATTATGGAACTAAGTATTGCAAAGTATTGAATAGAATTATTGCAAATTGACTAAGTTTGTAGTACTGATCTGACTATTCGCGCAATTCAGAACTGCTCACTTGTCAATCGCGTTAGACTTCTGCTTGCCTGACTATTCGGCCTGACTTTCTTCTTCCTGTTTCCGATTCCTCTTCATTCCTCTTCATTCCTGCTTCTTGATTCTGCTTATCTGCTTCTTCATTCTGCTTATTTCGTGCCTTCCTTGCTATTCTCGGTTTCTGCGGCTCTTTGCTTTTGCTCTCGCATCTGGTTTGCATACTCTTGCATCGGCCTCACAACCCCTCACTCTTTGGTCCAATCATTTTCCTATCCGGGACCAAACCTTTCTTTTTCCTCCATCACCTCCTTTCATTGCAGTAGTTTGGGTCTACTCATGCACTCTAATGCTCGACCCATGCTGTTTCCGGTAACCCATGCTGTTTCCGGTTTGTTTTCTCGTCGTATCTGTTTCTCGTATCTGAGATCTGATGATTGGCTTTCGCATTGCCTTGATTCTACATTTGTTAAGTCTTCAACATTTTGTAATTTCCTCAACATTTGTAATTGCTTCAACATTTTGTAATTTCAAGATTTCGGGTCCAGTTTCCAAGGCCCAGCCAATTAAATGGCCGTAGTCAAGTCGGCTGTGTATTTCTGGATAGGTCGGCTGTGCATTTGGATATTCTCAACCAATTATGCATTTGGGCAATCGCATGTTGCATGGTTTCCAGATTAGTTTGCCCGAATTTTCTTTTCCCATTTTTCTCTAACGTTTCTCTCCATTTTCCATTTTCTCTCCATTCTCCTTTTTCTCTCCATTTTCCATTTTTTCTCCATTCTCATTTTTCTGTCTAACCTTCCGTCCTATCTCTGTCATTTCGATACCCAACCATTGTCTGATTTTATGCGAATCGCTTTGTTCTAAGTTTTCCATGACTTTACGTTTCTTCCATACTCTTCCATCTTAATTGGCTTGCACCTTCTACAAGCGTCGTGGTTCTAAATCATTATACTTTTCTTCTAGCTCGATAGACTAGGCCACACTAACTAATTTTAATCTGGTCTTCAATCGTTTCTCAATGTCCTATAAAAGTTAAGGGCTTCATTAAATCTGAACCGTGACTTGTAGGCAAGTTGGAGCTTGGTGTGCCAGCTTCAAAGGATTGTCCCATTCTAGTGGTAGGATCGAATCACCCAGGAAATCACATCAAACTAAAATTCAGGTAAATCATACTGCAAACTTGTTCTTCAGTCGCATTCATCCACTCTCCATTCAAAAGAATGTACTCCTCTGCCTCCACTATTACATGTTTACATGTTTTCATGTTTACATATTTACATGGTCGCAGCACGTACGACTGAAGACTGGAAGTGTTGATTCTTCATTCATTTGTATACTCATTTGACAACAACTGTCCTGTTGGATGTCGTCATGAATTAAACCACACAGCTCTGCATGAGTTTCTATAAAGTAATTCACTCATCATGGGCCATCTCGTTACTACATTACCAGCCGTATAAAGTTCTCGAATCCTTTTGGATGGTTATATCCTCTCCAGTCGCCTGTGTCATGTAGTATTAACATAGTCAAAACTGGACATTATCAAACTGCCAACCTTCAGCAACTAAATTCGCCGTTTGTTCGCCTGAACTGTTGTGATTGTTATGATTAGGAGTAAGATGGTATTAATATGTGTTAGATGATATGGAAGACAATATCGTCATTTCGAAGTGGTAATGCAGTGAAGTATGTACACCTCCTTCTTGGTGATCAAATCCAAGATAAATCCGATGGATGCTCCTACAGAAGAAGAGCTGGAATTGATTTTTATGAAAGATGTCACACTCCCTCATGACAGATGCGTTGGACAATAGAACGTTTAGTTTAAGTACAGTCTGATTGCCAGGCTGAAGCACAAGTTTTTTTTAAAAATGGTGTCATTCATCAGACTCCAGTATTGCTGCTTCACCTTCGTGCCATGTAGAATTCAGAGATACAGTATGGCCACGAAAGTGGTGTAGGCTTTGTACACCAACAAATTCTCACCAATAACGTAATTATCACACATTGCTGTCATAAATACACTTGATGTGATATGCAAAGTATTACTATTACTGGCAAATCCCATAATCTATAACATAAACTAGGTCAGCTATACCTTCCCATAGTAGGATTGAAGAATAAATAACTATGGCTACAAATATCAGAGAATCAAACATCAGAGGATCAAACATCAGAGGATCAAACATCAGAGGATCAAATATCAGCGGATCAAATAACCAAACGAGATGAGCCTTCTGACTTTCAAGAGGCATGATTCCATAAATCACTACAAACAACACTTATGTCCCTGTTAAGTTAGCCAATCCAGCCGGAGTGGTGGGCCATATGGTCACGTGCACATGTATCTACTGCATCTTTTGCATTGGCCTACTTTCATACTTTCCCCATCATGTCTGCCGAAGACCTAGCCAAGTTTCCCGAATCCAGCAGGTTTTTCGGCCGTTCTCCGGCGAAAGATGTCGCATCTTCTGTTTCGGATCTGTCCCAGCAGAAACGGTCGATCCACGTCAACAACTTCAATTCGAGCTCCAACTTTCTGCCCTACTATTCTCCACAGGTGAAAACCAAAGTCAATTATCCAGTGGATCTTTTCCATTTGCTGCCGAAAATAGCTTTGGAAGATGCGCTGGATTCGCCGTCTGAGCGTGACATTCCCGTTTTCGAGTATGGGCTTCATTTTGCCAGTGATCCGGTTCTGTTTGCTGAAACCGTGGCGTCGATAGGCAAGAAGTACGGCGCCGTCAAGTTCCGATTCTCCAATTCCAACGAGAATTTGTTCAAGACGTATTTTCAAATCAACCACGACGTGTTCAGTTTCAAAACAAACCGCATGCTCTACAATCCGGCGAAAAACGAGCTTGAAAGCCGTCTTCGATTCTATGCCGAGCTTGTTCTGCTCCATTCACAAGCAAACTTGGACATTGACCCAAAGGGCCCAGAGGCAACTGTGCCGGCTGAAAATCTGCCGGACAAAACCGAGGTAAAAGAGGAGATAATACCGGAACTGAACAGCCTAGAATCGGACCACCAAGAAAAATCTCCAGTGGCAGAGACAGCCAGTCCAACTGTGAAGGAGGAACAATCAGACTTACCCAAAGATGCGCTGAAAATGAAGCTTCCGCCGTTCTTGATGAAACTCCCGATGATGGACAAACGACTGTTGGATTTGTATGATCTCTTCCGCTTCGTTGTCATGAAGGGAGGCTTTGAAGAAGTTGTGCAGAAAAAGCTTTGGGCGCAAATTGGCCGTGAACTTGGTTATAAGGGCAAAATTACCAGCAGCTTAAGTAGCTCGCTCAAAACATCCTATATGAAGATTTTGTATCCTTTGGAACTTCACCTAGGCAAAGAAAAGGAAGCGTTTGTTGGATTGGACGAGAAAAGCGACCAAAAGCAACCGGACCTTCAACACGTATCTGAACTGCAAAATGAGACTCTCTCTAGTTCCGAGAAATTGGGTCCAGCTCCTACCTCAGCTGAACATCTTTCTTCCATTACCCATGCTTCTGGTTCACTGAACGTCCCTCCTGAAAATGGTTCCGTATTTACCGAAAAACATGCTGATGGTGCAAAAAGAAGAAAAGTCCAGAAGGCTCCTCTCCTTCTAGGATCAGCAAAAGAATTCAGAAGATCGATCCGCCTAAAATCGGCCAAAGGTTTTCTACTAAATGAGCCACATCTTATGGACGTCAGGTCGCCGCTTGTTTTGGCGTTGAAAAATGAAAATAATGGAACTACAGAAGAAATCACTCCTACAACAGCGACAGCACAGGTGAATGCGTTTTTAAAGTGGATCGCAAACTGTCTGTCGGTGATTGATGACTCCACTCGCTTAGAATCTAATGGCAAATTGGCCTCTACTTATACACTTCGACAATTCGTGGAGAAAGACGCAAAGTTTCAGGATTTCCTAGTGGCAAACTATCCAGAACACTTTGGCGCAGATACACAGAAGAAAATTGCTCCAGATGGAACAAAAACTTTATCTATAGACCAAGCGGAAGCATTGTACTGGGATATCGTTTCGTCCCCTAATTCGGCCCAGTTCATTGACGGCATGAAACTAGAAAACGGCAGTTCCCTTTGCAATATCATCAGCGGGTCTGGTTTCCCACGTGTGGGTGACGATTTTTCCAACTTCAAAAGCCATCTCAATAACATGGGTTTTTCCACTCCTGGAACTTCAGGAAACGGCATGTCTGTAGACTCTAAAGGGAAAACTCTTGATTCATCATCACGAACAGAATCTCTCTTTTTGAACTGCAAACCATATATTTCCCGAACAACAGGAACATCCTTGAGCCCATTCAATTTGCATAATTTGCCTATTCTACCTGATTCCCTACTTGGGGCTTACACCGCGTCAGATTTGAACAATAGAGACATGACCAATACCTCGCTTCAAATAGGAATGACTTTCAGTACCGAGAACTGGAAATGCGAAGACCATTTCACCCAGCTCTGCAATTACCTGTTTTTGGGAAGCGCTAAAAGATGGTACTTCATTCCGGAGCTGGAATTTGAGAAATTTGAGGCGTTGATTGACGAAATAGTTGAAGAACAAGAGAAGAATCCTCATTCCATGAGAATCAACAAAAATTATAGAAAAGAAAATTGGCTGTTCGACAAACTTATGGATGCATTACGCACGAATGATGAGAGCCTTAATATCAAATATGAGTTTCTACTCAACTCTTTGGAAAATATGGTCAGTCCGTATCCGGAAATAAGATGCAGCCCGCAAAACCCTCAATTTGAGAAATTGCTGAATCTTCAGAAGAAGAGAAGACTGCTATACAATCAAGAGTATTTAATTACCCCAGAAATGCTTAGTGAGAGAGGAATAGAGTATACTACCACGATTCAAAAACCAGGGGAATTCATCATCAAGTATCCGAAGACGTTCTCTTCTACGATATCCTTTGGATTTAATTTGTCAGAGGAAGTGAACTTTGCTACAAGAACATGGCTCGATTATGCCCAAGAAGGCGAAGAGTGGTTGAAGAAACAAGGTTTGCTTCCTAATATGCTGGTTTTCCGCTTACTTGTGAATCTCGCCCAACTATATGAATCGATAAGTTCGACTTCCATACATTTCAGTGGTGCCGTTTATGAAAAGGCTCTGGAAATTTATGATGATCTTTTAGCCAAAGAGCTTGCAATACGGTCACAGATTCGAGAGATTTGCAAATTAAAGGAAACTGTGATTGAAGATCGCCATGCGTCTGAGGCAGATTGTGTTTCTGATGATGATTTACTGAATGCATTTCCATCAAAAGTGGTGATTACGGAATTAGCCACGCACCAAAATTTTGTGATGACTCCCGCTGGTTTTCTTGCATACATAAGCATTTTTGAGTCCAACCGAGAAGCCTTTCCTGATTTTCTTAACGATCCTAATTTCTCTGTTGAGTTTCAGCTATTCTATTCGGACGAGAAGTTGAAAACGTTCCAGCGTCTTTTGAGTGGATACTCGGTCGATTTCATGAAATGGATGAAAGCATATGATGAAATGATATCCACGGGAGAAATAATCCCCTTGAAAACTTACAAATCCTTGCTTGCAGATGGGCAGAAAATTGCGTTGGCTTTGACTACAGGGCGAGAGACGTTTCGGAAATTTATTCACGGTTCAAGAGAACACAAAGATCCGGTTGAGCTGGAGAAATTGAAGGTCTTCCAGCAGATCCTTTCAACACTTCAGAATTTTGTGGATGAGTCGACAAATATCATAGAGGAATGTCAGTCCATTCTCGCCTTGAAGCATCAGCAAAGAATCCGAAATGGAGGTACAGAACAGGCAAACCTGTTGCAAGACTCTCATTCCAATGGACTTGAGAGGCTCATCCAGTTAGTGGATACGATCCCAAAGCTTATCTTCCATGTCCCCGAGTTTGATCAGATATTCGAGTTCAAAACGGAAATCGAAAATTTCGATCGTGCGTGCAGAGCGCTTATCAAGAAAGAACAATGCACAATGTCAGAAATGTGTGATATGATCAGCTTGGGAACTTCTTTTGGAATAAAAATTCCCAGCTTGGAATTCTTGATTCGCCTTAGAGACAGACAACGGTGGCTTGATACGTATGACATTATTGTCAGTGGTGGAGATCCGTTCGTTGGTAAGAAGGAGGTTTTTTCATTGAATGAGATAAAGGCGTTTTACGAAGAAGGGCTTCAGGTTTTAGCAGAAGCTGATTTAGACAAGTTGAAAGCGATAGATCAATATGTCTATGTTGGAAATAAGTATGAGGAAGCAGTGAAAAAGTATATTGAGGAAAACAAATTGCTCAATAACGTGAACTTGAACCAGCTTGAAAAATTGCTTGAGGACATGGAAGAAAAATCGAAAATGAAACAAGACTCAAGATTATTCGTGACATTGGATATTTATCACGAACTTCTCGACCTCAAGGCACAGTCAAAGCTAATTGACTTTCTTCAAAACTATACTTCCAAGACGCACAAGTTATTTGCTGTGAAGCAGACACTAGATGACTTGGAAAATTGCGGCTATCTGTTCGAAAGTCAAGCCATCCGGTCCGATGATGAAAAAGCAGAAGCTTGGTTGTCGGAAGTTGAGAATATTTTGGATAGAATCGGCAACAAGCCGGGCGCCAAGTCCAAGAAGAAAATCCCCAATCAATACTCGAAGCACGCATGCAATATTAATATTGTGAAGAAAGCATTTGAGATTTTGAATAGATGCGAAACCAGTTTTGCCGGGGATGACGCTGACTCGCTCACTAAATCGTCGCTGTACTTCTTTTTGAAAAACCTCGAAGGTGGGTATGACGAGAAAAACCCCATGAGATACTGTCTCTGCCGGGATTATGAGGCTGGAACGATGATTGAATGTGATAAATGCCACGAGTGGTATCATGTGGCGTGTGTGGAAGACAAGAGTGAAATCGGCGAAGATGACGACAAGTATGCTTGTCCCGTTTGCACACTGTTGGAATTTTATCGTACACGGCCAATGTATCCAGCCTTGGAAGGAAAGTTGCTTGACTCCGTTCTCGAACACCTCATTTCTAAAGGAGAAAATCTTCGTGTTGTGCCACTGGCTGAAGTTAGCATTCTTCAGGCTATTCATGATTTGGTTGTGAGGTCACGAGAGTATTACCTGGAACATCTTGCGTCTCTGCCCTTCCCCGAAATGAAGGAAGTTTACCAGATGTTTTTGCTCCGGAAATTCTACGGCAGTCCTGTGATGGTGACGGGTATGTTTTCGCAAATACTAGATTTGTTGAAGAATGTCAATTTCCGTCTGGTGATGGTGCCTGAAGCACTCACTTATCCTGTCAGTTTTTCAACGAAAAGAACTGGAGAGAGCAATGGTGTCATGTCAGATGGAACGGAGTCTGTAACTGCGGATGGGGGATCAATTAACGGAAAAGATTCTCTTGCACTGACAACCGAGACATCTAGCCAGGATGGTCTCACTTCGAAACCACAGGCCCGTGTTCCTATGACTGGACTAGGAATAACATCACATCTTCCAGCAGCTTTCCAACGGCTGGCTGCGTTCCAAAACCTGGCTCTATTTCAACAGGCGGTGTTCCAGGTGGCAGAAAATCCTCTGAAAGATGACACAGAGAGCAAGTAGCATGTATATGAAGAAACAAGAAGAAAGTAAAGGTAGTATTTGTAAGATGGTTCAGCGCTGTAAGTTTAATTACGGTAACTCTATATAGGTTAGATATAAGGTTTTGTATTTACGAAGGAATAGTTAATTTTCTCTTGCCTACTAACATAGATCGGTAGACAGATACTAGTTTAGAGCTAGGTGATTTGCATTTTCACATCTGGAAAGAGACAGCATCTTCTGCCCCCTTTCCCCGATATTCGCTATCTTAGCACTTGAAAAAATCAGTCATAGACTCTTCATGTTTGGTTACATTTTTACTTTTCTGTAACATTGTGTCGGACATGGCAATAAATATGTGATAGTGCAAACTTAAAGCCAACACAGAAATTCGAAAAACCAACATTTTCCACAACCAAGTAGTAATTACCGCAATCTGTGATATCTTTCATAATATCTGCTACACGAGTCAAAAGTATCTTTTCACTTTTCCTTTCTTACTACTTCTTGATGTTTCATCACTACACACAATCGCGAAACATCAACAACCATGTCTGTGGAAAGATACATTTCCATCTGTTGGGAAAATGTGCAGAGGCGAAATTCGGCGAAAAGAGAATTTCTCTACGTGACCGAAGTTCCGGCGCTTATTGACGAGCTTCTGGACTTTGTGGGTGTAGCTTCGTTGATCACAAAAGATGAGAAACTGCTACTACAGAAAATCATACAGAACAAACCGCTTCTGCGAATACAAAGATCTGAAGTGGAGTCTTTCTTGCTACGGCTAGTGCGTTGCCGGACGACTGCAGAACTTTTGCTGAAAAGAGCTCACACTTCGGAATACGAACTCAAACGTTTGGTGGATGCGTATCCATCTTCTAATCACACGCTTTTCGGCCGGTTTCGGGAATCGTCGTCACAAGCAGAAAGCACGGGGCCGAAGATAGAGCTGGACTTTGGTCGGCCCCGAAGTGAGCACGACGAGAGATTCTATGGATCAAGAGAGCCGTATAGGGTTGAAGAAAACAGGTTTTCCGACGAGGGAGATTCGGCATTTCGGAGGAAACCAAGAGACTTGTTTCTGTCTATGGAGCCTATAAACTCTGAACCCAAGTACAAGTTCTACGAGCCGAAAAAGTACCGGCTTCCAGGCGAAATGGACTTTGACGAAAAAGCGCCCGCTGTCACGCCAGAGAACTCCGAAGATTCGACAGTGACGAGGATGTGGCAAAAATTCAAGCGGGGAAACGATACGTTGTTTGGTCGGTTCTGGCCCAAAACAGATGACTTCACAGAGCGAAAAGCAGAGGATCCAGAACTCAAACAGGCAAAGAACCTCAATCATTATGATGTCAAACTGGATAAGAGCACGTTTCTAAGAATGGAGGAGCGCCAATTGCACAAGAAAATCGAAGAATTGGAGTTACTTTGCCAACGCTACGAACGTACTCTCGCGGAAAGTAAACATGATGAACAGACCCAGCTAATCGAAGACCTCAAGCAGGCTATAGAGAAGCAAAACAAGCTCATAATGGAACTTGAACGAAAAGTCAAGTTCTCCAGCAATCTAAGTTATGTTCATCTGATTCCACTCGTCAGAGAGTTAGTGATGCTCTATGCTTATAACGATGGAAACAGCATAGGCACAATATTTCTTGGGATCCTTGCCATGTTTTTCATGTTCACTATTGTTTCCAACGCGTTGAAATGCATTTACTATGTGTCGTTGGCCCTCGCAAGTCTGTTTCAGCGGGCTTCGGCTTCAGAATCAGACTGTGAGCAATTGACTTTTTCACTTTCGGGCCAGTGGCCATGGCTCGAGTATAAGTACGATCAGGTCATGGAGTGGATGGGCTACTAAAGGGGAAAACCTGGAGAATTGCATGTCTAAGATTCAAAATGAGACAAGATACGGGGATATATTATGCTTGAAATATCTGTCTGGGCAAGAAAAGAGTGGCTAGGGCATAACGATTAGATCAGCTAGACTAGAATAAAATAGGAACTAATGTTGTCTTCGATGGCTACAATAACGAACTAGATGCAATGGACTAAGATGTAGACCATAGAGTGGTTAAAACGATGAACTCTCATGAATAGATCAATAGAATTTAAATACTAACGGACTGCCAAAGAGCTTTATGGAACACGAATGAAGACACATCAACAGACATGAATACATGATGCTAAGACCACGAGAAAACAAGGATAGTCACGGTAGACCTGGTAAACCAAATAATCCAATTAATATACACAGAAGAAAGAACAGAGCGTTAGTATTAGTTATAAACAGCTGCAGCTCAAAACAAAGACTCAGCAACAAGCTTAGTTCATTTGCTTCACCAAGTTGTTGATGAACTGTTCTCTGTTACCAGTGTCACCACCTTGGATGAAGTGGAAGAACTTTCTAGCTCTGAAACCACCGTTAGGGTTGGACAAGTGGAATGGCCACAAGAAGTTGTTGACTTGCTTGAAGTTTGGACCGACAGTGTAGATCTCGTGGATCAAGTCCTCCATGGAGACAATACCGTACTTGCCCAAAGCAGCCTCGATGATTTGGTTGTCAGACAAAGCAATTCTTTGGTTGTTGACCTTACCGAAACCTCTCTTGTAGATCAACTTTCTGACGGTAGCCAAGTTAGGGTAACCGTAAGCAATGTAAGGCTCAGCCAACTTGAGCAACTCGGAGGTGGCCTTGGTGACCTTGACAAAGACACCGGCGTTGATTTGGGTCAATCTGAGCAATTGCAAAACCTTTCTTGGCTTTGGGGCCATCTTGTTGATACCCTTGATTCTGATGACGAAAACCAACTTTGGCTCGGCCTCAACGTAGTAAGAGTTGTTGGCCTTAGCCTCTCTCTTGGCCTCAATCACAGCACGCTCAGCATCTCTGTACTCCTTGTTGTAAGCAGCAGTTCTCTCGGCGATGGCGATTCTCTTTTCCTTGTTGGCCTGTAATAGTTAGTACAATGTTACAATACTCGATGCTTTTCCACGGCTCGATATGTTTTCTCAGTCCCGAAAGATGGTTAACTGAACGACAGCATTGCCGAAGCTAGTCACTTCAAATGGTGGTTTATCATCTTCAAAAGCATCCACCGTGGAAAAGTTTTGTTTTCATGCACAAGGTTTCTAGATACATACAGCTTTTCTGACAGCCTTTTCAGCTTCACGCTTTTCAATGGTCTTGGCGTCGGTCTTAGCCTTCTTAATGTGGGTCTCTGGGGTCAAAGTACTGAACATGTTAGTAGGTGCTATGGAAGCTGCTTACGGCGTGTGATAATTATGACGACAAAACAAAACAAAACAGAAGGACATGCGCAACGCAAGCGTCTGCGTCGTTGAGGGGTGTTATAATGCTTTCACAAGAAACTAGAGTTTCCAGGAACAGCATTGTCATAACTGAGAAATGAAACAAGACTTCCGAGAATCCTCTCGAGAAGTTGACTGGTTCCAAGTCTCGAACTTTCTTGCGAAAGCACATCACACCTTAGGCCGAACCTTTGCCAGCAGAAAGTGTAGATGATTTTGTGACATACGTAGCCATTTTTGGAGATGAGGTGGAATGAAAAAAATGCAGAGACAGCGCTTCTTATATAGGCGAGAAATTTTCAGCGCGCAGGCCTGTATGAAAACGCAGACCGATGCGAAGAGAAGGTCACGTGTAAGAGCTTACTCTTAGGGCGCGTGCCCTGTTACAATACAATGTAGCTGACAATATAGAGCAGACAATATAACATTGGCATTGGGCAGCAAGGAACTGTATATCGGAAAGTTGCACCGTGCAGTTAATGTTAGATGTAGTTAAGTTTGGTGTTCTGCAATGTTCGAAGAGGAATCCCAGAGTTCTGTCTATTTAATTTAACTCAGTCACTCAAAAGTGAAGAGATGGAACGATGTTCAGTTTATTCTTCGACATTGCCATTATATGAAGCTAGCAAACTCAACACGTCTATATACTGCTCGGATTATGTGCTCAAACCAAGCTAATGAAAACCCTATTGATATAAATGAGTAGAAGTAGACAACAGAGTAGCTATATTTGAAGCAGGCCTGCCTTACTCTGAATAATTTATTTTCCTTCCATATGAGTTTCATGTTGGCCCACTCTAAGCTTATAAGTTCAGCATTCTCCAACGGGAAGGAATATTAATGGAAGTGACATATCTAGGCCACTATCTACATTAGTACGGAAATAAGATGAAAAATATGCGTGCGGGTCTACTGTGAGATATTTGACCTTCTGATGACCCGATGCGAAAAACCAAAAACTTCAAAGGCTGTCGACTTTTACTGATGAGATGAGTACCACGAGACCTGTTTCAAGTAGTCAGCTAAACTCGAAGAAAAAAAATTGATTTCGCCCAGGATCGAACTGGGGACGTTCTGCGTGTTAAGCAGATGCCATGACCAACTAGACCACGAAACCAACTGTGAAGTCCAAATTAGTATGGTTTGCCTGGTATATTCCAAGGAATAAGGCAAGATTTATGACCTAAAATAGAGTATAAGTATTTTTTGGACTCACCGCGTATCCAGTATATCACTTTCCTTTCGTTTGTCCATTGTGTTGGTATTTCGACTTCTCCAGACCTAGAAAAATTTCGGTGAAAGTTACCGTGCATTTGACACATGAAACTGTCAGGCTCTTTTCGGAACATTCATTGCAATGTCTTGACCTAACGTTTGATGTTACAAATGAAAGTGGGGTGGTACTGTCCCAACTTGGGGATTGAACATATTGGTCTCGATTACCCATTCACTGTCCGTCTACAATATAGGCGAATTCAACACTGTTTTCTGCCCAGCTGTGGTGAAAACCATTATTTGCTCTTTGACCGGCCTTACTCCTTTTGAGCCCATCTTTATGCAAGCTCACTTTCCAGACAATCCGATTAGTATCTTGCGAACATCGTACCTGTTCAACTTTTTTCAACTTATGTCTGTTGGAAGAAGGTCAGCATGGTAGGCCACTTGTCCTGACTGACAAACCGGTCATAGACTTAATGTCAAGTAGAAAAAGGAATCCTGTATGCTTGACGTACTAATAGACTTTTGATCTCATTGGATAAATCGTGCATCGGCCTGAACATGCCTGATCGAGAAGGTACCAATGGCCTCCAACTTCTCAATCCAGATTGCCGCAATATAACACAGTATGAGGATTGCCAATCTCTTTCCTATCTCTTTCCTATCTCTTCCTATCATTCCCATCTCTTTCTATCATTCCCATCTCTTTCTATCATTCCCATCTCTTTCTATCATTCCCATCTCTTCTATCATTCCCAATGTCTACCTTGGAATGCCGATGTGCAGTGGCGTCCGTTATCTGCCAGGTGGATGCAGGCCGGGATCTCTTTTCCTAAACGGGCATAAAGATCCCGGCCAAAAGCCGCCAGTGTCTCGTAAATTGCCGCCACATCTTTATCTATAAATGATCGGCCAGGCAAGATCATGGTCGCACGGCGAACGGATTATCCATGACACCTGTCACATATATGTACCTGAGCTAGTCCGCCCGCTGCATCTTAGCGGCATGGTACTGCACACAAGGCATGTCACCAAGAAACTCCAGCACTGACTAGATGTCGACGAAAAGCGTCCAAAAGTGCACTTGATCTTGTCCAGACACAATCCACCTCGCCAATCGAATTGAAACATGTCCAAAAAAGTCCCATTTGTTCGCTTCCTTCAATCTTCCTTCAATCATCTACCTCAATCTTCCCCATGCCTATCGGTCTTATCTTCGCCGCGCGCCTGCACACGTTATCTTATCGCCCTGATATATAAGGCCCGTGCAAATCTTGTCTTGTCTTTTCGCCAAGATGATCCACCCTGTGCTTTCTGGCGAGCAAATCATCGAGGCCGTGGTCTCGGACTCGCGCTACCACAACAACACGCAGAACGTCGTGGCGCCACACATCACCGCCTCTTTTTCGCGCAACGATAATGAGCTTTTGGCGCAAATCGGCTACAAGCCCGAGCTCCGGCGCCAGTTCCTGACGCTCCAGGTGTTTGGCGTGGCGTTTTCCATCATGGGCTTGCTTCCCTCGGTGGCGTCCATTCTTGCCACGGCGCTTTTGGCCGGCCCGGCCGGCGCCATCTGGGGCTGGCTCATATCGTCGATTTTGATTTTGACCATTGGCATTGCCATGAGCGAGAACGCCTCCTTCTTGCCCACGCTGGGCGGGCTCTACTACTGGACCAACTACTACGCGCCGGCCAAGTACAAGTCTGTGATCTCGTACGTGGTGGGAAACACAAACTCCATTGCGTTGGTGGGCGCGCTTTGCTCCGTCGATTACGGCTTTGCCACCGAGGTGTTGTCGGTGGTGGTGATTGCCAAGGACGGCAACTACAACATCACGTCGGCCAAGACGTACGGCGTTTTCGTGGCGTGCGTGGTGGCGCACATTGCCATCACCTGTCTTTCGCTGAAACATGCGGCGTGGCTCCAGACAACGTCCATTGTGGTGAATGTGACGCTCATTGCGCTTTTTGTCATTGCCATGCCCATCGCAGCGTCGCGCGGCCTGTTCAAGTCGGCCAGCTGGGTGTTTGGCCACTTCTCCAACTACACGTCTTTCCCCATTGGCTGGACGCAGTTGTCGCAGGCATGGTTGCCGGCCATCTGGACCATTGGGGCCTTTGACTCGTGTGTGCACATGTCTGAGGAATGCACCAACGCGACTCGGACCATCCCCATTGGCATCATCACCTCCATCTCCATGTGCGGCGTTTTGGGCTGGGTGATTATGGTGGTGACATGTTTCTGTATCCAGACCAACGACATTGAAAATGACATTTTGGGCCTGCCCTTTGGCCAGCCCATGGCGCAGATCATCTACGACGCCTTTGAAACCAAGGCGGGTCAGGGCAAGAAGGTGGCCATGGCGTTCATGGTGCTCATTGCGTTTGCCCAGTTTTTGATGGGCGCCTCCATTCTCACCGCCATCAGCAGACAGATTTTCGCCTTTGCCAGAGACAACGGCTTGCCCATGTCGTGGTGGATCAAGAAAGTCAACAAGAAGTTGTCTGTGCCTATCCACGCCGTGATCACCGGTGGTGTGGCGGCCATTGTCATTGGTCTCTTGTGTCTTATCGGAACCACCGCCGCAAACGCTCTTTTCACCTTGTACATTGCCGGAAACTACTTTGCCTGGGGCATGCCCACGTTTCTCCGCTTGTTGTACATGGACGAGAAGTTCCAGCCCGGGCCGTTTTACTTGGGTCCCTTCTGGAGCAGGGTCAACGGCTGGGTCTCCACCGTTTTCATTGCCTACACCATTGTCATGGTGATGTTCCCCACCAACACAAACCCGGACAAGGATTCGATGAACTACACGTGTGTCATTACTCCGGGCGTGTGGATTTTGTCTCTCTTGTACTACTATGTGTACGCCCACCGCATCTACCATGGTCCTACCAAGACTGTGGATGACGAGGAGCACAGTTCCAGCGAGGAGGTGCAGTACATCGACGGCCAGGTGGAGGAGAAGGCGTAATGGAAGATCCAGATTAATTATCAAGAGGAGAAGGTTGGTTGTAGTCGCTAGTTGGCTAGCCTGTTATATATTCAATTAGTACAATGTTCTGGAGAATTAATAGAAGAAATAGAGAATGTACTGACGATGGAAGTCAGCTTCCAACCGGTAAATCACCATAGACTATACCTACTAGACTTTCTAAGACCGCAAGATTCTTCGCTTAAACACTTATTTTCACTAACTCGTCTGTCTCATCTCATTCTTTCGTATTAGATCGTCTCATTCAAAAAAGAACATAAAATCTGAAAGAACATACCATTTGAAATACCCGAAAATACACAATTTCAACAATTAGATATAAATAATAAAAGAACCTTTCGTTAGCTCGTCTGTCTAATCACATTCTTTCATATTAGCTCGTCTAATCAAACTTCGTATTAGCTCTTCGTTTAATTCAAACATTTATTTTGTATTGGCTCGTCTGTCTAATCAAACACGCTTTTCGTACTAGCCTAATATCCAAAGCTATAGTCTCCAGCAATCCACCGGTTCACCATATCCAACGAGTTCACTGGTTGGTCAAAAGGAACCATGTGGCCCGCATCGTACACACGCAAAAACGTGAAAATACCATAGTTCTTCACTTCTCCAGCAAGCTTACCTTCTTTGGTGTGCCATGGACGCAAAGGTTGCACTTCGAAGAAGTCGTGTTTGGAATAGTCCAAGGCGTCAGACCATGCGTGGTTGCCTAACCAGTTGCAAATGAAGTCCTTGTCACCCTCATACAAAAGAACAGGCACGCCCTTCTCCAACAATTCGGCAACATATTGGTGGAACGGTTTCATCTCGTCTCCAGAGAGGATGAAGTTGCGGAAAACCGTGTCGTCACAAGAAGTGAAAATGTCAATGTTGGAAGCACCCACAGCTTCCTTGACATAATCAAGGTTCAAGTAATCATCCAAGTAGTCCATCTCCACATAGCAGTTTCCGCCCTCATCCGTGCACTTCTTTCTAATGTCGTAGGGATTCAAGCCTGTCTCCGAGTATGGGTTCTCAAGGCGCGAGCTACAGTAGTAGGTGGCAGGAACACAAGTGAGAGCCGAAGGAGCATCATAGCAAATCTTAGCCAAAGCAGCACATTTGGGGTAGTCTTTGTCCATGCGCTCGCAAGTTTCAACGTCCAAAACAGGCTTGTATCCGCCTTCGCCGCAAGCCATGGGGCGGTAGTACTTGTATTGGATCAAAGGGTCTGTGATTCCGTTTCCAATCATGACCGAGGACAAGTCAAAAGAACGGTCCGCGTTGTTGATGATTTCAGCAGCAAAAGACGGAATGTAGTGGCCCGCGTACGACTCGCCCGCAATGTGGAACTTGTTCTGAGCGAATTTCGAAAACTTCTGGAAGAAAAGCTCCAAGAAGATGTAAACGTCTTTTGCAGCCGCTGCCGTGGATGAAATCTGCTCGCTGTCAGTGTAGGAGTAGCCCACACCCACAGGCTGGTCCAAGAAAATCACCGAGGCGTTTGAGTTCCACGAAAAAGGATTGCGTACTGGCTGCAATGTGGCATTAATCAGCGAAGGGCCCAACTCAAAGAACAATCCCGTGGAAGACGAGCAGCCAGGACCACCGTTCAACCACAAGATAACAGGGTCATTTTCTGGGTCGTTTCTCGACTCGAAGAACCAGTAGAAGAAATGCTTGCCCAAGTCTTCCACATCCAAATAGCCAGTGTACTGTTTGACAGTATCCAAGCCCAAAATCTCTGGCGCCGACTCAGACACGCGCAATGCGTAATTGCTAAACTTTTGCAGCCGGACGGTTTCTGTATGCGTTTTCGATAACTTAGCAAACTCATTGTGCTTGTTGTTCATACGGTCTTTCTTGACATTTTCCAGCTCCTGGTACTTGCTAAACAATTGCACGGCTTTTTCCTCTCCAACCTCAGAAATGAGATCTTTCCATGCGTACTGGATGTTGATGTCTCCAGAGCCGGCTATTTGCTCTTGCAATGTCTCGAACTTCGTGGCGCCTATTTCTATCTCGGGCAGAACGCCAAAGAAAAACTGCTCCATCTCACGGAGATACGGGACAGAAAAAGCATTTGCACTTGCAAGTGCGGCTGCCCAAAGAAGTAATTGGGACGCTTTCATGATTTTTTTGAAAGTAAGTGGGAAAAACCTGGGGGCAAAGGGTATTTATATAGATAAGGGAAGAGCCGTGCCGCGGGGGTGCTCTTGTCACGTGACCGTACAATTTAGCCTATGCGTCAATTCCGTTGCCGTTTCCGTTTCATTATGGCCCAATGCGGAAACCGTTATGTCATATGTGATTTTAGTGAAAGAGACCGAGATATGGAACTTCAAACGCAGCGTTATAATTTCCGCATTGGCATGCCAAACGAAGCTGCATACAGTTTTGGCAGAAAACCGTTACGATGACTTGGTGTATTCTGATACATGTAGTCCATTACTCCACTGGAATTGGTGGAACTGATTGCAAATGATTAGCCTTGCATGAAACCAGGTCTTCAATTGGAGAAATAATCTTTCGAGAGAATATTAACTACTTCAGGATACTTGTAGCTCTCCAAGCGAATACAGGATTTAAAATGCAGCAAAGTTCTTTCAGAATAGTTTTCGTTTCAATGAATCCTTTAGATGCACCAAAGCTCTTTCAAAATGGAACTTTGCTTCTACGGAGTATCCGTTTTCTCTTTACGATTGTGAGTGGTTTGAGCTTAGCCCCAGCCAGTAATGGAGCTTCTAAATATTTCTGGAGAAACGATATCCATAATAAAGGCACTCAACTAATGAGCTCAGTAGGCCATTAAGGCTGTTGAATTGCAATTTCTTCCAACAGAAATACCGGTTTTATAAAAGCTACGTTGACACTAATTTGAGGAAATCAAAAAAGATAATCGAGATGAACATACGTAGTTTCGATAGAAGTATGAACCGTACTTGAATAGAGGAAAGGAAGAATTCAGTTAAGCATCGTTAATGCTCAAAACCAATGCGGCTTATGTGATAGAACCCTCACTTTGACATACATAAATGAAGAGAAAGCCAGAAATTATTTTGGTTTAAATAACACAAATGCAGTGTAATGATTGTCTCTGATCACCTCAAAAGAATCATTGACTATCGTTTCTTATCAGTAATGGCATCCTTGCTTGTTTTAGATGTTAATTTATCAAGCATAGGAGAGCCGATTATAGCTACAAAGGGAAGATACTGATACTTTCACTCAATCTGCAATCTCCCAACTTTAACGTTGTGGCACTGTTCACTAAAAGTCCCACCTTGATCCAGTCTCGCATAAAGCAGTAAATGAGACTGTCAACCTCATACCCACAAAATAAATAGCTCAAAACAACACAAAAACAAAAGCACAAAAACACAAACACCAACAAATCTAACAAAACTAACAAAACACAATACACAAACAATACAAACAATACAACAAATGCCTTGCAAGAACCAGTCGAAACGTTTTTATCACGTGACCCTGCGTGCACACACCGCGACTCACAAAAAAACATTAAACCCGCCTATACACTAAACAGAAAATATGCCTCCTCTGTTTGTGCCCATCCAGGGCGTTTCTCGTACCGGTGTTGTTGCGGACGATGTTTCCCACATCCCCGCAAACGGCTATCTTTCTTCCGGCTCGGATCTACATGGTGCTGGCCATATGGGCGTGGGGCCCTTGGATCGCATAATCATGTCGTTGAACTCGGGAATCGAGTCGGAAATCGAGTATGCGCTCGGTGCTCTCACATACTACTCGTGCAACGAGCCCAAGTTGCTCAACTTTTCTGTGTACCCGCTTATGGGCAACGAGCTCATCAAGTATTTTTTCAAGCCGTTTCAGTTGATCTTGGACGGCAAGGAGCAGCTGCTCCGGCCTCCGGTGATGTCTTTGGCGGTGGAGTCGCTCTTGTCGCTTCGAAACGCCGTCCAGGACTTGCACAACCAGCAGTGGCTCTCGCAGATCAAAAGCTTCCGCAAAAACGCAACCGCGGCCCTCGGCTTTTTGGTCAAGTGGTTCTACACGCCGCAAAACCACTCGTACCACTTGTCGCAGTTCCACGACTTGTTCAAGGAGGCCTTGATGCACTTGTTGGACATTCTCGACCCGCTCACGTGCTTCTACATTGACAATGCCAAAAACGACCCCTTGTTTGCCCATCTTCTTACCGTCTTGCTGCAGACGCACGACAAGTACATCTTTACCGTGTCTGTCAAGTGCGTACACCACATGTTGTTTTTAAGCGGCCCGAGCTCGGCCAAAGAGGCAGACGCCGAAATCGACACTAATAACTGCATCGACGCAATCCAGCCCGATCACCTCTTAGTCATTGTGCGCGCGCTTCTTATTGGTGACGAAGAGTTGACCTATACAGTGTTGCTGTTTTTGAAACAGTACTTGGGCTCTACGGCTCTCCACCCGCAATATTCTTCTTCTACCGCTTCCTCGCAGCTTCACCGCTTACGGAAACTCGTGCAGGCCGGCCCAGCTCTGCGCAACTTGCACATCTTGATGAAACAGCTCCCACAGTTAATTGTGGCCAATCTTCCCTTGGTAGACGCGTCTAAATTGCAACAAGATTTCCCCACCTGGCTTCTGAAACGCTCAGCAAACAGCGGCGTGCCCAATACAACCGTGCGCTTGCCGCAGAAGTTGTACGATATTATCATCACTTTCCCAGAGCCTCTCCGGGCCACCACGTGGCTCCGGTGCTGTTATGAGCCATACGTAGGAAATACTAGCGGGAATGAAACAAAAGACCTGGCTGCAGGTGAAGTGACGCAGATCTCGCTCTGGAAAGCGTACGAAAACCAGTTTGAGGCCATCTGGAAAGACCGTCTGAACGCAAAATGGCCCAACTTGTTGCCTGCGGTGGACTTTATCAAGAACGTCAGTTCCGCATTTCCAAACTCCGAGGCTATGGTGGTGAACATTCCGTCACAGGATCCAGCGCAGCCAGCTCGCAAGAAATTCATCATCAAGGGCATCCAGCCGCGCCGGTTCCCGGTCAATATCGACGTGGGCAACTTTGAAGCGTTGCGTCGGTCCGTGGGCTCGGAAGACTCCAGTCCTTTGGGCAAATACGCAGGAGAAGTTGACACCAAGGCATTCCGTGCGGCGGTGGAAGCTTTCAATGATTCGCTCTTATCCACATCAGAAGGCTTGCTTGGTGTTTCCGACGTCAATGCGCCATGGTATTCTCCCGTGAATGCGCTCAGTCGGGATATTCTTCGGCGAACCATCGAGTCGTTGTTAGATCTGGACACTGACGGCGTGTACAAAAACGTGTTCCGCCAGTACAATAAGGAGTGGTTACCGCAGTGTGTTTATGCCAACCCGGGCTTGGTGGAGCATGCATACATTGAGGGCCGGTGGTTACTGTATCTTTTGTAGAATAGATGAGACGAGATCTCAGATTTGTATAGAATAGAATAAGAAAGACGAAGTAGCTGATCCCAAACGGTTTTGCCAGTGAAGTAGTATTCTGTCACGGCATGTGTAGAAAGATAGAGTTTGAAGAATGAAGAAAATAGAGATGAATGGATTCTTGTGAATACCTGCCATTTGAGGTAGAAGGTGTTTAATTTCATGTAATACAGGCGAAAGATGTACTTTTATCATAAACGAAGGAGAACTCGAACCAATTCAACATTGACGAAAAAGATGAAGCCTAAAACTTGATGAGAATTAAGTCAGAACCTTCTTTCGGCGAAAGATAGTCATTTCAGCGTCCTGTTAGCTTTCAGTTATTCTCACTACTTGCTTATTGGAATAATGATGAGATCCGCATAAACGGCCAGACCAAAGTTTAGTAAATCAGCACAGACTCAAAAGATGAATCGAAACTCAAGTTTACAGGAGATGAACGTAGAGAGGCAAATAGCACCTATCTCACGAATAACATCAGGAACTTAAATGGGTAGTCTCTAGTCCTAAATCATATTCCGCATCCGATTGAAGAGACCTTCGATTCAACAACGCCAAAAATTCAAAGAAAAAGAGACCAATCAAAGAACACAAAAGTCTTGAACTACAAACTTTTGCTATCCCGGCCATTCTGGTTGTCTGCCATTCTGGTTGTCTGCCATTCTGGTTGTCTGGAAATACAAGGCTGGACAGCCCAAGGCTCACGTGCGCGCGCATCTATGTGTTTTCTTCAATCTTGCCTGATCTCTTTTCCCCATCCAAAATGTCCAAGCTTCCTTTGTCTGTACGAATCACCGATGTTATCCACAGAGCCACTGTTTTGGGTCTTGTTGGCGTGGCCGTAGTGGGCACAGGATCGATTTTCTTCAACATTTGGGCCAACTCCGATTGGACGAAAATGAACAAGGACAAGTTGAAGTTCCACAGAGAAGAATACGAGCAGGCCCGGGCGGCACAGGCCGAGACGGAAGAGAAGTGAACATGTACATAGTGAATCGATACGGAATTTGATTTGTGTAGGTGTTGCAGACCGTTTAGATGTATGTGAGTCTTGGTTAAGCGAGGCTATAAAGGTTGAGATGCCCTCGTCAATCTTTGTTCGGCAATATCGAGACCTTTGTACTTACAATAAAGGAGCTGGACCGTCTTTTGCATATCAACATAACTGATGCTTCTCTATTGATATTGTTGAATGCACCAACGCTGTTCTGTGCCCTGTCTTCTCCAACTTTGACTTGAGCAGTTTATCCTTGACTGTAGAAGAGGACCTAGTTGTTGTCACACAAGTAAACCACATCGTTTTTGAAGGAGGCCTGCAATATGATGCATTTGTATAGATACGCCATTTTGATTTGTGCATGAGAAGAACAAGAGTAGTAAACGTCTAACGACAGACAGTGGTCTAAGCAAATACTTTGTTGGGCCTGAGGTAGCACTTGTTCAACTTGAATGTGTTATTAATGTGTATCAAGATACCTCTTCTTATCCAATCCGTGCAGATGATTTCTTATCTCAACAGAAGACTAGGCAAAGTAGCTGTGAAATAGTTATCGGCCCGTTTATGACAGATAGTAGAATGCACTGCAGTGAAAAGCCTATGGCGTCAAGGGTCTATTCTACCAAAGCATAGTACATCGTATCTCTCGAAGTAGTGACATATTCCGAAAAATGCCCGGATAAATAGTCAATATAGCTGATGGCATCGTTAAATATTCGCCTTCAACCACATTGTTGCTTAGCCACTGGATTAGCAGGATGATGGAGTGTAGATTAGGTAACAGGTAATGGCACTCACAGAACAACGGTTTCTTTCTCGCTTTTCTGATTATCCGTCTTCCTCTCCTTTCTCTTCTTTTTCCTCTGTCTTTTCGAATGGGAGAGACCTTGTTTCTCCAAGTAAGCAATGTTTCTATCGTTGAAACGAGCAGAAGCCTCGCTCTTCTCCGGATTCAAAATGACAATGTCGAAATTGAACACGAACTCTTTGGCACAAGCAGGACACTCGCTTCGCTTGATGTCTGGCTCGTCGTCGCGGATACGAAAATGCTTTCGAAGATCGACAATCAACTTATAGGCAAAAACACATCCACAGGGTCGGAGGTAGCAGAAGGTAGACTTGCCTGATGTTTCTACTCCAGACACAGGACACACAATCTGGCCCTTGGCATTGCGCTTGATGGTAAGCGTGACTATATCGTCCAAGCCACGAATATGCTTCAAGCGGGACTCGCCGCCTTTTCTGGACTGCAACAAGTTCTCTAGCACTTTTTCTTTCAAATATAGACGGCCCTGCGAGTCTCCCACGACAGGTTCAGCGATGCCATCAGAATACAAGGGCAAAGCAGACAACGCACAAGTATTGAAAAGCGAAACGTCGTTGCTATCTAGACGGTCTTGGGTTTCCGACCCGCCGGCGTAGATTGCACGAAGATCTTGGCCTTTGGCAATTGTTCCTCCGTCGTTTCCCATGGTTTGGTGGAAGGAGTCAAGAGTATTAGGTCAGTGAAAAAACCGTGGCGGGATAATGATGTCAACAGATGATTTGGTCTTTGATGTAGTACTTGGTCTTTTAGATTAAAAGGCTCCAGTCTTCACTTGATTCTTCAGTATCAGGATAAGTCTTTCAGTCTTTCGTCTTTCGTCTTTCGTCTTTCGTCTTTCGTCTTTCAGTCTTTCAGTCTTCAGTTTCAATGATTTCTTTCAGTCTTCTAGTCTTCAGTTTCAATGATTTCTTTCAGTTTCAATGATTTCTTTCAGTTCCAATGATTTCTCCGATCGTGGAGCTCTTCTGTCTATGGCTCTTTTATGTAGTGCGCGGCGGCTCAAAAGTCCATCCAACAAAAACTCACTCCAACCCACAAACCAAACCAAAAACAAATGAGCCAGCGCAGAATCGACCTAACACAGCTCCAGCCGCAGCAACTTGCCGAGATCCGCAAAAGCACAGAACTGGAGATCCAGCACTTCACCCAATCTCTCCAGGCGCTTCAGACGGCCCAGTCCAAACTTCAAGATTGTATCAACACCGTCAACCAGATGGAAGCCTCCACCAACGACTCCTTGCTTGTTCCCATGACAAGCTCATTGTATTTGCCTGGAAAAATCGCCAGTAAGGACCATTATTTGGTGGACATTGGAACAGGCTATTTTGTGGAGAAGGACGCTGCTTCTGCGGTGCAAGTGTACAAGAAGAAAATCACCAAGTTGGAGACCGACTCGAAGAAATTGAAGGAGATTTTGGTGCAGAAGAACGACGCCATCAACAACATCAACATGGTTTTGCGGAAGAAGGTGATTGAGCAGGAGAAAAGCTGAGAGAGAGAGAGAGAGAGAGAAGCTGAGAGAGAAAAAAGAAAAGACAAATAAAGGAGAATTAGCAGACAAGGCACGGTAGTAATACAGACTGCTCGTCCATCGAGTTAATAGTGGATAGAGCAATACATAAAGTGAAATTGATGGTAAGCGTTGAGTTTGTCTATGACAATTGGAGCAGGAACTACATGATTATGAAAACAGGCCTGTGGAACTGTTAATCGGGCTGTGGCATGGCCTTTGAACTGTGATGTCTTGTAGCTTGTTGTTTCCTTCTTCTATATTCTTTTCTATTAAGGAGCTCAAGTCGCTAAGCATGACATTAGTTAATTGCTCAATGGGGAAGGCTTTGATCCAACTTGACTTTGGTCAAAGAGGACAAACCTCATAATTGTAGTTGGATAAAGCCCAGTAATAATGAGTTCCGGAAACTTACAAAATAATGCACGGTATTTCTGAATAGAAAAGACTACATTCTGTTTTGTCTGATATGAGTGAGATAACCCACTGTCGCGTCAATCGGCACAAAAATGAAAGTTTTTTCTCCGCAAAAACTACAAATACTAGGGATTGGCATATTAAGTGACTTCATGAAGGCTTTACATATAACACTACCTGACCAAATGGTCCTTGTGTTTTCTAGAGACGAAATGTATGCAATTATAGGGAGATGTACGGATTTTATATACTTGGTGTACGGATGTTTTGAACAATGGTGTTTGGGTTTTTTGACCAATGGTGTATGGGTTTTTAATTGTTTGGTGTAAGGATGTTTATGGATGTACGGGTGTTGAGTTTGGGGATGTTTGGGTTTTTGTTGTGAGATGTACGGGTCTCGTTCTGTCTTTGTGGCTTCTACCTTCCCCCACAATTTGTGGTACAAAAAGGATTAAAAATATCAACCACTTCACATCTTAGTGGTTTATCTGTAGACCTATATTTCTACTTCTGGAGAGCTGTTTTGATAGAAAACGATCTCGAGAAAGCATTGCTGTATTCCAGCCTCTTTCAATCGCTTTTCTTGAAGTAGTCTAAACTCTTCTGGTTAAGCAAGTTTGTCTTGTACAAAGAACACCCGTTAGCATCTCCTAACTTATACCAGTCAAAGCGGAGCCCAGTTTCGCATTCCTCAGCAGAAAAATTCTCTACTTCCCTGCCTGGTTTCTTCTTCGCTCATTATTCCTTGTTCCACACAAACGGCTCTGTGAATGCATCGTGCAAAGTCTGCTGTTTCCGCTCTCCTATTCCGGGAACACTAACTCCGCCGACCGCCGACCGAAGAACAATCTCCTTGAATGAACGGCAGTGCGCTAGCAATCCAGCAACATCTGTCCGGTTGACTGCCCGAACCGTCGTTAAGGCGCCGACCACACTCAGATTATAGTCGCCTTTGCGCACACCTTGGAGTGACGAGCCCACATGCGAGCGTGTCTGTTCGTGCTGCTTCAAACAGGCAACGTATGTGCCGGCCTCTTCGAAGGACCAGGCAACCACCAAGGCCAAGTCGTGTTTTACACATATGCCCAGGAGGTGTCTTAGCGACTCTTGTGGGGCATCAATGTCCACCACCACCAAAAGCACCCGGAGGGTGTCGTCCTTTTGGCCCACCAAGCTGCCCTTGAGCTTTTCAATGCGCCGCCACACGTACTCGGGCCGAAGCCGGTGGTACTTGAGCGAGAGGAAGAGAACCTGCACCGTTGCGCTGATGTAGTAGTCCGAGAGGATGTCGCTGCTGTATGCCCACGGCGTGAGCTTCATCTGCAGACTGTCAAGGAGAGGATTTCCTTTCTGGGACGGCGCCACTTGAATAGCCGCCGCCAGAGGCGGAGGTCGCAGCGTTTGCCGCGTTGAATGTCCAGGCGTGCCTCTAGGCAGAGGCAGACTTTGGCGGGATGTTTGTCTTTCGCGTAGATGGTTTGGCTGATGTATGCTGGGATGTAGACCGGGGCTGTTGCGGTTTGCTTGGCCTGGCTGGATTATTTGCGCTTGGTTCTGGTTTTGGTTGGCCTGGTTTGTCTGGTTCTGGTTCTGGTTTGTCTGGTTCTGGCTTGTCTGGTTTGTCTGGTTTGTCTGGTTTGTCTGGTTCTGGTTTGTCTGGTTAGGCCGGTTGGCCTGGTTCTGGCTTGTGTGGTTCTGGTTGGCCTGGTTCTGGTTGGCCTGGTTCTGGTTGGCCTGGTTTTCGCTGGGCGGCCGAGTGTCATATTCTTCCCGCATTTGCCTGACTCCGGCAAGAATGCTAGCGAATGACGCTGCATCTATATTTTCAGCCATTGTGTTCGAGGGCGGAGCTTAACCAAGTTTGCAAATTAAGTGCTCTCGGAGAAAGATGAAAACAACTTTCGATTGGGAGAAATGGAAATGTAAACTTGAACAAGGATTAGCAAGTCTATGATGAAATCTTTCGCAACTACTCGATTATGTACTTGGGGTGTTGTGTGCACTACATGGCCAGATACCCAAAGAATAGGATAAGAAGAGGATGCATTATTGATGTATTTGAGCAAAGCTAATGAATTGGGGATTCTTGGTTTTTCCATCAAGTCTGCTATTTAAGTGCGAGAGGATGCAAGCTTGGGATGGCTTGACTTTATTAACTATATATTTCTATACTCATCTTGAGGACCGTTCATTTATATTAATGTCAACGGAAACCAATGGTAGCAAAAAGGACGAGTAGAAACCCAGCATTGGCAAAGAGGAATTGGATAGGCTTAATTCTTTGGATATATTCCCTTTGCGATGTTTCGAACAACTAGACGACTCTAACCTTAGTCTATAACGGAAGTCGAATGTGTGATTGTGCCTCCTCTTCCAACTAACGATTTGAAATGAAATTTCTAGCGATTAAATATTCCTACCCTAAATGGCTTCTTATTCGGTTCTGATAGTTCGTCACTGTGACCAAAAAGGGCAAAAGGCAGTTATGCCTATGAAGAGGCAGAGACAGATTCTACCAGCAAACGTGAAAACGTCATATCATTGAATCTATTATCAGAACTGATAACCAAATTGGCCTCTCTGTTTCTTGCTATAACTTGAAGTTTGAGACCAACTATCACTTTTGGTGTTGATGTTCTCTTCAACAACTTTATGAGCACACTTTTTGAATCAAGCAACTCCCATAATACCTCGTTCTACCTCATTCTACTTTGTCCACCTTGTCAATCTTCTCATCCTACATCATCACCTTCCAATCTTCTCATTCTTCTTATTGTACGTCATCCACCTTCTCATTCTTCTCGTTCCACTTTCATCCACTTTCATCCACTTTCATCCACCTTCTCATTACTTTCGTCTACGCAATACTCACATTCCATCATGCTCCAACACTTGACAAAGATCCAATCCTTTGAAAGCAGATCCATCGTCTGACTCATCAAAGCTTTTGTTTCTTCTTCCCTCTTATGGCTGAACTAGTCGCCTGCATACACAGTCACAGTCTGTTTTTGCTATCCATACAACACTTCTTTCCAAATGGTATGTTCTAGTTGCTAAATTCCCCGGCCCAACTAACCCCAGTCTGCTCTTTTCAACTTCCAGTCGCTTCTTCTAGTCATTCTATTGGCCATTTGCACGTGCACATATATCCATGCTACGTGGCCTGCGCTTTTGGATAAGAACAAAACGGGCGCCTTTGGAGTTTTCTGGAAGTTTGCTCGGATCGGCGAGAGATTGAGCCCTTACGTGGCTATTGGGTGCTTTATTATGGCGTTCAATGTTCTCAGTGGGTGAAGGAACTGTGACAGAAGACAACATCACGAGAAGACAAGTATGGAGGGAACATCTGACAAAGACCGGATAAACAAACTACGGTGAGCAATTTTGCTTGGATTGGTCTATAGACTGCAAGACGACACATGGGTATCCACTTTTGGCACCGTTTTGAAAGTGCCAGAAAGAATCATATCGGAGTGTGGAAAGATTTTTTTGTCAAAAGACATACTTCTGTCGAAAGACATACTTCTGTCGAAAGACATACTTCTGTCGAAAGACATACTTTTGTCGAAAGACATATTTTTATCGAAAGAATACTTCTGTCGAAAGAATACTTCTGTCGAAAGAATACTTTGTCGCAGAATTACATGAAGTAATTAGAAAGTTCTATGCAATAAACGAGTCTATAAGTGCCTGACTAGCGGAACTCAAACATCTCGTTGACGGAGTTGCAGAGCACAGCAGCCTTTTCTGCTCCACAGATGCGCTCCAACGCCGCCGCATCCCACTTGCAGTAAATGGTTTTGATGAACGACAAGTCTGTATCCGCGTCGCCTTTGAACACGGACTTGCCCACAAAACGAAGAAGCTCCTTGTAGAAAAGAGGGTTTTCCGGAGGTCCGTACAAGACAATGTTCTTGACGCCGGCAAGCTCAAAGCGGCGGTAGTGGTGCAACCGCTCGGTGTACAAGAGCAACTTTGTTTTCCCCGTCAGGAAGAAGTGGCGGGCCCTGGTGATTTTGGCCCGCAGCGAGTACTCGTCGATGGCAGAAAAGTCTAGCTTTGTATGGGTCTTCATGTGGGCCTTGAGGCGCACGTAGTCAAAGTAAGACGGCACGTAGATCAAAAGACCGTCGTCGTAGCTTGTTTGCTTGGAGAGCGAGGGCAAGACCGAGTTGACGAAAAAACGGAAGCGGGCATCGACGCTCGACTGCGGGTCGGGCGCATCGAAGCGCTGGAAGATCTGCTTGAGCCGGAGCCCGACCGAGTTCATGACACAGGTCTGGGCCGTGGTTTCGGGCCGGAAACGGGTTTTCCCGGCAATGTTCTGCGAGTGGGTGATGACGTTGCTGACGCTTGGGGTGAGAAAGTCGCAGAACACCAAGGTCTGGCGCAAAAGGCGGGCGTGGTCGTTGATGGCCCACATGCGGATGCGCGAGAAGTCGGCGCCGTGGAAGTCCTTGGGGATTTTGTTGATGTAGCGCAACACCGTGTGCACATGGTCCCAGTTTTGCATCTCGAGCTCGTTGGCCCTGTCCACGACAAGCACCTCGATGGAGGACAAGAAGTCGTACTCGCGCTTGGCCTGCTTCGGGTCCTCGAGGATCATGGCGAGGCCGATGGGCAGCGCCACGAGGATGTCGGCGCCGTAGAAGGAGGCGTACAACTTGACGCTTTTGCGGGTGAACTTGAGGCCGATGCTGAAGAAGTCGTTGGAGTTGCCGTGGAACATGGCGCGGAAGTCGGCCGGCTTCAGGTCGGGCGGCCCGCCGTCGGCGTGGAACTGCGCCTTGAACCGCCGCCGGTTCTCCTGCTGCGCGGCGCCCGACATGCCAATGAGCTGCTCCACCACCTCGTACGCGGCGTTGCGCGTGGGCAACAAGATCAACACCTTGGGCCGCGTGAAGCCCTGGTCGCGCGGCTCGGGCTCGGGCCCCGTCGCCTTGCCCTGCTGCTGGGCGCTGTGGTAGTTTTTGAGCACGTCGTTGTTCTTCAACACACGGTCTCGTGTCTTGAACACATGGTTGAGCACATGCGCCGCGTAGAGCTTGCGGTGGACGGTGTTGTCGTAGGTTCTGCTGGCGTAGAGCACGTCGCGGTACGAGAAGATGTGGTGGGCCAACTCTTGCTCGAGCGGCGAGAACGGCGCCGGGTGGCGCGCGGCAAAGGCGTCGGCGACCCTTTTCTTGACGGGCGCGCCGAGCGTCTGCGCGCGCGGCGCCTCACAAGCGGCGGTTTTCTCGCCCGGGCTGGCGTGCGTGGTCACGGCGTACGCGCCCACCTTGGCCTTGTGCGCCACGGGCCACCGCGCGGAAAGAAGCGCCGCTTTGGCCGCCACCGCCTCGTCGTCCACGCCAAAATGCACTTCGAACGGGTCGCCGTGTTCGTTTGCGTCGTCTTCAACTTCGTCGTTTTCCTCTTCTTCTTCTTCTTCGTCGTCGTCGTCGTCGTCCTCCTCCAAATTGACGCCAGCCACATCGTCTTCTTCGTGCCTGCTGGCGGTCTTTTTCTTGTCGCTCTTCTCCGGGTGCTCCGACTGGAGAAGCGTCAACAACGCATCGTACGCCTTCCCCTGCTCGAACTTCTTCTCCTCTGGCGCCGCTTCTTCTGCCTCCGACTCCAGCGACTCGGGCGTTTCTTCAACTGGCGCATCCACATCGCGCCGAGCCGTTCTGGTGATGGTGCGCAACTGCTGGCGGCCACGGTTGGCCCGCTTGGGCCGGCTTTCGGCGCCGTCTTTCGACTTGGCAGGCCGTTTGTTCGATCCGGGTCTTTTCATGCTCAAGAAAAGAGATGAGGTGTGGTAGATGAGGTGTGATGCAGGTCGCGCAGAGTAGTGATAAAAGTATCGCGGGAAAGACAGGAATAAATCGATAAACGAAGATAAACAATCGAAAGAAATCGATAATCGATCCAATTGATGATCGAAGCAAATCGAGAATCGACAATTCGAAACAATCGACTAACCGAATTGATAGAAGTACCAAAGCAGACCGTTCTTCTTGCATCAGCTTGCTTGGTTATGGATTCAGCTACGTTTAGCTCATCCCGTTCTGTCTACTTCTGGGACCAGGCACGTTTCGTCATTGTCTCCTTTTGTATCGTATGAGCACATGACGGACAGACTTCACTGTTGATAGATGAAGGCTACAAGTAAGCACGGTATTCTCTGGAATCATTTCAGAAGGCGAGTGTCGAAACTGAACTAGAACTGATAATGGCAGTAGTGATGAGCAGCTTAAGATCCAACCTAACCTCTATACCTCGCGACTTGGTCCAACGTCAGCTTCAATATTTTACCATCTTCTTCCGCGTACTTAAGTTTGCTATGTAGTTTGAGTACTTCATTTGGCAAACAAGATGTAGCCCATCGTGATATATAACCTGATGATACATTTGCAGAGACCAAATTCCTAATCATCTACGGTACAGTTGCATCTGGGTATTTCAGTCCCTTGATTCCAGATTGAACAAAACATGCATGTTCGTGTATGTGTTTCTGTCATAAGCACTGGTTCTTTTATAAGCCAAGTGGCACCAAGGCCCCGATGGCAGAACGAATCCTTTCATTTTTGTTCACCTGTCTCATACAACAAATGAGTAACTCGGACCGAATTCTCTGAAGATCTTGGTTTATTGTAGCCATTAGCTTTGTAAGATGTTCCCAACATGACTGTCATATAACTCTATACATTAGGGTAAACAATTCTATTGGGGAAGCGATGGGATCTCTACTTGACCAATATTGGCCTTAACCTCATAGGAAGCTTAGCTTGAAATTTGTAGTTCTTTTCTTTGATTGCCTAGCAAAAGCCATTGGAAAGCACCTCACTATCCTTCTATATACTTGAAGCAACATAAGAAAAATCCCATAGATGATAAAATCATTACTGAGCTTCTCTGGTTCTACACTTTCCTCAACATGTAACTGGAATGGACGGCTTATCCGTATAGTTCTAACTGGTGTTATACTTCCTCGGTCAGTGTATTATCCCAAACGATCTCTTTAAAGATATCCTTCGCCAGAATAGGATATCCAATTCAATTCTCTGGAAAATGGCAAAGCACAGAATTTAATGTACACCTCTTATACTTCTCTCCTAAAAAATTGGTGGTCTGTAGTTTATTAATATACCTTTTCTACTTCCCTACTCAAAGTTAATGTGTTGACTGTCCTCCTTTGATTTGTGAAGACATGATTTGCGCCGGCTTCTGGTATTCGTTGGCAATGTACATTTATTATGATGTGCTAGAGACATGAGGCCTCTCCAGGTTCTAGATGAAGGGGTAACAGTATTTCTTTTAATATTTATTTCGAAATTTTCATGAAAATCCAGCCGGTTTGACCGGATCTAGCCTAGTGCACAAGACAATAATGCTCGAAATTGCTCCGAACTTGCAAAAGTGCACACGACAGGTATGAAAAAAATAGAATTAACGTAAATTAGGCGACTAGAGCCAGATAAAGGGAAAGAGACATTGGAGTGACGAGACAGAAGCAGGGAAGGAAAAGAGACAGCAAAGACAAGGGAACAGAAAAGGCAAATAAAGACATAAGACAGAAGATGGAAGAACAAAAGAACAAGACGAGAACATTACAAAAGAAGACAAAGAACGAGAACATAACAGAAGAAGAAGATAAAGAACGAGAACATTACAAAAGAAGAAGACAAAGAACGAGAACAGAAGAGGAGACGAGAACAGAAGAGAACGAGAACATTACAAAAAGACGAGAACATAACAAAAAGACGAGAACATAACAAAAAAGACGAGAATACAAGAGAACAAAACGAACAAAAAGAACAAAACAAAAGACACAACGACAAAACAAAAGCCACAACGACACACAAACAGAAGTTGACGTTTCCTCTATTTCACAACGTTCGTAGTCTCTCCATATTCTTGAAAGTGCAAACTACCAGATGCGCGAGAGTGCGTAGAGTAATCCCTTTTTTTCCATCGATCCCATCTTCACTTCCTGGCTTTTGCTGTTTTTGCCTTTCCGTTTCTCAGAATAGTTAGGCCGTGTGCTGATCTGGGATAGTGTTGCCTTGGCTCTGGTGTTTGGCTCAGGTTTGCTCCTCCACTTTCGGCTCTTTCGTCTGGCTCGGCTAGTCCAGGCTGTCTTTGGCTTCCGCTGGCTTTCCGGTTAGACTTTCTGCGGCATCTGTTGTCTACTGTTGTCTACATTTAGTGTCTAGACCCGTTTTTGGCGACACCGACGGTCGAACGACTCGTTGTGCCACTGATTAGCCCTTTGACATCTTCGGCGGCTCTAGTATCCACTGTCTAGACTGTCTAGTCTTGCTTCTCACTGCTAGTCAGGCCCTGTCTAGTCCCTACTAGTCCCTACTGTCTAGTCCCTACTAGTCCCTACTGTCTAGTCCCTACTGCTAGTCCCTACTGTCTAGTCCCTACTGCTAGTATCTACTGCTAGTCCCTACTAGTCCCTACTGTCTAGTCTCTAGTCTAGTCTCTAGTCCTAGTCTCTAGTCCAACATGAACATCCTCCCGCCGCTTCTCCTGGCGTACTACCTCGCCTTGGTCGTGCTCACGATCCCGCTCGCCTTCGACGTGGGCGGCATCGAATGTGGCCTCGCCTATTCTCTTGCCATGCTGGCGCTCTACTTTGTTCTCACCACGCTCCGCCTCGCCTCGCGCCGCCTGCCCTTGGCCCGCGTGGCCACCGTCTTCTACTACAGCCAGCACGTCCTCATGCCCAGTCTCCTCATGCATTTCTTGCAGAGATACCCACGCAGCGGCGCTCTTCCGCCCGCCCTAGCCGTGTGGCGATATTTGCTCGTGCACCTGACGCTGGTGTTCACGGTGGCCGAAGGGTTCTGCCTGCTCTTGCTCATCCAGGCGGCCAGCCAGACGTTGGGGTGGCTCACGGCGCACCGGTCGGACTCGTGGCTCTTTGTGTCGCTCATTGGCTCCGGCTGCACCATCACGGGCGCCCTCTACTTCTTGTACCGCATCTACATCTTCCCGCTCGCGCTCGACTTGGGCAACGCGTCGCTCCTCGGCCTGTTTCTCACCGTCACCGCGGGGCTCGGCTTGTATGGCATTGTGTCGGGCAAAGGCTCGATGATCGAGTCGTCGCTTCTCTTTGCCTACATTGTGCGCTGCATCTACGAAACGTTCCCGCTGCTCTCGGAGGACGCCACCCAGGCCGTGGCCCATGTGTTTGCCCAGACGACGGCAAACTTGCGCCTCGAGCTTGCGCACCTTCCGCGGCCCGTGGCCGATACGCTTCTGGCGTTTTTGCCGTCGCTTGCGGCCAACTTGCCCCACTCGTTCAAAGCCGTGTGGGACGTGTTCTTTTCCGCCGTGCACAAGTTGACCTTGCCGCTTTTGGTCAACCTAGCCTACCGCATCGGCGTGTTCTACGCGGCCACCAAAATCATCCCGTCCTTGTACCACACGCTCCCCCACTCGCCGGCACGCACGCCGCAAACGTCGTCGTCCTCGCTTGCCTCTCTTGGCCGAGACGACAAACAGAGCGAAAATGACAAGCAGAATGACAGCGAAAATGACAACCAGAATGACAAGCAAAACGAGCAGAACGAGCAGAACGAGCAGAACGAGCAGAACGAGCAGAACGAGAATGGTAGCCGCCGCACGAGAGGCCACCGGCCCGACAGGCAAATGGTGCGCCGCCCTGCCGTCATCCGCTTGCTCTACGCCTACTCGCCGTGCATTGTCATTGCTGTCTACACGCACTTGATGCTTCTGTACCGCGGCGAGCTCGGGTCCGAATTGATGCTCTGGGGCTGGTGGGCCGACGCCGACGACATGGTGATAGTCGTGCACCCGTGGCAATTCTGGAATTGGATCAACATGGGCACCACGCTTCTTCTCTACATGGCCGAGTTATCTGGGTCTAACGACGGCGCCATCACCAACCACTGGGACGTGGACTAGTGGCGCTCAGGACGGCTGTCCTTGCTGTACTATATTTTCATTTCTGTATACTACGAAGAACGTCTTGCGGCGCAGAGTCTTTCTCGTCACTCCACTGAGCATTAATAAAGCCATTTGATGTGACTGCTGTTCGTAGAGTACTGACAGTAGAATTAAAAAATGCTGTGCTACGATCATTGCCGATATGGCTTTGACAAGTTGGGATATTTCTACCAGGTACGATTATCCAGTGCTGCACGGTTACTTCAAAGATGCACGGTTACTTCAAAGATGCAATCGGAAAAAACACATTCAACGTCAGAAATATTTGCAACTCTCGTCCACGAATGATAACCAGCCATCTTTCCAGACTGTGAAACCTTCTCAGAGCTTGACTCTATGTTTGCTTTGGTGTCTCATCATAATAGAATGCGCATATTTCCCGACAGCACCGTCCAAGTAGCTGCGAACAGCTCTGCTAAGTAGTTAAGAAAACCCGGCACATTTGACTGTGCAAATCTCATTTGCGGACAAATAGATATCGGGTTTGTAGAGGGCGTTCATAAACAAGAGTGAGCTCCATTGGGTTAACCACATTGTGGCCACTTGCAATAACTAGGGTTTAGGATACCAATATCCCGTTGCCGAAAGACAAACCCCGGGCCCCCATAAGAACCCGGAGGAAGCACCACTGCTCCACAGCTCCACGCTCCAAACACTTGGACATCCGTTTGCGCTGCAACACAAGCAAGAGCTGCAAACCCCAGACCAGTCTTTCTTCTGCAAAACTGCCTCGGCCCTCAGTTCAAAAGGAACAGGCTAAAGCAGCCAAAAAAGAGACCAGAAAGGGGCGCAACTAATGCCGTAGAAACAGCAGACGCCAAAAATACTTGGAGCCATGGGCCAAGAGCAAATGGCACAAGCAGTGTCACGCACTGCCACGTTTCCGCTGCTGCGGCCGGAGACTTTCCCCGAAGCATTGGCCGAGACCATGGCACGGGGCCATTTCAGAAAGCTTCGTTAGCAAATCTTTGTCTATGAACGCACCGAAAAATTTTTGAGCGGCGATGGCGTCCTTATATAGAGAAAAAAGACGTGCGAAGTACATGCGCGCCTTAGGGCTCTGGGAACAAACAGAAGAGGGCCTAAATGCATTCTTACCGGGCCTAAATGCATTCTTACCAGGCCTAAATGCATTCTTACCAGTGAACTCGAGCTTCTGTATTGTTATTAGTAGTGACTGTAATCCGAATAGACACGATAAAACCATTCGAACGACGCGACCTTGAAAATGTGACCAACTTCCAGTAACGGCTTCCCTTGCAATTGCGTTTTCAACTTGAATCGAAGGCTGACTACAAGCCTAAGAGCGGAGCAACAAAGCTCGCAAGAGCGGAGCACGACTCAATTTTTCGCTAAACGGCCCGAAGCTTCAATGGAGCCGAATGGCGAAAAAAGGTTAAAGAGCCATCGACGCGGCCCATGGGAAGAGACAAACAAGCCACTCATATGCGCGTGCGCCCGTGCCAAAGTATACTACTCGTGGAGGCGACCGTGCAAACACCAAGTCAAAAAGCAAGTGGTGCAAATCTCTGAGGCTGCGGCTAGCACGGCCGCTTCCCACGGCCGCACGCGCCTGGGCACGGCGGAAGTGGGCGCCGTAGGCGTCTCTCATTTCCTCGGGCCAGCTCCGGACCTCGGCGTCCACGACGGCGGCCAGCGGCGTTCCACGCGACACATTCAAGTTGCCGAGCCGCACCTGGGTGACCGGCACGCCGTGAGGCCCCAACTCGTGCGCTAGCGTGGCGTAGAAGGATTTCAATGCTGCCTGAAACACCGCTTCCGGCGCATGATACGGCATGCAGAGCGTGCTCACCACTGTCGGAACAACAGCAACGACTCTGCTCGAGTGGCTGCGCACAATGTCGGCAAGGCCAGCGCTGAAAAGCTCAAAGTGCACTGCGAGGAGCCGCTGCACACGCGCCCACGACGCCGGCGAGACGCTTTCGGCCGGGCCGAGCGGGAAGAACATGTGCGGCGCAAACACCACGGCACGCAACCGGAGGCGGTGCGGCGCAGCGTTGGCAAACGGCACCACCGGCGTGGCGAGCCACCGCTTGAAGTCGCGCAACACAGCGTCGGTGGGCGAGTCGTGCAAGTTCAAGTAGTTGACGTCGTCGGCTAGCGTGCTCTGGTTGACGTAGCGGGCATCCTTGTCGTCAAGAATGGTCAAGTAGACAATGAAGCCGCGCTTCTCAAAGTCGAGCGCCACTAGGCGCGTGAGCGGCTCGGTGGGCGACCCAACCACAAGCACCACGTCGCGGCGCGCGCCGTTGGCCAACTTGGGCACGCGGCGTTTGGGCGGCGCACGCGTTTGGCTGTAAAAAAACGCCCCCGCGCCGATGCCCACGCCGAGCCCCACGCCCGCCGCGGCCCAGATCGCGCGCTTATGTTGTTCGGTCCACAGAAAAAAACGCTCGAGCGGCCGAGTCGGCGGCAAAGTTTTGGGCGCCAGGACATTTGGATCTGGGGCGGGAAACAATTCCAGAACATAGCCGCTGGCCTGCAGATACGCCGCCCGAAGAAACGAAAGGCTGGCTTGGACTGGTTCTGCCACCATTAGCAAGAAAAAAGATTTGGCTGGAGAAAAGGGATTGGGGAAAAAAAGTGTTGTGAAAGAAGAAGGGAGAAATGGAAGATGAGAAATATGGGGCGGCGCGCAAGAAAAGGGCGCGAAAAAATTATGCCGGTCCCAGGAATCGAACCTGGGTTTGTTCGGCCACAACGAACTGTACTAACCACTATACTAGGCCGGCTGATGTGAAGGAAATGAATACGTAGCATATATGGTCAGCAAAAGCATAATCAACGAAGATTTTACATTCTGTTCCTGGATCAAATACGATCAAATCTATAGTCTTCCAAGATGGAAGAAGAAACGAATCTCTGAAGATTAAGCAAGCCGGGCGAATGTCTAAATCTCATACTACTTCGTCCTTTTCCGTTTGATTTTTATTTTCCGCTCAATTCCCTTGATTGGATTATTTCGTTCCTGGCTAACTTTCTTAGTTTCAAAAACTTAGTCTACTGTCCTTGTGTGGATGAAAATGAGTAGGCTGTAATTGCGAAGTGTGGAAGAGACTGCATACAGGAAACACCAAAAGTATATAAAGACCGCGCCTTATCGATAAGCCAGGCTTTAATAAACGCAATTCCGCTTACTTACGTTCGTTTATCCATTGGCTTATCTTGATTGTTGGTTTTTCGATTCATACTAGAACGTTTTGAGTCGTCATCCAGTTAACCTTCCGTCCATATTCCGTGATCGACTCCTTCTAATTCCTCCTGCTTCTGCTTCCTCTCCTATTCCTACTTCCCTCTTCCTCTTCCCAATTTTCTTTTCCTCGTCCCATTTTCTCTTCCTCGTCCCATTTTCTCTTCCTCTCCCATGTCTTACCCCGTTCTTATCCACAAGTACACCGACCTGCTTACTGCTATCGAGTTTAGCAGCCAAAGTGCGCCCGAGCACTTTCTCGTGTTTGTGGGCGGCTTGGGCGACGGTTTTTTGACGGTGCCCTACGTTCCCGCGCTTGCGCAGCAGGTGGCGGCGCGCCTCCCACACTGCGCGGTGGTTCAGGCCCTCATTTCCTCGAGCTACCTCGGCTTCGGCACCGGCAGCTTGGCGCGTGACGCCGCCGAGTTGGCGCAGTTGGTGCGGTTTTTGCGCACACACCGCGGCACCAGCCGCTCGCGCGTGATTCTCATGGGCCACTCCACCGGATGCCAGGACACCATGGAGTACTTGAGCAAGTACAGCCAGCGCGCAGACTTTGACGCGGTCGAGGCGCTCGACGGCGCCATTTTGCAGGCGCCCGTCAGCGACAGCGAGGCGTTCCGCCATTTTGCCAGCGACCAGGTGGACGAGTTGTTGGCGCTCGCCAAAAGCCACCTTGAAAACGGGCGGCCCGACGAGCTTCTTCCGGCGCGCGCGCTGGACGTCGTGTTTGGCGCGCCCATTCTGGCGGCGCGGTTTGTGGCGTTGGCCGACCGCCGCGGCGCCGACGACTACTTCTCGCTGTACTTGACGGCAGAGGACCATGCGCAGACGTTTGGCCGGGTGCGCGTGCCGCTCTTGGTGCTTGAAGGCGGCGCCGACGAGTTTGTGCCTCCGCATGTGGACCGCGCCGACTTGGTGCGCCTGTGGCAGAAGGCCACGCCGCCCGAGTTTTGGAGCGCGCGCTCCAAGGTGGTGCCGGGCGCGCTGCACAACGCGGGCGAGACTTCGGCGCCAGGCGCGCAGGACGACGTTGTGCGCACCGCCGTGGACTTTGTGGCGGATGTGTTGGGCGGCGAGTCTGCGCGAGCCGAATGAGCAAAAGCTTGAAGCGGTCTTGGTCAGCTTGTCTTGGTCAGCTGGTATTGGCCAGCTGGTATTGGTCAGCTGGTGGTTTGGCTGCGTGGTGATTAGTACCGGTGATGCTAAGAATAGCCTTCCAGAAAGTACATGGCCTGTTATCAGGACATGTTTGCTGACTTCGCAAACCATCCGTGGGTTAGGATGGATCTTGCATCATCATGTACTTCGTGTACTTTCATGTACTTTCATGTACTTTCATGTACTTCATGTGTACTCATGTGCTTTCGTGTACGATCATTCTTACATTGATATACTTTCGATATCATGTATGCTCAAGTAAAGTACAATATTGCTGTCCTTTGTCATGTTGTATTTCCGATTCTCACCGCTCTAAATTGCATTCAACTTAATCGCCGCTGTGTCATTAATTACGAACTCATACTTTTTGCCTTGACCTTCTCTTATCTCGGTCAAAGAAAATAAGTCGGCCACAATCTCTTCCTTTAGGCCGTGCTCCAACGCTACATCACACAATCACATTACGTCCATTCCACTACTCGCTTTCTCTAGCATACTCCTTGGTCATGTCGGCATCTGGAATAGCACCGCAGATGGTCTCCACCATGATACCAGTGACCAAGTATGGGTCAATGTTCGATGCAGGTCTTCTGTCTTCAAAGTAGCCGTAGCCCTCCTTGGCCACCGATCTTGGGATTCTCACAGAGGCACCTCTGTTGGCAACACCAGAAGAGAAGGCATCCATGGACGCCGTCTCGTGGCGACCGGTCAATCTAAGGTCGTTGTCGGAGCCGTACAAAGCCAAGTGCTCCTTGTGTCTCTTGGCCAACTTGGACAAGGCGTCTTCAATGTCCTTCATTCCACCAGGCTGTCTCATGGCCTTGGTGGACACGTTGGTGTGGCAGCCGGCACCGTTCCAGTCGCCCTTCAAAGGCTTAGGGTGGAAAGAGATCTTGACGCCAAACTCCTCGGCGACTCTTTGCAACAAGAAACGGGCCATCCACAACTCGTCGCCCATCTTGATGCCCTCACAAGGACCCACTTGGAACTCCCATTGAGAAGGCATCACCTCGGCGTTGATACCAGAAATGTTGATTCCAGCGTGCAAACAAGCTCTGTAGTGAGCCTCCACGACATCTCTGGCGTAAACCTTGCCGGTGCCGACACCGCAGTAGTATGGGCCCTGTGGCGCAGGGAAACCGCCCTTTGGCCAGGCGTAGACATTGTCGTACTGGTCAAACAAGGTGTACTCTTGCTCCAAGCCAAACCACACCTCCTCGTCGGCGTGAGCAGCCATCAACTTGGCGCACTCGTGTCTGTGGTTGAACTTGTTGGGCGTGCCGTCGTTGTTCCAGCACTCGGTCAAAACGATAATGTTGTCGCCCTTTCTGAAAGGGTCAGGGTAGAAGGCAACCGGACGGATGTAAATGTCCGAGTCGTGGCCTGGCGCTTGTCCGGTCGAGGAACCGTCAAAGTTCCACTCGGGCAAGTCTTCAACCGACGTTGGTCTCTTGGACAAGGTTTTGCACTTGGATCTGGTGTTTCCTTCAGAGTCAATCCAGACATATTCCGCGAGAACTTTCCCTCTTTGGTCCAAGTCAAAATACTTGGATAATATAGCGGTTTGCTCGGTGATGCTAGCCATTGTGAAAAGAGTGGGGGAGAAAAAAAGGGGTTGAGGCGAGAAAAATGGGTCTCGAGTAAAAAAGTCCGACGTTGAGGAAAGGCTGAGCGTTTTATAGTCGGGAACTAAACATTAGGCCTATCGTTTGTGGCCGATAAAGAAAAAGAAACGCAAGTGCAGTTTCCTGCTTCGGGAAATTGTCTGGCTGTCTGCAGTAGCAATCCCGTTAGGACAGGTCCTGCGCCGGCCGCGCACCCGTGCAACGAGGATTATCTCGCCATGTGCTCGCTTCCTATTGGCTCTGATAGCGCCCACCCGCTCAACCGGGACACGCCTGCGAGACATGGGCCTGCAGACAGAAGCTCTGCCTTATCGGGATAAGGATCCCGATATCACAGGGACTTCCATGCGTTGCCCTGGACCCAATTGGGCACAAGCGGCAGAATGTTCATGCCGAAGCGCAAAAAAAATGTCTCCCCGTCAACTGGCCGCCTGTCTCTGCTTCTGTTTCGTTTTCTTGTGGTTTTTCGATAGTTCCACCTGACACCACTGATTATGCGCTATTTTCGGCGTCCTGCAGATAATGGCACGGTTTTATCCCCCAATCAAACTTGAAATCCAAAGTTGCAAAGAAAATGCCGCCGGACTTAGGGTCACAATGAAGAATGGAGCGGGGTTTGCGAGATTTAGAGTGACAAGTGAGTGAGATGACGGCGTTTGTGTTGTTGATGGCTTCTGGCCCAATTCGGCAATGCTTACCCGATGCGTCACATGCGCATCAGAGTCAAGCGACATGGAAGGGCGACATTTGCGCGAGGACAAGCTTACCTTTGGCGAGCACGACATTTGCCAAGCGACAAAATTCGACTAACATCAGTACCTCTCCCCGACATTGTCTTCTCGAATTCGACATTGGAAGTATGCACTTTCTCCTCCGCACGACTATCACCACACCCATACCTCCTCCTTTGCTGGCAACTAAACGCCCATGTCTCTCTACTATGGAGCGGCAGACTCTAATGAGACAAATCACGGCGCCAGCAATGTCGCAGTCAATGCTATACCTGGTGCTTCGGCGCATCATCTTTCTTCCGCCACCGTCTCCATGTTGGCCATCGGTGGAACCATAGGCACAGGCCTCTTTTTCTCTGTAGCCACGCTTATAAAACATGGACCGCTCATGGCCTTGGGCGCAATGTGCTATATTGCGCTCATAGTGCTGGTTGTTCTTGAGATTTCCGGCGAGTTGGCCATTTTCTTGCCCGAAAACGGGCTGATCTGCAAGTATCTGTTCATGTTCCTTTCGGCGCCCATGGGTCTTGCCAACAACTTGATCTACTGGGTCAGCTGGTGTCTCACGTATGCGCTCGAGCTCTCGATTGTGGTGTCACTCTGCGGATTTTGGTTCGAGGACTGGGTTGAAACACACCAGACTTTGCTCATTCTTGCAGTTTGGGCGCTGCTCACGCTTTTCAACTTGCTTCCGGTCGACTTGTACGGCGACATTGAGTTTGCCATTTCGTTGGTGAAAGTGGTGGCCATTGCGGGCTGGATCGTGGCGGTGTCGGCGATTTTGTGTTTCAACGGCGATGTGAAGAATGTGTGGATGGCCCATTTACCCACGTCTTTGATCGGGCCCGACTCTGCGCCGGCCGCATTTGCCGTCAACTTTGTCAGCTGCTTGGTGTTCGCTTCTTTTGTGTTTCAGTCGGTCGAGTCCGTGGCCATCACCACAGGAGACGTGGTGGAACACGAAAAAACAATTCCGCAGGTGATCCGGCTCGTGTTCGTTCGCATAGTGGTGTTCTACTTGCTTTCGGTTCTTCTCCTCACTTTGCTTGTTCCGTACGACGACCCAGGCTTGCGGTTGGACTCGTCTACAGACTTGATTGCGTCGCCGTTTCTTTTGGCCTTGCAACACTGCGGTTTCCGCCAAACGGGCGCTCTTTTGCTGGCCTTCAACGTGGTGATTGTGTCTGCGATTCTTTCGGCAGCAAACTCCAACGTCTACTTTGGCGCCCGATGTCTCGAAGCCATGGCCGAAACACATCAACACCACAACAAGATTGCCCGGTTCTTTGCCCGCTCGAATGGCGCCAACGTTCCTGTTCGGGCCGTGCTCGCAACTTCGGCTTTTGGACTTTTGGCGCTTCTTCTTCGATTCCAGTCCATCAATGCCATCTTCAATTTCCTCCTCATGTGCTGTGCGCTGGCGGGAATTCTCATGTGGACGCTTCTCTGTTTCTCGCATATCCGGTTTCGCCAGGCTTTGGAAGCACAAAGGATCCCGTTATCTCGCTTGAAACATGTTTCGCTGTGGAACTTGCGTGTTTGGGCCTGGTTTGCCCTGATCAATTTGGTGGTGATTCTCTCGTGCAACGGGCTTACGAATTTGTGGGAATTCTCGTGGCTGGGTCTTTTGGGGTCGTACTTGACTCCGCTTCTATTTTTGGCGCTTTGGATGCTTTTTCAGGTTGGCTCTTCAGGCTTTGTTCCGTTGGCTGAAGTTGAGCTTTGGCGGGGAAATTTGAAAGTAGTTGATGGATGAAGAATTCAACGGTGAAGTAGATGGATACAGAACTCAACGGTGCTGGCTACCGGAGTAGATGGACTGATCCATCATGGAATATAGAAAGAGGATGATAGGATGATCTTGTTACGAGGATGATCTTGTTACGAAGAATGAGTTCGCTTATGGAACAGACATACCCAGCCATGTTCTCATCTACTGCCCTACTGGCTTTTAAAAGTCTTTGAAATATGTTTCTAAGATGTCATCCATAGACAGTCAGTGAAGAGAAAGCAGAGTTTTTCATGAGAGTTTGCATAATCAATGCCAGACGAAATATGGAGAACATTCCTGTTAGATTAACAGAAACCTTTATGCCAAGGCATCAAGCAAGGACTTGTCAATACAACATAGACAATGGCATAGGTTATAAACTTGTGTCTGCATCTGTATTCGTGTAGATCTTGTAGGAGAGAGTACTTGTTTAGTCAGCATGACATGATCAAGTCTACAGAAGGAAAGATATGGGGATCCCAAGCTAGATTGAGCGTATTCAGATGAGTCATCCGAACCACCATCCATTGAAGCACCAGATTCAAGGCAAGAAGACGTTTGAGGAAAAGAGAAGACAAAAAGGACAAAGAACAAGACAAAAAGAAGACAAAGACAAAATACAAGACAAATACAAGACAAGAAAGACACAAGAGAAGACACAAGAGAAGACAAAGACAAAGACAGAAGACAAGACAAAAGACAGAAGAAAAGACACGAAGATTACCCAACAGAATCGTATGAAACCTCCATTTACGAACTGAGTAGCTGGCGAGAAATACGAGATCGAAACAGGCAGGTCCAAAGCGCCAAAGATACCATGCAAATAGAACACAACAAATGAAACACAAACAAAAACAAAAAAAACCAATACAAATACAATCACCAATACAAATACAATCACCAATACAAACAAAAATAAACACAAGCACAATTACAATACCTATACCGTATGGACAATACCTATACCAATCACCAACAGACCAGGACCGCGCAACTAAATCCGAGCCAGGCCCGCGGAGATTTGGCGCGCACACATCTCCTTGTTTCCATCCGCTTTCTTCTCCATGAGTTTTCTTAAACGAGACAAGTCCAGAACGAGCCTCCGGTTCCCGGGTCTTGCTGCCGGCCAGCTGGACTCGAGACCCACTTTTGGGCTCCGCAGGGCGCATACGGAAAGACCCAAGGAGCTGCACTTGTGGGATTTCCATGAGCGGGAAACCGAAGGGCCAGAAAAAGAGGACCAGGGGGCCGACGGCGAGGACGAGAAAGAAGACGGCGCCCGGCTTGATCGATGGCCCGGCGAAACAGAAAACATGGACGAGAGAAAAAACGCAGGGGGGAACGAAAGAGACGGCGACGAAAACCACGAGCCAGAAAACACAGAGCAAACAGACGAGGCAGACAAAACAGACAAAGACAAAACAGACAAAACAGACAAGACAGACAAAACAGACAAGACAGACAAATTGGAGAGCGTGCAGAGCCGTGGCAGCCAGAGCGAGCCCAACCACGCCAGTCAGAGCGAATACCATGAGAGCCAGAGCGAACACAACGACTACGAGCAGAACCAAAACAATCAAAACAATCAAAACAACCAAAACAGTCAAAACACCAGTGTGCTGCAAAACCACGAGCTGCAAAACCTCTCGGTCGACCCGTACGCCGACGCCCGCAGCTTGCACAGCACCCACAGCACCCACAGCGACACGCATGGCGAGCCCAGGGACCGCCGCGACCCGCCCCGTGTGGTGCGTGACGACTACAGGGGCTTCCACCGTTCCGGCGTGCATGCCATTGTGCCGCCGTTGGCGCACCCAATCAAACCGCTGTTCCGCAAACGAGGCCTGGGCTTGCTTGGCAAGTGGATGCACCAGCGGCCCGGCGGCAACGCCAGCAGCGCCAGCTCCATGGCCGGAGAGCCCGACCGTGCCAAGCACAAGTTCCGCTTGCCGCTGATCTCGCTGCACCACGTGCTGCTGCTGCTGCTGCGCCCGCCGCTGCTGGACGAGAGCGACCGCCGCCTGTCTGTGCAGCTGGGCCGCGGCTCGGTGTCGGGCCCGCACCTCTCTGCCGGCGGCATGTTCGACCTCGACTTGAGCGCCGCCGACTTGCTGGCCATTGTGAAAAAGCCCGCGTCGGCGCGCCCGCTGCTTGCGAAAACAGCCTCGGCTGGCAGCATGGAAGAAGACAGACACGCGTGGAAAGCGCCAGACTCGTGGGACGTGACCGAGGAAACCCCACGCGACGCGTCCGACGTTCTGTCGAGCGCCAGCGCCTCTGCAGAAGCCTCTCGGCGTAGCCTGGAAGTCGCGGACGCCCGCCGCGGCGACCTGCGTCCCCTGTTCCCCGTGAGGTCACTTCCAGTGCTTTTCGGCTCTGTGGCTGGCCGCACGGGCAACGCAGGCGGACCCAATCATATCATCCGTGTGTTCAAGGAAGACAATACCTTCACAACGATTTTGTGTCCAGTGGACACCAGCACTGCCGACTTGTTGAGCATCGTGCAACGCAAGTTCTTTCTCGAGTCCATCTCCAACTACAGGCTTGCCTTGTACGTGGCCAATAACACTAAGGTTTTGGAGCCGTTTGAAAAACCGTTGCGTATTCAAATGGGCTTGTTGGCTTTGAGCGGCTACTCCGAAAGCGACAATTTGCGCATGATTGGCCGTGAAGACATGTCGTTCGTGTGCAAGTTTGTCGTGGAGAACATGTTCTTGCGTAACTTGACCCATGAAGAGGAGTCGCTTTTGTCCAAGGATTATGTGGACGTGAACATTCTGAACCTCAAGCTCAAAACCATCCCCATCATTTTCCACCAGCACACATACGAGATTGAAAAGTTGAACGTCTCCAACAATCCGGCCATCCACATTCCATTGGATTTCATCCAGTCTTGCACAAACTTGTCCAGCATTTCATTTGCCCACAATGGCTGCTCGAAGTTTCCAACCAACTTCTTAGAGGCAACAAACTTGGTTAGCCTTGATATTGGCTCCAACTTTTTGGATGAAATTCCTCCACGTTTCAATTGCCTCCAGCATTTACAACACTTGAAGCTAAACTCAAATCAGTTGTACTTTTTGCCATCGACCTTCGGAACACTCTCCAATCTTGTCTCTTTGAACTTATCTTCAAACTATTTCCAAGTGTACCCAGAATGTCTTAGTGACTTAGTCAACTTGCAAGATTTGGATTTGTCGTACAATGACTTATCCACAATTCCGTCTTCCATCAGCAATATGACTAAACTTACTAAGTTAAATTTGTGTACAAACAAATTGAGTGGTAAGCTCCCTGACTGCTTCAAGAATTTGCTGAACTTGAAAAGACTTGACATCCGTTACAACAAAATAACCAACGTTGATGTTTTGGGTTCCTTACCCAACTTGGAGGTCCTTTACGCATCTAAAAATAACATCGCTGGATTCAGTGATAAAATGGAAAGCTTGCGTCTTTTGCATTTCGACAGAAACCCTATTACAAACCTAGAGTTTCAAATTACTTTACCTCGTTTGACAGTTCTTGATCTTTCCAAGGCGAAAATCACCGCATTGCCCGGCGAGTTTATCAGCAAAATGCCCCATATTGAAAAATTGGTCTTGGACAAAAATCACTTGGTCACTTTACCAGATGAGTTGAGCGCTCTTCCCAGGTTAACACACTTGTCACTTTACGCCAACAACCTCCAACATTTACCAGACTCGATTGGACAGCTTGTTTCCTTGCAGTATTTGGACTTGCACAGTAACAATATCGAAACTCTTCCCTCTTCGATTTGGAATTTGAAGTCATTATCAACTTTGAATGTGTCGTCAAATATGCTTTCTTCATTCCCAAGCCCTTCATTGGAGCTTGCTTCAAAAATGTCATCGCCAAAGACAGGTAATGATTCTGCAGGAAAATCGAACCAAAACCAAGTTATGGCTTCCTCTGCTCAATTTAACTCCTTGGCTGACAGTCTTTTGTCGTTAACGCTTGCAGATAATAGGCTTAACGATGATTGCTATGAGGCAATCTCCCTCCTCGTAAACTTGAAGCAGTTGAACATTTCATACAACGATTTGCTCGAGATCCCAGACGGAGCGCTTACTAGATTGACGAAGTTGACAGAATTGTATTTGTCCGGTAATAACTTTGTGAAGCTTCCAGTGGAAGATGTTGAAGATTTGGCTGACCTTCGGTTGTTGTATGTGAATAACAACAAACTTACATCTTTGCCATCGGAGTTGAGTAAGTTGAAGAATTTGATGCATTTCGATGTTGGTTCCAACCACCTCAGATACAACATTTCCAACTGGCCATATGACTGGAACTGGTGCTGGAATAAGAAATTGAAGTACTTGAACTTTTCCGGAAACAAACGTTTTGAAATCAAACAGAGTCACCTCAAGAATCCAGATACTGGTGAAGACTTTGACAGTCTTTTGGTACTCAAGGACTTGAAGGTTCTTGGTTTGATTGACGTGACATTAACGACCCCATCGGTACCTGATCAGAGCGTAGACAAGCGTGTGCGCACAACTGCATCTGAATTGGATAACGTGGGGTATGGTGTCTCAGATACAATGGGAATTCGTGACTGTGTTTCTTTCCGTGATGTTTTCATCCAGAAATTCAGGGGCAATGAAAATGAAGTATTGCTCTGTTCGTTTGATGGGAAACTCTCTAAGCCTCAAACGAAGGGCCATTTAATCTCATACTTGGCGAAGCAAATATTTGTTCATAATTTCACTGCTGAGTTGAACAAGATAAAGTCTGATGATGACATTCACGATGCGATGAGAAGAGCATTCTTGTCTTTGAACAAGGAGATCAATTCAGCTCTTGCAGCAAAGAAAGGCGGTTATTTCACCAATAATCCTACGTGGCCTGAGTTGAGCAACCTTGATCTTGAAGATGATGGTCTCGCTGGTTGCGCGATGTCTGTTCTTTACCTCAAAGATCATATGCTCTATTGCGGTAACGTGGGTGACACTGAGGTTGTGTTGACCAAAAACAACGATGAACACCAGATTTTATCCACAAAACACGATCCAACAAGCAGACATGAATTTGAGAGAATCAGATCCTCTGGAGGATACGTTAGCGGAGATGGCGCTTTAGACGGCGCATTGAAAGTGTCTCGTGGTGTCGGATTTTTCAATTATGTCCCTCACACCAACAGTTGTCCAAGTTTAACTACTGTTAAACTCTCAGGAATGGATGATCTCATTATCGTGGCTTCTAAAATCCTTTGGGATTATCTCACATACGATTTGGCCGTCGATATAGTCAGACAAGAAAAGGATGATCTCATGATCGCTGCACAGAAACTTAGAGACTATGCAATCTGTTATGGAGCCACCGACAAAATCTCTGTCACTGTGATCTGTGTTGGAGATCAACGCAAAAAGAGGAAAAACATGGGGTCCATGTTCAAAAACTTGGGCCGCGATGTTGAGTTCTTTGCGAACAAGAAGAGAAGAGATCGTGGAGCGCCTGCTGGTGATACTGCCTTGCGGAGACTTGATTCAGAAATTGATCCTCCTGTTGGTGAGTTAGCATTAGTATTCACAGATATTAAAAACTCGACATTATTGTGGGATGCTTATCCCGTTGCAATGAGATCAGCAATCAAATTACACAATACAATTATGAGACGTCAATTGAGAATTGTTGGTGGCTATGAGGTTAAAACAGAAGGAGATTCCTTTATGGTTTCTTTTCCTACTCCTACGTCTGCCCTTTTGTGGTGTTTCAATGTTCAGAACCAACTTTTAAATGAAGATTGGCCGACAGAAGTTCTCGAGACAAACGAATGCTGCGAAGTCACAGATAATGCAGGGAACATCATCTATAGAGGCTTGTCCGTACGTATGGGTATACATTGGGGGTCCCCAGTGTGCGAATTGGATATGGTCACCAGAAGAATGGACTACTTTGGACCAATGGTGAACAGAACCTCCCGAATCGAATCAAGTGCTGACGGAGGCCAAATTGCTGTCAGTTCCGACTTTTTAAGAGAATTGAAGCAGTTATTCAAGCTCCATGATGAAATCCAATCAAAGAAATTAACTTTGGAAGACGCATACGAAGGAAACGTCGGTGTCGGACAAATTATTGAAAAAGAGATTGCATCTTTGGATGCAAAGGGTTACAGTTTCTTCGAACTTGGAGAACGCAAATTGAAGGGGCTTGAAACTCCAGAGATGATCACCTTGGCCTTTTCAAAGAATTTGGAGATCAGATACGAGATTTTCAAGGAGAAAGCAAACAGAAGTACCGAGTATCCAACAAGAATTATTGGAGCACTTCCTGTGGATGCCGTTTACCGGCTCCGCACAATCTCACTTCGATTGGAAAATATTTGTTCTGCTCTCAGCAGCGGGCTTAATAACGACGAGACATTCCTGCAATCCTCGTCAGACGTGATTCTGAGAAAAGTTGGGTCAGACTTTCTTGAGAGGGACATTGTGGGGCTTTTCAACCACATTGTCACCCGTGTAGAAAACTGTGTTGCCACCATCGAGCTTCGCCAAAGTTTGCAGACGTTCCGGGGCGAACCTTATTTTGACCGCAGATCAGTCTGGGAACTCATGGATGAAGTGAAGCAGTTGTTGGCACAGATGCCTCAACAAAATGCAATTCTCTGAACACACTATGCATAAAAATAAAACATTTATTCGATTGGTTATTAGTGTAGATATTATGGGAACCATTAGAAAGAAGTACGACATGTAAAAGATGGAGAAGTTCCATACCCAGTTACTCTGAAATTGAGATTGGTATACTCTTAATAGTGGAATATCTTTTCCATAGATTACCTTTCCCAATGGGTCATTTTGTGTGAATTCTTTATGATTGGCAATAGCTTGATCTTTTATTTCTTTTATTAAATCTAGTTTACTATCAAATTCATATATAAGATTTCCTTTTAGACTTGCTTCTTTTATGTTGGATGTTTCAATGACTAAAAGGACCATCCAGAAGCTTCTGAAGTTGTCGCCTTTATGTTCAAATTTGGTTTAGCTGTCACAAGGAAGAGAAATCGAACTTTCTTTATCAGATCAACATCATGGAATTTATACTTTTAGCACTTTTTTAAGAACGCTTTTATTTAGAAGGCGCAACATCGCTGATTGAATATGAGATGGATAAAGTTCTCAATAGTATGGCAATTAAGTCCCAAATTCTCGAGCAACCAGCTGATAAGATGACTGAAAGAGAAGTATCAGATGCAATTTTCGCTCAATGAATTTTTAAGTGAAACAATAAACAAATTGAACGAATAGAGCAATCGAGTGAAGACTGAATTGAATGACAGTAGGCATCAATAAAGATGAGAAAATCAAAATCGCAAGACAAACAACGGAATAAAGAGCAGAATGAGAAGATTGCGAGAATACAAAAGAAGGCAGAGATTCAAGGAAATCGAAAAGGAGACAGAATAAAAGAACAGGATTAGATAGAGAAGCAAAACAGAGAATTAAAACAAATTCAACCGAGAAATAAGAACAGAACCAAACAGAAAAGACGAAGAATAAGACATCAAGCGAAAGTAAACTGAAAAGACAATAAGACAGTCAAGCGTAAGTAAAGTGAAAGACAACGAAAAAGACATCAAGAGAAAGTAAAGAGAAAAGAGAAAGAATAAGGCAATCAAGCAAAAATAGACAGAAACAGAAACCAGACAATCAGGCGAAACTAGACAGAATAGACAAAGAATAAGGCAATCAAGCGAAACTAAATAGAGAAGACAAAGAGTACGACAATCAAGCAGAAATAAACAAAAACACAGAAACCAGACAATGAAGCGAAACTAAAGAAAATACGGAAACCAGACATCAAGGAAACTACATGTAACAGAAGAGACACAAAAACATCAAATAGAACAGACAGAAACGGAAACCAGACAATCAAGCTAACAGAAAAGAAAGACAATCTAGCGAAACCATACAGAAAAGACAAAATAAGACAATCAAGCAGAAATAGACAAAAACAGAAACAGACAATCAAGCGAAACTAACAGAATCGACAAACAATACGACAATCAAGCGGAACTAAAGAAAGTACGGAAACCAGACAATCAAGGAAACTAACAGAGGAGACAAAAAGACATCAAGTAGAAGTAGACAGAAGCAGAAACCAGACAATCAAGCGAAACTAACAGAATAGACAAAAAGACATCAAATAGAAATAGACAGAAGCAGAAACCAGACAATCTAACGAAACCATACAGAAAAGACAAAGACAAAAAGACATCAAGCGAAACCACGAAACCATACAGAAAGACAAACGACCAGGACTCACAGAAGAACCCGAAGCATCAAACCTGTACTTGCTTGGTCTTGTACGCTTCTTGGCGCGCGTCACGTGCGCGCCCACTCTTCAACCACTTTCTTTATGGCCCAGTCCCGTATGTCCCGGACACAGACAGACATTGCTGTTCCGTGGATCGAAGAAGAGCTGCTCGGGCAGCTGCTAGCGCTCCGGGCGTCGGCCGTGGCCGGTTTGGGCGACGGCGTGCTCGGGCCGCCCGATCTCGTGCACATGGCGCGGCATGACTCAGATTCGTCGGAGTCGCCCGGCATGTTCCATTGTGTCAATGGAATCGACTACTCGCGGGGCGAGGTGGCGGTGGAAGACTATGTTCTTGCGGTGGCGGGGGTGATTCGGCACGACGGCGGCTATTTTTTGCCCCAGGCTGGCGGCAAGTGGAGCTTGTGGGAAAAGCGCGAAAGGGCCAAAAACGGCGCCAAGGGCGCAAATGGCAAAAACGACGGCGGCGACTTGTTCCGCGCGGGCGCGCGCCTTGTGGTGGTGACCTTGTGCACGTACAACGTGTTTGCGCGCGCCGAGGTGCGCGTGCGCTTCGAGATGCGCGTGGGCGCGCGCGCCAAAACGGGGCGGCCCGTGGCGGTGCACCGCGAGTATAGCGTGAAGACGCGCCAGAAGGTGCGCACCGGCGCCTTGGACGCGCCCGCGTGGGGCGAGTTGGCCGTGGCCACGCTTGTGCGGTGCTTTTGCGGCGTCGACGACGCGGCGCGGTTGGTGTGTGGCACCGTGAGCTTGGCGGCGCAGGTGTGTTCGGCGCGCGCGCTTCGGGCGGCGCTTGAGCGCGGCGTGCGCCTTTTGCCGCGCGGCCACTTGACGGGCATGCGGGCGGGCTTTGGCGGCGTCACGGCGCTGCTGAAGGAGCAAGATAAGACCGTCAAGAGCGTCAAGGACGGCATCAAGGACATCAACGTTTCTCACAGGGCCACGCCGTCGACGTCCAGCATTGCGTCCGACCAGCCCGACCGCGACTCCGACCAGTCCGACCGCACGCTGCGCTACCGCAACCGCCTTGTGGACACGTTGGTGCGGCTCGTGCAGCTCGACAGCTCGGGCCGCGCGGCCGCGCGTGCGGCCGACCTCGTGCGCTCCATCCACGGCGACGCCTTTTCCGTCGTCGAGGCACGGCTTCTCCGCGCGCAGCACTCGGCCTCCAACGACCAGCGGTTTCTTGCGCTCGCGCACTCGCATGTTTTGGCGGCCCCGTGGCTGGCGCAGTCGGCGCTTCTTGTGGTGGAGCAGGTGCGCTTCTTGATCTCGCGCGGCGCGCTCGACCCGGCGCTCGCCTTGGCCGCCCGTGCCGTGCGCATGTTGCCCCTCGACTTTGACTGCTGGTACCACTTGGCGCTCTGCCATGCGGTGCGCGGCAACTTGCCCGACGCCGTTCGCACGCTTGCCCAGCTCCCGGTGCTGTTTGCCCGATCGCAGCAGGAAGGCGTCGACGGGTTCCCTGATGTGGTGTTTCTCCGTGAACAGGCGGCGAAAAACGGCGTGCGGCCGCGCTTCGCCAGTTTCGGCGCCAAGTTCGAGAAGGCCGAAGCCGACCCCAGCGCAAGGCCCTATGTCCAGCTTGGGGCGGTTTTCCCGCTGCCGACGTTGGCGCCGCTTGCGGCTGACTTGCCGGCTCCGCTTGCCCCATCTGCTCCTGCCGGGCCGCCCGTGTTTGGGCCGTACCACCTGACGCCGCTTTTGCGGGCATCGGCGCTCGAGCTTTCAGTGCTTGACGCGGCCGTGGCCAAAGTCAGCGCGCAGAACAGCCCGCGCCTGCTTCTTTGCGCCCACTCGGCGGGCGCACCGCCCTGTGTGCTCGACTGGGACCGCGCCTCCACCTTCGGCCGCGCCCACAGCTTGGTCACTTTCATGGCCGCTGTGCACGGCTGGGATGCGGTTGTGCGCGCGAAAACCCAAGTGTTCGAGCTGGCCGAAAGTAAACCTGCTAGTCCCGACTCGGCCGAGTTTCCTGCCAGCACTTCAAGAATACGCACCCTTTCAGACAGTGAGACGCGGAAAGAGCAACACATTGCAACTCTCCCGACGGCAGCCACTTCCGAGTCTACATTAGATGTTCTGGCGTCGTTAGAGCCGCTAGACGCTCCCGCTCCATGTCCTCTTTGGCTTGACCTGCTCTTCCTTGTCGTCTACGATGATCTCCGCACAGTGTTAACGGTCTCGGATGTCGATAGAAGCGCCCTTTCGTGGCAGATGATCGGTCTTCTAGGATGGACATGCAAAATCAACCTCAAGGACAGCATCACGGCCCTAATGACCAGCGTGGCCGCGGCGGAAAGAGAAGGCTCTTTTGACTATTTTGGCACCATCAAACTTTTGGAAATCTACAGCGAGCTAGTGTTGAGCTCTGTAGATGAATCGTCCATCGACCTGTTTTCTTGTGTCTACGACCAGCGACACTATACACACAAGTTGGCGCTACGCCGAGCCCCCAAAATCATGCACGATCTCGTCTCTCTCTTCTCGCTCGAATATGTGTTGCAGCTTGTTCTGCGTTACGTGGCTTGGACCGTGCGCTGGTACGGCTACATGCCCAGCTTTTTGGTGACAGACACTCTTATCCGTCTATGTTACAAGTACGACCCAGTGCAGATCCGGGCCACTATGCGTGTTGTTTGTGCGCAGAAACCCGATAAAAAACAGCTGGGGTCCGCCCGTCTGGCGCTGGATAGCGGCGTGGTGGAATACGTCGACTCGCTTCTTGACTGGATCGACGTGTTGAGTTCGAGCCAGAACACAGAAGAAGAGGCCGAGAGCGAGTGATTGCAAGGAATCCGTCTCTCTTCTCAAAGAGTATCTGTGAGATGCTGCGTCAGCAGGACTTGCCCAATAATACAGAAACAGGAGTGCCTTAGGGACTAAATCGCTAAAGTCTTGCATGACGAGCCAATCACATATTACCCATGGAGTGGCTTGAACTTGACTTGAAGTCATATCGATCGCATTGACAAGATACCAACACAACTGATTCTACAGGCCAACTTACCAAGCCGTGAAGCCACTGACAGTGTATTCAGCTACCATTGAGATGTACATAACCAATCAATCTATAGATGTCGGCCTAGTCGGTCTTCTTTGGCTTCTTGCCAAGAACCTTCTTTCTCTGTCTGATCATATACGTGTACAACGTGTACAAGCCCGGAGGGTAGGTGAAAAGGATGGCGAAAAGCAACCACGAGTACCACTTGCCCACCACCTTTTCTGCCTCGCCGAGACTCATGTAGATCATGGACATTTCGGAAGCGACGCCCGTGGGATACAACACATAGAAAAGCGAGTATCTCATCCACGTGAGCCACGACGGAATGGCCAGAGAGTCTCTCAAGTTGGACGCATAGTACGAGTATCTCACCACTTCCGTGATGGACCACGACAAACACAAGGTGATGTATACCCAATGGTGATTAGCCGGAGACTCGGGCAACACCTGGACGATTCCAAGCACAATCAACAAGCGAGAAAGCACCTGCGACACGGTGGTGAAAACAGGCGACTTGACGATGCCAAAGACAGAGTTGTAGATCTCCACCACGGCACAAGACTGGACCAAGGTAAGAATGGTGGAAGACTTTTCAAAAAGCAACGGCTGGCCGAGGAGCGCGCCCAAAAAGAGTGTGTTGAAAAGCACAACAGACCAGAGCGACGCGGAGATGGAATTGTAGGCGATAAGCCATCTTTGGGGGTGGGCCGATTGAGGCATGGTGTGAAGGTTGGAGTGAAGTTTGGAGTTGCGCGTTGTGGGAGCGAGACCCCTCTTAACGGGATGGGACGAAGAAATGAGAATCGAATAGTGAGAGGAATTATGGAGAATAGAGGAAGAAATATGAGAATAGAACGAGGAAGTAATATGAGAATTAATAATGAGGAAGAAATATGAGAATATAATGAGGAAGAAATACGGAGTATAGAATGAGGAAGAAAGTTAAATGTTTGAGGGTTTAGATTTGCTGTGAGGTAGCATGAAGGCCATAAAAGTAGGCTTGAGTGGTTGGTGTTTCACCTTTCTCCTTGAAGAAGCTTCAGCTCGTGGACCAACAATTGCTTGTATCGTTTGGTTTCTTCATGAGAAATTTACTGATTTTGTATGGCTCAGAAGTGTTGGATCAGTACTATTATGTTGCTCAGCCCAAAAAGATGAGAATACAGAAGAACAAACCAAAGACCACTTTTATAGGTTTCTTTCGAATCAGAGCAAGCCGATGGAATTGCAGAAAAGTTCCTGGATCTACTTCTCTGACTTTGTTTTCGTGTCAAAATGACCTGGAATGATGATGCGATTAGACTAATTAATCATGTTCAATTGACTTTTAGCAAAGGAAATACAGTGAAGGATGATTCGACGAACTAATTAATCATGTTCAATTAACTTTTAGCAAAGGAAAATTCAGTGAGAGATCGAATCGCTACAAGCATAATCTTTGGCCTGTTGAGAATCTGTAATCACAATATTGAGTGAAACTGCCTTCTTTACTTGATATGGAGGAAAGTATGATTATGGTCTTATAATGTATTGGGACTGATACACTAAGCTGGGCTGTAGGAATTTTTGTCGAGATTCGATCAGTTATCAATTTGTTTAATAATTGTGTGTTGCACCGGCTCAGGTAAGTAATAGAGTATCCTAGAAAGACATAACTGATAAATCATAGATTCAAAAACTTTACATTCTCGACCACGACTCATCTAGATAGCGGGATATCTTCATATATTGCAAGTAACTGTTACACCATCAACAATCTTTCTAAATCCTGAGCTAGAATGCTTGTCTTCATGAAGTTTGTATTCATTTCGTGTTTACGTCACCCTTCTCTTTGAGTGTTCATCTTTGCTGCAGCACGGAAAACCTTACGGTACTCTAGATTTTAAACATCTTTCTAACTAGCCATCTGTTCTTTTTTCTCATATGGTTTACTCGTGGACTACAATCTTTCACTCATAAGGTCGTCATTAAATATATATCTGGTTTTGTCAGCAAACCAGAGGGTACGCAAGCCGGCCAAGCCAGAAAACAGCTCACCGGCAGATTCGGAAGTCAATCTCACAAAGAGAAACAAACAGAGCGCTAAATTGATGCTAGAACCATTCTTCTGGTTCTTAAAACACACGCTTGACAATCAGTTTACGCCAGCGCCAAATGACTGAGATCTTCGTAGCCATACTTGGCCAAAAGAGCCAGTAACCCTTCTTCGTCACAAGCAATGACATTCTGGTCCCAGTCCACCACTAGAGGGGCACGGAAAAGATGGCTGGGGTCAATTTCGGGCTCGTCTTCGTGCACCAACTCATCGAAAACCTCGTGGATCTTTTCATACTCGCTTGGAGAGAACACACGAACGCCTCTGTCATTGCTGATGCCCACACTCTTAAAAGTCACAACATTATCCTTTGACTGGGTCATCTTGTCGTTAAGCAAGGGGTAGCAATGCTGTAAAACACGTTTGCCACTGTCGGAGGTGACACAGCGAGAATAAATATCTTTGAATTGGTCGTAAGTGGGCATCTGCTTTGGCACCAAGTCGATTTGGAATTGGTTTTTGTTGTCATTTAATCGGTGGTAGGCCTTTTCGAGGGAATTGTAGAGCGCCACCGATTCAGGAACTTTGCCATTGTGGAAAATGGAAATTATTGCTGGCGAGTTTTGTAAAGATCTGAAAAGAGACATGGCGGAGAAGGGAAAAAAAGTGGGTTATGGTGCGAAATGAATGGGGCCATGCGTTTCTTTATATAGTGGCCTTATCTGGACTTGTAACCCCGGACTGAGACTCATTTCGGAACAACGGATGACTCAATGTCGCGGGGTGACATTGTGGGGCACATACTTCCGTGTCGCCGAAACATCACGCAACCTCTAACCTCAGGGTCTATGGTCTTGAATACGGAAGGAAATTGCTAAGTGGAGTCAGAAAGAGACAATGGAAACAAATGTCTGCTACATTAATGTCCAGTCGGACGGAGCGGATACAAACATAGGGATCGGGACGGGGATAATGACCGACGGCGCGACAATGTCGCAAAAACAAAACAAAAAACGCTTTTAACCCGGTCTTTAACCTCCGCGGCCAACCCGGGCATGCGACATGGGCAACGCCATGCGACATACGGCGGCAAAGTAGTTGGGTGCGACATGGCAATCATTTGGATGCCCGGGAATCACCATAAGTTTCAATCGATTCAAAAATTCAGAATTAAGAGATTAAGGGGATTGTAGGAGCCAATGAAAAACCATGTGCTAGTGAGGATTAATAAGAATTATGGTCTTGTAATATTCAGGTGGGCTTCGAGTTTCAAATCACATGCTTATCGAGATTGGTTGATTAGCTTTCAGGTCTAGGCAAGACAACAATAGATAGAATCTCTGGAATTCCAATGCGATGAAGCAAGACTGAAGAAGAATAATGAGAATAGATTTACTAATGCAAATTCAAATGTGATATGAATGTGCTACGGTTGTGGCTAATAATGCAAACGTAGTTTGTAAGCATAATATAAATAAACATAAATTGCAATGTTGGAATCAGAAGGTCTTCCACTTCAAGTATTTGTCATAGATCGGAACACATTTTTAACCTTCCGTGGATCTGGTTGAAAACCACTCGTTATTTCATTAAAGGTTTATTCAACTCAAGTAAATACAACTAAAAGACATTGCTGTGCTAAAAATTGATCTATCTAAGGCAGTCTGCCATCAAGACAACGAACTGAAAGAAGTTTCTATCATCATTACAGAAAGGTAATTGAATCTGCAACGGTTTTGAATTGCCTATTCAACATACTCTCGAATTAAACGAGTCTGAACACTCCGGAGACATTTCGGTTTGTCATTACTTGTCGGGAACTAGCGAAGCGACAATATGGACGGTTAAAGCCGTTGCCAGCTATTTCACTGAGGGAGGCGACATTTGCATCATTTTTAATATTTTAGTATTTCAGCTTTTGTTAGTTAGCCTATAGGTATTAGTCCACAAAGAACATTCAAATAATGGAGTTGGAGAAGATCCACCTTATGGAGTGTCGTGTGAGCTGCAGTGCGACCTGCTGATTATGCGACCTGTTGATTATGCGACTTGTCGCACTTGTCATCGGCATGAAGTGGTTTCTCCTCCTATCGGCATGTGTCCTTCCCGTTCCGGCGGCCGAGGGACCAGACATTGAGTGGTACAAGTGGGGGTTGCCGAAGGAGAGAGACATGGAAGACATGAAAGGAGACATGGAAGGCATGGTAGTTGGAGACATGGAAGGAGACATGGAAGGAGACATGGAAGCAAGAGACATGGAAGCAATAGGCGTGGAAGCAATAGACATGGAAGATGCCAGCGCTATAAGCATAGCAAGCCGAGAGGCAAGCATCAGCACGGAAGCGACAGAAACGACCACCGCCTCCACCGGCCCAAAAGAGCGCGGAGCTGAACCAGAACAGGAGTCAGAACAGCCTGAGCCAGAAGCTGAATCAGAAGCTGAACCTGAACCAGAATCTAACCGGCCCGAATCCTTCCTCGCCGAACATGTATCCGCTGAACCGTCTTTCGCCGCCGAATCTGGTTCTTTCTCCTCGGCCGCCTTCACGCCCGCGCACCTCCGGTCGCTCCGCGCGCGCGCCGGCGCGCTTTTCGCCCACGGCTGGCGCGCGTACCGCACCGTTTTCCCCGCCGACGAGGTGCGCCCGCTCTCGTGCCGCGCGCTCGGCCCCGACCGCACCGACGCCTTCAACTTGCGCAACGACGCCATGGGCAACGTGGCGCTGACGGCGCTCGACAACCTCGACACGCTCATTCTCATGCGCCAGTGGCACGAGTTGGCGTTCGTGTTGCGCCACCTTGAAAAGCACCAGCACCACTACTTTGCCCAGAACGCCACGGTGCAGGTGTTTGAAGCGGCCATCCGCTGGCTCGGCGGGCTTCTTCTGGCGCACCTTCTCTTGCTGGAAATCCCGCAAGTCCAGGCGGTTTTCCCCGCCTACGACGGCTTTTTGTTGCACATGGCCCACGACCTCGGGCGCCGCCTCTTGCCCGCCTACAACACGCCGTCGGGCATCCCGCTCGCGCGCATCAACCTTGCCGGCCACGCGGTGCCGCCGGCGCTCAACGCCGAAACGTGCACGGCCGGCGCCGCCACGCCCGTGCTCGAAATGACGTTGCTTCTGCGGCTCACGGGCGACGGGCGCTTCGAGCGGCATGCGGCGCGCGCCTTCTGGGCGCTCTGGCGCGCGCGCCTGCGCGCCGGCCTTGTTCCGCTGGCGGTCGACCCGCACCGCGGCGCGTGGTTGAATGCGGCCACGGGCGTGGGCGCGCTGGTGGACTCGTTCTACGAGCACGCGTTGAAGGGCGCCATTGTGTTTGGCGACGCGCGCCTCATGGACGTGTTTGTGCGCTCGTACGAGGCGCTTTCGGCGCATCTGGCGCAGTCTGTGTCGGGCGCCGCCGCGTACTTTGCGCTCGCCGACACGGGGCTGGGCGCGGTGGCGGCGCCGTGGATCGACCTGTTGGGCGCGTTCTGGCCCGGCTTGCAGGTGTTGGCCGGGCGGCTCTCGGACGCGGTGGCGTCGCATGTGGTGTACATGAAGATCTGGAACACGTTCGACGTGCTTCCCGAGCGGTGGATCTTTGCCGCGCCGCCCACAGGCCGTCTGGGCCAGCCGGGCCAGCAGGGCCGCCTGGTCGAGCCCGTCCGTCTGGTCCAGCTGGCGGTGCCGCTCGAGTGGTACCCGTTGCGGCCCGAGCTCATCGAGTCGACGTACTACTTGTACCGGGCCACGCGCGACGCCATGTATCTCGAGATGGGCGTGCGGTTTTTGGAGGCGTTCGAGACGCGGTTCAAGGACCGCTGCGGCTTTGCAGGCGTCCAGGACGTGCGGACGGGCGAGCGCCAGGACCGCATGGAGACGTTTGTGTTGGGCGAGCTGCTCAAGTACCTCGCGCTTCTTTTCGACGAGGCCACTTTTCTCCACACGGGCATGCCGGGCAACTGGGTGTTTTCGACCGAGGCGCACCCGCTCTGGTACACGCCGGGTCTCGGGCGGCGGCACGCGGCGCGGTTTAAGAGAAAGAGGGCAAGGCGGGAGATTAAGAAGACAAAGCGGCAAGAGGGGAAGAGTGGGAAGATGAACGACATCGAGAAGATGAAGATGGATGACGTTGACACTGAATACACTGATGACATTGAATACATTGATGACATCGAATACACTGATGACATCGAATACATTGGCAGTGACGACAACAGCGTCTTCTCCAGCTTGTGGGCGCGGCTCCGCCTGAAAGACGCAGACGGCATTGAGCCCGCCGCGCCGCGCCTTCCCTTCGGCCCCGGCATCCCGCCCGTGGCGTCGTTGCTCGACTCGTGCGAGGTGCGCCCGCAACAGTTCCGCCCGCACCGCGGCCCGCTCGCCTCCTCCGCCTACACACGGTGGCCGCATCTTTTCCTCGCCGACGCGCGCTTCCGCCCCACGCTTGTGCGGCCCGACTACTTGGGCCCGCAGCGCTCGTTCGAGTTGGGCGCGTCGTTTCTCGCCACCCATGCGCTAGGCCTGCCGCTCCAATGTGCGCGCGAGCCCACGTCGCTGGAGCTCGATGTCATTTTGGACACGCTCCGCCGCCCGGAAGACTACGCCATGTATGTGGTGCGGCGGCCGCGGCCCGACCACGCGTTTGCCAAGGGCGACTATGTGATGCCGCAGCTCAGCGGGCGCCTTTTGCTCGAGTGCGTTTCGGCCGGCTCCGTGGACTGGGCCAACCGCCGCGTGTCGCGCGCCTTTGTCCGCGCGCGCCGCCCTGAAATGTGGGCCAGCGCTTCGGCCGAGGTGTGCCGTGTTGCCAAGCTCAACGGCGTGGCGGTGGCTCGCAATGCGACCGTGTGGATGGAGCGCCGCCATGCAGAAACCCAGTCGGGCGTCTTCACCGTCGCATGCAACGGGCGCATTTTCATCGAGGGCAAGTATCTTGATAACGTCCGTGTGTACTGAGGAGAGAATATGGCAAGACTGCTTTGTTGATCAGGAACAAACAAGGTCAGGCTTAATTGCCTGGCTCTAGGAATACATGCGGCAATCTCTAGGGCGGTACCTCAGATACAATTGCGGTATGATTCATGGTCCTTGACGAATTCTCGAGCCGGGGCGGTTCATTCAATTTCTGTGCTACTTTAGATGGTGGATGAGGCGACCATGGCTCAATGGAAGGGCCCATTCCAGTTTGTCAACCACACGGCCCATTCCAGTTTGTCAACCACACGGCCCATTCCAGTTTGTCAACCACATAAGCTGTTACATCCCGAAGGTGTTTTCAAATTTGGCTACCTGCTAAGAGTGCCAGCGGATATTCAAGACGGATACTCAAGTCGATACAGACCACTCCTTCAGACTTGAGAACCTGGAACCGTGCTTTAGACTCCTCTAAGTTTGGAGCTTACGCAAGTCAGAGATTATTCTAGACAAAGAATTATTCCTTAATAAATGATAGACCTTACATCGTACTTGAGCGTGTTGTCACATTCCAAGAAACAGACAATGTAGGAAAATATACCCATGCCGTAGAGGTTGACCTATTCTCTGTATTCACTAAAGAATAGAGCATATGCTCTTTCTTTTTGATTCGCTTGCTTACTTACTTTTCATTTCAATTGTTCATTTTAACCAAGAAATTAGACTCAGTATAGCTCAAACAATCGCTCATTCGCAAATAGAAGTTTCCTCATGCATTGCGAATTCATTCACCTGCAATGAATATGACTTTCAAAATATCGGGGACATTGGGACATGAAATAACTTTCTTCGTCCACTTTTGAACTTCATGTAGACCCGAACATCACTGAAAACACTACTGTTTGAACTAAGTAAACACAACACTGAACTTGATTAGGCTCGAAGCCCGAGGAAATATTATGTTCTTAGACACGAATGGTAATTATCCCGTAGTCTGTCGTTTCCGGGCTACAAGCAATGTCGAAGTCTCTCCAATAAAAAATCTTCAACGATCATATTAATCTTATTTGGTAACGGTTGTCTCCCCGCCTAGTTCTACAAAAGGCTGAAGCTGACTCATTGAACTAAACACATGATATGTGGAACTCCGTCACTTTGAAGATGTTATTGAAAGTCTTGACACCATGCGGCTACGTTTCAATATGAAAACGATGAAAATACAGAGGCAAACTTGAGACAAAAAAGTACTACTCAAAAATCTCTACTGAAACCAAGCTAGTTTGACCGTTACTTAAGCATCAGTCTAACTTATTCTCTCTCCTGATTGGAGAGGTGCCGCCTCTAAATGCATATTCAGTCGGCAAACAGCCTGCAGGCAGCACCAAGACCGGATTAACCACAGCTTCGCCTTAAGCCAGGAATGTCACAGCAAACATGACAGTGAGTCATAAAGACACACAGTAGCCGCCACGCCTCCTTTTCTTTGCCCATTTTTTTCGGCGTCTCAACTTCCCCTCCGGAAAGCAACATCTCGGCTGTTCGCGGTTATGACTCTTTGGCCGTTTCCGGTGCGTATTTAATACTTCGCATGCACCTTCTGACTCAGAAAAGCACCCATACAAGTACGTATAAACAACCAGTGCTCTTTTGTGCTAGCCGCCCGCATTTTTCTTTGTGCAATTTCTTGCTTTCCTCAGGCGCCACAATGAGCTTCTTGGCCCGTTCCTGTTTCAAGCCCGCTAACTTTTCCAGATTTGTCAGCATGTCGGCCCCATTGGACGCATCCAAGTTGAAAATCACCAAAACCACTACGCCCAAGCCAAAGCTTGCCAACGACAAGTTGGCGTTCGGCAAAACGTTCACCGACCACATTTTGGAGGTGGAATGGACCGCCGAAAAGGGCTGGGCTGCGCCAACCATCACGCCGTACCACAACTTCAGCTTTGACCCATCCACCATTGTGTTCCACTACGGGTTCGAGGCTTTCGAAGGCATGAAGGCCTACAGAGACAAGCAGGACCGCATCCGGATCTTCCGCCCCAACAAGAACATGGAGAGAATGAACGGCTCTGCCGAGAGAATCGTCTTGCCTACTTTTGACAGCGAGGAGTTCATCAAGTTGATTGAGGAGTTTTTGCGTTTGGAACAGGACTTTGTTCCCCGCGGCGAAGGCTACTCGTTGTACTTGAGACCCACCATCATCGGCACCACCGCCACTTTAGGCGTTTCCACCCCAGACAAGGCGCTTTTGTACATGATTGCTTCTCCTGTTGGCCCATACTACTCTACCGGATTCAAGGCTGTCTCTTTGGAGGCCACCGACTACGCCGTCAGAGCGTGGCCCGGCGGAGTGGGCAACAAGAAGTTGGGTGCCAACTACGCCCCATGCGTCAAGCCCCAGTTGGAGGCTGCTAAAAGAGGATACCAGCAAAACTTGTGGTTGTTTGGCGAAGAGGGCTACATCACGGAAGTCGGCACCATGAACGTTTTTTTCGTTTTCCAGGACGCCTCGGGCAAGAAGGAGTTGGCCACTGCTCCTTTGGACGGAACCATCTTGGAAGGTGTCACCCGTGACTCTGTTTTGACTTTGGCCAGAGCTAGATTGCCAGAGGACGAGTGGATTGTCAGCGAGAGAAAGTTCACCATTGGCGAAGTCAAGGAAAGAGCCGCCAAGGGCGAGTTGGTGGAAGCCTTTGGTGCTGGTACTGCTGCGCTTGTCTCTCCAATCAAGGCTATCGGCTGGAGAGGCGAAGACATCAACGTTCCTTTGGCTGGCGGCGATGCCGGTGAGTTGACCATGCAAGTTGCTGACTGGATCAAGAAGATCCAGTACGGCGAGGACGAGTTTGAGGGCTGGTCGCGTGTTGTTGTGTAGATGATCGACATTCGAATTGTTTGAGTAATGTAGGACTGCGATGTCGCTAGATATCAGTCGAGCTCAATAGAATAAACCTATTTGAATGCAATGTTCCTAGCTTGAAGTTCGAGCCCTCATTGTAAGTACTGGTAGCACTATTCATGAGCCTTTGTAAGAAGAACAAATCAAGTGGCAGAAGTGGTTATTAATCAGTGGCAGATGAATATAGATAAGAAAAACTAAAATGATTCTTGTGTTAAATTCTCTCTATCTGGTTCTATATAATCAAAGTTGAGAGGATTTCTCTGATATCCATTAAGGTTTGCTACTTGGCTGAATTAGTTCATTACACTTGAAGGATATAAGTATCTTCCGTAAAGATAGAACTAAACACAAACACCGTATTAAGCGTCTGAAAGTTAAGTAGAGAGTATCTTTATACCCAAGTGATTTACCTAGATAATTCGAAGTTTTAAGAATCGGAAATCTTAGGAAATTGATGTAAATCTTTCCTATTGTCCAAACTCCTAGCAAGTTCGAAGGTATAAAAATCGTAAATCTTAGGACATCAAAGATCTTCCATGCAAATCTCTTTTATCAACTCTCCTAGCTCGTTGTCTTTCCTTCCAATTTATACTTGCTTCTTTCGCCTTCGCTACAAAGTAGCTGATTCTTGAATACTTTCAGTGGTCCTATCGTAGAACTAATGCATGTAAACATTATCGTTCGAGCACAATAATGACCCTACAATTTTCCTTCTTGACCTGTATTCTCAAGATATACGTTCGATCGCAGGCAACTGCTGGATCTCATGCAAAATGTAATCACGTTCCTCCACAATATTTGTGCCCGTGGCCAGCACGTCAAACGCCTCGAAAAAGCGAAGAAAGTTGTCTCTGTTCTTGATCAAAATGTCCAAGATCTTCTGAGACTTTTTCGGTTTGGCCACAAAGAACTTGAACACATGGAACCCTTCGAGCTGCATGTTTTTCAGCTTGTCGCTGAGCAATAACATGATCACCTTGAGGCTGGAGGCGCTGTCGAAATAATGCATGAGAAACTGTTGGTTCAGTTTCTGCATCACCAACTCCAGAAGAAGGCGCACACTCTGTCTTTTCGTGACATAGTTGTCCAGCCGCATGAGCAGATTGATGTTGGTGGTCACGTCTTCGCAGTTCTTGGCCAAGAACTCTGCCGCAAGCTTTCGGTGGGCCGTCAAAAGCGTTTGGAGCGTCACAAACGTATCTGTGGCGATCTCGAACACGGGCGACTGCGCATACTTGAACATGTTCCAGAACAGCGCGTGGTACAAGATGAAACGGTCGAGCGGCTCAAACTTGGCGCAGTCCCGCAAGATCTGGCCACAAACAAGCGCCACGTCGGGGTATTCTGGTCCTCTCATGAGCATCACTAAAACTTCCGGTCGAGCGTGCAACAAGTACTCCACAGTGGGCGAGTCGTTGCCCACGCGCCGTCGCAAGAGCGCCAGAAACATCACAACTACGTCTTTGCGCAGATCAAAGTCCAACTTGCGCAAATGGTGAATGAGCAAATAAAGCGTATCAGAGGCGTAAACTTCCTGGGCCAAAACGCTGATGGCTTCAGGCTGCGGCTCGGTTTCCTCGTCGCCATGTAGCACGTGTTTCACCTGCTTGAGGTACCGCAGGCACTCGTCCTGGTGTTTTTTCAGGTCGGACGAGAAGTCGAGTTTGCCCAATTGCTCATTAAGGGACCGAACAAGGTCTGGGGGCGTTTTGGGGTTGCGTTTGAACAAAAAGGCCATGGCTGGATGCAGCGGTTGTCCAGATCGGGTTGTTTTTGGTAGGTGGCTGAAGGTTTTTGAAGTTGAAGATCTGATGAGACGTGGTGAAGTGTGGCTAGTGTAGTTTCTTCAGACGTGGCTGGTGACGGGTTTTCTGTTGTTTTTCTGTTGTTTTTCTATTTTTTTTTCTAAATCAGACTCCTTTATGGTCAGCGTTTCTGCTACTTCTGGTAAACCCGTTACAGAATCAGAAACTTACTGTTTGTGGTTGTACAAGCGATGCACCGATGCATACATTGTTGTCCTGCAGATAAGCACGATCCATCCGCCGGGCCAAGATTGCACTACAATGGCCTCCTATGGACATTTATATAGTTGAGAGACGTTGGTCTATAGTGTAGAAAGTCAGTTTTGCCGGCTTTCCAATTCAGCTTTGCGTTTTTGTAGGCTGGACCTTGTGGTGTATTCGAATAGACAAGCCGCGCAAAAGTGAATTTCCGTGGGAAATGCGCTTTTCAGGCATAAATGCTAAAGTGTGGAAACTTAGTTTCAATTTACGGTAATGGAGACGAAGCAGAAAATCGACCCACAAATATCCAAATAGAGTTGAAACAATGCTGGTACTATTCGTAATTTCACAGCAGATTTTGCAGGGACTCTAAATAGGTATTACGCTAGTTCTCAACTGGTTTGGAATCTTGCTATAACCTAATATTATCGATCATAGATGGAAGCATGTGCTTTCAGTGCAAAAGCCACAAGCAAACTCAGTCAGTTCATATCAATGTACTTTGTAACCGCATAACATTAGGAAAGAGCCCAAAAGGCAGTTCAAGTTTTTGATACTACTGTGTTGATATAGCCTGGACAATAGGAGCAACAGTAACCTTTCGGGAATATCTTTTGAGTGGAGAACAAATTTACCAAGCATAAGAGCCAAAGAGTCGAGTTAATTACTCATTTATCTTCAAAAAATATTGTGTGCGATAAGAGTTTATGTGAGTAATAGACATTGCGGTTCTTTAGGAAGACCAATCATGACTAAGAAGATTTTAACCGTTGGCCACCGAAAGAAAACAGATGGGTTTATTGAAGAAAAAAAGATGTCGCATGGATAGCTGGTAATTAATATTGTTAATGCATGTTCAAACCATATACTGCAACAAGCTTTTCTATCTAAGTATACTGAACAACATGGAACTTTGCCTTTGAATATTCTGAGCCTCCTGATAAATTTAGAACTTTTTTCAACAAGCATTGGCTTCTTTAGATAGGGAATTTTCTTCATCATTCCATTTGACATGATAATTATTAGTGTAACCACCCTATTGTCCTTGACTGCAAGTCTACACCTGTAATGCAAAAAACCTAACAGATTTAGTTGCTTCCTGTTCCTTCAGCACACAACTTGAAAACACATGATACTGGTATAAGGCCCCCGACTATGGATAACAACATTATACTTTATAAGTGGAAGCTATCTCTCGTAACGAGTTTGTTGGTCTGAACTGAGGGTGATCTTTTTCAGCTGGCTCAAACAGATGTAGTTAGTTTTGCCATGAATAAAGAAGAAGATCAATTCGGAGACCCAGTTTGAAATCTATAGATGACTTATATGTATAGGTGAGCAGATATATTGGACTGGTTGAGAACAATCAATACGGTACACAGAGTGAATACAAAGCCATAACGCTGAACATGGCGAGATACAATTACATACAATTTCTTGTCGGTTCCGAGTTTTCTCTTTTTTAATTTTGTCGGTTCGAGTTTCCTCTTTTTTCAATTTTGTTGGTTCCCAGTTTTCTCTTGTTCAATTTTTATTTTTTCATTTCGATCTTTCATTCTCTTTGCCCAGGCGACTGTACAATGGTTCGCACTCCACATTTCAGTCGAGCCAAACATTTGGAACCACTGCTTCTTCGCTTCCATTTCCTCCTTGGCCATTTCCTCTCTGGTCCATTCTTTTCTTGGCATGTCCAAAGAATCGTTTCTCCATGTGTGGCAATCCGTGGCCATCAACAAAAGCTCGCGCCCTGTTCTCTCGGAAGACGAGCACACGCTCTATGTGAAAGAGGGCGTGGGCCTCTATCAGGGGCGGGCCAAAATCGTCAACCACCAGGACGGGCGGGTCTATCTCACCAATAAGCGGATCGTGTATGTGGATGCAAGGCAGGCGGTGGCGGTGTCGCTTCGAGACACGGCGCGCGCCGAACATGTGGAGCGGTTTCTTCGAGCGTCGCCCAAAGTCAAGGTGTACTTGGCGCGGGGCGGGACGCGCGCGGCGCCCGAGCAGTGGCGCTGGACGTGCCGGATCTGCCTGTTTCGCAACACGGTGCCTTCGAAAGAGGGCGCGCAGTGTGTCGCGTGCGGCATCCGCCCGGCGCCCAACGAACTCACAACACAAACAAACACAACAACAACAAACACAAACACAACAACAACAAACACAACAACAACAACAGCAACAAACACAAACAAAAGTACTAATACAAACACAATAAGCACAAATGCAACAAACACAAATGCAAATGCAAATACAAACCCCACAAGTGCAAACACAAACACAAACACAACGTTTGTCTCGGGCATCTTGGACGCCAGCGTCAGCAGCTTGAGCAGAAACAATTCCAGCGCCACCCTCGAAACGCTGGCTGCAAAAACCCCCACGGCTGCAAAAGGCCTCGCATGCCCCGCATGCACTTTTCTCAACCACCCGTCCATGCGCGCGTGCGAACTCTGCAGCACGCCGCTCCAGGCGGCCGCGCCGGACCCGCCGCGCTCCGACGCAAACCCGGCGCGTCTCGCCTTGGATGGCCCCGAGGAGTACACAGGCGGCGCGCCCTACATCAAGTTCAGCTTCCGCGCCGGCGGCGACACAGACTTCCACACCCACCTTGTGGCCGCCATCGACGCAGAAAAATGGGCCGCCTTGGAGCGCGCAAACAAAGTGGGCAAGGGCGAGGTGCAACCGCAAGAACCAGCCCGCCGTACGGGCGGCGGCATTCTCCACTTGGAGCAGCAGAGCGAGAACCGCCGGCGCGAGAACGAGCAAGTGCTTGCCCTGTCGTTGGACGATTTGCAGCAGCTCATGGCGCAGGCGCAAGACTTGATCGCGCTTGCCACCAGTTTCCGGCCCGTGGTGCGCAAAAACGCCGCCCGCGACCTAGCGCGCGACATGCGCCTGCTTGCCGCCGCGTGTGGCGCGGTGCGCGCGGGCTCCGCCCTTTTCCATGCCGAGTTGGCGCGCCACATGTGCGAGTTTCTTCTAGCGCGCGACCTTTCCAGCGCCGCCGCCATGATCACCATGCCCGACTTGTTTGCTCGCTACAACCGGTTCCGCGTGCTGGCGCAAGGCTTGGCCGCGGGCTTAGTGCTGACCGAGGACATCCGCACAAGCTTGGAACTTGCCAACCTGCTTGCGCTCCCCGTGCAGATCAAAAAGTATCTGTCGGGGCTCGAGGTCGTGGCGCGGCGCACGCTCGAGCTGGAAGGCGTGGCGGCCCGCATCGTGGCGTTTTTGAAGGACGTGCAAGATGGAACGTCAGCGGAAACGTATTTCGAAGGAGACACTGATAGACAATGGCGGGGCGCCAGTGTGGCCGAGGTAGCGGCGCATTTCGGCTGGGCTTACGCTGTGTGTGTGGAGGAGTTGGATAGATGTATAGACCAGCAGTTGGTGGTGTATGACAGACACGTGCTGGGAACGTTCTACTATGCCAATGCCTTTGGCACATGGGCGCAGGAAACTCGTTGCAAGGTGTGATGAGATCTTCACACATTTCTTCTAAGGTTAAGCTTCTCAGATGGACTGGCATTGGCCTATTACCAGATGGAATTGTTAAGAATGTGGGCACGATTGGCCAGTGTTCTATAAGAGTCCTAGAATATAGAGCATGGGAAAGCCATTGGCATTCCAGAGCAACTCTTACAAAGGAATAACGCATGATGATGCTATGCTCAACAAGATCAGTAGGTTGGGCAACAATGATACGGTCTACCTAATATTCAACGTCCAACTTCCAACATGCGGATGCTACGGCCTTATCCTACTGATGCAACGATGAAAATTTTCTTGCCAAGATTGAATTGCAACCGCTGATGAATTTTTTATCGAGTACTATCATTGCCAACTGACGGCCATTTCCATTTAGGAAAGGCGTGGTTTCTTGGCCAATCAATTCCCTGAAAGCAAATCACTCGCAGTACTGCAAGATTTGGCCATGTGAGCGCGTGTCTAGTGTGCGATAAGATGCGCACATATTCCGCCTGACTCGCCATACGGCGCTTCGGGGCGCAACTAGTCTGCAGGCTATTCCACTTTCTTTCCACCTCTGATGCAAAAAAAATCGCGTGTCAGAACGCATCTCGGTAAGCATCTGGGTATTTTGAAATTAGCCGATAAACCCAGGTTTACGTATGGGCGCCCTCAACACACTTGCGCTACTGTCATGCTGCGCACATATACGTTTTCTGCGTTTTCTAGACCCTGCAGACATGAACTGTTCATGTATTTTGCCACTTTCCGCATCTTAGTCCGTTAACGTTGAGAGCACGAGCTCAAAGGCACCATCTTGCTGCTTTTGTTCCATGCCCCCACATGCAAGCTCTTCAATGGAACCGTTTTAATCAGGCATCTGCGCCGAAGCTGTCTTGTCCATGCGCGCACCGGCTATCATATTCTCCATACACTCCCGGGGCGACGGGCCGGCGCTCCTTTGCCGTGCGTTGATGCGATAGCCTGCACCGATTGTGCCAAATCCTGCATTACTTGCTAGCTGCATACCCATCACCAGCATACTTATATCGGCGCCAGTCCCATTTTTTTTTCAAGGGCCAATGTCTTCTGCAGCCTACATTCCGCTCCCTCAAGGAGCTGGCTTTGCCGTTGTTGTTGGTTTAGGTGCGGTTTTCGCCGCAGGCATGGTGCTCACCACCTTTTGTCTCAAGCGCTACAACAAAGAAATCATGACTGCTGAAGAGTTCTCCACCGCCGGTAGATCTGTCAAGACATTTTTGCTTTCTGCTGCGGTTGTGTCGTCCTGGACTTGGGCTGCGACGCTTCTTACGTCTACAGTCCAGGTGTACAACAATGGTGTCTCTGGTGCCTTGTACTACGCTGCAGGTGCTTCTGTCCAAATCATTTTGTTCGCCTGTTTGGCCATCAAAGGAAAGGAGAGAGCTCCATCTGCTCACACCTACCTTGAAATCATTAAAACCCGGTACGGTAGCATCACCCACGGCATCTATTGCTTTTGGGGCTTCGCTACCAACGTGTTAGTTACGGCCATGTTATTGACTGGTGGTTCCGCTGTGGTTCACGATTTGACCGGAATGAATGTGGTGGCTGCATGTTTGTTGTTGCCACTCGGAGTGGTGGTTTACACCTTGTTTGGTGGTATCAAAGCTACGTTTTTGACTGACTATGCGCACACAGTCGTGATTGTGGTGATTATGTTGGTTTTCGGCTTCAATGCGTTTGCCATTTCGGACAAATTGGGCTCACCGCTGGCGGTTTGGGAGGCAGTAACTAAGTTGGCACTTACGCAACCACGTTCTGGTAATGCTGGAGGCTCTTACTTGACCATCAAGTCCCATTCGGGTGGTATTTTCTTTGTCATCAACATTGTTGGTAACTTTGGTACGGTGTTCTTGGATAATGGATACTTCAACAAGGCTTTTGCCTCAGACCCAGCTGCCACTTTACCTGGGTACGTTATTGGTGGATTGGCATGGTTTGCTATCCCAATGTTTGTGGCTACAACCATGGGCCTCACTGCCTTATCTTTGCAAGACACCCCTGCTTGGCCAACATACCCTAACAAGATGACACCAGCCGAAGTCAGCGCAGGTTTGGTATTACCCAATGCTGCTGTGGCATTATTGGGCAAATCGGGTGCCGTGATGAGTCTTTTATTGGTCTTCATGGCTGTGACTTCTGCCATGTCTGCTGAATTGATTGCCGTATCATCGATCTTCACTTATGATATCTACAGAACATATGTGGAGCCCAAGGCTCTGGGAAAGAAATTGATGTTGATGTCGCATGCTTCCGTCATTGTCTTCGCCTACGTGATGGCTGGCTTTGCCATTGGTTTGTACTATGCGGGTATCTCCATGGGATACTTGTATGAGTTGATGGGTGTCATCATCGGCGGTGCGGTGTTGCCATCGGCTTTAACATTACTCTCGAGCAGACAAAACTGGGCAGCAGCAACCTATACACCTCCAGTCGCTACGGCCTTAGCCATCATGTCGTGGTTGGTCTGTACAAAGAAAAAATTTGGTCTGATCAGTGTGGACACAACATTCATGGACGATGCTATGTTGACGGGAAATGTTGTGGCTTTATTGTCGCCTATGATAATCATTGTGGTTTTGACATTAGCATTCGGACCTCAGAATTTCGACTGGAACTTGTTGAAAACCATTACTCGTGTGGACGAAGAGGAAGAGTTGTTGGAGGCCGAAGGTGAACAAACGGACCCAGAGAAACTCGCACCTGTGAGATCGCAAATCACTCAGGTGGCACATGAAATTGCCATTGACCAAGCTGAGAAGTATGCAGCAGAAAGCGCTCGATTGAACCACGCTTTCAAGATTGCCATCACAATTTGCTGTGTTTTGGCCGTGTGTTTGATTTTGTTGTGGCCAATTCCTATGTACGGAACAGGCTACATTTTCTCTCGTCATTTCTTCACGGGCTGGATTGTTGTTTTGTTCATCTGGTCATTCTTCACGGCATTCGTTGTTATTATCGGCCCCCTTTGGGAAGGCAGAGAAGGAATCGCTACTACTGTGAGAGGAATCTATTGGGACTTGAGTGGACAGACACACAAGTTGAGAGCATGGCAAAATGACCATCCAGAAAAATTGCACGCCGTGCAAAGTCAGGTTTCAGCCGAGTTGACCAGAATCACTAGCGTGGATGGCCGCGTTGTGGAAGGAGGCTATCTTACGCCGCACCATATTGACGTTGAGTTAGAAGACGCGAAAAAGGATTAAGTATGCCGTTAATGTATTTTGTTGTTATTGAGTATCACTTCGTCAGTAGGATAACAACCATACGATACAGTAAGCACAAGAGTAGATGGCCCAAACCTTTCGTCTCATCAGTAAACATTTATATGGCAGATGGGTCTATTTCTGCTCTGGTGAAATGTAGTACAGCAATATTTGCTAGCTACCTTTGTCAACAATATTGTATAGCCTGAATAAACGAGGGCAGCAAAACTGTGAATACTTCGACAGAAAGCAATGCCTCCGATATGGAAAAAATTGCTTGCAAGAAGGAGAAGCACGACTGCCAAAAAGAAAAATATAGCCAAGAACTCTTACCCCACACTTAAATATTATCGTTTCAGAATGTTCCAATCACATTGATTAAGGGTTCAAATTGGGAAATGCATATGGAATGTGCGCATTTGCGATGTGTATCACGTGGCGATAAGACCAATCGCGCAAGGGCTCAGAACATCCACTTAGGACAGGGGAGGAAAGATCTGCCTGTCGTATCGGGAAAGAACCATATCGCGGGCCAATCACAACGATCCATTTCGCTTCGTTTGATGTCACCGTTGGAACATATGCGACCGCCAGAAAACGAAAAAATGGAATGGAGCGGAATTGGCTGAATTGGAAAATGGATATCTGAAAGGGAGATGGTCAATAATCAAGCATCCAAAGAAACACGACGCTCAGATCGCAACTCCAATGTCTGTTGGACAATGTCGCGATTGTTGATGCTTCATGAAGTATTCAAGGTCCCCGAAATGTCGCGAATTGGACCCGACCGCCGCCTAATTCATGGCTTGGTGTCGCGTGTCGCGGCGTACTCCGATGTCGCGCATGTCGGCGCCGCGGCGCCCCGTTGTCGCCTGCCGTTTCGGGATCCTCCGAGCACTCTATCTATATAGGTATATATCTCATCACACCCATCTCCAACATACCAAATTCTCTTCTTCTTTCCTCATGCCTTCTTGTATCGGCTGGTCCGTCGAGGACTGGAAGCAATATCATTACAGCGCCACGCCAGATGATTCCTTTGCGTTGTTGCTGCAACTCCTAAGCTCGCAGAGCCAAAGTGATCCAGCGTGGATTTCGCTTGCGTCCAAGGAAAGCTTACTGCACCAATGGCGTTTCCTCCAGTCACACTCGGACAAGACAAGTCTCCCGCTTTACGGTGTCCCCGTTGCGGTCAAGGACAACATCGATGTCAAAGGAATGGAAACGACTGCGGCATGTCCATCTTTTGCCTATTCTCCAACTGAAGACGCTACGACGGTTCGTCTTTTGCGCAGTGCCGGTGCCATTGTCATTGGCAAGACCAACTTGGACCAGTTTGCCACTGGTCTTGTGGGCACTAGATCGCCATACGGCATCACGCCCAACACTTTCGACTCTCGATATGTGTGCGGCGGCTCTTCCGCCGGATCAGCGTCGGTGGTTGCCCGCGGAATTGTTCCGCTTTCGTTGGGCACAGACACGGCTGGCTCGGGCCGTGTTCCAGCGGCATTGAACAACTTGATCGGACTCAAACCGACCAAAGGTGTTTTCTCGGCCGCAGGAGTAGTGCCTGCTTGCAAGTCCTTGGACTGTGTTTCTGTGTTTGCGCAGAATTTGCAAGACGCCCAGATGGCATTCAACATTTTGGCGCAGGCCGACGGGGCGCACGACGCATATTCTCGCGCCATGCCGCCCAACGCCCGCTTGACATTTGGCCCGAGCGCGCGCGTGGCCGTGCCCAAAGAGTTGGTTTGGTGCGGCGAAGAGGAAAACCCGGCCTTATTTGAGCGCGCTGTTTCGCATGTCGCTAGCACAGGCAGTGAGATTTCCTCCATCGATATTGGGCCTTTGCTCGACTTGGCCAAGTGCCTCTACGAGGGTCCTTGGGTCGCGGAGCGGTACTGGGCGGCGCGCGAATTTTTGGCGTCCAACCCGCCCGAAAAGGACTTGGATCCGACCGTCGCCCGCATCATTCGCGGCGGCGAAAAGTACTCGGCCGCCGATGCCTTTGGCTTCGAGTACAAGCGCCAGGCGATTTTGCAGAAAGTCCGCCCTCTCTTGGAAAATGTCGATGTTCTCGTGCTTCCGACTGCTCCTTTGACGCCTACCATTGAACAAGTCCAAAAGGATCCTATCGGTGTCAACTCTTGTCAAGGCACATACACCAACTTTGTCAATTTGGCCGACTTGTCTGCCTTGGCCGTACCTGCCGGTTTCCGTAAAGACGGCGTTCCTTTCGGCATCACTTTCCTTTCCCAAGCCTACAACGACTATGCGTTGTTAGACTTTGCCGAAAAATACATGAAGGCATACACGGCCGAAATTCCTCGTCTCCAAGGCTGCCTCGACAAGCCTGTCGGGTTACGGGACGAGATTTTCTCTCCTTTCTCCTTGCCCAAGCCCGTGTTATCAAAAACCGTCACCTTGGCCGTTGTCGGCGCCCACTTGAAAGGTTTCCCCTTGCACTGGCAATTGGAAAAAGTGCATGCCACTTTTGTCGAGGCCACAACCACTCTGAGCAACTATCGCTTGTATGCCTTGGCGAAGAGCGGGCCTGTTGCTAAGCCTGGCCTTAGAAGAGTCAGCGACGGAGTGAAGATCGCTGTCGAGGTGTACGAGATTCCAGAAGAGAACTTTGGCCGTTTCATCTCCTATGTGCCAGAACCTTTGGGTATTGGTTCGGCTGAGTTGGCCTCGGGAAAATGGGTCAAGTCTTTTATCTGCGAAGAAGTTGGCTATACTCTGGGTGCCACGGACATTTCCGAGTTTGGCGGCTGGAAACGCTACCACGAGCATCTTGCACGGAGCAAAAAGCCATTTGAGTCTGTTCTTGTCGCCAACAGAGGAGAAATTGCTGTCCGCATAATCAAAACTTTGAAAAAATTGCAAATCCGTGCCATCGCTGTCTATTCTGACCCTGACCGGTACTCTAAGCATGTTCTTATGGCCGATGAGGCGATTGCCTTGGGCGGAACCTCTGCCGCAGAAACGTATATCAACATTGAAAAGATTATCAATGCCGTGAGAAAAAGTGGTGCACAAGCAGTCATTCCGGGCTACGGTTTCTTGTCAGAAAACGCCGATTTTGCCGACCGCTGTGCTCGTGAAAAGATTGTTTTTGTTGGCCCATCCGGCGATGCCATTAGAAAGCTTGGATTGAAACATTCGGCAAGAGAAATTGCCGAGAAGGCTGGTGTTCCGCTTGTTCCAGGTTCTGGCCTTGTGTCTTCACCAGAGGAAGCCAGACGTATTGCTGCTGCCCTCGAATACCCTGTGATGGTCAAATCGACCGCTGGAGGTGGAGGTATCGGATTGCAGAAGGTTGACTCAGAAGAGGACATTGAGCGTGTTTTCCAAACCGTTCAACATCAAGGCCAGTCTTACTTCGGTGATGCCGGTGTGTTTTTGGAACGTTTTGTCGAGAATGCTCGTCACGTTGAAATTCAAATGTTCGGTGACGGATACGGAAAGGCCATCGCTTTGGGCGAGCGTGACTGTTCGTTGCAGCGCCGTAACCAGAAGATTGTCGAAGAAACACCAGCACCAAACTTGCCTGAAGCGACTCGCCAGAAAATGCGTTCGGCCGCTGAAGCATTGGGTTCGCTGATGAACTATAAGTGTGCTGGAACTGTCGAGTTCATCTATGACGAGCGCAGAGACGAATTTTACTTTTTGGAAGTCAACGCCCGTTTGCAAGTCGAGCACCCCATCACCGAAATGGTCACCGGGCTCGATTTGGTTGAATGGATGTTGTTGATTGCCGCAGACACCCCACCAGACTTTTCTCAGAAAATCACAGTCACCGGCGCCTCCATGGAAGCCCGTTTGTATGCTGAAAACCCAGTGAAGGGCTTTGTTCCTTCCCCTGGGCAGCTTTCAGACGTCAAGTTCCCTCTGTTTGCCCGTGTGGACACTTGGGTGGAGAAGGGAACCGTTGTGAGTGCCGAGTACGACCCCACATTGGCGAAGATCATTGTCCACGGCACAGACCGTGCCAATGCCCTCCAAAAGTTGCGCCAGGCGCTTGACGAAACTGCAGTTTCGGGCTGTGTCACCAACATCGACTATCTTCGGTCCATCGCCCACTCGGACATGTTTGCATCTGCGCAAGTATCCACCAAGGTTTTGGATTCCTATGATTACCGTCCAGCTGCCTTTGAAATTGTGGCCCCTGGTGCTTACACAACTGTGCAAGACTTGGGTCGTAAAGGTTACTGGCACATTGGTGTTCCTCCATCAGGATGCATGGATGAATACGCTTTCCGTCTCGCTAACAGAGCAGTGGGCAATGCTCCAGCGTCTCCGGGCTTGGAAATTACCTTGGCTGGCCCGCTGTTAGTGTTCCATTGTGATGCAGTGGTTGCAGTGGCTGGAGGCGAGACCGACGTGAAAGTGAATGGTACTGCCGTCTCCCAATGGGCGCCAGTTCTGGTGAAGAAGGGCGACAAGCTCGAGATTGGCAAGTTGCGTGCGGGCTGCCGTGCATACTTGGCCGTTCGGGGCGGAATCGACGTTGCAGAATACTTGGGCCTGAGATCGACATTTGCTCTTGGAAACTTGGGTGGTCACAATGGCCGCGTGTTGAAAGTCGGTGACGTTTTATTCTTGGCCCGTCCGGAATTGCCTAGCTGCACTTTGCCCGGTCCAGTTTCGGCACCTGAAAGCGTGCCCAAGTCGCTTGTCCCTGCTTACCCTAACCAGTGGCGTGTGGGTGTGACCTGCGGTCCTCACGGTGCCCCAGATTTCTTTACCGAAAAATCCGTGGAGCAGTTTTTCGCCTCGCCATGGAAAGTGCACTACAACTCGAACAGATTTGGTGTGCGGTTGATTGGCCCAAAGCCAGAATGGGCCCGTAAGGACGGAGGAGATGCTGGATTGCACCCTTCGAATGCCCACGACTATGTTTACTCGCTTGGTGCAATCAACTTCACAGGTGACGAGCCAGTGATTTTGACATGCGATGGACCTTCGCTTGGTGGATTTGTTTGTATGGCTGTGGTGGCAGAAGCGGAAATGTGGAAGATCGGCCAAGTCAAGCCGGGCGACTCGATCCAGTTTGTGCCTCTCAGCTACGCCGAAGCGAGAAAGTTGAAGGCCGAGCAAGACAAGGCAATCGACTCCTTGTCGGGCGACTTACCAGACTTCACTGCCTTGCCTGCTCCTGAAGAGCCTGTATTGGCCCGCTTGGAAAAATCGGCGGCTCCATCCATCGTCTATCGCCAGGCTGGTGATCGGTACATCTTGGTAGAGTATGGTGAAAATACCATGGACCTCAATGTCGCTTACCGGGTGCACAAGTTGATTGAGATGGTGGAACAGTTGTCTGTCCACGGCGTGGTGGAGATGTCTCGTGGTGTTCGTTCTGTGTTGATTGAATACTGCGACATCAGCCAGCAGCAGTTGTTGCAGACGTTGCTTTCTCTTGAAAAGGAAATCGTCTTTGTCAACAAGTGGAAAGTGCCCTCGCGCGTGATTCGCTTGCCCATGGCTTTTGAAGATGAGAAAACTTTGGGCGCCGTGAAAAGATACCAGGAAACTATCCGCAGCTCAGCACCTTGGTTACCCAACAACGTGGACTTTATTGCGTCCATCAACGGAATGGAACGTGACTCCGTCCGCGACATGTTGTACTGTGCTCGGTTTATGGTTTTGGGTCTCGGTGATGTTTTCTTGGGAGCTCCTTGTGCTGTTCCTTTGGACCCAAGACACCGTCTTTTGGGCACAAAGTACAATCCTTCGCGTACCTTCACTCCAAACGGAACTGTTGGTATTGGTGGCTCTTACATGTGTATTTACACCATGGAATCTCCAGGTGGATACCAATTGGTGGGCCGTACCATCCCAATCTGGGACAAGCTCACTTTGGGTGTACACTCCAAACATCCATGGTTGTTGAACCCATTCGACCAGATTGAGTTCTACCCTGTTTCTGAGGCCGAAATTGACGCAATGACCCGTGAAATGGAAGCTGGTAAGTTCTCTGTTGAGATTGAGGATTCTGTTTTTGATCACGAACAGTACTTGCACTGGATCCAAGAGAACTCTGCTTCGATCGAGGAGTTCCAGCGCAACCAGGGCGGCGAGAAACTTGAGGAATTCAGCCGTTTGATTCAAGTGTCTAACGCAGAGTTGGAGTCCTCGAGCTCCGGTCCTGACTTGTCAACGTCAGAGTTTAGTGACGATGCCGTCATGGTTTACTCAGAGTATTCTGGTAGATTCTGGAAACCTTTGGTTGAAGTGGGCGACGAAGTTAAAGAGGGCCAAGGCTTGATTGTGGTGGAAGCCATGAAGACAGAAATGGTGGTGCTGGCTCCAAAGGGCGGGAAGGTGGTGAAGATTTTCCACAAGAATGGTGACATGGTGGATGCTGGCGATTTGGTTGTGGTTGTAGAGTAGCTTTAATACAGAAATAACAAGAAGGAATAAATGGACCATAATTTAGCTTTTCGCTCAAGACAATAAGGAAAGGTACAACAGGGCAACGAGAGTTTAATTACCACCGAAACATAAATATCCGAAAGGAGAATTTGACATGTTGCATTACATGGTAGTCATTCCATAAAACAAGAAAATGAAGAAAAGCCAGTAAATATTGAATGCTGCATCAGTTTATGTGTCTCAACATTGGCCTACTGTGATCAAGAGACTAATCGAGGAAAATTATCATCTGTTGTACACTTTCATGAATTTTATCATGTACATTGTCGTCTCCCCACTCAAATTCTTTTCCAATGAGTGACATTTTTTTTTTCTTTCATTTTCGGTAGTACTTCTCCAAGTTGATAAGACGCACCTTCATGCATGAGAAGTACATACACAATGATAGTCTTCACGTCCTACCTCAAAAATTTACTGGGAGAATTTGTACTGACGATAATTGAAATCTCCACTTTATCCTTTAAATGCCCCAAACAGACAGGTTCATAACTCATACACGTACTCACATTGTTTGAGGTCGTGTGCGCACCTTCGTATCACGAAACAAAAACGTCTCACAACAACGTTCACACCACGATGCCTTCCGATGAACAAGTCAATCTCGCAGTCGCATCGTTACAGCCTGAGGTATGGACATCCTCGCTGAACGAGGCTCTTTCGATTTTCATCACAGACACAAAAGGGTCAGCGCAATCGTTCAAACCAACATTCACGTACCCAATATTTGGTGACGCGGAAAGCATTTTTGGATACAAGGATTTGTCAATTCTTCTTTGTTTTGATGCCGTCACTTTCCGTCCATTTTTGAATGTCAAATGGGGTGCCAAACTCGACCAAACCGAGGTAGACCCGAAGACTAAGATGTTGGAGTTTTTGCCTGAAAGCACAGTGTTCAAAGACGAGTTGAAATGGCGGGAGGAAATTGATGCGGAACTGCAACTGTACGAGATTCCAGGAAAGATTGTGGGTGAGCCTTTTTCTAGAGATGGAGAACAGTATGCCATTTACAGACTAGATTTGGCGTCGGAGCGTGGCATCGAATTACAAAAGAGGTTACAGATTTTGGTTCTTTTGTTTATCGAAGCTGGCTCTTTTATCGATTACCTGGACCCACTTTGGGACGTTTACGTCATGTATAAGGTGTCTGATCCAAAATTTCCCGAAGTTGTCGGGTTTACCACCGCATATAACTACTGGAAATACCCTGGACATGCGCTGTTTGACGAAGGGAAAGTGGAAACACGCAAAAAGATCTCACAATTTATCGTTTTGCCAATTCACCAAGGGAAGAAACTCGGAGGTGAAATGTACCTGCACTTGTACAAGTCGTGGATGCAAGATGGAAATGTGGTTGAAATTGTGGTGGAGGATCCGAGCGAAAGTTTTGACGATTTGAGAGACCGTGTTGACTTTACTCGACTTGTCGAAACTAAGAAGCTTGATTTGTCTTCGCTTACGGTAGCACAAGCATCCGATCCAAAGTGGTTCAATGAGCTCAAAACAAAAGAGAAATTGGAAAAACGCCAGCTCCAGAGATTGTTGGAAATGGCATTTTTCTATCAGCTCTCCCACAACATCGCTTCCGACACGAAAAAGGCTGTACGTCTTTTCGTCAAGAGGCGCTTGTACGAAAAGAACAAAGAGGCATTGGCTACGTTGGACGGGCCCACGCGTCTAGACAAGCTTCAGACAGCGTATGAAGCGTTAGAGGCTGATTACCACCGAATTTTGGAGCCCATTACCATCAATGTTAAGAGAGCGGCGCCTGCAGATGAAGGCGTGGCTAGTAAACGGTCCAAAATACAGTAAAATGCACGTGCACTGCTTGCAGACCCTCATCATGTCGCCAGACGGTGATGACAGAAGGTGTTGTATATGCAAATTATAGCCGAAGCACCTGCGCCAAACAAGTGGGCACACTCTCTGACTTGGGAATGCATAGATTGCTCCCTCTAAGCAGGAGCGGACAGCAACCACAGTTGAAGCCAGACACATCTGGAAAAGAGTGTCTCGTGTATTATGCTTGCAATTAGGTATCATCTCACGACATTGATAGTCTAACATATCTGTAGTAGTCTATGAGCCCTCGTTCATGGAAATAGACACCGCAGCAACATTACGTCACTGTATGACCTTGAGAAGGCGGGCTCTGGGCCTGTATGCACACCTCAGTCGTATTATGGAAAGCCCAATGCGCCGAAAAAAGAGACATGATCACGGACCGGAATTGGGCTGTTGTTGTAGGATTCGGGCAAAAGACACTTTGGACTTTTTAGAATGTTCAATTGGGCAAAGTCGACAAGGCTGCGTCTCGGCCTGGTTATCCGGTTTATTGTGACTGGCCCATTGTGGATCTTTTGAACCAAAAAAGTAAAGTCTCAGACAGCCGCACAGCAAACTATGATGCATGTTGAGGGCTTCTATGCACAATCTGGGACCATTGTCGACTGATGGTGTATAAAAGGAGGAATGCCCCCCGCGGTACTATAACCCTTAAACCAACTTCATTCACCAATTAAAAATGCACAGAACTTACTCTTTGAGATCTCAAAAGGCCCCTACCGCTGCTCAATTGCAGTCGCCTCCACCACCTCCATCCACCACCAAGTCCAAGTTCTTTGGCAAGGGTGGAATCACCTCCACTTTCAGAAAGAACTTTGCTGGTGTCACTGCTCCTGAATTGTCCAGAAAATTAGCTCAATACATCAAGATGGAAAAAAATGTTATGAGAGCCATTGAATTGACCGCAAGAGAACGTCGTGACGTTGCTAAGCAATTGTCTCTCTGGGGTGAGGATAACGACGAGGATGTCTCGGATGTCACTGACAAGTTGGGTGTTTTGATTTACGAAATCGGTGAGTTGGAAGACCAATTCATTGACAAGTATGATCAATACAGAATCACTTTGAAGACCATCAGAAACATCGAGGCCTCTGTCCAACCTTCTAGAGACAGAAAGCAAAAGATCACCGACGAGATTGCCCACTTGAAGTACAAGGACCCACAATCGCCTAAGATTCCTGTTTTGGAACAGGAATTGGTTAGAGCAGAGGCCGAGTCTTTGGTTGCTGAGGCTCAATTATCTAATATCACCAGAGAGAAGTTGAAGGCCGCTTACAACTACCAATTCGATGCCATGAGAGAATTGGCTGAGAAGTATGCCCTCATAGCCGGATACGGTAAGGCTTTGTTGGAGTTGTTGGACGACTCTGCTGTCACTCCAGGTGAAACTAGACCTGCTTATGATGGCTATGAAGCTTCTAAGCAAATCATCATCGACGCTGAGAACGCTTTATCCGCTTGGACCCTTGACTCTGCTGCTGTCAAGCCAACATTGTCTTTGCACCAGGAAAACCCTGAAGAGCCAGACGAGGAGGAAGTTTATGAAGCGGAAGAGGAGTTTGCCAAGCACGACGAGAACGGCATTCACGAGTAATCGTGATGGCGTACGCAAAATTCAATTCTGCCGTGTGAGTTCCACTTTCTTTTGGGAACCACGAGACTTGATGCGGCCAAACTTTTTTCCCCTTTTTGTTCCCCCATTTGTATTATGTATTCAATAATTAATCTCACTGTATGAGCGGATCACTGTAAGCAAATGATGGATATTTCGTTAGGGTCGTTGAATTTAGCAGAATGAGAAGAAACTCGTAAATTAACCATGCTCTTTGAGCTTAATTCCAAAAGAGATGCAAAGGAAGACGCGGCTATCTTTCTAGTTGCAACAGGTCCCCCGGACATAACACTCGGCAAAACCTTTTCAAAGCTAACATGCGACTGATCAGGTTCTTTCATGTCTTTAATATACTCATAGAATTGTGAAAGAGTAGTCGACGCGTATTCCTCTTGTGGAGCATCATCTAAGAAACTGTTATGCTCTAAACCCCAGTCCAATTGTAAATCCACAGAGCCAAAAGAAAGTTGCTCGCGCTCTTCTTCCATCAGATAGAGACTTCTTTGACTGCTGCTACGTCTTGCCAAGGGTACATCCCTACCCTTTTCAATGTCATCTATATTTTCAATGAAAGAGTCCAAGAGTCTAGCTGAATAGCCTGTATGCCTAGCTTTCAGTGGCAAATGATTTCGACTGATACACAGAGTTTTCGCCAATCCGTACAAAGACCTGAGGCAAAGATTCAAGAAGGGTGGGTCCTTAGCGCTCAGGTAATTGAATATATCAGAAATTGATTGGAACGGTTCTTCAATGACGTACAAGCGTCTTCGATGCTTTACCTTTGCAGGCAAGAAACACTGGGAGTCGATTTGAACTTTACGTCTCTTTCTTCTGGTTGCTTCTCCAGTTTTAAGAGCAGCACCAGAAGCATTTAAAGTGGTGGAAAAATGGGGATCATTAGTGCCAGTAGCAGACTTGGAAAGGTCCTCTAATTGCGTCGTGGTTAACACATAATCTTCTTCGAGATTAATATCATCTAGGAAGTTTTGAGAAGGGTTTGCAAATTGGTGATCGCCAATAATGTCACCTTCAGAGTTGAAAGCGAAATCAACTTGCTGATTTTCACTCACGTCGGGTTGGAAACTCGCAGTGGTCAATTTCATAAACTCGTTGAACAGGCGGTCTCGCTCTTCTGCTGAAACAGCAAGAGAAACTGTTCCCGTTATGGCATTTCTCTCATTATCGTTTTCTTGAATGCCAAGGATTCTTGCAATGCTTATAGAAGGTGCTGTATCAGGGACAAGGGCAGTAGGTGGTTCATCGATGTGTTCTATGTCGAAACAATTGTCGTCTTTCAAAAATATAGGGCCAGATGATTTCAGATGGACTGCTGAGGAATTCTTCGAAGGTAATCCATGATTTGCAAACGACATTGTCAATCTCGAATGAACTGAGCTCACTGCGCTGAACATATGATCCACTTTTTGCTTGTACAAAAGAGATAGACCGTACATGAGGTTTGACGATAATCGTAGTGGAAGCGGATGTGGACCATAAGATTGAATGGTGTCGCAAGTAGAAGGAATGGAAACGTCTGAGATAGAAACACTATATATTTTCCTACTAAGACGGCGAGGGCCCAAAGTTGCCAAGATCCATGCCAGGGCTAATCCTGAATCTTCCTTTTGGAGAATCTCCATAGCGAAAAAGCCAAGATGAAACACAAAAACAAGAATTATAGAATCCCAATAAGAAAAAGTAAATTTTTATAGAACTCTAATGTTTTCTTCTGTCCATCTTATGTGTATTTATAGTGATGGACTTTTTTGCAGCAATGCAAGTTGGGTATTGTGCAGGAAACACTAAAGTACTTAAAGACATCGAAGTTTCCTCTTGTGGAGAATTAAAAGAATATAAGTGTTAGGACTCTTTTGATCTCTAAGCATGAATGGATATATGTATGAAAGTGTATGAGCCTCAAAAGTGTCTCAATCGAGGGTTTCAGAAAACAAAGTTTCTAATTTCGTGTTCCACTATACAAATAAACTTACTTATAATCTATCAAGTACTGATAAAATCAGCAGGCTTCTGTTCAAAATCTTTGGAATTTACAAATTTTTCTCTAATAAGTATCAACTTGTTGTAAGCTCTAGTAGTGGGGTACTAGTGATTACAGCATGCGAAGATTACAGTTTCATTAGATATGTGAAGGTGTGAACTTGGAAGCAAACATTTCCTAATGAAGGAGCCTTCGGGCTGTTCAAAATAATCTGCGGAAGTTTTTAATAAGGATAGGGACATATTGTTGAAAAGAATCTGATGATGGTTATCATTCAAACAAAACTGTGGCTTTTCCCGAAGAATAAACTACAGATCGAAGCGTCAATGAAATAAGTTTATCTTTCAACGTGTATCTTGCATACCAGACTACATCTACCAATTTAGAGGAACAACCAACTTTTCAAACAGAGTTGACATTAATCGTGCTCTTTAGATCCATTATGTAAAATTGGGCTCGTTCTATACAATCAAATGATCGTGATAATTTAGCGGAGATTATGAAATTTGTGATTAGCTTCTACACTACGCGTCAGTTCTCTCTTGCTAAACTTCCAAGCATTTCCGAAGTCGGCCGCCCGAATCTATACGTGCATTTCTCTCCGCCTTCTACTCCAAGATTAATCACATGATTGATGTGACCCTAGCTTATCATAACAAAATTTGTCTTCACCATGTGAGTCTAAATCACTTTCTAGACTCTCAAGTATCTTTCGAAAGATCGGAATTGCCACGCTTTTTCGTGGATTCATCTCCCCAAGTATGGTTATATCGGGGCAATTGCATTCTTGTCCTGTATTTTTCCTATTGTTCATCTAATCTATAGTGCGGCGGGGGGCATTTTGTGCAGTGCCGCAACGATAAGTTGGGGCATTCATGCTCATCAATTAATTCTCGTCGCAACTGCTCCCTCTTTTTCTGCCACAAAGAGAAAACATCCGAAACATCAAAAACCTCTGTCTTTGAAAACTTGTTCTCTTGTGCCATGGTTGCCTTCAATCGTTTGTCTACTGCTCTCCTTGCTGCCAGTGCCAAAGCTTTGTCCTTGGTTTCTCTCTTTGATAATGCCGTGGATTCTCTTCTTCCCCAGGTTGTGACAACTTTCCCTAACCCAGATGAGAAGCCCGTTCCAGGAAACTCACCAATTGTGCAATGTGATGCCACCCAACCTCAATTGTTGGACTTGCAAAAGGTTGTAATTGACCCCAACCCACCAGCCAAGGGCGAAAACTTGACTTTTGTCGCCACTGGCTTTTTGGCTCAAGACATTGTCGACGGTGCTTACGTGGATGTCGATGTGCGCTATGGATTCATCCGTTTGATCCACCAGACTTATGATTTGTGCGAGGAGGTGACCAACGTCGACATGGAATGTCCAATCAAAAAGGGTGAGCAGGTGATTTCCAAGCTGGTGGAGATTCCCGCAGAAGTGCCTCCTGGAAAGTACATGGTCAATGCTCGGGCCTACACCGGGGAAGATGTTCTTATTGCGTGTTTGAGCGCAACGGTGGAGTTCCCTCCAAATTAGATTCCTGTAAAGAGACAATTCTGTGGCTCGTCTATAGCTTCCTCTCGTAATCATTTTTCGACGCTGGCGGTGAATGAATTTTAAAAGAAATCACGAGGGAACAGATTGGTTTACGAATAAACAAGATGAAAGAGTTGGAAGTAAGGTAAAAGTGCCGAGTCCACTTAATTGTGAACATTCGACCATATTTGTAGAAAATATATTACCAGCGATAAAGAGGAAATTTGGTTGATATGGGGCTGATTGTATTAGATGATGATTTAACAGATAATTAAATATCCTTTTGATCCAAACATGGCAGAAAAGAAGGATGCCCCGAGCTGTTTAGAGAAACCCAAGACTTTCACTGCCATTCGTGATAGACTCAGCTAGGCAGAAATCACAAGATTCGCCGTCAATGTGTCAAATCTCTCCTTCAGCAAACGTGCTTGCACCTGTAATAACTCGTTGTAAACAGCTAAACCTTCTGGTGTTTGTTGCATCTCGGTAAGACGCAGAGCAGGTAAACGCCATGCGATCGAGTCACTCACGCTTGTATAGACAGCGCCTCTGCCATGGAGCGCAAGCAAATGTCCAAAGGCGGTATTGGGTAAGATCGACAGGTGAAGCTCGCGGCCATCCTCAAAATGAAACAGAGACTGAACAAGGCCCGCCTCCAAAAGGAAAAGCGAAGGCTGGTGCACAGCTGTATCGTAAAACGTGAGGTTTTCTGGAATCTTTTCTCGGATAAAATAGTCTGTCACAGAAGCCCAGAACGCTTCATCCTTATCGGAAAGGCCGCTGAAGGTGATCATTAAAAGTGGCAAGGGCTGTTTGCGGAAAGCACGCTCGGTATTGGTATAAAATTGTTTCTTCATGCGCTGTTCGTCTTTTGCCGTGCGAGAAGCTGCTTGGAAAACTTGTGCTGTTCTGGGAGTACCGACGACATGGCTCATAGGCGAGCGTTCTTCATAGCGGTCGGGTGACAACTCCGCAGAGAGTCGTTCAGGGAATTTCCGTTCCACATGCTGGTACGTTTGCAAAAACGCATTTTCACACCACTCGAGCGCATGGTTCAACGTGCGGAAGAGCCGAATGTCCTGATCGTTCTGGCTCCACAAGCCGGCATCACGCAAGGCACAAACAATTTCGCCGTTCTCCTCAACAGACGAAATTACAAGCTGCGTACCGAACTCCAGAGCCAAATTTAAAATACGCCGAAAACCTTCAGCAGCAGAAAAGTCAATCGAGAACACCCGTTTCATGTCAATCACCAAATACTTGATTGGGTTGCGCACAAAACGTCCATGCTCAAAACGTCCTCTGATTGTAGTTTCAGCGCCTCCAATGGAGCCGAAGAAAACGGTTCCTTGCAACTTCACCACACAAATCTGACTCCCCACGTTCTGCAAAAACTCTTGTTGCTTTGGGTGCCGCAAGACGGTCGAACGAGCCACTTCTCCAGTGTAAACATCGGCCACCACTGGTCTTCTGGCAGCCTCAACAACAAATGATAGACAAGCAAGCAAGATGCCTGCCAAGACACCATAAACGAAATCCCATGCACCCATCACCACTACAATTGTCACAATGGTGGTGTATTCTATGCGGCGCAATCTTCCCCAAGTATCGTAAAGTGCTTCTTTCAACAACTCGTAACCCAATAAATAGATAAGGGCACCAACAACACACACAGGAATATAACCAATGACAACAGGCCCCGCAAACATGACACATGCCGTGGCTGCTGCCAACATTACACCTGCAATCCTCTCATCAGCACCAGCACGGATAAACAAGACCGAGTTCGTGTAGACCAAATAGTTCTGAATCGATCCAATTAAGCCAGAAAGAACATTCGAGTAGCCATGTGCTACAAGCTCGCGATCAACATCAAAGTGGTCCATTCCCACCGTCACAGCAAGGGCGGGCACATTGATGGGAACATGCAAAATGCCAAAAAAGGTGAGCGCCAACATCGTAGGCAACTGCCGGAGAATGGCAACCCAGTCCACTATGCCGAAACGGAAAAGTTTATAGTGAGCATACCATGGTTCGTTGTTCTCCACAGCAGGAAACACCCAGCCTGCAGCACGGGCTGTAGCCAAATCCCAGGGTGATAGAGCGACAACAATGTGGAAAAGCGCAAAGACACCCATGAAGTACACGGGCACCAAAAGGGTATTGTGGATTTTGTGCTGCATGAGCACCAAAATCACCGCAAGGGCAAGTGGTACTGTCCATTCAAGGATGGTGGTTGTGCTGCCAAAAAGATAAGCCCAGGTAGCCCAATTGTAGCGGATTCCGCCCTCCAATCGAGACGAGACTTCGAGCCCTGTAGCAACCAAGAAGTATCCCACACCTCCAATACAGCCAACCAAAATGTGGCGGGGGAAGAAACCCACAAGCGCACCCAAACGGAGACGGCCAAGCAAAAAGAAAACCACACCGGTTACCACCGACGAAAATGCATATGTCACCATCACCGTGGCAAGAATGGCTTCTTGAGGTTTGTCGGCCATTTCAGCACTGATGGCAGTGGCCATGACATGGAAAAAAGGCGTCACCTCGATCATTTCCGAGCCTATTCCCGCATGAAAAGCCGAGCCACCAAGAGAGAAGACAAGCTGCGATACAATAGTGGAGATATAGAACATCAGGAGACCCGCAGGTGCCATCTGCGAAAACACAGCCTCGCCGATAGGGAACATGATCATACCGTACGACAAGGCATCTAGCACGTTCAATAGGGTGCCGAGAAAAACCGCAGGAAGATAGCTGCAAACACGGGCCAAAACGTTTCGGCGTGGTCTGCGGGAGACATTTCTAGCAGACAAGTATTCGTGGGGTTCTGCAGGGCTTTCCAAGTCTGGAAAATCGTTGTCCTGTTTGCGGAGGAGAGGTGTGGTGTCGACGTCAGAACGGCCAGGGCCGTTTCCTCGGCTGATTGGGATGGGCGGATACAGCAGCACGTATTCCTCGGCGGCTTCGGCGTCTTCGACCACGCCTATGGTTGCCAAATCTGCGGTTTGTTTGTGGATCTCGGATCCAGACACCACCAGCGGCGAATTGTACGACACGGACGGGCGGTGACCCATGGAAACGTATGAACGGCCGCCAAAATCAAACTGTGGCTGTTCTGCGGGGCTCCAGTCCTGGCGAGACATTTAGACGAAGATGCAAGATTTCAAAGGGGCAGAAGGATGCAGATAATATAGCGAAAGGGCTGCAAAAGTTACAAGGCGATAATAATTGCAAGGGCAGTGGAAACTGAAAGTTCAGTTTGAATGGGCAAAGATTGAATGTGCAAAGATGAGGAAACAATGCTATTGATGCAAAGACACTGGACCCGAAACTTTTCGACCAAATTGGGAACAGACAATTAAAGATTCGGCAGCTGGCCTAATTGGAATCTTTGAAATGTGCAAATGGCCCAGAGACAACAAATGTTTCTCCTTAAGGAAGAATGGGGTGGAAAGAGCGGCTAAAGCAGAATTTATGAATATGAAAAGCTGTGTGCCGGCAAATAGGGTTTTCTTAATCACGTGCCTTCACAAACTTTGTTCTTATCAGCGATTTCTTGCGGAAGCGCTCTCGCCTTCTCTTTCCGTTTGTGTAGAGGTTACGGCGAAACATACATGGCGAGAAAATAATACATATTCAGACTTTTATGTTGGGACCAGAATTTGATTTCGAAATCTAGTGGACTAGAAATGGGATCAGCGCCATCGGAATCTATGGCAGGGTCTACAAGAGAGCCAAGTGAATTCCAGGAAAAAACAAGCCAACGATCTTTAAGTCGGCTCTATTCTGACATGCAGCTCATGTTACAAAATATCGTCGTAGCTTATCTTTGCATTTTTCCGAGTCTGCCAATTGTCACGCTGCCTTATTGGCTGAAATGGGCTTTTAAATATGGAAGTTACTGACTTAGAAAAATAAAACCGGGCAAAGTTTACCATCCATTCATTAATATTTCCTGTATGCCTTTGTATTAGCACATTAGTGAATATATCCACGATATGGACATGGAAAATATATCATGGTGGAAGCATTGGTCAGCGAGAATCCAAGTTGGACTTTCCGGTCACAATTGTGCAAATAGCTCGCTGATAATTAGATTGTACCGGTCTCTGAATTAAAATCGTCAATTCTTTTAGTTCGCAACGGCTGTTGGATCTTATTAGATTTAAGTTATGCAATACTTTGCATCATTTTCCGTTTCCACTCTTGAAGCATGCCGTGCTTCTTTTCTGTGTTCATACCTTTAATTTTTCAATTGAATGGACGGTTAAAACGATGATTTCGCTCAATTTATGAGGAGCAATTCACAAGTTCATCTTTCTTAATCATTTTTTCTTGATTTTCTTTATCACTGATGTCTTTTTCACCTCCGCAACTTCTTATTGTGAATGCATGTCTTCAAAAATTATTTGTCAATGTTTCGCATATAAGATTAGATGGAAGTCCGACTCATTAAAACACGTTTACAAAATATCATCTCCATTAGGCTAATTTAACCCGTTTCGTTGACGAGACTAGACCGAATGATTGCCCGACACGATATAAATGAGGCAAGAATTGCCGAATAACACCGTTTCAACTCCTATGGAATTCTTCGACTTTGCATCAGTTTGAAACTCCCTAGATCTTCTGGATTTATTAGTTATTCCGAATTTGGCTCTATTAACAGAATCATAATTTCGGAATAATCTCTTCTTCTACACAGGACCTATGGAAATACTCTCACCTACGTTACTTGTTAATATTGTAGTAGTATAAAATCATAGATACCGCTCGGATCCACAAAATTTATTTCTGTTTTCACACTTCTAAAGTTTTTTTCGAACGAATATTTCGGCTAAAGTCTCTGGATCCGATGTTGCATCCGTACCTCCTTGACCCTGTCATTATTCCTGCATATCTGCTCCCACCCGCAGACTCCGCGTTCGCTTATCAAATAAACTACTTCTTCTTTCTGTACTTTGACATTAGTTTCTTGGCCAGTAAAGAAATTACTGTCACGTGGATTCCTTCGGATTCTCTCTTGGAACCTTTTGGCGTACTCCACTCCAAAACGCACTCAAGCCAACGTCCAGAATCGTACCTGGCGGCAAAACTTTACCCGCCAATACTGCTATTGTTACCATTGGTCTTGAGTTCAATCCCTTGTTTCGGCTGATTGACTATATTGTTGATCAGATCAGCAACACTTATCGACAATTATCGATAGCTGACTTGCCCTTCAATTAGTCTGGTAACCATCTTATTGTCGGATCCCAGTATTTGATAGCTGATTACTAGCTAAAAGTATGGCAGACGAAAATAGCCCCCTTCTCGAGTCGTCTTTCGACCGGGACATGGACGACTTTGACAACCAATCCAAGCGCACTACGGAGTCGCAAAACGTGGAACGGATGTTGCGCCAGCGCTTCTGGTGGTTCTGTATTTTGGGCGTGGCTGCGATTGTGGCCCTTCAGCTCTCGTTCCTCCCCCGCACATCTTGTAACCGCGACTTCCGCCGCTGGTACGACTTACATTTGACGAAAACTGACGTGAAACGTCTATTTTTGGTGCAGCTGCAAAGAGGCCGCCCTGAAGACGACGGATTGACCGTCGAAGACCACGTGGACCACTGGCTCGGAGCGTTCTCCATGCTCAATGCAAAAACTACCGCAGGCATTTCTGCCCTGACCGCGCCCGAGTTGGCGGCAATGGTGCAACAGAATATGCGTGATTTTGGTTTCGAAACCAATTCCCACATTTACCCTCTATCCCCGCTTGTCAAGGAACCGCTTCTGCTGGCAGTGCGCTTGGTAGACGTGCAGCTGGGCCGCGTTCTCTACAATGCGAAAACACATGAGGCTGGGTCTCCAACCCCGGCTTTTTTCCCCTTTGGTGCTAATGGTTCTGTCGAAGCACCGCTCACTTTTGCGCGTGCAGGCACGCCAGAAGATTTCCTGGCTTTGGAGAGACATGGTCTATCCGTGGCGGGACGTATAGTGGTGTTTTCCCACCTGCTGACTTCAGATTACTTGCTTGCAGACAAAATAGCATTGGCGGAGCAGCGCGGGTGTGCCGCTGTCGTTGTTTATGGCGACGTGGATGCAGAGGACGCCATATCCCGCAATTTCAAGCCATTTGCAGTGCCGGAACCAGGAATACGTATTCCGTTGAGCTACAGTGCCGCCCAGCCTATATTAAGCACATTGGGGCCTGCTATGGAACCTTTTCAGAATTGGCCCTACGCTCCGCAACCTCTTGATGACACCTTATGCTTACAAGTTGCCGCACAATTTGCACCTGACCTGTTGTACGCTACTAATATCGTTGGTCTGCTCGAAGGAGTGCTCAATGACGGCGTTATTTTGGTTGGCGCCTCCCGCGACATTCTCACCTCTTCAAATCCTCTCAGTGGTCACGCCATCATGCTTGAAGTGATGCGTCGCTTCCAATTGTTGCGTAATATGGGCTGGAGACCGTTGCGGGCCATACGATTTGTGTCCTGGGACGCCTCTCGCAGTGCTGCACAGGGCTCTCATGCTATGGTTCTTGACTCCAGTGTGCTCAAAACAAATCTCCCTGTCTTGGCCTATATCAACTTGGACGAGGATGTAGTGATGGGTGATCATTTTTCCGTCGATGCTAATCCACTCTTCAACAACATCCTCAGGTACACCGCCAAGTTTGTGCCATTCCCAAGAAACTCAACACATTACAGACGCATATCAAAGAATGACAATGATATGATCAGTGACGATGAGGAAGATGATGACATATCTTTGTATCATTACTGGTACAAACAGAGCAAAGCCTATATCAACAACAGAGTAGGCAGCGCTTTCGCTGGCAAAGATGCCAGCTCATTTCAATCGTCATTCGCCGTTCCTACTATCAATTTCAAATTTGCACAAAGCCCTAACCATAATGACTCTGTGTACGTGCCGGAATCGAGCTTCTATTCTTTAGACTGGCTCTCTCAGAATGTCGATAAGTCGTACGCATTGCACAGTCTGTTAGTACGCTTTCTTGGTCTCCTAGTTCTTTCCTTAGGTGAGCATGAGGTTGTTGATTATAAAACGGCCGATCTTTTCCAGCAAGCCCAATCTTTCTTCCTGGATTTTGTTGATGCAAACAAGGACACGTTGAAAGGTTGGGAAGACGAGGTAGTACAAGATTCACTTTTATCGAAATCTACTCTTTTAGCTGATTTGAAGGACCGTATGGACGGAGATGCTGACAAGCACACGCAGTTCAAATTCCGGGCTTTGGTACAGCAAATGAAGGAAATTTTTGGTGAGCTCCAAAGTCAGTCGGAAATATACGACGCATACAATGTGGACGTACAAGAGATGTGGATCGAGGATTATCCTTGGTACAAGATGTTCAAAAAGGCGCAGATATACGCCAAGTTCAAAGTGACAAATTACAAGCTTCTCAGAATAGAAAAAGGGTTAACACTCACTCCTGATGAGACAGAGAAGACTGGCGGTGTGAACGAAACACATCACTTGATGTATGAAGTCCCTCAAGGACAGCATTCGCGGGCCGAGTTACATCAACGGGGAGCCTTTGCGTCAATGTACGAGGCGGCCGAAACGGGAAATATGGAACGAATGATCAAAATCATGGTGGGGCTGTATGAACGGTTGAAGTCCATCTATAAAAAGATTTCATAGGTGAACAAAGCGGGCTGATCTTTGCGATTCACATAATGGCACACGAGAACGATTATGAATAGACGGGAGAAGTCTCGATAGATCTTTTTTTAACGTTTCTACTGTGATGTTTTGTTATCAGGATGGCGAGAATGGATGAATAGAGGTATCTAGCCCTAATGTGAGAAGAGAATTGCCGATCATTCTGTTAGGCTCACCGCATTTTCCAAATATGTCACTAAAGATATATTATGGAGAGATATCGTGCATAGAAGATGAGTTTGATTGATATATGGTACTCGTTACCGTATCAAGATCTCCTGTCCATATTCCTGTTGCTCTACTTGCTCTAAAAAATTCTCTCATCACTAGAGCTGAGCCGATTGTGTCGTTTTAGCCGGGCTTTCTTTACATCTTTTCCGAGATTAGTGTCTGAAACATCTGTGTGCTTATTAGTGTTAGAATTCGACCTGTAGAAGCAGTCGAGTTTACAGAGAGCTTCTGATAAACAAATAGGTTTCTTGTAATCAACAAAACCTTTCACATCAATTCACTTGTGTAGATGTATATAGAGTGTCTTCTTACTTGAGGAAGAACCTGAGTCTGACGTGGAAGACCAGAATCAAGTTATTCCTCGAGCTGGAGGCATTTTTGAGATGAACCAGGATCAACCTCCTCTTCGGGCAGGAGGCATATTTCAGATCACATACTGAGTGAAGGACATTATTGATTGACTAGCTTGATTTCTCATATGGAACTGGCGATTGTCAGTTCAAACTTTGTTCCGTTTAGATTTATTGACTATTAAATGTTGAAATACTCGAGATGTATGTATGAGAATTGGGTGTACATGGCTTGTCTAGTGTTACTGTCATGTTCAATTGAGTAGTTGGGGGCTTTGATAATAATACATTCGAAGTGGTGCAAACCCTCCACTATTTCGGACTTTTGCAAAATGTTTTTGAGAGGAAGCTACGACTGATTGTAAACATTGATGTGTTTACTCAAACAGTCCAGTAATCATGGATTAACTTCGTAAATTTCCAGTAATCACTATTCCATTCATCCTATTATGTCAACATTTGTACCTCCATTTCCTTTCATTTATCATTCATTCTACCTTTCTCATTTTTCTAGAGTATCACTTCTCTGTGTTCCTTAGCTTTGATATACTTTAGGCCACACCTAACTTTCACTAACGTTGGCTAAAAAGTTAATATGAACAATCTGCATGGCTTCAAATACAAGAGTTGTCTTTCATTAAACATGAAAACAGGATCAGAGATCCCACCCTTTCATGTTAATTAATTTTTTTCTTTCAGCACTAGTAGTTCAATAAAAAGCTTCAGCCTTGATCTTTTTTTCTCTGCTAGATTAGACCCTACATAGTTAAGCGATCGCGCTTCTCCATACAAACCATACATCTTCTTTTATTCTTCACCATGGATCTAACAAAGTACTTTTCGATCCAGATTTTCTTCATTATTCTTCGAGAAACGCTCGAGACGGCAATCATCATTTCCGTTTTGCTTTCGTTCATCAACAAGCGCGAGCCCGAAGATGATTCAGAGCAATCCCAACATATAAAAAGCATTAACAAAAAGCTCCGGCTTCAGGTCTGGCTCGGCGCCATTTGCGGCTTGCTAGTGTGTTTTTTGATCGGCCTAGTGTTTATTGGCTTTTTCTATTTCGTGGAAACAGATCTCTGGTCGTACACAGAGAGACTCTGGGAAGGAGTGTTTTCGCTTCTTTCTAGCGTGGTCATCACCATGATGGGCGTTGGCCTTTTGCGGATCAACAAGGTGATGAAGATCAAGTGGTGGATCAAGCTCGGCAGCGCCTACCACGGTGAAGAGCCGCAGAAACTTGACGTGGGCCAGATTCTGGAAGCTGATCCACTTGAGGCTGACGCAGTGGCTGAAGAAGGACTGACCCGGGCGCTTCTCGGCCTGAAGAAGCCACAGGAGTCGTTCTCCCAGCGTTATTTCTTGGCCATTTTGCCGTTTGTCACGACTTTGCGTGAGGGTTTGGAAGCGGTGGTTTTCATTGGCGGAATCGGCATGTCTCAGCCGCCCAGCTCTCTCCCGTTGGCTGTTTTGGCCGGTCTTCTTTTGGGCTCGGCCATCGGCTTATCACTCTACAAGGGCGGAAACAAGTTGTCGCTCCAGTACTTTTTGATTTTCTCCACATGCTTTCTTTACATGGTCAGTGCTGGTCTTATGAGCCGAGGCGTGTGGTTTTTGGAGTTGGAAACGTATGTACGCAAGTGTGGCGGCCTTGACGTCAGCGAGACCGGAAGCGGACCTGGTTCCTATGATGTGGCCAATACTATTTGGCATGTCAACTGTTGCAACGGTTTGACCGACGGATGGTGGATGGTGGCCAATGCTATAGTTGGTTGGACCAACACGGCCACGTACGGAAGTGTGTTTTCTTATTTGGCCTATTGGCTTTCAGTTTCGTTCTGGCTTCGTTTGAGGTTGTACGATGAAAGACACGGCGTCTTGCCATTTATACCCATCAAGTGGCAGCTCAACCGTATTAGAAAGAAGTTGCACATCTACGACGCTCGTCTTTTGCACGAATCCCAAACTTAGGAATATTGCATGGATTCGCCAAGATGACATTTATTCAATCAAGACCGAATTAGCACAAGAGCGAAATGGGCATTCCAAGTAAGGAACGGAATGATCAATTTCTATCGAAAATTCATTGATGGAGGCTGCATCCGAATGGCATGGTATTACGATTTAGGTTCCGCATTCACTAAAAACGAATCAACTTACGGCTCCTCGAAATTTCAAGTATCAGCTATGGAATCATAAAAATTTGAGCGGTGCCCGGCAACACAATAAGGAAAATGCATCAAGCTACAACGGCATAGCGTATTTATATGAGATTTTGAATATAGCCGATAGCTGATACTTTCAACGATAATGCACGATGTTCTGACACATGTCTGCGGCTACGAGAAGCAAAACTGATTCGAGATCCTTGGGTGCTTCCAGTAGTTAATTTTGCCGTCGAAATAGTACACAAGTTCAAAATTTAAGTAGCCGGGTCGGGAACTAGAGATAACACGATACATTGATGCTTCTGAATTTGATGCTAGACTAGGACCTTTTCTTTGCTGACCAGGACTCCTGTCAAATTACATAAGATTTTTCTAATCCATAGTTTCTAGCTCGTTGTAATGTTTCTATTGCCTGGAAGACAAAAGCGATTGGAATTGGACATGGAAGGCCCAGCATCAAGCATCTAATTACGAAGCAATTTTACTATCAATAAACTCACTTCATTCACTGTGGTTGTTTCCTTTTGTACCAAGGTCGTCTTTTGGTCTTGACCGAGATTCCTTTTCTTCTTGACCGAGATCTTCCTTTCCTCTTTACCGAGATCTTCCTTGCTGAACCTAGATCTTTCCACTTTCACAACATTGAGATGTGAAACATGGTTCTGCTCAATTGTTATTCCTACTCTCAAAGGTTTATATCATACTGTGCCATATCATAGATGACTTATAGGTTGAATAATAGACAGACAAGTCCAATGCGGGGAAAGCCATTCTGGACGCGAGAAATGACGCAGTAAGATACCAAAAGACGCAGAAAAAAGACGCAGAAAAGACACGAAAAGACACAGAAAAGACACAGAAAAAGACGCGCAAACGCCGTCGAGGCAGAAAACGGCGCGAAAAATGGCCCGCATGGATCGCCGCGCTGATAAATGCGGTTTCGGTCGAGCCGCACAAAAGTTCCGGTCGCACTGATCTGGTCTCGGCCCGATCTGGTCGGCTCCATCAACTCCCTGCCCTCTACTTCGTTTGATTTATTGTCTTCCATTTTTTCCTGCTTTCCTTCTATTCACCTTCTTTCCATTCTCTAATTAGACCCGTTCTCTTCATTCTTCTCGCCTCGCCGGTCTCCTATTTCGTCGCAGAATATTCGGGAGTGCGAGCCTGCAGAGGCTAGAAACGCGAACATTCTCTGCTAAAGCGATGAAGATCAGCGCTTCTTCTTTGTTTGCATTGGATTGAGCGGCGCTAGGCCCATTCGAAACAAGAAAAGCCAGCACTAAAAGCGTCGGCACAAGCGCAGAAACGAAACAAAAAGAAAGAAAGAAAAAGAAAATACAAAGATCCAACGCCACGTGCTGATCATCACAACAGTCAACACCTGACAGAAACACGTTCATTAGATTGCATCATTGCATCACCGATTGCATCCCAACACGACTGTTGCAAAGCCCACACAACAGTTGCAAAGCCCACGACAAAGCAAAACAAGCCATGCAAAAGTTGGCGCTTGAAAAAGACGACACGCTCGAGTCCACAAACAGGCTTCTCCACGATCTCGAGCGAAAGCTTCTGGTTGGCCTGGCGTCTCTGGGCTACACAGCCACATCGCACGGGTCGGTGGTGAGAAACACCGCCAACGCCGGCTTGGCCAGCCACAGCATCCAGCTGAGCGTGCTCCGGTACCTCCAAAGCAGCGATTTCGACGCCAACGCGGTCTACGCCGACCGGCAGCAGAAGTTTGCCACGACCTTTGGGCGCGAGTACTCGCCGGTGTCGCGGAGCTCCAGCGAACGGATCCGGGAAAGCGATACCGAGAGTCTGAGGATGGATCTCCGCGCAGACTCGGACGAAAGAAGCGAGCGGGAAGAAGAGATGGAGCGAATAGAAAGAGGCGAAGGCGGCAAAGGCGGCAAAGGCGGCAAAGCAGGCGCTGCAGATCAAACGGCACAACACCCCGCAGACCCGCCGGAAACCCCAGAACAGCATTACGACGCCGTGTACTCGGACTCAGATCCTCTCGGAGACATTTTGGACGACTCGGGCGAAGCCTCGGGCGACGCCTCCGACGCGTCTGGCTCCGACGCTCACTCAGACTTCCACAACTTCGATTCGCCCGACGCACATTCCGACGCGGACCTCTACGGCGACTTCTACGACGACGACTTCGACCCGCTTCCTCCTCTGCCGCCGCGCCTGCCGCCGCGCGACTTGGACCCGGCCAAACTCTACGGTCTCTACGATTTTTCCGGCCCGGATCCGCTGCATTGTACGCTTGCGCGAGACGAGCCTGTTGTGTTAGTGGATGATCTGGACAGTTACTGGTGGCTTGTGCGGAAAATGACTCGGGCGGAGCGCGCCGAGCTTGCGCAAAAGCGCGGGCTTTCGCCGCCGCCGCCCGACGCGGACGACGGAAAAGTGGGGTTTGTGCCGGCCGAGTGCCTCGAGACGCACGTCGAGCGCTTGGCGCGCCTCAACTGTTTCCGCAACGAAGAGCTCGAGCGCGGTCTTTTGCCCGGGCGCGACGTGCCGCGCAGGGCGGCGCTGCGCAAACAGGTGACGTTTGAAGGCGTGGCCGACCTCAATTGGGACGACGAGGACGTCGGCTTCAGCTACTACCAGGAAAACATGGCTGCAAAAAGCGAAATCGCCGCTGGTGATATTCCCAGCGCCGCGGTGGGCGCCGAGCTGGACGTGCTCAGCGACATCTTTTCCGACACGCCGCTCGTGGTGGAAAAGAGAACGGGGAGAAAGGACGGCAGAGACGGCAGAAACGAAGGGAACGCAGAATCCTTTGAGAAAACCGGTGCCACGGAAACCGGTTCCCGCGAATCCGTAGGTAAATCTCAAAATCGTGTTGGCACATCCGAAGACGCCAGCACATCTGAAAACTCCGCCAGCACATCTGAAAACTCCGCCAGCACATCTGAAAACTCCGTTAGCGCATCTGAATACTCTGCTAGCACTGCCAGCCTAAACTGCGAAGTTCCCCAGCCAGCATCAGAGAAGCCAAATGGCATCTCTAGCGGAGATCTGGCACCGGATGGCCGTGCCGTTTCTCAAGCCGACGCAAGTCTGCCCTCTGCATCTACGGGACAGGTCGCTGACCCCAAGCGCCGCCGCCGGCGCCGCAAGAAGCCTGTCCACGACATGTTTCTGCCAATTCTCGGAAAATTGGATGAGCTCACGGAAAAATTGGCCGAGCTCGAGCATTTCTTGTAATACTACTCAATCACCACGCTCCTTTCACTGACTGCATCTCTCACTTTGCTGCCCCAATCTAATCGCCTCTTGCTTCTGTCTTGTTCTTGTCTTCTCCATCTTTCTTATCGTCCTCCAAGGCATTTGGTCCTGCACACATGTTTTTTCTCGTGTCCATCGCCATCTCACCTCATAGACTCCATCAAACACCAACTCCCACATCCGACCTCGGTGGCTCAAGTACATTTTACCCTTTGCATCCATCGGACCAGCCATTGTTCACGTGACTGGTCTTTTTGTTACTTTTTGCTCTCAGCCCTTTTCGTCCCATCGCTGCCCATCACCGATAACTGTCACTATCCGTCATGTGGACCGCTGATCCCCAGGCTTTGGAACAGCTAGCCGCCATCTTCAAGGCGACATTGTCGTCTCTGAAAGCGGAGCGCTCTTCTGCCAACGATGCGTTGGCGCTGGCCCGCTTGCAGCCGCATTTCGAAAACTACTTGTGTGATCTCTTGGTCCGCGACTTGGGTGTTTCCGCCGACGTGCGGGCTGCAGCAGGTATCAACTTGAAAAACTGCGTGTTGAAGCAGTCTCTGGCCGACCGCAGCTACCTCTTGGCGACGATATTCGCAGGCTTGCGCTCATCCCACAACATGGTGCGGAACATCACCGGAAACGTCATCACCTCGCTCTTTTCTGCTTGCGGGCCTCTGGGCTGGCCTCAGGCATTGCCGCTGTTGCTTGACATCGCAGCGGATGAGTCTGTCCCGCTTCCTACTCGTGAGGCGGCTGTGTCTGCATTGGCCAAGATCTGCGAAGACTCGGGCTCATCTTTGGACGACGCTCTGTTGGCGGCCTTGGCGCAGCAGCTCCTTCATGTCACTCAGTCGCCACAGGCCAGTGCGCTGCTCCGCAGTGGGGCCGTCTTGTGTCTCAACCAGTTGGTGCCTTTGAAATCCTCTCACGCTTTTGTGGAGCAGTACTTGCAAGCATTGTTCACACTCACGGGCGACCACGATTCGGGTGTGCGCAAGAACGTGTGTTCGGCGTTTGTGCTGATCATGGAATGTAAGCCGCAAACGTTGGTGCCGCATATGGGAGGTGTGGTTCTGTTCTGTGTTCATCTGATGCAAGATGAGAACGAGGATGTGGCTATGGAAGCATGCGAGTTCCTTTTGACGCTTGCCGATCTGCCTGAAAAGGCCCACAGAGTGCTGTTCCGCCCGCACTTGCAACAGGTTGTGCCTGTGCTTTTGGAAAAGATGGTCTACTCGGAGGAGCAGATTTTCTTGATGCAGATTCTTGACGAGAAGGACGATGCACGTGTGGCAGACCGTGATGAAGATGTTCGTCCCAATGCTGTTCGTTCAAAGAATGCTCATTCCGTGAGCAAAACCCCAGCAGCAAAGAAAATCGAACAGGACTCCGATGCTGATTCCGACGACGATGGCGATTCCGACGACGATGACGACTCCGATGACGAGCTTGACCTGTGGAATTTACGCCGTTGCTCGGCAGCGACTCTCGATGCCTTGTCTCTAGACTACCCACAGGAGGTGATCTCGGTTGCTTTGCCTCTTTTGCAAGAGAAGATTGTTTCGCCCGAATGGCCCGTGCGTGAAGCAGCAATTCTTGCCTTTGGCGCCATTTCCAAGAGCTGCGTTGATCTTGCCCGTGACAAATTGCCCACGTTGGTCCCATTTTTGGTGGAGCGCATGAAAGACGCCGAAACACGAGTCCGCCTGATCGCTTGTTGGACTCTCTCTCGGTACGCCACATGGGTCTGTGCCGAAGCACACGAGGGCGGAACATACAGCAGCTATTTCCCACCTACGTTCGAGGCGGTGGTCGGATTGGCGCTTGACAAGAAGAAAATCGTCCAGGAAGCTGCGTGCTCGGCATTGGCGTCTTTTGTCGAGACCGCCGACGTCGAGCTTCTTGATCGGTATGTTGGTGCTCTCTTGGCGCACTTTGCGCAATGTTTTGCTTCGTACCAACGCAAAAACTTGCTTGTTCTTTACGACTGTGTGAACACTTTTGTTGACAAGATTGGGCCAGAGGTGTTTGGTCGCTCGCCTGAGTACGCCAACACGTTGTTGCCGCCTTTGTTTGCCAATTGGGAAAGTTTGCAGGATGACGACACCGACTTGTGGCCGTTGCTCGAATGTATGTCGGTAGTGGCTTCAACGATGGGAGAGGCGTTTGCACCTTATGCTGTTCCAGTGTACGAGCGAGCAGTCAAGATCTTGGCCAACGCCATCCTGCTCAACCAGCATGTCCACACAGACCCGTTGATCGAGGCGCCGGAAAAAGATTTCATTGTGACCTCGCTCGACTTGATCGACGGTCTTGTGCAAGGCTTCAAAGCACATTCTGTTGAGTTGATGAAACAGCACGGCGCCAACGTCATGGAGCTTGTGTTGGTGTGTTTTGAGGATCACGACGAGGACGTTCGCCAGCTGGCGTACGCTTTACTCGGTGACTTGGCCATTTTCGCCTGTCATGACATGGTGCAGCCATACATGGATCGCATAGTGGTGTGCATTGGCCATGAGATCAACAACCGGTCCTACTCATCGTACGCGGTGACAAACAACGCCATTTGGTCTTTTGGCGAGATTGCCATCAAGGCCGATCCAGACAGCATCAAGCCATATGTGGGCAACATTGTCGGTTTGCTTGTGCCGCTTCTCAAGTCTGCAGACACACAGGAGACGTTGGTGGAGAACGCGGCCATCTGCTTGGGCCGGCTCGGCTTGGCCGGCGGCTCTCCTGAAATCGCTGCCCTCTTGCCCGATTTTGTTTATTCGTGGTGTGCGCAGATGATGTACGTGATGGAAAACGAAGAGAAAGAAACTGCATTCCTCGGGTTCCTCAACACGCTCCAGTTGAACCCGGACCAAGGTCTTGGAGGCTTGAACAACCAGCAAGGGCGCAAGAATTTGGCGGTGCTCGTGAGCTGTATCGGGAACTACTTTGAGCCTTCCGACAAACTTAAAGAGATGTTCTACCAGGTGCTTATGAGTTATAAGAGCCTTTTGGGCGACGCGTGGGAGACACAAGTGTTGGGACTAGTGGACGCCGACACTAGAGGTTTTCTCCAGACAAGCTACGGAGTTTGATTGATGCATACATGTTTCCCATCACATTGATTCGTACAAGTGCATGTAGCCGAAATATCTAACCGTATACATTCGACTACGATAACTAGCCATGCCTCAGACTTTAGTCTAATACTTGAGTTCGTAACTTGAAAATATATCCATAAATAGCAGAGATGTATGTGTATTGTGATTTTTGATTTGATGTGAGATAAGCTAACGTGAGCGTTAGAACAACTTCTGTCTTTCAACTAAAGTTTTGTTGATTCGCCAATTCATGGCCGTAGTAAACGATCATATCAGAAGCCCTCAAATCACTTGTTCATCAAGCCAAGGAAGTATATCTTCTTTGGACCTACCGCTATCGTCATTCGTCAATAAATGTCATAGTGACAGTCTCAACCACTCTTATCAGAGCACTCTAATCTGAACACTCTAATCTGAACACTCTAATCTGAACACTCTAATCTGAACACTCTTAAAGTTGAACTCAATGCCGATCATACTCGACCCTAGTCTCTTCCAGCCCTTCCATCAACCAGTCTCTAGCCCTTCCTGAACTCTCTAGCCCTTCCTGAACCAGTCTCTAGCCCTTTCCCAACCATACTCGAAGTCCTTTTCCCATTTTAATCTCCCCCGTACAAAACGTCATTGACCAAGCCGATCGGAAGATCCCAAACGCCACTTGGCGCCTTCCATACATACTCCTCGGGGTTTTTCGGATAAACCGCATGTTCGTCGGTGAAATTGCGCAAATCGTCAAGCTTGAGCGTCTTCACCTCGAAGTTCACCAACGCCACAAACACATACGAGTATACCATGGCAATCAACAGGTACGCCGGCACCGCGTGCGCCCAGTACTTGTCTGGATAATAGGACACGCCGATTTTCTGGAGCCACGGCTCAGGCACCACGGTCCATCCGATGTATGCGAAAAAAATCACCGACGCTAGCACATAGACGAAAAAGCCCTTGTATTCGGCATGGGGCGTGGCGTTAGTGGCAACCGTGACGTCCGATTGCCGGGCCAAGGTGTCTTCCTCGATTTTCTGGGCCTTGGGCGCCATGTGGAATTTGGATTGTGGAGAAAAGATGCGAGTATCAGAATCAGAGAAGATACCGTCTTGTGCGAAAAGAACAAGTACCATGAGCGAAAAGATCAAAGTACCATGAGCGAAAGAACAAAGTACCATGTTGACAAATCAAAGTACGATGTTGACAAATCAAAGTACTCGTTGTAGGATTTAATTAGTTTCTGTGGATTTGCCAGTTAACTATGGGCGCCCTAGTGTCTAGTGTCATATTACTCAATGTTCGAATAGTCATTCCTGTTTCAACACAGAAGATGATGTGAAAATGCTCTTCCTGTTAACGAAGGCAATTTTTTATTTGGCGATTCCTTTCTGCCGTCTTGTTTGCACATTTCTTTGACTACTACATTTCGTCTGGTGTCAGATTCACCTATGTTCACCTAGTTAATGGCGATTTCGATTATTTGTCTTGCCAATCCTCTTTCCACAAGAATCATAGAAATAGCCATTGACAAATCAGAACGTATGCTCATATGAACCATATTTTTTTTTCCTAGTACCACTTGGTAAGTCTACTAATTTCAGTTCCTCACTTATTCAGTTCATAGCATTCGCACTTTTAGCTGGAAAATGAAAAATACTTGTTGTACATCAAATATACATGGACGAACATAGCTTACTAACCATCAAATCGATTACTTTGAGCCGCCTAAGACAAATCTTGAGAGTCACTCAAGCCTTTTCACAATGAAAATTTTGATTCCGAACATCGGAAAAGTTGTGGTATCTTATACAGAAAACTATCAACCTTCCTTTCCCACGTACAACTACCGTTTCTTTCCGATATGTCTTTCCAATCAACAGGCCAGAGACTCATCAACTGAATTTACCCTTTTACTGTATCTGTAGTGACATAAGAAATCGGTACAGAGATCCTGCATGCAAGTGAACTATACCTGATTGTCCTGCAGAAAGAGTCCAGCCATAAGACAGAAAAACCAGAAACAAGGCGAAGAAAATGAAAAAAGAACGCTTTCAAAAGTCTCCAAATGCCCTATAAATCCACTTCATTGCGAAAAAAGAAGTAAACACCCTGGTCTGTCCAGAATAGCAAGGGCCCTTGTATGTGTCCGGGTAACGGCGCTGATCTCAAATCGCGGCTAGCGCTGAGTCATTGCCGTTTTGGGCACACTTATATATCGCCCGTTTTCTTTTCTTTCTTTCACCATGCTTCTTCCCAGTTTGCGTGCAAAAAGTTTCGGCTTGGCCCGAAGTTTCTGCTCGTCTTCGTTGATCAGAAACGCCACCCCGTCCTACCAGGGCGGCAAGTTGGTACAGCTGCTTCAAAAAAACGGCGCCCAAGGTGCCACTGTCGATGTTTCCAAAGTCTTGGTCATTGGGTCTGGAGGCTTGTCGATTGGCCAAGCAGGAGAATTCGACTACTCTGGCTCGCAGGCCATCAAGGCGTTGAAAGAGGCCAACAAAACGTCCATTTTGGTCAACCCTAATATTGCTACTAATCAAACGTCGCATGCTTTGGCTGACGAAATCTACTACTTGCCGGTTACTCCAGAGTATGTCACGTATATCATCGAAAGAGAACGGCCCGACGGCATTTTGTTGACTTTTGGCGGCCAGACAGGCCTCAATGTTGGCGTCCAGCTAGACAAAATGGGTGTTTTTGACCGGTATGGCGTCAAGGTGCTTGGCACGCCAATCCTGACGTTGGAAACGTCCGAGGACCGTGATTTGTTCGCACAGGCGCTTAAAGAAATCGACATTCCGATCGCCGAGTCGATCGCTGTCGAAACCGTGGACGCAGCGCTCGAAGCCGCTGCCAACGTTGGATATCCGATCATTGTGCGTTCTGCCTACTCCTTGGGCGGGCTTGGGTCGGGCTTTGCCGCGTCCGAACAGGAGCTCCGTGACTTGGCCGCCCAGTCTTTGTCCTTGGCCCCGCAGATTCTCGTGGAGAAGTCGCTTAAGGGCTGGAAAGAAGTGGAATATGAGGTTGTGCGGGACAAGGACGGAAACTGTATCACCGTGTGCAACATGGAGAACTTTGACCCGCTCGGAATCCACACAGGTGACTCTATTGTTGTTGCGCCCTCGCAGACATTGTCTGACGAGGAATACCATATGTTGAGAAGTGCTGCGATCAAAATCATCCGCCATTTGGGCGTGGTGGGCGAATGTAACGTTCAGTACGCCTTGCAGCCAGACGGATTGGATTTCCGTGTCATCGAGGTCAACGCTCGTCTTTCCCGGTCTTCGGCTTTGGCCTCCAAGGCCACAGGCTATCCATTGGCTTACACCGCAGCGAAAATCGCCTTGGGCCATACATTGCCCGAGTTGCCCAACCCAGTGACAAAGACAACCACTGCCAACTTCGAGCCCTCGTTGGATTACATTGTGACCAAGATTCCTCGCTGGGACTTGGCCAAGTTCCAACATGTCAAGCGGGACATCGGCTCTGCCATGAAATCGGTCGGTGAAGTGATGGCCATTGGCCGTACGTTCGAAGAGTCCTTCCAGAAGGCCATTCGTCAAGTGGACCCATCTTTCTGTGGCGTTCAAGGCGCCCAATTTGACGACTTGGACGCAGCCTTGGCCAACCCAACGGACCGCAGATGGTTGGCCGTGGGCCAGGCTTTGCTTCACGAAAACTACGACGTCGACCGTGTTCACGACTTGACCAAAATCGACAAGTGGTTTTTGTACAAGATCATGAACATCGTCCACATGTACCGCGAGCTTGAGGCAGCAAAGACACTCGAGTCGATCCACCACGACTTGATGCTGCGGGCAAAGAAACTCGGCTTTTCCGACAAGCAAATTGCTCAGTGCGTCGGGGCCAAGGAGCTTGAGGTTCGTGCCGCAAGAAAGAAGTTTGGCATTGTTCCGTTCGTCAAGAAGATCGACACGTTGGCCGCTGAGTTCCCAGCAAACACAAACTACTTGTACACGACATACAACGCCACATGCTCAGACGTCGATTTCAACGAGCATGGCACGATGGTTTTGGGTTCGGGCGTTTACCGGATTGGCTCTTCGGTCGAGTTCGACTGGTGTGCAGTGGAAACAGCCCGGGCCTTGAGAAAAGCTGGCCACCGCACGGTTATGGTCAACTACAATCCAGAAACGGTGTCGACGGACTTTGACGAGGTGGACCGCTTGTATTTCGAAGAGCTCTCGTTGGAGAGAGTGTTGGACATTTATGAGTTGGAGACTGCCAGCGGTGTTGTTGTGAGTGTGGGCGGCCAATTGCCCCAGAATATTGCCTTGCCCTTACAAGAGGCCGGATGCAACGTTTTGGGCACGAACCCGCTTGACATTGACCGTGCTGAAGACAGACACAAGTTTTCCTCGATCTTGGACTCCATTGGCGTGGACCAGCCTCGCTGGAAAGAATTGACATCTGTTGCTGAAGCAGAGAAGTTTGCCAACGAGGTCGGCTACCCTGTTTTGGTTCGCCCATCGTACGTCTTGTCTGGTGCGGCCATGTCTGTCATCTGGTCGCAGAAAGAATTGGACTCCAAGTTGACTAGTGCCGCCAATGTGCTGCAGGACCATCCAGTGGTGATTTCCAAGTTCATTGAAGATGCACAGGAAATCGACATTGACGGTGTCGCTTATGACGGAAAAGTGCTCGTTCATGCTGTTTCGGAGCATGTTGAGAACGCCGGTGTTCATTCCGGTGACGCTACGTTGGTGTTGCCTCCACAGAAATTGGACCTGGATGTCATGGCCCGTCTCAAGACGATTGCTGATAAAGTGGCCGAAGCCTGGAAAATCACAGGGCCTTTCAATATGCAAGTGATCAAGAGTGATGTTGATGGAGAAACACAATTGAAGGTGATCGAGTGCAACATCAGAGCATCTCGGTCTTTCCCGTTCGTGTCGAAAGTTTTGGGCACAAGCTTCATTTCGGTTGCGGCGCAAGCTCTTTTGGGTGAAAATGTCCCTGCCCCTGTTGATTTGATGTCACAAAAGTATAACTACGTGGCCACGAAGGTGCCTCAGTTTTCTTTTACTCGTTTGGCCGGTGCAGACCCATTTTTGGGCGTGGAAATGGCTTCCACCGGTGAAATTGCTTGTTTTGGCGATTCGCTAGTCGAAGCATACTGGACTTCCATGCAAGCCACGATGAACTTCAAAGTTCCGCTTCCAGGCTCGGGTCTTTTGTTTGGAGGAGACTTGCTGAATGAAAAATTGGGCCATGTGGCCCAGACTGTTTCTGGCCTCGGATACAACTTCTACACAGCTTCGCCTGAAGTGGCAGAGTACCTTTCAAAGTATGTTTCTGAAGAAGTGGAGGTGATTGCGTTCCCAAAGACCGATAAGAGAGCGTTGCGGGAGATTTTCCAAGAAAAGAGCATTGGCGCTGTTTTCAACTTGGCCCGCTCTAGAGCCGAAAGCTTATTGGACGAAGACTACGTGATGCGGCGCAATGCCATTGACTTTGGCATTGCCTTGTTCAATGAAAAGAACACAGCCCAGCTATTTGCCCAATGTTTGCGGGAGAAGATTGGCACAAAGATTGATTTTGCCTCTGTTCCACTGAAGGTGGAAGTTCCACACGAGGTTCGCCGTTGGAGCGAGTTTTTGGGTGGAAAGCCTGTCTAACAATACTAGAAACAAGGTTTATGACGAAGGAGCGTTGTAGTGTAGTAGCAAAAAGAACGGGTTTATTTCGATATTCCTGGGCATTATCAGAAGACAACGCTTTGCTCCTGCAATACAGAGAGCCTATAGTCAGAATTTATTAAACAGACTCCTATCATAAGACATAATAACTAGGTCAAGTCGTCGTCGTCGTTTTCAACGACAGAGTTTTTGATCTTCAACAACAACTGCGTCTTCAACTTATCCAACTTGCTGAACTGATCAAACTCATACACCGTGTCGGAAAACGCCTGGACATCTCCGCTGTCAATGGCCGCCAAAATGTCCAGCACCAACTTGTATTCTCTTGTAGTCGGCCACGAAGGTTCCTCTTCGGCAAAGGCATCGAGCCGCTTCTGGGCATCCACAACGTCGTCCATACATAACGTGCACAAGATGTTTTTCAAAAAGTACTCCTTCAAGTTCCACTTGGTCAAGTTGTTGCCCACCAGGTTCTTGATGATGTTGTCGTACAAGTCCCGGGCCTTTCTGTAGTTGCCCAGGCCGGCGTTCAAGTCGGCACACTTCAAAAACGCCTTGTTGGAAAGCGCTTCGGCGTGGTCGGTGGAAAAGTAGTCGCCCGCCTTTTCGTAGCTCAGCGTGGCGTTCTCGACGTCGCCGGTTTGCTCGTAGAGCTCCGCCAAGTCCATCTGGAAGTTGGCCGCCCGTCTAAACTGGCCGTTTTGCGTCAAGAAAATGTGGATTGCTCTTGATAAGGCGTCAATGGCGTCAGCAGGCGAAACGCTTTTGAAACACTTGTACGCCTCGATAAGGTGGTTCGCCGTGTCATTGTGGTTGCTAAGTTGGCTTTGCAAGTCTGCTGCTTTCAAAAACTGCAGGCCCGCCAGGCCAAAGTCTTTCTTGAGGCGAAATGCGTTGGCCGCTTGGATATAGAGATCGGTGGCCTCTTCAAGTCTGTAGGAAGACGAGCCGCCGAAAAACGAAAAGAAGCCGGTCTGGGGCTTGGCCAATTTTTCTGCTTCTGCAATTAGAGAACGGGGGTCCAGCATATCGGAAGAATAAGAGGGATAGAGTTGGAGATATGGAGAAGATGTGTGCAGGCATCTATATGAAACCAACTCTGGTACGGAATTGCAGAGGGGAAAGAGAAAAAATAATATTAGACACATGAAATGGTTGATTTGAAGGACTTCATGGGTATTCTCCTTGTTGTCTGTATGAATTTTCTGCGGACCCGACTTTGCCTAGATACTGAGACTGACCGACCTAAAACGTTAGTTTTAGTTTGCGCTAATAATTTGAGTAAGGCTACTTGAAGTGAATTTATCTGCTTTGGACATACAGATCAAATGGCCATGCTTAAAATTGCTCTATTTTCAAATAAATCCTTTCCATCAGTGTCTACAACCTCGGTCTCGTAAATTTAGGCCACAAGGTAGCTTTGAATCTTTGGATCTCTTTATGTATTAGCCGTGCTTATGCATTAGTTTCAAGAAGTTTGATACGGACTAGACCAATTGTAATCCATTGAATAAAATTGCTATTTGTGATTTGAATGCCTTTACTTATCCCAGGATCAGAGCCGAGATAGTTAACATACACTGCAATTGTCCATTGATGCAAATGACGTTTAATTAGACATCAGCGTAGACATTCTTCCGATAACGTTACAACAAATCATTGAAACTACAAAATATCTAGTACGTACTTTAATCGACCAAGCTGCTGAAAATAATGTGGTCACCCTGGAAATTTTCTGTATATCATCTGAATTTGTTCTACGTTGATAAATGTTTGTATGGGTAGACAATTGGGCTATCAGATGAAAAAAAGCCTGCCACTTTTTGGTCTATATCCAAGAGCAAATAAGTAACTGGAGTGAAAAATTAAATGAAGAAGAAAAAGAGACTAATAGCTTATCGGATTATCACGACCCACCTCCATCTCTATTAGTGGCCTGTATATAATATATCGTCTTCAAACGTTCAATGTCTTGAAGATGCCTCTGACAGGAATGATAGATAATTTCTTTTATTCTGCAAAAAGGATCTGGTTCACTTATTCTGCAAAAAGCCTTTCAGCCATTTTTCCGTGTCTTTTTCAATCATGTGTGTTTCTTCAAACTGATAGCATATGTGCGCTTACCTGCACTCTGGTGTTTATCTACTTGTTATTCTTTTACATTCTGGAATGGAGACGGAAAAAATTCGCTATGATCGGCTTAACCAGGTGGTCAAAAAAGCCGTGGAGCAGACAATCAAGCGGCTGTTGATGCCCGAGCAGCTTGAAAAGTGTTTCCCGACGATATCGAAAATGGACGGCGGTCCAGAAGCGTTGGAAATGGCTCGGAAACAAATGCAAAAGTACTTCCACAGCACGTGTTTCAAGCAGTTTGAGCACATTTTCGAGAACAGAGACATCCACCGCAAACTCGACGAGTTGGACGAGATCATACATGACGCACAACAAAGAAGAGACCTTTCTCTGGCTGAATCAGACATTTCGGTAGACACATTGACAGCATCGCAGCTAATAGAGGCCACTGTGGCTCTGACGCGGCAGGATTCGGTGAAAAAACTCACCATGATATACGACCAGTTGGTTTTGGACAATAAACAGCTTTTTCAAGAGCTCCGGGAGCTAGCGCAGCAACTGGATCTGTTGAAACAGGATATCGAGGGCTCGATCCAGGCTCTTCTGAGTGGCATTGACGATTTGAAGCGCCAGAACTTGGATCTGCTGGTGGACACGCTCATGGCCGAGGTTTTTACCGAGAGTTAGTAATGGAATAACCATTCGGAAAATATATCTGAAAATGCTGCCGTGATTATGGATCAAGTCAGGAACTTATATGTGTTTTCATGTTATACTGTGATAATCTTAAGTTTGCAGACAATGCTTCACGATGCTAATTGTTTGCTTCGTGGTATTTTTGTATTTTGAGCGACAGTTGTTGTGAGACTTCGTTTCAAACATACTGATTCCTACTTAATGCCTGTTTCTAACATCGGAACTACATTGCGTCTGCACGGTTCCTTCTTCGAATTGTTGGCTCAGATATAAACAATCAGGTCTGTTTCTTTTAAGGTTCAGGTGCATCACTATACATGAGAAACACAGACAAGCTTTTTCAGACTCAATTGTCTCAATATGCTTTTGAGCAGTCTCCCGATATTACGTGACACTATTAGTGCAGTCTTGATTCTTCTCATGGTGGATAACAATAATGAATAACTTGATCAATCAATATGCGTATCTAGTAATCTCAACAAGGCAGTATCACTTGCCAACTGGACATTTTGTTTTCGCCCATTAACTTACCAATCACTTACCAATCACTTAATGCTACATCTTTCTTCTGTTTCGGCCTTGACCATCTATGTACATGCGCTCTAGTTGTTAAGAAGAGCGTGGTTCTTTCTCGCCAATTGGTTGTACTCCGCCACCTTCTTCTGCAACTCAGCAAAGTGCTGTTCTCTCTTCTTTTGCTTCTCCGACAACTTGACCAACTGCTTGTCGCCCCACACCTGGTAGTCCTGGAAATATTGTCTGTCCATGTTGAAACTCGCGAGTCACCACGTCGTCGGTCAATCCAAGCTTGGCAATGGTGTAGTAGTACTTTTCCGGGTCGTCTCTCTTCAAGTACTTCAAGATGCTCTGTCTCTGCTGCACCAACTCCCGCACGCTTTGAATGTGGGCCTTGTCCTTTGGCGCCTTCTTGACATGCTCAAAACCAAAGTGGATCTTGACGGTCATGATCGCCGCCTGGACCTCGGGCGAGCCTGTGTCGCCTTCAAATCTGGCAAACTCTTTGCGGGCCATTTCCGTGGCCAACTTGCGTTTGTCTGCCGCGTTGGAGTTCTTCATGTTCAAAATGGTCAACAAGGCCCTCTTCTTTTTCTCCTCGGTTTTCGTGATCTGCTCCGTGATCACCTCGCCGCCGATGCTCGAGTCCAAAGCGGCCTTTTGCGCTCCGTACAATAGCTTTTCAAACTCCTCTCGGTTGTAGCCGTAGGCCAAATTGGCCGGGTCCTCCAACTCCTGGTACATTCTGCTGATGAACTTGTTGTTTTCGGCACCCAAAACTGGGTCCACCTTGAACTCCTCGCGTTTAAGCGAGTGTTTCTTCAAGTTGTTCACGTCCCGGATGATTTGCCTCTTCATTCTGTTTTCTCTTCTTCTCAACGCTCTGACCTTGGACTTGGACGCATCTTCGGGCACAAACTGCTTTGCGGCCAAGTAGGGCTGTATTTTCACGGGCGCCGCGTCTAGCGCTGTGCTTTTCGTGCCAAAAAAACGGGCCGCCGAACGGAACATGGTGGGGTGGTTTTCTTGGGTTTGTCCTTTGGTGATGATTTTTTCAAAGGCCTCTTTGGCCGCGCACGACCGGACCACTATGTGGGGCCGATCGCATAGCTGAATAGACTGCGAATCTTAGGCTCGCCTCTTTTGTATGGCCTGTTGTCTTGTTTTGTGTTCGCATAGGCCGTTCTCTTATTCTGAATTACTTCCTGACTTATTGCTGACTTGGTATCTTGACTTTCTGACTTTCTGACTTCTGGTATCTTGACTTCCTGTCTCTATTGATATCTCTTTCTCTCTGTAATGGACAGACGGTATCTCTTTGAAAACAGTCTCCGCCATGTCAAGCCCTATTACCACGAGTACAAGACGCCATACAAGCAAAGATGGCACCACCGCTCGATCCAGGAGATTCTCACGCGCGAGTTGGGCCAAAACCAAAATGTGGTGGAACATGCGATAGACCAGGGCCATATTTATGTTTCTGCAAACAACGGGAAGGCTGGCGGCCCCGTCTTGATGCGGTTTTCCGAGGCCCGGCAAAGGCTTCTCGAGCCGCACGATGTCATACACAATATTCAGCATATGCACGAGCCGTGTGTTTTGCAAGAGCCGATTCTGAAGAGCCTAGATACAACGACTTCTGTTGATTCTGCAAGGGATGGCACTTTGAATGGCTCTGTTGGGGGTTCTCTCAATGGGATCGTCCAGAAATGGCGCGTTGTGGAAAACACTCTTGTGTTGTATGAAGACGAAAACATTCTTGTGGTCAACAAGCCTGCTGGGGTTCCAACACATCCGAACGGAATATTCCGCCGCAACTCCTTGACGGAGATAGTTCGTTTTGAGTTGGGCGTATCCGTGTATCCCTGCCACAGACTAGACAAAGGAACTCTGGGTGTGTTGGTGTTGGCAAAGACGAAAACAGGCAAGATGTTGCAAGAAGTTCTCCAAAACAAGAAAAGCCACGTGGAAAAATGGTATGTGGCCCGGGTTCGGGGAAAGTTCCCCTTTGCATCGTGTTCTTATACCAGCCCCGTTTTCAGCATCAATACTGCTGGCACAGGATACTTGAACATACCCAATGCGGAGAGAGTTCCGGCTACGTCGTCTACCCACTTCAAAATGGTGCTGTATTCTCCTGAATTGGACGAAAGCATAGTGTTCTGTCGGCCTATTTCGGGAAAAATGCACCAGATTCGGGTCCATCTTCGAAATATGGGCTACCCTATCTCCAACGACCCTTTGTATAATGCCGAAAATGGGCTTGGTCACGCCAAAAATCAGTTGGAAAAGGAATTATATGCGCAAGTCCTTGCCGAGTGGCCGTGTTTCGGAATAGATAAGACCATACGACCACCGGAAACTGTGGACGTCACGCCTTTTTTACTAAACGTGAAGCTGCGTATTGAAGAGTTGGCTAGTGTTCGCAGATCCGACGACGCCAAAAAAATTGTCTCTACATGTTCCGAATGCCTCAGGCCAATTTATCAGACTAAACCGGACCCTGGAATATATCTACATGCGTGGAAAATGGCGTACGAGGGCGACGTGTCTTTCTCTTTCCAGACTCTGTATCCCGTGTGGATATTTGGCGTTTAGGCCGTTTACTGGAATACGAGTTGCCAACTCGCCTATCTGCATGAGTTTCTTTCTACTTAATTGCGTATTTCCTTGGGTGCATCGACAGCAAATTGGTTCAGCCGGTCAAAAGAAGATACAAAAATTACGCATGCCAAGCTGGGCTATCAATAATTGGAGTCATTCCAATGGCTTTTTCTTTAGGTAAATTTGCTTATCCGTGTTATGCCCTCACCTGTCAGATTTAATTTTGTGGATAAGAGATCAACTGCAAATTCAAATTTCGAAGGCAATTAAACAGTTGACAATAGGGAGGAGCCAAGAATTGAAATGATCTGCATCAAGCTCAATTGCTGTTATACTACACTATAGAGGTAATGTATCGTATTGCGACATAGACTATCTCCACCATTTCTCTTTGATACTCCTACACCATCGGGCCCGACATCCGTACACCATATCTCTTCTCCAGAGCCCATCTTTTCCCAACTATGTCCAAAAAGAAACCAGGAACCCAGCTAGCGGCTCTTCTCGATGGTATTGTTTCAAAGCCTCCAAAGAAGTTTTCGGCCCACCTCATTTCTGATGTCCACGCTGCGGTGTCGTCTGCGCAAGACATCGATGATTTGTTAGCATCTGGCTACTTTGAAACAGTAGCGTGGAAGTTTTTCCATGCTGATATCACCAACAATCACCTAGAGCTAGTGCTTTTGATGGTGTTTTACGAGTATGAAGTCTTGCGGACAGACCATTGTTTTCGTTGTATGGTGAAGGACGCTTCCAAATTGCAAGATCTTGTCTTGCGATCTTTGCAAAGTACGCTAGTCCATGCAGAAGAGCAGTCGGGCCTCGAAGCGGCGGCCTTCTTGTTTTTGAGCGTCCTTGTTCGTTTCGACCAGACGGTTCTCACTCGGTGCAAATTGTACGAAAAGTGGATATCGTCTGTTCCAGAAAGGCTTTTCGACAAGTTTTTAAACGGCGACACGGACGAATTGAGCATCTTGGAGTACTTTCTCTACTTTGCAATTTACGGCTCTCTACATGTGGGCGACATCCGCATAAAATTCCATCTGCTTCGGTTTTCATGCTGTTTGGCAGATGTGGATCTAGATTCGTATACGCGAGCTTCCAAGTTGAGCGAGTTTCTATCTACTGTCCTCTATGGTTCGGAAGATGGGCAATTCTTCCCGAAATGTCAGCTCACTCTAAAAAACCTAGCATTGTCCAGTTTAGATAGCGTTATTTACGCCCCTTCGAAGTACGATGTGGATCGAGAAAATTTCGTGGAAACACTTCTGCAGATGAACGTCGATGTGCTTCATAACGCGGCTTCAGCATTGGGATACACTGGAAAGGCAAATTCTGTAGCGTTTTTGTCCCTGGTCATTGCAGACATTGTTTTGGGAAGGATGTCTGACTTGTCACTGTTCAAATTTACGGAGACCGAAGTTTTCGATTATTTTGAGCAAGATAATGTTTGCAAACTCAGTCCGCCTCTCTCTCTTCCCCAAAACTCTTCAGTTGAAGGGCATCTCAACAAAATCAAGACAGATTGCAAATTGGAAATGGCCAAAAAGATAAATACGCATTTGGTGAATTGCCTAGAGCGACTTACCATCACAGATCCAGCCAATGAAAACGGAATTCGGGGCACAAGCAAATATTTCTCCAAGATATCGGGCATATCTGTTGCTGGTGTAACTGCCAACTTGAAAATCAAACCACAGTGGTCTTCGGATGTCAAGTATGGCGATCGACTAATGCTACTAGAGATGCAAAAACCAAACAAGTACGATGCCCATACGCGAATGAAAAAGTACGGTATTTTCACGGCAAGAATTTCCCGGGTCATCTCTGCTGATGAGGGACTTTGTGTGGAATGGAAATATCCTGGATTTGAGACGAGATTCAACGCGGTTATTCGGCTTACAGAAGACTTTTCTGCTATAGAAGCGTTCGATGAGGTTTCTCACGAGGCACATGGGGCATGCCAGCTTCTAATGGAAAAGGAAGAGGACTTGAACACTACTTTTACAATGGATTGCGTGCTGGCAGAAATTCTTCAAAAAGTGACAGGTGAGAAACGCACAGCAGATGAGGCATTTGAACATCGTGGGAGCAAAATAACTCTCCAAAACAGTAAAGTAAAGGGCAATGCGTGCCTCAATGAGCAACAAACCGAAATTCTTCTTCATATGCTCACGCAGAAACGTATTTTAGTATCTGGGAAGCCCAACTCAGGATTTCTTGAGGTTCTTAGTCTGTTTCTTCAGGTACTCTCGGACAATTGGCCCCAGGAAAAATGCCTTATCGTCGTTCCAAATAGGGCAGCGCTTCGACTTGTTGATTCCCGAGTTGCCAGGTTTCGTGATGGGGCAGAAATCGCTCGCATTGAAGAGAAAAAGACGCTGCTCCTTGCGCAAGTCGGCAGTATATCCCAGCTTCTCGGCTTGGAAGAGTATGATTTCACCAGCAGCATCAGAAATGCTCTTATGCTCTACCATTGTCATGTAGAGCCGCGATGGAAGGATTTTTTGGGACAACTTACCAAATCCAAAGACTCCATTGCCCGGTATCCTTTCAAGAAAATGGAATTTGGCGATGAAACTGTGGAACAGATGCTTTTGCAAGTGGTTGAACACTACGCTTCTGTTAAGCGGATCTTTGCTGAGTTGCAAGAAATGGAACCTCTTTTCTTAGTGGACATGCAAAGCCAGAAGAACGACATACACTTGTATTTGGCGAAGAGGGCGAAATACGTCGCAGCTTCAGTTACTGACGTGGCGGCATTGAAAGAGAAGTTTGAAAATGTGGTGCTTTTCGGAGCCCAGCCCACATCGGTTGTTCCCATCTTGCGCTCTAACCCACATCGGCTCTGTATTTTCGGCGCTCCCTTTCTCCCTACCCTGGAAGTGAAAGCGCTCTCTACTATAGTTGGCGTTCGGCCCGAAATCGCCCGTTTTTATACGTCTTCAGAGGTGATTGTTCCCGAGCAAAAATATAATCCAGGAATCAAGTACAACATTCAGAACGTTCACGTTCCCGAGGCGCAGATGCAAGTGAATGTTGAAGAAGCAAAATACTGCGTCTATCTTTTCCAGTACATGCGGCTTCTTGGATATCCGCACCACAAGATTCTGATTTGCGTCCACTCGCCATATATGATGCGCATGATTGAGGAGATTTTGGAAGAACAGAAAATCGCACCTGAAGACTTGCCGTGCGACGAAAAAACATGTTTCCGTTTTGGGTGGCCGCTCTTGCAGTCGTTGCAAACGGCTTTTCCTGCTGACTATGTAATTGTTTCCACGCATGGCGCACCGTCCTTCCGCGAATGGAAAAACGCATTCGAAGCTGCCAGACTCGGCTTCTACACCGTTGGATCTTCCGCATGGGGCAAAGTGAAGTCGGGCCCGTTCGAGCTATACACAGGCGGGTCTTACTTGAGAGGAACGGACGACCGAAAAAAGGCCCAGAGCTACGTCATGGAGAATGCTCAACATATGGGAGAGTATATTTCCCAAATGACTGATGCACGGTGTGCATATACATAGACAGTTAACGGCGCTACCGCACCAAAACGGTAGGAAACGCCGAAGAACATGCAAGAACAAAAAGATTTTGCCATACGTTTTTTCGTAGCGACAGCGTATCCAGGATTTGTTTACCATGGAACCTGACAGAATACGCAATGTACGCACATGCCATGGCCTGTTTTAGCGAAAAATAGAGCCGTTGGAGGCGGGCACGTGACACTGTCGTCCGCCAAACCTCAGTAGGCGACGGTAATAGAGGCTGTAGGCAAATACGAGGCCAAATAGAACTGTAGGGAAAGCAGAAAATCGTTTGTTGGAACGCAAAGAAAAAAAGCCGTTGGAAGCGGCACTCATCAATCGCCTTATCTTGCTTACGTCAGCAGCCGTTTATCTTATCCGGTGTGACTTCTTCTGCTTGCACGACATTTTTTTTTTTTTTTTTTGGTGCGCGACATTGCGTATAAGAGACATCTCTCAATTCCATCGCCAGCTCAGCCTTGCTTCTCTTATCTGCAAACAAATGCCGACTCATCACGCACCTAGCCCTATTCACAAAGCACTTTTTTTTTTTCCCCGAGGAAAAGTGGGGCCATTGAGACGACGAGACCCAACACCCGTGCCTCTCGGCCCATTGTGAGACCAGTGAAAATGTCGCGAAGGGGTCCGCGCTTATCTGATTGTCAAAGTTTTCCCAGAAAAAAAGTACTGAAAATTTTTCTTTATCAACAGAAGCCGCCCACTTTCGCTTCACTCCTTCCGATAAAGATATAGGCTGTCTCGTGTGAAGAAAACTTAATACCGCTAAACGTCCCACTGCTAGCACAACTCTGATATCCGCACCCATAATTGCGACACGTTGTCATCACAAAGTCTTGCCGCCAGGAGTCCAAGATAGAGAATCAACAATCAACCAAACGAGTGCAAAAGTGAAAAAAGCCTGGTGAACGAGGAAACACGACACAAGTGAACCATCACATTCCGAGATTCCGAATAGACGACAAACAAGTCAAACACAAGAATCCCAAAGGCTTATCAAACCGACCCATTGAAGCTCAATCGAGAGAATCAGCCCGCATTTACCCATGAGCGAAATACAGCGTTTCCCGGCAATGGTAGACGCAAACCCAGTGCATCCCAACGCTAAAACCACGACGCAAATCAACAATGGAACCACCACCACGAAAAGCAACATCTCGTCGCCCGTGTGTCGCAACTGTAAGACGCAAACCACCCCGCTTTGGCGGCGGGACGAAACGGGCCAGGTTCTTTGCAACGCCTGCGGCTTGTTTTTAAAATTGCACGGGCGTCCGCGGCCCATCAGCTTGAAAACAGACACCATCAAGCTGAGAAACCGTATCAAGCAGCCCAACTTTGCCAAGCTGGGCCCAAACACACCCGAGCTCAAGCTGAAGGACGCAAAGCTGGGGAAAAGGCTGCCAAAGTCTGCCAAGAAGAAAAGTGCGCCTTCGCCGCCTCCGGAGATGCACACACATCTGCCTCTAGCGACACACACACGGGCGCCCTTCCCACAGGGTTTTGCGCCGCTGGGCCATGTGGCTGGCTTGCCCCATCAGGTGCAGCTGCTCCACTACCCGCTGTCCACGCCGACGCAGTTTGCGCCCGGATTACAGCGCATCACCTCTCCACTCTTGCTTCTGACCACAGCGCTGGTGCTGAATGCTCGCGCTACACTGTCGCTTGCGCTGCCCAAGGGCTTGTCTGCTGTCCAGGCGGCTGGAGCGTTGGAGAACATGCTGAACGAGTTGGGCCCCTCGGCCACATTCAAAAGTGGAGTGTCACTCAATGGCGGCCTGCTCATGGGCGGCATGAAGAGATCTGCTACCCCTGTTCTTTCAACACCTTCCACTGCGTTGGCTGGGCCCAAGTTGCCTGCTTTAAGCACTGAAGAACGCAACAATGTCATTGCATCGCCATCGTTTGGACCGCAGTTCCACCTTGACCATTCCACGAAAAGCGAGCCTCTGGACCAACCACGTCCTGCGTTGCCGCCACTTCAGCATGTCCAGCCGGCGCAGGCACAGTTGCCGCGGTTCCAAAGCAACTTTGGATCTGTGACCGGCTCTGGTTCCCTGACACCAGTGGCTCCCATTTCGGCGCCTGTCGCAGCACCTATAGCGTCTCTCACGGGCGGAAATGAGCAACGGAGCTCTAGCGGAGCATCTGCGAATGGCACAGGAAGTGCCACTAGCAACAACAATACCGGAAATAATGAAGCAAACTCCCAACACGGAAACTCGGGTCCAGCAAACTCCGGTCCTGTGAAGTCTAGTCCTGGCAACTCTGCCTCTGGAAATTCGGGTCCTTCAAGTGGACCAGGAAGAGATCCCAGCGGTTCTGATAATGCCAGAGCTAGTAACAACGGTAATAACAACGGCAACAACAACGGCAATAACAACAACGGCAATAACGGCAACGGTGAAAGTGCCTATGAGATCAATTTATTGAAAACTCGCATCTCCGAGTTGGAGTTGGTCAATGACTTGTATAGGACGCGAATTATGGAGTTGGAAGCGATGGAGCAAGCAGCTCGTTTGCGTGAGGGTTCTATGCGCAAACGCTTGGACGAGATCCTCAATTTGCAAGGACAAGACTCAGTATTGCAGAGGGCTTTGCATGAGCCACTGAAACGGCCTAAGTTGGGTTAATATGCCTGAGCCGCATGTTGAATGAACTTGCTTACTTAGAATGACTAATGAAGATGGGAATAGAGGGAAGATATGATGAAAGCTTGGAAGAAAACATGATAAAATTAGATTCTGCTGTGTTGGCTAGACAAGCTATGGACACGAAAAGGGAAACCATAAACCATACGAGTATGAGGGGTCAAGTAATGGATGTACGATTATAACGTGAGGATTGAGACAGTATATATTGGAAGATTTGTATAATGAGACGAACATCTTCAACGAAGCAAAGTTAGTTCACTAATTTTTAGTGTGTCAAAAGCACTGGATACCATCAATTCTTGATGATAGTAGGTCATATAATATTTAACGTACTGGTAATTTCCTGACAAGGAGCAAACCAAACGTGAAATAGAATTGAAGATAGACTTAAATACACAAAGAAAATTGGCGTATTCATGATGGTAATGAAGACTATGAACTTCGATCCATTTCGATTTTCCCATGGTATTCTGGCTATTCAGTACTTTTTTTTCCGCTTGATTTTTTTCCCCAATTTTTCATTTCTACGTTTAAATGGAATATTTTTGGAAGAGAATCGTGGTGGTTTTGTGTCGAAGAAGCCTTCATGGATGTTCTTAAGATGGAAAGTTTTCAAAATCAATGAAGTCCAATAGCATACTTGGAAGCTCAATTTACTTCCGAATCTGCTTTCGCAAACCAAATATATAGCTAGATAGTGGGCTTTCATGAAGCCAATTCAAATTTCAGTGAGTAAAAAATGAAAGTATATTGCTGGAAAACTTCATTTCTTGCAAAGACTGATCCAGCTGTTACTTCAGAGCAATTAATTTGTGAGCTAAATACGTAGACGGGCCTGTAATAACAACTTGTGATCTTGTTCAAAGCGATAATGTGCGTTCGATAAAGAATTTACCCTATCCTTATGATTAGAGTCTTGTTCGTAATTCCTGAATTCCTTCATGCTAGGTCGGTTTACTCTCATTGGCATACTTCAATCCTACTGAATTGGTTACATCATTTTAGTCCGTGGTATTACTTTAGTCACACGGTTTACTTACTTTGATCATTACATTCTCAGATGACACTATAAAAGAAACATCCGTCTTGTAGTTTTTTGTCTCAAGTCCGCACGTCTGGTTCGGACTTGTTCAAAAAGTGTTGGAACTTCAACAACTCGACAACAAATGAAATGTCGTCCGCCAAAAACTCGCTGGCGCCCAAGCCGTACTTGCTGGCGTCACTGGTGTGCTTTTCCAAGTACAACCGCACTGTGGCACCCGAAGAGCCTGTGCCAGACAACCTCACAATAAAGCGCAAGCCGGAAGTGAGCTTGACAAACAAACCCTGGTTTTTCAGCACCAGGCCGTCCAAGTCTGTGTAGGAGAAGTTGCCAGCCTCGGCCACGACATGGCCCGAGCCCAAATCGGTTCCGGGTTTCAGCGATTCGACGATCTTGGCAAAGTCTGCCACCAACGCTTCAGCTCCTTCGCTTGAAACGCCCTCGTAGTCGTAACGAGTGAAGAAAGTACGGCCGTACTTCTCCCAGAATTTCTCCTGCACGTTCTTGATGGAGGCCTTTTCTTCTGGGAACTGGACGCTGAAGTCAGCCAAGACGTTCAACCAGGCGCAGATGGCCCACAAGCCGTCCTTTTCACGGATGTGGTTGGAGCCCGTGCCGAAACTCTCTTCACCACAAATCGACAACTTCTTGGCGTCGAAAAGAGAGCAGAAAAACTTCCATCCAGTTGGAACCTCGTACACATTCAACTTTTTGTGTTTGGCCACCAAATCCAAAGCTCCCGACGTAGGCATCAGCCGGGCCAAGCCATACACGCCTTGCTTCTTGAAGTAAGGAATGGAATCAGCGTACTCAGCGATAATTGCCACGGAATCACCAGGTGAAACAAATGCGCCGGCACCATAAATCATGTTACGGTCACCATCTCCGTCAGAAGCAGCGCCAAAGGCGATGTTTTCCTTGTCAACGCGGTCCACCAATGTGCGGGCATACGTCAAGTTTGGGTCGGGGTGCAAACCGCCGAAGTCTGGCTTGGGAACACAGTTTTGCACAGAGGACTCGGGCAAACCAAGCTCCTCGACAAAAATGCGGTGGCCGTATGGACCGGTGATACCGTTCAAAGCATCAAACACCACGGAAAAGTCCGACGAAGACTCGACAAACTTCTTGATGAGAGGGAAGTCGAAAATCTCCTTCATGAGCTCGACATAGTCAGCAGTAGTGTCAATCACCTCAATGGTAATTGGACCAGCGGTAAATGTGCCAATCTTCAGAAGGTCGACCTTGTCAAGTGGCCAGAGTTTGTACTGAACGAGTTTCTTGGAAATGGCGAAAATGCGGTCTGTCACGCTTTCTGGCGCGGGGCCACCGTTGGCCAAGTTGTACTTGATTCCCATGTCGTTTTTGGGTCCTCCTGGGTTGTGCGAGGCTGTCAAAATGATGCCTCCAGTAGCGTGGCGGCTACGGATAACGTGAGAAGTTGCTGGCGTCGAAAGAAGTCCGTTCTGGCCCACAATCAACTTGGAAACGCCGTTAGCAGCGGCAATTTGCACAATTAGCTGGATCACGTGGTCGTTGTAGTAGCGGCCGTCGCCGCCAATGACAAGAGTGGCATTTTCAGCTCCTTCGGGAATAGCCTCGAGAATCGCCTGGATGAAGTTTTCCGTGTAGTGGGGCTGCTGGAAAACAGTGACTTTCTTCCGGAGCCCGGAGGTACCGGGTTTCTGGTCCTGGAAAGGGGTGGTTGCAATTGTCTGGAACATTTTTGGTGGAGAAAACGTGTGGATAAGTGAGCGGATTTGCTCTCTTTTTTATAGCATGGGAGAGTATCTGGTGATTCCTGCATACATTCCACAAACCTGATTCCGTCTTCACACTTCTGTTTCAAATGCCATTGCCCCTCGTGGGGCATATGTGAGGTTATCTTTTTGGTCCAATTCTACAACTATGTGCTCTTTTGCTTTTGAAGGCTGTATCTACGAAAATTGGCACTACACTGTGTCCTGTTGTTTATGTGCAGGACATTTGTGCCATTAGACAGGATTGCTGTGTCAAGCAGATCATGGTCCAGCAGCAACAACGACACGAACCGCATGGTATATCGCAGTTCATAAGACAAGGTGGTGCTTGAAGCCATTTCCAGAATCAATGGAAAGCATTAGGTATTTGAAAGGCCATGCGACATTCCCCGCAATCTCCGCATCACTCCACTTTGCAAGGGGCGCAAATACGACATGCGTTTAAAGGGCATCATGTCGCATTAGGCCTATATTAAGCATCAGCCATGTGGCATTTTTATATAATTCAGAGACGGTGCAAGGTTGAAATATGATGCAAAAGACAGTCTGACTGTATTGGAAGACGGTGTTGCTTTCGAGATATAATAATAGAGATCCGAGTGACAGATATACCGAGAGAAGAGAAACTGCGACACCACCTCAATTTAACCAGTATAGATGTAACTTCATACAATGGATGAATATAAAGTCATCAATGAAACCAGTGTTTGGTATCTCTGCAATTCAATTGACTGTTCCATCTGGCGAATGTGACGAATAACCATGATTGAGTGTGATTTCTCTCCATTCGGACAAAGACAGTTGAATCATCAAGTACATGGAACGAGAATTTTGGATCCAGTCGTTTCTGTCAAAAGAAGCCCATCGGTATTAGAGCTTCTGATAAGGTGCCACGTTCTTAACAGTTGCGCAGTTTTTCGATCAATTTACTGTTTCTGCTTATGGGTTTGAGCTCTTTTCATGAGGGCTAATTATTACTGAGTATTGTATCATGACTCAGGGTTTAAACTATATTGACGTGCAATTCATGTCGGGATGCGGAATCGTAGTATTCTTTATGTTACTACGTCAACTACTCCTATGGTTAACGATCTCTTAGTTGTCCCTAAAAGGTAAAGTCACCTCTGGTTGCTGACGTAATTCTGGTTACTCCACCTGTCTTTCTATTTCAAAGATTCCATAGTAGAGATTTCATGATTACAAGTGCCACATAATACACGTTTATTGAGAATGCTCTGAACGAAGTTTCGTTAGTGTCGCACAGAGAATTACTTTTTAATCACCTGGTTGATGGCATCGGCCAAGTAGTCCACATTGTGCTCGTTAACACCGGAAATGGAGAAACGGCCGTCCTCGGTGGCGTAAACCGAGTATTTTTCTCTCAATTCCACAACCTGCTCAGCACTCAAACCGGTGTAGATAAACATACCTCTTTGCTTCAACAAGTGGTCCCAGTTGTAGTTGGACTTGTCCAATTTCTCGTACAACTTGTCTCTGACAACGTTCAAACGCGACACAACCGCGTCCAAATCGGCCAACCACTCGTTCAAAAGAGCCTCGTCGCTGAAAATGGTCTCGACAATTCTCGAGCCGTGAATAGGTGGGTTCGAGTACATAGGACGGATAAGCTTCTTCAATTGCGACTCGACTGCAGCAGATTGCTCGCCGGACTCGGTGACAATGGAAACAGAGCCGGTTCTTTCACCGTACAAGCCCATGTTCTTGGCAAAAGACTGGCACAAGGCGTAGCTGTTGATCTTACCCTCAGCCACCAACTTGTTCATCTTACGGACCAAGCCAATGTCCTTGTAAGGCGAGCCCGAGGCAAAACCTTGGTACGCCATGTCCACCAATGGGAAAAGCTTCTTCTCTTGCACAATGGCCAAAACCTCGTCCCACTGTTCTGGAGTCAAGTCCATTCCGGTTGGGTTGTGGCAACAAGCATGCAACAAAACGACAGACTCGTCTGCGGCAGCGGAAAGAGAAGACTTCAACAGCTCAAAGTCCAAGCCGTTGGCCTTGACGTCGTAGTATGTGTAGAACTCCGTGGACATTCCAGCATCGGAGAAAACAGCAACGTGGTTGGCCCAAGAAGGCTTAGGCACAAGAATATGCTTGGACGAGTAGAAACGCACCAAAAAGTCGGCAATCACACGCAAGGAACCGGTTCCCGAGATGGTCTGAGCCGTCACAATACGGTTGTCTTTGATCAACTTGGCGCCGCTCACGTCTTTGCCCGAGTTGTTGAAAATAAAGTTTCTCACAGCCGTTTGGTAGGCCTTGGATCCAATGATGCCCGTGTATTCCTTGTCGGTTTCCTTCTCCAAGAGAATCTTCTCGGCCTTCTTCACGGAGGGGAACACAATTGGCTTGCCAGAGTTGTCTCTGTAAGCGCCCACACCCAAGTTGATTTTCTTGGAGTTGGCGTCTCTTTGAAACGCTTCGGAAATGCCGAGAATCTTGTCTGGAGGAGCCAATGGGATTTCGTTCCACTTGGCCAATCTGGCCGCAACAGAAAAGGGTCTGGAAGCACGTCTAAGCATGATGCACGAAAAGAAGAGAAAAAATGTTGGAGAATGGCGTGTTTCTACGGGATTTTGCGCGTTTTATATTCGCGTTGGGTTATGGGAAATTTTTCAAGTGGAGTAATGACTCAATATGCACATTGATGACTACTTGACTCAGTTTTGACAGTGGCCGTTTTCCGTTTTTTTGAAACTACTACACATGGCCAAGCCCCTGTTGGAAATGTCGTTTTTTTCTCTCTTTCAATGTCAAACGTTACGATTCTGGTGACATTTTTACTACCCCGCCTCTCGGCTTTACAGTAGTGTACAATGATATGGGAGAAAGCCGAACAGGTTAATGTCCGAGGTGGAGACATTTCCTGAATGGAGGGCGTCGGGTGGACGGATGCACGTGAAGCGCCTCATCGCATCCGTGTTTTTCCGCTAACACTTTTCTCCTGGTGCACGGGTGTGGAGCCACACCTCTCCAAGGAGGAACGGAATGGTGTACTGGTGAAATACTCCTGCTTTGCTTATAGTGTTTGCACCAAATAAATCTCACCTAGGCGTTGCAATGTTTCTTGTCGTCTTATGAATCTTCTTTCAGTGATCTGATGTTTTTCTGTCCTTCCTTCTTGTGCTTTACCTTTTTCTCCGCCGTTCAGCGTTTTACAGGTATGCATTTTATCCCTTCTTTAGAAGTAAAGACACTTGGGCTCTAAGTTATTCCGAAGGATGCGCGCACCTGCAACCTTTTTCTCCCATCGCATGTGACATTCGTCACTTGCAGGGTTCGCTGTGAGAGTTTTTCCGGCCGTCAGCCGCATTTTTTTTTACCTAATCTGTACTTCTATTGAACCCATTATTTATAGAAAAAAATATTTTCAAACTATTCCCCCCACAACTTTAAACACGCTCTTCCGTGGGCTTACCCTGGTCAGCATAACCGGCAGATTGCGTCATATGTTCCACCGAAGGTGGAGTCCAACCAGAAGATTTCCAAGGCACTGTGTCAGAGGCATACAACTCATCCACTTCCTCCAAAGAAAGTCCTTTCGTTTCGTAAACAAAGAAGTAAACGTAGAAAATGGAGAAAATAAGACAGCCGCAAAACACGAAACCGAAGTAAAAGTGGATAGCAGATGTGATAAATGGAGTGAAGAAAGAAATCAAGAAACCCCACATCCAGTTGGCAGCGGTAGCAACAGACATAGCCTTAGATCTGATTCTCAATGGGTATGACTCGGAAACAATACAGTAGACACCACCAGCCCAGGTCGAGGCGAAGAAGAAAATAATCAAACATGTGATAAAAATCATCGCATTACCAGTTGGTTTTCTGGTGTTGGATGTATCGTTAGAAGTACCATGTTTGTACAAGCTTTGGGTACCGAGGAGGGAATAAATGATAAACAATGCAGACATGGCGATGGAACCAGTCAAAAGACACGCCCTTCTTCCCATTTTCTCAATGGCATAAATACCGACAAATGTTGATGCAAAGTTGACAATACCCAACACAATCGATGTTTGGAATGAATCCTTCATACCTACGGCTTGGAAAATGGTGGTACCGTAGTAAAAGAAATAGTTGTTACCAGTCAATTGCTGCATGGATTGAAGAACAATACCCATAATGACTCTTCTGAAGATCTTTGGCTTACCAGTGATCAATTCTTTCCAAGAGGCCTTACCAGCCATGGCTTCTCTGTCAATACCAGCTTGAATGAGCTGTACCTCGGTGTATAAAGCAGGGTCTTCTTCAGAAAGTTTGTTGGAGATGGCAATTGAGTGTCTTGCTTCGTCGATTTTCGATTTCTCAATCAAGTATCTTGGAGATTCTGGCATGCTCAACATACCTGTAACCAAAAAGATGGCCCAGGCAAAACACAAACCCAAAGGAATTCTCCATTGTCTTGAGTCTGTATATTTCTTAGTACCGTAGGTGGTACAGTAACCCAAGAAAATACCCATGGTGATAAACAACTGGAAACAGCAGACCAAAGTACCTCTAATTTGTTTTGGAGAAACTTCAGAAATGAAAAGTGGAGAAACAACAGAAATGGTACCCACAGCAAGACCAGAAATGAGTCTACCAATGAAGTATTGGTACCAGGCGCTCTGTGAAGCAATCTGAATAATGATACCCACAACATAAATGACCATAGCCACCATCATTCCCATTCTTCTTCCCCAGACATCAGCGATTTTGGAGAGGAAAATACCACCAACAGCACATCCGATGTTGAAAATAGAAACAATCAAACCCGTTCTGACATTGGACAAGTAGTGTTCACACAGTTTGCCTTGTGCTGGCCAAATCTTCTCTTGAAATCAGGAA